TAAATTTAATTGAAACCTTTTTTCGTTTTTGATCATAAGAAGGGAGGGATTTTTAGCTGGCAAAATTTTCGCAACATTTTCGATATGATTTTCGAAATCAAACTAATTTGCTAGAATTGACTTGAAGCAGGTGATTTTTGAAAAAAGGTCAAAATACATATATCATAAGGAACAAGAATATTTGGATTAGATAGGAAACCATAAAACCAGCAAAAAAGGATAAGCCAATTTTCGACCTATTGAAATTATTTTTAGCTTTTACATTTACATCTCAATAATCCCTATTGAGGTAAAAGATTAACTAAAAATAAATTGAGAATGTTGCGATATCTCAAAAAATGTTGCATTATCTGAAGAGGGATTAGAATTATTTAAAAGATTATTGGCTTCGTTTTTCATTTTTATTATTAAAAATGTTGCTTTATTTGATTATCAGGGAAACATTGGATAACTAATTGTCTCGAGAAAAGTATTCTCAGGCGTAGCGAGTCTAAGTCTCAATCTACCACACAGCGAGACCATTTATCATTTCAACGCGCTGAGCGGCCAAGTTATTATGACGTGGTTTATCAGAAAATCCAGGGGATTCACAATTTTAAGTCTACGGTTATTTACGACGCTCGAAAAATATTCCTAGTTCAAAGAATGAATAAAACATGTGTGGGTTGGGTTGTTTTGGTGGATTGAATTGAATCAATAAAATTGTAGTTTCTATCACAAATTTTTGTATTGTCAATCACGAAAACCGAAATTTTTTATTGAATTTTTTTCGAGAAAGGAAAGGGGCTAATTAGAAGCCCAATTCATTTCAAGCCGAAGCTATCAATTTTTATAAATTTAAAATTGTTGGTTACAACAAAAAGTATAATTAACTTTTTGAATAAACAAAACTCAGATCATCACATCATTTTGTTCTAGAAATGATGTGAACAAAACACAGATTTAAAAAAAATGAGGTTTGAGGTAAACAAAAAAAAACTGCGGAAATGTCATACATTTTGAAAATTTCACCAAACTTCAGCGTGAATATTGTTCCCTTATTGAAATACCCCCTCGCCCAAACACCAAAAAAACTAACCGAAATCATCGACTCCATCTACTTGTTTTTCAAATCATCCTAAATTCATCATCGTCCTGATCCTTCTGAAATTTGTTCCAACAAAATCAGATGCGCTCCAAAACTCTCACTCAATCCAAACAATCACGAGAAGCAAACTCTGAAAAAAAAAACTATTTTAATTTTTTTTAATTTTCCAAATAAAACTAACCAACTATCGAGACCAGCTTTTTGAAATTCATTTTCAAGCGAAGAAATATTGAAAAATATGCAGACTTCCACGTTTAGTGGATTTTTTATTTGTTCGCAATGACGTTGCAACGTGACATTTTAAATAAAACATTTTTCGAAATGTTTTTTTGTAATAGAGAGAAAAATGAAAAAAAATTCGCGCGCGCTCTACTTCGAAGATCAAAAACTTTTGTGTATTTAAAATATATATTATTAGAATCAATATTTTTTCAAATTGATTTTCAAAGTCAAGAATATTTTCTTAAAATATTTATAACACAATAATTATTATATAATTAATCAGATTACTGTATTCCAAACGTACATAAATACATATTCTAAATATCTTCCCAAATTCACACTTTCCCATAAAACACCTGTTATTTTCGAAAACAATAATTTGTTTATTTTATGGTCGGCTGTATTTTTTATCTATCTCACTTTTTTCGTCAACACCAAGGTGTCAAAAGAAATGATCTATGGGAAAGAAGTGGGAAAACGACACCGGAAGATCATGATAATAGAAATAGATATCACAAATAAAACTTTTGATTAACTTTTTTTTAAAAATCCCACATTCGCAAAATTGTTAAATCTCTATTTCTGGTTACCAAAAATACTTCATAAACACTTTTGTAAGAATTCATTAGAATTTGAGTGTTTCAAGTTCTAAATTCACCTTTTGACAAAACTTTCTGGTGATATTATTTCGAGTATTCTGAAAAACTTTATCCAAGTAGGAAAACTATCACGATCAAGTTGAAATGTGTTTTTAAAACAGTTTTTCAGAATGAATCGGTAATTTGCATAATTTTTGAAGAATACAAGTAATACGGTATGATAAAAAACCAAAGATTGATGTACTCTTGGGTTACTGTAGCTGTACAAATTGAAAGAAATACTGATGATAACAAATTTCAAAAAATCATATTTCTGTATCTCATTAGCTTTATTTTCAAAAATTTCTTTCCCAAACAAACAACATCTGTTTCCGTCGGATATTTTTAACACCTCGCACACTTTTCAGGTTAAATTACAGTATCTTCTATCCAATCTGAGATGGGGTGTGGCCTAATAAGAGGCGTGGCTTAAATGGTGGACACCAAAATCTGGTATAAAAAGAAAGGGTGAAGATCATTCAATAACACTTATTCTGTTCTGAAAATAATACTGATTATTTTCGAGCTCTAATGTTTTTGAATCTTGTTTTCCGATTGTTTCTCTCTGCCTTTGGTCTATTTATTCTAGAATTCAATTTTTCTAGAAATAAAATCAATCTGTTGCAAAATTATGCCAAACTATTTTCAATCAACTTCTGACTTTGTTCCAATGCCTTCAAGTTTTCTTCAAAATCAACCACCATCTTGGAGTGATGTTCAACCAAATGAAGTTAGCCGAAGAAAAAATGAAGATAATCAATTAAATGATGCATTTTCTGGAATGACAATGTTTGATGCAAATGAAGTGCCAAAACCAATTCAAACTCAGCCACAACAACAATATTATTGTCAACCTGATTATTCAAATTATAATAATCCAAGAAAAGCTGAAGTTGATTTTTATCAACAATGTTATCAAAAACACATTCAATCAACATATCAACAATTGCTTCTTCAAAATCAACATCCAATTCAAATTCCTACTGAAACTGTTCCAGTTTTCTCAATTTCTCCACCAATTTCTTCATCAATTTATTCATCTTCATTGTCTTCTTCAAATTCTTCTTCATTTGAAAATATTCCAAGTGCAATTTCACCAGTCGAACATAATGGAACTATTTATTTCTCAAATCCAAGTGAGTTACTTTTTTTATATAGTTTTTGAAACCTTTTACAAATTTCCATATTTTTCAGATTCTGGAGAAATGTCTTGTCGAGATATGTATTTCTTTTTGTCCAAACAATTTCAAGCAACAAGAAAAGCTTTAATTGAATCTGGATATCCATATTTTGAATTTGGAAAAGAAAATGAAATTGTGACAATTCAAACAACAACATTTGAAGAAAATAAAAAAGATTTGGATTGAAAAAAATGATAAAATTCGAAATTGTTGTCGATGTAGAATTGAATTCAAATTCAATAAAAATGGAAAAAGATCAATTGGAAATTGTACTTATCATCCAAGATCAGCTAAATTCAATTTAGGTAAGTTTATTGATTTTTTGATAATTCTTGAAAATCAATTTTATTTTTTATAGAATTCAAATTTCGAATTCATGATTGTTGTGGTGAAATTGAAGGACAATCAAAAGGCTGTGAAATTGCACAATATCATGTTTATGATCAAATATTAACTGATGAACTCGAAAAATTCTTGGCAACTCCAAAATCAATTGGATTGAAAGATATCCGAAATTATAACATTTTTGGAATCGATTGCGAAATGGTTTATACATTAGGTGGACCAGCAATTGCAAGAGTTTCAATTATTGATTTGGCTGAAAATATTGTTCTTGATGTAATTGTCAAACCACCAACTAAAACTTTGGATGCAAATACAACATTTAGTGGATTAACAATTGAACAAGTCGAACAATCAACTGTTTCAATTGAGGCTGTAAGTTTCATTTTTCCAATTTTTTAAACAATTCAAAAATATTCTTTGTTTTAGTGCCGCCAAAAAATGTTCGAATTAATCAACGAAAAAACAATTTTAATCGGACATTCATTGGAATCTGATTTAAAAGCTCTTCGAATTTCTCATATGAAAATAATCGACACTGCAATCTTGTTTCAAAAACAAGGTTCAAAATTTAAACCATCACTTCGTAATTTGGCTCAACAATATTTGAATAAATCAATTCAGATGGATAATCCATCAAATATTGGACATGATTCTATTGAAGACGCCAAAACTTGTATTCAACTTATTAATCATTTATCTACTAACTGTTAATTTCATGTATTCTTTTTTTTTCTGGAAATAATTGCTCATTTGTATTACGGTTTATTTCTCCGGTCTCTTTATTTTGTACTTTTGAGTCTTACAAATCTGTGTTATAGTTTTCTTTTTCTGGTCTCTTTATTTTTTAATCTCGAGTCTCACTTTCATACCTTACGGTTTTTTCCTCCGGTCTCCTAACTCAAACTCGATAGATATTTCCGGTATTTTCATGTCTTATTTCAGTTTTACTTATCTGAATACCTCACCGTTTAATTTTTGGTATTTTTCATATTTTCCCCTTCATATTTTTGTCCCTAAATAAAATTTGTTTTTTTTTTCAACTACTGTGTTTGGACATTTGAAAGAAAAAGTTTCAGGATAATATATTCAAATTCTTCCCAAAATCACATTTTCCCAGAAAACACCTGTTATTTTCAAAAACAATAATTTGTTTATTTTATGGTCGGCTGTATTTTTTATCCATCACACTTTTTTCGTTAACACCAAGGTGTCAAAAATGTGATCTTGGGAAATATGGAAACAAGAAAGGGAAAATGGGAAACGAGAAGATCATAAATTGGTGTGTTCAAACTATTGGTGAAAATGCACAATTCTGAAGTATTATAAAATTTCCACATTTTTGAAATTTATTTAAAAATAAGAAAAGAATAAGTAGTATTTTCATATTTTACAAATTTTCAACTATTCGTTAAAAAATTACAGTTTTCTGTAACTTCTCCGGTTGCACTCATTCCATTCTTACTCAACAAAATTTTTAGGAAAATCTTTTTATTAAATTGTACACTATTGGAAAAATAGTTACATAATTTAGAAGCTGTGGTGAGCCTTGGCGAAACCAATTCTGGCTTGTCCGATATCGTAGACATTACAGTATTGACGGATGAAGGTATCTCCCAAAATCCATTGTGGTCCGAATGATCCACTTCCCATTGAGAAGAAGGTGATAGCGCATTTGCCTCCTCCGAGTTGAAGATCCAAAACGTATTCAACAGCTTGAACGTTGTATTTGGTTCCTCCGATGGTGAAGATAAGATCTGGAAGGGAAGATGAAGTGGCACAGTCAACGGTGTAAAGTTCGTTGGTCCAGTCGAAGGTAGCCTTGGTTTGCTTGACAATAGCGGAGAGAATTGAAGCTGGAGCTCCAACCCATGAGGTACCGGTGTCAGAGATGGAGGATTGGCTCTTGGATTCAGAGTAGGTTCCGATGGCGAAAGCATCAATGTTGAATTGCCAGTATGTCTTGGCGGTCAATGGAACATAGGTGATGGTTGAATCACAGTTGACTGAATCAGTGGCTCCGTAGGTGATGAGACCTCCGAGTCCTCCTTGTGAGATGTTGAGTTTTCTGTCAAGCCAGACGGTGAAGATTGGTTGATCGAGTTGGGACAAAACGTTTTGCATTGGTGGGGTGACCTTGTCAACAGCCAATGATGGCCATCCGAGTCCGAGAATTCCGTCGACTGGTTGGTATCCGAAAACTTCGGCCAAATGGTTGGCAACTCCGAATTCTTGGTTGGCAACAGTCAATCCTCCGAAGACCAAGGTATCCTTAGCCAAATGTCCGGAGCATGATCCTGATCCGTATTGGATCGAGAATTTCTTGGATTCCGAAACATAGGTGGTTGAGGCGGTGGTGTTGAACTTGTGTTTGGTGTATCCAGAATCTGGGTATCCGTTACAGGCTTGAGTTTTACAGGCGGCATCAATAACCCAGAGGTTGGATGATCCAGTATCAAGAACAATGGTGACTTGTTGAGCTGGAGTTCCGAGGGTGATGTTTCCGAGATAGAAATCATCATAATAGTCAAGGAATGGTTGACTTCCAGTGTTCAAGTTGATTCTTGATTCGTGTTGTTTGGCCAAGAATTCTTGATATCTTCCAGTTCTAAAAATCAAAGTTTGAGATTGAAAATATCAGAAAGAAGTATTTCAAAACTTACTGGATGAGCTTAGCACGGAGATTTTCCGACTTCTTAGTCTCCATTTTGTAAACGACAGCAGAGCATGCTGCCACGAGGGCGAGCAAAATGAAGGTTCTCATACTGGAAAAATTAATTATTAATTCAAAATTCAGAATTGTTGCTGCTAAAAGAAAAATGATAAAAAAAATGATAAAATTATGAAGCTTGGTTGAGTTTTTATAGTCTAACTGTACGTCATGATTTTATCAGTAGTAGCTCATTGCTCTTTATGATTTTTTATCTATTTTTTCATCAAATATCATCTTTTGTGTTGTAAGCAGCAAGCAAGCAGGCATAAAAAATTAAAGATCCGGGTCATAAAAGGTGAGCTATGTTGTGGTCATGTGGCCAAATCAGACAATCACAAGTTAATCAAATAAAAAGTGAGAGTTTTCAAAAAACCAAATCACATCATAATTAATTTTCTGAGAAAAAAGAAACATCGAATTCGGGTCAATTTTCCTTCATAAGAGGATTATTTTTAGTAAGAAAGATACGTTTCAAATAATTCGTAAAGTTGAAATTTTTTTTCAGAACCGATATTCACACTTGTATTTTTCATTGAACACAGATATCCGAAATGTTTTTAATAGGAAACACTGTTATTGTTATAGCCGAAGGAAACGGTGCTTCCGGATAACATCCCGGAACTCTGATGTTCCAGCCAGGGTTCGCATGTTCTTCAGAAGCTTTTTGGAACAAATTTTCCGTTTTCGCTATTCATCAGAACCTCCAGAAGTTCTCTCGTCCCCGCTGATAGAATGTCCGAATTTGATATTTCACAATCCTAAATCTCATTCTCAAGTTCATTCAAAGTTCTCAAAATATCTCCAAATTATCATCATTTTCCAAACACTCAAACTTTGAACACTATAAAATATATTATTCTTTTACTTTCTTTTTGTTCTGTTATTATCAGTGTTCTCAAATGTCCCGAATACCAAAGTTCGCATTTTCCAGTAGCGATCAAGTTGAACTTTGACAAAAGTGTACCGCTTTCAATTTCCAGTCCAAAATTTATCTCTGTTTTAATCGGAAAACTTGAATTTTAATTCCAATTCCAAAAATCAAACCTTATCTTCAAATTATTTTTGACCATTTCTGCTATACTTTTAACTCATTATTCTTTTTCTTTTTCCAAAAATGAAAGCGATAAAATTGTTTGATTTTTGTGTTTCTTATCAGAAAAAAAGAAGAAAAAGCCACGAATTTCTCTCTGATGCAATTATATTTAATTGTTTCTCAAACAATCGAAACTTCGAGAAATTGATAATTTTTTTTCTAATTGGGGTAAACTAGAAAGAGAAAAAAAGGTTTTGAGTTTGAGTTTTTCCGAAAAAAAATTGTGATGTTGATGTTGTAATCAAAAAATGATTTATAAGCCTTTTCATTTCAAAGAAAAGCTTTATCAGAAGTATTTAAAGTACTTTACTTTTCGTAATCAAATATGAAAAAATAAAGAATCGAAGATAAAAATAATATATCGGATTCTAAAAATATCTTTTAAAATTACTGGAAAAAACATCCGAAAGATGAAATCGTATGGTCTTTTTTCAAAGTTGTAAGATTTTTTATATTTAATAAAAGTCAAAAATAATGAACACCAAAATTACAGGAAGTCCACTTTTCACAAATATTCGAAAAACATTTGTGAAATAAAACCCAGAAATTTTTCAAAAATAATCCTCTCTTCAGAATTTATTCACCTTGTCTTGAATGCACTTCTGAAGAAATATTTGGAGATTTTTCTTGATAACAAATCCCAGTCCCGAGATTCCTAGTTTTTTCCAAACCAAGATGGTTCACAGAACAGTTGTCAAATGTTATTCCATTTTCTGGGTTACACAAGGCAACCCAATACGCAAAAATTTAGTTGTTGGCGAATCTCAACTCGAGATTGCCATACAGGTCAGCCCATTCGAAAGTGCAATGAATAGGCCTCGCCATAGGAACGCCGCCTTGATGATCGCGGAGTGTCCCCAACCAGGTAAGTTTATGAGTCGCCCACTCGCTAACATATAAATGTGTGTGCAGCCAGACATCTCGCTGGCTATGCGGAATGCTATGTTTTGTATGCGAGTGGGCGGAGTCAGGAAAAGGAAAAGGGAAAGAAAAGGAAAGCATTTTGTTTATTTATGTTTTTTTGAACGCAAAAGGGTGGAAAATTATGGAAAAAATTCTGGAAACGGCGAAAACTGTATTGGGTAAAAAATATTCAGTGAAATAATGAAAATTCAAATAAATCTGATTTTTAGAGCTAAAAATCCTTTTTGAAACAATGTGAGCTCAAGCCCAAAGTTATCGAATTAATTGATACGGTAAAAGATAAAAATACAGTACAATTTCTAGATTTAGAAATTATTAATTCAAGAGAAGAAATTCATACAAGACTATACAATAAAATAGATGATTACACATTTGAGATACCCAAAAGCGGAAAGTTATATGCCCAAAAAAATCGCAATAAATACAACATACACCGAACTTTTCGACTCTCACTATTATGATTCTTCACCTAGTATTAAGGCCCTAATTGTTCAATTTGTAAAAATGCAGATCCCCTTATTTCTATTGTTCAAAATATCCAAGAAGCCTCAAAAAATGCTTTTCCTAAAAGTACACCTCATCTCTCTCCATTATTTTCTCTCACTCATTTTCCTTCTGCTTTTCCTTCTTCTATACAAATGGTCAGTTTTTTTCTTGTTCAGTCAAAACATTTCGAAATTTCATCCCATGGGAATCAAATGGCGTATTATCTGTCTTTTCCCCTCCTTCTTGCCATTTTCCCTCAATTTTTCTTCACACCAAAAGTTTCCTCTTCAAAAAAAGTATGGAAAAAGTTCTGCGAACTCTAAATTTGGCCAATTTTCGTGTTCATTTTTTAAATGTGAATGTGTATATGACAAGTCTGAAATTGACATTTTTAAAGCTAGCGAGCTCATATTTTTCATGAACCCAGAGAATCCAATACTATATAGAATATCTCATTTTTCATTCTTCTGCTCTACGATAATAATAAATCACAAACCTTTTTATTCTCGCGCATATCCTTATTTTTTCCCATTTTTCTATAAGAATTGGTCCTTACTAGTAAAACGTCATTCACTGAATAAATGTATTATGTGTGTGTGTGTAAATACTCGAATTTCTTCTCTTCTTCTTCGTAGTCGGTGAGAAAACCAAGATTCTCTTTTTTGTCTTCGATTCATGAATATTTTTGGTGGAGGTAGAAAATTCGGAAGTTCTTTTACTTAAAAGTTCAGGCGAATCTTTCGGCTGGTTTGAAATTTATTTCCCCTAGAACATTTTGTTCGAGAATTTCAAATGTTGGTCCCAGTAACCTTCATCGGTTTCAGGTTTTTGGTAGATGGATTTAATGAAATCAGGTTCCGAGTTTTTAAAGATAATAATTTTAAAATTAAAATTTGTAAGGAAGTAAAAATAGAGAAATCATTTCAAAACTAAATTGTAGTTTAGAACAACTAGGAAAAAAATGAATCCATGTTTTTTGTTTAATTTCTTATTATCGAAATGAGATTTTACATTTTTCTGAAATTCAGCGACGTTTTTCGGAAGTTCGCAAGTTCCGGCAAATCTTCCGGGTTGAACTTTTGCAATCAGTTGGTTTGCAAACTTTTTTGAAAGAGTTCAATTTATTTTGGAACCTTTTTCTAAAATTCTAAATTTTAACCGGAATTTATGTTTCAGAATTTTACAAGAAATTTTGGATGGTTTTCGAAAATTTGGAGGCTCATAGTTTCTTAGAACTTACAAAACGTTTTCAGAAGTCAAAAAATTGATTCATAGTCAAAGCTGAATTGTAGTTTTGGTTTGAGAAAAACTAGAGAGAATGTATTCTTTTTAGAAGCTTAAAAATTACCAAAAAAAAATTCTGTCCTTTTTTCCCAATAATAGTACATCTCCGTTTTCCTGCCAAAAGTCCAGCTCGTTAAAAAAACCAACATTTTCCTTTTCTTTTTTTGATTTGATAATTGTATTCCTTCTTTTTTCTTTTTCTCAATTTCTTCTCACATTTTAGTAGTCCTATTTTTCCTTATTTCATCCGAAAAAAATAGCAGGCGAAAAAAAATTCGTTTCCATGAAAACTCTATTTCGTCTAACTCCACTTGAGATTGAATAAAAAAAGAAGCTGAAGTTAGCGCGCTATACAAAATTTTTGCTCATTTTTGCTCATTTTTTCGTTTTTTCGAGAAAAGCTCGAATTTCGATACTTATTAAAATTTCATGAGGAGAAAAAACGGAATAATGTGTTTTTTGGAACGAGTCGCAAAAAAAAACGACGACCCATTTTTAATCCTTTTTTCTTTTCTCATAAATCATTTAACCACGCCTACGACACCTCTTCTTATTCTTTTTTATGGCTATTTTTGCACTTTTTCTCAATCTGATGTGAGTTAGCCTAACTCTAATATTCTAATATTTTTTGCAGAAAGAATACAAAATGGGTTTGGAAATGTTTCAAATGCATAATAAAATATTGACAAGTTTGGATGGGCGAATGAAAGAAACGAATCAGAGAATTTTGATTGGTTTAGGTGTTGCTTGTATTTATTTATTTATTGGTGCTATTGTTTTTGTGAGGTAATTTTTGGGGATTTTTCCATATTTGGAAAACTTATAAAGGAGTTTCAAGAAGTCGGTTAAAAATTTGGAATGTTCTGAAAATTTTACACCGACAGGATAATTTCTTTCAAATCTAGAATAAACTGATCTTTCGAATCTCCCGGAATACACTTCTTTTAAATCTCATTAAGACATCAATCAAAGTTTTTTATTCGAAAAAATCAGATTCAGTTTTTTTTTTCGCAAAACCCTTGCGAGTCCAGCTTACTAATCTAATTTTAAAATTTCAAAGTTCTGTAAATGTTTTCTGATCATTGAAACAACACAATTTTGTTTGGAGATTTTCGGCTAACAATAAAAAAGAAACAAATTCTGGTGATTTGTATTCTGAAATGCACTGATAAGCTTACACTTTATAGTTTCGATACTACAAAAAGGAGATTTGAAAATTTTTCGAAATTTGGCCTAACTTCGTTGTTCAGAAGAAACTATTTCAGAAAATCTGAAACTTTAAGAAATTCGAGAATTAAACATAAACATTCTCAAAATTTTTCAGATTAGAATATCCGTTGGAAAAAATCGAACGAGAAGCATATCTGGATTATCAGAATCAATGGCGACAACGACTTTTAGCATTAGAAATTGATGGTAAGTTTTTTTACTAGTATTCCATTGAAAATGCTCTAAATTTCGTTTTTTCTTACTAGTTTTTACTTATTTATAAATGTCTTGTTTTTTGCTCAATTCATTCAAAAAAATAGATAAGATAACAAAAAAGTATTTTGTGCATCATTTTTCGATGTGTTTGTGGTGGTCTTGTAATTCACAACAACATCGATTTTATCGTCTAAATCGAGCCATTTTCTTGGGCCTAATATTCATTGCTTTTTATCTTGTTGTTGGTGCAAGACTTATTCAGCTTCTTGAAATTTCGAATGATTTAAAAGCTCGTGATCGATTTCAAAAAGAATTGCGAAATTTTATGATTAGAAATAATGTGAATCGTGGGTGGAATTTCATTTTCCCCCCAAAACTTGTTAAATCATAAATCAAGTTTTTGCAGAATCTGAAATTGATAAATTATTTGTGAATATTCGAGATGCCGCATTAAATGGAATATGGATGGATCGAAATTTAACTAGCGATCCAAATTGGACATTTGGACAAGCCTTTTTCTTTGCTGGAACATTGATAAGTACTGTAGGATATGGAAGGGTCTCACCACGAACTGAACATGGAAAATTGTTTACCATTTTTTATTGTGTTATAGGTGAGTTGTTTTTAGAAAAAGATATGACCTCTTACTCAGAGATTCGCTGGCCAGCTCGCCACCAGGTGGGGAGGCTGGCTGACCTGGAAACCGCATGGAAACCATGTCGCCCGGTTTTTTTCACTGGCAAGGTGGCCAGGCTCTGGCTAGGTCACGGTCACATGGCTACCATGTGGTGGCCACTTCGCCGCGTCAAAATGAATTTTCATGAAAATGTCTGAAAAACTTGTGAATTGAGGCATTTTCGAAAAATTTGGCTCATTTTCTGTTTTTTCGCAGCACTTGAAACCTTAGGAAGTGAAAAAAACAGTAGAAAATGCAGTGTTTTGAGTACAAACCACTGTCTTGCCAGCTTTCCAGCATTTCAAACACACAGGCCACGTCGCCGGAAAACTCAAGGCGACCTGGCGGCCATGTGGTTTCCAGGTGGCCGCAGCGATCTGGTGGCGAGCTGGCCAGCAAATCTCTGAGTAATTGCAAGTTGAAAAAAAAGTGAATTTTGAAAAATTAGATTCCATACGGAATTCTGATTTTAAAAATTTATTGAACGATTTTTTTGCAGAGCAAAAATTCGAACACTAATAAATAACTTTTTTTGGAAGGTACAAAATTCCTAATCAACTTATTTCAAATTGCCAAGATATATTTCAAGCAACAATTTTCAATTTTCTAGGCATTCCCCTAACTTTGGCTCTTCTCTCGGCAATTGTCGCTCGAATGCGTGAACCATCTCACAAACTTCGTGGACTTCTCAATCAAAAATTCGGTCATCTTTTCACCAACAATCATATTCAATTTATTCACGTCGGTTGTGTTTTGGCAGCTCTTCTTGTTTTCGTTTTTGCAATTCCCGCTTGGATTTTCTCATCAATCGAAGACGATTGGACATATTTAGATGCATTTTATTATTGTTTTGTCTCGCTGACAACTATTGGTTTGGGTGATTTCGAACCAGGCGATAATCCGGATCAAAATTTCCGAGGATTGTATAAAATTATGGCCACAGGTTAGAGAATTGAGGACTGTTGAAGTTTGTTGAAAAAACTTCACAACCTCTTATAACTTATTCTAATTTTTAAAAAATGATTTCAGTATATTTGATGTGTGGACTTTGTTGTATGATGCTGTTCCTTGGAACATTATACGATATTCCACAATTCAATCTAACTTCATTCTTCGTAAAATCAGATGAAGAAATGAGAATAAACGAGGAAGATGGAGGAAAATATGGACAACTTGGAACTGAAACTGTAGTTGAAAATGGCTTTTATGGAAGCACTCATTAAATAAATTCTAATTTATTTTCCCAAAAATATTTTTATTTACGGTTTTTCTGTGATCTCAAAATAAAAAAAAATGAATAAAGCAATTATTTTTCACGTGACCTATATTTCATGACGTTGAATCATTTTTCAAATTTATCATTACTCAAAAAATGTGCGATTCATTCGGTGGTGGTCTCGGGAGATTCAGAGAATCTTCCCATGTCTCAAATTCAAATCTCTGTCGAGAATTGGTGGAAGTTGAAGGTGGAACCGATTGGAAAATCAGAAAACTTGAAGAAAAATACGAAGAGATATGTTGGAAATATCCGGGATCGTCAGTTATTGTCAATTATCATATGAATAGGCTTCAAAATCTAGAAGAACAAGAAAGTTTCGATGAGAATTTGAAGATTTTTTATGCAAAAGTATCACATTTTGTTTCCCCGGTGGAAATTTCGCTTCAGCCAAAATATTTGAGATCTGCAAGACAGGGAATTCATCGACAAATGAATGCGTTTTACAATTCCACGTGTCTCAAGTTTCAAAAAGATCAGATATTTCCAGGAGTGGCTTGTGCTGCAAAAGAAAGCGATGTTTGGTATCGAGCCAAGATTGTTCAAGTTTCCGGGGATAAACAGTTAGTTTGCTATATCAAAAACTAGCTTCAAATATTTTCTTTTAGCATTGTCGTTGAACTCGTCGACATCGGAATCCAACATCTAATTCCATCCTCTTCAATTCAACCACTACTTCGTCGATTCGGTCGAGCTCCACCACTTTCTTTAAAATGCCGTGTTGATGGAGTATCAATCAATGATCTCGAAACCAAAGATCTCATTGATTTCAAGAAAATCGTCGAAAATTGCAATGCACTTTTTCGCGTTGAATTGAAATCAACAATCGAACCATTTCTAATAGATCTTCTTCATCCAACAATTTCAAATCGAAATGTTTGTCAAAAATTTATGCCACCTCCGGAAGATTTGGGGAAAATCGAGAGATTGGATAGGAACTGGATACAACATTGTCGAAAAGTTTGTAACGAGGTTGATGATGATGAGGATGATATTTGGAATCATAATTGGGCTGGAGATAGAAATAATGAGAATGACGTGTGAGTTAAGGAAAGAGACCAGATTGTGAGAGAATCCAGTTTTTTTCAGTAAACAAGTCACATCAATTAAAATAATCCATCGACTTGCAAAATGTCAAAAAGCGCCTCGCTTCGACACCGATCAACTTCTCGTTGGTCACATTGAAAACTCACAAATTATTTATTTACACTACCCATGGCAATTAAAAACTCGCCATAAAATTGAAAACCACCTCAAGGATTCATGGGAAACTCTTCCAGTTCTTTCTCAAAATCTGGTTGAAGATCAAATTTATGCTGTCATTTTACATCAAGAAAAAACCAGAAAATATAGAAGAGCAATTTATATAAACCAAAAATCATTACTTTTATTAGACTATGGAATTTATATCGAAATGAATTGTGATAATATTCTGCTAGAAATTCGACTATTACCAGATGATCAATTATTCAAAGAACCACCAATGTTAACAATTATATCATTAGCTGGAGCAAATGTTTTGCAACCAGCACATCATTCAGAAACTCAAGTTTTGAGAAATATTATGAAAAATGATGATATTGTGTATTTTCAATGGGATGGAAAATCAAAAAATGTACATAAGTTTTCTTTTTTTATTAAAAAAAACACCCAATGATTTTCAGACTCCAATGCGTGGCTTTTTATACACCTCAGATCGTCAGAATATTTCTACAATTCTCTCGGAAACACTTCTCAAAAATCGACAAAATATTGGATGTCGTCAACTCGTCAAACAATATTTCAAAATACCTACAACTTACGGAAACTCCAATCACATTTACCGTAACTCCTGTCATCAGTCTTATTCTAAAGGCGCACTGTTAATTTTTCCTGATGAATAAATACATCTGTTGAACATATTGTGTTAACATATTAGATTTATTCGAAAATTTATATCATCGAAATCAGAATAGATTTGCCAAAATAAGGTGTCTTTTCCAATTTTACACCGGGTCATTTTTTGAGCAAAAAATTGAAATTTGTTTATCAGATTGATTATATATCTTGTAATTAACATAGTTTGAGTATAATTATCACTAAAAACTAGAGATTCTGTAAATTATTTCGAAAAATTGGGTGATGACCTCATCAGTGCAAGATTCAAATCGATTTGTATTTTACACCATTTGAGAAAAAAATGAAGTCACAAAAAATCACAAAACAAAAACAAACTTCAAAAAACGATAAAAAAAATAAAAATATCAAACATAATTTCGGCTTTATTGTTACTATCATCAAGCGACTTTTTGATGAAATAACTTTTTTTCAATCTTAAATCATTTTTTCACCAAGATACTTGTCCATATCCACAAAAAACCCAATATATCCCCCTTAAGGGGGTCTCTCTTGTCTCAAAGTTCTAACAACCAGAAAAAACACATGCCTAATTCATATTTCAAAAAAAGAAAAATAATATTTCTCCCAACCTCAAAGTTTTTAAAAGATTCTAAAACTTCTTTTCAAAAACATCCTCGATTCAAATGCAAATCAGTTTAAAAAATTTCGAACTCTACAGAACTTCCTCCGACTAAAACTTCACAACTCAATCGAGCCCAAAAAAAGAACTAACCTTTTAAATTTCGATCCTTCCTCGATCATCCTGTCGCTCAAAATTGATGAATTACTTAATGAATTCCAACCAAAATCATCTCGAATATTTCCATCCACGACTAATCTGAAAAATATTTTCAATTTAATGAAACTTTTGGTTTTTTTTTATTGATTCAAAATGTTATTTCAAAAAATAGGCGCCCATACAAGAGAGAAGAGACAAAAAGATAGTGAAATCGCGGGTGATCTACAGTGATTTAAAAACTTGCGGGACTAGGTTAGGATTTTTTTTTAATTTGACAAAAAAAATAATTTCGCGGTGTTTTAGTTGAAAAATAACAAATAATAGTGAGTTTACTTGAAGAAAGGTGTGAATATTGGAAAACTCTGAAGGTAATATACCTAAGATTGTATACAATTGTAGTGAGAGGATTATTTTTGGTTTCAGTTTTGGGATAAAATTTGAAATCTATATAATCTCTAGTTTTGTTTTATTTGAAATTTGTTTATCAAATTCATTATATATCTTGTAATTAACATTGTAAATTAACAAAAAATTGAAATTTTATAATTTTCTTTTTTAAAAAAAATGTTTTTCTATAAAAATTCAAAAATTGGGCATAGCTTCCGCATCTCCGCTGAAATTCCAATTTGGAACTGATAAAATCCAAGGTTTTCAAGATTTTCACAAAGAAAATCAAGAAAACTCTGAATTTTATTAGTTTCTAATTGGATATTTCAGAAGTTCTCTTTTATTGTTATATAAATACTTACCGTTTGCAATGCGTCGATTGTTTGATGGATTAAATTCGCACAATGGCAATCTGGAACAAAAAATTGAATTTTCTTTAAAAAAATAAGTTTTTAAATAAGAATTCAAAAATTGGGCATAGCTTCCGCATCTGTACCAATTTGTTCCAAGTTCCAATTTGAAACTGATAATTAGTATACAATTTTTTAAAATGCGCATGCAGAAACGCTTCGCGTTTTTTTTTCGCGCGCGAAAAAAAAGAAAAAAAGAAAAAAAAGTTTGTTTGGTACGGTACGATTCAAAGGAACATTGTAATTTGCAACTGCGTCTTGACACACAACACACAAAAAAATTAAAACCTGCCCGCGAATTTTTATTTTTCGACGCGCCAACCAAAAAATCGATTATTTATTTATTTCTTTTTTTGCATCGCTCAATATGGCAGTTGTTTGGCAAATCGACACCGGAGTTTGATGAAAAATGAGTTTTTTTTTGGGATTTAGCCCCCTTTTTCTTTCTAATTCCTCCAAAACAATCCCAAAAATCCATTTCGAGCAGTTCTAACAGTCTTTTGCTCGGAGTTAGTACAGCGCTCGATAAATTCCGAGCCCTCTAGTCATTGCCACTACCAGGAACCTCGGTAGGGTCACAGTTTTTTGCAAAATTGTAAACCGCGAAATATCGCCTGGATTTGATTGGAAAGCAGAGATGAGCAAGACCTGAGGTTTATATAGAACTGCTCTTTAGCCACCGATTTGGGCGGAATGGGAAAATGGGACATGGTTTTGAACTTTGCCGTGTGCGAAGGAATTTGATTGGGAACTGAGAATCTGGACTTTCGTCAATGCTTTTTCCAGAAAATTGCTCCTCAATCAATGAGCGCTCGAGCTCGCCGGAAAATATGCTCGGTTGAAACCCAAAAGTTGGCCTTGTTGATTGCGTGTCGTCGAAGCTCATCAAATCCTCATCAGCTGGAATTTGTTAATCAGCTTCGAAGATGATCGATATGTTGAGAAGCAGTTGAAGGAGAGGAGTCTGGTGCATTTGTTCTCCAAGCACAAAGAATTGAAGAATTGCATTCGTGCCATATGTATGGATGATGAAGAAGAATCGAAAAAAATCAATTTTGCCAACAATATGGACTTTTTCCGCTTTGGGATTATATATGCGTAATTGGGAAGAAAGATGTTATGAAAATTCGCAAGCTGTTAAAAATGTCGAGTTTTTGATCTTTTGAAGTTCAAAACTCCTTGACTTGGCTTCAAAATTTGGAAAAAGTCAAATTATTATTGAAGCCCGTCCTTGAATGTTTGATGATTTTCACAAGTTCAATTCCTGAATTCCAACATGAAAACGCATGATGATTTGTGTAAATATTACTTCAGCCTTCTCTCGATGATTTGCCATACAACTAGATGAATGGATTAGTATAACTCATAGATTATTTATGTGTGATTGTTTACAAGTCTCTGGCATTTTGGTTTATCACAGGTTTATTTAGAATTAAAGTGAGTTTTTAACGAAAATGTTTGATTTTCTAGTAAAGTTAGCATATCCGCTTTGATTTTCTTCATGAAAATCTTGGAAGTTCTGAATTTTATCAATTTGGAACATTTCTTCATATCAAAATACTTACAATTAGAAACGTTCCAAGACTTCAAATTGAAGTTAGCCTAACCTCCCTTATATTTCAATGAATCAATATTTTCCAGAAATCCGAAGGAATTCAAAGTTATCCAGAATCGTTGACACTGCGGAAATAGAGGAAAACGACGAATCGATAATTATATGAGATTTTGGAAAGGATTGCTGGAAGAAAAGGATTCCAATCGCATTATTTTGTTGTTTGACTTGAATCGGCTTGGTTTGGCTCATCAATGGAATATTTTGGATCGTTTCAAAAGAGGCTGAATATGGCTGGGAACAAGCAAAAGATTCAAATTGTTCTCACAATCGAAACTACTTAAAAAATAACACAATTATTGAAACAAAAAAGAAGAACCACAAGAAGGAATTGATTTTGATGCAATCTTCTAACAACTTCAGCTTTGGAGAATTGCCAGATCGTCAGAAGTTGGCCCAATTTTTACTATTTGTATCAATGGCTGCAAATTTGGAATGAGCTCGGGCAGAAAACGGCGAGGTCGCTACCAATCGGGGCGGAGTCGCTACACGTTTCGGGCGACTGGCCCGAGGCTCTTTGGGCAAGCTTGGGGCGACTCGCCCGAGCGTCAAGCAACTTGCCCCGTTCTCGCCCCGATCCACTCTCTCGGAGGGTGTCCAGAAGCATTTTTCAAAAACTGTGGCTATGGAGCAAAAGTAGATCTACTTGTAGTTCTATTACCCTACATTTATATGGACCATTTAATAAATGAATCACTGTGAAATCCCGGAAAAAAAGCATAAAAACCATGATTTAAAAAATGGGCAAAAATTGTAGCGAGTTGCCCGGCACTCGCCACTTTTGAGGCGCGTTTGGGGCAACTCGCTACAAAACGAGTCTCGAAAATTGTGTAGCGAGTCGCCCCGAGCTATGCCGTTTTTTGGCCGAGAGAAGCCGCAAAAATTATTCAAAATGGAAATATAACACAATGGAGCTGAAAATATTGTCTGAAAAGGAATTGTTGAATAGGACAATCGAAGTTTTGGCTCGGAAAAATCGATGAAAAATCAATAGTCAGGTTGGAGAGAAGAATTTTAGACAATGTTGGTGGTGAGTGAAAAAAATGTATTGTATTTCTCAAGTTTCACCAATAAAAGGTGAAAATTATGAAAAATCGTGAATTTTATCAGTTTCATGCTTACCTTAAGTAATTCATTAGAATCCGCTCTACTATATTTGAATTGATAACTTGCTTACAGTGTATTGCATAAAGTACTGCTGTTCTAATAGATATTTGATGGTCATCGAAATAGTTTGATTTATTCGCTAATTTCTTGCCTAACAGAATATGAAAAATGAGTAGAAATTCCGATTTCGAAACAGGACACGTATCAAAACTAGGTCACTTTCTCATTACCACATTTTGCCAGCCTAGTTTGAAACGAGAAAAAATTAAATACAGTACGCATAATCACGTCACCTTTGTTTCTCTTAAACTGCTGTAAAAAGATGCCATAAAAATATTTCTGAAATTTTCGCGTTCTTCATCCTAGGGTTCTCATATGATTTTGCGTGAGAATTCAATTATATTACTTTATTTAAAAATGGTCAAAATTATCAATAATAATCATCCTGTGCTGCACTCACTTCCTCATTCCATTTTGCCAAATTTCTTCGTTTCACCAAATGTTTCGCCACAGATCCATAAACATTATGTCGATCATAAACAGCATTTTCCGTTTTATCCATCAAAAATCGAATTCTTCCCAGTTTGTCTTGTTCATAAGTCGATGTTGGAGATGCAACTGTTTCTTTAGATGTGGGTTCCGAACTTCGAGATCTCTGTTTTCCATCTTCATTATTTCCATGCGAAATACATCGTTGAAGTGCTCTTTCGCTATGATTGATAACATTCTGAAGAGTATGATAAATGATTGCATCTTCGTTGAAATATTCATCATCCATTTGTTTCATATCATCAGCCTCTCGAGTATTATCCAAAGATAATCTGAAATTATTATATTTTTCAAAAATATAAAAATGTCACTTACTTGAGTGCAGGTGGATGTATCAATGTCAATGTCCCTTCAAGATATCTAACAACATGATCAGCTGTTAATCTTCCTTCAACTTCAACTCCATCTTTTTCAGCTTCTTCTTGATCAAACATAACTTCAGTCCAAAATGGATTTCCATTTTTATCAAACAAATTCCCATTATTCTCATTGTTATTTGGTAAAGATTTTTTGATATTTGGTGCATTCAACTTGAGAGTTTTTCTTGTTCTTGCACATGTTCTTTCCTCTTCTGATCTCATAAAAACCTTCAATTTATCTGGTAAATAATCTCTTGTTGGATCTCTTGCTCTCGGTTTTTCTTTTGATTTTTTCGCTTCTTTTGTGGCACTAACTAATTGAAAAAACTGTTTGAGATCTTTTACTTCTACCTTTTTCGAATCTTTCTTTCGACCACTTTTCTTCCGATCTTCTACAGTTGTATCACCAGTAGTGTTATCTTTCTGGAAGTTGACTGCATTTTTATAGGATGCTCTAGATAGGCACTGATGTATGTTCTTTCCAAACAAATTATTCACTCACCGGTTCAGCAGACAAAGTTTTCGAATTCGCTTGTTTCTTTTTGGGCAATTTCGATTCTTTTGTATTTGAATTTTTCGCCACAACAGGATTCCGATTATTTTGTTTTTGTTGACTTTTTAATTTCCTAATTGACTTCGATTTTCTCATTTGCCATGATTTCGACACATCACTCAATGATTCTTTGTCTCTTTCCATTCTTTTTGGTTTCATAATAGCTTTAAATGGATTCGTTACCGCTTTTTTCATTTTATATTATTATTTTTCTGAATACTGTTTACAGCGCAATACAAACTAAAAAATGATCTATTTTTTCTGTCTTTTATTATTGAGTGAGTTGAATGTCACGTGAAAATTCATTTCCAACATTTTAAATTTTTTGAATTAAAAACTTTCAGACGATTCACATGTTTCTCGCGACAAATGATATATTTATGATGTTTCCGAGATTGTTCAAAATGATCAATCAAAAACTCATCAGTTATATTTTTCGAGATCTATAAAAAATAATTGTTTGCAGTTTTCAGCATTTCGATAATTTCTTACATTCACATCAAAAACACAAACATTTCCAACATCTAATAATTTCATAACATTTTCAAAGTCGATTTTTGAATTTTCTACAATTATTTCATCGACAATCTCATTTTTCCAAGTATCAAAAAACTGCTTCGAACTCAAAGTTTTAAATTCTTCAGAGTCAATATTTTGAGTTATAAACCATTGATTTTCCAAAAATAAATCTGCTGTCAAACTTGGATAATCAAATGATTTTCGATATAAATAATTATTCAAATATTTATGACAATTTGCTTGTTTCGGATATACACAATAAACATTTTCAAAATTCGATAAAAACTTGAGAAATAGTATTAAAAATAATGCAACCAGGGAAAATATAAAAATCAATATTCGAATAACTTTCATATTTTCGAAAAATGCTTGATGAATAAGATTTCATATAAAAGATTTCGATTGAGATAATTATTTACACAGATTGTATTTTCGTCAGCGCGGTCAGTGGGAGTAAAATCGAATTCAAAAGATATTGTTGACCTACCAGAAAAAATATTGAAAAAGTTTGAGGCATAGAAATCTGGGGTTCTAAAAGTTTTTAAAAATTGTTTTTTGTCTGTTGTGTATCAACAAACACATTTAAGTGATATTTAATTTTGAAAAAAAAACGTGACCTTTGAAATTTCACTAGGGGCCTTTCAAAAAACGCTTCATTTTTTAGGATTTAAAAATAAGTAAATAGTAAGTTGAAATTGTTTCATTCCTGACTCCTCTGATTGTGAAATAAATATTGTTTTAGAGTTAGGTTCGAAAATAATCGAAAAAAATAAATGATGACAGATTCAAAAGAGAATGATAAGCAAAAGAAAACATCAAACAGAGATGATGTTGTCAAAATCCAAGTGCAAGAATTCGGCTCGAAATATAGCGGAGGAAGTGCTGATCAAGACAAAGATAAGGATAAAGATCACAATCGTGATCGCGACATTGTTGTTGCCGCTGATTCAGATGATACACATTCATCACAGACACATTCGTCACAGATTCATTCAACACTTACACTTACACCATCAGTAAATGGACCATCTGTTGGTAATCGAACTGGTTCTTTAATTATTGGAGCAGCCAATCCAATTCCACTTTCTTTTATGGGACAAGTTTCATCCGATGAACCATTCGATGAAGATGAATATATTCGAAAAACACTTCGACATTTTCCATGGTATTGGGGTTTGGTTTTGAGCGCCACTGTTAACAGTGTTTTGAAGGTTGGTAAACGCGATTTTCGCAAAAATAAAAAATATATTTTTATAAGAAAAAATTTCGTTTTTCCAGTACCATCGCGCATTTGTTGTTCGTCGCTCATTTGATACATCAAATAACAAAGTATTCCTTCTAACATACCGCCAAAAAGAAACGATTTATCACCGTGAAATAATTCGAAAATCGTCTGGCTGGACATCTCCTCAATTATTTGCTACAAATGATAAACTACCAACTTCAAATGTTGCTCCAACTCCAACAATATTTCCACACATTCATCTTTTAATCGATGCCTGGTCACTCAAATTTCCAAATGGAATTGTACCTATTTCTCGACCAACTTCAACTATATTCCATGATGATTTAAAAATGACAAAAGTATTAGGAAAAGGTGCATTTGGGGATGTTCGGCAAGCAAAATTGACAATGTCAAATGGAGATGTGAAAGAATGTGCTGTTAAAACAATAAGAGGTGATGCAACACGTGCACAATTAGATGAATTCTATCAAGAAGTTCGAATTATGGCATTATTTGATAATCCATATGTTATTAAATATTTTGGAACTGCTTGTTTATTGACACCGGTTATGGTTGCAATGGAATTATTAACTGGTGGAAGTATGTGGAGTTTATTGAGGTGAGATTTAGAATTGAAGAGAATTTTGAAAAAATTCGGGTTCCGGAAGTGTTTCGTGATCTTTTTTGGTTCTAAGGAAAACATGAATTATACATTTTGTTTTTTTTTTGAAAGCTAAAATATTTCTGAACAAAATTCAAGTTCGATCCACAAGTACTGTAACCACAAGTACTGTAACTACAGTTCATTTTTCCAGAAATGATTCAAGTTTGTCACATCAAAAACTTTGTGAAATGTCGGCGGATATTGCACGAGGAATGAAACACTTGGCACAATGTCAAATAATTCATCGTGATTTGGCAGCTCGAAATTGTTTGTTAACCGGTGATCACCGTGTAAAAATATCCGATTTTGGTCTATCACTTCAAGCAACTCAAGTCATTGTCAAACAACTCAAACATGCTCCAATTAGATGGTTCAGCCCAGAAACTCTTGCCAAAGGAATTTTCAACGAAAAAACTGATGTTTGGAGTTATGGAGTTGTTATTTGGGAGATATTTTCGAGATGTGCACATTCGCCATTACATCCAAAAACAATGAAAGAAGCGGCTGTTATTATCAAAGAAGTTGAGAATCCTCATAAATTACCTGAAGAAAATAGTATGAATGCAACTATTGCAATGTGTTGTAAAAAGAATCCAGCAGATCGACCAACTTTCGAAAATCTCGTTGTTTTTTGGGACGGATTTTTTGCGCTTGGTAATAAAAATGCGGATGAAAATAAGAAGAAAGTTGTGGTGAAGAAAAAAGCGACACTTCGAAATAAAAAACCTGGAGAACTTTCTTTGGTTTTGCCACCTGGAGATTTATCGCTTTGCGAGAAAGAAGACTGAAAATGAAAAAACGAAGAAAACGAAAAGTGGACGAAGGAAAATTGGAGGATTACCATCTCGACTTTAACTCGATAAAAATTTGTTTTATTTTTTTGATAACATTTTCATAGCAGGGCAGTTTCAGAAAAAAATGAAGATGAGATAAAGAAAAAGAGAATTTTCATTTGTTTGGAAGCTTATTCTATTTAGTAAGAAGCATCAATGAGAGTGAGTTGAATTACTGTAGACATTTTTGGAGTTTTGAACATTTCGATGATTTATTTCATCTATTTTCTCAGGAAAAAATTCCAGGAATAGTATTATTTTTATTTTCATGATTTCCAAAAATCTTTAGTTACCAGCTGAAAATTTGCATCTGCTTGAAATTTTCAGCTGCTCATATTGTTGGTTCATTTTCCCATTCATTTTCGATTCTCGTTGCATTGCAGAAACCAAATAAAAAATTTGTAAGTAATAATAAGGGAAATGATGAGAAAGACTAGAGAATTAGTTTTTTGCGCTTGTGAGACTAATAAAAATAAACAAAAATTCTGAGAATTTCGAAATTCTTTGAAACTTTGTTAGATGAAAATGTTGCGTTTCTTCAAATATCAGAAACCAAACATTTTAGAAATTTAGAAAAGTGTCGGATTTCAGGAATTGGTTCTATTTCAACGAAACACAACTGTGATGTTATTTAGTTGCAAGTTCGCCTGATTTTGACAGATTTCAAAAATAGTTTGCAAAATAAATTCTTGTAAAACAGGTGAACTCAAGTTCAAAGTCTCATGGAATATAAGTAGATCTAAAATCAAATGAGAAAATGTAGCAAGAAATTTAAAAATATTTGAAATTGAGAACATCGAAATGCCAATTGAAAAAATCACGTTTTCCGGATGCGGAAAGATTATTTGAGAATAGAAAATTTGAAATTTCTACGTCATAGGTCACATTTGTTTTTAGGGAAATTATGGGTGGCTTTTTAAGACTGTCATAATGGATTTTGAAACCGAGTTTTATTGCGGGTTTAATCGAGCCACTTTAGAGCTTTTTTTAAATATGGGAAGAGATAGAAGAATCAGAATATTCTCAAACAAGGAAAAAATATCACAATAGGAAAAAGCTTCTGTGCGAACACCGCGACGCGAAAATTCACACAATTACATACAGTAGTAATTCTTTCTCGAAAAACTGTTAAAGTTATTGGATCCCAGTTTTTCCTCAAAATTCACTATCTAAATTTCTAATCTGCAGAGAAAAATAACTACAGTACAACCCTTCCCCCACCCGCTCAATAAACCAAAACAAAAAATAAATAACAAATTTATTTTATCATTTTCATTTTCTCTGATTTCTCTGATCTCTATCCATTTTTGTATTAACCAAAAAGGATATTTTTGAATTGTCCATTCGAGTTTCTTTCCTTCAAACTGCGAATCTTATCATCAATCGATCTTTTGTAGGAAAGGAATCGTTGTTCGACTGGATCCGCTTGTTGATATTGGAATGAGGAACCATCCAAATCACCTTCCCAGTTCTGAAAATATTTATAATCAGTATGAACTTTTTCTCTGAAAGTATAAAGCGTGGGAATAGTTAAACAATTATCTGAAGCTTGAAACTATTATTATCCACGTCATCAGAATAAAAAAGAAAACTAGTAATTTTTGGTGCCAAACTACTAATTAGGAAGTAACATGAGAAAAATGTTAAATTATTCAATAGATCAAAAACCGGGGAAAATTCAAATTAAAATTAATTGGATGTTTTCTATTTTATTTGGTTTGAAAGCGGAATTTTCTTGTTTTGGGATCTTTGATAAAAATAAATACCTGTGAGAAGACGAAACAGCATTGGGCCAAAACAATCAAGAGAGCCAATAAATAACTGTTGAAGTTCATTTTTGTCTGATAATGATAATAATAGGATTTGGAAAGAGAAGAGGGAAGGGCAAGGAAAGCCGAATAGAAGAATAAAATTTATACTTGCTCTCGAAGCTTATACAACGACTACTTGGCCACGCCCACTATCCCGCCCCTTTTATTATTATCGCTCACAAATATGCATATATCTTCTAGTTTTTTGTTGAAAGAGAAAAAACATCGAGTTTCAGTAAATCAAATTTATGATAATAGTAACAGTAATAACGACAACAACAAAGATAAAAATCAACAATAGTGATGAGATTACACTGTGAAGGTATACACGAGCCGGCAGGATTATTCGTCTTGCTTGCTCTTCTTCTTTTTCTTGGGTTTCGGAGTTTCCTCGTCGACTTCCATGGATTCGTTGGTTGTGGAGAGAATTGACTCTTCAGCGAGACGTTTGGCTTTCTTGGCGGCCTTCTTTTTCTTCTTGAGAACCTATAAAAAATATTGTTCACTTTTATAATACGCATAAAATAATCTTATTCTGATGAAGTTTGATTTTGCGACATTTACAGAAAGTTCTAGGAATCCATAAACGACCTTACTAATCTCTTTCTAATTTTACTAATCCAGGGGTGGGGATGTATGATTATTTTTGATTTCGGAAAAAAAATGACATGGGGTTATTGGAAGTGGAATTCCACTTATTAGAATTTTTCACCTGCTTCCAGCATGTTTTTTATCCCATCATTCTTAGATTTTACGGAATACAGCTGACTTTCAAAACACAACTTATAAACTCACCTTCTCTTTAACTTCAACTGCTGCTTCCTCGGCCTCTTTCATAACCTCGATGTTTTTCTTTGGAATAGTTCCACTGGTGAAGTATTCCAAACGATCTTCAACTTGTTTCTTGAGGAACTCTCCATAGGTTGCAACTGGAACTTCGGAGAAGCAATCAACACGAGCAGCGATTGAGCACTTGTTAGCCAAGTATCTCGAAACACGACCCTTGTTCTTTTGACCAGCTTTTCCGATGAAGCTTGAGTGGAAGAGAAGTCCGTACTTTGGAGTGTTGGCTGAAAATTGTTATCATTTCAGATGAATTTGAAAGCTGTGTACAACAAAACAAAATTTTTAATCCTCAATGATGTATGGTTTCGCATGCAAGCTAAACGGCCGAAATATAGGAAACATCCACCCGCATTAAATACATGCCTTCTCCTCTATGAAATTTGAAACGTCATAAGACTTTCTTACTATTCTCACGAAGTACAAATAAATTACTCACATCTTGTTTTCAAAGCTCTGAACAACGCTTTTTCAGCTCCGAGAATTTGAACAGTTGAGGCTGGATATTTGGCGAGATTGGTCAATGATCCAGCATGTGAAATCAAACGAGCACCAACCTGCAAAAAACAATGTTTCTAAAACTGATTTCATTTTATTTGCAGAACTCACCTGTTCTCCAATCAAAGCACTCAAAGATGGAGCACAATGATCCATTCTGTCTTTGATATACTCGTGGAGTTGTTGACGGTACTCCATAAGAGAAGCAACGCGAGCAGCAAATCTCTTGATGTTCTCCAAGTCCAAATCAGAAATGTCCATCCCCATTGAAGTTCTGGCGGCTTCGATGATTTGAGCAGTCTTCTCGGTGTCACCGTCAACAATTTCTGTAAATGAAGATTTAATTGTGGGAATAACTATGACCGAAAACATCAAAACATTCACGGTGTCTGGCAGTCGCTATAATTTTCCTCGCATCTTACTAGTTCACCAACATTAGTTGGAGCCCCGGCTTATGAGCGAGGATGAGAATTTCCGAAAAATAGTTTACTTACCGAGAATTTCGTTTTCCAAATTCTCATTCTCGGCCATCTTGTTTCTATCAAGAATCGCAACAGCAAGTCTTGCGTATTTGTATTGGTCTGGTGCAAGTTTGAAGAGCTCTGGGTAATGGTAAGAGTACCATTCGCGGATTCTCATTCCAAACAAGTTGATGTCTTTGTCGAGTTGATCGAGCAATGCAATAGATTGGATAACCATGTTATCGACACGATGAACATCGAATTTAACCTTAAAGAAATGGTTATTCTCATAATAAGGTGCGATGGTTTACGTACCTTACTACGAGAATAACTGTGACCGAGCGAAAGTTGCGCTTTCGACAAGGAGTGATGTGGAAGATTTTTTGCCAAACGTTCGAAATGAACACGTGTACCGCGAAGAATCTAAACTCAATTATGGCATTCTCGTCATCGGTAATGATCAAAAGCAATCAGTGTGATTGCAATTGATCATATGATTACCTCGGTAATAACGCCTCCGAAGACGAGCTTCAGATCTGGGAAAGCTTCAGTAAGCGAACCCGCAAGTTTCGAGTCATTGATTCCAAGCACAACGTGCTTCTTCTTTTTTGGCAAACCTTTTTCAAGAAACTTAACGAGATCAGGATGAGCAAGACCTAAAAACTAACATTCCACATCACACCCCTAATTTAAGTCACGTTATACCTTCAGAGATCGAGTTACAGTTTTCCAAAGCAGCTTCGGTGTTCTTGAATGGATCGAATTGAGCCAACTCGATGATTTGTGAGAACTTGTAACTATCAGCGAGTGAAGCATCAACCTGAAAAGCCAATTTTTTGAAGAGTAATATGGGAACCACTATGACCGAAAACATCAAAATATTCACGGTGTCTGGTGTTCTCTTTGCTCTTCCTCACGTTTTACTAGGTTACTTACAACATAAGTTAGTGCCCCGGCTTATAAGTGAGGATATTAAGATTAGAAATGAAAAAATGAAACAAACCTCTTGTGCAATAAGACCAGAATCTTCAAACTCTTTTACTTTCATCAAAGCATATCCAGCGGCATGCTCATAGAGCACGAAATGCGGAACCTCCGACATGCCTTATTGGTGAAATTCCTGAAATTCAGCGAAGTTGCACCAACAAACGCCAAAAAGAAAAAATAGGCCCACACAACAAAAAACATCCTACTGTAACACAAACAACTCTTCGCTGCGAGACACAAAAGAGAAAATAAGTGCGCCTTTAGCTGTGTACTTCTCCCGGACAACTGTTTTGCAAAAATTTTTGCGAAAAAAAAATCTTCGACTGAAGATAAAAAGAAATTGTTCATTACAAAATTCTAAACAAAAAACACAACAAAGAAAATATAAATAATTAAATACAACGATGATAATTATTGTTTCTCGAATTTCTTATTGATAAAAGCCGCCATTGGATCAGCGGAATGAACATTTGTCAATTTATAGGCTTCTAATTCTTTTTCAGTCGGCGCTTTATTGTTATAATCTGTGTTGTACTTACGACCTCTATCGCCCTGAAAAGTTTTAATTTAATCTCTGATGAAGTTTTCATTAAATCCTTACTTCTTTAACCGCTTTAATTCCATCAAGTCTGGCCTTTTTAGCCTTTTGAACTTCTTTTTCCAAATCGTCTTCACTTTCTGACCCACTTTCGCTGTCTGATTCTTTCTCTTCCTCTGAATCTCTATGCTTTCTCTTTCTTTTTCCCAACTTCTTCTTTTTTCGATCTCTCTTTTCTTTTCGTTTCTCTCGTCGTCTCTGCTCTCTTTCACGTCTCTCTTTTTCTCTTTCATCTTCCGAAGAATCATCCGACGATTCAGAAGATGAAGAAGAAGAACTAGATGATGACGACGATTCGCCCTCTTTTTCCTCCTCCTCCGCCTTCATTTCTTCTTTTTCTGAAAAATAAAAAATTGAAAAAAAAAACAATTTTTTTCGGAAACGAAGGATGGGGATTAAAATTATACTATTCTCGTAAAAAATTCTCATTTTCTACGAAAATATTATTTTGGCTATCAAACAAAAAAAAGAGGACTAGTACAAGTACATCGGAAATTGTTTTTCTTATTATTCTTACCCTTTTCATTTTGAGCCTCCACATTTTTCACGACAGCATTATCTTTTTTGACAAAAATCTCCTCCTTGGCCGTATTTTTTCCGTGCGCCGAACCAATTTCCGCTTTTATTCCATCTTCGCCAGTACAATAGCTATTTTTGACAAATTGATGACAACATTTATATCCCCATTGTCCGTCGCGCCAAAAACTACCGTATACCGACGTGTGATTTTGTGGATAATCGTCTTCTTTGAATCGACTGCTGACTGCCGCCTTCTCTTTTCCTTTGATGATTTTACCTTTTCGATTATATTCAACATAACTTTCAGTTTGTGCAAGAAGCAATTCTTCAGGCGGTCTTTCCAAATGTTCACCTCCTCCATATTTATCCAATAATTCCTTCTTCGTTTCATCTTTGATTTGTGTTTTCTCATTTTCATACTCTTTTTTAAGAGCTTCTAATTTTGTTGGTTCTGCAATCGAATGTGCATAAACTCCTTTTCTCGATGCTTGCCAAGCAAATAATTGTGCCTCATTTGCAGCAGTCACTTCACCCGAATATCTGCAAAATTTTATTTTAAACGTGAACTAAAAACAAATTAAATTAAAAAAATGAATTATCAAACATTCCATTTTTAATTTCAAAAATGATGCTAAAAATAATATACATCTTACTATTGATCAAATATTGTTCAAGTGCTGTTGTGGATTTTCATAGACAACTTCCAGATGGAAGATATTTGAAAGATTTAGGCGAAGTGGCCAAAATTTATGTAGGTAACAAATTGAAATATTTGAAAAATAATTATTTTCTAGGATAACGACGGAAAAGAACACTCAAAAATTGTGGCAAATAAAAATAAAGTTAAAGTTCTGAATGTGGCTCAACAGAAAGGAGATGGATATGGTACAAACCCTTACAAAGTTAACGACTTTCTATCATATATTCTAGAATTGTATGAATATGGTCCAAAAGGTCCACATGGAAAATTTTCGATACTTGGATTAGGCGGACAAATTCCACCATTATGGACAAGAAGAAAACGTTCAAATGTGTCCAAAATTTAACAAGAAATAAATAAATATTTGACTTACCTCACAAAATTATCACCCGAAAATCGTGCAGCTTCTAATTCTTTTCCAGCAACTCCAGCAAATGGATTTTCTCTCATCGATCGAGATTTTGGATCATAATATGGTGAATTTTCAGCAAGATTATATAGATATTTAGCAGTGTCTTCACGAATTCTCAAATTTCTAACAGTAATTCGAGTTCTTGAATCCATATCAACAGATACTCCAGCCATATCAGCATCTTCAGCATATTTATCTTCATCTTCTTCTGGTCCAACTTGTTCAACAGTTTCTTCTTCTTCTTCTTCAACTTCTCCTTCTTTCAATTTTTGTTCTTTCACAATTTTTCTGGCTTCTTCTAATCTTTCATAATCTTCAATAACTTCTTTGTGTGTTGATGGATCATAACCATTCCATCGATCACGTTTTGCATCGAAACCCATTTTTAATTTTGGTTGCACAAAATCATCTTCAGCGATGTCTTCTCCAGTTTCTCTGAAAAATTATAGATGAATGTTTTGTTTTTGTTTTTGATTAAAAAAAACTTACTTTGCTCCAAGTTTTCTTGGTCTATCAAAACAATCTCTCTTTTTATGTCCCATTGCTCCACAATTCTCACATGCTCCTTTTCTAAATTTCGTTGCTTTTTTACCAGTTGTTCCCTTTTGATACCAATCACTGATTTTTGAATATTCTTTCTGCCTTTCTTCATGTGGTCGTTGATGTTTCAAAGTTGGACCATCTGATGGAACATACCACGGATTTTGAGAAATGAACATCGGAATATGTGGATTAATATCTCGACCAGTTTCAACATCAACCATTGCAGGAGCTGTTCCAGCTTTTCGATCTTCTTCAAGTTGTCGATCTCTTCTTGCTTCATGTTTTGATCGTTTATCTCCATCAAGTGCAACTTGTTGTTTCAGCAATGCCGATGGCGGCAGATTCTGTTTGTAGGACGCCATTCGAGGTCCTGAAATTATTTGTATTATTTTCAACTTGATTTCTAATAATTATAATTGAAATGCAATAAATTTAAGATTGTGACATCATCATCTTCGCCTAAGACAGAAAAAAAAACCACAAATTACTTGATTGATAACAATCACAATTTGTCTTTCTCTTTTCATCTTTTCTGTCTTTCAATTCAATTACTTAGCTGAAGTCGACCTCAATAATATTTTGTTGTTATTTTCTCGCGCGGTTGCGATGCAAGAATATCTTTATGTGCTATTAATTAGTATTTTATTATACATTATTTTCTCTAATGATAGTTTAGATTTCCGGTTTAACGGGAAAAATTGGAAACTTTGAAGTGAAATATGAACCGGAAATAACTGCACTGAATCAACAAAGTTTGGAGTTAGAACAAGTTCAAAGAATAGCAATAGTTGATGGTCAAAGTAAAAATGCATTATCAAATCATCTTCGACATATTGGAGAAATGTTTGAATATATGGGATATAAAGTATTGAGTGGTAACAAAGTTCGAAGTAATTCAAGTTGGGATGTTATGTGGTATCATGAGTACAGTTATAGTTATGAACCATTTGCAAGTTTGATAAAGGAAAGTAATACAAATCAAATAATCAATCATATACCTGGATCAGGTTATTACACTAGTAAGGTAATCATTCTTATTTCAAACCAAATACCCATTTTAAAAAACCTAGGTAGCTCTAGCAACTTGCGGATTGAATATTGGTGTTCCACAAGCATTCCAACTTCCACAACAAAAAGATGAATTTCTTAAATATTCTGAAGAGAATCCAGATTTTCTATGGGTTCAAAAAGACAATACTCACAGAAATATTCGAATTAGAAAGATTGAAGATATGGAACTAGATCGAAACAACTCTTTCATTCAAAAATTTGTCGAGAAACCACTTCTTATTGATAATCGAAAATTTGATATTGGAATTTATACAGTTGTTACGTCTCTTTTGCCATTGAGAGTTTATATTTATGATGGAGATGTTCTTATAAGGTAAAAAATACTAGAAATGATCAAAATAATAGAAATGATTTACGTTAATTTTTAAAATTAAAATAATTATTTTTAGATTAAGAAATGTTTAGTAACACCGTTTTACCCTACAGCTATGTATTTAGTCCTATTTAATAATAAAATAAACATTATAGATTTTGCCCGGAAGATTATTATCCGATGGATGTTGAAAATGTTGATAAATATGTTGTTGGTGATGATTATACACCAATTTGGGAAATTGAATCGCTTTCCAAATATTTCAATAATCAAAAAATGAGTTTTAAACATACGATTGATTCGTATTTGGGAACTAAAGGAATCGATTCGACAAAAATTTGGAATAAAATCGCTGAAATAATCGCCGAAGTTTTTCGACTCCAACAAAGCAAAATGTTGATTGCACTTCAATCAATGAAAGCAAATGCAAAGACTTTCGAATTGAGTCGATTTGATTTTGTCGTTGATGAAGATTTGAATGTTTTCTTAATGGAAGCTAACATGTCACCAAATTTATCATCAGGACATTTTAAGCAAAATCAAATTATGTATGAAAAAGTGCTTATGAGTATTTTCTCAATGATTGGAATTGGAAAACAACTTACTCCTGAAGCCGAAAAAATGTTCAGATCTCAAAGAAGCAGCGATCAAAATCCAGTTGCTAGTGATAGAGATATCAACTTGCCACTGAAATTCTGTGTAGAAGATAAATGTAAAAACTGCGATGAAGCTATGGTAAGCTAACTTTTCTCTTCAAAACGAATAAATAATGCTATTAAATTTCAGGAATGCCAATTATGTGGACATTGTATGACATCAACTACAAGGAAAATATTAGAAGAAACTTATTTGGAACATTTGAATAGACGTCATATGCGAAGGTTGAGTTTCAACTATAATCAAGAAAGACAGGTGATTGTTAAATATATAAAAATGAGAAAATAGTTTGTTATTTCTATTTTCAGCCTCTAACAAGGGAAGATCATTTACAATCACTTTGGCTTCATACTAAATGTGAATTGGACTATTCGTGGTGCTAATTTATTAATGAGTATTATTGTTCTAGGCCCTTAGAAACAGCAAGAAAAAATAATAAACATTTTTCGAAATAAAAAAAAAACAAAAATGGAAGCTCGCTCTAATGCACACACGCAACGCGATTAATTTAGTCGACCGCAACGCACAAAAAATAATTTCTTTTTATTTTTTCGTTGTGTTTTCCTCGACGATTTTATCAGTGTTTTTGAAATTTTAATCGATCCAAACGTGTCACATTTTACAGATCAGAGTGCAGAGTGCGTTTTCATCATTCAGTCGCTTCCGCGAACGCAACATGGAAGACGTCGGACAGCAGCAAAATTCACAAAATGACAAAACAGATGAGGAAACGGTAAGTTCTTTTTCCTAATCATTCTGTATCAAACAAATATGTTATAGTCTCGACCACAGTATTCAATGTCTGGTGTTTTACATTATATACAACACGAATGGACGAGATACGAATTAGAACGATCACGATGGGAAGCAGAACGAGCCGAAATGCAAGCCAGAATTGCATTTTTGCAAGGAGAACGAAAAGGACAAGAAAATCTCAAATCTGATTTGGTGAGACGTATAAAAATGCTCGAATTTTGTCTGAAACAAGAACGTGCAAAAGTTTATCGACTGACTCACAACGGCGATGAACCGCCAAATTATGATGAAGTGCCTGATGAGAATTCTGCACCGACTGAAAATCATTTGGCAGCTGATCTCGACTCATATATTAATGATACTGAATCGACCGGAAATTTCAGACAAGGAAGGTTATTGTTAAAAAGATATTTGGAAGAAATTGGATATAGTGAGCATATTATGGATGTTCGATCTTTTCGTGTAAAAAATCTTTTTAGGATTGATCGCACCGGTGAGTTTTTTTTTGAAATATTTGAACATTTTTATCATAATTTATTCAGTCTGATCTTCCAAATAACGATGCAGTAAATGGTAAAAAAGGAAAATCCGATAGTGATTCTGATGATGAAAATTTGCTTGATATGGATGCCTCAAAAGCTTTAGATGAATTCGATTTTCTTCATACCGATTCAGATTTGAAAAATGATGATGACTGGTCTGGAAATCAAAACCAATATGATGCGCTGGTTCGCAAATATAATATCGAAAAAGAAAATCGGCGAAAGCCTCGAAATTCCGAAGATGATTCATCATCCGAAAGTCTGACGAAAAATCTCGAAACCGATGTTCCACCAGGTATTGCTTCAGCAATTGCTGCATCAGCTGCCGAAGGTTTGCCAACACGAAGACAAGGTCGCAGAAGTCAGAATTTTGCATATGGAAATGGAGGAGCTTCGAGTGAAATTAATGCAGCTTTAGGTATTTCAAATGAAGAAAATATGGATATTAAAGATGAATTTGGAAGTGATGTAAGTTTAAAAAAATAGTTTTTTGAATAAATATCATGAATTTTCTGTTTAGCAAGACGATCCATCAATGCAAGCACACAAATGGAGCACAAAAATTTCATTGAGATCACATTTAGATTCGATTTGGGCTATGCAGGTAATATTTCCAAAGTGATACCCTTGCACGTAAATACAAATATTTTTAGTTTCACCCTGTTGAACCCGTTTTATTCACTGCTTCTGAAGATGGAACTGTCAAATTATGGAATCTTGAAGCAAAAAAAGAAGATAAACATGGTTCAGGAACTGGAGAAATTGAGCCAATCTACACATTCCGTGGACATATGGGACCAGTTGTTTGTCTTGTTTTGAATCCAACTGGAGATCATTTATACACCGGTGGTCGAGATGGAAATCTGTGTTGTTGGAATGTTCCAGCATTAAATTCTGATCCATGCGATGCTTATGATCCACGAGTTCTTGCTGAAACTTTGAATGGCCATACCGATGTAATTTGGTCTGTTGCATATCATTCATCAAATGGACGATTGGTTTCGGCAAGTTCTGATTCAACAATTAAATTATGGGAACCAGGAAATAGTGAACCATTAATTCGAACAATCAATCCACCAAAACCATCACTTGTTCCAACATCTGTTGATTTTGTGTCAACAGAAACAACTCATCTGCTTGCTGCTTATACCAATTGTTTTGCTCAAATTCTAGACATTGAAACTGGTGCAAGTGTGATGGTTTTTGATTTTGGAGCTGAAGCCACCGGCAGAACACTTAATAAAATTGTTTCACATCCAACTATGCCAATATCAGTAATTGGAGGAGAAGATAGAACTATACGGTATTTTGACAATACTACGGGTGAGTCTTTTTATTGAAAAATACATGAATTAAATTTATAATTTTTTAGGTAAACTTATACATGAATCATTGGCTCATATTGAAGGAGTCTCATCTCTCGCCATAGATCCAAATGGGCTATTTTTATTATCTGGAAGTCATGACGGAAGTTTGAGGGTGTGGAATATTGAGAAGAAAGTTTGTCTACAGGTTAGTTTTTTTCGTTTCAATATTTGAACATTTTTCTGAATTAAAAGTTTTTTAGGGAACTTTTTTCCTTGAATTTCTAAGAGACCAAAATGGAAATTTAGGAAATTTAAGGCAATTTTTGGGATAATTGAAAAAACTAAATTATTTTAAAACCTTTGTATTCTGAAAGTTACCCAAGCAGAAATGTTTTTGTCAAAATTAAAAAAAAACTTGATAGCTGGCAGACATCACAGGGAATCACTTTTCATAAAACTGCAATTTTCATCATATCGAAAACCATTTTAGGAAATTTCGGCACATCGTAAAAAGAATGACAATGCAGTAACATCAGTCGCATTCCATCCGTCCAAACCATTAATTGGCTCGTCTGGAGCTGATTCGGTTGCCAAAATATATGTAGCTGCTTCAAATTAATTTCTTTCCTTTTCTTTTCTCATCTCAAACAAACCACCAAAAAAAAAACAAAAATCAAAACAAAACAAAAAATACTCATTCAAATGTATTAACCTACTACTGACTTTTTTTGTAAGTGTCTGGTTTTTCGTCTCTCATGACTCTCTCCGGTTTTTCTTTGCCCATTTCGAATTTTTGCGCATCATCATTCCTATTTTCTTCTTCTTCTCCACCTATTTGAACTTTGTTTTTTTTTGTCTGCTCTTTAGCACATTTTTTATTGCCCAGAGCCCATTTAATCTCGTTTTTTCGGTTTTTTCTCTCTCAAAAATATGTGTAGATAATTAGGGCTTTGTTTATCTTATTTTTAAAAAATACTGTATTATGAGATTTTCTCCCCCCAAACCCAAAAACCATTTTTTGTCTTCGTTTTTTTTTCGGATATGTGAGTGTGTGCATAGATTTTTAATTATTTTTATTTTTGTTTCGACACCGTATACCATTTATAGAAAATGAATATTCTCAGAGATATCTAAATTGCAACTATTTTATTATTCATTGGTCCTTTTGTTGTATCCATTGAGACAAAACTAACTGCTCCGTGATGAACAAAACTTGGTGTGAATACTGAAATTATCCAAAGTTAAATTTGTTTTTTTTTGACAAACTCACAGCTATTGAACATTTTGGCAAGAATTTCATAAAGTGGCCGATTGAAAAATAGCATTGAAAGTGTTGACATTGCACCATGTAATGAGGCTATTATTATAGCACAATATCCAATATCATTTCCACTGAGATTATAAAACATTGCAGTCACATATAAACCAACTGGAAAACCCAACATCACACCGTGAACTGCTACCTGAAACAAACATTGTCTCCTAATCTCCCAATATTATTTATTTACCTGCACAAAAACATTGTAGATCAAAATCTTGTGCATCTGAATAGTCTTCGCTGAACATTTTGTCATCAATCTTCTCAATGATAAAAGAGCAACAGCTCCCATAATCGCGCACATTATTGCTCCCAAAATTAAAGTGAAAAATGCGGAGAAATTGAAAACATGAAGAGGTTTGATCTCATTAGATGTACCAATTGGAATAACTATTGTTGAACTACACATTAATTCAGGATAAGTTGATAGAAAGTTTTTATCAAGATTTAGTTTCATTGTGTTCTGTTCGAAGATTGCACCAATACACATTACCAATGTTATCAATACCCAAATTAATAAAATGTATAAAGATCGTCTCCAAATTCTCAAAACTTTCACCCAAATTCGAACCCATTTTTCATTGATACTTATTTCTGTGACAAGTTTGAATCGATATTGAATCATTTCAACAATTGAAAAACAAGTCATTATACAGATTGCAAGAAATATATACATTATAACAACTGAATTGAGATAACTAAAGAAGAAAAGACCGGAAAATCGGGCAACTCGAAATGGTAAATATAAAATTGGCTTCATTGCAACAGAAAGATAGAATTCGAAAAGAAAATTTGATATTGCATGAAATGCTAAAAATGGTTTATAACCGATAAAACTTGGTGTATTATCTCGATATAATGCAAAAAATGCGAGAAGATAAATTGGAAATGTTATAAAATGAGCACAACTCAAACCAATACTATAATAAAATGGAGCAGGAATTGAGCACATTTGCCGATTATCGTATAAAGAATGTAACCATTCATCGGAACTTCGAGAAAATATTGAGATTTCCGGGAAAAATGGCATTTTTTCGTTTTTCTTTTTTTTGTTTTCGTTCTTGAAAATAAGAAAATGGAACTGATACTAGATATGTATAATATTTTTTGTTTAAAAATTTCCGCCTTCTTCGAATTTCTTCTCATAATTAATTAACTAATTAACAAACAAGCTAATTCAAACACCTGGTTTTTCAAAAATCAGAACACTTTTTCGTTTTTGTGTTGTTTCAATAGACACAAAACTGACAGTTCCACGATGCACGAAGTTTGGGGTGAAGACTGGAATTTTTCCGAATATTTACTATTATGAACTACTCAAGAAAATTTTGAAACTCACATTTTGCCATTAAATTTTTGACCACTTCGAAAAAGAGGACGATTGAAAATAAGCATGGCTAAAGTTGACATTGCGCCATGAAGTGAGGCTAAAATTATGGCAAAATATCCAACGACGTTTCCATCAAAATTGAAGAGCATTGCTATTATGTAAATCAAAATAGGAATACCTAACATCAAAACGTGCACAGAAATCTGGAATAGAAATATTGTTGTTTAGAAAAAGTTTTGAAAATTTTGAGACCCAGAAATTCGGGGTAGTAAAAAAATGAAGTTTATGAAAAATTCATCTACCTGCACAAAAATACTGTATAACAAAGTTCTATGCATTTGAACAGTTTTTGGCGAACATTTTGATATTATTTTTTGCAATGAACTCAGCGCAACAATTCCTTCAATGAAACACATTAGACATCCAAAAACAATGGAAAAACAAGTGACAAAATTGAAAATGTGAATTGGTTTGAGTTCAGAGAACGCTCCAATCGGAATTGCCAACGCAGAAACACACATTATTTCAGGATATTCTGAGAGAAAATTCGGGCCAAAACTTTCTTTTATTATTTGTTGCTCAAATAATCCACCGATGCACATTGATATTGTAACTATAACTAAACATGATAAAATATGAATCGAGAATCTCCAAATTTTCAATATTTTCACACAAAATCGAACCCAATTTTTCAGTTATACAAATTTCAGTGATTAATTTGAATCGATAATTAATCATTTCCATAATTGAGATAGCTGTTAATACACAAATAATTAGAAAAATTATGAAAATAAATCCAGCATTAAGATGTCGCAAAAAATATGCTCCAGAAAATCGAGTTACCCGATATGGTAAATATAAAACTGGTTTCATTGCAATTGATAAATAAAACTCGAAAAGAAAATTGGAAATCGCGTGGAAAGCAAGAAATCTTTTATATTCTTGAAAATTTGAAGAATTTTCATAGGACAGCGCGAAAAAAGAAAGAAAATATATTGGAACTGAAAATATATGTGCACCACTTAATCCAATGCTATAATAAAATGGAGCAGGAATTGAGCACATTGTTCGATTATCATATAATAGTTGGGACCATTCTTCGGAACTACGTGAGAAAACTGAAATCTCCGAAAAATACATTTTTTGAAAATTGTTCCGCAAAAGACTGAATGACACTTTTTTTGATTGGTTATTAATGTAGCCGGCAAAAAAGAAAAGCAAAATTAATCTTATATTTTATGTTGATTCAATTTGTGTTATAGCAAACACCAACGCTTTTTGGTATTCGGTTGGATGGAATTATTCAAAATGTTTTTCGAGAGGAAAAATGGGGAAAGTGCTGTGCTCAAAAACAAAACTATTTTCATTGAAAAATATATTCTGGAAAAACATGTGTTACCTTGGCGTGGTGATTTAGAAATTCATATTTCAAATAATCCCACTGGAATACAGTATCCATATTTTATATGAAAATATAGTGAAAATGTAGTTTCAACTACATTTTTCATTCATCTATACATCTCATATTATTTTTTCCCATTCCATATCTTTTTCCACTTCTTGTATGTATCATCATCATCAAAAAAACAAACTATTTTCAAATTCTGTCCCACTCCAGCTCTCACAATAAAAAACAAAAATACACAACAATGCCAATTTTTCCAGTTGCCTTGTTCCTATTTTTCCCGTAAACTTCCAGACTTTTGTGCTCCTAACAAAAATTTGTTACTTCTGTTTGTTTTTCCCATATTTTATACTTGTTGTAACTTTGAATCATCTCTAGAACTTCACAGCAAAAAAACACTAGAAAGTGCCGATTTTTGAGATGTTCCATTCATTTTTGTTGTGTTGTTGACTAATCGCATTTTTGACTCTTCTCTCTTTTTTTTCTGCGTCGTTGTTCGATTCGACTAACGAGTACTCTTATCCGGTGACGCTCCAACTTTTTCTTTTTTTAGTTTTCCAAGAATATAAAGATTTATTTCAGAGAGCGAGGAAAATATGACAAGATATTTCAATTTATTTCTGGTCGCCGTGTTTTTTGTTCTTCTTTCGATTGCTCAGGTAAGAGTTTCTGGGGATCAAGAAACCCATTAGAAATTTTCGATACAGTCAAAATTGTGGGAACAGATTTCACACCAAAATAATTTTCTCATTTAAGCAGAAACCCCCACAGTTGATTCACTCATTGAAATTGGAGGCTTAATTTTTTGATAGGAACTCAACTCACTATGGGAATTAAGTTATCATAGAAAATGGCTTAACAACAATCATAAGCTAAACTTTAAATGTTCTCTAGAATAGTTTTTTCAAGTTTCTCTCACTCAAACCTGCTGACTTTTCATTTTCAGGCCAACTGGCTATCGAATCGAAATGTGAAATACGAATCCGATGGTGAAATGGTGCAAGTTCCGCGTGTTTCCGATCTCTTCAAAGTCAAAAAATACCTTCCACCAAGATATCAAAATTTGTGGGGTCAAGGAGAAAGCAGTAAGGTTGGCAATTCTGCAGTTGCCTCAAGTTTGAATGTCTACAAAGCGCCAGCTCAACAAAAACAAGTTTTTGCGTGGCAACCACAAAAAATCGATACAACTGTTTGGTAAAATTTTATTTCTCTTTGAATGTTGTGAATTTGAATAAAGATAAAGATAATTCGTATTTTACTACTGTAGAACATTTAGTAGATTGGCAAATGATTAAGGGAAAATCGCTCATGGTAAATATTTGCAAGCAGCAAAAAGAAGGAAGATTACAATGGCTATAACAAGAACATAACCAATAAATTGACGAGAATCTTGATGAATGTGGTTAACTGGGCGAACTGCTGGCCAAATCAAAACTGAAAATTGAGAAAACTTGGTTTTTTTCGGGAAAAAGATAAATGAAATATAATCATAAGACCTGAAAGAATTCCTGAAAGTGGAACCGAAACCTGATTTTAAACAAAAAAATCAAATAAATATTTTCACATGATCATAGAATAGTTCAAAACTTCAAATTTCTCAAGTGAAAAGTAATATGATAAAAGTTCGTCTACAGTATTTTTGAACTTTTTATTTTTGAATTATAAAATTTAAAAATTTAATACTAGAAATTCTTTAGCAGAAATTTAAACAAGCTACGTGAGAAACTAAACATTTTTGCGAAAAAATATTCAGAAATACCGTACCTTTCTCATGTGGCGCATTTTTCAATTGTGCCTCTGGCAATGCTCCACAATGATCGCAAGCTTTCAAATGCGACAACGATTCCTTGCGAATTCGGGACATCTTCTTCTTGGCAACAGCATTTGCTGGATCATTGTATGGTGGAGGAGTTGTGATCGGCACATTTTCAATATCATCGTGATGATGGCCCATTTTCTATAAGTCGAGAAAAAAATGAAATTTGAAATTAGAGTCAACGAAAAAATAAATAAAATAAACAAAACAAGAGTGAAGTGAACCCAAAACTGTCCGATTTTGGAAATGAAAAAAAGGGGGGGGGGTAACCTTGAAATTGATGATGATTGAAAAAATGGTTGGGTAGGTAGGAAGGTAGGTAAACAAGTTTCACTCTATGAACAAAAATTGTGTATGTGACCTTTTTGAGTGAAACTAACTCCTACAAAAATATTATTCGCTTCGTTTTATTTTGTTTTAAATAATGAATGGTCAAAACAAGATGATAAGAAGAAGTAGAAACATAATTATATTTGTTTAAAATAGAATTTTAGATAAGAGTACTGTTACTTGCAAATTCAAATATGTTGAATAAAAATAAACATAAATACAAATGTAGTAAAAAGAAACCACGTGCAAAATGAATCACAAAGGTGATGGACACAAATGAAAAGGAACGTGTGAAAGAAAGAAACAACCAAGGGCAAGCGAAACCTCGTGATACTTTTTTTGTTGTTGCGCGCGCGGCAAAACATCTGTAGATGTGGAAAGGACAAAGAACATTTTTCAAAAATTGACAGAGCTTGCAGAAAGATTTGTTGGTAAACAATTTTTTATTGAAAGTGTATTTGTCAAAAACCTTTTTTCATTTGAATAAAAATAGAAAAAATGCTCTAGATAATTTTTCACAAAAAGTTTGAATAACACATTCCACAATTTTCGGCTCTATATTAGAAAATGTAAAATGTTTCCATTTTCATATTTATGAACCTTTTTTTTAGATATGAGTGAGCTCTAAAGTATCTCAAAATAAAACCTTTTTCTAGAACTCTTCATTTTTGAGATAAAAGTAAAATGCCTGAAAGTATTTCTACAGTAATCATTTTCTCTTTATCTTCAGAAAATGTTATTTTTTTTAATCGAAACAATTTCGGTCACGGTTTCATTTATCTTTTCCATCACCAAGTAACCGTATTATTTCGTTGCAGAAAAAACAAACAGCGAAGAAAACAATTGACAGGTGATCGAAGGCCACCGGTTCCACAAAAACATTTTTGGATCTTTGGAAAAAAACTTTATTTATTTTTGATCGTCTATGTATTATAATTTTAATTAATTCAGTTTTTTACTTGGAGTAACATTGAATTTCGTTTTCAACCCGCAAACAATATACACGATAATTTTGGAAATTATGAAAATAACAAGGAAAATGAAAGCAAATACATCTAAATTGAAATATACAATTGTGTTTAGCCGAGAACCTTCAACGTGTAATTCTTCAAGAACTCCGTTTTCAATTGCAAATTCTGTCCATTTCACAAGTCTTTCTTCGGGTGAAAACGGTTTGTCTCGCATCATTTGAGCAATTCGAATCGCGTTTTGCTTATAGCTGAAAATCTCGAGAAATTGTTTTAGAAAATATCGACTTCATATATGCTCATGTCAGAATCCTCACCTTTCGTCTTCTAAAACTTCTAAAACAACTTTTTTGAATGATTCATATCCAATATCCAATTTCAATAAAACTTTTCCAATTCCACGTTTTTCAACCATTCGACCATTTCTAAATTGATCAGCAAAAACTGGAACAATAACTGTTGGAACAGCTCGAAGTGCAGTCTCAACCAAACCATTGATTCCTCCGTGCATCACAAATAATTTAAGTCTTTCATGTGCCAAAATATCAACTTGAGGAAGCCAATGTGTCAGATCAATGTTTTTGATTTGAAGTTGGTTTATTAATTCAAGAGTAGTAGTGTCTTCTGGAAAATTTATTTTTGTTCTGATTTTTTTACAAATCAAAATTACCTTTACTGATTTTTATCAAAAAATGATAATCTTCCAATTCTTTGATTGCTTTCAAAACTCCAATTTTTGCATGATTTGGAAGTGATCCAAATGGAATAATTGATCCAAGAGATATTATAACTACTCCATTTTTTCCTTTTGACATAATCTCATTGAATTTAGAATCTAATGGTTTGACTTCTTTTGGAACACCAAGTCCCCCAACGAATATTGTTTTTGAAATTGTGGGTCGAGGAAGATCTAATATTTCATCAGAATTCACAAAGCATAAAGATGAATTGGCAGCAATTTCTCGAACATTTGGAAAATCAGGAACATATTCTTGAAATACTGCAGTGATTCGATCAGTTCCATATCGATGAACAATAATTGATCCAATATACATATAAATATTAAAAATTCGTTGCCAAAAATTCATTTGATCTCCATTATCATTTTCTTCAATTGTTGGAACATACGAAGTTGGCGCTGGTATTCCAAGATTATAACTAATTGCATCCATAATTGGTGTTGTTGAAATCCAAAGATGATTTTGGATTCCTAAATATCGAATCACTCCAACACCACAGAGATCAATTTGTTCACTAAAAGCAACATCAAATTTGTAATCTCGAAGGTGTTCAAGTTCATTTCTTCTTTTCATAAGAGCTGCGCACATACTAGAAGCTGAATATTCAAAATAAGCACGTTCGACGAATCCAAGACGATCATTTGAAAGCATATATTCATCACTTCCAGCCATATCATCCATGAATTGAGAACCTGAAATAGTTTTATTAGAATACAGAAAACAATATCAGAATTTTTTTCTCAAACTAAAATTAGTAAAACTTAAAATTTTAAAGTTTTGAAAAAAAACTCACTAATATTTGTCATTTTGATAACTTTTGCTTTTTTTGTTCCCGTAAACTCAGTCAATGTCTCATATTCCAAAATCAACACAACAACTTCATGTCCAGCATCAACTAAAGTATCCGCAATTCGACCATTTGATATCAAATGACTTCGACTAATTGAAGGACTGTACACCAAAATTTTTCCACTTTCAAGACTTCCGATAATTGTGAAAAACAGCAGAAGAAAAAACATTTCGGGTTTACCTAAAATTATAAACAATTTCTTATTTCTTTTTCAAAGATGAAGATGTAAACAAAACAAAAAACTTCCGATTTTTTCATTCATTCATTCATAAAAATAAATGATGAAAAACATAATGTGTTGATTTATTTTCGACACAAAATTGCAACAATTCTTCCAACAAAAAATAATAATAAAAGAGAAAAGAGAAAATAGAAAAAAAATCAATTTTTGATTGAATCATTTTTTTGGGGCGATTATTTAAAAAAAACAATCAGAAATCGAAGAAAATAGGGTGCATTTGATGATTGCACACGAAAAAAACAGTAATGTAATGTTAAAATGATAAGAATGATAAGAGAACATTTTTTGGAAAATAAGGGGAATCAATGGGTCAATTTGAGATTTGAGGTGACAGGTCGGGCAAAAAAATAATGGTGGCATTGTTTTTTTTTTGGAAAAATAAGTATTTATTTTTGGAGAGTGACTAGAGATAAAAAGGGTAGATCAAAAAACTTTTCAAAAACAAATGTTTGTTTTAATTTGATAATCAAACATTTGTCAAATTAAATTGTTATTTTCAAAGTAAAACTGCCATATTTTTTCAGCCAAACCATATGAATTTTTCCACATTTTCCTATTTTTATTAAAAATATATTTGAACTTTTTGATTTGTTAATCTTTTCTCCGGATAATTAAATTGTTTCGAACATTAAAGCAAAATAAAATCAAATCAAATCAAACAACATAATTTACACTTGCTGTAAATTGACTCAAATATGCTCGTGACGTCATTGAAGCCATTGTAGTTGTGCATTGTCGAATTGTTTTCGATGAGTTTGGAAAAATTCGATTTCGATAATTTGGAAGAAGTAAAATAATTGCAAGTGGATCCATGAAAGGAAAAGCAGACAATGCAATAACTCCCAAATAATTGTTCCATTTTCCAAAATCTAAATGCAAAGCTGGAGCATACCAAGCAGCTAAACATGGGGCAAAACTGATACAAATTGGGATGATTGTTTGAACTGCCAATGCTTTGAATAATTGTTTATGCATTGTTTTTGTGATTTTTGAGAGAGCTGGATTGTCACGAAGTTTCAAAGCAATTTTTGTACCAAGGATTATGTAGAGTGAAATGGCATAAATTGAAATTCCAGTGAGGATTAGAATTCCAGCCCAACTTCGAAGTCTAATAGAATCACTACCGTCCTGAAAACATTTTTTGATTTTTTATTATTTTTCATTAGAAGAACACCTTACATTGTACAGAGCTATAAGCATTGAAAGATTGTGTGAATTACATTCATAGATTCTCATAAATGGTTCGTGAATATATTCAGCAATCTCATTATCCAAATACAAAAATGTTTCACAAATTGTGGACCATGCAATGCCGTGAGCAATGAAAAATGTAAATATACAACACATTCCAATTGGTCGAAGAATTTCGGGAAGATATTTTGGATTGAATAATGCAATGTATCGATAGATGAAATGAACAGCAAGAATACCATAACTCAACGCAATAAATCCACATCGAACAGAGACTGCTAATTGACCGAATCTGAGATTGCCTATGAATGGACCATCAGTCAAATAAATAATAAAAGCATAACCAGTTCCATGAATTGCAACTGGAACAAGAAGTTCAACCAGAGAATATATCATATCGAAAATTGCGAAAAACATCAATAGAAATCGGTAATTTCCAATATTTGTCTTCTTTTCAGTCACAATCAAATACATAAAAAGAGGATTGAAAATGAATGACAATCCACCAAACAATTTTGGAAGATAATGATGAGACCAATGAATATACATTGCTGAAACTAAAACTTTTGTGATTCATTTCAAAACTTTCTGTTTTGTTTTGTCTCAGAAAATCGTCATATTTTTTCGCATCGTTGCCACATTAAACTTCTAATTCAACACATTATTAGTGAGCTAATTTTCACAATGATCTATGCAAAAGGTTCCAAAATAAATCAGAAAAATTCAGTGTGTAAATATTTTTCTGGTCAAAATAGCCCGAAGGGAATCATTTAGTATTTTTCCCGGAAAAGAAATTTGGAAGTAAAAAAATCTGAAATTTTTGTGAGACTAAAAATAAAATCGAGCCAAATTACTCTGGAAACCAGAAAGAGCACTTGAAAAATTATAATTATAATATTATTCTGAAATTAGTGACAATTAAAGTCTAGTAGTCAAAAATTACCGCCTCAGATTATTTTTTGAAATTTTTAATATGAAAAAGTTATGAAAAAAATTTCAATACCATATTTTTCAAGTCTCCCTCCCCCACTTTCCTCCAGACAAAAAGATTTGAATTTGTATTCATTAATGCACTTTTTACAGTAAATAAAAAATAACGTTTAAAAATTGACTTACCCAAACAAGTCATAAATAGAATATAGGAATTTAATCAAGTGTTCAACGAAAGCGATTATTGAACCACCTGAAAATGGCTGGCTGAAAAAAAACGAATATGAGATTTTTTCATACATTACCCCGATTTATAAATGTTTGGTGCACTGAGAACAAGTGTACCTACTGACTCATTAAAAAAATACAAAAAAAATGAATTTGTTTTTTTTTGCAAAAAAAATACAATTTTTCAAAGATGATTTTGTGATTAGTCAGAAAATGAAATAAGCATGCAACAGCAACCAGTAACCAGAAAATAACATCTATGAAGGAAATATGCTTTTGTTACGATGAGAGAATGAAAAACAACAGGATCTAATTAAAATTGAATGTGAGTCTGACCAAAAATTGGATTTTTCTGGAGTTGAAAGAATATCAGTTGAAAGAAGGTAAATTTCTGTTTTTATAATTAGAAACATTTTGTACATAGAGTGATGTCCTCGATGTTATTTATGTCTGGAATTTTGTCTAGAAATTGACGCATGTGATTTGTGTTCTTACAGGCAAAATACGGCAGACTTGCTGCAGACGGAAATATAGCTTGCTCGTATTTTGCTAGTTTTGAAAAACGTGTATAATCCGATATTTACTCCTCTCTAAATTATTTTTATTTCCAAAAAAAGCAACATTTTTATCCTGATTGAGTTCAAATTTCAAAAAAGTTAGAGTTCAAATTTCAAAAAAATTAGTAGAACTTTAAATAAAACTTTTGATGTACACGTTTTATAGTTTTTTTTTTCTTTCAATATAAAAATGGATCAGAATGTCACAAATAATCAGAAAATGAATAGGAAAGACTAGAAAATCTCTATTTAAGTACTTAAGAAATATACTGTTGTTTTGATGACAAAATGAACTTTAATCAGATTAACATTAATCTTGTTAGTGTTTTTGTTAAATCCATTCTTTTAAAATTGAAGAAAGATACGGTAAGTCATCATTAACGTCTGCAGATTTTCATGAAATGAACTTTAGTTTTGAATATTATTTTTGTAGAGTTATATGCACTCGATTTTATTGGGATGTCTGGAAAATTGTCTAGAACAAAAATGGGAGGAGAATTTTTAATTTGGATTTGTTCTGCATGATTCACGGCTCATTATTTTCTGGGAACCAGCAGAATTTTCGGATTTCTTCGTTTTGACAAGAATCTTCAGAATTTCAAACATAAACTGAGAAATAGCAATCAATTGCAGTTAAAAAATTTTAATGGGAAAATTTCTTGATTTTTTATCAAAATAGTTTTGTCTGAAGAAAGATGACTATGTAGAAAAACCTCTCTTTACGTACTTAAAGAAAAGTATACTGTTGTTTTGATGAACTCATTTATTACAGATAATCTTGTTAAAAATACTATTATTGTTAAATCCGTTCTTTGAAGTCATTATTAACGTCTTGAGAATTCGACTCATTGAACTCTACTAGAACGAATTACTGCAGTTAATCCCAATACTGAAATATGACACAGAAACTAGAAAAATCTTTAAAAATATACTGTTGTTCTCATCATAAACTGAAGAAATTTTTGAATCTCAAGATGAGACAAGTGAATTAAATTTTCAGTTTACCTTAAAACATGAAATTTGGATACTGAAAAGTTCATTCACTAATGATTTTTTTCCTGCGAAGTTCAATAATCAAAAAGTTCCTTCATTGTTTCCGAATTCCTTTTCAGATCTACTAAGCTTCACCGATCCCTTCTTATATGAAAAATTCTTCCCATTTTTTCAAATCACCCAACATTTTTCTGTTAACATAAATCATCTTTATCTCAAGTTACAAAATCCAGAAAAAAGCAGAAGCAGGGTCATTTATCAGTCACATTTGCGGGCAAAAAACATTGGGGGGGGGGGCATACATATATAAATTACAGAACTACACAGGGATGATTGGGGATAATTGGTTTTGTCTTTGTGTTGTTTCAAAACTTGAGACGATATGCGCGACGTTGTGGATTAGTGATCGCTTCGCCGACCATGCGCCAGTAGTCGTTCCTGAAAATACGATCAAGTTTTTTGATTGAATCATTAACAGATAAACTTACTCGTTTACTGGATCGTTGAATCGAATAACTTGCGCTTGATCTCTGCAAAAAAACATGATATGTTTTTAATTTTAAAAGAAACCTAGGGAAAACTTACTGGAAGCGAAGTTTACCGAACGCATCGATAACGGCGAAAAGAGCACAGAAGACCAAGAGAGCACGAAGAATAAGAGACATACTGAAAAATATATTCTTAAAATAAAAACAAAAATTGGAGAGAAGTATTAGTAAAAATGTTGGTTGTTTAAGATATGAATTTGAGTTGGTAATTATGAGAAGCAGGCGAAAATTATGGGGTTTGGAATGGGATACGGTAAAGTAGTGAGTGAGTGGGCTGGGTTTTGAAATATATATGACGAATTTGGTTTTTTGAGTTGGTCGAGAACTTTGAGATAAGATTTGAAAATGATATTTCAGTGGACCTGATTATCCTTGAAATCCAGATAACATGAAATTTACAATGTTAAAAACTTCCGCTCTCAAAAATTCCCAGGCTAGATAATGGTTTTCTTCCAAAAAGATCTCCTGAATTTATGAACAACTATTCAGAAAAAAATCTAATCAGAGATTGAATTTTTTCAAACAATTGTTTTTTGAGATTTCAGGTTATCTATCGAAGATAATCTCAAAAAACACAACTTTTCAATCAAAAAAACTTCTCAAATTAGCAAGTTTTCCGAATCCATTTGTCCAAAAACCAAAAAATTTCATATTTCGAAATACCTAACTTTTGGATTCTGAAAATGACAATTTTTTAGAAAAATTGTTTTTTGAGGTTTCAAATGTTGCACGAGAAACTTATCTTAAAAATTTCAAACTCGAAAACTTCCCAGATTAGCAAGTTTTCTAAGTTCCTTGTCCAAAAACCAAACTTTTTCAGGAATTTTTTATTAACTAGTTTTTGGAAACTTTCTCCAAAACTTTTCATACAACTTCGATATTTGCAAGTTAATATAAGTTCATCAGAATCAGTTGACATTTACAAAATAATTACAGCCTAGATGTATTTCTTCTAGAAAATTTCTTGTTTTTTGAACATGAAAAATCTTGAAGAAAGCTTCAGAAGATGGAAAAATAAATAAAATGTGATACAAATTAAAATAATTGAGGTCTCCATCCGGTAGAGTGCTCATCTTATAGATTACTGTACCTAATTAAATTTTATTTGAATATTTTAAGAATGGGAAAATAATGGTGTACTAATGGAAAATATATGGGATTTTTTATTTGAAAAATTCTATTTTTGGTGTAAAAAATAGCGTGTGTAATTTTTTATTCAAACGAAATATGTAAACTTTTCGGAATATGCTTGATTGCAAATTGCACTTTTTAATGAATAGATATTGTTTGCATAAAAGTTCTAGGAAAAATTGTGACAAAATAAAATGGAAAAGGTTAAAGAATGTTGTAGGAAAAGGCTCATTTATTCAGGTTATTTTATACTGAGATTTTAACAGTTGTTTATGATTAATGTTGGAATTTTGCAAATAGTTTTTGTAATTTTAGAAAAAAAATGATAATTAATTGGGTGTGGGATTTCAATATCTTTTCGCCTCCTCTATAACAATAATACATACAAATATTTTAACAGTTGTTGTAACTTTGCAAATATTTTTGTAATTAATTGGATATGGAGCAAAAATAAAACATCTCACATTTATATACAAAAAAAAAACAACAAAAAAATGAAAGATACACACATCTAATCATTTTTTTTCGAACCAAAATCCAGAAAAAATGTAAGAAGAAAAAAAAGATGAAAAATGTTTTATTCATGCAATGTTATATACCAAGATTGAGTTAGATAATTATAAAATAAACATCAAGAATCTCACGTCGTATAAAATGAAATATGATACATCCTAGAAAAAATGCCAATTTTTGTGAAGTTTGAGACGTGGAACTGTTAATGGAGGAGTGCAAGATGGCGGAAGTTTGAAGGCGCATACAGATTGAATTGGCTCGTCGCCAAGTCGCATTTTATCAACGGTCGAAAATTGACGATTTGCAAGTTTTTGAAGACGTAGTTTTTCATCGAATACACGTTGTTTGACAACTTCAATGTGAATAAAAATAAGTGTTGTGAAAATCATAGAAAATACGACTCTGAAAAATTGGAAAAAATGAATATTTTCCACGTGAACTTAACAATTTATAATTCTTTTTTTCCAAAATTTCAAGCTGCGAAATTTAGTTTAAAAAAATTCAAAGCTTAATGCAAAACTTTGCGGATTTGAAATTTTTTATTTTTTTTCACCACATTCCAATTTTTTTTCAAATTCATTTTTTGAATTTTGTATATTTTTCTTAATTGTCAAATTATTTTTTCAAAAAATAAAAACTTACAAAATGATCAAATACCAGAGAAAATCTATGCAACATCCATTCAAACAGCAAAACTCTCCAATTCCACACTGAAATTTATTTTTTTTTTCAATTATTCAAAATTAATACTCACACTTTCAACTCCAAAAGCACCGGTACAATTAACTTGTTGAGTAGATCCGTACATTTTTCTATTTTCTTTCCAATTCACTATTTTTAAAGCATGTTAAAATCGATAAATGCACCAGATAAAAAGATGAAGAGGGGAAGGAAGATTAGTGATTATGAAAATAACACACATTTTATTTTATGAAATACATTTTTGGAGGAAATGGGCTATGCGAGAGAGTGTGAAGAATAAGGAGACGTAGGTGTTGTAGACTGGCGTGACATGAATATTTGTTACTTTTGAAGAATGAGGCAATCATATTTGATGAGGTATGTATAAGAAATCATAAAAATATGAGCAAAAACTAAACTCGAGTGGATTTTCATGAAACTTTCTGACAACTTTCAAAAAAACAAGAAAAAATAAAATGAGAAAGTTTCATTTTTCGAATTCTGAAAAAAGTTAATGACGTGGCAAAGTCTTAATTTCCGCGGAAACTGAAAAATGGAAGTTTTCAAGAAATAATATTTTTGGGTCTTGAAATATTGAAAAAAAATTGAGTGATAAAACTTTTTGAACAACTCCATGAGCTGATAAAATTGAAAAAAAGTCTTAAATTTTTTTCAGTTAGCGAAAAGTTCAGAAACTATGAAACATATTTTTGGACTATTTTTCCCAACCAAATATATATATTGTTTTGGACTAAATATTTTTCGAATCGATTTCTAGAATTTTTTCCAGAATTTCATTTCATTGTTGTTCTGTTATTGTTGCTTTTTAATTGTGTGTCGATATTTATTTCACACAAACATTCACAAATAACAATGTAAATGTAATGATACTTGAAATCACATTCATTCACACACAAAATCAACCAACCCGCACAGCATTGCGTAAAAGCGAAAGTTCCACCGAAAGTACAAAAAATATTCGTTTTTTTCTTGTTCTATTATTATTGTTATCATTTCAGGAAATATATTGTTATAGTGTATTTTGATTGATAATAAAAATAATTTGTTTTTAAGATGTTTGTTTGCTCATTTATTTGAAAAAGAACTGACTTGTTTATTTATTTATTTGTTGATTTTCCTCCATTTTCTCGAGAGAATTCATTTATTTACCATTTTTAGAACTTCCTTATTTTTTTATTTTAGTTATGACAGCTGCATTCTTCTCATTTATTTTTATTTTCACAATTTTTGGAACACATGATTGTTTTGAAGGTATGATTTTTGAACCACGTGATATATGAAAAAAACTCTTTTTTCAGAAATATTATTCCCGAAAGGCGCAACTTGCCCTCAATCGATTATGCGACCTTCAATATTTCTCTATTTTACACCATTTATTTTTATGTATTTAATTTATAATAAAACTATTCAATAAGAAAATTCAACATTCTTAATTTAATTAATGAAAAAGTCCAATGAGTCTTCAATATTAGTAAATCATTTAGTTGATGCTGCAGATATTGGATTTATCTTTTTTGGTTTGGAAAATTTGGGAAAGATTCGATTTCTATAATTTGGAAGAAGTAGAACTATTGCTAAAGGGTCAATAAGTGGAAACGCCGTATTTGCAAAAATAGCAGCAAATGTTGAATCAGATAATTCGAGATTAAGAAATGGAGAATACCATCCAATAACACAAGGTATAAAAGTTGTGAAACAAGGAATTATTGTTTGAACAACCAATGCTCGAAATAACTGACCATGAAGTTTTTTCGTGGCAACCGAAAGAGCCTGGTATTTTTGAAGTTTCGAAATAATTTTGAATCCCAATGTAAAATACATAGACACCGCGTATATTGAGAATACTGTTAAAATTCCTGCACCCATCCAACTTCTCATAACTTCTTCTTCATTTACTTTTCCTCTATCTTGAAATACCGTGCCAACCATTGCAGTCTTTTGAGAATCCGAACCGTATTTCTCGAAGAATATTGGTTCAAGATATTTTCGAGAATCAGAATTTGGAGTTAGGAAGAAGTAAACAGATCTTAAAATAATTTAGCAGTTTTTTTTTTGAGAAATCAAAACTTCCGTCAAACATCCCTACCGCTGTCCAAAATATACCATGTGCTAGAAAAAACAGAAAAACAAAAAATAATCCAAGTTTAGTGGAAATAAAAATAATTAGGTTTGTTTGGAATAATGCAAAATATCTGTATAGAAAATGAATGATTAGGATAGCATATCCTAAACCAAGAAAACCACAGCGAATTGAAACTATAAATTGACCAATATCTAGATTATCAGAAAACATTCCATACGCCAAGAAAACTACAACAACTGAACCAGAAGCATGAAGTGCCTGACAGCAAAAAAGAAATAAATCGCGCAAAGAAACAAACATATAGATAAACTCTTACCGAACCAATAATACAATCAAAAATCGAACAAATCACATCAAAAACAGCGAAAAGTCCCAAAATATATCGATAACCACCAAGTGCACTATGCTTTTCGCTAATTATAAGATACAAAAATCCAAAATTAAAAAAAATACTGATACCTCCCAAAATTTTGGGGATATAATAATGTGACCAACTCGCAATATACATTGATGAGAATATGTGATAATCTCAATATTTTTTCGTTCCTTTTATGTCATTAATTCAAGAAAATGCACTATCAATAACACAAGTTCTTCTCATACCTTAGAAAGTTAAAAAACAACACGATGTGAATATGCTTCAAGTTTTTTTTGGTATCAAGAAAATAAGGGGAAAAACCAATTCGAGAAATTCTGTTTCTATGCCATTACAAAATAACATGGGCATTCTCATTTTATTGTGAAAACAAAACATGAGTCTCAATTTCCTATATATTATTTTTCTTATAAATTTTTTGGTGAGATGATAATTTGAGACATCGATAAACAAATAATTTATTTTAGAAATGCGATCATTTTTCAATGATTGAAGTTTGGGGTGAACCAAACACTAATGGAGTTGGAATCGAAGTTAATGTAACGAACTGGACAGATTGTATGATATATTGTTACGAATTAGAGCAGTGTGTGGTGAGAAATTCATTAGTTAAATATCAACCAATTATTGAAATGAAATTCAGGCCGTTCTCGATACAGAATATTGTACAACATTCATGTTTGGTAACATTCAAAATATTACTTTCAAATATGGACAGAAAATTGCCTTCAAAACAGTTTCTCGAACTCTGATGAATGTGAAGTTGTTCCGTCATTCCCGAAAACAGTAATTTTTCAAATTTATTTTACTTCATCCTAAATCATATTTTAGGTGAGTTTGAGCGATGATTTATCTTTTGAAGTTTCATCAACTGATAACAATTACGTGTTCAAATATTACGGTAAAAGTTGTGACGAAGGTTGGGCGATGTTTAATCGATATGGTAATTATTGGTGTATGCATGCATTTGATGATAGTGTTGATTGGTTGACTGCTCAAAAATATTGTCAAAGTATGAATGCAACAATCAGTGGACTCGAGAGCAATTCTGAACGTATTTTTGTCTGGAAAACTATTGTTCTCAATTCAACACAAATTATGGTTGATGGTAGAATGAGAGAGGAGTGTGTATTGCGAATTGGAACTCCTGGATGCGTTGGAATTGACGCATTTGTTTTTACCGATCCGTATCTCAAGACGGAATCAGGATATCTATGGGGAGAAGGCCAGCCAGATGAAGCATACGACAGTGATTATGGTTATCAATCCTGTATTGTTTTGAGATATTCCGGAGTTGTTGATGATTCATGGTGTGACAACCCCAACTTTGGGTATCTTTGTGGTAAATTGGCTGAATGACACATGTTTCAGTGAGCTTGGATGGGTCCAGTTTTATTCAAAATTTTTTTATTTCAAATAAATATTTATGTTCTCTATTTTTTTGTAATGTATCCGCGTGATTCTATGGAAATATGTGGAACAAAGCTTTTTTGAAGGGAGTTTTCGAAACTTTGAGCTTCTATTTTACCAATTCAGAATCATTACAAAAATAATATTCTATCAATTTGCGTGAATTCTCAACAAGTTGAAACAATTATTGTTCTATTCACACTTCTTCTATAACATAAACCGTTTTCTATAATTCGGTAAAAGTAAAATAATAGCAATTGGATCAATAATTGGTGCAGCAGCATTGGCAACAATTGCAAAACTAGCCATTTTTTGGTGGCATTTCTAATTGTAATATTGGACTATACCATCCTAAAATACACGGAAAAAAGCTGGTAAAACATGGAATCAAAGTTTGAATAACTAATGAGCGGAAAAGAAGATGATGTTGACGTTTTAATCTGTTTGATATAACACGGTGTTCTCGAAGTTTTGATAGGATCTAAAATCAAAATATATCTAGACTGCCACAAATCGAGTTGGATAACTAACTAACTTTGTAACCTAATATTATATAACTCAGAATAGAATATAGTGAGACAAAACTCAAAATAATTGTTCCAACTAATCCTTTCCAATATAAACTACTGCTAGCCGAATTCAGATCCAAAACAGTTCCAATTATAGCAGCTTGGGATGGATCAAACCCGAAAGTTTCAATGAAACCAGGTCGAATATATTGAAGCATTTCAATATTTGGAAATAGTAATAATCTACAAATTACCATCCAAAACGACCCATGAATTAGGAAAAATAAAAAAGCTATGAATGATAATTGAGAAAAAGATAGAACGGATTGATTTCCAAAAAGTGCATAATATCGGTAAATGAAATGAATTAAAAGTAATGCATAACCTAAACCATAAAATGAGCATCGAAATAATATCATCCATTCTTTCCAAGCCATATCTGAATTGGCAAAAATCCCACCAACCAAAACAACAATTCCCGATTGTTTATAGTTGAAAACTGTGGTTGATATCAAAAAATCGGAAAGCGAAAAGACAATGTTGAAAACGGCAAAAAATGTGAGCACGAAACGATATTCTCCAAGATGACTCGGTTTTTCAGAATGCAATAAATATATAAAAACTATATTTATGATTGTTGAGACACCTAGAAATACAGCAGCAATATCCATTTTTGGCTTTAGAACGAATGGAAAAAAAAACGAAAAATAATTATGGCATGACAAGTGTTTTTGAGTCAAAAGACCAATAAAATCAGCATTTTCCTTTCCACCCATTTATTTTCTAAAAAAAACAGGGTAATGTCAGTTTGAAGAGAAATTCTGAAGTTTGGGTCCACTACACAATGAAAGCATCCTCGAAATTGAATCTAGAGAAAGAAGGAGTCTCTCGCATACATCGTAGTATATTACAAGTACTTTTGCTACAGTTTAGACGTGGTTTTGTTTTGTTGGAAATAATACTTTCCTGAATTCTTTCCAATTGAAAATGCGTGCTGTTCTATCTACCATGGAAACGTTGTCCGAGAGAAGAAAACGAAAAAAAAAACATGCATTAGGCGAAAATGTGGTTGTTGAAAATTTCTAAGCATCTATTACTATTGGATTATGAGGTAAGAAATGAATCGTAATTGTATCTCAAAAACCGGAACATTTAAAAATATACATATGTATCACATAATTCTTTTTCTTTTTCTTATTTCATCTCATTTCAAAACTGGATTTTTTTTTCAAATTTCTTCATTTCATTCTATCTTTTCATAAATAATTTTTCTCAAAAATTTCGTTAAAACAAATGAATTAACAAATGACCAACAAGGTTTGTTTATTTTATTTTATTTCAAAAAACAAAAAATTTTTCCAAAAAAATATTGCAGGATTTGTTTATAACTCGCGTCTCAACGACCAACGATGATGTTCGAGTTGTGAAAAAAGTTGAGAATTTTGAAATTTCTGTTGAAAATCGAGCGGCCCCTTCATCCGGATTTAAACAGTTAGTGTATTTTTTGATGAAATCAAAATAGGATTGATAATGACCATAATGATAAAAAATAATAGTCATGATCAATCAGATTTTATCTTTCTTTTATCTTGTGAGATGGTTATTATTATGATTTTTATTTTTAAAAGAATAGAAAAAAAGAAGATTGTTCTACTTAATTTTTTGTCCACGTCAACCGTGTTTTTTCATTTTTCATTTTGATTTTTTGTGCTAGACAATTCAAAAAAACACTCCCACAGGGAACGGAGGAACACAACAAAGACACACCTCTGTTCTAATCCGGGTTTGTTTTTATTTGTCATTTGACCGTCTCATTTTTGTTTGCAAACATTTCATTTTTCATTGTTGGCAATTTTCAAAGATCTTTTTTCAAATCATTTGTATGTGATATGTCAAAAATTTATTGTAGATTTGTTTGGCGACTTGCGGCTGCGATTATTGTTATGACAACATTATTGGTGTTGTTATTGGTGTTTGCGGCGGCGCCCAAAATTCGAGCCGAACAGCAAGAGGTTAGAAATGTATGGGGTTTAGGGACCCAATTCGAAATTTCAAACTTAATCAACTTTTATATAACTAAAGACTTTCTGTCAAACTCCCTTCCCATTAAAAAGAACCCACCTGAAAATTCCACGAATATATCAATCAATCTTCTGTCCTCCTAATTGCAAAGTTTCATCAAAATTCAATTTTCCTCATTGATATTCGAACCATTCGATTGTTTTGCACTTTCTGCACTTCCATTTCGATCATAACTCCTTTGATTCGCATATAAACACTGGAAATAACATGTTTTTTTGCAAAACTCGAAAAAATAAAAAAATAAAGTGAACCGAACAAGTGCGCTCTAACGAACATATTGCGCTGTTCGCAACATTTCAAACAGGTTTCAAAGCAGGCATGTGCATCTCATCCGCCGGCCGGACGGCACGGCAGCCGTGTGGGCGTGGCTTCGCCGTTTCGCTGGCCGAGCAGCAAAGAAGAAACAGCAGAAAAACAGCAGCCGCGGCATGCCGGCCGGCTGCCGTTTTTCAAAATGGGAAAGGAGAAGGTCGTCGCTCCGCCCCCTGCACACAACACACACAACAGCGCGCAACCCGAAAACCGTCGCACACACAATTTATTTAAAGTAGTCTCGCGTGCGCGTAAATCTAGCTCTCTTTTTCATTATTTCATAGTGTTTTTGGAGAAATTTTTTGATGATTTCAATGGATCAATTCATCTGACGAAAAAATGAATTTCGCGACATTTTTTGTCGCGAAATTGCAATTCGCGAAACGACACGAAATTAATAAAATTAAAGAGGAAATTCTTTTTTCGTGTGTTGGGTCTCGCAGCGATTACGTGTCCCTTTAATATTTCTCCTTTATTTTTGTGTTTATTTCGTGTCGTTTCACGAATTGCAATTTCGCGACAAAAATGTCGCGAAATTCATTTTTCTTCAAATGAATTGATCCACAAGACATTTCTTCAAAATGGGAGCGGCAATGCCGGCGTTTCGGCACGGCAGCTGCGGCATGCTGTTTTTGTTGATTCTTTGCAAAACGGCAGCGGCTGCTGTCGCCGTTTTTGAAACGGCAAAACGGCGGCGTAGCCGGCAAAATGAACATGCCTGTTTCAAAGTCTGAAGAGAAACTCACCAAAACCGCCACTTCGATCACAATAGAAAAAATGAAATGATTTTCAAAAAAAAAATTATTTCACGTCACGTAGAAAAATAAACACGTATCTTTGCAAACAATTTTTTTTCAGCCTTTCGTCGAAAAACCGCAAAAATACAAATGGCCTGCTCCATCAGAATCAATTCAAAAAAAATTTGATCGTGCTGCTCTAACCACTGATAATGCTGCTTGTTCTGAAATTGGCGGAAATATTCTGAAAAAAGGTGGAAATGCAATTGAGGCCAGTATTGCCACAATGTTTTGTTTGGGAGTTGTGAATCCACAAAGTTCTGGACTTGGCGGTGGTTTTTTGATGACTTATTATGATAAGTAAGTTCATTCAATAGATTTTTTTGTTTTTGAAAATTAAAACAAAACCATAATCTAGGAAATCTGGAAACTGTTATTCTATTGATGCTCGTGAGACTGCTCCAGCTGCTTCAACTCGAGATATGTTTTTGAATGACAGCGATGGATCGAAATACGGTTTCCGTGCAGCTGGAACACCTGGAGAATTGGCTGGATATTGGCATGTTTTCAAAAAGTTCTCATCTGGAAATGTTACTTGGAGTGAACTTGTTGAACCATCGGTTGTTTTGGCAAGAGATGGACATCCAGTGTCTAAATTTTTGGCAACTGTTATGAAAGTGAAGGAGAGACATTTCAGATTGTTTCCAAGTGTCAAGTAAGTCTCAGCTTTGTTTTAATGAGTTTTTAAAATGTTTTTTTCAGACATTGGCTGAATCCTGTAACAAATGCAACTTATCAAGAAGGAGATATTCTCAAACGCCCGAAACTTGCTAAAACTCTCGAAACAATTGCAAATTCTTCTGATCCAAATCAACTTTTCTATCATGGAGAATGGGCAAAAATAATGGCAAAAGAATTTAAAGAAGGAGGTGGATTGATAACTGAAAAAGATCTTGCAAATTATAAAGTTCGAGAATATGTCAACTCAAACTCAAATGAACATTTCCGTGGAAGTTTGATAATGTGTGGTGGACCACCGCCTTCTTCATTTGGTGTTACTCAATTAATCGTCTCTGTTATGAGTAAACTATTCCCCGAAGGTCATACTGGAGATATCTATAATGATCCTTCAGTTCTTCATAAATATATTGAAGCGATGAAATTCGCTTATGCTCAAAGAACACTTTTAGGAGATCACGATTATGTGAAAGAAGCATTGGAATTGTCTAAAAATCTAACAACACCTGAATATACTCAATGGGTTATTGATAGAATGACTGATAAAGCTCAAGATTCAAAAGATTATGGAGGAATTGCACAATATCAAGCACCAGATCATGGAACATCTCATGTATCAGTTCTTGATCAATATGGAAATGGTGTTTCTTCTACAACAACAATCAATCGATGGTTTGGTGCGGCTGTTGAATCAACTGAATTAGGAATTTTGTGGAATGATGAAATGGATGATTTTAGTACACCTGGAATGGAAAATGGTTTTGGATTTGCGCCAAGTGCTACAAATTATATTTCACCTGGAAAACGACCAATGTCAAGTATGAGTCCTTTGGTAATTTTTGATAGAATTAGTGGAAATGTTCGAATGGTTGCTGGAGGATCAGGAGGTTCGAAAATTATTTCAGCATTGGCTAATGTAAGTTTTATATATTTATTTTTAAAACATTCATAATTATTGACAATATTGTTTTCAGTCAATTGTACGCTCTCTAATATTTAACACATCAATCAAACAAGCAATCGATGCTCCAATGGTTCATAATCAATTTACACCTGACATCACACAACTCGATGATAATTTCCCAGCAGATTTTAAGAAAATCCTCGAAGTCGAACATCTTCAAAAATTCAGAAACACAACTGGTTTCGAAGGTGTTATTCAAGGAATTGATGTTAAACCAGATGGTATTTATGCATGTGGAGATTATCGACGAAAAACTCAACAAATTCCAACCGGTTTCTAAATTTTATATGGGTAACAGAATCATTTTATGTATCTTTTTGCAATTAGAGTGGATAAAGATTTTTATTTATTTTCTAATCAAAAACAAAACCTTGAGCACATTGAAATGAAAATGAAAGTTTCTAGTGAAAATTTTAGGAATAAAAAATAACCCGAATATGACTGACCGTAATTCTAAAAATTAAAATAAGGAAATAAGAAAAGCTAAAATAAAAGGAACGAAAGTTGAAAATAAAGTTCGTGAAGAATTACAAAGATCTCCACCACAACAACAAATATATCCAAGATTTGGAATTGTATCACAAGTTTCAACAATACGGTAGGTTTGGCAAATTGAAGACACACCAGTTCCATCACAATATCGAACCTGAAACAAATTATTCTTGTCAGATTCAATTTTTATTCACTTTCTGAAAAATAGTTTAGCTTCTCAGAAACATTTTTTTGACAATTCAGTTCAACATCAAAAACCTGTTAATCCCCCTCGAGACCACCCAGGAAAACTTTTTTGACTGGCAGAAATCCAAGATAACAACCCCATATTTTACATATATTCTTCTTGTTAGAAAAGTCAGAAGTCAAAAAAAAACCAGATTTGATGACACCTGGTGTGTAATTAGCCGTTCCCCCTTCTCCTTTCCCAGAAAATCTATATAATAATTAGCCAGAATGGGAAGAGTATAATTTTCGCGCACTTTTTGTGGGGTCACTGTCCCTTTGAAATTTTGTTCCACTATTCCTTAAAGAAGAAAATGATGACCTTGTGAATTGGTCGAAATTCAGAAAGCGTGTCTAATCTATGACAACAAATAAAAACATATAGATGTAACAAATAAATAAATAAGCACATAATAATCGAACTAACCGTGTCTAAACCGAGTGTTTGTTTGATACATGACATTGAAGGACAATTTATAACACGAAGATCAGATCCAGAATAACATTCGATTGCATTGGCAACAGTTATTGTTAATAAAAGAAGAATTAATAGTCGTAGCATTTTTCTGAAAAATTTTGAATTATTTTTTGGAATCATTTTTTCTTCAAAAACAAATAACGAAAAACGAGACAGCCAGGAATACATTGACAATAGCGAAATGGGTTTATGTACGGGGGTATAGCTCAGGGGTAGAGCGCTCGCTTTGCATGCGAGAAGTCTGGGGTTCGATTCCCCATACCTCCACAGACATTTTTGGATTTTTTTATGTCGAAAAAAACATTTTGAATGAGAAAAACAAAATTTCTAACAGAACAAACAAGTTCCACGCCCTAGGAGGAAGAAAATGCAAATTCAAACGACTTTTACTTCAAGTAAACAACACTTCAAAAAATTGGGTTGATAAAAAAGTGAACCGAACTGCAAAGAGCAACTAAAAAGTCCCGCCCACTTTTTTCATCTTTTCATTTCATTTTACGTTATCCACTTCATAACAACACATAAAAGGGAGGAGAATGAAGGGAAGAAAAAGCCGAAAAGCCCACCCTCTCGAAAAAAGTAGAAAGAAACATTCAGAATACATAAGTAGATCAAAAGTAGTTTTTCCCGTGACTTGGCTTCTTTTTCGCCCCGACTGGATTCAATTACTTTTCGATGTGAAGCGATTCGAAAAAAGGAATCATAATAATAATAATAATTTGAAAAACACTTATGGTAATTCCCCGGAAAAACTGAGATGAAAGATGTATGAAATAATTTAAATTGAATCGAATTCACGAGTGTGGTTGGATTCCACATACCTTCACAGTTAAAAATGTTTCAGAAAAAAAAACAATTTCCAAAATATCTAGCATAAAATTAATCCCAAAACCGCAATAAAAATGCGGCATAGTAATAATAATGAGTATCAAAAATGAATTTTTGATGTTATCGTAGAATCGTAACGACTCCCTTGGCTCTCGAAAAGGACGAGAAGAGGACAGGAAGTTAGTGTAGTTGGGAGAAGAAAAGAAGGAAGTGTTGAAAAATTGGTGAACAATGGGGTGACAGATTGGATGAGGAAAAGGGTGTGTAGTTGATGTAGTAAGGGTGAGGGTGGATAATACATACAAAAGAGTTGGAGTGGATTAGGGAGAAGGGATATGTAAGAAAATTTGGAACAAAAAACACACACCTCAAAAATATTTATACGAAAAAATCGTAGCATATAATCAGTCAGGAAGACTTTGACTTGTTTTTGAAAAACAAAATTTCTTCAGAGTGAGAAAAAACGAGAAATCAACAATAGAATTAGAATTCGAATAAAAAAATAATCCGAAATTATTTTGTCCTTTGAAAATGAATCATAATAAAACTCTCCTGTAGAGCGAACAATTAGCACAGATGAATAGAAGAAGAAAAAGAAGAAGGGATTTATTATTAATAACCTTTTTCATAAATTGTTTCCTGTTTTTATTGCGGTATTCTTCTTCTTGGGCACAAAAGTGTCAAATTACAACGAAATGAAAAAGACCTTGTTTTGTTTTGAATGGGATGAGGATTAATGACGAAGGACACTTTGTATAGAGATGTCAGCGACTAATTTAGAACTTTTTGCGACTCCTAAAAAAATGTTGGTAAAAAGTTGTTGGTGAAATTCTTATTAAAACTTGCTGAAGAATATTTTCAAGGCTTGCAAAGAACTTAGTTAATTTTCTCCCAGAAAACGATCCACATTTTCCCAAAAAAACAGAGTCCCACCAACCAAAAATAAAAAGCAGGTGCTCACTTCCAATTGAAATTCAATAATAAATTACACAAATACATTTAATCCACCCAAAAAGGTTTAACAACATATTAGATCAATTAGTAATGGACAACACAAAAAAGGAATTGAATTTTCAAATTGTTTAGAATACAAATACAAATATAATTATTTTTCGTTGAAGCGAAAAAATTGAGGGAAAATGAAAAAAGGTTGCGCAATAACGCCTTTTTGGCTTCGCTTCGAAATGTCGAAAACCTGTCTGTTTTTACCAGTTTTCGCTTTTTTGGCGAGTCGAGTAAAAGCGATTAGCTTAGCCCAGGCAGGCTTTGTAAATATGTTGTTTTAAATCGGATTTTTGGTTGGTAACGGACTGGACATAATAAATGAATACATAGGTATAATAAAAATGAAAACATATGAGTAATGGATCGGTTTATGGGTTTATATAGACAGGTTGCATACTGTAGAGTTTTGAAATAAAATATCCCATGTAATATGGAATTATTACTCATGAAATCATGACTCACAACTATCAATTTTGAAACTTGAAAAATTTGATTATCTAATGATTTAAAATAATGTTGTCAGAATGTTTGAAAACCCTAATTGTTATTAATTTTCATCCCACAAAAACTTTAAATAAAACACAAAAATCTCAGGAGAACGACCGCGAAATCTGCGCAAAAAGCGGGGCCTCTGCGATTCGCTCAACCTTCGCGGGAGAATCGCGCGTTTCGCACAAACCTCGCGCAATATGGGACCCGGTCGACTGGACGTCGCAAAATTTGCGCGAATTGCGGGGAACTTCGCGTTTCGCGGAAATTTCGCGGGCTTCCTCGACCGAATTGGAGCGTTTCGCGACATTTTCGCGCAGTAGCATGGTATATAAAAAACATTTTCGCTATTCGCGTCACGTGCGCGCATGGTCAAGTGGGTAAAACAAATGTATTCGAGGTGAGAGGTTGTGGGTTCGAGGTTGGGTGAGTGTGGTAAATACAAATGATGATCACCTGAATGTGAGGATCGATCATGATGCCATTTTGTTTTGAAATTGAGAGGACACCGCGAAATTCACGCAAAACGCGATAATGAAACCGCGAAATTTACGCGAAACGCTGTTACAACACCGCTAAAGCGCGGCGGATGCGCGGCGTTTTAGCGGACTTCTGGGGTTCGCGTTTCGCGCAGATTTTCGCGGTCGTTCTCCTGAGATCTTCTCAGGAGAACGACCGCGAAATCTGCGCAAAAAGCGGGGCCTCTGCGATTCGCTCAACCTTCGCGGGAGAATCGCGCGTTTCGCACAAACCTCGCGCAATATGGGACCCGGTCGACTGGACGTCGCAAAATTTGCGCGAATTGCGGGGAACTTCGCGTTTCGCGGAAATTTCGCGGGCTTCCTCGACCGAATTGGAGCGTTTCGCGACATTTTCGCGCAGTAGCATGGTATATAAAAAACATTTTCGCTATTCGCGTCACGTGCGCGCATGGTCAAGTGGGTAAAACAAATGTATTCGAGGTGAGAGGTTGTGGGTTCGAGGTTGGGTGAGTGTGGTAAATACAAATGATGATCACCTGAATGTGAGGATCGATCATGATGCCATTTTGTTTTGAAATTGAGAGGACACCGCGAAATTCACGCAAAACGCGATAATGAAACCGCGAAATTTACGCGAAACGCTGTTACAACACCGCTAAAGCGCGGCGGATGCGCGGCGTTTTAGCGGACTTCTGGGGTTCGCGTTTCGCGCAGATTTCGCGGTCGTTCTCCTGAGTTTGTTCCGAGTTTTACTTAACTCAAAATCATTCCTAATCAAAAATTGATTATTTCAAAATCAGCACGATTTTTGATTTTCCGATTTTTTGCGAAAAAACATTCTACCCGGATATTTTCTGTTTGTCCACTTTTTTTATTTATTTATTCATAATAATTGAATAATCTTTCGCGCATTTTTAATCAAAGTTCTCCAAAAAATGCGACTCCGTTTAATTTATTTTTTATCAATTTATATTATCAAAGTAACTTCTCAGTGGGGTTGTAAGTTTTTCGGGGATCGAGGTTTTTCTTCCAAATCTTATCTGAATCTATTTCTTCCAGGGAACAATTGGAATGTGCCAAATAATAATTTGGCAATCGGGTATCCAACAGCTTATGGTTTATATGCGGGTAGAGGACACAATGGCTGGGGAAATGAGGGAGGCGGAAATGGACATGTAGGTTGAAATTCTGAACTTTGATTTGAGGTAGTGAAATATCTAACTCAAACTTCTGGTGCCTAACGATCACAAATGTTCTCTCATTCTATTTGGAACTGGAGAAAAACTGTGTCAGGCCTCAAAAAAACCAAATTTTTCAGCCTGGAGCTGGTGGTGGATTTGGAAGCCCTTTGAGATGTTTGAATGGTGGAGCACACATCGGTCAATGTCGCTTGGATACTGACTCGATTTGCATTGCTCTTGGTGGAACTTGTTCGCATGGTGCTTGTTGTACAACACCATTTGTTAGTTTGGGTTTGACAACAAGTACAGTATCACCAAGAGAAAGTGTGATTGATGGAGAGGCGACAGAGAAAAAAAGGAAAAAGGTGACAAGGAAATTGAGAAGAACAACAACAATGAGACCAGATGAGGCGGGTGGAGGAGAGGAAGAAGATGGAGATGCTGTAAGTTGGTTTGAGATGAAAATCGTGGTCTGATATTTTCCTTCATCTTGTTAATATTTCAGTGGAGATCTGCTGAACTTGAAGAATGGAACAAACTTATAGAAAAAGCGAGAACCACTCCATCGCCAATTTTGGAAACATCAACAACTCCTCTTACAGTAACACCTTTCACTGAAACGCCGGAACCCAAGGTTTGAAATTTTAAAAACGTTAAGAAATCAACAGTTTATTTAGGTTTGCGATTCGGGTTTACGGCCAGTTGGACCATGTTCAGAAGATTCGGATTGTCCAACTTTACATCAATGCGAAAATCTACAATGTTGTTATCTACATTTTTAACACAGAAAAATAATCAATAATAAAATATTAAAAAGTTTGTGTTGGATATCCATCCTTTTTTTCCAGACGATGGTTTTCCTCCAGTTATTTGAAATATCGGTTCAGATTTCAGCTGTTTTTCATTTGGTTGCTGGGAAACAATTGGAATAACTGGTGTCGTAGTCATGGCGCTGATCTGAACACAACAAAACACATTATCACCTGTGTTTGGGATTACTGTACCTGAGTCATAGCAGGATTCAATTGAGACATTTGAACTTTTTTGGTGAATTGACGATATTTGCAGCCACACAGAATTGTATCACGGTAAGATGGGAGAATAACAAATGTGAAAATGAGAACACTTGGGCCAAAAAAGAAGTTCCAAGTTCGAGTTGCCATTTCATTTGTAAGAAGATCGTAGTCATTTGAGAGATCAAGGAAAAATGCAAGAGAAACATAACAATCTGAAATTATTTTTCTAGAAAATATAATTTTTTCCTTTGAAACTAACAAAGACATGGATAAAATGTGATTGGCGCAGCAAGCGAGAATAACATAACCCATCCCAATCGACTTCTTGCATCAAAAACAACTGGATCCAACATATCCATTGCCATTTTAGTTCCAGAACAACAAGTAAAAGCGAGACATCCCATTCCAATCAAAGCAAACATAAAAGCCATTGCAATTATGATAAGAGCCAAAATCATAATTAGAGATGGAGCAGCAAAAGTTGGTTTGGAGCACATATTGAAAATGGCAGAAAGTGGAAGCGAAAGCATGAGGACAAGAAGAAATGGAACCCAAGTACAACAATTATAGTTTTGTTTCCGAGTTGTACCCATTTTAGTAGCCATGTAGAGAAGAAATGGAAGACCTTGGATAAGAGTTAGTTGAGATGTTGTCATTGATGTTGCGTAGATCATATCAATTAACCAAGCTCTGAAACAAAAATACATTTGAAGAATTTTGAATAAAAACTCACTTCTCAATTTCTCTCGGAAACAAAAAATTCCAAACCAATGTTGCGATTTTCATAATAGTTGAGACAGTTAGCGGCAACGCCACTGATGACATATAAGCTTCCATAAAATCTCGTTGTATCCAAATATTACAAAACCACAAAGCACTCAACAACAGAACTTCGACCAAATCAAAAAACACTCCAAAAAACGATCGATAGAGTAAACTCTCGAGATAATAAAACATCGGATAATCACATTCGATGGTAACCAATTTTCCACGTGACACATTATAACAAAATGAAGAGTTATAAGTGGTTCCCATCGAAACCAATCCATCCAACATTTCTGATTACAACTGAAAGTTTTCCTGAAAATTTTTTCATCTGTCTTTTTTTTCTCATGCAACAGCTGAAATTATTACAGTAATCCACAGAATAAAAAAGTGTTTATTTTATTTTTTCATCTTATTTCAGGCATTTATGTCACCCGTTTGGAATAAATGTGTATAAGTAACCGGAATATAATATGTCGATGATAATTATTGTGAGTAAAAGCAAAGCGTTATTTTGGTATATAAATTAGAGTTAGGCGAAGTTTTGGTTAGATTTTTGAGCAAATTATGTACAATTTTAATTAAAAACTCTCATTCATTCGAGTTTTCTGAGCGATCGAGAAGATGAGTACATTGTGGGTGTTGCGCAACGACTCGATAGCGGTTTTTTGGGCGCGCGGAATGATCCGAGCGGTATTTTTGAGCGTTGGAAGGGGCTTGAGGCAGATGAGAATTGAAGTGGATTGCCAAAATCAGCAACTGTTCCAAAATCAAGTGATGAAGCAAGAGATGATTGACTTCCAAATGATCGAAGATCAAATGATGAAATCGCGTGTTTCACCTGGAATTTTGTTATTTGCAAAATATCAGCAAATATAGAGTTACCTGAAGTTTCTTCATCACAAGATCATTTGATGATGGAATTCGTTGCAACGGTAATGTCAATTTTGGCCGCGGAGCACTAACATTTCGAACTTTTTCCTTCAATCTGTAATGCGAAATATTGGAAATGAATCAAGTTTTAATTCAAAAACTCACTTTGCAAGGTATATATTTTTCTCGCGACATACAATATAATCAGTTCGAATAATTCCATCTTCAGCCATTTCCAATTCATCTTCGAGTTGTTCAAACTCGGCAAGTTCTTCTTCTTCTTTCATCGCATATGCGATATGACTTAATTTTAAATCATGTTCAAGATCGTATTCAAGTTGTTCAACTTGTTGTTCGACACGTGTCAAATGTTGGAAATTGTCACTAGTTGTTGGTTCACAAACATCAACAGGTGAACGTGGTCGACTTGTTTTTGAGTTCAGATCTTCGCTTGAACTTCGACTGACATATCCGATATCAGTATCAGATGAATCACCAGATTCTTTGCTATATTTTCCATGTTTGAATTGAACTAATGATTCATACAAACTTCCATCTGATTTTGTTTTCTTCTTATGATTTTTAGCTCCAGATGATGTATCCTGAAGCAATTGTAATAATGTTTTGGTTGTTTGCAAAACGCTGATAAATTCTCCAAAATTGAAAAGCGAAATTGGTGTATTATCAAATCTCGCACAAAGTTCACACATATTTTCATACACATTGTTCTGAGTGTTCAACGAGATTTTGATAGCTTGGAGATCAGAAATATATTTAAGACCAATCAATATTTCATCAGCATCAATTGTTGTTGTCATCCATCGATCTTGTAATAAATTAGTTGTTGTTCTCCAAGAATTCATTTCCGAATTCGTAGCACCCATCTGTAATTATTTATGAGTCAAATATTATTTTTTTCAGGGAAAACTTACAATTTTAGTTTGTGGATCAAACTTGAGCCATAAATAATTAGTTCCAGTTGTTGTGATATCATTTCTTGTGCAAAGACAAAGTGAATAAATATTTGTATCTTCAGATAAAATAGATGATAATGGAGTGAGTGATAAAATAAATGTTGCAACAACTTGACACTTGGATTTTGCGAGAAGTGCAGAATTGTTGACGAAAACACTCAATGCTGTCACACTTATGACATCTGAACATATTTGGGAATTGTTGACAATTGCCCAAGCGGTGAGTTTAACGAGCAATATTTGTTCGAGTTCGCAATTCATATTAATCCATTTTGAATCAACATCAAATTGTTGAACATTTTCAATTTTTCCTTTTAAAGTAGTAGATCTTTTACAGAAAATTGAAACTCTATCCATATTCAAAATATCCATTTTTGAATGAATATTTGTAGAATGCATAACAAGAGTTGATGTGTTATTTCCTTGAATAAATCCAGAAGATGTGATTGATTCGCAATTTATACTGATATTTTGACAAGATTCAATATCTGCATTATAGATGCTGAGTTCAGAACATTCAATACAAAACTTTTCAACATTTCGAATCTTTTCATTTTGCAAAGAAATACTTTCTCTCGCAAAAAGTTCAGCAAACTTGAAATTTCCAAGTTGTCCTTTCACAATCATTTTAGTTGTTTCACAAGCAATTTCACTTGTTGGAGTTGATCCCAAAATTGATCCACTCAATCGAACAGTTCCTTCTCGTGATTTTACAAATAATTTCTTCTCCAAAAACAATGTTCCTTCGATATTCAAATCTTCAGCAATCATAGTTGTTGTATCTTCTCCTTCACATGATTCAAGTCGTAAAATATTTTCACCGAGAACATCGAAAGATTTACATTGAATTTCATCGATTCTTACAACACTATACATTTCAAATGCAATATGTGAACTTGGCATAATAACATGATTTGCTTCCAAATTTCCAGCTCCAACAATTGACACATTTTTGACATTTCCAGTGAATCTCAAACGATTACATTGAATATTTCCATCAAACAGAACTTGAACATTTTCTGATTTTGAAGTAACAACAATTGTATTTGCAATAATTGTTGAATTTGAATGAATAACAAAAGATGCAATATCTTGATCTCCTCCAAGCAAAACTTCAAGACGATCAACTTGCATTTGACAATCAATTGCAACACTTTGTTGTGCAGCACATCCAACTGATAATTCTTTTGATTCATCTATAACATCACTTGATAGTAAAAGATCAGTCTTTGCAGAGAACTGGAGTCTTTTGTCAACTGATAAATTTTGAATATTTCGAATTGCAACATTCAAACGATTTGCACAAACATCAATATGTTTTTTGGCTTTAATTGATCCTCCAAGTCTTGTCCATTCTTTTGAAACTGCTAATAATTTCATACTATTTTTTGATTCAATCAAACCATCATCATTATTAAAATTGCGCAATTTAATATCCATAGATTCAACTGCATAAATTCGATTTGTATTTTCAAGAATACCATCTCCAATAATTTCCAAATGATCACATGCAATAATTCCATTATTCAATAAAAGTTGTCCAATATGAATTAACAGACTTTTAACATGATTCTGCTTGTTTTCAACATTTGTCAATCTTCCTTCGTGTACAAAAACAGGTGAGATGATACTTATTTCATGACCATTGAATTTGATTTGACCAGCGTGGAAAAATGTTGTGGCACAAATTATAGCCTCAGGTTTTGGTTTCAATCCAGCCATTGATAAAACAACACTTTCTTTTGCAGTTGAAAGTGCTCCAGAATTGATCAAAATATTGAACTCTTTATCATTTTTCGATTCAATTCCATTCAATCTGGAATATTTTTTTGGAATTATAAAATTTGATTGTAAGAATTACCTGATGACAGAAGATTCTGATATATGAATTGATGCAAATGGAGCAACGATAGCTGCCGCTGTCAAATTGCAAGCCAAAATCAATCCAGGTTTGACAGGTTCTCGAAGATTTTCTTCGGAAACTTTCAGATTTCCATTAACAGTTAGAGAACCTGCCACAACATCAACTTGTCCTTTCAACATCATAATTGATTCATCAACATAAGGAAGTGCAATTTGAATTTCGTTACAACGAATCAATCCATCGAATGCACAATATTTTAAACTTTTGATATTTATATCACTTGAAATTAATCTTCCACCAAAAACTTCGTCTTCACAAGATTCATGAATAACAACATTCATTGAATATTTGACAAACATTGTTCCATCTTCCGATTGTTCAATTGTTCCAGTTGTCATTTTCAAATTCTTTTCGATTTGCCAAAGTGAATCATTTCTAAATGATCCAGTCGTAACTTCAGCATCATTCATAACCATAACTTTTGCAGTTGAAGTTGTAATCAATTCATTTCGAACATAAACAATCATATCCGAACTTCCAACATAACCTCCGATTGTACAGAAAGCTTTGCATGTTAATCGGAAAATATGAGTTTCGAGTCGAGATGATCCGAAAAAATGTGCAGAATCTTGAAGAATCAAATCAAGTTGATCTGTGACGTGGCAGAATCCATTAAAATGAAGACTTAATGATGAAATATTTGCGGATTCTTCGATAAATAATTTGGCATTCAATTGAACTGTAAACATTTCTTGACAATGTAACCAACACGATGTGAGTTGCCAAGTTCCATCAACTTCACAATTTCCAGCACTTTCAATTTCAAGTTTTTCTGATTCAATATAAGATCCTTGTCTAAATGCAATATTATTAAATGCATCAATAACCATAGATTCTCCAGCACACCACATTCCATCACATTCAAATCGAACACAACTAACTCGAACAAATTGTTCGAATGATAATATTCCATCATTAGATGTGCTAACTAATCCACCACTGTGAAGAATAAGACTTCGAGTTTTTGTTTGTCCATTGAATATCACATTTCCTTTAACTTCCAATTCAACCCATGTCGAACTCCAAATCGAATCTTTTTCAACACTTGAACTTCCTCCAACTTTTAATTTCAGAGTTTTTGCATTAAATTGAGCTGTATCTTCACAATTCATTGCAATAATTGCTTGAATATTATTAGCTGTAATACTTCCACGTCTCCAATCATGAGCAACAAAAAGAGCATTGATTAATGTTATTCTTTCTCGAACTGAATTCAAATTTGATTTTTCTCTTGCATCTTTATATTCTGCAATTGCTGATTGTCTCAATGTTACTTTCTTTGTTTTTGCAGCTCTAATTCTATCATTCAAATCAACTCCATTTTCAATTAAATTTGCAACAGCTCCAGCATTCTGATTCTGAATTGCCGAATGCATTGTGCTACTTGATGGTGCACAACCATTTCCACCATCAATTTTTCTCAATTTTTTCAATGCATTATATCCTCTCCCAGCACTATCCAAACTTCCATCCGAAAGTGAAATCAAGTTTCCATGTATTTGCATATCAATATTATTTTTCGCCACAATTTTTCCATAGTTTGCAAGATCTCCAGCAATTTGAATTTTCAAATTTGCAGCAACAATTTGTTTCTGAGGTTTGAGTCGAGTTCGATTATCTTTCTCATTGGAAGCTCCAACACTTCCATCAACTCCAATATGAACAAGACCACAAGCCATTTCAACCAACATATCACGATCTTCTTCCGCTGGGAAAATTCGACCATCAATTTGCAATTTTCGACAAATTGCCTGGAAACCGATAATTTATAAAATTAGAAAAAAATAAGAAAAACTAACCTTGAATACATCAGAACTAAGAAGTGCTTCAGTGGAAAGAACAACATTCTGCGAATGGAAATGGAGACTTCCAGAACATGTGATTTTCGCATAAACATGCATAGTACCTACAGTACTTTCGAACGTCAGGTTTTTGCCCCGAAGAACACCATTGACTTCGAGGTTGGAACCGGCAATCGTCATCTAAATTTAGTTAAAATTTTGACTGGGAAAAATTAAAAATGTGGAACTGGGGTCTCTCGATTTGATAGAACTTTCGTTTGAAATAATCTAAATCGAACCAATTCTGAAATAATAGTCAATTTTTGCTACTAACATTCAAACTTTGAAATCTGATTTTTCAAAAAAGCAGATCTCTATAATCCGATTCAAAAACAATCTATAAAAATTCTTTTAAAAACTCACATCTTCTACGGTTGAATTAACTTCCTTAACAGTCGTTTTAATTTCTTGTTCCTTATTCAAATTCGCTGCAAATATAACACATTCTGGTTTCTTCTCATGAACATGCTGCAATGTTATTTTATATTGTTGTTGCATTCGCTGTAATTTGATTGTATAACCATGTTTAATTTCTTGACTAATTGGTTGATAATTTATCGAGATATCCAATGGAACATTGATTTGAATTTGATTCGATGTCGTCTGCTGAATCGCTGGACGATGTCCTCGATCTATTCGTATTGACAGCTTTTCGTTTGTTGCTGCCAACATTTTTATCTGAAAAAATGACAGAAAATTATTTTGGTGAAACCAAGAAGATTCTAAATAGAAAAAGATTATCAGGAATATTTTGATACGTATTCTGATAAGTCCTGGGAAATTCTTCCCACCCTTGCGAAAAAACAAAAACATCATAAAGATTAAAAGTGCCGAAAAGCCATAAATCAGAGGGGATTCTATTGATTAACCTAATTAGGAAAGTTAGAGGAGATGTGAACGACGCAAAAAAATTATTGAAAAAGATTTTATCGCGCGCGCAATTAGATGTTTCTCATCTTGAAGAAGTCTTGAAAAGGACATTCATTTTTTTAGCCAAGAAAATGACCAAAAAAAAAAACTGTAATATCACACCCGAGAAAATTATTATTCATACTACATATTTCGAAAAAAAAAACAAAACCAAAAATGATTCACTAACAAAACATCCGTATTGACTTCCAACTGTCAAAAAACTATAACAAATTGCAGAACTTTTTTCACTATTTTAAAATTGTGCAAATATAATTTTCGAACTTTTACGAACAAAAAAAGATAAGAAAATCCCGCCAAGTTGTACTAAATACTTCTACCATAAAGAAAAACACAAAAAATGGGGGGGGGGGTTTCAAATATTTGCGCACTGTGTGCTGCTGCTTCTTCAATAGTAGTGTTGTGTTTAGAAGTGGGATTAAGTGGACTTAGCAGACATGTGTTATGGTTTGGATTCGATTCGCTTCTCTGATTTTTTTTTGGCTGGGGTGTGGCGGCTGACTGCATTTATTTTTGAAAAACTCAAAAATGATTTTAAAAAAAAGAAAATAATTTCCAGAATCAAAAATTGCAGGCGAAATAAATTTTTCCTAGTCTAACATCAATTTCTGAAATTCCATAAAGCTTACATTAATCATTTTTTTGAAAAACTCAAAAATGATTTTTTAACTGACAAATTGTGAAACAAATAAATTTATTGAGCTCAATATGAATAATTTTCCAAATAATTTAAATTTTCAACAACTATTTTCAACTAAAAATGTCAAAGTCAATTTTTCATTTCCAGAAAAAAAAAACACTCTTCAAATTCCAATAAACGCACGCTAAAGAAAAACGAAGCCTCAACCATTCAAATTGAAATTAATTAACAAAAGCCAATCGATTTTCATTTGGCGCCAAAAGTTGAGTGTAACAACTGTTGGAAAAAAGGAGGCAAAAAATGGCGTCGCTATTAATTTATTCACAAAAATATTATTTGAATAATTTTATTTTGGAAACTGTACTGGTTTTTTGTCATGTTTTGATGTTTGAACATAGTGACAGTTTCCAGAAAAAATATCCAGAATCTAAGTCTAAAACTAAAACCAAAACTTCAGAAAAATATTTTCGTCGGCGGCGAATTTTCGCATTCTCAAAGGTGTTGGTTTGGATGTATATCAAAGTTACACATCTGGCGCTGCCTGGTCACCTTTTCAATAGCGAAAAAAACAACAGAAAAATGACCCTGAAAATAGAATGGATTGCTGCTGTTCGAGACCGAATGATTTATCTTGCAACGAGTTTATAGATGAATCAGATTGAAGAAGCGGCAAAAAAGTTGTCAGGAAAAATGAATGAAGAAAAAGGGTTTTGAAATCGGATATTTTTATTTTTTTTTGACTCAGAGTGAGGGAAAAGCGGGAGAAGGTAATTAGAAACCACAATTGATACTTTAAACTTGGAAGATTTTCGGAGAAATATAGAAGATTGGGGGAAAAGGACAAGTACTGTAGTTTAGTTGATAAGAAGATAGTATTGTTGATCAGATGATTAATTTGAAGAGTTCAGGACTAAAGTTCATCAAAATAAATTTTCTACTATTTACGTTTTGTAGATTTGTGAATTCAGAATCTTTGCATTTTGTGTTTAACATACACTTAAACTAGTTCTATCAGAAAGCCTAATGTGGCGTAGGTAATTACAAACTACATAGAACAATCTGAAAATCATAATTTTTTCAAAATCAACAGTAATGAGAAAAATATTTCACAATAAATCAAGTAAGTAACATAAAATGTTGCTCATGAAAAATCTTCTTCTCCCTCTTTGCTCATTTCTTTTTTGCAGTCCACCCTCACAACTTTTGATAATCAATCATCATCAGTCAAAGCCAATAAAAAATAATAATGAAAAAAAATCCCACAAAAATAATATTCGTCTTCTTCTTCTTCTTTATCTTCGGAGATAAAGCCAGCTCACAGATATCTATACTGATTTTCGCCAGCTCAAAAAATCTCAAAAGACATGTCATTGTGGTGTAAATGTGTAATATAAAATGAAAAAAAAGAAGAAGAATATAAGATGAAAAAAGAGCACCTGTACGAAGAACAGCAAAATTTATTATGCAATTTTTTGTTGTTGGAAGGTGAAGATGTGGATGTTACAATCAGAATGTCAAAAAAGTGGATACGGTGTCAAATAAAATCGGAACAAAAACTGACATTGACAAATCTATTAATAGTGTGAAAAGTTGATAAGCGCGAAAAAGTGCCTTTCTTCTCTTATTCTTCATTTTTTTGCAATTAATTAATTAATGAGATTTTTAAGTAGCTAGAAAACATCTGGGTATGTCATAATAATATTAATAAAAAGATGGATGTAGAAGAAGAAGAAGAAGAAGAAGAAGGAGGAAAATAAGAATAACATGGGTTTTATTTCAAATAAAAAAACCCAAGAGAAGAAAGAGATATAAATTTTGGCGCCATCGAAGGGTGCAGAAAATCAATAGTAGTTGGTTTTTCCCGCGCATTGGCGCCTTTGTTCAGGTAAAAATAGACAAAAGAAGAAGAAGGAGAAGTTCATGGGAACAACAACAAAAAACCGAGTGAATAGAAATAGAAAAAGGTAAGTGCAAGGTGATTACAGTAATCTCTGGGAAAAATATTTTGTTTGGTTTTTCAGGAAATGAACAAATTATCGGAAGAGGAAAATGGAAAAAGCTGATTTTTTCAATAAAAATGATCAAAGGAAAAAAACAAAATTCTATATACAAAAACACCTTGGCCACCGCTTTATGATATAAAAATCCAACATTGAAATTTTTTTTCAAATTCAAACGTGAAAACCAGGATTACTAGGGTTGTTTAAGCTCTCAAGGCATGGCTCCTTAAAATAAAGTCACTTGACAACTAAGATTTCTAGGCTCGACTATTTGACACAAGGTCAATAAGTAATAAAAACATCTGATGACATTTGAAAAAACCCAGAATCTACGAGAAAAAAGAGCGCATAGAAAAATAAATAAATAAGTTCCGGAAGGTTTCCATATGTTTTTCTCAAATAAAAAAATGACACAAAACTTTGAGAGTTCTCTCTTCTTATCTGTTTCCCGAACAAAAATAACATTTATTTCTGCAAAAAATCGAAAAGGTGACATGTCGAAGATGGCAATAAAATAAACAGTCGTCAATCAAACTACAGGTCGAATAACCTACGGTGCGAGAAAAGAAAAAACGAGATAGAAAAATAATAAAATTGTATCCAAAGAGATACTGACTATCAGAGACTAATAACTAATAATAACAATAAAAAATTATACTTATTTATGTACTATTTTTATGAGATTACTTAACTGTTTACGAGTTAGAAAAACGAAAAAATGGATGAAAATCAATAATTTTAGATTCGAAAAAAGTTTGTGTCTGGCGAGCAAGATAATAAACAAAAAAAACACCAATTTAGTTGGTCCGCTGTCCGGAAATCGAATTTCTTCTTCTTTCTTTCTTTTCTCTTTTTCATCTCTATTTTTATACTCGCGCGGAATATAAGAGCATCTGGCTAATTGAATTGAAAAAAAAGTAGCAAAGGGTCATTTTCGATAAAGCCATATGTTGTTATGAAAAGACAAGAAAAGGAAAAAAATGAAGAGGAGTTGAGTTAGTTTAGAAATTTGAGAAGATGGAACATTTTGAGAAGGAGTGAAGAAAGAAAAACACAAGAAAAAACTAGGAAATCAGAGTTGTAGGGTGATTTTATTAATGTGAGAAATATTGAGAAAAATTATAGAAAATTATTTTTTTTCGAGGAAAAGAGAAATGGCAATTTTTAACGTAAAACTTTTTTTTTAATTTTCAGAAAAAAAGGACAGTTTGGAAATTTTTGGAAATTGAAAAGTCGTTTTTTTAAAGAAATTTTCAGAAAGGTAGTTAGAATTCATTTTTTCGTCAAAATTAATTATTCCAGAATGACCGGAAATAGTTAAATTTTTGAAAAAAACTAATACAACGCAAAAGATGTTCAACAAATCCAAAATAAAATCTAGAAACAAATTATAATGCAGGAGAAATCCCATTATATTTACATAAATTAAAATTTCTTGAAAATAAATATCCTAATCGCAAATCTATCAATCTATCAAAAATATACACAAAAATTATATATTTACGGGGAGAAAATCAAATATTTTGGCTTTGCTCCTCACGACGACCCCTCCGCCTACTCTTCACAAAAACACTTCTTATGCAAATTAAATTGTCTGCTTCTCTCAATCCCGCAAACTCTCTCTTCAATTATCATAAAAACAATGATGATAGAAATAAATTTATAAAAGGTGAGCGAACGAAAGAGAATTTGTTTTTTTTTTTTTGAAAATGGAACATTGTTGGCAAATTTTTTTGAAACATCGAACAAAACCAGTTTGGTATAGAAAAGCTACTTGGTTTTTGAACACATTTGAAAGTAAATATAATTTTTTGCTACCATAGACGTTCGAAAAAAAACGATAGCTTTTTTTTGTAAAATCAAACTTGGCCGAAATCCAAATGTCACATCGAATCAAAACAAACTGTATAATAATATAATATTAGCAAAAAAGAAGACATTGTTATTATGCTTGTCGGTTTCGCTTCATTTCATTTTCTTATCGTAATTTGTATGAAATGAAATTGAATGAAAAAGAGAAAATGTGATTCAAGGTGTTGTTTGAACGTATTCTAATTGTTGTAAAATGTTGGAAGTCTTGAGATATTCGAATTTAAGATCATGAGAAGAATAGTCCAACCTTCAGAATTTCAAATAAAATTAGAGATTAAAAAACTGAGTATCATAAACTCACATTAGATAACAAAGAGCCACAGAAGAGCATACATTTTGAAGAAAAACATGAAAGAGTCCTTATAAAGTTTTGTGCGGAAATGTGTTGTTTAGAACAAAGATGGGAGAGAAATTTGAAAAAAATAATTTTTTTTTCAATTTTTTTTTCAGAAAAAGCAGTTTTTTTTTTAAATATTTTCTGAATTTTTGTGATTGGTTTTGGTACCTAAAACTGATAAGATCGCGATTTCGAAATAATTTTTTGCACACTTTTAATTCCTATTATAAATTTTCAAAAATTCTCTAAAAATGTTCCAAGCGTTACAAAATCTAATCTCGATTTCGCGCAAAAATTAAAAAGAAATTTCAAAACTTTCCCTCCAAAGAACTAACCTTGATTTCACAAATCGGAAATAGCGATCTTGTAATCTGTGTTGGCGAATCCATTTTTTGTGAATTCTTCAAGATCCTTTTTTTCTGTAAAAATGTTTGTTATTTGTTGTTGTTTTTCCATTTCTCCATCATCAAAAAAGCAGAAAAAATAAATCGATTCCAGGTTCAGAGAAAAAAACACATGGAAAAAAAGAATAGTAGTTAGAAAAAAAAACACAAATGTTCGAATTTTTCGAACTAAAAATATATATTTCTGCTAGAAGCTCCTTGGGGAAAACAAAAAATGTTTGAACTTTTTCTTATGAAAAATAAAATTTTGTTGAAAAAATTAGCGAATTCAATTACGTGGTTGGAATTTTTCATTAGATAAGAAGCTTCAAAATAATTGGAATGATAACAAAAACTTTTTTGAAAAGGGTAAAGGGTAAAGCAATAAATCTTGAGGATTTGATTGATTCGATGAAAAAATGTCAATGACAAAATATGAAGAAGAAAAAATGTCTGGAAAGATTCCAATCACACAAAAAAAAGACCAGCTGGTCTTCAAACACCTCATGAAAACCTCATAAAAAGTTTAGACGAAGCAAAAATTGTTGCGTGTTATGTTCTTCCTAAAAACTAAACACCAAATCAATAGGCGGTGTACTTGAAAACGAACAATAAGAAAAAAGTTCGGTTATGGAGAAAAAAAGAGAAAAATAAACAATGACAATGTTCTTGTCAGTTTCGAAATACTGTTGGTGAGAATTGAATTGATAAAATGATATGGATAGGCTGATTTCCTGTTGCAGCTGCTGCTAACTACTTGTCGCCTTTAACCGGTTTTTTGTTCTATTCGTGAATTTGGTGTGTGTTTTTTGTTTGAAAAATGTTCGTTATAGACATTTCGAAAGAAGGAAGGTTTTTGTGATTTATGTATTTGCTAGAAGACACATTGTCAATCAGTAATTTATAGATGTTCAGTAACACGGCGATATAAAATTTTATAAATAATCAAAAAATGTTGCCTGAACGCTTTATCCGTGAAGTTGAAAATATGTTTTTTAATAAGAAAAATAAAGAGATGGCCCGGCAACAGAGATTATGAGTACTTTTAAAAATGTTCAAATATTGATGAATAAAACTCAAAATGCATTTACTTTATAAAAAATTGAATAAAAAAGCGAAATCACTGAAAATTTTGCGTCACATCAAGTTTTTCGATGGGTGCAAACACCGCTTCGTTTTTTTTCAAAAAAAACAAGAGAAATAATCACATAAAAAGTATACTGGTTGGGAACCCTCAGATTCTCTCCAAATATTGGCATAAAAATAGAAAATTAATTGAATTTACAACGACACTCCCGCTAACGGCCGCTTGCCCGCTGTTTAGCGCAACACGAGAATGTTTTCATTTTTCGTTTTTTTCGCGCGCAGGGTTATTATGGGAAATTGTTGTGAGACTTAGAAAGCCCTCGTCAAAAATCTATAGAAACAGAAATTGAGTTAGTAGAACTCAATGGTACATGAAATAATCACAATTTCTGATTTTCAGCTTGAAATATTGATCAACAATTGGATTTCAATGTCAATAACGTGGAAAATTTGGAGGATTTCGGATTTCTCAAGGATTTTTGATTGGGATTTTCGAATTTTCGATGTTTTTCGTGTGATTTGAGAAATAGAAGCGATTGGTGAGTTTTTTGGGGAGGGATTTCGGAAAAATTGAAAAAAAAACGATAGAAAATTCTGTGAACCTTGAAAAATATATGAAAATTATGATAAAAATTGAAAAATTTCTGAAAAATTTTTTTCGAAAACGCGAAAAACAAAAAAACTGAAAAAAATAAAACGTATATGTGGCCGAACTGTTTTGGTGGCCGAGAAATGTCGGGAATCCGGCCAAAGCATCAAAGCTCCAGCAATAAGGATTTTTGCAACATTAGAGCGCGTTTGTTGCTTTGTGCAAACTCGCGAGTACTCGCGAATAAGAACAATAAAGAATAGGAAAAATAAAGAAGACGTAGTAGAGCCGTTCCGATCATAACATTATGCCTCTTTGCTGGACCTCAAATATAGAACCTAAGCCTAACCTACGCGCGAAAAAGTAAATGGAAATTATTGATCGAGTCACGAAAATTGTTTTAGAATTCAACAGATTTTATTTTTGAGATCAAATTGGTAATTTTTATGAATTGATCAAAAATAACACAAGGATCGACTAAATACTTTATTGTTAATTTATCATGAAAATGTGTTTTAAAATCGGGGTTCGTAGAAAAAAGAACATATTTTAGGAAAGAGTAAAAGTTATATTGAAATCGAAAAGTCATTTGAAATGTATCAGGAAGTATGTTATTTTAAATATTTGCGAAAAGGAACGATTACAAATGAAAACTAAAAGGAAATGGGAAATCATTAAGACAAAAACATTGTAAGGTTAGAGATTAACCGATGCAATTGTAGCCGATGTTGAGATGGTGGATCTTGCGATTTTGTTGACAACAGTTTGGGTGTCATCAACAACTGGAACACATTGGCAGCTAACTCTGCGGTACAAAACACGACGGAAGAAAACACCACGAAGAACGAAGCAAGTGATCAAAAGATCGATGAGTGGAGTGACATTCAAGAAGAGCATGATGCAGTCGGCTGTTGGGCTTAAATAATAGATATGCTCGATTGTCTTATTTTTTGCTAAACTCACATGTTAACCGAAGTTTGGAACATGTAGGAACAGATAACCAAGAGAGACATCATTGGGTAGATCAATTGGAGAAGAATGCATTTGAGATAATTGTAGCGGTTCTCAAGTTGGGTGTTTGTTGGAGCTGGGCTGAAATATCTTATTGAATTTCTAATTAAGTAAGTATCAATAAACTTACAATTTTCCCATGAAAAGATAGAAGAGTTGGACGATAAGAAAGAAGTATCTGAAGATGAAGATCATCAATCTGAATTGAATCGCATGTTGATGATGTTCGAAAAATGCAGGGAGAAGTTGATCGATGAATGAGCTCAAAGTATTGACAAGCAATACTGCGTAGATGAAAACAGGCATATAAAGGAACTCGAAGCGAGAAGACCAGATGAGACAAAGTGAGAAGATCATTTGAAGACCGAAGTAGAGTCGACCAAAGTTGTTGATTAGAATTAGATTGAACTCATTGAGAACAATCTCTGGATTGTTGGTGTTTGATTCGAGAATCATTTCCAAGATTTTATCATAGGAATGATATTCTTGAAGGGCAGACGACATTTTTCCGAGAGAAAAAGGGCGAATTTCCAGAGAATAAGTTCAAGAAAATGAATGAAAATGGGGAGGAGCAAATATTGAATTGTATTTGAAGAAAGTTGTAGTGATTAAGAAGGGTTACGGTAATCACGAGTGGAAAGAAAAAAGTAGAATGAGGGGGCAAGTTTTGAAAAATGCAGTACATCCGAAAACAGAGGGGTTTTTCGAAAAATATTTATTTCCAAGTATTTTTCAATTGATCAAAATACGTATTTGTATTTGATTGTCCACCGATTCCAACTTTCGCAGAACTTTGACGTTGTCTTCTGGCTTCGATTTGGTTGATTTGAATCATTTGGCAAACTGGGTATCTGAAAATAAACGAGAAAAGTGATTTTGACTTAAACTTGAAATTTTTGATAAAATATTTGTTTTCTAATTGTTTACGACTCCTTTGTCAATTTTTAGTTTTCAAGCTCGAACCTTCCATTTCCTTTGAGCCATATTTTCATGGAAACCCCTCTTCCTTCTTCTTCTTCTTCTTATCAAAAACTTGTTTACTACATACATAGTAAGCTTCTAAATTTTTTCAAAGAAGTGATGTCAAATTAAACTCACAACGCCCACAAAAGTTCGACTAAAAATGCAAGAATTGGATGATATTCACGATCTTCGGTTAAAGGATTCAATATTGAGAGAAGATATAAAAATGTTGTTGAGATAACATTACAAGTAAATGTTCCCAGCACAATATGAATAAGAGTCTGAAAAATATGTACTCAGAAATAGTTCCGCATCTTTAGAGTACCTTGAAAACATGTAAATTTTCTTTCAGTTGATATCTGATACTCAATGTATAATCAGAGGCATTGTAGTTTTGCATAAGTTTCAGTTTTTTCTTTCGAGATTTATTAAAGTTGAAAATTGTAAGATAAATTATACAACATGGTAAACCCATAAATAAAATCAGTCCTATGGCTGAATTTATTCCGAGAACTCGATGTGTGAATCCATACGCAAAACCAATCGAACACAACATCTGAAAAAACTTGTTCCTTCCTCATAATCTTTTTTTCTAGAAAGAAAATACCATAGAAATCACTATGATCACTCCAATTGTAATTGATTTTTCCTGTTCATATGTTGATATTCTTATAGTTGCTATAAGTCTTTCAATAACTACCATAACTATGCTTAAAAAACTGAAAAGCATAAAAGCTACTTTGATATCTCCAGCGATTATTATTATAAAATCCCCAGGATAGTCGTCTGATTAATTAAGAAAAAATTGTATTTTTGTAGGATTAGAAATACATTTTAAAGGGGAATAACAAGTTTTTCTTCTGCTTTTCAAGCAAGTAAAAAGAATAACAAAATATCGAAAAACTTACATTGCCTGGGGATAAATCCGACTTGATAAGAAACTAGAATAACATCGGAAATTAGAAAAAGTTGATGAATTGCAAATTGTGCCAAAAATATTACACGTAAATTTGGATGAATAACAGTTTGATAATAGAAAACATGCATTTGTGAGAATCCAATAATTGAGCAGATCAAAAAAGTCAACAGGTTTATACATGAATAAAAATAAAATGATATTTGGAATTCGGTGAAAAATGAATAATCAACAAATATTGGAACCCATTGAAGAGTTCGATTAATTGTCCAAATTGCTGCCATTTGAGTTATATCCAAAACTTCTACTTCTTCAACTTTCGTTTTTTCTTTTATTTGTGTCATTTTTTTCGCCGGGGGAGATCTAGGCGTGGAAAGAATTATTTAGAAAATAATTAGATTTTGGGGCGCGGAAGAAAAATGCTTGGTAAAAATATATTCTAGGAATTGTTTACGGAAGTCATTATGAAATATCCAAAAAAGAAATTTTATGGCTTTCAGAAAGTTTTCAAAAACGTTTGATCATCTGAACTTTGTTTCATCAACTTCTCGAACTTTTTTTTAATGATAATAAAATTCCAACTGATAACAAAGCCAATCATTATTTTGAAGCAGCCGTATTTTTAGGCGCTCTCTCAAAAAATGTCAAAAATCTATGATGAAAATGGAAATGTTCAAAAAGAGTGAGTTCTTTTTCATGGAAACTTTTCTGAATTTGAAAGCCGGGGGAGATCCAAGATTGGGCCGCCCTTAAAAAATGAAAACCCTCGAGATTTTTTAAATGTGAAATTCTAAATGGGTTTATTATTTGAGATACCATTAGGCTTGTAACTTTCTATTAGATTATAAGGGTCTCTTCTACGTTTTGGCCATCCAAATTTCTGAGAATATTTAGGTTCTCCGCTTCAATAGTTTTGGACAGCCGAAAAACGGAATGGAAATCTATGTGGATTGCGATATTTCTTCAATTCGTAGTCGGTGTTCAGATATCCGTGTACTACATGTCTATGTGGCCGTATTTACAATCAGTAAGCTACACATAAATAATTGGGTGACGTATGAGTGGGAAGGGAAAATTAACTAAAAACAAGAGAACATTATTGTTATGTGTATCTAGACATGAAAATCTGTTTTTGAAAAGAGAGAAAACTGCAAAGTAAAAAATGTGAAGCTTGACTGATTAGCAAAATTGAAAGATCAAACTTCTAGAAATTCTGACAATGAGAAGAGTGTTCAGAGCAATAAGAAGAAGATTTTTGAGATTCTAAATTTTCAGCTTGATAAATCAGCGGATGTCGATTTCCTTGGATGGATTGTTGCGGCTTGTAATATCGGTTCAACAATTGTGAGTTTAGTTTTATTGGTGTGGTATCTTGCAAAAAAAACATGTGCGTTTATTAATTTTATACACATTTCTTTTTTTCTTGATAAGCTGTCACTACATTTTCTACGCAAAAATATTAATTCGTCATGGTTATATGAAGATGAAAAATTCAAAGAAATGTTTTATAAAGTTAGGGAGCAAAACACATTTTCATTCAGACATTTTTGAGGATCCTTGAGCAAAAAATAAATTTGGAACTAGCCTAGACAGCTGTCAAATATTTTTATCATAAGAAGATTAGTGTGTGGAGGAGGAAAAGAAGCTTTTTGTACTACTGTAGTTTGAAACTTTGATGAGAGGAGTGAAATTTGGAATGAGGTGTAGACTAAAAAATATCACAACTGGAGATAATTTTAGGGCCAAAAGAAGAACATACAAAAAATTTACATTCAGAAAATTGGATCTTACGCGAGATCTCTGAAGGAATAACCGAAATTCATGGCTTCGAAAACACTATGAAACAATAGATTAATTAATTTCTAATAAAAAATGTAATTTTTAGTCAAACCCAATTTATGGTTACTGGAATCAAAAAACAATGTCAGTGAAATGGCCAACAATTGCCGGATTTTTAATAGCTGCAGTTGCACAAACTTGGTACGCATTACTCAGTTTATTCTCAAATGCAAAATGGTATATGTTAGCTGCTAGAATTATGACAGGTTTAGGAGTTGGGAATTTGGCAGCTTTGCGGGTTTATAGTGCAACTGCTTCAACACCAAAAGATCGAATGAAAGCGATTAGTTATGGAACTGGTGGTTATGTTTTGGGTATTTCTTTTGGACCTGTTTTATCGGTAAGTTAACAAAAATCTAGAAAGTTCAAACATTTGAAAACTTGTGATTTTTGATGTTCAAAAATTTACGCTCCAGTAAAAAAATCAATATTATATACATCTGAAAATATGTATATTTTCACACCTAGCATAAAAAACACCAGAAATCAAACGTCGTAAGAAAAACAAGGCAAATAAAATTCAGCATGTTATTATTTTCAACCTTATATTGTCATTATTTACATATGCATATATTTTTCAGGCGTTTTTCACACCAATTGGTGAAACTGGTCATAAATTAATTGGAATTAGTATAAATATGTTCACTGTTGTGGCATTTTTGATGACAATTGTTTGTTTGGCGGCTGCTGTTATTGTTCTAATTTTCTTCAAAGAAAGTTATGTTGGAATTGTTGAAGAAGATGATGATACACGTGAGTTTTCTGAAAATGAAGCTGCATAATTTTTTAAAAATTATTTCAGAGAAGGATGTGGTTATTCCTAAGTTCGATATAACAGCTGCTCTTGTTTGTATTTATCTTTTCATGATTGTCAATATTATTGCCACAAATATTGAAGTGTGAGTGAACTTTGTTGAAAATAATCTGAAATGTGTCAGAACATACAAAACTTCCATTTAAATAATCTGATAAATTTCCAATTTGTTTTCAGAATGTCCACTCCATTAACAACAGTTTTATATGATTGGAAGGATAGTCAATCAATTCTTTACAACGGAATTGCGTTGTGTTGTAGTTGTGTTGTTTCGGTGGCTTTGAATTTGATCTTAGGAAGCACACGATTGGGAAGACTGTGATTTCATTTATTTTTTCCCATGGTCTAGATTTTTATACATTGATTAGTGATTTTCAGGGACAAAAGATATCAAATGTTAGCTGGAATTGGATTCTTTCTTCTTTATCAAGTTTTCATGTATCCGTGGGGATTCTATTCAGGACCACTTCATTATTTACCTGAAGGCTAGTTGAATTTCGGTCGAGGGGTTCAAAGTTTCTGATCTTACTTTTTTTTAGAACTTAGAATTCCAGATGATTACTATAGATACTGTAGAAAGTGGTATTTTTATCAAACTGTAGGAAGATTATTTGAGATACTTTAATATTGTTTTGAGACTTACAGTAACCAGAACAAGTTTCCTCTGCGTATTTTTTAAAATTAAAAAAAATAACGTGGCCCATATTAAAATTTAATTCAATTAAAGTGAAATATCATTTCGTTTTTTTCTCCAGGATCAACAACCCAAACAGCTGGAGGTTGTGATGATTCTTATAAATGGTGTAGTTATACAACTCGAGTTCCATTATTTGTTTATCTTTTCTGTTTTATCGTCTTCTTTGGAATCGCTTTTCCATTTGTCGAATCACCATCAGCCGCATTATATTCAGAAGTTCTTGGACCAAGAAAACAAGGAATAATGCAAGGATTATTCTCGTTTGGTGGAAGTTTGGCACCAGTTATCGGATCATTAACTTCAACGTAACTTTTTTCTAAAACCTTCTTCGATATCTCATTAAAAAAACAATTATTTCAGAGCATTATTCCAAGCCACTGGTTATCGATATGTTATGGTCTACCAAGCCGGAATTCTTCTCGTTGGTGCCGCCCTGATAATGCTTTTCTATAAACGATTAGTACCACTAAAACTGATTAAAAAGACCTAATTTTTTCTTTTTATCTGTCGTTGACACAAATTTTTGCATCAATAATAAAACTACATTTTTTGTCTACAAAAATATCATCCGTTGTGGTCTAGTGGTTAGGATTTATGGCTCTCACCCATAAGGCCGGGGTTCGATTCCCCGCAACGGAATAATTTTTTTTCTCAAAAATTGGGGAAAAAATTATATTTGTTTTGTTTCGTATCTAGATAGAAAGATAGAATGTATTTTGCGACGATGGTAAATTTTGAACTCGCTGATAACTCTCCGAATGCACGTGTTCAGGTATTAAAAGTGTCAAATCAGTTTGATAACACAACCCGTCAATTCGCCTATTTTTTGTTTTCATGTTACACTTGGATTTTTGTTGTTTCTTTTTTCATTTTTTGTTTTGTTTTCTGTTTTTTTTTGTTCACAAAACAAAATGTCTCTCTTCAGGAAATGAACCTATTGATCATTTTCCTCTGGGGTTTTCTCGGAATTTCGAGTGCCTACAATGTTTATTGGTATGATAAAACTCAAACTTATCAAAATCGCCAAACAATGGTGCATTTATTTGAATGGAAATGGGGAGATGTAGCAAAAGAATGTGAAAACTTTTTACAATATTATGGATATGGTGCAGTACAAGTTTCACCACCAATGGAGCACATCAAAGCTTTTCCAAGTAATAATTATCCATGGTGGGTCAGGTAAGCCAATATTTTATTGAACCAATTTTTCAGAAAATATTTTTTTATTCAGATACCAACCAGTCAGTTACAAATTGGAATCTCGTTCCGGAAATGAAGCTGAATTCAAAGATATGGTGGATCGTTGTAATAAAGTTGGAGTTCGAATTATTGTTGATGTTGTAATGAATCATATGGTCGGAATTGGTCAAAAATCAGGATCCGATGGTGTTTCCTCGTCAGGAAGTTCGAGTTTTGATGGAACACACGGTGTTCAAAGTTTCCCAGGAGTTCCATATTCTCTTGGTGATTTCAATAATCCAAAATGTGATAATGATATTCAAGGAAGTGATTATCAAAATAATGCCGAACATGTGAGCTGAAAACATAAAACTTTATCAAAAAAATTATTGTAGGTCAAAGATTGTCGATTGGTTGGACTATTAGATCTCAATCAAGCATCTGATAGTGTTCGCGGTAAAATAGTTGCATATCTTGATAAACTAATTGATTACGGTGTTGCTGGTTTCCGACACGATGCATCGAAGCATATGTGGTCACAAGATATTCTAAATATTTTGAATGATGTCAAAGATTTGAGATCTGATGTAAGAGAAGAACCCTTGAAAATATGTATCTCAAAATTATACGTTTTTCAGATCTTTGGAGCTAATCAAAGACCATTTGCTGTTCATGAAGTTATTGATAGAGGAGGTGAAGCTGTAAAAGTGGTTGATTATTTGAATGTTGGTAGATACACAAACTTCAATTTCGGAGCAATTGTTTCATCCGCTGCAAAAGGACAAAGCGATTGGAGAAATCTTGCAAATCTTGGGCCAGGTTATCAATACGGTAATATGGAAGATCATGATGTGTTGAACTTTATCGATAATCATGATAATCAACGTGATTCGAGCCCATATGTCGTAACTCACAAAGATGGTTATCGTTATCAATTAGCTGTTGCTTTTATGCTTGCATGGCCATATGGATATCCAAGAGTTATGAGCAGTTATTATTTTAGTTTTTCGGATCAAAGTCCACCAAATGCTGGAGCATCAAATGAATATGCAACAACAAGTCCAACTTTTAATGATGATAAAACTTGTAACAGTAATTCTGGATGGGCTTGCGAACATCGTTGGCCAACTATTCGAGAAATGGCTAAATTCAGAAGCTCTGTTCAAGGAACTGCTGCTGCCGAAATTGTTACAGATAGTCAAAGAATTGCATTTGCACGTGATACAACTGGTTTCTTTGCTTTAAATCAACAAGGACAAACTTGGAATAAGTAAAACGTTTTTGATTTGTGGAAATCACAATCAATTATCTTTTCAGAATTTTCAAAACAACTTTGCCAGCTGGGAAAATATTGCGATCATTATTCTGGCGGTATTCAAGATGGAAAATGTGTTGGTTCAACAATTACAGTGAACTCCGATCGTAAGTAAATTGAAAAAATGAACTTATAGGAATAAAAACTGTTCAGAAACTGCATTTTTGTCAATTGCGGCTAACTCAGTTGTTGCTTTCTCATTGTCAACAAAATTAGAAAAATACACTCCACCATCACCTCCAGCAGGCTACAGTACTACAGTAATCCTTCTTAAAAAAGATACGCAACCAGGACAGAATTTATTCATTAGAGGAGGTGCAAGTAATTCACATAATGGACGTGAGTTTCATTCTGATGAAAATATTTCAATATCTATCGAATTCAGAATGTTCAACTGGACCATATCAACAAGAATCAGATCCATGTGCTATCCCAGTTTATCATATTACAACAGTTCCATTTGTTTATTCGGAATATCTTTCATGGAGTCAACAAGACAATTATCTTGATTTCGAAGGAGCTGAAGAAAAACAAGGAACTCATGATGGAGCAAGTGCATTTGGAACACCATTGGCATATTCAACAAATGATAAAACTGCAGTCGAATATCAACCATACAATAAATATGGAGCTGGATATTGGATGGTTGAATTAAAAATGGATTGTAGTAAAGCTGAACAAGGATGGTTTGAAGTTAAAGGATATGAAACACCAGATATTGGATGGGAAGGAAATATTGGACAGAAAAAATGTAGTGGATCAATTGGTGGAACTGCACCATTCTCATCAATTAATCATATCGCAAAATGTGGAGCTGTTAATGTTTTCACATGGGATTCAGGTGATTGTATTGTTGATTCAGTTTGAGAGAAATGAACTTTTTATTCATTGATTTTGTACATTAATCTTCCCGTTTGAACAAAACAAAACCAGTAATGGAATAATATCTACAACAAAATAGAAAAATATCACAAATTATACATCAACCGGTTCGATTTTGCCTGTCAATTTGTTCCAAATACTTTTCCTCATTCGTTCATTGATAAAAAGTAGAGTATAAGGACAACTCAATGCAACGAAATCAGCAGAAACTGGATAAATATATATCACAGCCATCTGAACATACGGATTCACATTCAAAACCAACAAAATCGCACAAGCAAATTTGAGAATCGATGTGAAAAACATCATTGATGTTACAACGTAAAGATTTCGATCATCTCGTTTTTTGGCACGTTTTGCAGAAAGACAAAGTATTGAGAAAAGTTTTAAAATTCCCGAGATAATTGCAGTGGAGATCTCAAAGAAATTACATTTCAGAATATTCCGCGCAGCTTCCGGGTATTTCTGGAAGAATATTAGTTTATTTTTGAAAAGAAGGGGGTGTCTTTTCTTGAAAAAGAATTTGAACAAAAAAAATGTATTTCTGGATGATACTAATTAAACTACTCCGTTGTAGTCTAACACTGGAGGTAATTATAAATTACGAGGGAAATGACGTATATTTGAAAAAAGAAAAAGTCTCACCTTCAAACTTGGAAATAAAACATAACCATCGAGATTTTTGATATAATTAAAAGTTGGTTCCAAATAAAGAATATCATAGATAAATGGCAAAGGTAAGAGGAATATAATAGCAGCTGTTAGAATATATTTTCTTTCCCAGATTGGTGAACTTGAAAATGGAAAAACTATCAATCGAAAACTGATTCCAATTAATAACAGAACACAAATTCGTTGACAATAAATGAAATAATACGCGGAAAAATAGACTATAGTTAAAATATATGGTGGAATATTTGTATTGAAATATAACAAAGAATCGGAAAACCACGAATCTTTTGGTGTGTGCAACGGAATTTGCCAGTACATTTTCATTGTTGTAAATTGCAAGAAATTCTGGAAAAAATGTTAATTAATTATTATTATTATTCATAAAGTCATGGAGGTATGCTAATTTTATATTAGATAGTTCATGAATTTTTGATGAATGCTATTTTAAGACATTGAATTGGTGTTCTTTTTCCGGAAAAAAATGAAGAAGAAAACGTATATCGACGTGATATTTATTATGAAAAAAAACTCATTTTGATTTTTTATTGAAGCATTTTTTAAGAGTTCCTTTTCTTTTAAAAATTTCAGACATTTCCGGAAATTTCCAAAGTTTATTGGGCGAGTTTTGAAACTATTTTTTGATGAAGTAAAATTTGATTACAACTTCAAAACTCAAAAAATCCAAATTCTGACTAATTGTAATATTTTTTCCGAGAAAGTATTCCAAAAGTTCAAAAACTATAGCAATATCTTTTTTTAGATGTCTAGCTTTTTCTATCTTTAATTCGGATTATAATTTTATAATAATTAATAAGATCAAATTCTAACTAACATTTTTTTTAGTTTGAAAGTGCAAAAATTACTTTTTTTTTTTTGGAAAATTTCATGAAATTTTTTTTTCAGAAGTATGATGTCTAGTTTTTTTCTTTAATTGAATCAAAAGTATACAACTTTGGGTTACTAATTCGCCTTCAAATTTCAATCAGAAATTAAAGAGTTCAAACTTCTGTTCATATTTTTCCACGTCATTATAACTCACAATAATCGTAAAAGTATTCCACAATTTCATAAATGCTGAATTGAATTCCTTTCGATGATGATAAATATAAATAGTTACAATTGCATATAAAATCCAAGAAAAAACTCCGAAAACCACGTGGATTATTAGATAAAACGGATTCATTCTGGAAAAATCTGAATATTTTATATTTTTCGCGGAACTGAAAATTAATGTGAGAAATAACGTAAGAAAGTAGAAAAGGAAGCTGTCTTGAGAGAATCAAATTTTGAGAAAAACAAAAGTACATCACAATTTGATCATTAAAATTTTTGGCACCAAACTTCACAAGTAGTGAAACCCCACTATAAAATAGTTTCGCGAATGGAAAACAAACGAAATTCAATCCACCGTGATAATTCGTCTTTTAATATTTTTATCCTTCAGAATCTTCAAAAAACAATAAAAAGAGAAACAAAAAATTATAAAAGGAAAATCAATACAAAAAATAATACATTTATGACCTTACAAAAACAACGATTATGTTTTCTCAAAACAAAAAATTGTTGTTTTTCAATATTTCACAGATATTTTCAAATATTCCCAGAGTTTTAATTTCAAACAAATATACAGAAAATATAATTTCCTACTATTTTACACGATCACATATTTTACAAAAAATAAACTAGAAAAACAACAAGAAAGTTCAAAACATTCCATTCGGAAAAAGTGCTGCAGTGGGTTTTGCGGCTCCTCCTTTTCCCCTCCCACCTCTACTGGCTCCGCCTCTTTTTGCTCCTCCGCCGCGTGACGATGTTGTTGTTGAAGAAGGAGCTGTATAACGGGGCTTCTTTGTCGCACGACCACTTGATCTGAAAAAAATACATTGATTTAATCTTAGTTTTTTTTCGGGAGGGACAAAAAGTTTGGAAAACGAATTAAAGGGAGAATTTTTTCGAAGTCATTAAATTTCCACTTTTTTTCCGAAAATTTAGGATTGAAAAAACTTTTTATATATTTTTTATCTCTATATTCAGGGATTCGGGCCCCGAATTTCGGGGGTTAAAAAATTTCTGATTCACTTTTTGATGTCCGATTCCGGAAACTCTTTCATAGTAAAAAAAATACGCGGAAAATGTAAAAGTCGTTCTAACAAACTTGTCAATTCCACTCCCCAACGAAAAAAACTAGTAAAATTATATTTTTCCTGCAATTTTTCATGATTAATATGAATGCTATGCAAATCAGAAATTTGCACACATTTTTAATCCGTTGAAATTTGTGACTTTGATCTACGAAATTCGTGAAAAACTTTGAATGAAATAAAAGATAGAAAAGCGAGAAGAAGAGGAGAATTCAAATTAGGCCCTAGTCATTTTTATTCACTACATAGCCATGTTTATTTGTGACTAATCTAATGACACAAAACACATCCACCTAATTTTCAATAAAAAAGTTCAAAAAACACACCCCGGAGTGACACGTTTTCGAACTCTTGGTGCTCCACGTCCACGAGATGGAAATATTGGTTTATAAGGTGCTCCACCAGGAATCGGTAAACCAGCTGGTAGTTCGGCAAATCCACCCATAACAATCTCGCCGTTTTTCAATTTTTCTAACTGTCTTCTCATTTCCTCTTCTTCGCGGTCTGGAAAAAATGATGATTTTTTTCGGAGTACGAAAATCTTTTGTTGATAAGATAAGTTTTTGAGGCGATTAGTGTAGTTTATAGCAAATGTGTTTTGTTGATAGTTTTTTTTATTTGAAAAAAGGAGAAGTACACAAATATATTTTTTGAAGAAATTATAATTTATTCCGATTTTCTCACGTTTTCGGCTATGGAAAAATGATTTCAAAATCAGTTTTCGTCATTATTTTTAATATTTCAACAAAGTGATAATTTTCCGGTTTTGAGATCCTCTATTTCTAGATTTAAACTTTTTGAAATTATTCAACTCACCATCAACCTGTTTCCAAAATGGTGCCAATGTTTCCATAACAGCTTGCCCATATCGATTGACTTTCATTTCAGTCATCGAATCAACTCTCAATAATTCTGAGTTTGTTCTTGGCAATAATGCGGCAATCTGTTCAATTCCTTCTCTTGATATCATTGAATACGGTCCAGATAATCCACTACTTTCGGCCAATGCAGTCAACATTTGTGTTAGATCTCGAAGACAACGAGAAAACACATCAGCATGTTTCACCATATGTCTGAAAAATTATACGTATTTATCATAAGTCTTGTGGAATTTTATTCTAACTTTTCCTTGAGAGCTTGTGCTTCAGACACAGTATTCATATTTGGTAATTCAATCATTCCAATAGTCTTCTTCTTTTTCTCACAAGTCACAATGTGAAGATAAACCTGGAAAAAACATGATTTAGATGTAAGATGTTTGACACCGTTTTGAGAAATTACATAATGGTCACATCAAATGATCTTTCCTTACTAGGAAAATAATGGCTTCCTTTATAATCTTATCCAAAAAATTTCATTAACTTTTGTCTAGAAAATTCTTTAAAGATTAAAAATAGTGATTTTTAACAATTTAATCAGAATATCAGAATCAGTAATAAGGAAAAATCTTACTTTTGCAGTTTTGGCCCCACTTGCGATTGCTCTTCCACTTTCTGTTAATTCAGCGTATGCTAAAACTGCAGCCGCTTGATTTGGAGCAGAATATAATCTTTCATAAACATAGCCTTCAACAACTAATTTTCTCACAAATCTCAAAGCATCTTGTTCAGTCATTCCTTGTCCGCGTTTGAAAAATGGCAAAGATGTATGACCAAGTCGCATCGCTTGTTCACTCGATTTCTTGCACAAATTACCACGATACAATTCGGATAAATATTTGAGTGTTGTTTTTTGCATTCTTGGCAAACTTTGCATCAACATCTTTGCCTCATCGCTCACATCGAACAATCGAATCGCTTCAGGATTTTTTCGCTTTCTATCACATATATCACACGGTGTTTTACTGGTTCGACAAGTTTGTTCATCATAAACTTCTCCGAAATGTTCGACCAACATTTTTCTGCGACAAACTGAAACATTTTCACAATATGCAACAATTTGCAATACATTTTGTAAATGCATCATTCGAACACCGGTTGTTGTGTTTCCTTCTTCAATCATTCTTCGAAGTCGAATATGATCATGATAAGAATAAAGCATCAAACAATATGAGGGAAGTCCATCTCGACCAGCACGACCAGTTTCTTGATAATAACCTTCGATCGACTTTGGAAGACTAGAAAATAAATAATATAAATTTTATTATTGTTATCATAAGGCGGAAATATTTTCTATAGAAACATTTTAATCTCTCTAAATTTTTGGATTAAACTTGTTATTTTTCCAGAAGATTATTATTATTTCTCGTGATAAAATATCACAATATTTCAATTGAAAAGGGATGTTGTATACCTGTAATGAATTACAAATCGAACATCTGGCTTATCAATTCCCATACCGAATGCAATTGTTGCACAAATTACATCAACTCGATTTGCTAGCCATCTGTAAAATGAACATATGTTTTTTTTTCTAAAGGAACGAAGTTTTACCTTCTCTGTACTGTAACTCTTGTTGTATCATTCAATCCCGCATGATAAACTTCGGCAGAAACACCAGATTTGATCAACATCATTTGAACAGTTTCACATTCTTTTCTCGATAAACAATAAATTATTCCAGATTTTCCCGGGTACAATTGTTTCATTTTTTCGACAACATTGATTAATGATTTGGATGCTTTTGGAATTAAATCGTATTTCAGATTGTCTCTCACAAAACTTGAAATGAATAACTTTGAGTCTTTCATTCCAAGATGATTTCGAGCATCGGTTACAATTTTCGGCGTTGCGGTTGCAGTTAGAGCAACAATCGGAACTTTTGGATTTGTATATCGCTCACGTAAAGTATGAAGTTTTGTATAATCCGGTCGAAAATCATGTCCCCATTGAGAAACACAATGTGCTTCATCAATTACAAATCGAGCAAGAAGTCCACGCTTGTGTAAATCGAAAAATACAGAATTCAAACGACCTGATGCGCTGATCTTTTCCGGAGTAACATATAATAACTTTATATCTGGTTTTAGTGCTCCAAGTCGGGTATAAATACTTTCTTGATCATCAGTTGATAATTCTGATGTTAATTGTTCACAAGGAATTCCCAATTCTCTCATTTTCGATGTTTGATCTTCAATTAATGATTTCAATGGGGAAACAACGATTGTAACACCATCCGAAAGAATTGCTGGCAATTGATAACATAAACTTTTACCCGCTCCAGTTGGCATCAAAACAAAAGTGTCATGTCCTTTAAGAATTGATGTAATAGCCATTTTCTGTCGATGTCTGAATTGATTGAAACCAAACATTGATTTGAGAGTCGCGTAGAGTTTGTTACGAAGATCAACACCAAGAACAGCCACTGAAAAAATAAATATTTGAACACAAAATTAGATCTCGAATAATACAAGAAAACTCTTACATTCATCATTGAACTCCTCACTATCATCCTGAAGAAAACCACGAAATTGTCCGTGCATATCGTGTCGTTTCTTGTTATCACCTGGTTTTGGGGCTGTTGTTGGTTTTGTGATTGGCGATATTTTTGCTGGTGGTACAAAGTTATCAAAACTATCATTGCTCAACATCTCAACATCTTCTTCCTCTTCATCGTTTTGATGTTCTTCAAGGTGCCCAGTGATCGGCTCATTTACAAGTTCAACATTAGCTGGACCTTCTTCAAAACTGTCAAAAACATCAGCATCGTCATCTTCATTTTCAGAATTGAATTGTGGATAACTTGTTGATGTAGTAGCAATTGATGGATGTGCAGATGCAATAGATCCTTGATTTTCAGTTCTTTCGTAGTCGAAATTGTCCCAACCATCTGAAAAATGTATGATTACGTCATAAGTCAAGTTCTATAATTAATTAGAAATCTTGGCCAACCTACGAATCTTATTCGTAATTTTCTATTTTCCATGCATCGCAAAATACTCACGAATATTTGTGACTTTGTGAGTAGTAGTAAACATGGGTTAAAAAACGATGGATTTGTTTGAAATGAGATAGAAAATAAAAGTAAATTACCATCTTCAACATCATTTTCAAGAGTTATTGCCTGAGGTTCGCGTATTGGAGCTCTTTGTGACGACATAGAAATAACAGGAGACTTAGTAACAACTCTTGGAGATGGTGGAATTGTTGCGATTGGTTTATCACTGACAGGATCGACAAAATTATCAATGTTGTCATACTCCGTCGAACATGGATTTCTCAAGCTGGTTGAAGCGTTTTTATATCCTTCACAACATTTCAAAACCGGTGCCTGGAATCATTTTAGATGTTTTCAAGTAAAAACAAAACTTCAAAAAACCTTGAAATTCAAGTCCGGTACAACGAATGAATATCCTTCGAATTCAACACGTTGTCTTGGTTTCATAGCATGTTTGTATCGTGAAGATTGCGTTATCATTTTCACACTGAAACCTCAATTTCAGCTTGGAAGTGGGAAAAAACAAAAAAAAACAACTCGGAAAATTCAAATTCAAATGTTGGGCGGGCGCTAAAAATCAGGCATTGCTAGGCGGAGTGTCGTTGTTTTTGTCTATGTCTCCGTGAGACGCGCACTCTCTCGGCGTCTATTTATTTTTTTGGCATTTTTCGTTTCTTTTTTCTTTGACTTCGATTTCAACTCAGGCAAACGGGCCGACTAATCGGCGACCAACTGGCGATAAATCGCTTGTCAACTAGTAGTTGGTCGCACATTAGTCGGCGATTAATCGGCCTACATATAAATTAGCAGAAAAGTTGGTCGGCCGACGAAAAAAGTTGGTCGTCGATTAGTCGGCCCACAAAAAGTTAGTCGGCGATTAGTCGCCCCAGGAAAAGTTAGTCAACGATTAGTCGCTCCACAAAAAGTTAGTCACCGATTAGTCGGCTCGTTTGCCTGAGAATAATTAATGAAGCAATTATCATCTCAATAGATTATTTAAATTAAGGGAAGATGGCAGAATCAGGCGAACGAACCAGTGATGGATCAATTGGTTGGCAGAATAATATTCCATTTGATGTAAAACCACGCGACAATCCACTTCGTGATGTTTCTCAAATGGCAGTCTGGACATTATCGAGTTGTAAACATGGATATGGTGTTAGTGAATTGCTAAATGATAGTGTCGAAAAATATTGGCAAAGTGATGGACCACAACCACACACAATAACAATCGAATTTCAAAAGAAAACTGATGTTTCATTCATTATGATTTATTTGGACTTCAAAAATGATGAATCTTATACACCAAGCAAGTGAGTCGCTTTATTCCAAAACTATCACACCTGAAAAATGTTTAGAATCGTCGCAAAAATGGGAAGTTCACAACAAGATTTCTTCTTCAAACGTACACTAACATTAACAGAACCGCAAGGTTGGCAAGTAATTGATATGCGAGATTTGAAACTAAATCCACAAAGAGGATGGCTTATACAATTGCAAGTGGTTCAAAACCATCAAAATGGACGGGATACTCATATTCGACATGTTCGAATTATTGGGCCATCAAGATCTCGATTCTGTCCCGAAACCAGATTACTTGCTGGAAATCCGATGACATCTTATGATTTTCCAGCAAAAATGTCTGATGATGCACATCAATATATGGATCAAGCTATCACTGCTATGGCACTTCGATGATTGTAAAATTATTCACATGTATAATATTTTTTTTTGTATTTATTACTAAACATGAACTAACTCAACTGACTGTGAAAGATATTTTTGAATTCGATTGGTTAAAACCACCATATTATCTTTATGAAGCTGTATTCAAAAACACGTAAAGTAAGAATTTTAACTAATTACAGATGTCGGAATGGTTGGACCTTAAAATGCCGGGTGTTCCGATTGATGGAAAAAGTGTGAAAATTATCGAAAGTCCTGCGAAGTTTTATGAAACACTTCTTGAAAAATCATCAAAAGCTGAAAAACGAATATCATTTTCAAGTTTATATCTCGGAGATGGATCCCTTGAAAAAGAATTAGTTAATACGATTGAAAATCGAATTCATGAAAAACGGAAATATGGACTGAAAGTCAAGATTCTTCTTGATTATCTCCGAGGAACTCGAGGTCAAGGAAAAGAGAAAAGTAGTACGACACTTTTGAAAAAAATTGCCGATAATGCTGATATTTATCTTTTTCATACACCTGATTTGAATGGAATTGTGAAACATTTATTATCCGAGAGGACCAATGAGATTATTGGTTTACAACATATGAAATTATATATTTTTGATGATACTTTGATAATCAGCGGGTAATTTTTTCTATTAAAAATTTTCATTTCATTTTTTTAAATTTAGGGCGAATTTATCTGACACATATTTCACAAATCGACAAGATCGATATTTTGTATTCGAAAATTGTAAAATACTCGCCGACTTTTTTGATGAAATTATCGATGCAGTTGGAGATTGTAGTTTTGTATTAGATAATGATGGAAATTTCAAATTAAATGATCGATGTGATGTTCATCCATTTTATGGAAAAACTGATGAATTCAAAAATTTTATGAATACTCGAGTAACAAAAGTCATCGAAGATTTCAAGGAGAAATATCGGGATCAACCTCAAAAAATATCCGATACTCTTGCTTATCCGCTAATTCAAATGGGAACAATTGGAATTCATCAAGAATTCGATTTCCTCAAAAATCTGTTTTCACAAAAACGGGAAGATTTGAAGATGTGGCTTGCATCTGGATATTTCAACACTTTGACCGATTATCAAGAACTAATTTTTGATCGAGGCGAATATTCATTAGATGTTTTGATGTGTTCTCCAAAAACAAATCCATTTTATAATTCTTCGGGTTTTTCTCGATTTGTTCCTGCTTTATATTCAGATTCGGCAATTCGATTTATGACTCGAAGGAAATTGAGTTGTAAAGAAAATGAGGTGAAATTATTTGAATATCAGAGAGAAGGATGGAGTTTTCATGCAAAAGGATTATGGATGCAATGGGGTAATTGGATAGCAACTTTGGTTGGATCGTCAAATTATGGTAAGATTTGATAGATATTCTACTCATATTTATTCAATACTATTTCAAGTAACTCGTAGTTCAACTCACTGTAATTTATAATTTCTCTGACTTTTTCGGGCGGAGATAAAATCACAAAATGACTGAAAATTTTAAAAATAAGAAGATTTGATAAGAAACGTGGACTGGACTTTTTTTTTCCACGTGATAATTTTTTTTTGAAATTGCATTTCAATTTTTTTAAACAAGTAAACAACACGACATGTTCATGTCTTGTACTCTTACTGTGTAAGAAAATTTCAATAAACCAAGTCTTTTTGAATCAAATAATCTTACAGTATGTATTTCCAGGTTATCGATCTGTTTATCGCGATCTCGAAGCCCAAATTATGATTGTGACCCAAGATGAAGTTCTCAAAAATCGCCTAATTTCCGAGAAAAACAACATCTTCGAATATTCTTCAATTGTTGATGCTTCAGTTCTTCGAAAACCGGAATATCATGTCCCATCACTAGTCAGATTCTTGTCAAGGTTTATTAGAAATTTCTTTTAGCTGTTTTTGTTGGTCGGGTTATTGTAGAAAATGAATTTTTATAATAGGACAAAACATATTTTTGTAGATTTATTGATTGTGGATTTTTCATTGAAAAATATATTTATATGAAAGTCAATTTTGAATTGAGGTAGAATTTTCAGGTGAAAAAAATAAAATGAATTTGCTGAGCGCGACAGCTAGAAGGTTTCCAAAAAGAACGATAATGATGACACCGAAAGATTCCAAAACTAAAGGAAATCCATTTTTGAAGCCAGAATTGATTCAAAGATTAGGAGGAAAATCAATTCGATTATCACATGAACAAATTCAAAGAGAAAGACAAGATTTTGCAGAAGCATTAGATAATGAAAAATGGATTGCTATATATCGATATCCTGGTGTAAGATTTGCTGTTCTTCTTGCTCGCGCAAAACTTATTCAAACAATTGCAAGTGTAACTTATTTGCCTTATTCAACATTTCAATATTTGAATGGAGCTATTGATTCAACGTGGTTTTATACAGTATCAACCATGGCATTTCTTGCTCCAATTATGCTTATGATTTTTAGCAGATATTTGAATAGATTAATTGGAGTTATTGCAATGAATGAGACAAATGAATATATTCGAATTGGATATTTGACATTTTGGGGATCAAGGAAAAATCAGTGAGTTCTCATTTTATTTCACTCTAACAATAAGACACTTTTTATTCAGATATTTGGCAGTTGATGATGTTGTTTCAATATCCGAAACTGGAACTGGAAAAGAAGACAAACTTGTGAAATTTATGTGGTTCAGTGGAGGAGCAAAGTTTTTCTACTTACCGATTAAACATGCTGAGATTTTGGATGTTGAAAGAGCTGAATTATTATTTGGAGATATTTCGGTTTTTGATGGATTGAATGAGAAAAGCGAATGAAATAAATGATGAAATTATTAGGTTTGATTTTTGGAATAGTTTTTACTTATGAAATTATTTGAGATTATTTCAATTTTGAGGAAAACATTCGGGCGTCTTTTATTTATGAAAAATTTACGGAAAAAAAAATCAAAAATTCAATATCCAGGAAGTACAGTGAATTATCGCACACTTATATTAAATGAAATGGGGTGTTTTCAACCGTTGGTTGAATTTTTTTCAAATCCGATTCATAATTTTTCTCAATAAGTCACACCTCGTCCGATTCCTATTTAAAAATCGAAATAGCAGTATTCTCCTACTTCCAGTGATTATTCCTCACAACATTAGCATTTTAAATATCAGTAAAATAGTTTATTTCGAAGAAAACGCTGATTCTGATTTGTTAGGTGCCGGACTCTTTGTTCCTCCCATTGCTGGACTCTTTGATCCACCAACAGCTGGACTTTTTGTGCCAGCAAGATTTGGTGGCAATTGAGATTGATTTTGATATCCAGGAATTGGTTGAGGATTCGCTTGCGTTTGATTTTGGAAAACTCCCGCATTTCTCACCGGTTTCAATAAATCCATAATATTTTGTTGTGCTGGTGCAGCAACAGTTGGTGTGTTATCATTTTCATCTTCGCCAGACAATGAATCGCCTTCTTTGCGAGTAAACATGATAAGTGTAGGCTTCTGAAAAATACAATTTGTTTTTTGGAAAACAACTATAGAAGTGGGTTTGTTACCTTTTTGCCATCCGCTTGTTTTTTCTTCTTCATTGCTTCTTGTTTTTCCTTATCCTTCTCCTTTTCTTCATCTTCTTCCTCTTTATCTTTATCCTTTTCTTTTTCTTTATCATCATCTTTTTCTTGATCATTCAACCCCAAATACAAAATCTTTAATTTCAATTTTCGCAATTTTCCACTTTGTGCCAATTTTTGCTGATATTTATGATTACTCCAAATACTTTCTGGATTAACATTTGCAGATGGTGATGAAGCCAAAACACAACTGAAATGATCTGTTAATGGTGCTTGATCTTTTACACCTTTACAAAAAAGTGAAATATTGGCAGTTTCACCGGGTGCAAGAACTCCATAAACTGGACGCATTTTATACATTCCTGGACGAGTTGATTTCCATTTGAAGATTATTGCTGTTTGTTCATTGTTTGATACTTGAACTTCTGCCATTTGTTTATTCGGAATTGGTCGATAAGTTACCTGAAATCAGAAAACTAGTTCAGATCAAAGGGAAATAGCGGAGTCTAGAAAATCTAGTTGTCAAGTTGTGGAGCCTATTGAATCTAATTGTCTAGGGGTCGCGGCTATAGACAAACTTTGGCAAGACACTGCGCCTTGAGAGTCATTTTGGCTAGGTAAAACTTCTGAAGTCAAACAGTTATTCATAAATAATTATACAAAAGTTCCAAAGACATACTGTATCAAGAAATACAGTATTCTTCAACCTCGATTTCAACTCACCGATTTGGCTGGATTGAAGAGCACATCTCGCAAAAAACCGTCTTTCGAAGTCATGTTCCAAGTTATTCACGAGTAATAATAAAATGCGCAACGTTATGATTGTCGAAAATTGTTTTGAATAAATAATACATTTTGCCAAAACCCAACATTTTATATCCCAACTTTTTTTGGAAAAAAATTGGGACACGTCTTGAAAATAAATATTTGAGTACTTTGAAAGTTCACGTTGTTATTTTGTTGCCCTTCCCAAAACGTAACATGAAAAAAACATATAGAAAATACAAGTCAGACAACAATTTGTATTTAAAAACAAATCGAATGTGAGAAAAACAACAGTCATGACTGTTTTCTCGTTTTTTATAGTTTCTCTTTTATTATTCTTACAATTATTTATTAGTTTCTGCGATGGTGGCAAATTATTATTATCTGTTATGGATCAAGGAAGATCTCATGCAACATCTTTTACTCCTTTAATGCATCGATTACAAAAAGATAATCATACAACAGCTCTTCAATTTGCTATTTTTCAAGAAGATATCGATTTTGGAATGGAGGAAAGATTTATTAATATGAGCGATTTTGATAATCCATTTTTCTCACCAAATTTTGCGAGACTCGCTTTTGATGAAGAATATAATTTTATTGATCAAGCAAAAGGAATGGGATGTGGAAGTGTTACTTGTGGTCGAATTTTGGAACATCGAAGGAAAGAATTTTTCAAGTTGGCAGATGAAGATTGGGATTTTATACTAACTGATTCATTATTTTCTGCATGTGGTTATGGACTAGCAAAAGTTACTAATAAACCACATATTATGATGCATTCAACAGCGTTGGAGAGTGGATTAGGAACTTTTAAATCATACGGTGCAAATCATGCGTTGGTTGTTCCAAATCTTCTTCCTTATGCTTTTCCAAATTTCAATGTTTCATATTTTCATCATCGCGCATTATCTGCTTATGATTGGATGGGTCAAATACTTTTTACGGTATTCTTCGGAGATATCGCTCAAAAATATGCACTCCGAAGCATTATTCCGTTTCCATGGTTCTCATATTATGATTATAATCGAGAAAGTGTATTTTCTTTTACTGATATGCCTGAACAGCTTTATCAACCATTTCCAAGAACTAATGATGTGAGTTTTCGACATTCAAACAAAGACGAAACATTTGATGTACTTTGATATTATCAAATGAGGGGAACCTGTTTTTAGAATAACAAATAACAACGTTTTAACGACTTTAGGTCAAAAGTTGTGAAAGTTTGTTAACCCCCTTTTTGCTTGATAACTTTAAACGAAAATTTGAAATTTTCAGTATTTTGCATACGGTGCTTATTGCAAAAGTATATCAGCTGATCTTCCAACAAACATCAAAAACTTTATCGAAGATCCAAAATCAAAAGGAACAATAATAATTGCTTTCGGAACCTTCATTGATTGGCGAACAGCTCCTCGAAAAAAATATGAAATATTTCGAAATGTTGTTAACAAACTATCAGATTATCGTGTTATTTGGAGTATGAGAGGAGATCGACCAGAAGGACTTGGAGAACATGTTTTGACTGCTGCTTGGATTCCACAAAACGCATTGTTACTTCACAACAAAACGAAGCTTTTTGTTAGTCACGGTGGTCTGAAAAGTGTGAAGGAGACAGTTTGTTCTGCAACTCCTACAGTTTTTATGCCAATGTTCGCAGAACAAATGAGAAATGCGTGGTTGGTCAAGGAAAAAGGTTTTGGGAAAATTATTAATAAATTCTATTATACTGAAAGAAGTTTGGAAACAAATGTTCGGGAAATTTTGAAGAATCCATATTATCAGGTAATTTAATGGAATCTAGAGACTTACAAAGAATCTTGTGTTTCTAGAAATCTGCATCAAAATTCAAATCGATATATCTCGATCAACCAATTGCAAATCTCGATGAAGCTGCTTTCAAATTCAAGAAACTTTTTGATTATAATGGCAAACTTCCTAATTATTTTTATTCTCGCGGTTTACAACTTTCATATTTCACAACTCTCAATTTAGATCTCTTATTTGTTATTCCAATGTTCCTCGTTTATATTGTTTTCAAAAAATGAGCGAATAAATATTCTTATTTGTCCCTAAACATCTGCGGAACTTCTTCTGGAAGATTGCCAAAAAATATTGTCAACAGAGCGCATGTGCCTGACGGAAAACTCGAAACTCTAGATAGATACAGATGTTACAAAAATAGAGAGCGAGAGACTGGTGGAAGCTGGCACGCCCCGCCCATTTTATTTCTCTCGCATCTCATTTTTTCATTTTTCTCACACCTTTCACCATTTCTTCACACAGCTTCTCTCCCTTTCTTATTTTATTTTCGAAACTTTAGTAATTTTTTTCTTGTTTCAGATTACTGTATCTAAATTACAGTACTTATTATATATATCAAATTGTCTGGGGATGAATCGGCGTGGATTAGATTCACAATTTTTTTAAACAATCAGGTTAGTTCCAAGAAACTTTCTGGAAAAGGCGATGTTTCCAAATATATTTCAGATTTATGATGCATCATTACGGGTAAAAAATGTATTTATGATCGATTTTAGGGCTATTGAATTTTTTTCGAAATATTTTTCACGAAAGGTTCGTAACTTACATAAAATGAAAAACAGGATAGTTTTTATTTTCCAGAATACTGTATCTACACTACAGTACTTAATTCATCAATTTCATTGAAGAGAAAAGTCGGGTTAGGATCAAAACATTTTTTATCAGTTAGGTCAGTTTTTTCTGTAGCGGAGATTTGAAAAAAACAACATTTTTCAGATTTCTGCTGAGCCATCACGAGTAGAGAAAGAAAGAGTTTTTATCTGAAAATAAAAATTAGTGAAGGTTAGTTTTATTATGAGAAACGAAGTGACAAAATGATTCAATTTTTATTTAGATTACTGTATCTAGACTACAATACTTTGGATATCAAATGGATGTTGGATTAGGCTGAAATACATTTTAATCGAAATAATATGAAAGATGGGTAACTTCGGATAGAACTCTCTAAAATTTTCATCAAAATTTGAAACGTAGAGGTTGGTTGAAAAAAAACAAAAAAAAAAGAGTAAATTTGATTTTTTCAGATTACTGTATCTAAACTACAGTACTTCATAGATCTTGGTCAGAACATGTAAGCACTTTGGGTTACGCGTAATCAATTTTTTTTCAATATTATTTGGATGAATATAAAAAAGTTAGTTTAGAAAAACTTTCAGCCCTCACAAAAAACTGCTTTTTTCAGATTGGGAAAGCAGAAAGCAATCGAACATGGTTATGTAATCAACAATTTATTTGCAGATATATTTTTGGGTATTGCATATAAAATTTTATTTCAGAATACCATGTTTTATTTAAAAACTAGATATAATTATCGCTCGTTGAACATGAGGTTTTTCCCAACATTTGAAAAATTTTCGAAATGATGGAAAAGTGAATATCAGAACGAATGAGTTCGTAGAAGAATGAGTTGTGAAAATAGCAGCTGCAAATAGTGAAACTACTGAAAAGAATTGATATCTTAAGTAGTTTTTGAGAAATAATGTGACTCACAGTTAGCTTCTTCAAATTGTAGAAATAATAAAAAACTGACAACAATACAAGGAGCTAGAAAAAGAATTGAAGTTGAAGCTTGAGCCAATAAACTTTTCAAAGCATTCCGATGTTTCAAATAATTTGATTTCGAGATTTTCGATTTATAACTTCTCAAAATATCAAACATCTGAATAGTTGCACTTGTTACTATAATCATGTTCAATGGCAGAAAAATTGCATTCCAAATAAAATATATAACTTCTCCTTGACTGTAAATACTAACAAAATAATCACCAACAGATTCAAAATATTGAACAAGTTCGGGATATTCTTTTGCAACATATTTTTGTTGTTCAGTTTTATTTGCAACAACAATCGCAAATGAAATCGAAGTTGCTTGAGATAATAAAAACATCGCAATCATTATGATTTTTGTATATTTCTCAACTCGATTCTTTTTTCCTTTCAAAGCATAAATACTCAAAAATTTTCGAAGAAAACAAATTGATAATGAGACAATTGTATTCATTAACCCAAATATAAATATTTTCAACGAAAATGTTGTAGATATTCCAAATAATGTCCACAGTAATCCATTAGATGAATAAATTCCAATAATTGGCATAAGTGGGATGGGTTTCATCAAAAAAGTTAGTAGAAAATCCAAAAATGCACAAGTGACTTGCGCATATAAAATATAATATTTATAATCTTTGATTTTCCCACTCTTAAAAATAATGAGAAGAATACAAATAATGTTTATGATTAGAGAAAATGTACCAAAAATTGTATAAAATGTTAATAACCATTGCGGAGGTGTGAAAATATCTTTGAGCATTTTGTATTTTTTCTGAAAACTAGAATGACAAAAAACATAATGTGATATGTAACAGGTGATATTTTCACTTATAATAATTCGAGTGTTCAGGAAATTCCAATTTTTGACAAATCTACAGTATACCTTCCTTCTTTTTTTCAAACAAAAAGACATTTTGTTTGATGTTTCCGAAGCCAATGACTCAATCGAAGAAAAAATCGGCGGCAAAAATATTTGAAAAAGATTACGGTATTGGTTGGGAATTTCGAAAAGAGGGAGCGTTCTATTCATACTCAGAGAAACAAGCTCCGCCCATTTTCGTTTCATTCCTCTCACAATCATTCTTGGCTGCACACTTGCTTCAAAAGGTTTTGGTTTTCTGCAAACTACTGTATTTGGATAAGATTGGATAGATGTTTCCAAAACTTGATTATGGTTGAAAAGTGGCTCGGATGCGATTCATCGACTCAAAATGAGCTGTTGTGGTGAGTTGGAAATTTTTTTTACAAACGGGTACTAACATAAGTTAGGCTTTGAGATGTATTTGTGAGAGAAACAGAGCGAAATTTTAGCTCGATTGGTTCCAAAGATCTATGAATTCTTAAAATCGGTCAACTTGTCCTTAAAATTTCGAAATTCAGAATAAATTTTGCAAAAATTGGGCCACGCTAACACTTTTATTATTTTTAACTAGCTTATCTTGGGAGATATCACCTCCAATGAAATTAAACTTCAATTTATTGAGTTTTCTCGACTCGACCTAATTTGGAATATTTCAACAACGGTCCAGTTTTGAAATTTTTTCTCTTGACTTTGATTGCTTTTTAGCGACCCAATGTGAATATTTTTACTTCATAAATGTCTTCAGAATTTTAATTTCTAGTAAAAAACTGTTCCAAAATTTCTCAAAATTATGTTTTTTTCTGGCCTAAAATCTCAAGGTCTTCTCATTTTCTCTTCTCTCTCTCTTCTCCCTTATTCTATTCAAAAGCCCTTAGGTATACTGTGACTGAACACTTGTGATTGGCCGAACACTTTTTTTTTGAAATCATCGTGGGTGGCCTGTTTCGAAATTCGGCAGGTGTTAGTTTTAATTAACGAAAAGTTTTTCGGGCTCCTCATTAGTTCTATTCATTATGTAGAAATCGAGTCGTTGCAATGATTTATTGCTTTTTGTTCAAATGGAAAAATTGAAGGAAATTTTAGGGATTTCTTTCAGATTACTGTATCTATACTACAGTACTTATGGATAAATCAAATTTATATTCAAAAATGCAAATTTATCATAACGATTACACCCAAGATGAGAATCGCTTGATTATCAAATTGAAAAAAATTAGGTGAGTTGTAAGCTTATTCATTTCAATTTAAAAAAAAATTCAAAGTAACTATTATAAATAACAAACATTTTTCAGATTACTGTATCTAAACTACAGTACTTATAAATTTTGTTATTTTACCATCACTCCGAAGTTTCATATATATTGCCATGCAATATTTGATCGACCACTCGGTTAAATAACTTGAGCATTCACTATTGGCACTATTTTTGCGAAACCCTTCTGTGAAAAATGTACAAAAGTGGAATCAGATTCTTATGCGGTAAATAATTAAAGTTCTATTTTTTTCGAAAAATATTTTTTTTTTCAGAAAAATTGAACGGACGCCATTCTAAAAAGGAAAAATGAACAACTTTGTGAGTTTTTTTTCAGAATATGGAATTGAGAACTGAAAGCACATTTTTGAATTTCACCACGTCAAAAAATTCATCACTTTGTTCTCAAACTCCCTATAACTAAAAACGTAACCCTTTTGCTTCATCAAAAATCCCAAGGTTACCTAGATTACTATGGGCCTTCATTTATGATTAGTCAACAAAACGTTTTGTTTCAGATTACTGTATCTACACTACAGTACTATTCTTCAAATATTCAAATATTCAAAATCGCAAATATTTCTGCAGAGAATACTTCGGTAAATCATTATCGCTCTACATATATTTTCTAAAAAAAATTTCGATTTTTTTCAGAAATTGGATGAAGGCATACAAACAGCGAAAAAATTAAACACTTCCTCAAATTATAAGAACAATTTATGGACCAAGAAAAGCTACATAATCTTGTGAGTTTTTTAATACCGAAAATCCGAAGGTCACTTGGGTTACTGTGGGCTCTTATTTGTGATTGGTCAACAAAATTTTTTTCAGGCTACTGTATCTATACTACAGTACTATTCTTCAAACTATTGAGAATTGCAAATATTTTTGCAGGGAGTTTTCCGGTGAATCAATATCGCACTTTTATCTCAAAAAAATTAATTTTTTTCAGAATTCAACAAAAGGCAGCAGAACGGACGACACATACATGGATTTTTCAAGATATAAGAAAATAAAAAAATGGACCAAGAAAGGCTATAGAACATTGTGAGTTTTGGGAACTTGAAATTAAAAATTGAAACAAACAGCATTACCAAAAAATGTAATCCTGTTGTTTTTTTGACCCAGATTATTTAGATTTTTTCAGATTACTGTATCTACATTACAGTACTTCATGGTTTCAAATAAACTAAACAAGTTTAATCAGAAGATCTCTTGGAGAATGTAAGTTTTGTGAAAAATTTATTGAAACAATTAAAATTAATTTTCAGAACCAGCTTCAATTCGAGCTTCAAGCTTCATGAAAAAATGAACATTTTCTACCAAAATAGTTATTTGAAGGTTAGTTTTTTTTCTGTTCACAACTAAAATCAAACTTACTTTTATTTTGAAATCATTGTGGGTGGTCCATTTCAAAACTTGGCAGGTGTTAATTCCAATTAGACAACATTTTTCAAACTTCTCATTAGTTCTATTCACTAACCCCATTAATTAAAACGAATTACATGTCTTTCATCTTTCTTTGTTTTATTTCAACTCCTATTTTTTGGGGACCATCTTTTTTTTTTCAGATAACTGTATCTACACTACAGTAATCATTTCAAGAAAATCAACATTGAAAATACTTTTGTCGCGAATTCTTTGGTAAGTTTTTTTAAACCTATATTTTTCAAAAAAAAAAAAAAAAACATTTTTTTCAGAAATCAACAGCAATGCAAAAACAAACGGATGATATGTTCAGCAACTTCCCTAATGCCATAAATATTATTTTTCGAAATCATTTCAATTTTGTTCCTCAAAAATATCGTTTTTTATTTGACGATCTCACAATACCTTTATCAATCGAAAATTATAAAATGAGTCATTAATAATCAATATTTTTCCAGGAATGATCGGAGAATTGGTCAAAAGCTTCCTAGAATAATGTCGATGGGAGAATCTATGGAAAATGATTATGAGTCAAATTGGTGAGTTCTATGTTCAATTTCTCTTTTATACCAGACTACTGTAGACAACTTTACTTTTTTTATTTGTTCAATGATTCATTACAGTACCCCTCCACTAATTGGGATTTTTATTGGAAAAATAACAAAGGCTTTTTTGTTTTGACTACAGTAGCCTGGGAATATAACAACAAGGTCATTTTTGTGTAATAAAAATTTTCCAAATCCAAAAAAACGGGGGTCAAACTCTCACCAATGCTTCAATTTTCAATTGTTCAAGTGAGTTCAAGTAATGAAAATATGTTTAACTAGGTAATGAAAACTCGTTTAGTTCTATATAAACAATTTTCAAAATGATCGTGGGTGGTCCAAAAAAGTTTTGAAATTTGGCAGATGTTATGTTTATAATTGAAACTCAACACCTGCCATTTCAATAGGAAACAAAAAAGTTTTCGAGCTTCTCATTAGTTCTTTTCATTGAGGCAGAATAGTGATATATGACCTTTTTCAAATGAAAAAATTGGGGATCGAAAATTGTTCAAATATATTTATTTCAGATTACTGTATCTAGACTACAGTACTTATGAATCATTCAACATCAACAAACCTACGACACAAGTTTGAAACGTCTAATTTCAACAGAAATTGAGAAAACACTTATCAATAACTATCAAATTCAGGTGAGGGCTTACACATAAATCAGAATCAAAATAGAAAAAAATATTAACACAAAATCTGTTTGAATTTAATTTGGAATTTTTAACTAGGAACAAAATAACACGAATCATTTCAAACTAACAATTTTATAATTTTTATGAGTACTGCAAAAACATTTAAAAAGTTGGCACTTATTAGCACAAATAATGTTTTTTTCAGATTACTGTATCTATACTACAGTACTTACAAATTTCTCAACATCAAAAAACTCAAAACGCAAGTTCGAATTATTAAATGAATCCACAAATGGAAAATAAGCTCGTTTCAATAACTATCGAATATAGAGGTGAGTTTTTTATCCAAAAATTTGTAAACAACGACATTTTTTGGATTGATATCACTTACTTATTTTATGAGAAACGTGAAGTAAACTATTAATTTATATTTATGAATCTGGTTTGTGAAGTAGTATACCTTTTTTGTTTATCAACTAATCATTGTGCAAAATTGTTTCAAAATTCTGTAGTTTTCAACTTTATCATTAACAAGGGAACCTTTTTTACTCAACACTTCAAATCATGATGAAATTTGGTCCATGGACAGCTTTTGGGACCATAAGAACACCCTAAAAATTTTAGTCTCCCAATGGACCTCTGCGCCAAGTTCTGGGCTCTCAAAAGTTCGAAAATTGCCAAAATTGGCTCATAAAAGTCATCATAGCTCCATTTCAAAATTTTTTTGGGAGAAATGAAGTTTCAAATATTGATCAGCATAGTCGATTTACTAAAAGTCAATCAATAAAAAATATTTTTTCGAAAAATTGTGAAGTTTTTTATTTTTGGGCTGAAAATTCATGAAAATTCATATGTGCCCCTGCTCACTCTTTTTTCCAAAATCAAAAATTTTTCTGAAAATTCGATTTATTTATGCTTTTTGGGTGAATCGACCACGCTGATCATCATCTGTTACTCAGTTTTTCATAAAATTGATCGAGAATTGAGTTATGATGTGTTTTATGAGCCAATTTTGGCAATTTTCGAACTTTTGAGAGCCCAGAACTTGGCTCAGAGGTCCATTGGGAGACTAAAATTTTTAGGATGTTCTTATGGTCCCAAAAGCTGTCCATGGACCAAATTTCATCATGATTTGAAGTGTTGAGTAAAAAAGGTTTCCTTGTAAAAATCTTTTGAGGGAGATATAAAAATTTGAGTGATCAAATACCTTTTTTCAGATTACTGTATCTAAACTACAGTACTTATTCAACATTAAGAAAGTTAGAATGCAAGTTCGAACATCGGATGGCTCTACCAACCAAAGCCAAAAAAATATTCCTGTTCGAAATATTAAATGGATCCACAAATGGAAAACAAGTATATATCAAATTCAACTATCTAGGTGAGTTTTTATACAAAATTCAAAACCAAACCTAGAAAAAACTTTAACTGTGGATTTAAATTTTGAAAATAATCCCAAATTGGAAAAATTGATTTTTTTCAGATTACTGTATCTATACTACAGTACTTGTGGAATATTCAACAAAAACTTCGAAAACAAGTTTAAAAAACAATTGCGCCCATGATTGTTCATTAGATTTTTACTAAAGAAAATTATTCGCTAGGGTGAGTTTAAAAATTAAAATTAAAAAAAAACAAATAACATTTATTTTCAGATTACTGTATTTAAATTACAGTACTTTTCGACTGGAAATTTCGCGAATTTCAAAGAGATTCTTAGATATTTATACAAATTGGAAGAGTTTCTCACACCAACAAAACCTACACAAATGCATTGGATTTATCATTCATGAATATTTTTCCTTTTTGATGAAATTAATTTTTTTTTCAAAATGATCTTCCTACAAGTTCACTCAAAATGTCTTCTTTGATAAGATCAAAAACAGAAAAACCGAACTGATAAAAACACAAATTGACTACAACATACAAAATAATGATTACTTTTTTCTCTTTTTTTTCCAACCTCTCTCATCAGACCTACGTTATTTATAAAAAGAAAATTATTTTTGTTCTCTAAAGTTTTAGTGATCTACTTCTTGGTTTTCTTTTTTTGGAGATATAATTTTTATTGAAGGATGACATTCTTTTTATTTACATTTTTATGTTTATTTTCACAAATTGGGATATGTCGGATGACGGATGGCGCAAAAGTTTTACTAACAGTTATGGATCAAGGAAGGTTAGTTAAGGGTTTTTTTGGGTTAGAAAACTGTTTTCAATTTTATAGAAGTCATGCTGGATCTATTCTCCCTTTGATGCATAAAATTCAAACAGAAAATATCACAACAGCTCTTGAATTTACGATATTTCATAATGAAATTGATTTTGGAATGGAGGAAAGATTTATAAATATGACAGGATTTCACAATAATTTTGCTTCACCTGATTTTTTCAAAGTCGCATTCGAAGGCGAATTCACATTTCTTCATCAAACTCTTCCATTTTTATTCGGATCACTTTCTTGTGACAAAGTTCTCAAACACAAACGCGATCGTTTTATGGAAATAGCAAATGAAGATTGGGATATTTTCTTGAGTGATTCACTTTTCTCAGTTTGTGGTTATGGAATGGCTGAACTCAGTGGAAAACCACATGTTATGATGCATTCGAGTGATGTTGAAAGTGCCCATGGAACTTTCAAAGGTTTTTCGAGGAATTATGCAATTCTTGTCCCGAACTTTTTACCTTATTCAATGTCTGATTTTACAATTGAGAAATATTGGCATCGAGTTGTATCAACTATTGATTGGTTTGGAGGCATTTTTGTTACAGCTGGACTTGGTGCGATGGCACAAAAATGGGCATTACGGAGTGTGATCCCATTCCCATATTTCTCTTTTTATGAATTCAATCGTCAAAGTACCTTCAGTTTCACAGATATGCCAGATGCATTATATCCTGTTGGACCAGTAACAAATGATGTGAGTTGATTATTTCTAAAATATCTCAACCCCAAAATGTTTATATTTCAGCTTGTCTCATTTGGAACCTATTGCAAAGCTCCAAAACAAGAACTTACTGGAGAAATCAAGAATTTCGTTGAGGATCCAAAATCCAAAGGAACAATTCTGGTTGCTTTCGGAACTTTGATTGATTGGAAATATGCACCAAAGAAAAAATTGGATACACTCATCAATGTTTTCAACAAATTCACCGATTATCGAATTATTTGGAGTATGAAAGGGGAAAAACCAAAAGAACTATTGAGTCATGTGATGGTATCATCTTGGATTCCTCAAAATGAACTATTGCATCATCCAAAAACTGTCCTGTTTTTCAGTCACGGAGGATTGAAAAGGTAATTATTTTTGAAAACCAAAACACTTTTGAAAATAATAATTTCTAGTGTGAAAGAAGCTGCATGTTCAGCAACTCCATCAATATTTATGCCGATGTTTGCGGAACAAATGAGAAACGCGTGGCTTGCAAAAAATAAAGGATTTGCAAGAATTGTGAATAAATTCGAGTTTGACGCTCCAACTTTAGAAAAACATATTCGCGAAGTTATTACACATCCAAGTTATCAGGTTTGTTTTCAAAATGTCTTTTCTGAGAAGTGCTTTCAGGTGTTTTCATAAAAAATCAAAAATTGATGATTTTTATCATTTTCCTTCAACCAATTTCAGCCATTACAGTTTTTCTAACAAATAAAAAATGTTTACATGAGGCAAAAATCAATTCATTTTGTTTTCAGAAAGAAGCAGATCATTTCTTCTCAACATTCCTTGATAAACCAATCGCTTCACTTGATAACGCAGTCTTCAAATTCAAAAAACTTTTAAAATATTCTGGAAAAATGCCAAAATATTTCTATCCAAAGTCAATTGATTTGTCATATATCACAAGTCTTAATTTAGATATTCTTTTTGTAATTCCTCTACTTCTTGTTTTTCCGTTGTTCTCTTATTAATTATCTATGTATTTATGTATTTATTTGATTTCTTTATATCGGGTATTAATTTTCAGATGTTTCATTTTAATACATTTCTTCTACTGGCTTTTTTGAGCTCGATAAATGGTTCAAAACTTTTATTGACTGTTATGGATCAGGGAAGATCGCACGCATCTTCAATGACAACTTTTATGCATAGATTACAAAAAGAAAATCATTCAACAATTATTCAAATGACATTGTATCGAAAAGAAATTGATTTTGGAATGGAAGAAAGATTTATTGATATGACTGATCAACCAAATATTTTTGAATCTGATGAATTTCATACTATTATTTTCGAAAAAGAATTCACATTTTTACATCATGTAAGTAGGTTATTCTTCTTTTGAAATAAATTCAAAAAAAATCCATTCCAGGCGTTCCCATTTATTTATGGCGCAATTTCTTGTGAATCTGTTCTTCGTAACAAATATCGAAGATTCAAGGAAATCCTAAAAAGTGACTATGATCTTGTGGCTTCTGATTCACTTTTTGCAATTTGTGGATATGGATTAGGTCAATTATCAGGAAAACCACATATTATGATGCATTCTACAGATTTGGAAAGTGCACAAGGATCCTATAAAGGATTTTCGAGAAATTATGGGATTTTGGTCCCTAATTTTTTACCCTATTCAATGCCTGATTTTTCGGTGAGTTTTTTTTCGGAGAATTACGTTGAACAGGGTCGATTTCCAACCTTTTTTCCTAAAAGGTAGATTATTTCAGCCCGAGAAATTCTGGCATCGAGTTTCAGCAACAATTGACTGGTTTGGTTCAACATCAGTTATTGGTTTAGTAGCTGGAATTGGAATGAAATATGCTTTCAGAAATATTGCACCAGGAGAATTTGGAATAAATTCTTATTATGAATATAATCGACAAAGTATATTCACTTTCTCAGATATGCCAGATAGTTTATATCCTGCTGCAGCAAGGACAAATGATGTTAGTTTTTCTCAATTAATTGGAATTTATTTTTTATTTTTCAGTTTTTCTCATATGGAACTTATTGCAAAACTCCAAAAGCCGAAATATCTTCTACTTCCATCAGCAATTTCACAAATGATCCAAAATCAAAGGGAACAATCCTAATATCTTTTGGTACTGTAGTTGATTGGAAATTTGCGCCGAAACAAATATTGAATACTTTCATCAATGTTATTAATAAATTAACCGATTATCGAATTATTTGGAGTATGAAAATGGATAAACCGAATGGTTTGGGAAAACATGTTTTGGTATCGAACTGGATTCCACAAAATGGATTGTTGCATCATCCGAAAACCAAATTATTTATCAGTCATGGAGGATTGAAAAGTGTTAAAGAATCAATTTGTTCAGCAACTCCATCAATATTTATGCCAATGTTTGCGGAGCAAATGAGAAATGCATGGCTTGCGAAAAATCGTGGATTTGCCAAAATTCTCAATAAATTTCTTCTCACCGAAAAGTATTTACTTGAAATGATCAATGAGATTTTGAAGGATCAAAAATACCAAAACAATGCTGACAAATATCTTTCCGAATATTTCGATCTTCCAATGGATTCTTTAGATGAAGCTGCTTTTAAATTCAACAAACTTGCTAAATATAATGGAAAATTACCGGAATATTTTTACCCAAAAAGTATACAACTAGGATATATTCAAAGTTTGAACATTGATTTATTAGTTTTGGTTCCAGTTTTTGTAGGTTATTTATTGTTTGTAAAATAATTGTAAAATAAATCATTTTGTCGGGTTGAAAAGCAGTAGCGCGAAATGTTTTCTTACACAAAGAGAGAAATAACTCACCAGTCCATCAATAGATATTTGGCGTTTTGAAAAATTAATTTTTTAAAACTTCCAAATGAAGGATCTACAATCATATTTATAAATTTTTCAAAAATTGTTTATGTTTAATTTTTATAATTGTTTTTTTTGCATAAAACTATCACACAACAGATAGAATTATGTTTGAATTTCAGTATTCTTGAAACTATTTTGAAGTTATACATTTACATAATTTCAGAAGAAAATTGAATGCAGATTTTTTGTCAGCGTGTGAAAACCAACTTCAATCATAATTGGTGTTCAGTCAACCAAACTCTTATGATTTTGAGTTTTGCATCAGCTTATTTCAGATAACATTATACTATTTTTATATTTGTTCAAAAAATGTCTGAATTTCCTGGTTGGTATGAAATCATTGAAATTGTCTCACAAGTTATTCTACTAATCATTTCTGTTTTTTCTTTTCCATTATACATTTTGGTAATATTCATAATATTGAAAAATCGTTCAAATATTTTTCGCGGACCATTTTATCGAATTCTGTTGATTGGAATGAATTTTGATATAATTTCGGTGATCAATATTTTCATTGGTCAAATCCTTCCAGGCCATTCTTTATTGAAATTTTTATATTTTTTCGACGGTGGAAATTATCTTGGTAAATTCTACTTTACTGTAACTTATTGTGGGAGAGGAATCCAAGGCGCAACAGCAATGCTTTTGGCTTTCAATCGAGTTTCCGCTGTTTGTTTCCCTATTTTTTATCGGAAGGTGACATTTTTTTTTTTAAATTAGAATATTTTTTAATAATCACCACACAATTTCAGTTCACAGAAACATCCTACACTATAGTTATGCAAATAATTCAAATATCAGCAGGGATTATTGCAATATTTTTATTGCTTCCAAGAGAATATGAATATATTTATAAAGATGAAGGATATTATGGAGGATCTGATGATGAACAATTTTGGAACTCTTTTTATTATTTTGTTGGTGGATTAGAAGTTTTATTCGTAACTTCAATTGTGGTTTGCAATGTTGGAATGGTTGTATCTTATCATTTCACGTTTCAAGTTGTTAGTTCAGAGAAATTCATCATTCTCATTTCAAATCATTCATTTTCAGGACCGTCGTAATTCTGTGAACCAGCGAATATCGAATGAAAAACAAAAAGCAGAGCAAAATATGGGGAAAATGACAATAATTATTTGCTCTTTCGAAATAATCTACTTCATTTTTATTGTTAATAATCTTATCCTTTGGCCTGATATGAACAAACGATATTTCTATTTTTTCTACAATCCATTGGGTATTTTATATTCAACATTTTCCGCTTGGATGCTCTTATTTTTCTCAAAACCTATCAGATTGTTTATTTTAAGGTTTTTCATATATCAGAATGTCTATTAATAGAACATTTTCAGAAGTATGAAAAAGAATAACGTCGGCCAAACCAAAATTGTTTCTTCAAATGAACCACAAAGATTGACGATGAGTGAAATACGGAGCTGATTTTTTTGGGTTCAAATAATTTTTGCGTGACATGACGTGAAAAATCAAAAACATTAGTATTTCATTTCTTATAATTCAATAAAGGATTATTTTTCAAGCTTTTGATTTTTTGTGTTTGATTTGATATTTTTGAAATTATGTTTCACAGATCAGCGATCTGCACTTTAGCTTTGTTGTGACTTTGTTTTAATGAATTAATTTTTTGATTTGAAAAACCTATTTGTGATTACAAGGTTTGGTTATTTTTCAAAATTACTCATTTTTCATTTAAATGTTTTCTTTTGAACATTTATTGTGAGTGTAAGTTACAATCATATGAAAAACTGAAAAAACAAAAAAATCACGTTGTTATATGATACTTCGATTTTTAAAAAATCAAACATTGCATGTGGGTACAAAATCGTGGGAAATTTGTCAATAAGTAGAGTAAGAAAACTCATAGTCCAGATTTTGCACGTTCAATCCATTTTTTTCTCATTCAAAGGATTATTTTTAGTAACAAACATATAAATTCAAAATTTGGTGCAAAATGTTCTTTCAAATTTTGATCAGCGGTATCCTTTCAAGCAGATAATTTTTTTCTAAAAAAAAAGCACATGCTCATACTTTCTTAACTCATAAAAAATGTCAAACGAGATTATTGCAAATTTTCCAACTTGGTATATTATCACTGAAAATGTCACAGAAGGTATTTTATTTCTAGCAACTATAATATCTCTACCTCTTTATTTGCTTGAAATATTTCTAATTTATCGAAGTCGTTCGAATGTTTTTCGTGGCCCATTTTATAGAATTCTATTAACTGGAATGATAATTGATATATTTTCGGCTATCAATATTTTTCTTGGTCAAATAATTCCAGCAAAAAATTGGTTCAGTTTTCTATACACTGATGATCAAAATGGAAATTATCTCGGAAAAGTGTTCTATACAATAACATATGGTGGAAGGTGTATCCAAGGTGCAACAGCAATGCTTTTAGCATTTAATCGTGTATCAGCTGTTTGTTTTCCATTATTTTATCGAAAAATGACAAATTCTTTTTGGAGTATTATTATGAACTTTATTCAAACATCTGGTGGATTTGCTTCTCTCATTCTGATTTTTCCAAAATCTTATACTTATTATTCTGAAAATGATGGATTTTATGCTGCTTTCAATGATCAGAATTTCAGAAAATGGTTCTATATTTTTGTATCATTGTTGGAAGTGTTATTTGTGATTTCTATTGTTTTTTTCAATATTGCTACTTTGGCATCTTTCCATTTTTCAATTAAACTAGTAAGTTCCTAGAACTCACACCGAGAACATTTCAATTTTCAGTCTGGCTCATCAAATTCATTAAATCGTAGAAACTCACAAGTAAATCAGAGAATTTCTTCGGAAAAGCAACGAGTTGAACAAAGTATGACCAGAATGTCATTTATTGTTTGTACAGTTGAAGTTATTTATTTCGTTTTCATAGTTTATACTCTTTTATTACATTCAAATATGAACAAACGATATTTTTACTATTTCTATAATATTTTATGTATTTTCTACTCAACATTTTCCGCTTGGATGCTCATCTTATTTTCACCACCGATCAAATTGCAAATTATGAGGTAACTAATCAAGTCATGTGGTTTTTTGGTTGTTAATATGATTCATATGATTCGTAATAACAATGAACAGAATATTTTTTACAGGATTGTAAAATGGAAAACAACATCAATGAATGAAGCTATACGAATCACAACAATTGAACTCCAAAAATCAAATAATTCAGTGTTCCAATAATGTTACTACTATTTTTTCATGATAATAATAAATATGTAAATATGAATTGTAAACAACAATAACAGAACAACTATAAAAGAGTCATCTGAAAAATTGGTCATCACAACAAAAATGTTCCTTTTTCGGATCATCCCTCTAATTCTCATATTTCAAAATATTTATTCCATCAATCAAAATGCTCTCGAGAAAATTTTGATTGCTGAAAACCAAGACACTGCCGAAGAGCGGGAAGAAATTCGTGAGATAGTTCAAAAGGCAATGAGCAATTTTGTGCCTCGAAAAATGGGTCGACAATCGTTGACAGCAAAAAAGGTTTGCAAAAATTTCGCTCCCGGGTGGGCTCGAACCACCAACCTTTCGGTTAACAGCCGAACGCGCTGCCTATTGCGCCACGGAAGCAGGCGAAAATCTATTCAATTTTTTTCGATATAAAACTTTTGCAGATAACAGAGAAACGAGTGTACAAAGGGCCGAGAAATAATAACACAAAACATTTGGAGAAGATCAATGAAAAAATAAATGGTATGATTGAATTGGAAAATTGAACATTTCTTGAAATGTTTTTTTTTAATTTTAGAATATACTTTCGAATCGGATATTATGCTAAACCTTGGACAAGCAAAACATATTGCAGAATCTTTGGAAAAGGGAGAGGGAAGAGTAAAAAGACAAGCAATTATTGATAAAAGTCTTTTTTGGGATGTTAAAAAACCAATTTACTATCAATTTGATTCAAAATTGAGTTCTTCAAATATTGCAAATGTTCGGAAAGCCATTAAATTCTGGAATGATAATTCTTGCCTCTCTTTTCAAGAAAGTTCAACCGGAGCAAATCGACTTTATCTAACTTCTGCTGGAGGATGTTGGTCTTATGTCGGAAAACAATCATCGAATTATCAATTGGTGTCAGTTGGACCAGGATGTGATAGTGTAAGATTTCTACAAAAGCTTCCTAGAGCATTTTAAATAATTCCAGCTTGGCACAGCTTGTCATGAACTTGCTCACGCTCTTGGATTTTGGCATCAACAATCTCGAGCTGATCGTGATGATTATGTTTTTATCGACTTTTCGAATATCCAACCTTCACTTCAATATAACTTCCAAAAAATGTCATTGAAAGAAGCACAACTTCTCGGGCTACCGTATGACTATGGAAGTATAATGCAATATTGGCCATGTTCGAAAAAAAAAACAATTCTGGGATTTCTTTTGTGGAATACATATTTTTACAGATTCATTTGCAATTGATTCAAGTCAACTAACAGTCTACGCTAAAAATCAACTAGATGAAAATAGTTTGGGACAACGCGAAGCACCTGCATTTTCAGATATCAGAATGGTTAACACACTTTATAATTGTACTCGTAAGTTTAAAAAATACAAACTTTTCATAGAACTTTTCATTTCTAGAACAATGCTCTTCACAATTGCCTTGCAAAAACTCGGGATTCACCGACTCACGGAACTGTCAGAAATGCAAATGTCCTCACTATTTCTCTGGACCTCTTTGCGACGGTTTGGCTCAAGGATCAGCTCAAAATTGTAATGGAGCAATTATTAAAGCTAACTCAACATGGACAAGTTTTAATGGACTTGCTGGAGATCCAAACAGTTATTCTTCTTCAAATAATCCAACTGATTGTTTCTGGCATATTAAAGCAGAACCAGGACAGAAAATTGAAATGAGATTGACAAAATCATTGCAATCCTCAATTTGTATGGAACAATGTCCATGGCAATCTATTGAAATTAATATGGGAAAATTCGATGTTTATGGGTGGATGTGAGTTTTAGCTGTAAAATAATGTGAAAAAAACTGAAATATTTTTTTTCTAGAATCTGCTGTTCAACCTATAACAATAAAGTGTTCACTTCTCAATCAAATCTTATTGCAATTCGCGGTGTCCTCAAATATAATCAAATCAATTTCAACATTGAATATCGTGCAATCGGTCAAGCTGATTCTTCAAATCCAACAACAACATCAGCCAAACCGCAAACTTGTCAATGACAATAATTTATCTCATCTTCTTTTATTTGTATTGTATACCTTTTTTCATCTAATCGGGGGACAAATTAATCAATCGTCATCACTTTACATCTGTTTCAACGAATAAAATCGAATGATTTTTGGCAACATTTTTGTCTTGTCTAACAAAAATTGAGTGCAAAGAAAAATTCGGCTGATCTTCCGATAATTCCATAACAAATCATCTGTGTTATGACCACGTGACGCAAACAAAAACAAAAAAACCAGATGGTTGTTTGATCTTGTTTCTTCTCTTCATTAATTTTTCTTTCACAATTTTTTAATTCGACTAACATGATAACCCACGTGGGAAAACCGAATACTGTACCTAAATCGAACCCGTAATTTGAACAATCTTTTCATCGAAATTCTCATATCAATCATCGACTTTCGCCTTGAAAAAAGGAGGAGTCTTGTCTTGTTAGCTAGAAGAATAAGAAGAATAAGAAGAATAAAAAATTGAGAAGAACAAGAATTTGTTCATTTGTTTATTGTGAATTGAAAAATGCGTCGAACATTGGTTTTCATTCCAAAAAGATGTTATTCACCACTTCCTGTCGATCCATTGGCTCGTTTCAAAACAATCAGTCAAACTAGTAAAGCACCAAAAGTTTTGATAACTGGATCACTTGGACAACTTGGAAGAGGATTGAATAGTGTCTACAAGTGAGTTCAGAAAGATTATGGAACATTTGAAACCTATTGTTTTCTAGATACATGTATGGCGCAGAATGTGTGACTATGTCGGATATTGTGAAAGTTCCATCAGATGCTCACGATGTTTCTTCAGCAAATTATCAATTTCTTGATATTCTGAATCAATCAGCAATTGAAGAAGCTGTAGTGAACAGAAATATTGATACAATTGTTCATTTTTCTGCTCTTCTTTCGGCAGTTGGTGAACAAAATGTGCCACTTGCTCTTCAAGTTAATTGTAGAGGTGTTGAAAATGTTTTACAAGTTGCTATGTAAGTCATAATTTTTCAAATACAATTCTAGCATTGAAAACTATATTTTTAGGCGTCACAAGTTGAAAGTTTTCATTCCATCAACTATTGGAGCTTTTGGACCAACTACTCCAAGAGATGACACACCTGATTTAACTATTCAAGTTCCAACAACAATTTATGGTGTGAGCAAAGTTTATGCTGAAAGACTTGGTGAATATTACAATCATCGATTTGGTGTAGACTTCAGAAGTCTTCGATTCCCTGGAATTATTTCGGCAACAAAACCAGGAGGTGGAACAACAGATTATGCTATTCAAATATTCTATGATGCACTTGAAAAAGGAAGTCATACTTGTTATCTTCGACCAGACACAAGTCTTCCTATGATGTATGATACTGATTGTATGGCATCAGTTGTACAAGTAAGTTCATCTTTTTCTTTTTTTGCAATTTTTTTTGTAAAGTTGATCAATCAAAAAACCATACGTTTTTCAGTTCTTATCTGCCGATAATTCTCAATTAAAACGACGTGTCTATAATGTAACTGGCTTTTCATTTACTCCTGAACAAATTGCTGGAGCAATTCGAAAAGTTATGCCAAATTTCCAAATCGATTATAAAATTTGCGAAACTCGTCAAGCAATTGCTGATTCGTGGCCAAGAAGTTTGGATGATTCAGGAGCTAGAAATGATTGGGGATGGAATCCAGAATATGGATTAGATGAAACTGTTCAAGTCATGTTTGCATTATTACAAAGAGAAATTGCACAAAAGAAAGGAGAAGGTGGAGAAAAACAGGTTACAACTGCATAAAATACGGAAAATCACTTAAATTTGAATACTTTTGTTGAAGAGCTTTACTTATTGCATGTTTTCATTCAGCTTGAAAATAAATGTTTTATGAATTATAATGATTTTCAACACATGCACAAACTTCGGAAGCAGTTCAATATTCACAACTTTAAATTTTTACTTTTCAGTTTCTTATCAAAAAATACTACTTTTCCTATATTTTCCCAAAATGTGTGAAAATATAAATCATCAAACATATGTCTTTCATAAAAACCATTCCATGCTTCGCACCTTTCGATTTTTTTTTGATGGAAGGTGTTAAAAATAATAATATGGGAACTAGACTACAGTAACCCAATAATATTTATTCAAAAATGAATTTACTAATTTATTTGTTCAAGTTTTTCAAAAAGCTGATTGAGAAACACTTTAAAAAAAAACTCGTATTTAGAAAAAACTAGCTTTAGATAATTTGATATTCTAAAGATATGTTTTTTCTGAAAACTAATATTGGATTACTGTATAGTAGTTCCCGTATCATTATTTTTAACACCTCACATCAAAACAAAAAACCGAAAGTGCGAAGCATGGGAGAAATAACACATTGTCGACTATTCATTGTATTTTCACACATTTTGGGGAAATTATCAAAACGGAAATCCGACAAGAAGAACACGTGAAATTATAGTTTTGTAGTTTGAATAGTTAATGAAAATGAGAAAGTCAGATTTTGCTCAAATTATTAATTGAAAATAGCAAACAAGTTTCACAAAAAATATATTTTAAAGACACGTAGAAAACTAGAAATGTGTGCTCGTAATCGTAAAAATTTGAACGCGCGTCTTTTTTCAAAGTCGTGTTATTCGTTTGAAAAAAGAAAAAATAAATAAAAAGTGGTGGTACGGTATGCTAAGAATGCACACATGTGCGGCAAATCACGAACATTTGTGCAAACACCAAATTTTGCGTCGGCTGAGCGATTTCAAAAAAGGCAATTTCTTTTTTTGACTTTCGCTAAACCAATATTTCTCAAATTTGTTTATGTACTTCCACTATTTGAAGGATGATAAAAAACACGCAAACAATGAATTTTGAACGATTTCTAGTTTTCTACGTGACTCATTTCTCTATTCTGGTTTTTTGATTCATTCCCAAAATTATCTTACTGTATCATATCCGCTTCCCATGTTTTTTCTATCCCATGTTTCACACTTTTTTCCCAAAATGTGTGAAGCGCCAAGCTCCGCCCACTTTGCACCAAAATGTTACTATAAAAAGAAGGGCTCAAAACAGTATATTCACCATTCTTTCTAGATTAAACAAATTATGCCGGTTAACTCTAAACTATCTAAATATTCTCGTCGTGATTCTGGATATGAAGCCGATAGTTCTGATTCTGAGAAGGATAAGGACTTTGACACAAAGAAGTTGATTTTCCTAGAAGATGTTCGGCAATTTCATGGGCGGAGAATGCTTGAAATGGCAACTCTATCTATTGAATCACTTCCAGATGGATCTAGAAAAATTGATTTTCATTTTCCTAAAACAGCTGATGAATTAAAAGTGGTAAGTTTTAGAAAATCCTTTTTGTTTACTCTATAATATTTCATTCTCCAGACAACCTTCAAAATCAGTTCTGAACAATCACTAAAAGGAAAGATGAATTTCATAAAACCTGAATGGTTTTCAATGAATGCTTGCCAAAAAACAATTCAAGAAATCGACAAAATGTGGCTGATGGGAAGAAGCAGAATTATGCTAACTACTGAAGAAGATTACCAATCATATCTTCCATACTTCTATGCTGCAACTTATCTCATCATCAATTCACAAAAAACTGTGAAAATGAGTGAAGTTTTGGATGAAATGCCAAATTTGGAAAATCTCATCTTAAATGGAAAAGCTGATTGCACTGATGAAGATTTCATTCGATTCACTACAAGAGCAAAAAATGTTCGAAGCTTCAGTATTGATCTCAGCGAATGTTCTTCGGTTTCTCTTAATGCTTTGGTATTTTTCATGGAGGTAAGTCACACTTTTTATAGAGTCAACCTTAAAATAAACAATTTTGAATTTTCAGAATACTTGTTTCGCCGAACCAGCTCGTGTTCATCTCTCAGGATTCTACACAACAAGAAAAACAATGATTTCTGCTCTTCTTAGCGCTGAAAATATCGAAAACTTTGTGATTGTTCAAAAAGAAATTAGAATCACACGAAAAGATGGAGTTTTTGTAACTCTTCAATTGGATAAATGTCTCCCATGAACCTAGTTTTTGATTAACTTTTTTTTTGATTTTTTGCTCCTTTCTGACGCCAATTATGGATTTGATTTATTTTGTACCTACTTTTTTTATTTCCAATAAATATGATATCTTTTAAAAATGTGTTGAGTTCTATTGATTAGGAAAAATCATTCATTTAGAAAAAAACGACAAACATTATTTTGGCTTCGTTGGTGTTCCAACATCGACAGTTGTTTCAGAAGATAGTTGATGAGCTACAGTTCTCAAAGTTTCACCAGTTTTTGGAGTTGGAGTTGAAGAAAATTCAGAAGATGGGAGTGGACTTGTTGGAGGTGTAAAACCAGCTCGATTCAGGTGGAATGTTGACATTTCACTTCTTTGTGATGATATTTCAGCACTATGATGTGCTTCTCCTGGCTTTGGAATATTTAGAACAATAACAGGAGCATTTTGAATTTGATTTGGAGTTAGAGAAGTTTGATCTTCTTTTGAGGTGGATTTCGATTTTGATCCAGTATGAGACTTTGGTTCCATATCAACAATTGTATGTTCCTTCTTTTGTTCGATAACTTCTTTTGAATTATCAAACTTCTCTTTGCTTTCCTCTTTTGATAATGGTTTTCTAGCTTGTTCCGGTGGTACAACCAATTCCAAAGATGATGCATCATTTTTCACTGTCTCTGATGGTTTTTTTGGTGCTTCTGAAGATGCAAGAGGTGTTTCAGATTTTTCAGATCTTTCCGAGTTCTCAGCCGATTCTGTATTTGAGACAGGTTTTTGCACAGATTTTTCTGTATTTTCATATTTAATCGGACACTGTTTTGTCTTTTTTTCTTCCTTCTCAGCCGCTTTTTTATTATTTTTCTTTCGATTTGTAATTGCATAATAGACAAGAGATCCAACAAGCACAATTATAAGAAGAAAACCAATTCCATAAAGGATTATTTCACCCGCACTACTATCTGGAAAAACATGCGCATGATAAATAAAAATTGTGGGAAAAAACACTCACTCTCTTTTTTTGTATGCATTTTTTCAACTATTATTTTCCGCGTTAATTTTGAACTGCTACTAATCTTTTGCTAAATGAGAAATGAGCGTTTTCCGATTTTTTTTGGTTTTTTTTTTAAAGAAGATGAAGGTCACGTATTTTTCTTTCAATTTTTGTATTTATCTGACTATAAATGTTGTTCTCTTAAAGTACTTTCAGAATTTCTTGAAAATTTGTTTTGCTGATATGAATAATTTTTCTGATTTTTCTCGAAAAAATATGAAAAATTTCAGACAAATCCATTCAAATCCTATATTTTTCGAGGAACACACACATAAAAATATAGAACAAATATTATCTTGCCGCTGGCTATAACCACTCTTTTCCGCCTTTTTCCGCATTTTCAGATGAAAAAAGTTTTTGTTTGGTTCCGATTTCAGCATATTAAAATATTGAATTTCATCATGAAGATGTTGAACTTTTTATTTATTTTTTGTTCTCAAAAAGAAAAAAACAAAAATAAATATGATCTTTGTATGCAATCCTATTTGAAATTCGAGATTTTTCGCGCCCGAAAAATAATATTTTAATCCGTCTCCATTTCTAGGAAAATTATCATACCCAGTTTCCATTTTTTTTTCTCATCGTGTCCCCGGAGATTCATATTTTTCGAGTGAGTAGCCCAAACCCAAAAAACAACACATTTTTTCAATGTTCCAGAAAAGATCGTATGAAAAAAGAAGCAAAAATCTCCCAGGCAACCAAAAAAATATGTGTATGAGCTTATCTTTTTTCAAAGATAATTTTTTTTTGCTAATTTTTTTATTTTTCGTCTCTCGCCTCGATTAGTCTTACTTTTTTCGCGACTACTTTTTTTTCTTTCATTTTTTTGCGGTGCTAAAAATCACACGAATCTCACATTTCCTCCGGTCTAATTTCTTTTACTGACGTTTTGATCTTCCAATTTTTTCTATTCTATTCTTATTCCCTTTTCATGAATAGCAAAAAAGTATAAGTCAATTTCGAGACAAAATTTTTTTCACATTTGCATACATTTTTCTTTGAACTTACATATTTTCGCGCGCGCCAGGCCCCAAAAAACTCGTCACTTTTTATTTCATTTTATTTTGTTCCACTGTTGTTCAGCAACAAGAAAAGAACGTTTCAAGAAAATTAGAAAACAAGTAGGTTAGGTTATGCTTGAAAGAATATGGTTTTTTTGGTTGAGAAAGAAAGTAAAGTAAGTCGTAAACTTTATGACTCAACAAAAAAAAACATTTTTCCCTTTTTGACCGGATTAAATGTTTCACCTGTTTCAGTCAGAGGCTTAGTTCTTATTTTTGGAAAGTGCTGAATTGTGCCTGATTTTCAGATTTAAAAATTGTACCAACACAGTGTATGTAATTTACTACCTCAAATTCAAACAATCCGTTCCCGCTTTTTTCCAAACTACTGTAGCTTACAAAGTACGTAATTTTAGAGACTATTTTTCACACACAGTGTCTTATTGATCTTCCATGTTTTTTTGTGTTTTCTTGCTTTTTTTGTCATCTCTTCAATCCTTCATCTATGAATTAAAAATGACGATTGACTCCTTCTTCTTCTTCTTATAGAACAAATATGTTCGTTTTTTTTTCAGTTTGCAAAAAAAAAATAATTTTTTTTTTCGGCTCACTGATTTTGATCGACCAAATAAACCAGGAGTTAGATACATATTTTTCTCAAATTCGTCATAAAAACTACCGTATTCTTTATTGTGCACTATGGTTAATTAGTGTTTCCATGATGTTATTTTTAGGCCCAATTTTTTATTAATTAATTAAAAATAATTAGATGTTGTTTTCGTATTTCCTTTTTTCTTCCTGGAATAGAAAAGTAACACACTATTATGTATAAAAGCCTACCAAAAAGTTCAGTTTTCACAAAAATGATTCATGTGTTTACGCACTTTTTCAACTTATTCCTATTGAAAAATGACAAGAAAAAACATAAGAAGTTGAAAAAAAGAGAACGAGAAAAAAGGCGACGATGATGATAATTTCCTTTTATAAATCCACTTCAACTTTTTTTGTTGAGCTTTTCCTTCTGATTTTATTCTCTCCCTTATTTTCCTTTTTCCCACAAAAAATGTTTTTTGACTCTTTGATCATCTCTTTCTTGTGTGTGTGTGTGTTTTTTCATAGCTGGAAATATATAGCTGAAAAATCTAATGAGTCATAATCCATATTTTACTTTCTTTATTCATCAATGAATGCAGAAAATTCCCACAAGTACATTCTATGTACATGTGAATAACATTTTTGTTCTCTTTTTCTCATGAATATATGACAAGAATTTTGAAACGAAATTTCGTGTGGGGGTATAGCTCAGGGGTAGAGCGCTCGCTTCGCATGTGAGAAGTCTGGGGTTCAATTCCCCATACCTCCAAATTATCTTTTGCTTTCATTTTAGTTGTCCTCGTTTACATAATTTTGAAAAGTAATTACTTAAACAATATTGTTTAAACAATATCAATTTCCGGAATTTCAGATGACAAACGAAACGGAAAAAGTGGAAGAGGAACAAGAACTGATTGAGGCTCGACAAGCCGCAATCGTTCATATTAATGTTGGTGGAAGAAAAGCTCGACTGAACTCGGATATATTAACAAGAAGACTTGCAACATCTCGTCTTGCAGTGTTTTGTGACAAATCTCATGTTGAAAGACTCACTGATTGCGATGCATATTTCGATAATCCAGGAGAATATTATTTTGAAAGATCACCAATTATATTCGAATATGTTATTGATTTTTATATCACTGGAAAACTTCATCGACCAATGGATATTTGTCCAATTCGATTGAGATATGAGTTGGATTATTGGCGAATTCCAACACCATTTATGTCACCATGTTGTATTTTGGAGGAAAATAATAATGTGAATGGGAAAAATAATGAAAAAGCTTATGTTGATTCATCACTTCCAAGCTCATGTTTTGATAAAGTTATTTTTGGACCTCAAAGATTGAAGGTGAGAATTTCAATCAATAAATATATTTCCAAAAATAATAAAATAAAAATTCAGCTCTATCGACTTATGGAAAATCCACGTAGTTCAAGTGGCGCCAAATTCTTTTCAGTTGGCTCAGCTCTCTTTGTACTTTTGTCTTTACTTGGCCTAATTCTTAGTTCAATGCCGGAACTTCAAGATGAAAACAAAGAACCACATTATCTTCTCAAACATCTTGAGTCATTATGTATGGCATATTTTTCATTTGAATATGTTGCAAGACTTTTGGTGAATCCGAAAAAAGGAGAATTTATGCGAAGTCCTTTGAATGTTATTGATTTATTAACAGTTTTACCATTTATGATTGAAGCATTCAATGAATTACAGTGGATGAGAGAATTTCGAGGTGCAATGTTAGTTGTAAGAGTTATGAGATTAGCAAGAGTTGCGAGAATATTCAAATTGGCTCGATATAGCACAGGGTTACGTGCATTTGGAGAAACTATGAAAAAATCAGCTGCCGAATTGAGTATGCTTGGAATGTTTTTAGTTACTGGTATTATGTTATTTTCAACAGCAATCTACTTTTTTGAAAGAGATGAACCGAATTCCAAATTCTACAGTATTCCAGCAGCATGTTGGTGGTGTAAGTAACAGGAAACCATATAAACCATCTAAAGGTTATTTTCCAGGTGTAATAACAATGACTACTGTAGGTTATGGTGATTTAGTGCCAGTAACAGCTGGTGGTAAAGTGGTTGCTGCATTAGCATCAGTTTGTGGAATTATTGTGTTAGCTTTCCCGATATCAATGATTATTGATAAATTTGCTGAATCAACTGGTGGCTGGCAAGGTGGACCTGATATTGATGAAGAAAACGGGGGAGTTCGAAGTCCGGTTGGAGGAAAAAAGAAAAGTAAACGATATGTCGGATTCTAAACAATTGTAATTATAGAATATTGTGCAAGCGGGTTATAATTTCTTTGTATCTGAGAATATTGTTGCAATTCATAGTTGATCTCTGTATGTGCCTTCTTTCCAATAAATACGTCAAGTTTGAAATTCAAAAGAAATACTAACTAAAAAAATATATATAAAGAACTTGATGTTTGAATTTCGTAAATCGAGAAGGAACTTATTAGTGGGAAATTCTATGAATAAATAACATCGAATTAAGATTGAATGAAAAAAATATGAAGAATTCTGATTCGAAAAATCAGCTTTTGTTGTAGGCAAGATCATCTAAACGGTTTTCTAATGGCCAAATTTCACAACATTTAGCGAACTTCGAATTTTAATGAAACAAAGTTCATAACAAAATCGCATATCAATTAGTTCCTGTAGTCATCGATCAAGTTGTTGCAAAGAATATTGCATCCAGAAGCTTTGAATTCTTGAGTTTCAGCTGGCTTAGTATCCAAACAACATCAAGTCTCAACTCATAGTAGTAATTCAAAAAGCCGTATGAGGAAAAATGGATTCCTCTTCTTGCAAACTGTGATTCAAGATTCTCTAATCGTTAAAGATTTTACAAAAAATGAGCACCTAACTTTTATTCGATTATATATAACTTCTTCAGGACCACCAAGTCATGTTAGTAAACAAGCTATCTCAATGGTCACCCCAATCGATAATTAAACTTACAATTAGTATATTTTTAGATTACACATAGTTTATATTTTTGTTCTAGTAGAATATTTTTCTGATTTTTTAAAACAAATAACTGACCTTCTATTTTTGCTTCATGAATATTTTGCCATTTCCGTCTCGAAGTTTCCAGAAGAACCTGAAAAACTTAAAATTTTCAGATATATGAAAAATCAAACAATAAGAGAGTTACATTTTCAGAACGTTAATTCGTTTAACCGAAAATTACATCAGTAACCGAAACCGAAAATTACTCACGATATTTTCGAATTCCTCGTAGTCCTCACAGTGTCCCGAACGCGTATTGCGCCAGCACTCCACACACCACACACTCTCTCGTTTTCTCTCTATCTCTCATCCGTCTCTTCAGCAAAGCGCACTCTCTCATCTTTTTTTGCGCTTTTGTTTTCTTGCTGAAAAATGCTGGAAATGTTATTTTTGTAACTAAATCGAATATGGAGAAGACAGAGGAAGAAAAATTGAAGCTATTCCAAGTTGTTTCATGAAAAATGGTTGAGAATGAAATGAACAAGAGCTCTTCAAAAATACCTTGTGCAAAAACATCATTTTTGACCCAGGAAAGCTGATAAAATCTAGTTTACTGCTTCCAAAACATTGAAATAGGACTACTCGAGTATGTGGAATCAATAATAATTCAAAATTATGCCGTTTTTGTTATTTTCTTTTCCATCGAAATTCGCCCAAAATTGAACAAAAAACCAGATTTCAGAAGTTTATTTTGATCAAATGATTCTTAAAACACCTTGAAAGTATTCTAATTTACATATTTATCATAAAACAAGTGCCGAATCACATTTTTCCTTCATAAAATTTGAATTGTTTTTCTTCAAAAGATATTAACTAACTTATTTTGAATCCAGTCTTCACATTTTTTATATCAAAACGTTCCTCTCATTATTCTCCAGAACATATAGCTCAGTTTGGGAGTTTTCATGCAAGTATAACTGAATTATGATCGTTTCAAGAAAAAACCTAGTGTTAAATTTTCAAAAAACCGACAAACAGGCTTGTGCGCTCTACCGTACATGCACGAAAAATGCGCACAACTTTTCTCTGGCTACGCGTTGGGGGCACTGTGGTCCTCCGATTGCTTCGCATCCCGGAAATCCTAGTTTCCATTCGCCGTCGATTGTTCACTTCGATAATCTGAAAATTCACACATTTCTCGCTGATTAAAAAGCCTAAAGTCGCAACAAAAAAGAAAAATCATGATTTGCAAATCGAAAATTATTTTTTCCTGGCAGTTCGCTAGAGCGCACTTGTTGCTTCTGTCTGTGCACTCCTGTTTTAACACACTGTTCAAAATAAATGTTTCGGGAATTGGCCCATTTTTAACTCCTTTTATTTCGAACTTTATTTTTAAGTCAACGGATTTTATAAATCAGTGTTTTTTATCAATTGAAAACATAAAACGAACGCAAAGATCAAAAATTTTTAGCCGTCTATTTTTTCTTGATTTGTTTCTAGAATTGGCCCATTGAAAGAAAGCTGAAATTTTCAGGCGATTATATAATTTAAAGTTTTCGAAATAGAAAAGTTTATGTTCACAAAAATCTAGAAAATTGTCGAGTTTGACTTGTTGAAAATTATTTCGTTGACCACTTTCAAAACACCCTGCAAAAATAAATTATGAAAAAGTTATAAAAGTAAATTGAGAAGACAAACCTCTTGATGATCTGCCAAATATGCTTTTGCAATATCAAATTTACTTTTGAGAGTCATATCGGTTTCGTTGATAAGAGTTTTGATCAAATATTGAAAATCCGTAAACTCTTCTTTGTTGATTTTGCTGACTGTGGAATTATTTTCAGGTATTGTCGAGTTGAGAGAAGTTGAATTGGGTTGTAATTTTGAGTTGGTTGTTTTTGAACGAGTTTCATTGATTTTCACTTGAGTTCCATTTGAAGCCATTGTGGTGGAATTCAAAGATGGTCTTGTCACATTCAATTTTGGTGCAGACTTTACTCGAGTTCCATTTACAGCCAACTTGGTGGAATTGAAAGATGGTCCTGTCACATTCAATTTTGGTGCAGATTTCACTCGAGTTCCATTTAGAGCAACTGTGGTGGAATTCAAAGATGGTTTTGTCACATTCAATTTTGGTGCATGTTTTACTTGAGTTCCATTAGTATTATTTCGAAGTGGAACACTCAAAACTTGCGACGAAAAAATAGCCAGAATACAAGCGAATAAAACGAGCCGCATAATCAGAATTTGAAAAAATGGACAATGGTTTCATCCTCGTTAATCGAAATATTTTTTTGTACACGTCACATAAAAATTTAAAAAAAAACACGTGAAAAATAAGTATTTAACCCATTTTTAGAAATACTCTTTTTATAAAGAAGGGATTATTCACTAAAAATGTATTCGCACAAAATGAAATTATTATGAATTATGGACAGTCTTTATAGTCATCAGCTAGGTAATCGTAAATATCTTGACCGATCAGTATTTTTTGCGCTTCTTCATAGGAAATTTCAATATTGCAATTGTCGGATTTTTAAATAGACAAAATATAGACTTACTCACAACCAAACTCCTCTTCAACTTTCATGACCTATTCAACAGTATCAAAGAATCAGCACCCAAATCTTCAATGATGCTTGAATTCATTGTAACCTCTTCTTCTTTAACGCCTAGTTGAGTGACAATAATACGATCTATGAGTACCGAGTTCACATAGAAAAAAATAAAACATTTTTTGCTGCTGTGCAGTGTTTGCAGATTCAAATACGCAGGCGGAAAAGGGGTGAGAGACGCAGAAGAATGTTCTAGAATTCGAACATTTTTCAAAGGAAAATAAAAAGTGCGCCGCAAAATTGCAGTTTTGAGAGAGAAAAAGAGGGCGGAGTCGAGGGTCAGCGTGCGCTCAGAGGGTTTTGGTCGTAATTTCGCGTCAAAAGCAAATTTTTCTCATTTTTTTCTATGTGCGAGTTAAGCATTTCTGAAAATGTTCAAAACAAATTAGGAAAAAAAACAGTTTGTGACGGCTGAAAATTGTTGATCTTTAAAAATAAAGTTCGAAATAAAAGGAGTTAAAAATGGGCCAATTCCAGAAACACATAAAAAAACAGTGTGTGAAAACAGGAGTGCACAGATAGAAGCAACAAGTGCGCTCTAGCGAACTGCCAGGAAAAAATAGTTTTCGATTTGCAAATCATGATTTTTCTTTTTTTGTTGCGACTTTAGGCTTTTAATCAGCGAGAAATTTGTGAATTTTCAGATTATCGAAGTGAACAATCGACGGCGAATGGAAACTAGGATTTCCGGTATGCGAAGCAATCGGAGGACTATGAGTAATTCGAAAACACTGTGAGTAAAAGAATACTGATGTAATTTTTGGTTAAACGAATTAACGTTCTGAAAATGTAACTCTTACAGTGTATTGTTTGATTTTTCATATATCTGAAAATTTTAAGTTTTTCAGGTTCTTCTGGAAACTTCGAGACGGAAATTGCAAAATATTCATGGAACAAAAATAGAAGGTCAGTTATTTGTTTTGAAAAATCAGAAAAATATTCTACTAGAACAAAATATAAACTATGTGTAATCAAAAAATATACTAATTGTAAGTTTAATTATCGATTGGGGTAACCATTGAGATAGCTTGTTTACTAACATGACTTGATGGTCCTGAAGAAGTTATATATAATCGAATAAAAGTGAGGCGCTCATTGAATAAAATCATAATTAAACCGTCGAAGGCATGAATAGATTCCCAGACAAATGTGCCAGAAATAAATTGCCAAATACGATTTGAGCTCAATCCACTTAACTTGAAAGAAAATGTAAAATCTATAACGATTAGGGAATCTTGAATCACAGTTTGCAAGAAAAGAAATCCATTTTTCCTCATACGACTTTTTGAATTACTATCAGTTGAGACACCCTGAAATCGGATTTCTATACTGTTTTGAATTTGAATGAAAAACATCTTGTTTTTTGTTTCCCTTGTTTTGTTAGTAGCTTACCATATAAAATTTAATAATTTTGACAAATGTCAAAATATTAATGAAAATTAACAATAGAAAAGTGATTATCAAATCATTTAGAGTTGAAGAACTGTCACTTAAACATTCTGTTGTAAAAGTAGGAGTCCAAGATAAACTCATTACATCAAAGTAAATTGGACAATTTTTTTCTGGAAATCAAATTGTCTAATTTTTCTCTTTAAAAGTTTAACATTTTCACCTGAATTTGCTTCTAATTGAAATATTGTTTTGATAAAATTGTATCCATAAATAATAGCGAGTATGATAGTTGTCACTTTTATTCCACATATTTTATTATAGATTATCGGAAAATATAAAGCGATAAAACGGTTTACACTCAGAGATTCGCTGGCCAGCTCGCCACCAGGTGGGGAGGCTGGCTGACCTGGGAACCACATGGAAACCATGTCGCCCGGTTTTTTTCGCTGGCAAGGTGGCCAGGCTCTGGCTAGGTCACGGCCACATGGCTACCATGTGGTGGCCACTTCGCCACGTCAAAATGAATTTTCATGAAAATGTCTGAAAAACTTGTGAATTGAGGCATTTTCGAAAAAATTGGCTCATTTTCTGTTTTTTCGCAGCACTTAAAACCTTAGGAAGTGAAAAAACAATAGAAAATGCAGTGTTTTGAGTACAAACCACCGTCTTGCCAGCTTTCCAGAATTTCAAACACACAGGCCACGTCGCCGGAAAACTCAAGGCGAACTGGCGGCCATGCGGTTTCCAGGTGGCCGCAGCGATCTGGTGGCGAGCTGGCCAGCGAATCTCTGAGCAGCTGTTAGAATTGATAAATATTGTATAACTATGTAGAGTGTATTAGAAAATGCAATATTAAAAGTACCCCAGGTATTTGAAAGAATTGGATATCCTCTGAAATTTTTTTGTAAACTTATAGAAAATTGTTATTCTATTATTATTATTATTGATATTCTCATACTTACACAACGATTGTTGGCACAAAATACATCAAAAAAGTCACCAAAAGAATGGAGAAATTTGATAATGCTCTACATGAACATATTAAATTGAAAGCAGTTCTTTGTGATTTTTCTTTGTAGAAAATCCAAAAAATTAAAAAATTACAAACCAATCCGAATATTCCATTCTGAAATTAAAATTTTCAAAGGAATATACTAAAAATAATTAATAACTCACAATTGTTATCAATATCGAAACCACAAAATTAATGGGATTCGTAAAATCGTAGGAATCAGACATGAGTAGGTGGAACTTTTTGGACAAAGCAGAGGGAAAAAAACTGATTTCTTGAGCGAAAGAAATAAATGACATTTCATACAACACATAATTAGAATGGCATTTTTTCGAGAAAGTTTATTTCTGTGAGAAGTCTGATTTCGAAGTTGGTTGCACAATTACAGTAGGCTGCGAGAAAAGACGATTTTTTATCACTGATATTCTTTCGTTGAATAAAATCATTATAAGGCTGAAAATATGTCTATAATTGTTTTTAATAAAAAGTAAATAAATTGACTTACCCATCCATTGTATGAATAAGTTCCCAAACTAGAATTGTATGGATAAATGACCAAATTTTTGGTTTGTTTGGATAGCTAAAAACAGTATCAGGTTTTTTTTCAATGAAAAACTTTGGGCACTTACCCTAACTTGAAAGTGAAGAACATATCAATTAGGACCAAAGCGTCTTGAATAATTGTTTGAAAAAATAAAATCGCGTTTTTCTTCATGCGATTTTTTGAGTTTTGATCCATACTTTTTCGATTCTATAAAAAACATTTCTCCACGGCATACACTATTTAACTTACAAAAATGAAAATAGCAATTCTTATGAATGTAGCAATATTTAAAAATAGAACCGATACGAACAAAAATAAAATTAAATAAATTATATTTGTGAATTCGGAATAGTTATCATCTGTATTTACACACGGTGTGTCAGCATAAATCAGTTTGTAAGACAACTTTTCTTTTCCGAATATGGTATAGCATTTTCGAGCTGAAAATTTATCATGAAAATGTATGATTCATTCCGAAATTGTCAGATTTTGCTCACGTATATAACTTGATAATTCACTGACTGTTTCGAATAATCGATAAATGTATAACAATAACAAAAGAAAAGCTGTTATTTTAATTCCGCAATATTTTGAATAAAAAGTTGGAGCAAAAAGAGCAATAAAACGGTTTAGAGCAATTATAATTGAAGTATATTCATTTACTAGATATAAAGATATTCCGAATGATATACACAAAAATTCGAACCATTGTGGATATGGAGACGAGGGACTGAAATATATATGTAGATCAAATTAATATTTTCAGTTTGTTTTGAACTCACAGTGTAGCTACAACAAAAAATATAAGCAAAAAAGTTGTTGTCAGAACAATAGCATTATTTGCAGCACGTGCTGTACAAATTAGATTGAAAGCTGTTTGATGTGATTTTTCATAAATGAAAATATACACTATCAAAGTGTTCAGAAATACACCAATTATACCGATTGTAAACAATAAAAATGAAGCAATAATATCGACAAAATCCATTTGCGAATGTTTCAAATACAGAAAGAATTTTTTGGTTAGTTTGTTTGAAGAAAAGTCAAACAACCTGTTGAAATGTATAATTATTATGATATAAGTTAACATTTTGAAATTAGGATTTTTTATCGATTGAGTTTTTGTTGGACTGTGAACGCCGATATTCATCATAGTAAGAACGGTTACTGATTTATTTTACACAACAGATTTTGAAAAAGAAAAATTATTTCCGTGAAATATCTGATCTTGAAGGGACCATCAAAGAAGCTACGGCATTTTTTGAAAATAGTCGTTTTTTAATCACAGATATTCTTTCGTTGAATAAAATCATTATTATTCTGAAATTTTCATTTTTTTCAAATTAAAAAAAGTGATTTTTATCATCTCACCCGTCAAAAGTATGAATCAATTCCCAAACTAGAATTGCATTTATAAACGACCAGAGTTTTGTGTCATTTTCCGAACTATAATTTGTGTTTTTGTGAAGCAAGAAATATAATGCTGAACTTACCTTAACTTAAATGTGAAGATCATGTCAATAAGCACTAAAGCATCTTGAAAAAGTGTTTGTAAAAATAAAACAGCATTCTGTTTCATGCGAGTTTTCGAATGTGTGTCCATGTTTTTACTATTCTGAAATGATGCATTTTTATAAACAAACTCTAGAATGGTTTTTCACTTACAAAAAGTAAAACAGCTATTTTTAAGAATGTAGCAGTATTCATAATTACCACAAGTATGAAGAAAAATATAACCAGATAAAGAATATTTGATATTCCTGAATCATTCACTTCGCCATCTGAACAAGGCTGATTATAAATAAGAGTATATGATAAATGATCTTTACTGAATACTAAATAACATTCGAGTGCTGAAAATCAAGAAAAAAATACATTCAATTTTCGATTACTCATGGAACTCACGTATATAACTTATCAAATCGCTCGCAGTTGCTATAATACGATAAATATACAAACAAAATAAAATAAACGTTGTGATTTTCATTCCACAGAATTTATCATAATAAGTTGGAGCGAAAAGAGCAATGAAACGGTTTAGGGAAATAATAACTGAAGTGTATTCATTTATAAGATATAAGTTTATTCCGAAAGATATCCAGAAAAAATTCAAACCACTCTGGATATGGGGAAGAGGGGCTGAAATTTGTAGAGGTTTAATAAATCCTAGTTTATATCCAACTCACAGTGTAGCTACCACAAAAAATACGGCTAAAAAAGTTCCGGTTAACACAATTGTATTATTTAGAGCCCGTGCTGTGCAAATAAGATTAAAAGATGTTTGATGGAATTTTTCATAAATGAAAATATAAACTATCAAAATATTCAATATTACCCCAATTATTCCAACTGTGAATAATAAAAATGAAGCAATAATATCGATAAAATCCATTTCGAAAGTATAACTTTACTTTAATTTATGATAATAAAATAACAATGAACCTACCAGTCTTGGGGTATAATTATTATTATAATATAATTCTAGAGTTTCCAATTGTTGTCGAAGTTTCACGTTCATAAAACTATAACTTTATGACGTAGAATTCAGTTGAGTTTTCAATTTTTTTTGAATATTCAGGTTGGGTTTAACTGGAAAATGGACTTGAACTCTAGGTCGAAACAATCTTGTATCCTAATAAATTTTATTAATTTTTCAAAGTTACCAGTTTTTTGTAACTCACGGATTTTCCCAAATTTTCTCGAAGATTTTGAAAACCCACTCAAATGCATTCTAGTCATTTTCATCTGTTCTTAGCTGGCAGTAATTCTCGGAACTCAGTTATGTTAACATCATGAAACCAAAACCAACATCAACTTTTTTTTTTACAATTTCAGCTGTTTTTCTCTATCGAAAAATTGAAGGGTTTCGAAAACAATTGATATAAACCAAATAATATGTACTTTATTTCTCAAAAAAAAACAATAATAATTAACCTGAAACTTCAGGAAGTGTTGAAACTTTTGATCTTGATGGTTCGTGCATTGATTTTTTGGTAATTGTAGGAAAACTTGCAAAAAGTTGTTTTTTGATTAATGATAGTTGCTCATTAAACATTAACATAATCAAACCATCCAACATATAAATAGTTTCCCAAACTAACACATAACTTATCAAACTCCATATTCTTGTTTCCCATAATCCACTTAATTTGAAAGTGAAAACCATGTCAAAGACTACCAAAGAATCTTGCAAAATTGTTTGGAAAAATAAAACTGTATTTTTTCTTTGACGATTTTTTGCATCTTTATCAATATTTCGATTTTGCTGAAAGTTGAATTCGGAAACATATTTGCATAATACCAACAACTTACAAAAACAAACATCGCAATTTTCGAAAAAATTGCAATGTTCAATACAGAAACAATGAGAAATCCAATGATTGTAGCGTAAAGAGTTGATGAAATATCACTTCCACCACAATTTTCATTATAGTATGGAAAAAATGTGAGATATTCGACACTGAATAGAAGATAACATTCTTTTCCTGAAATCACAAACATTTGTTGCATTTTTTTCGAAAAGTTGGTACTATTGCAATCACATATCAGTTGATTTTAGGCCTATTTTCTCGATCAAACTTTCCAAACTATCAATTAAATGTGTAATGTTAGTTAACTATAGGGTTTCATGCCAAATGTCTAGCTATGACTGATTGAATGTTTGATTTTGTCAACTTACCAATATAAAATGTGAGATCTTGAAATGTTCGAAAAGCTCGATAAGCAAAAATGAGAAACACGAGGAATGCTGTCACTTTCACTCCACAATATTTCGAATAAAACATTGGAGCGAAAATTGCGATAAAACGATTAATAGCAACAAGGATTGTTGTGAATTCATTCATTATATAAAGTGACATACTTGAAGAAATTATGGCAAATTCGAAGTTTTTCGAATAAGGAGATTCGAGACTTAAAAATGTTTGAGTTTCTAATTGGAATAGTATCAGAATTTTCAAACTCACAGTATCGCATCAACTGTAAAAATCAAAATGAACATGAAAAATGTCACATATAAATTAATAGATGCTCTTGTGAAACAAATAACATTGAATGCAGTTCGATGAAGTTTTTCTTTTAAAAATACATAAATGATAAGTGAATTCATAATAATACTAGGAATTCCGATCTGTAAAAGATTTTTGTTTGATTTTAGAATTTTGTGTTAACTTACTATTAGCATTAGAAATGCAGCGAGATACGCAAGATAATCCATTGAATGGAAAGAAACTGAATATTTACCAACAGCTGATTATTTTTACGAGAAAATTAATCGAGAAGTGAGATACAAACTAGAATAAAATATTTTATTTTTGAGTTACGTAAAATATTTTTTTCAAAAACAAGGATGATAAAGTAAAGTCACAAGGTTTTTTCGTGGTTTCATTTAATTAGAATGGGAATGTCATACGCCGAGAGTTTTGGTTCGAATGAATTGTGATTTTTATATGAGGAACTTCAAAAACTGATTTTTTCGGGTGAATTGAGAAAAAATTATCATTGAAAATAAACATGATAAATCCATCGAGAAAATGATCAATTTCCCAAATGAGCACGGAACAGGTGAAAACCCACAAACGAGAAGAGCTCAAATCACTAAAAAAAAACATTTGTCCTTTTTGAGGAAATAAATTATGGGGTGGGAGTGTTTTTGGGACTTACCTTAACTTGAATGTGAAAATGGCATCGATGAAAACTAGAGAATCTTGTAAGATAGTTTGAAGAAAAACAAGTAGGTTTTGACGGATTCGACGTCTTGAAGTGCTTTGAACTTTTCGGTGTGTCTGAAAACATTACTTGTTTCGGGAGATTCAACATATACTCTCGATGATTTAGAAATGACTATTTCCACAAAAAAAACATTCAAGGTTCTTCTGATGTTTTTGGAAAAAAACGCACAATCAAACTAAACATAATTTTTGTAAACGTCATGAGATTAATAACAACCAAAAATATCATAACAATTGAATCAAATTCCAAAATCTTGTCTAAATCAGCGAATTCATTACAATCTGGTTTGTCAGCCGGAATATATGTCAAATTTTCCAAGGAATATAGCAAAAAACAACCATGAGCTGAAAATTTAGAAAACAAGTTGTTGATTTTTTTAATTCAACTTACGGATCGATATTGCAAGGTCCAAGAAAGTTCTGAATAATCGAAATAAAAAACCTAGAAGCAAAACGAAAATGGTAGTTTTGATTCCAAAATGTTTCATATAGAAAACAGGGAGAAATGCAGCTACCAAACGATTTATTGCCATTATTAGGGATGTGAATTCATTTACAAGATACATTGACATACATGTTTTTCTATCCGGAAGGCCCTTCGGGTTAAAGACCCCTTTTTGTCAAAAATGAAAAAGTTAAAGACCCTCCACCGGAAAAATGAAGAACAAAAATACTGCCAAAAATCAAAGTAAAAGCTCTAGCCCAGAACCGAACCTTTGTAGCTGGATTAGAAAGCGCGAGTCCAACCGCCTGCTCTATGCTCTCGTTGTTTTCCACAGTGTTTTTTCATAGTGGTTCTAATAGTACCACTTCAGTGGTACTTTTGCACCACTACACCGTTTTTTACCAGTAGTCCTATGAGTACACTTGTTGAGGTACTACTCTTCGATGTTCAGTACCCTAGTAGTGGTGCCTTAGTGGTCTTTCAGTGGTCTTGTAGTAGTGGAGTAGGGGTCACTCAGAAAGCGTACCTTGGTGGTAAATCAATAGTAGAGCTTCCAAATTGAGCAAGAAAGTGAACACTGATTCGCAACAGAATCATATTTATTAACCAATTACAATAACAACAACAGATAAATTCTCAACAAAAAAAAAAAATGAAATTCTCAACAACAAAACCAATAGATGAAGTTTCTTAAGATTTTCGGTTTTTTCGCGGCAATTTTCTTTTAGCAGCCTCATACATTGCGGTGTCCAACTTTTCTTCGGTTTGTCTATTTCTCAGATTATCGCTGAAATAGTTGAATATGTCACGATTCATCAACACGGTGTATTTTTTGTGATAAGGGGGAGTCGGAATTTTATTTTAGAAGTATTTATGATTAAAATTCTACAATCCCCCTCCACCTTTTTTTTATTTTCATGTTGAAAACTATAATCCACGTCTAAAAATTTTTCAAATAAAACTTACAAAAAACCTTTGAGTTTTTTTTAAAGTTTTATTTGAAATATTTTTATTTTTATTTCTGGACATCGCATGAATACAAATGCGAAATTTCAATTTTTATGAGACGAATTTCATTCATTAGTGAATTTTTAAAATAATTATTTATTTGAAAACAAACTCACAATGATCGCGTCATGGATGCGATACAAATTCCTGCAGCGGATGTGATCATTCGTTCGCGGTTGATCAAATCAGCTGGGAGTCCTTTTTCGATAGACTCTGAAAGTAAAAATAGGGTATTTCTTCAAAAATGGGCTTTTTTCACTTACGCATGATTTTCTTTTTTTGAAGATTTTTTGAAAAGGGAAAATACTTGGCATTTTTTTCATCTTTAACCCAAGTATAAACCATAGCTAATGTATCATTTCGAATCTGAAATTATTAATCATTTCATTTTCTAAATTATGATCTTATCCAATTTTACAAAAAATTTTTTAACAATTAGAATTTTTGAGTTTAAAAAAAAGTAGAAAATGGAAATATGTTAATTTTCTTTGCATTTTTGAGCGCTCGAAGAGTAAGTATTTTCAAGACTCTCTAAAGAAACACAACCTCCAGTAGACATATATAAATAAATTTGTCACCATTGTCTTGCATTTTCATTTGAAGTTGTGTTTCAAATGCTTCAATCAAAAACAATTTGGCCGTGAACATCTAATTCCGTTGTATTTTCATACTTTCATGATTTCTTCACTTCGAAAATCTTCTGGCTACAGATACAGGCGACCCTGATTCTGTGGCCAACCAGTTTTGTCAACGAAACAAAAACTCACCGCAATATTGACCAGTCACCATTGATTACTTGAGCTCCTATAAAACTCGGATTTGGCGAGAGTTTGGTTGAAAGATTCCTTGATTGATTGAGCCTAACACGATGGATCCAGACTTGAGCTGGGTTGGTGTTTTCTTCTCATAGTTGCGCGCCGCTGCATCCTCCTTGAGCATACTACCAATTTCCTTTGGTTTTCATAAAACACAGATTTCAAAAACAGGTGTTTGAAAGATTCATTGATTGAGTGACATTTTTGGTGGTCCCATGTAGCAATATTGATTGATGCGAGCATTGGAGACTTGAACTCTTGGGTTGGTGTTTCCTCCCGATGTGTGTCAACCGCCGCTTGCTCCTTGAACATAGTCTTCACGAGCATATTCGGAAGATGAGGCGTTACTTTCCATGCATCCAGGCGAATATCCCCCAGTACAAGCAGATTTTTCACGTCACTCATTTATTTTTATTTTCTTTTGAAGTAGCGCTTCACAACATACTTCAATCAAAAACCATTTGACCTGAAAATCGAATTTCCTTGTTTTTCCCTATTTTCATAATTTTCCTCACTTTTTCATCAAAAAACTCCGTGTATTTCGTGGTGCACGATTGCCAGGTGACTTGTTTCGCATGATGAACCTGAAAAAGCATGTAAAATCATGTAAAACATGAAAGAAACAAGAGAAAAGCGAAAAAGTAGGAAAAACAAAAAATCAAAAATACGTGCGCGTCAAATAAAATGTGTTTGTGTGTGCGTGTGTGTGTTTTGCACACATTTCGAACGGCCTACAGTAACCAATGCATTTTTTCTCGTTTTCAAGCTCGATTCAGCAGTATTTTCAGAGTAAAGCCAGTTTAATAAGTAACGTATAATCAGAGCGAGATCGACTCATGAAGTTGCAAGTGTTTTTTTGTTGAAAATCATGAATAATGGAGTATTTTGTCAAGATTTCTGAAATTTTCTGAAAATCAACAGATTCTTGACCGGTACTGTTTGTTAAATAGCCAATAAATTCTCTCCGAACTATGCTGTATATTTGTTTTCGTTAAAAATATCCCTTTTCACAGTTTTGGAGATGCAATTTTTTCGTAGAGTCAGGACCCCTTCTCAACCACTATGCGACCACTATGCGACCACTACTCAACTACTACCTGACCCCTACCCTTGAAAAATAAAAGTTGATAACTTTGTCAAACTGGAATTTTTTATGATGAAATTTTTCAGACAACAACTTCAGAACCATTTGATTGTTATGTACCATTCAGTTTTTGTAAATTGAAAACCACTATTGCACCACTTTTGAACCACTGCCCATCAGTAGTGCAATAGGGGTGCAATAGTGGTAAAAATCACCCCTATTGGGGTACTAAATCACGGTAGAGGTACTATAGTACCACTACTGAAAAAACACTGTGTTTCTCCTCCTTTGTTTTCCCTTGTTATGCAACACACGAACTCATCTTTTTTCTTTTTCGTTTTTTTCACAGACAATTCAAATCAAAAGCAAAACTTAACAGCTTAAAGGCAACCAAATGAGCTAAAAATTTTCACAGCTCTACTTCAAGATATTTCGCAGGGTTCGAAAACCTAAAATCCTCCAATAAAGACCGTTTTAAGGGAAATAAAGACCTATCCGGAAAAGTATAGGATGACACTATACTTTTCCGGATAGGTCTTTATTTCCCTTAAAAGGGTCTTTATTTGAAAGTTTTAGGTTTTCGAACCCTGCGAAATATCTTGAAGTAAAGCTGTGAAAATTTTTAGATCATTTGGTTGCCTTTAAGCTGTTAAGTTTTGCTTTTGATTTGAATTGTCTGTGAAAAAACGAAAAAAGAAAAATGATGTGGGCGGAGCCAGGTGCAGTGAGAGATATGGTGTGTGGCGCTACCAGCGAACTGTCGGTGATGAGAGATATTGAAATATTTCGCGTGATGCAGAATGAAACAAGGCGAAATTTTGGTGGAAACCCTGCTCCTCTTTGAAAGAAGAAGCTGATGCAGAGGTAATTTTGATGACTTGAGAAATTAATAGTAATTTTTTTCATAAAAGTTAAGGACCTATTTTTCATGAAAAACAAAAAAGTTAATGACCCTATTCTATACTTTTCCGGACCAAAAACATGTATGTACATTGATATTCCCATTGATATCATTATGAATTCAACAATATTTGAATAAGGAGAATAACCTCTGAATTCTTTTGATCTCTTATGTTATTGAATATTCCTACTTACATTATTGTTGAGATTAAAAATACGGAAGAACATGGGAATGCCAGTACAAACATGTTAAGCATTGCTCGAAAAACACAAACTACATTGAAAGAAGTTCGAAGCAGATTGTTATTCCAATATGAAAAACAAACCAAAGTGTTGAAAATAAGTCCGGAGACAATTACCTAAATGAAATGAATTAGCAAAATGTTGAGAATATTTTAACTTACAATTAACATCAAAAAAATTTCGAGGATCACCATTGAAGATTTTTGTTCTGCTAAAGTGTTATTGCGTAAAAATATCAATTTAGACCGATAATAAGCTAGTGCATATAAAGTCGCCTGTTTATGGAAATCGCATTAATTTGTGTTTTTGCAATAAAGCGAATAACACAGCGCAATGAACGTTTTTTTGTATCATAAAACAAAGAGTTTTAAGAAAAATGGTATTTATCTTCGACTATTCATAGGTAGAACTTGAATAGTATTCATATTACTCTCAATTTTTATCGATACTTCCATTGGAAAATATTCATTTTCCTATGTTTACAGGAGTAACTTGAATTGTATTGGTACTATCTGATTTCTTTTTTTGTTCCACGTTTCTGAACAAGTTCTTCGTAAATATCAGCATAATTAATCCATCAACCCCATTAAATAACGACGAAAATACACAATTATTAATGAACTTCCACGCAATCGAATCATACAATGATCTGCAAAATATATTTGATCTACGATAAGAACACATGTTGAGTTCTTACGAGAGTTTATATGCCAGAATTACACTGAATAAACCGAGCGAGTCTTGACAACTATTTTGAATAAGAAGATATGTATTTTTCTTCAGTTTTTGGGTATCTTGAATTTTTGTCTCATGATACAGTTTATAGAGCCGTACAAAGCAAAGAACATTGAAAGTAATCACAAAAGCATAAACAATTTCATATTCATATATCAAATATGAAACTTGAAAACAACCGTTTACTGATATCCAAAACCAAGAAGTAGCACTGAATTGAAAAGAACAATTCTTTCCTGAAAAATTATAGTTTAGTGGAGAAAATTAAGATTATTAATCACCAGAATAGTCAATTACTTCATAAATTGTAGCGATTAAAATAAAAATGAATGTTATGATAATTGCGTATGCAGTTCTTTTTGTATTGAAATAAATTTCGTATTTTTTCTGGAAATAAATCGCACCGAACCGATTAATAGAAGTAAACACATTGTATATATTGTTGCAAATTGTTAGGTTCATCCCAACAATCATAATTATTGTATCACCTTGTATAGTGAATGCAGTTTGACCACTGAAGAAGTTATTATTGTTGATCATAACAACAATTGTATTTCACTTACAGTAATATATTGAAAAATGTGGAAGGTACTGAAAAAAGAACGACAAATGCATTGAGAAAAGCTTTTGAAATACAGATAACATGGTAAGATGTTGCTTCATTTTTGAACCGTAGTAACAAACGGATAACTTGGATGTTTGTGTGAATTCCAAATACAAATACCTATAAGAAAATTGATATGTATAAGTACAACTTGGTCAACTTACAACAAACAGAGTTGCACAGGCAAGGAAAGTTGTGTACACCATTGAATATTAGCATATATTAAAAGTGTAATGAGGAAGAAAGTAAATCACGAATAAAAACTCGATTACGCTTCGATGAGTTCAAAACCTCCTAATTAGCTGAAGTCTGTTATCTAATAAAAGTGTTATTCGTTCTGATTCATCAATGACGGTTCAAAGACAGAAAGATGATTACGAACAGTCGAATGAATATTAGATTAGTTCAAAGATAACTAGTCTGATTACAAGTATCAACGCAAAAATCTCACGGAGTGCCTCGCCCTTGTTTTTTACTAAAAAGTACATATTTTTCACATATTTCAATACTAAAATTCTTTCAACTAGAATATATTTTTCTTGGTGTTCAAACTTTATGATGAGAATTGTTTTTCAAAAATTGCTCATAGGTACAACTTGAACTGTATTTCTCTGACTGTCTGATTTCATTGGTAGATCCGATTTTTTTATCAGTTTTCTTGTGAAAATCAACATGATCAATCCATCTACACCGTTGAACAATGCCCATGCAACAGTTCCAGTTATGAATCTCCAAATTAGTGAATCATTCAACAATCTGAAAATACTAACAATAATTTTTTAAAAATTTTTGTAGTTGATTATTACACGAGTTTGAAGCAAACTAGTATGTTCAAAATACCAAATGAATCTTGACAAGATGTTTGTAGTAGAAGATATAGATTGCCTTTCAGCTTCTTCCTACTTTGAAACGTTTTCTGGTTGAACAGCTTGTATAATTGTATAAAGCATAAGATGTTAGAGACTACTATCACACCATACATAATTGCATATTCATACAGAAGATATGAAACTTGCAAGCAATTATTGACAAATATCCAAATCAATATTTCAGTATTGAATTGATAATAACAATTATGTGCTTCAAAAAAGTTTTTGATTCACTCAAAAGAGCGCTCGTTATAATTACCGTGACAAATATTGCTATGATAATAACGCATAAAGTCTTTTTAGAATGGAGATAAATCTCATATTTCAAACGAAAATATAAAGCGCCAAAGCGATTAAACGCGGTGAGAACATTGAACACATTGTTGCAAATTGTGAAGTTAATACCGAACATGACAAAAAATGTGTCGCCTACTGGAGATAGAAGACTTCTAGAACTGAAAAAGTCTTTATTCAAAAAACTTTAATCCAAATTTTATTGGGGTGTGCGTAACTTACAGTATCACATAGAGAAACGTAACTGGTATTCCAGAAAGTATACTGCAAATGTTGATGAAAGCTTTAGAAACACAAATTATGTTGAAAGAAGTTTTATTTATTTTTCCAATGAGTAGGAATTGAATAACTTGGTAATTTGTTGAAATTCCAAATAGGAAGACTAAAGATAAAGTTAAACAAGCTAGAAGATTAGTATATTCCATTGAAAGGAAAAATAGTACAATCAACACAATGTTCTTTAAAAAAGAGATTTGCATCAATGAGTTTCAAAATTTAATTTAATTATGAATTTTGTTCGGTCTGTGACGAAAATGAAACATGATTTTCAGTATTTCATAGGCAAAACTTGAACAGTGTTTGTCTGACTATTCGATATCGTTGAGTTCTCCATATTTTTCATCAATTTCTTCGTGAAAATCATCATAATTAAACCATCAATACCATGAAATATTGCCCATGCAACAGTTCCACTGAAAAATTTCCAAGGAACGGAGTCATACAATAACCTAAAATAATATAAATTCAAATTCGGAATTCCTTAGTATTATTTACATTAGTTTGAACGAAACGATTATACTCATTATACCAAATGAATCTTGACAAGATGTTTGAATCAAAAGGTAAAGATTTCTACGGAGTTTTTGATTCTTGAAGTTTTTCTGATTGTATAGTTTGTAAAGTTGAATGAAGCAAAAAATATTCGAGATTATGATTAAACCATACATGACTTCATATTCATAAAAAAGGTATGACACTTTGAAACAATCTTCAGTGAAAAGCCAGAGAAATGACGTTGTATTGAAATGAAAATAACAATCGAGTGCTGTGAAATCATTATACGAAATTCATTTTTGGATAAACTCACTGGAATAATCCATAACATCATTAACGGTTACAATTATTGCAATAAGAATTACTACAAAAATTATGTATCCTGTTTTTCTTGAATTAAGATAAATATCATAATATTTTGTAAAGTAAACTGCACCGAAGCGATTTAAAGCTGTGAGAACATTAAATACATTATTACAAATTGTGAAGTTGACACCAATCATAACTATTATATTGTCACCCATAGGTGGAAGAGGAGATTTATCACTGAAATATTTCAAACATTTATCGAAGCTTTTTGGATTACTCACAGTAAAATGTTGAAAAATGACAATGATAAACCAATTGTAACAAGAAACGCGTTGAAAAAGGCTTTTGAGACACAAATAACATTAAATGAAGTTTTCTCGATATTACCAATAAGAAGAAATCGGATAACGTGGAAGTTGGTGTAGATCCCAAATAAAAACACAACAAATAAAGTGGAACAAGCTAGAAAAGATGCATCAGCCATTAAAATTTCAAGTTTCTCAAAACTAAAATCTAAATAATTCGCATCAATGAATTCGAAGACTCATTAGATAAGATGACTAACATAACGTAGATCTAACTATTGTCAAAACAAACATGTTCAGAGGTTCAGAAGATTGAAACTTGAAATACAAAGAAATGATGTCTGACGTTAACATGTATTTATTGTTTATCAAAGAAACAAATTTTTTTATTTGTTAGTTTATAAATTTGGCATTAATTCTTATTTGTGGTTGTTTTCGTAAGTACGGCAACTGTAGTCTCGCTGGCTTTTGAATTATTTTGCATTCTGCTATGAAATATCATCATGATGAAACCATCAAAAGAATGAAGACTTTGCCAAACCACTGTGCCACTTATAAATGTCCAAAATTTAGAATCGCTTAGTCCTCTTGAAAAAAAACTATATGAATCTCAATAGTGATAACTCAACTCACGCTAACTTAAAAGTAAAAACAATATCCAAAATAAATAGAGAATCTTGCACACAAGTTTGAAAAAACAAATAAATATTTTGTGAGATTTTTTGACGACTCGAAGTTACCTCATTTCTTGTATAGAGGTTGATCACTTTTGCTAAAGAAAATGAATTAATGACGCACAAAAGTATAAAAATTCCACCAAAGTAATAAAGATTCAGGTCATTGTCATAATTTATACATTGTGGTTTTCGAGTTGGTGACCAAGCAAGTTTAGACACATTAAAATATAAATAACAATTTTTAGCTGAAATTAGAGCAACTTATTTTATAAATATCTTTTGATTTTTTTGTCATATTCTTACGTATATATTCCAATAATTCCTGAATAATCATTCCAACTTGTAAAATATGAATCACCAACAAAGTAATGAAAGTTGGTTTCATTCCAAAAACTTTTGAATAGGTCATGGGGTGATAAAGTGCAAATAATCTATTGAGAGATATCAAAATTGCACCATAATCATTGGCAAAATACAAAGTCATTGAAAGAGATATTATTGATGATTCAATAGCAGAGTTGTAAATCGAATATCCGCTGAATGTTTCGTTTTTTAATTTAAAAATAAAAAATTTGGTACTCACAAAATTGTAGCTGGCACAAAAACAGCGATAAAAGTTGTTGATAAAATATGGATGTTTATAAATGATCGGAAGAAACATATCATATTGAAAGATGTTCTCTCCTTCTTATTTTTCCGATAATTGTTGAAAACTTGAAAGTTACAGTATATTCCAAATATGCTATTCTACAAAAATTTTAAGAGTGAGGTTCTCAAATGTTATTCAATAAACTTACAGATGTTATAAGAAATGCAGCGAATAGGTCCATTGTTTTATTTCTCTGAAACTTCAATACTCGAAAAATTAGTAATTTTCGCGATTTATCAAGGGCTCAAATTACATGTTGTATATATATTTCAAAAAAATAACCCACAAATTAACATGACAAACTTTTTTGTTGTTTGAACTTGAAAACTAAACTAGACATAAAAATGGATATTGCACAGCATGTAATTTTCTGAAATTTGTTTGGGGTACTGGAGACTCAAAAAAAGAATGAATCTGCTTGAAAACTGATTTATGTCACAAAGAATGATAAAAATTACTAGTTGTCAATTTTCTGATTATTAGAAGAAATAACAGGAATTTTAGGTAGATACTTGATCAATTCTGTCGAAGAGTTTTTGAATATCAGGCCTGTCTCGTAGCATTTATATGTAGAAGTATGAGATATATATTCATGTACTCGTCGTTCTTGAAAGTGAAATAACAGCTGTTATCTGATGTTTTGGTTTATTTCTTGATCTCAAACCGAACATCATCATAATATAACCATCGAATGAATGTAGACATTGCCAAACTACTGTTCCACTAATGAATGTCCATAATCGTGCATTGCTCAGACTTCTAAACAAAAGTTTTTTAAAATTTTTTTCAATATCAATAACTTACGCTAACTTGAAAGTGAATACGATATCTAATACGAATAGCGAATCTTGTGCACAAGTTTGTAGAAATAAATAAGCATTTTGCGATATTTTTTGACGACTTACGATTGTTTCTGTTTTATAAATATTGATGATTTTTATCAATGTAAATGTGTCAATAATACATAATAATATAAATATTCCGCCAAAGTAATAGAGAGTTGAGTCCCCTCCATAACTTATACATTGAGGTTCGAAAGTTGGTGACCAGGCAAGTTGAGAGACGTTGAAGTATAAAAAACATTTTTTGGCTGAAAAAATTAGTAATTGTTATGAACTTTTATTAAGTTTCTCACGAATATATCCAATCAACTCTTGAACAATAATAACAATCTGGAAAACATGAATCAGCACTAAAATACCAAACGTTGGTTTCATCCCGAAAACTTTCGAATAAGTCATCGGAAAATAAAGTGCAAAAAGTCGATTGAGAGCTACTACAAGTGCACCATAATCATTGGCAAAATATAGTGTTATTCCAAAAGATATAATTGATGATTCAATTGCAGGATTGTAAATCGAATATCCGCTGAATGTTTCGTTTTTGTATTTAAAAATAACAAATTTGATGTTTTTTTTTCTAATAATAAAAAAAAGATAAAACTCACAGAATTGTCGCTGGCACAAAAACATCTAGAAAAATTGTGGATAAAATATGAATGTTCACATAGGATCGGAAGAAACATATCATATTAAATGATGTTCTTTCATTTTTGTTAGTGATAAAATTTTTGAAAACCAGAAAGTTGCAATAAATTCCAAAGACGCTATTCTACAAAAAACATTTTTACATTAAGAAAGTTTTAACTTTAAAAAAACTTACAGCCGTTATAATAAAAGCTGCAAGAATCGATAAAAATTCCGAGGAATCATCTTCAATATCCAAAGTTGTTGAAGAATTCATTGTTAGAATCTTTGATCTGAAAGTCTGAAAATTTTAAGTTATATAAAAAGTAGTGCTAGTTAATCACGGGTTATAAATTTTGACAAAAAAAACTAGACTTCAATCTGTTTATGACAAAATAATATGATAAAAATTAGATAAATTTTCAAATCCCAAGAGTAACTTGATGACGTGTAGTTTGTTAAATTGGAATAATATATATAGTATGATTCTAGAAATCCAAACCTATGACATGGAGACTTCCGGAACAAGTTTCTGAAAAACCGTGAAATTCGAATTGTAAGCATTTTATGAAGCAAACCTGGATAAAAATGATTATAAAGGTTTTTAATGTAAATTGGCCAGATTTAGTTCCTTGTTATTAAAAAAAACACATTGGATTTTTTAAAGCACTAAGTACATCGTGTTGAGGCTAAATATCCATTCTTGTACAATTCTTCAAAACGCTGTAGATGAATGTTTTTGATATCCAATATTCACTGTAACCAGATTGTTATGCTACTTTGGTGAATCTGTTCAAATAGTGGCACTATAATAATGACGTGAACTCTGTTTGTATAAATGTTTTCAAGTCAACTGCTAACAAATTTTTGAAAAACAGTTACTCTGAAATAAAAACTTTCGACGTCAAATTAAAGTTCGGTATTTTGTACTTGGACTTCTTTATAACTATGGGAAGTACTCGACTGGAAAATTTTCTCAAAGACCTAAAAAAGTTCATTCTATTAAGAACATGAATAACACATCTTGTCTGGCTTGTTTTATTTTGTTTGTGGTGAGTTTCAAAAAGAAATTGTTTAGATGAACTTTGAATTTCAGGTCTTTATATTTGGAAATTATACAAATTTTGAAGTTATACGTGTTTTACTCAACAAAAAGTCTCAGAATTCTTCGTTCAATTTAATATGTGTAGCGAAAGCTTTTGTGAATATGTTCAGTATTTTTACAGGGGTTTCGATAATATTTTTGAGTGTTTTATAGTGAGTCCATTTTTTTCTAGTTTGGTAGAGCCTGTGTTCATTTGTATTTTAGTAATGAATCTGCACTTGGTTCTTCGTTTGATACAATTATTATAATGTTTGGTGTCAATTTGACAGTTTGCGTCAATATTTTCAACATATTTGTTGCGTTCAATCGATTTGGCGCAATTTATTTCCCGAAAAAATATGATTTTTACTTTAATTTAAAGAAAAGTGCATATTTCATAATTTCGATAATAATCATTACAACAATTATCACAATTTATCAACTTTTAATATTTTCCAAGAATAATTGTGTTTTTGAATTCAACAAATTATATTTATTTTACAATTATGATAATAATTTATGTTTCAACGATTCTTATCTTCTCTACAGTTATGAAATTTGCTATATTTTCATAGTCATTTTCAATGGTTTATGCTTTACTAAACTATACAAGTTATATCAAGAAAAACGTCGAGAAAACAAGAAAAGATTACGCAAAAATTTATGCCTTCTGATTCAAATATCATTTCAAGATTTTGTTGGGGTTTTGAACTTTTTCATCACTTTCAAGTTGCAGTATGTTTTTTTATGAATTTTGAGTTTCCGGAAAAAAACAACAAAACTTCAGAGGTCTGAACGATTCTATGGCTTGGCAATTTTTCTCCGGATCTGTTGCCTGGGCGATATTTTTTGCTTTTGACGGGTTAATCATGATGATATTTACAAGAAAGTTGATCAAAAAATCGGATCAATCTATGAAATCTTCGAGTCAAGTGAATACTGTTCAACGAGTTGTTCCAATTGATAACTAGGCGTGAACTATGACGTGGCAATTTAGATTTCTCGTTTTTGAAAAACGTATTAAGATAAATGAAAGTGTTATCACAAAACTGTTTATTTTTCAACTGATTCAGCCTCATTGAAGTTCATTATTTTCCAAATGTGTATTGATGATTAACCGTGTTGTATGATTCACTATTTGGTGAATAGTAGAAATTTGTTCGATCTGGAACATTTTCACATAGCCATTTTATTTTCAAGAAAAAAGTTTTGAAAATACCTGGATCGATTGGCGCATTTTCCGGTTGCAAATTTGATCGTCCCAAATCTGCGTAATAATAGGCGCTGTATCCCTCGTTTTCACCGCCACGTGGCATGTAGGATAACTGAAAATTCAGGAGAAAAAATTGAATCTAGAAAATTAATAGAGATTTTCACTCACATAATAGGCGGATGCGCTGGCAAGAATGAGCAGAAATGTGAGAATTTTGTGAAGCATTTTTTTTGTTACCTAGAAAATTTGAGATCTTTGGTTTTGAAAAAAAATGGCGGATAAGGATTCAAAGAGAAAAATTGAGAAAGAAAATTTTTCGAGGTGAACTTGAGCTGTTTCAAATACCACCGGAAATTCAAAAAAATATGACGAGATATTGGTTCAACATTTGACTTTATGGTTTAAGAGAGAGGTCTCAATCTTCAAAAGACTATTTATTTTCAGATTTGCCTGAAGCCCTCTTGAATAATTTACAAATGTCTTTTTTTTCTTAAATTTCCAACTTTTTTCCGTGTCTCAAGTCTGATTTGTAGTCCATTCTGTGTATTTGCACAAAAAATAAAAAATTCACTCATTTTTTGTTTGACCTTTACTACTACCCGCAGACAAAAAAAAAGTATAAAGAAAACGAAAAACGGCAGATTTACTATGAGTCACAAAAAATAGTTCAAAAGCTTACCGCAAAAATATTTGCTCAAGTTTTGTGAAGATTTCGAAATTTGTCTGAAGTTTGGCGACAGAATTGAATTTTAATTAAATATTTCCGGTGGAAAATAATTCTATTGAGAAGAATCCAGAAAAAGGTCTTTGAGATTTTCTAGTTTTTTTTTCAAAAAAAAAAAAAGAATCTGAAACATTTGCTCGGAAAAGTCATATTTATACCAACAAATTTTCAAAATCTGACATCACAGGCCGAAAATAAATTGAAATTCTAAGACTCGAATCTAAAAAAAACTGCGCGAGAAAATAAAAAATTCATTCGAGCGCCGAAGAAAAGTGGTCTCTCAATTTTAATAAGAAAAAAAATTAATCAAAATTTTTTGTATCGAAAAAAATATTTGTATCCGGATATTTTTCTTGGAGCCCAAAAAAGTATTGTGAAGATCTCGATCTCAAGCCAGAATTCTAACCACTTGTCGTCAAAAAAATCCACTTCTTCTCCTTTTTTTCTCAGAAAAAAAAACACAAATTTACTCATCGGTAAACACTTTGTCCAATGGCAAAAAAAAGCTCAGGTTTTTTCCGAAAAAAAAAGAGATTTTTGTTGACAAATGGTCTTTTTTTGATTATTATCAGTGTTCTTCGACACAAACAATTTTTGGATTTTTTTTCGGAAAAAAGATCACAGAACTTAAAAAATGAAAAACTTTTTGATTTTTTTTTGAAAAAAAAATCCGAAAATCCATTCAAGCATGAAGTTGACACCCACCAGTTAGTTCAAAAAAAAACACGGAAGTTCAGAGAAATTTTCCGGATGAATTTTCTCGATCGAGCTCGAGAACCAAAAAAATGTAATTATCTCCAAAGAAAACACACATTTTTGCACCTTTTGTTATTTTTGCTGAAGAAAAATGTACTAATATTTAGGGAGACAAACAACAGTAGTCAACCCACACTCACTTCAAATTAGCTGAGAATTATGTATCTAAAGAATAAGTTTTGACACGTGGTTTTTTGGTGGCAAAAATGATCAATTTTGGATCACAATTCTGTAAAAAGCCGTTAAACTTTTAAACTATGTATAACTTGAAGAAAATACGTTTCAAAAATAATTATTTAAAAAGGCAGATTTTTAGAAAATCTAAGATCTCGAATATTTTGGTGCTCAAAGTACTCGTTGGCAGCTGGAAAAATTGACGAATCTGAAAAATATATATTCCCAATGTAAACAAGAATTCAGCTATGAACCTTTGCTGTTTTTATGGAATGATGATATTAAGACAAGTGAAACTGGAAATGTCATGTAAATCTTCATACAGTAGCGGCAAAAAAGAAATGCACTAACTGTTTTTGATGGATAAAGTCACTAAAACAGTCTGAAATTGTTGGAAACTTTTCTAGGGTTATTTTTTACGCTGATTCACACTATTTCAATCATTCAGATGTATTTGGCATAACTTCTGAAGGTTGTATTGGACCAAAATCGAAAATCCGATTTTTTCAGATTTTCAACTTTTGGGAAATTTCACTTGGGACTGTCTTAAAATGGTGATATTTGGGTGGTAATTGATTTTTATTCACACTATACCATCCCAACACTTGATTTGACTTCATATGTTGAAGATCCAATCATGAAAAATAATGTTAGATGTTGTCGATTCAGCGATGTCTGAAATCGAGAAATCTGAAGGTTTTGACATGATTAATCATATTTATCGTGTGATTTTCGACGAAAATACTTTTTTCATCCAATTTATCAATTTTCTACCAAAACTGAACATTTTTATCAAGTTTGGGGCCATTCCGATCTTCATCGTTGGTCCGATGTTGTCGTAGATCTTGATTTCAGTAACACCCTGAACATCAAAACATAGTTTTTATCGCTTAAACTCACACTCAAAGGACTCAGATACATGATCTGATCTGTTTCAATCCACAAACTTGCCCTCTTCGAGACTTACCAGGCTGAAAATGAACATTTTCAGTTTTTCAATGGTTTTTACACTATTTTTTCATTGATTGGGCTAATTTCGTCTTATGTGGTCCGGCATTGTTGATCTCGCTAATTTTGATTTTCAAAACCATATTAGGTCAATAGAGGGACCTCTAAACTTTAAAAATAACACTATTAAACCTCATCCGAAGTTGTTGGAGGCCGTGAAATCAAGATCTACGACAACATCGGACCAACGATGAAGATCGGAATGGCCCCAAACTTGATAAAAATGTTCAGTTTTGGTAGAAAATTGATAAATTGGATGAAAAAAGTATTTTCGTCGAAAATCACACGATAAATATGATTAATCATGTCAAAACCTTCAGATTTCTCGATTTCAGACATCGCTGAATCGACAACATCTAACATTATTTTTCATGATTGGATCTTCAACATATGAAGTCAAATCAAGTGTTGGGATGGTATAGTGTGAATAAAAATCAATTACCACCCAAATATCACCATTTTAAGACAGTCCCAAGTGAAATTTCCCAAAAGTTGAAAATCTGAAAAAATCGGATTTTCGATTTTGGTCCAATACAACCTTCAGAAGTTATGCCAAATACATCTGAATGATTGAAATAGTGTGAATCAGCGTAAAAAATAACCCTAGAAAAGTTTCCAACAATTTCAGGCTGTTTTAGTGACTTTATCCATCAAAAACAGTTAGTGCATTTCTTTTTTGCCGCTACTGTATTTTTTCAACAAAACATATTCTGAGACTAGGATATCAATTCGTTCTTCTCTATGGAATCTAACTCAATTTCCCCGTCCACAAAAAATCTACCTTGTCTGTTCGAAAAATTTTCAACTGATCAAAACCAAAAGTCCACAACAGAAAAACTCTCCTCTCTTAGGGTCGAAAAAATCATCATTTTTTTTTCGTTTTCTCTCCCCTCAAGATCAGTTCTAACCCTAATCTACAATATTTGCGTTCCAACAGAAAAAATAAAATATTTACCCACTCCAACCGAATTTTGCTCCACCCAAACTGAAATCTCTATAAAACCACGGTCATTTTCCCACGTACCTTATCCGAAAAATTTGAAAACATCGAAAATGCAATTCTTCAGTGTTCTCTTAGCTTTGGCTCTTCTTTCATGTGCTAACGCATATTATGTAAGTTTTCTAGGTCTGATGTGAATTTAAAAAAAAAGCAAAAACATTTTTAGTTGTATTATTATTATCCAAACTCATATTCGAACTCGAACTACAACTCTGGATCAACATACTACTATTATCCAAATAACTACAACAACGGTAATACTTCCCTCTTAAATATTTGTAAAAGTTTTATATTATTAATTTCAGGATATTCAGGAAATACTGGAACAACATATTACTACTACCCAAACAATAATAACAATGGATACAACTACAACTACAACACCAATCCATACACAACTTATTATTACACTTACGGACGTAAATAAATTTGAATCTTGTATATTTTTGTCGAAACAACAAAATAAAAGAATTCTCAGGATCATTTTGATATTGAATTTGATTTACAAATATGATCAAAATCAAAATTTCGTGGAACTTCACACGTTGTTCAAAAAGGAGTCGTACTCTGAAAAAAAATGAGAAGATAAAATTTGTTTTATAACTTGTCTTGAACTTTTTTGAAACAAATTCTAATAATCTAAATTTGTTGAAAGTAAGATTTCAAAAGATTTCAACTTGTTTGTTTATTAGATACAGTAATCCTATTTGAGAAAAATTAAGCAAAAGTTAGATAAATTCACATTTCATTTCCATTTGAACATCTACTATTCAGATAATTGAAAACATTGATTCTCTAAGAAAACTTCAAGTTTTACACTGCAAATTTTATTTCGTAGATGATTTAGAAATGTTCTGACAAACTCATTTTTTGATAGCCAAACTTTGAAATAAATCTAAAAATATTGACTTTTGTAGTTCAACTTGAAACGCAGATTTTTAGGTCACGTTTTTTTAAACAAGAGTTGAGTTATAGAACTTCTGACCCAAAAAACATTTATCCAGACAATGAGGTTCGAAAGGTCAGCTAGTTTCTATTTTCAAATTTTTTTCAACTGAAATCTTCAATTTTCACAGAATTGCTTTTCATAACAAAATGATCCTGAGAATGAATTTATTTCGAAAAAATACAAGTTTCGAATTTATTTACGTCCGTAAGTGTAATAATATGTGGTGTATGGACTGGTGTTGTAGTTGTATCCACTGTTGTAATTGTTTGGATAATAGTAGTAAGTTGTTCCAGTGTTTCCTGAATATCCTAAAATTGATAATTTTAGTTTTCCAGATTTTTCAAAGATCGAATCTTACCGTTATCGTAATAATATGTTTGTCCGTTGTTGTTGTTGTTATTATTTGGATAATAGTAATAAGTTGTTCCAGTATTGTAGTTCGAGTTCGAGTTTGGATAATAATAGTAAAGCTGAAAATAATTTTGTTCAAAATTTGAGTTCTTAGAAAAGAAACTTACATAATAAGCGTTGGCACATGAGAGAAGAGCCAAAGCGAGAAGAACACTGAAGAATTGCATTGTCGAAGTGTGGTTTTTCGATGATCCACTCGTAAAATGACCGTAGTTTTATAGTGGTTTTCTATTGGGTGGAGCTAAAAATATTGGAGTGCGCAAATATATTTTTTGGAACGCAAATATTGTAGGGAAAATGAAAATGAGAGAAAAACTATGACTCCTCCTGAGAAAATATGTATTTGGTTTCGAAATTTCTTGTGAACTTTGACTTGAAAAATAAAAGTTTTATTGTTTTTTTTCAAAGCGCTGATTTTGGTTTTCTAATGACCGATCGAAGAATTTGGAAAGTGCACATCAAATTTTCGTCAACACTCATCACGGCTGCCGAATTGTCAAATTGTCCACAATAATGTGGAGCTGAGAAGATGGTGACCAACTTTTTCTGCGCGAAAAATTCATAACCATCTTGGACAACTTGATGAGCTCTGGCGATTAGATCAATGTCGAGTTGCTCACACATTTTATTGACTATTGAGGGGCCAAAAACATAGGATACTCCGCGGAGATTTGGAGCCCAACCCTAGAAAAAAATGAGATTGATGGGAGTATGAACTCATTCAAATTTGCTTACAGAGATCGTGTTATCTGGATCACTCCAAAGTAAATCAAGATGTAACGATGGACTTGGTGGATCCATAGTTCTTGATAAATCTCTCAACATCGACAAACTTGTTAACTTTGGTGATAGCCCGCCATGCATACATAAAATTCTTTCCGAAACCAAACCACTAAAAGGCATAGCTGAAAATGTTTCTTGAAATGCCAACCATAATCTTGTACTCGAATATCTTCGATTACATTCTTCGAAAAATCCATAAACACGATTAATCGATGGACATTCATGATTTCCACGAAGTAAGAAAAAGTTCTCCGGATATTTTATTTTATAGCAGAAAAACAGGGTGATAACTTCGATGTTTTGATGTCCGCGATCAACATAATCACCAAGGAAAAGATAATTGTGTTGTGGTGGAAACCCGGTAATTGAAAATAGACGGAGAACATCAGAATATTGACCATGAACATCTCCGCAAATTTTTATTGGAGCGGTGACTTCAATGAAAACTGATTGTTGCAGAAATATTGTTCTGAAAAGTGTAGAATTTCAAACTGAATTGATTTAATATTTAAAGGTCCCGTAACGTCGCAAGATTCAGTGATCTTAAACACTTCTCTATGCTTTTTTATGTTGATTGAAGTCGAAAAAAATTTTTTTCTGATTCACCATGAAAAAAAAGGACCAAAAGTAACACATTAAAAAATCAGTCTAAAAATGTTGGGTCCACGGCCGAGAAAACCAAATGAGATCGAACAAACGCGCGCTGCTGATAACCGAAAAAATATTTTCTTTTCGCGAAATTTTTTCTATTGGTTTTTGGCGTTTTTCGCAGTTATTTCGATAGGAATGAATGGAATGAACCTGGAAATAGAATGGACAAGGAAATTTAATCGAAAAACAAAAAAAGTCTTGAAAATCGAGCAAAAATGACAGAAAACAGAGCAAACAACGTTTTTTCAGATTTGCAACGCAGTTTTTCAAGTTTTTCTTCCTCAAACCTTGATATTATCCAGATGTACAGTGCTCATTTTAAAGAGGAGAAAATTCTCAACAAGAGGTTATGAGTTTTTGGTTGGAAATTGTCGATTTCACAAGGCACAGCTGGTTGAAGAAATGTTCGAGATCAAACACACATTCTCAAAACGTGACGCGAAATTCTTGTTCTGGCTCGGATTTGATGAATTCTTGGTTTTATTCAATGGTTGATACATCATTAGAACCAGAATTTTATGGCGATTCTTCTGATATATGACAATCATAGTGAAAGAATAGATTTTGATGATTTCCACTCGCTTGCGAAAAATACGAAAATTTCGATAAATTTTTCATTGATTTTAGCGATTTGAGCTTGACTTTTTTCAACATTTGAGAAAATAAACATCACAAATGCTCAATTTCATTCAGTTTTCTTCTTTTCCGAAAACATGAAATGAGTTCAACGTATGAACGGATCAGAAAACGAGCGAATTTGAGAAAATTCAAAATTTTGTAAAGAATTATCGGAATAATTCTACTGAATCGAGTGATATCTCATGGTAAAATATCTAAATGACTTTTGAGTATACTGCTCTGAGAAATCGAAAGAAAAAATTGAAAAAAGTCAAGCTCAAATCGCTAAAATCAATGAAAAATTTATCGAAATTTTCGTATTTTTCGCAAGCGAGTGGAAATCATCAAAATCTATTCTTTCACTATGATTGTCATATATCAGAAGAATCGCCATAAAATTCTGGTTCTAATGATGTATCAACCATTGAATAAAACCAAGAATTCATCAAATCCGAGCCAGAACAAGAATTTCGCGTCACGTTTTGAGAATGTGTGTTTGATCTCGAACATTTCTTCAACCAGCTGTGCCTTGTGAAATCGACAATTTCCAACCAAAAACTCATAACCTCTTGTTGAGAATTTTCTCCTCTTTAAAATGAGCACTGTACATCTGGATAATATCAAGGTTTGAGGAAGAAAAACTTGAAAAACTGCGTTGCAAATCTGAAAAAACGTTGTTTGCTCTGTTTTCTGTCATTTTTGCTCGATTTTCAAGACTTTTTTTGTTTTTCGATTAAATTTCCTTGTCCATTCTATTTCCAGGTTCATTCCATTCATTCCTATCGAAATAACTGCGAAAAACGCCAAAAACCAATAGAAAAAATTTCGCGAAAAGAAAATATTTTTTCGGTTATCAGCAGCGCGCGTTTGTTCGATCTCATTTGGTTTTCTCGGCCGTGGACCCAACATTTTTAGACTGATTTTTTAATGTGTTACTTTTGGTCCTTTTTTTCATGGTGAATCAGAAAAAATTTTTGTTCGACTTCAATCAACATAAAAAAGCATAGAGAAGTGTTTAAGATCACTGAATCTTGCGACGTTACGGGACCTTTAAACTTTCTCTAATGAATTCTAACCGTAAAATTGATTGAGCATATTAAAACTCCAGAGAAAAATACAGTAACACTTCAAGGGTACAGTACCGTTTCATATGGTTAGTTTTCTCTTTACTTTCAAACTTTACCTGGCCAATGTGCAAAGTGCAATCAAGTCTTGCTCTTTAATAGTTCTTGTCAACGATTTTTCAGGTTTTCCAACTGACAAAACTTTGATAATCAATTCATCGATATCCAATTTAGGCAATTCTGTTTCAATCGCTCTAATAGAAGACATTTTCGTTTTATTTTTGATAGAAAAATATGAGAAATCGGTTTGGTTTTGAACTTGGATAAGAAATGACAAGATTTTTGAAAAAGGGTATTCAGTGGGTTTTTTGAAAAAAGTGGAACACGTTTTTATTTTTTTTTAATTGATTTTGTTTTCTCATTTCTTATAAAACATTTTCATGAAATCAATTATTAAAAATTTATGAATTAATCGATAAATGAAATTAGAATTCAAACATTTCACACCGAATCAAATTTGGAATTTTGTAGCAGCTGAAACCTTGTTACATCACTTCCCGTTTGTTTTTAAAGTACTCATTTTTGATATTTCTATCTGTTCTGAAACATTTACAACAGAACACGTTTGATGTGGGATTCCATAGATTAAAAACACCACCCAAACTGTTAATTAGGGTTTTCTGAAAACCATGTTATTATCGAAGAAACAAAAAACAACAATTAATAGATCATTCTTGAAATCAAAACTTCAAAAAGCAGCTGAAGTTAGTGACATTCAAAAACTTTGAACATTTTTCCTGGAAATCTTCGAAAAAACATTATTGTTTGTATAGACGTTCGAATAATTTATCAATGAATGTTTCAATTTATCGACTCGAACATATTGAAGTGAAATATCTTGTCGAATCTTCAATATTTATTGTTTTTTTATCAATAATTGTGAATAGTTTTGGATTTCATATGTTGATTTTTTATTCGAAAAAAGAAGATAAATCATATAGAAAGAATGTGATTATTTCACAATTATTTGTTTTTTTATGTCAATCATTTTGGGGAACTTTTCAATGTTCCATCGAATTACTTCCATTTCCAGCATTTATTTCATTCGGACTATTGAACAATTATGTTTCAACTGTTGAAATGGCTTCGATTTGGTACATATTATTTTTAATATTTGTAGTTTCACTCTTTAATTCCCTTATTATTCGTCTGAAAATTGCTGAAACTTATTATATCGAGAAAAAATCAAATTATAAATGTTATTTCGCTTTAATTTCTTCATTTTGTGCATCATTTATGGTTTTGGCAATATTTGTTGTATCGACAAATGGAAATGTTGAAAAATTTATGATTCAGAATTATCCGAATTATTTGAATGTTATGTATTTGCCGGGAATTTTCATAGTCACAAGTCCACTGATTTTTATGATATCAGTTTGCATTGCTTCTGTCGTTTTATTTTCTGTGATTTTTGTAAGATTATTTTATCACCGAATAGAATTTATTACCCTAAAATTTTCCGGAATTTTTTTGAGAGCTGACATGATCTTAGGGGTGGCATTAAAATCGATCAAATAAAAGCGAAAAACGAGATTTTGATAGAAGTATTTTTGATCCACCAGAAATCGTTTAGAAGTTTGAGGCCTTAAGATTTAGAGTAGAAAATTACTTACTGTGTTTGAATACAGTCATCACGATTATTTTTCAGAATTATATTTTCCTATTTTTCAAAATCTTCCAAACTGTTCGATCTCAACAATCTCAAATGAGTAAAATGCAGAAGAATTATCAGAAAAAAAGTATTGTTCGATTCAGTTATCCAAGCAACAATCAAAATTATAACAATTGGAGTCTATCCACTTTTATGGGTTCTAGACTTTTTCTTTCCTCAAATTGTTGAGTTCGAAATACTTCATTGGCTGGCAACTATAATTAGTCATTCTATTTTTATTTCCACTCCAATTCCAGCGACTGTGTTTATGATTTTGCAACATCCAGATTATCTCAATAAATTATGGCCCAGAAAACCTATAGTTCGTACTTTATATCGATCTGCGATTTGAATATTTTTAAATAAATGAAATTAAAAAAAAAATAGAAAATGATAAATAAAGTACACGTTTTATTAAAAATATATATGGCAGTCTATTTCTACAAAATATAACATTAGAAATGAGCAAAACTCACAAGGATCCTTGATTTGGAGCTGTAACTCGTTCAACTAACTGAATTATATTGAGAGCTTGTAAAAGTAATGGGCGATCAATCATTTGTCCGCGAAACTGGAAAGCGCCTTTTCCAAGAGATTCATGTTCCGAATAAGCATGCACCAATTCCTGCGCCCATTGAATTCTATCAGTTGGCGGCAAAAATTGCTCGTGAACTGTTGGAACTTGACTTGGATGAATCACTTGTTTTCCAGTGAAACCCCAAAGTCGACCTGCGAAAAAATGAATTTGAAAATGTTTTTTCCTGAAAACAAATACATTTAATTTTTAAAAAAATATTATAAAAAATCGGAATTAAACGCAAGTATTTCAGAAATTTATAAGCTCCAAATGTTATCAAAGTAAGTGAGTATTATTTTTTATTTGACTCGCCCAATTGATTTTCAAAATATAAAACTAACCTTCATCACATTGTCGTTTCAAACCACCCAAATCTTTGATATCAATATAAACGCTATCAATGGCTTGCAATTGAAAAGCTTTACAAACTGCCACAAATTTTTGTCTAGCAAATAATGTTTCCGTTCCATGTGATGTTCGTGTTGCTCCAATATCTGCACAATAATCATCTGATCCAAAAACAACTGCATCTAATTTGAAAAATCCAGATTGTCTGTGTAAATTCAGAGCTGATGAGACAATTCTTGGCATGTCGAGAAGTGCACGAGCTGATTCTATCCAGATAACAAATCTTGTTGAAGTGTTCGTAATTCGATCTTCTCCATAATATTGCTTGAAAATACTGTAGATTGAGGCAAGATCTTCAGGAGAATCGACTTTTGGAACCATAAATGCTTGTGGAAGTTTTTCAGCTTTCGAAACTTCTTTAATATCGTCTTCTAACAATCCACTGCTCACTGAATTTACACGAAGTCCGAGTTCCTGACAAGATAATGTATGGAATGGAAGTTTGTTGAGAGCTTGCGTTGCATTCTTTCTCGCATCTGCTTTTGCTGTTAGAGCTACACCATCTTCCAATTCCAAAACCACAGAATCTGATATCATTTGCGGAATTTTATCAAGCATTTTCTGATTGCTTGCTGGAACATAAAGAAGTGAACGTCGTGGTATATATTTTGCAGCATCTCGAACACCAGCGAATTGTGAAGCAAATCTTTTAATTATCATCTGAAAAAATATCCAGTTGACTTGCTACTGGGGATCTCAGGCTCAGGCTGAGGTGCAAACAAGAAAAAACCGAAAAAACGTGAAAAAAAAGAAAATAAAATGAATATGTTGTAAACGCGCCCTATTGCTAATGGCCTAGGAAACGACGACCGAGGATACCAGAAAATTCGAGAAAAAAATTCCATTTTGACGGCGAGTCGAGTCTTTCTTTATCTTGAAGCAGAAAGAAATCGACGAAATTTGATTTGAAAATGGCAAAGTGGGGAGAAGGAGATCCACGTTGGATTGTTGAAGAACGTGCCGATGCAACAAATGTGAACAACTGGCATTGGTCGGAGAAAAACGCGACTCCTTGGTCAACAAATCGACTTCGTGAATTGCTCAATGGTCTTGTTGCTGAGGTAACTTTCTTTATCAACTAAGAATTTATTTTAGTTTATCTTTTTTTTAGGATGGTCCAATAACAGTTACTATCGATGAAATCAAGAAGATTGAAGGCGAGGCAACTGCAAATAACCGAAAAGCAAAATTAATTTTCCTTTACGAATGGGTTATCGAAGGTAATTTCACTGCTAATATTTCTGGAACTCAAGATGAATACAAGGGAAAATTCGATATTCCAAATTTGAGTGATGAAAATGATGCGGATGAGGTTGATGTTAATTCTTTCATCACCTCAAATCAACACGGTGTTCTTGCTAATCAAGTTCGTCAAGTTTTGAATAAAGCTTTCGTCAAGCGAATTCAAGAAACTGTTGGATTATACATCCGTGAACTCAAAGAAGAATTCAGCAAAGGACTTATTCTGCCCACTGACAAAGTTAAACCACAAGTGGTCACCAAAGGAAAAACCACAATGGTTGATAAACGTCAATTCCAAAACACTGTTGTCGCCGAGAAAGATGCTTCTACTTCTGGAAACGAAATTTTCGACGTCAAGGAGATCTCAATTGCCGACAGCTATAAAGCTACCCCAGATCGTGTTTTCGAAGCAATCTCGGAACAAAATTATGTTCGATCGTGGACTAATAACGCGATTAATGAATGGGATTTCAAAGAAAATGGAAAATTCTCGCTGTTTGGGGGAAATGTTAGTGGAAGTTTTGTTAAAATCGAGCCAAATAAAGAGATTATTACAAAATGGAGACTGAAAAAATACCCAAATGATCATCATGCGACCATTCATTTTATTCTTAAAGACAATGTAAGTTGATTTTTATAGTTGAGAAACATGACGAGGGAAATTAGTCGAATTAATTTAATTAGTTCTTTTTTATCACATTGTTCCGAGTTCAAAATTCGGGCAAACAAAGTTCAATCTAATCAAAATATTTAGAACTTAATTTCGCGCGAAAAAACTTGATTTCAAGTTTCTATTTTCAAACAAATCTCTCAAAAAAAAAAATTAAAAAGTAAATTTTCGCAATGAAAATGAAGAATCTTAAATTATTGGAAAATATCCGAAAAGCAAACATTTTTTCAGGGATCCGCCACTGATTTCACCATCCAAGCTAAAGATGTTCCTGTTCATTTAGCCGATGAGACTCAAACTGGCCTCGATCGTTATTATCTTACAAGCATTGCACGAACATTCGGTTTCAGCTCTCGAATTTGTTAATTTATTTCATTTCTCGTTTTTTCTGGCTTCTGCCTACGTATTTTCCTTTCGTGGTGATTTTCAACAAAAAATCCAAGTTTTTCATTTCAAATTATTTATGGTTTTAATAAAGATCTGATTTTAGTGCATTTTTGAGCTCTGATGGTTTGAAATTTCCAAAATCTGTTATTATTTTGGTTATTAAATTAGCTGGTGTCACATCAAATGCGGGATTCCAAACGGGAGTATTGAGAGATCCGATGTTTGTGCCTAAAAAACTAGTGAAATATTTTAAAGAACAAATTGAATACCGTTTATTGTGAGCATCTCAATCGCTGGCCGTTCTTCAATCACAATTTCCTCACCAGTTTCGATTTTTTGATTTATTGAAGTCAGAGGAACCTGCAAGTTCTAAAACTAGATTTAAATATTATATGAAAAACTCACTACTGGATAAAAATTGATTGCATGATAATTAGCTAACACAGCCAACATATAAGTTCCAATTTTATTGGCTGTATCTCCATTTAGTGCAACATTATCAGCTCCAGTTAAAACCGCATCAACATTTTTTGATTTCATAACAGAAGCTGCCATTGAATCAGTGATTAATTTGAATGGAACATTTCCATGAAGAAGTTCAGCGGCAGTTAGACGAACTCCTTGATTATAAGGACGAGTTTCGAGAGCATAGACTATTTCGAGACGATTTTCAGAGTGAAGAGCTCGGATTACTCCTGAAATTTTGAATTTTTAATAAAACGAGGGAAATTGTACTCAGAAATTGTAATTGTATGATTCAATTTCAAAAATATCTGAATTTTCCCACAAATCTTACCCAACGCAGTTCCCCATGAACAAGTTGCCAAACTTCCAGTATTACAAATTGTCATAATTGTCAATTTCTGTTTTTTTGGAAACGCGGTGATCAGTTCTTGATATCCATTCCAAACCAATCTTCGATTCTCTTGTTTTTCTTTGTGATAAACATCAAGAAGTCTTTTCTTGATTTCGTCCAACTTATTTTCTTGAACCAAAGGAAGAAGTGATTGAAGAGCATTTCGAAGATCAACAGCAGTTGGACGAGAAGAAATTAAATAATTGATTTTTCCGGATATCCAAGAAATATTAGAATCGGAAGATTGTTGAATCTCGATGTAGAGTCCAAGACATCCAACTGTGGCAATCAATGGGGCTCCGCGAACCTATACAAAAATTGGAAATGAGAAAGAAACTGACAATTTCAAAATAAATAGCTTTCGAAAAATTTAGGGTCACATAGAAAAAATAGACGTTTAAAATGTGTTTTTGAAAATTCGAATTTGGAAAATGTTTTTAAAAATCATTTACCTTCATAGTTTTAATAACTTCATAAGCGTCATTGACTCCATTTACTGGAATATATTTGAATTCATGAGGTAATAATAATTGATCCAAAACTTCCAATTTTCCATTTTCTTCATCAAATCGCAAAGAATTCAGACGATTTTCTTCGTTTTTCAAAAAATCTGTCGGAATCTCCGTTGCCATTTTTCTTTCTTTTTCTCAAAATAAAAAAAATGATAATCGTTTTATGGGGTCGTTTTTTTTGCTGATAAGAAATATATGTTTTTTTCAGCCACCGATGAAATTATCACGAAAATGTTGGCAAAAAATTGTGTTAGGAATTGAGACGAGTTGTGATGACACAGCGGTTGCGATTCTGAATTCTAAAAGAGAAATTTTGGCAGCTGAAAGATTTACGAATCGAAAGATTCAGCAGGAAATTGGAGGAATTAGTCCGATTGTTTGTGCTGAACAACATCGAAAACATCTTCCAATACTTATTGAGAAATGTATTTTTGATGCGGGGATTTCGAAAAATGAATTGGATGCGATTGCGGTAACATCTACGCCTGGATTGGTTATTGCGTTGAAAGAAGGCATAGGAAAAGCTATCCAGTTGGCAAGGTTCGAAAATTAACTTATATTAAATCGGGCTGTTTTTATTCCCCGAATTTCAGAGATCTAAATCGTCCTCTAATTCCAGTCCATCATATGCGAGCACATGCATTATCAATTTATTTATCAGAATATGCAAGTACTATTAAATTCCCATTTTCAACATTTCTAATATCCGGAGGACACGCTCTTATAGCAATCGCAAAATCAGCCGAAGAATTTGAATTATACGGTAAAAGTTTATCAGGAAGTCCTGGAGAATGTCTCGATAAAGTTGCTCGAGAAATCTCAATTCCTTCCGAATATTCTGGAATTCATGCTGGTGCAGCAATTGAGAAATTGGCTGAAAATGCAGAAACTGATGGATATTTGAAATATGCTGCTGTTTTGCCAAGCACTTCTGGAGCTGATATGCAGTTTTCACAATTGAAATCAACATATTTGAATTTGGCTCGGAAACGGAGGGAAGATTCTGATTTTTCGGTGGAGAATTTTTGCGCAAGTTTGCAGCATTCTGTGGCTGCTCATATTTCATCAAAATTACATTCGTTTTTTGAACAAAATTCATCGAATCAATTAGTTGTTGGCGGCGGAGTTGCAGCAAATCAATATATTTTCAATGGTGAGGATTTTTCCATGTTATAGAGGAACTGTTTTGAAATTTCAGCAATTCAAAAAGTTGCCAAATTTTACAATTGTGAAACTTTTCAAGTTCCTTTACGGTTATGCAGTGATAATGCGGAGATGATTACATTGACCGGATTAATGATGTTGGAATTGGGATCGAGTTCAATAATTCCTCCTGATAAAATTCCGGACACAATATATGCGCATGCTCGGACAGAAATCGGTGAGAAAAATATGGGAAATTTTTTGAAAATTTGTGATTTTTTTGTTGAAAAATTGCCAGTTGGCCATAAAGTATAGAATTCTTCAGCTAAATACAGTACCTCTCCAGTTCTAGGTAGAGTAATCCATCCGAATCAAAGTCACAAAAATATCAACTCCGCTTTTTTCAAAAAAGAACATTTCAGGAATCGACTGCCGCCATAAAATCACACCAAAACCTTCAAAACGTCTGATAATTTCTACGATAAATGGCCATCAACCAATTCGTTTTTCATACAATCGAAAATAATGAGATTCTTTTCAATGAAAAAAATTACAAAAAAAATAATTTCAGGTGAAACCCGAGAACAAAAGAAAAAATTTAAATAAAAAAATGGGATTTTTTGGGGAAAAGAAAGATTTTTCGGGAAAGAAGCTCAAATATTGGGCAAAGAATGGGCATACTATGTAAAGCTGTAAAATGAGAGGATTAGAAACAGAAAGCCAAATGGGAAAAACAATGGCAACAAGTTTTGTATCGGGGAAGCGGGAAGAATGGGACAGAAAGAAATTATCACACAGGGAGAAGAAGAAAATTATGAAACAAGAAGAGAAAAGGAAATATACATTAAAACTGTGAGTATTTAAAGGGGGAGAGGAGCACGGGGTTTTGAAAGAGAAAACAGAAGAAAATAGAAAAAAGCTAGCAATTGATAGATTTTGGACATACAAATGTTAAAATATAATCGGTGAGCAATGTTGGAACTGTTGGAATGTCGTCGTGAATTGCTTTCAGGACTGCAAAAATTGTGAAATTTCAGAGTTGAGATAATTTGTGGAACGAAAACTCTTTCTTTCGATGACTTATAAATTTTATTTAAAGAAATTTGAATTTCGACTAAGTTTTCAGATTATTCTGAATTAAAACGTTCTGGATCAAATATTTTTCAAATTTTTTTTTGCCACAACTCAGAAAAAAATCCCCGATCCACTTTTTGGGTCCAAGTGAATATTTGGCAGATGTTAGGTTTTTCTCATTTTCACTTAATCGATTTTTAAAGTGTCACACTTCACATTATTTGTTTGTTTTCTCGAGATCATTTAGGAATCATTCTCAAATTTAATTTTAGTTTCTTTTTTTAATTTTCAGAAAAAAAAGTGCTCACCTTTATTCAACGATGCAATCATAGCATTATCGATTGGTTGTTTTTCATTGAAAGGTATTGTTGCAGTGACATATTGAGGCAATTGAGAATTATCAATTCGACCCTGGAAAATTTGAATTGGAATTAAAAAAAAATAGGAGAATTTTCAGTCAGACATTGGACTACCAAAAAATTTCTACAAAAATTGGCCCTTGCCTGATTTCTTTAGTCCGACACGAAAGCTCCCAATACTATTTTCAATCCCTCAAACTAACCCCTTTTCTCTTCCTTTCATTATTAAAAATCCTCCTCTTATTTTGAATCGCTAAAAGCAGCGAAATAAACGTATTCTTCATTTCCTTCTCATAATCTAATTCATCTCGATGTGCTAATTCTTCAACAAGACTTTCATTATAAACACCAATCAATTGTTCCATTTCTGCTCCAAGTTGCACCAATTTTGAATATGACAATTCTTGCAAATCTAAACAAAATTAAAATTTTGAGAACAACTTATAAATATAAAAATATGATGGTTAGTGTGTGATTAGTGATTTCGGGGCACAAAAGCTTCAAAACTAAAAAAAATCTAAGAATGCTCGGAAAGTGTGTGATTTATAGATAAAGATCACAAGACAACATAAATTTCATCAAAATAAAATGAAATAAAACTATACCCGAAAATGAGGAGCTTTTGTCTAAATTTGGGAAATGGATAATTCGAGATTGATTGTGTGAGAGTTAAAAAAAACTTACTATCAGGATTGCTAACTAATGCTTGAGCACTTCGAAGTTTGATGTCAGCATCTGAACTTTGAATTGATGGAAATGGAGATCGCATTGATGAATACATCGAATCTACTGATTCCATTGTTCGATCTGTCATCATTGAACCAGTGAAATCGCATGACTAAAAAAAGAAACGATTGAGGTTTGGGGAAAAAAACGGAGTTTTGGGGTTTTGACTAATGACCTTTTTTTCAAAATTCTGTTCCAAGTTACATAAATTTTCCTGATTTATTAGAAGCTCTACAATTCGATTTATTGATCTCAATTTTCGAGGAAAAAATGATTTTTTTAAATTCTGAAATTTCAAAAATAAAGAGATAAAAATAAAAAAAAATCTTTACACGTAATTTTTCAGTTCAAATACAACTGTGATTATTTTCTAAACCCCATATTTTTCAGAAAGCAAATTTCAAATTAAAATATTCTTCTTGTTCCATTTTTGTACCCGATCTTTCTTCATATTTTTGACTCTCATCATTTTCGTTCTTGTTTCTTCTCATCTTTTTTCATTTTCTTCACAAACATAATACATTTGGAATTAAGTAGCTCACATTTGTATATGTATGTACATGAATAAATAAATAAAGGAAGAAGAAGAAGAAAAAGAGAACAGCGGCTAATTCGTTTGCTCTTCCTTGAAACAAAAAGGGAAACCTTATTCTAATTATCCTGCATTTTCAGAGAGAAACATTTAGATCTCAATTTAAGAGAAATTTGGTTAAAAAAAACTTCGGAATATTTTTGATCTGTGTTTTTTCTTCTTAAATCTAAGATTCTAAATGGCACAGTCTGAAACTGCACCTAATTTAAGTTCCCAAAAAGTCCCACCTGCAACATCTCATCAATCTCTTCAATAACTTGATCAGCAGTTTGTGGTGGCGTATCTCCTCCAGTATCTGTTGAACAATGATGTCCAACAATTTGATGAACATCCATTTGTTGTCTCAACAAATCCTCATCATCTGATGAGTCCATAGTTCGACCCGATTCGTTTTTGGTGCCAGTCTGGAAAAATTGAAGTTTAGTGGAGAGAAATATGGGTTTTGCAAACCTGAAAAGTGTGGAAGGAGAAATTAGTAATTATGGGTGATTTTCAGAGAACTGCGAAAAATTTGAATATATTTTCAGATATCAAAATGACTTTTTCAATGAAAGTCTTTATTTTGAAAAAAAGCAATTCGTTTGGATTTTTAAAATCAATTTTGAATATGGGCTTGAAATTATAAAATAAAAATTTTTTCTCTTTTTTTTAACTTTCAAAATACACGTAGGTTTTCGGACAAAAAAAATGAGTTCATGAAAAAATAGAAATTTTAGAACATTATAAAAAAATAGGAAGAAGAAACAATTCCAAATAATTTACAGAATTCTGAAACCCAACAGTACATCCTACAAAAATCAGGCGAATTGATTTTATTCAAAATCCATCTTCAAAAATTAAATTCTTCCCCAAAAAGCTCATCTTCCTGTATACTTATTCATTCCCCTAACAAACTCATTTCATTATCCTCCAAAAAAAAAGAGAACGACACCATAAAACCCAATGGAATTGGGGACCCGAAAAAACGCATTAAAAATACGTTGGTAGGAAGAAAAAAAAAAGAAAGAAGAGCTCAAGAATAGAAAAAGGAAAAAAATCGATAAAGACGAGCTCACAGCTGAGAAAGACGAAAAAGGCAAAAGCTTGGAGGAGAGAGTGGTTTTAATTTTCCACTTGCCTCCAGCTTTCGCTATTTTTTATGTTTTGTTTTTATGATGAATCAAGTGAAAAATATGTCAATTCCAAAATAAAAACAAAAACTAACTCCATCAACATCCAAAGCGGCTGCCATTTTCTTACAAATCGTTGTTGTCGCAAAATCCAATGGTTGAATATTACCAAAATTTCCAGTCAAAGTCCACCATGTTCTGAAAAATATATAGATAAATCAAAAAACAGAAAACAGAAAACGGCAGGGAAAATGATTGATGTTTTTTATGACTCATGTTATGAGGACTTAAAAGGATTGTTTTTGTTTGGAGCCTTGAGAATGAGCAAGGAAAATGAGAAAAAAAATAGAACTAGAACGAGAAAGAAAAAGAGTAAGATTAGTTTCGTTATTTCCAGAAATTCGGGGGTTTGGAGAGGAAACTTGAAACATATGAACTCGAAAATCACTTTGCCACTTGGCAAAATTTCTACAGTTTTTGAGAAGAATAGCAGATTTCGGGTTGTCAAATTATTCCACGTGGCTTTTGTTCGCGCCGTAATTCGAATATTTATTCTTAGTGTCAACAGTTCAAGTTCAAATATTGCAACGTGGATTTTTTCGAGCCAGCTATAGGGTTACAGTACGTTTGAATTCAGCAACAAAACCTTGAATATTTAGATGCAAAAAACGTTATATTTTTTACATCAAAATGTTACAAACTTTTGCGCCAGAAAAACTACAGTGTCTCTCCATTTTTTCCGTCAAAATTTAAAAAGAAAAAATATCCAAGTGAACTTTTCAACGTCAAAAATCTTCCCAAATTTATTTTACATCGAACTTCTCCAAACCACTACAGTACCAAAATTCTTTTTTGAGGCTTCCTGGATTAGTTTAATATTTTCCAGCTCAAAACAACTCACTGGCTCTCATTCATAACTTCCTCTTGTGTTCGAATTTGAACTGGTGCAATATCAGCAGTCGTCACCTCGTGATCCTTCAAACAAGCCGCGATTCTTTCGTCGAAATTTCCAACCAAGTCCTGAAAACAACTCTTGACTAGAAATATCAAGTGACCAAAAATCTGGGGAGAAAAAGAATAGTTGTTACCTCAAGTGAGCCAGAAAATTCATCATGCATTCTTTCATCGTCTGTGGTAATCGACTTGTCTTCCGGTGAGTTTCTGAAAAAAAATTGGAGGGGTTTTTGTTCGACATTTTCTTCAAGGGGGAACATCTGCGCCCTATTTTCCCTTTTTCCAAAAAATCGTACAATTCTCTATTCACAGCGGAAATAAATCCCATAAAAACAACAAAAAGTCGCCGCAATTAAATATCCAACACTTTTTCAAGGTCAAAATAATATTGAAAATGTGGGAAGAATTTTTGATTTTACCTGAAAAAGCTGGCAAAGTATTTTAACATTATTATAGATAGATTATTCAAAATATGAAACTGAATAGTCTTGTGAATAAAAATTGGAAGAAAGAAACAGGTGCCACAGCTGTAAATGGGAAAAAAATCCGAAAAAAATGTTTTTGGATAAAAACACCATAAAATTTTAACATCTGTGGCAGCTGTGATCTATTTTTTTTTGGAAAAAATGATATTACGATCGTTAGGATCGTGGTATCCAATTCTAATACTTACTTAATCAGGGGATTTTGAGTCATAGATAAGCCTAGAAGTCCTAATTGTCAAGTCGCTGAGCCTTGAAAACCTGTGTGACTTGTCAGTGTTTTACCCTCTACTTTTTGGCACCAAAATTTCTCAATGTTTCTTGCATTTCCCATTTCATTTCGTTGACCATAAATCAATCATTCTCTAATCAAATTAGAAATTCCCTTCCTCAAAAATGTCTTTTTTTTTTTCGTTTGAAGAGAATATGATATTTTTCTGAGCCGACAAAAGAAAAAAGATACATTTTTTGACTCTCAAAAATAACACAGAAAGCAAAAAAAAGAAAAGAGAAAAAAGAGCAAAATTATGCTAATTCACCAGAATTTCGCAACTCGTTTTTTCTCGATTTTTGAGAGGGAAAAGCTGATTTTATAAGAGATTCTTAGAAAGCCTTGGACCGAAAAATGAGAAACAATCTAGACTGAAAAAATTGCAAAAATTATTGTTCTGCACTCAAAAACACGATTCGATTAATAAATTATTATCTAACAAAATTAAAAATTGTCAGATTCAGAATTTCAGAAAATTATATCCCGTAATTTCAGGATCATTTCTACTTGAACCAAATTTTACCTAAAATTTTGGCCAAAAAAATTATTTAAAAATTTTGGTCTCACAAAATTATCCGGAAAATTCTAAATTGATACTTTAGGTTTTTCCAAATTATGAATCTACGCTCTTTTCCTATTTTTCGGTATTTTTTATTATTCAAAACGTTTGCTCCGCGCTAATTTCGCAACTTCTTTTCCCTAATTCCCAATTCCTCCAAGAAAACGGAAAATCAATAAACACAAACCTCGACAAATTCTTATTTCCATCACAAATCGACTGACAATCATCATCATCACAACTAGCCAATGGTATATCAGGAACTCTCAAATCAGCCGCCTCCATTTCACCACGCATTCAGTCCGTACAAATTCTTCGCCAAACAACAAAAAATGCGCCAAAAAATGGAAGAAGCAAGGAAAAAATTGTCGAGCCAAAAAAGAGCGAGAGAAACGAGTCTTATGTGCACCACACCAAAATACTTGCTCTGCCTGCAAAGAATTGCATGAAATAGTGAGGAAAATCAAGAGAAAAAGAGAGAGAGAAAGAGATGTAGTGCGCGAAAAATGAGAGCGAGAGAGAGAGAGAATGAGAGACGCAGAAAGAGGGAAATGTGAAACTCTTCTCGTTTTCTTCTTCTTTTTTTTTCTGGGGTCGTTTAGAAGAAGAAGAAGGAAAAAAGAAAAAGAAGAACAAGAGGCTGATTTGTCTCCTCGATTCTTTTTTTTTTTCTGGAGTCAGTTCAAAATGTTACTTTTTGTGGGAAAAACTAGAGTACTTTTGGAAAAGCAAGAAAAAATAAAATGGGAAGAATTGAAATGATGTCTAGACTATGAGAAGAAGTTTCACTAGATCATTTTGAAAAAAAAAATCGAGAAAGTATTTTATAAAAATACGTAAATTATTTCTAGAAAACAACTTATCACCTTCAAAATAGATTGAGATAAGAAACTAACCAAACATACCCAAAAAAAAACCATTTCGATCCGCTGTAGTTTCGAAAAATGGCAAAAATTTTTAAATAGAAGAAATTAAAAAAAATTAATAAAACAGATCACGCGAAAAATGAAATTTCAATTCTTTTTCCTCAATTTTTTTCAGAAATTATGAAAAACTCAAAATTGCTCTAGGATCATAGTTATAATCTGAGAAATTTAGAAAAATGATACTTTTCAGATTATCGGATTTTTAGACAAAAAAAAATAACTGGAAATGTTGTTTTTTGATTTCTGCAGTAGTCATAATTGGAGGCCGAACTAGAATTATTGCGAAACTTCAAGGTTAGGACAAAAAATCTGTATTTATATTTTTTATTGAGTTAGATTTGGAAATTGAAAAAATCAACAAGATTCAATCACCGAAGATTAAAAATATATATAGAAGTTTCCAAGCTTCTGAAAATATGATCATCCCTAGAAATAAAAAAAACAAGAATCTTCTCAAAAGTTTTCAACAAGAAAAAAGTAATCCGACCTCCAACAAACAAAAAATCAACAAAACTGACAATTTTGATGATTGATAACAGATCAACAGTTGTTTCAGTGATGAAAAATCGTAAATTTCTCCAAACTTCCAGAAAAAAACCCCAAATATTATTTTCTAAAAATATTTGATTACGGTTTTTGTTTTTGAAAAACATAACAAAACAAAACAAAATTCGTTATCATCAAACATCTAACAAAACACAGAAAAGGGCGTGTAAAAATTGCGTTTTCTCATTTTTTTGCGGGCACGAGAAATGAAATTCAATATTTTTCAAACGAAAACGAGAAAAAAGTGTAAAGTTTGCTCAAAAAGCATTTTTTGTCAAAGTGACTGAGGTAAAACCATTAGTCTGGGAAAAAAATTTCAAAGAAAATTTTGGAGCCCCAACAAAAAAATAAATAATGCATTTTTTTTTGGCGCTGGATGCACAAGACAAGTACACATTTTCGAATAATTCAATTTTCTTGTTCTTTTCATTCATTTGATGAAGAAAACGAAAAAAAAGCGGCACAAAAAAGGGATACTCAGGCAGTAGAAAACTCCGGAGTTTCGCCGAAATGGAACGAGAATGTCGCTAAAAAGGCTCCAAACCCGGTTCCGGATCTTTTCTCGGTACGCTTTGGCGATTCTCCGGAACTTTTTTGTCGATTCTCCAGAGTTTTTTTGTTTTTGTCGCCTGCTTTTTTCGAATACATTCTAGTCTTTCACTCTCAAAAATCAATATTTATTTTCAACAAACAGGAAAAATAGTTATTTTCTGATTGTTTCAATCTCCAAACGAGTAGAATATAAGCATCAGAAGATTCCTTTGGCATTCTAATGAAGATTGAGTGTTGACTTAGGCAATTTTTTGACAATAACTTCCGTTTCTTATCATTTTGAGCCAACGAGGAGAGCTGCAGCACTGTGTGGAGACGCCATAAGCCATTTCATGCTGAAAATTAAGAAAGGATAATAGATTTATAAGGATGATTCTCCAAGAGTATTATTAATCGTAATTTCTCACTTTGAAATTGTGAACGACTTTTTTGAGATATGATGTGATAATGGTCATAAACTTGAAATTTGGAAACTTTCAAAGCTCAAAAACTCGAAAAACAAACGTTCATCGATTTTCTTTCTCATGACTCACCTCATAAATAGAATACATCTTGTGATTCACGATTTTGGAAATATTGCAAGGCGATCCTCCAGAAATTAAAATTGAACGAGCCTCTGCTTTCGAATTCTCCTAGCACGAGGGATTCCAATTGAATCTATAAATAAAACTAGTATTCACTTCTGTTGAAGAAACTTCACTCACCAGGAGCAAAAATCGCTAATTGTATTCCAAGTCCAGGTTGACTTTTATCCATATGGAGTCCAGGTTGACTTTTTTCCATATATGTCATGCATGACGATTTCGTAGGACGCACATTGCTTCTAGACGAATTCAATTGTCTGAAAATTATCAAATCAGGCAAAGACACTCTGAAAACTGAGCATTTTTGAAGGAATAGCAAAAATTAGAAAAACGAAAAAAAATGAAATGAAAAAAAATGACTAGTCATTGTCATCATTCGATGGAGCGCGTTCGATCGACAGCGATTTGCTCCGGAGAATCGCCAAAACCAAACTAGAAAGGCGTGCCAAACTAGAAAAAACAGGCGCTCTCTCGATTTTCTGTACCCACTTTGGGATATCTCCGGAGTTTTTGCGTTTTCTGGTTCCCCTCCGGAGTTTTCTACTGCCTGAGTACTTGAGATTTTTGTAAAAAAAATAATAATGTATTGAATTTCCCGCGCTATACGGATTTAAAAAAAAATAATTTTAACAAGAAAATTTATTTGATTCTAAATTTTATTCGAAATAAAAAATTCTAAGCTTCCTTATTATTATTCGATAAGCTATCCGAGTGTAGTTTCCTGAAAAATTGTATTGTTCTTTGGTGAAAAAATATAAATAATAACTGAGCTTACCTAACATACAAAATATTGAGCAAAACAAGAGTTATCACAGTTCCACCAAGAAAAACGAGCATTCGATTTTTTTGTTTTTCTCGATTATATTCATCTTCAGGGTTTCTGGAAAAATATTGGAATTGATTGAAAAAAATGAGAAAAATTCATTTAAAAAACGGTGAAAAAATATTATTAGGAGAACAAATGTAACTCTAATAAAAAAGAGAGAAAATTTTGAAAATATTGTATCTTTCTTATATAGATTTAAATTTAACTAACTAGGGGCTGTGTCCCTAGGCAAAACAGTTATATAGAAAATTCTTTTGCCTCAAAAGATGCTCAACAAGCGAACATACATAAAATGGGTCCCCAGAATCGGGGTGAGGGGCTTAACTTTTTTCAAGACTTTGAAGGGAATCTCAGAAAGTGTCCTGACAGCCGTCCGCGAGGTTGCGAGCTGTCGAAAGCTAGCAGAGGCTGTCCGCCAGCTCGCATTCTCATAAAAAGGGGAGGATCGAGCGCATCTTCTCGCCGCCAGCTAGCGGACAGAAAAAATTGCGACTGGAGCAGATTTGCTCGTCTATTTCCTTTTTCATTTTTTTTTTCGAATTTTTTGGCCTAAAATCTTTTTATGCCTTTTTCATCGAAAATTTTCACAGAATACATGCAAGCAACGTCGCAAAGTGTTGGAATGGAGACGGTGCACATCGCCAGGCACCTTCGTGACATGAAAATGTGTTTTTGGTGAGTGCAGATGATTTTTAATTCAGTAAATTAGTGTAAACCTATTTTACAGGGCTCTCGATGTTTGAAGCGATGTTTTCGACTGAAATGGCGGGATGGACGAGCAGCACAACAAAATTTTTGATAAAATTTGTAAGGTAAGGTGGTTTGAATGAGAGCTTTGGTTCCTAAGTCCCAGTAGTTTTAAAATCATGCTCTAGTGTAGGAACAAATCGATTTCATGAGAAAAGAACTCATTCTATATGAACTTCGAATGGAAAATTCTATATTCATGTTTGTTACTCATCTAGAAATGTATTTGATTGTATTTTTCCATCAGTGCTTGATAAATTAGAAGATCATTACTTTTAGAAAATTGATAGTGATAGGAATAAGTAGTTGCCATGTCATTGTCAAGTCAAGCTCCTAAATCGCTTGTCAGCACTGACTCACTTTCTACGAAAACCTTGTAATTTTGGCTCGTTGTGTTCTCATTTCCCAATGCCCTATATTTTTCAAACGAAGTTTTAAACATGATTGAACATTTCAGATTCTACAATCATCAACCAACTCTTCGCAGCCTGGAAAACAACACATCACCCTCCACACTTCGACATCCACAGGATTCCGATAAATGAAGTGTTTTTTGTTTAATAAATTCTTTCAAAACAAGCTCTATGAACTGCAAAAACAACAGACAAGCGCTAGCTAGCAGCGAGAACTGGCGAGGTCTCGCCACAAAAATGCGAGAAATGGACGGCCGTCTGCCGGCTCGCGTGCTAGCTGGCGAGATTTTCTCGCCGACGGCTGTCAGGACACTTTCTGAGGAAGGGTGCCTAACTTTGCCTATTTTCTGTTGATAATTTACCAAAATTCGCTTAAAAATGTGAGGAAGGTGTTTAACTTTGGAAAATTTTAAGGAGGGACCCTAACTTTGAAAACTGACTCGGGGGACCTATTTTATGTATGCAAGCGAATACCAATCAATTTAAGACTATCCCAATTCCAATTTTTTTTTAGAAAATCTCACCTGAAATGTGCAGTTACTGTACTTGTCGATTTTCTTTTTCCCATATCCGGTATAATTCCCTCACTCCATTCGGCTCTTTGTCGATTTCTCGCCGAACTCGACATTTCTCTCGTTTTTCTTGATGCTTCCATCAAGAAACCACCTTCAGAACTATATGCAAAATCATAAGCCTTGCGTTTTTCATCGTTTCGAAGGACATCGTAGGCTTCCTGAAAAATCGGTATTTTTTAAATGAAAAATCTACGACATTTTCAAAACGTTAAAAACCTCACCTTAACTTGCATAAACTTTTCAGTTTCTGATACATTCGACCATCCTAATCTACTATCTTTTTGTTTTTTGTTTCTCGATTGATCTGGATGCAATTCTTTCGTTTTTCTCACAAATGCCTCTTTAATTTCCTCTTTCGAAGCAGTTCGCGGAACTCCGATAATCTCATAGTAATTTTTCTTGGCAATATAGGAGGCAAATCTTCGACACGATATCATACATAAATATTTTTCTGAAAATTATATGTATCTTCTTTTGGTTTATTAGAGCCATTTTCTTACCAAATTTTAAAATAACAATGGTAAAAACCACAATCAATAGATTCAAAGAAAAACCATACTGAATAATCAATAAAAGCTTTATTTCTAACCAGCAAGTTATTAATCTACATTTAATCAATAAGGCAATCTAGTGAAGATGTTTATAACACCTTGAAGCCAATTTAAAGAGTTACTTGTGTAAAAATGAATATTATAACTAATATATATGAATATGGCAGATGATCCAATAATCGCTGAAATCCACGGAAAATCATAAAACGAAAGGAAAAGTTGAACAAACGAGGCATTTATAATACTTGAAATAATCGAAAAAATAGCCATTTCTTTGGGATTGAGATGATATTTTGGTTGAATTGAATATAAAAATGCATAAAGGCAATTTAGAGATGTTGTGAAGTGAAAAACATAGAATAATTCGATATCATATGATAAACCAATTGATGTGAAGAACAAGAAAATTGCAGTAAGATGTGCTAGAAATGATAGAATCTTGACTAAAATTGGGCCGTTTATTGATTTGATAATAATTGTTGAAATCACTGGAGACATCAGGCAAAGTGAATAAATCATTGGATATTGTTGAACATATTCACGAACTCCGATTGTGATGAACAAGCAGAAATTGACTGCAAAATTGTGAACATTCAAATATCAGCAGTGAAATTTGCCGATTTTCAATTCCTCCCGAAAAAAACTCACTAAAACCCATAATCGCAAAAATGACCATCACAGAAAAATAAATCTTTGAATTATACGATTTCTTCTGCACAATACTAATACCAACATCATCATCTAAATTCGATATTTTCACATATCCCATAACTAACTTCTAAAAAATCTTCTGAAAAACTGATATTAGCATCAAAACATATTAGTATTTAGTATTGGATGTGGTTAGTAAACACAGTATTAAATAATCAAGACATTTGAGAAATAAATAAGGTTTATATAATCACTTATGATAAATAATATCATAATGTCCTGGTCTATAAAGAAGACTAATTTCTGGTGTTTCGTTACAATCTGCTGGAATATCATAATGCCATCCACCATTTGGTGCAGCAGTTCGATCCATATATTCAATTCGAATATTATACCCGGTTGCCAAAACGAGACCACTTATTCCTAAATGATCTGCATCTTTCCACATTGCTTCGATTTCTGTTGAGCAATAATCAGCTAAACTTCTGCCATCATCAATGAATGGAGCATAATCTTCGGAATGTTCTTTCAAATATCCAGAAGTGATTAACCGCATGAAAATAATAAGATAGTTTGATTGACTGTCGTCGTTGAGATCATCAAAGATTTTTTCGGAAGTGGTTTCTTTGTTGACCACTTTTTTGAACCAATCGGTGAACTGAAAATGAAATATTATAAAACACGTTATAGGTGTTAAATTTAATGTTATTTTTTCCGTGAACTGTGCCGTGACTATTTATAAATGATAATTTCCATTTCATTTTTATTATTAGTTCAGAAATTCGCCGTTTAAAATAAGCCCTTTTGGGAAATCCGCCGTCAAAATATTGAGAAAATATTCAGAAATTCTTTCTGCTAAATTTCGCAACAACTTTGTCGAAATTGGTTCAAATATTTTTCAACAAACACACCACTTCACAGAAGTCGTTGGTCGTCCAATCTGGGAATCCCAATTTCAAAAGCCGATCATTCCAGCCAAGGCAAGTTTCCAGAAACTGTTTCGCCTTTTCTTCGTTTTTCATGCAAACTTCAAGAATTCCCACAAAAACAGCTCGATAGAAACAGTTTCCATCGCCTCGAATTTGTCGAATCTCGCCATAAGTATTGGCCAATTCTTTAGCCTTGTTGTAGTAATCGGGACTTGTTTCCGCATCATAATCCAATATCACCAAATCGAAAGGCAATCGATCCGCAACAAGTGGAAACATCTTTTGTTCATTCTCAATTTGTTTGAATTGTTGATCTTGCAATTCGATCTCATTTTCCGCTAAAAACACTCAAGCAATTCAATTAAAATATAACGAAAACTACTCACCATCGGTCATTTTTGTTCTTTAAGTGAGAATAGAACGATACTACGAGCAACACCGCTACTCCAAACAAAAAAGAAAAGAAAAAACGGAAAATAAAAAAAATGAAAAAAAAAATAAAAATGTGAAACGCGTCAAGACCCATCTGTTAAAATGTGTGCGCCTTTGATGTAGTTTCAGATTTTTTAGACTTTATAATCAATAACCTGAAATTTTCCTGAAACTGTTAGTTTTTCCTTATTCCTCTCATCACGCTGAACAAAACCGTATGCAAAACTTTATGACTTTCCGACTATTTGCCCAATACTATTACGATGTTTCATCTCCCAAGAGAAGCAAAAAAACATATTTATTGTTATTTCGTATACATTTTTGATCTGTGCATAACAACGCGTCTTGGAAACGGTCCCACAAAATCATCCTTTTTTGCTTATTTTCAAAATTTCGAAACAGAAATGTGGCTCGCTACTATTTTCTTGGCTCTTTTCGCTATAATTCCAGAAGGAGATACAACAACTTGCTATGTTCAAAATAGTATTCTAAATGTTTTGACACAAGCATGTCCAGCAAATGTCTACCAATGTATGCAATTCACATGTTCGGTAACAAGCCCGAAAAAATGTAAGGAATTCATTGAAGTTCGGCCAAATTTTTTAAAACCTTTTTTTCAGTCAAGCAAATAACAAAAGGGTGCAACGATTTAAATAATCCAGTCGTTTCCTGCACCACAATTATGGTAAGTTCTAATTGCCAAAATAAAGTAGTATCTATTCTCTTTGGAATTTCATACTGTAAACGAATCTATTTTTAGAACAATTGTCAAGCTCTCGGAGGTGTTGGAAGATGTTATACTTGCACTGGAGATTACTGTAACTCCTCGAAAATCCCAATAATTTTCCTCTCCATCATTATTCCTTTGTTTTTTTTCAAAACTCTTTGAATCTCAAAAAAATATTATTGTTTGTTTTGTATTAAAATGTAATAAGTGAAATGAATAAACCTAAAAAGGCAGAAAATAGTCATGCACAATGTATTAAGTTCAAAAATATAAATATTCAACAGATGATTTCAAAAAAAAAAGAAGAAAAATAGCAATGAAAAAATGAAAAGGCCCGTAACTTCTACAAGAATTCGCGTTATTTCGAGAGTAAAAAATAGTTAAAGGAAAAAATTATTGATTGATTTTTGGGGGTGAGTGAGTGAGGCAAATGGGATTATTGAATTGAGCAACATGATTTACTTTGTCGCGAGCGATTTTGTACATAATTCATTTCACGAACAATTTCGGCGAATGTCACGTTTACATTTTGATTGTTTTTGGCGGAACATTCGGTGAAAGGGCATGACCAACTTTCGGCTGAAATTTATTGAAGTTTAAGACATTTTTTTTTAATTTTTGGAAGTGAAGAAGACTCGAATTGTTTGGGAAACTTTTGAGAAAAATTTCAAATTTATATTTATTTCAAATAATAATCAGGCTTCAGATTTCTCAATCTAAATTTTGTAAGAAAAATAACTTTTTCTTTCTAATTTTTAAAACAAAAAATTCGATTGCGAAATTTCAGGAAAAATGTATTTTCTACATTTTTTATCTTAAGTTCAATTTCTCCAGGATCCAAATTTTTGAAAATAATCTGAATTCGCGCCCAAATCAAAATTTTTACTTGGGCGGGATAATCATTTGAATTCACGCCCGAAAAAACTTTTTTTAATGATTTTTTTAAATTAAAAAAGTAGGTTTTTCCTTATTTTTGCATTCAAAAAATGTTTTTCTCATAATATAAATATCCAGCTGTATATTTGCCTAATAAAAATCTCATAAACTTTTTTCCCATTCATCTGAACAAATAAATTCCTCTTTTTAGTACTTATTTCAATTTTCCAAAAAGGTCTTTTTTATATTTTCCCCTTCAAAAACGAAAAAAAATCACTCACCCAATGCTAATCCTTCTTCCGTCCTAACCTGCCTTTGATGTGATAAATCGCATTTATTTCCAACAAGAAGAATGGGCACATTTTCAGTTCCTTTAACTCGAACAATTTGCTCTTTCATATTTCGAATATCATGAAAAGTTTGTTGACTTGTAATCGAATAAACCACCACAAATCCCTGTCCATTTTTAATATACAAATCTCTCATCGATGAAAATTGTTCAGTTCCAGCTGTATCCAGAATTTCAAGAACTGATGGTTGCCCATCAACCTCAATTTCTTTTCGATAAAAATCTTCGATTGTTGGATCATATTTCTCAATAAATGTGCTGCTAACAAATTGAACAGTTAGCGCAGATTTTCCGACACCGCCACTGCCTAATACCACCACTTTGAATTCCCGCATTGTCGCGGGCTGTTGCCTGGAAAAACACAACAAAATGTTATTTGGGTTTATGTTTTAATCATTGGGTAAATAACGAAAGAACGTGTTCGGCAAAGACAAAAAATGAATCATGAACGGGAAAAAAACGACAACATGAATGAATATTCATTGGCTTCTTGAAAATTTATGAGTTTCGCCAAGAAAAAACGTTTTTGGCCGTGAGAAAATAGATGGAGAAACTCGAGACTACTTTCAATAAATTTTGCATATTGCAATAATTTTATGTTTCAAAAAAAAATGGGGGAAATTCGCGGAAATTTGGAATTGAGGAATATTTTAAATAAAGCTTTGGAAAAAAATAATATAAAGTCATATAAACACAGGTGGAAAGCTATAGAGCCAAGACTGAAATTGAATTATCTCTCTCAAAAATGTAAGAAAAGAATTTCGCAAACGCAATAAAGTTGAAAACAGATTTCTCACCAAGATAAAAATTGAAAAATGTTGTATGTTGAACATGTGGCCAATTTTCCACGAGTAACAAAGGAAATATATACAAATTTTCTTTGAAAAACTATACAAAAAAACTAAAAGACGCTAAACGAGAACGAAAAACAAACAATTCATTTTCCAATTTTCTCCCAACTAACCAAAAGAAATTCCTTTGGTGTCTGTTCTTTTTTTTTCGAAAAGCAACAAAAACACAGAGAAATCTGGGCAGATGGTGTGATTGAATGGTGTGGGTAAAGAAGTGGGAGATACAACTGATGCCCTTGAGAAAATTATCGATTCGCGCATTCTCTCTCATTTCTACATACTATTTCGTCCATTGTCCACCGAATGAGCGAGAAACAAAAAATGGGAATAGAAGAACAATGCGAGGAGCTTGACTGACTGACAAAACGGATAAAAAAGAGCGGTTGCGAGAAAAAAATAACAAAGTTTGTGTCTTTTTCGCTGATATTAGGCGGAGTAGTGGAAAAGAAGAAGGAGAAAGACAAGAAAAAACATAGAAGAGTGAATTTCCGGCTGGAGAAAGAGAAAAAGAGAAAGAGTGACCAGAGAGAGAGCAAAGAGACGAATAATATTAAATATATATTATATACCAACCGGTCTACATAATTGACGCGTTTTGAGTGTGTTAATGTTTGTATTATATAATAGAAAATAGCGGTCGTAGAAGTTTTTTCTTTCCGTTTTTTTTCAATTTCTGAAAAAAACGAGAAAAAAGAAAATCTTGAAAGTTTTTAATTGGTTCAATTTTTCTTTCAGAGAAGAAAAAACTTAAAAAACTAAAATCAATATTTTTCAATTACACACATGTTCGAGGTCGACTATGTTTGTTCTTTTTCGCTGACAACAAAAAAAACAAAAATTTCAAAAATACGAAAAAATATTAAATTTTTTCGAAAGAAGTTTTTGGGATAATTCTGATGTAATTCGTTCAAATATTAGAACTAAAAATCGAGGGAAAACTTGAAATTGAAAAAAAAGAGAAGAAAAAACCACATGATTTCTGGGATGTTGAAATTTAATACTTATTTCAAAAATGAAGTAGAGTTCAAATATCAACATATAAAATAATAAAAGAGAGTTCAAAATATTATGCCGAAAACATTTCAGATGTTTTGTCGAAAAATTGTTTTTTTTTTGCCATTTTGAAACTACGAAAAATTAACAAGAAGTTTTTAAAAATATTATAAATTCAAATACTGGAAAAATGAACTTACAATCATACACTTTATACAAATCTGCTTCTAACCTCGACGTCATAATGATTTTGCACAAAACCAGTTTTCCAGCATTTTCTGTCTGATTCTCAAAAGTGGAACAAATTTTCTTCACGTCAAGGTGAATTTCGAATGTATTCTAACAAGAAGAAACGCTCAAAAACAGAATTCACAGCCAAAAACTTCGTTGTTCTGACCGATCGGCCGAAAAAAAGAAAAAAATTAACTAAATGTGTTTGTTCCGAAGAAGTACAAAAAAACATAAATCGTGACGGGACCAAGCACACAACGTGTTGCGCCTTGAAATCTACAGTAAGCAGTTGAAAAATTTTTGAGTCTAATATATTTTTATTTCCCCCAATCAAAATATATCAATCATTTGACCAATAAAAAGTGCTCGAAATCCATCTGGCATCAATAATAATCGCTCACATCCTTTCAATAATAATAGTAATCCCCCACTCATCATAAATTTTTCACCAAACCCCAGTCCGACCCTGTTTAATCCCATATTGTATTGTTTCATGTTATATCTATCTAACTATGTTAATTGAAATTCATTTGCAATTCAGTTAAACATTGTTAAATTAGTTTCAATTTCACAAAAAAGTAGTGCATTCAATTAGTCAATTTCCGCCTAGGATTTTTTTTGTTTTTTAGACCCCGATTACTGTAGAAATTGGGCCCTCTACATTTTCTTGAGAATATAAATGATTTTGCTAATTTTCCTGTGGTTCAGCAAGATTATTAGATTATTTATATGTGCATGTATTTAATACACCAGGGTATACTTTTCAAATTAGTTCTCATTTAATGGAAAGATGTGAGAGGGAAGAGGCAAAGAGAGGAAGCAGAGAAATAAGAAAACATTGGATCGGAAATTGAATTTTGAATTGAGAATGAAGAAGTTTCATGGTTTTTTTTCGAATATCAGCTAATCATTTCGAATACTGATCGTCAGAGCATTTCCAGTGATGCAGAACTTTTAGAAATGACAAAAACAGTAATTACGAAAGTACTCACGTTTTAAAAATTCAGCAGTTCGTAATTTTTTAAAATCAATGAATCATTGTGTAATTTCAAGAAAAAAAAGCATAAAATCCATGAAAATGGGCGAAAATTTTAACGAGTCGCCCGGAATGCGTCACTTATCAGGCACGTTTTGAGCAAATCGCCACAAAACGATTCTCGAAAAATTTGTAGCAAGTCGTCCTGAGATATGTCATTTTTTGGCCAAGCTATTAGATTTTTTCATACGGTAGACTTCATTGGTTTCTTTTTTTTTTCCTTCGTATAACTTTCAAAAAACATTTATAATCTCTTTTTCAAAAATTCAGCTGATTGTTCTCTTTGTCATAACTGATTTCAACTAAATTTTTTAATCCGAGGAAGACTTGCAAAGTTCAAAAATTCAAATTCTTAAAATATTTTTTCGAAACTTTTTGGCATCTTTCTAAAAATTTGCATTCATTGTGCCAGATGGGCTCCATCCGTGCTCCAATATAATTTATTATTCCTTTTCTTATTCCTTTTCTCATTTATTTTGTTCCCTCATTCATTGCTCAGACTATTCTCCCACTCTCAAGGTTTCTTCTGTGTAAAAATTTTTAATCATAAAAAAATAAAAATACATTTGAAAGAATTGATTTTTCTCGCTCGCTGAACTATTTTTTTTCATTTTTTTCCATCGAGAAGAAAAAGCATACATAATTTTTGTTGTACATTATAAGAATTTTTTGCTTGCCCCATTCAATAATAAAATTATGTTTACTTTACTTTATGACACCTTTTTCCTGGCTGTTGATAAAAAATCACACACATATTTTGTGATGTGGAATTTTTAATTGTGGTATTTGCATTTCTGTTTTGTTTTGTAAAAAAGGAAGGAGAAATGTTGCGGTTCTCCAGATTCGCATGAAATATACTTTCTGAATATTCAGACTTACTGAAATGTTTTTGAGCAGCCCGTATATGTACCTCAAATTTTGTTATATTTTCTTTGATAGATGTTTTGAATTTGAATGTTCTAATTTTTTAGTACCCAAAACCTTTTCCTTTTTTAGAGACAAGCCGTTAACTTGATGGTCTCACTATAATCGACTAAATTCCACACTGAAATGAGAGATTCTGAGAAAAATATGATTGAACTACAATAAAAATATTTGAAAATTCTAGGTCTAGCGATTTTGGGTGAAGATCATGTTATCATATTTTTTCCGAAAATTGTGGAACTCATTTCGTAAAGATTTTTCAATTTATTAATTAAAATTCAAATTATTTTTTTCATTTTGAGCCGGTTCTTGAAATGAAAGTGTTTCTAAATTTTAACACGTAAATTCTCTGGTTTTCTGAACAAAACAGAGCTGTTCTCATTTTCTTCCCGCTTCATCCTAACGAAAAAAACTTTTCTCACAAAATATATCATAAAATTATTACACAAAAAGAAATGGAACTGCCTCTGTTTTTATCAATGCTCATCATAACTGATAACTCGACCCATTTTGCTTCTCTCTAACATCTCCAACCCATTCATGCTCTCTGAAAAAATGTTGCCTTCTTCTTCTCTTTTTTCTTGCCTTGTCCATCTTTCCCCCTTTCAATTTTTTTTTCGTGCTCCAGGCTATCGATTCTACCAACGGGGAGATAGTGTGTGAATTAGAGAGATTTGACAGAGAATTGGATTTAGTTTATATATTTTTATTTTTGAAAAAAAGAAGGAGAAGCAAGTGGACATTACTTACTTACTTATGCTTTGAATGAGTAGTGCTTTTCCTTTTGTTTCTTTTGTTTTCGAGATGAAAAATTCGTCGTTTTTGTGTCTTCTGTTTTTTATTATTGTGTGCTAAAAATTTCGGAAATTTTATATTTTTTGATATAACATTTTTGGAACTTTTATGATATAATAAGGATTCCTTTTCGCAGAGGGTATTTAAATATTAAAAACCTTTCTAAACGAACGGTGTGAAAATAATACAAATTCCAATTTTTCCAAAAATTCACAATTTCTAGTTTTCTGAATTTTTGTTTTTGAAAAATTTCTTCCATGGAAACCTTTTTCTCTGATCGGACCATTTTTATTTCTCAAAAATCTCCGAAAAAGTTCGCATTTCTCATGTTTTTTCGCCCCAAAACGCTACTAATCCGTTTGCTGCTCGCCCTCGTTTTTTTTTCATTTAAATTTCCAAGCCCTTCCTTTCCCCTCCCTTTTCCCAAACAACAAAAGCCCATTTTTTCAATTTCGCGAATGATTTTCCCTTTTCATGAAGCCATAGTTGGCCAAAAAAACATTTTTTAATGGATTGGAAATCTTTTTTTTTTCTTCGAAAGTCTTTAATCCCTCCCACCCAAAAAAAATTCAAGCCAGCTCATTCTAGAGAATGAAAATGAAGAAAATAAATTAAAAACTATTCGAGCGTAGAAATATTTTGCCTAAATGTATTATGTTTCGCATTTTCTCTCTGACCACCTGTGACTATCGAATTTCCCTTCAGACTGAAATATATACATTTATTTATTATTGATATTTTTATATTTATGACAAAACTTTAGTTTTTTGAAATAAAATTATATGAACGTGGCAAAAATTATGAATATAATTTTTGCACGTGAACCTCAAACGTGTCTTCATTTTGTTTCATTACCAATCTTCATTATGCTATTTTCCAGACTGTCTTCTATTCCGATCCGATCCGATATGCTGAAAAGCATTGCGGTTATCGGATCATTTCTTTGGATCACAACAATATGGTTTGTTTATTCTCAACTAGCTTCAAGCAATTCAACTCCGCAAGGCAGTGAGCAAACTATGAGAAATTGGAGATTGACACTGGATAGTTTAACCGAGTTACAAAATCAGAATCGAGAATTGAAGAAAATGTTGGAGACGGAGAGATTGGAGAGAAAAGCGCAACATGAGAAAATGTGAGTTTAGGAAAAATTTACAAATTCTTTGGTGTAAAAAAATTTAATGATGGAAAATTCGTAAAAAAATTATAAGCTATATTTAGACTTCCTAATTTGTTAAGCGTCAAGATTTGTGGTTTTATCAAGCCACAAATATGTTTTTGTGCTGTAAAAAAGCAAAAAAAAACAGCCAAAAAACTGCGAGAAACATTTGAAATTCACAGGGACTATAGATATATGTTTTTCTACGCGCAAAACCTAGTCCCCTCCATTTTCCTTTTTTTCAATAATATTTGTGCAGCGGACGTTTTTGACTTTAAAATCAAAATATAAACCCCAATTAGAAACTGTTAATCGTAATTTAATTATATCTTCAGCTTGGCTGCCAAATCCGACGTTCCGTTGAACATCGAACCTCCGAAACAACCCGAACAACCTCACGTCATTGAAAAAATTAAAATCGTCGAAAAACTTGTGCCACAAAATGGAAACAGTTATGAGATCGAAACTTCTAGGCGTCTTCTCGATGATCGAATTAGAGAACTTTTTTATCTGATTCATCGTCAGACATTATCGGAAGGTGTTAAATTGAAACTCGAATCTCAAATGATATCATTAATGGGATTATCATCGAAGCTCGAAAACGCGGATAATAGCGAGAAATCTCGAGCGACAGAAAGAAAACAAATCGCTGATAGAATTCTGAGCGATATAAAACGAAATCAGAATCCAAAATCATGTAAAGATTCAAATGTTCTCATTTGCAATCTCGATAAAGAATGTGGTTTTGGCTGTCAATTACACCATGTCACATATTGTGCAATAACAGCATTTGCAACTCAAAGATTATTAGTTTTGAAAAAAGATGGAATGAATTGGAAATATTCGAGAGATGGATGGAATAGTGTATTTCTTCCATTATCAGATACTTGTAAATATGCGGAAGCTGTTCGAGATGAAACACCAGCAGCATTTAGTGCAACTTCGACAGATCGTGTTGTGTCATTAGGAATTGTTGATGCTTTACCTACAAGGCCAGCTTTTCTACCACAAGCCGTTCCAACAAATTTGCTTCGTAATATTTCAATGGTTCATTCACACCCACCTGCATTTTTCATCGGAACAGTGAGTTGAAAAAACAACAACATTTCGCTGTCTACAAATTTCTCATTTTTCAGGTTGTTGCATTTTTGATGCGATTCAATTCTGAAACCATTGACAAATTAGAAAAAGCCGCACAACAAGTTGAATTCTCTAAAGGACCAATTGTTGGCCTCCAAATCAGAAGAACTGATAAAGTTGGAACTGAAGCCGCATTTCATGGATTGGATGAATATATGGAATGGACTGAAATATGGTTTAAATCTCAGGAAAAAATGGAAAACAAAGTAATTGATCGACGAATTTTCATTGCATCTGATGATCCGACAGTTGTACCTGAAGCCAAACAAAAATATCCAAACTATCAAGTTTATGGAAGCACTGAAATTGCTGAAACTGCACAATTGAGTAATCGATATACAGATGCTTCATTATTAGGAGTGATTACGGATATTTATTTGTTGAGCAAAGTTGATTTTTTGGTTTGCACATTTTCGAGTCAAGTTTGTCGAATGGGATATGAATTGAGACAAGCGAGTGGATTGGATGATGGAACTAAATTTCATTCATTGGATGATATTTATTATTTTGGTGGACAACAAGGTAAGCATTTCGAGAAGGGAGTTTTTTTTTAACTCTTTGATTTTTTCCCTATTAATTTTAAAATCCACGTGGAATATTTCGCGCAAAAATTTCCTCGTTCAAATTTCTAAAGTTTTTTGAATAATTTCCATTTTGCAGCTCATGAAATGGTTGCAATCGAATCCCATAAATCTGCTTCTCCGCTTGAAATCGATCTTGAAATTGGCGATAAAATTGGAATTGCTGGAAATCATTGGGATGGTTATTCGAAAGGAACAAATCGTCGAACTAATAAAATGGGCACTTTTCCATCATACAAAGTTGTCAACGATTGGCGAACTTATGATTTCAAATTGTTTGTTTAGTGTTTAGGGTTTATCTTTAGATTTTTCAACGGGTTCCACACGTTTTATTCAGAAAATTGTGATTTCTAATCAAATAGGTTTTCTTTATTATAATAATATTTAGCTCAAATTGGGTTTTCTTCGTGTTTTTCATCGTGTTTGTGATATTTTTCTTGCCTATAATTTTTTGTAACATTTATCGCATAAATCTTTCTTTTTTTGGTCAGATAAGTGTTGCATTTGAATAAATGCGAAAAAAACTGGTTCATGGGGTATAAATATGAGAAAAAAATATTGGTGAACGATCAAAGTTGAGATATATGTTGGTATTTTTGACTTTTTTGGTGATGGCTGGAGCACAGGAGGAGTTTTTGTGGAATCGATGGGGTTAGTTTTTGTTTGGCAGATTTTTTAGCGCTATGAATATTGAGACACGCAATTTGAAACGTATTTTTTCCAATGGGAATATTTTAATTTTTTTTTTAAGTTCTGAATCCAGTCAGATTTGACCTCCTTATCAAAATTAAAAGACATTATTTGTAAAAACGTAAACTTTACAACAGAGGCTCGGACAAAAAAGTCATGATCTCAGAATCGGCCCAATTTTTTTCTTAGTAAGCCCCATGGGTGGGGAACTTTTTCCACCAGGTTAGAGATCATGATATCATTTCGCCAATTTGGTGGGACCGGGTGAAGGGGTAAATTGTTTTTCGAAAAAAATTCGTAAGTCGGTTTAACGTTCATATTTTTTGATGATTAAAAAAGCATTTTGCTCGTCTTTTGACGCTCTTTGCGATGGAAAAGAGCACGAATTTCGATACTCTATCCTAAAAAAAATTTTTTTTTTCGCCATAATACAACATTGCTTAGGAGTCATTTCCGCTCTTTCTAACCGCTTCCAAAATGTTCCTCGTGCTTTTTTACCTATATTTAGCTACTTTCAAAAAAATCGCCGGCACCTATCAACCTCGGAAAATCACCTAAAAGGGCGCCACTCAAGCGCGCGCGCTCATATAACACACATATGTGCATGTGTGTGTTTGTGTGCATTGAAGGATTACTGTAGGTGGGAGAAAAAGTTAAAAAAAACGACTTTCTCGTGGAAACTATGCAAATTACAATGAATAGTTCCCAAAATGAAGTTCCCCAAAGGCATTTTACATGCAAAAATTTTCTTTTCGGACTTTCAAGGGGTTGGACTTTTTTTTGATATTTTTTAGCTCTGAACTTTGAAAAATCGTATTTCCACTTACAGTGGACAAAAAAATGTCGAAGAAAAAAGCATAATGGATCTCAAATATCGCTCTATTGACTGAAAATAAGAGTTGTTAAAAGTATCAAGTGTTCTAGTGCCAATTTTCGAACTCTACGTTTAAAGTTACGTACTGTAGTATGTTAAAACTACTCAGAAAATCATCATAGATAGGTACTGTGCCTAGAAAATCATTCCGGCAAATCTTCAGGCTTAGAGAGCAGCTCTGGCAAGGATTCACGCCTAGAAAGAAATACTGACAAGGAACTACGCCTAGAAAGATATTCTGACAAAGTTCGGCGCCTAGACGTTCATTCTGGCAAGGAGTCCAGCTTAGAAAAAAATCATGGATAGCTCTCTTAGGCGCGGCTCCTTGCCAGATCAATTGTCTAGGCGTTGACTCTTATAATAATGGTTTTCTAGACGCGAATCTTTGTCAGACTTGCTTTCTAGACATAGATCCTTGTCAGTGTTACTTTCTAAGCGTGTTTCTAGGCGTGATCCTAGTGAAAGCTTCGTGGATTCTTGTTCGAATTTTTTGCTGAAGTGCCGTACCTCGTCTGGTGGTCTCTGAAAGCGCAACGACGTGATGTAAAAACTCGCAAGGCGCTGTACCAAGTTAAAGTGGTTCTCCAGGCACGGTTGTTGGTCATAGAGGCTTTTCTGGCGCAAATAGTTGAAAGCGTAAGAGTTTTGGACATTTTCAAAAATTTCCCGTTAGCAAACTTTCTTCAAATGTTGTTCGGACCCCTGAAACTTTTCCCAAAAAATTATTTTTTGAATAATATTTTTTCCGCTGTGAGGAATCCATTGGCCTTTTTTCGCAGAAATTACTACTCAACTTTACTCAAAAGTGCAGCCTGCAGAAAACACTATTGAAAATTGTTGTTGATTTTTGCAAAAGAAAAACATAAAATCAATTTCCAGTACCACTGGGGACACAGGGTGTAATTTACTACCCGAAAAATTTCCCGCATTTTTTGAGACCTGACACAATCTTAGAGGTGGGACTAAAAACGACGAAATTCAACGCAAAATTGAGAGATTCAGAGAAAATTTTTTTTTTGATCTACCAGAAAATTTCTTGAAAATTTTGAAGCCTAGAGATTTTGGGTAGTAAATTACATCCTGTGGGGACCGGACACCTATCAATTTTAACATGCTATTGTACGTAACTTCAAACGCAGAGTTTGAAAATTGGCACTAGCACACTTGATACTTCCTCTAACAAGGAAACCTTTTTACTCAACACTTCAAATCATGATGAAATTTTGTCCATAGATAGCTTTTGGGGTCATAAGAACACCCTAAAAATTTTGTCTCCCAATGGACCTCTGAGCCAAGTTCTGGGCTCTCAAAAGTTCAAAAATTGCCAAAATTGGCTCATAAAATACATCATAACTCAATTCTCGATCATTTTTATGAAAAAACTGAGTAGCTGATGATGTTCAGCGTTGTCGATTCACCCAAAAAGCATCAATAAATCAAATTTTCAAAAAAAAATTCATTTATGAAAAAAGAATGAGCAGAGACACATGAATTTTCATGAATTTTCAGCCGAAAAATAATAAAATTCAAAATTTTTCGAAAAAAAAGTTTTATTGTTGTACTTTTAGTAAATCGACTATGCTGTTCATTATCTGAAACTTTATTTCTCCCACAAATTATTTTGAAATGGAGCTATGATGACTTTTATGAGCAATTTTCAGCAAATTTCGAACTTTTGAGAGCCCAGAACTTGGCTCATAGGTCCATTGGGAGACTAAAATTTTTAGGGTGTTCTTATGATCCGAAAAGCTGTCTATGGACAAAATTTCATCAAAATTTGGAGTGTTGAGTAAAAAGGTTCCCTTGTAAAAACAATTTCAAAAATGTTTTTGTTTATTCTGAAATTTTCAAGTTTTCTAGGTCGAAAAAATTATTTTTTAACAACTCTTATTTTCAGTCAATAGAGCGATATTTGAGATCCATTATGCTTTTTCTTCGACATTTTTTGTCCACTGTAAGTGGAAATACGATTTTTCAAAGTTCAGAGCTAAAAAATATCAAAAAAAAGTCCAACCCCTTGAAAGTCCGAAAAGAAAATTTTTGCATGTAAAATGCCTTTGGGGAACTTCATTTTGGGAACTATTCATTGTAATTTGCATAGTTTCCACGAGAAAGTCGTTTTTTTTAACTTTTTCTCCCACCTACAGTAATCCTTCAATGCACACAAACACACACATGCACATATGTGTGTTATATGAGCGCGCGCGCTTGAGTGGCGCCCTTTTAGGTGATTTTCCGAGGTTGATAGGTGCCGGCGATTTTTTTTGAAAGTAGCTAAATATAGGTAAAAAAGCACGAGGAACATTTTGAAAGCGGTTAGAAAGAGCGGAAATGACTCCTAAGCAATGTTGTATTATGGCGAAAAAAATTTTTTTTAGGATAGAGTATCGAAATTCGTGCTCTTTTCCATCGCAAAGAGCGTCAAAAGACGAGCAAAATGCTTTTTTAATCATCAAAAAATATGAACGTTAAACCGACTTACGAATTTTTTCGAAAAACAATTTACCCCTTCACCCGGTCCCACCAAATTGGCGAAATGATATCATGATCTCTAACCTGGTGGAAAAAGTTCCCCACCCATGGGGCTTACTAAGAAAAAAATTGGGCCGATTCTGAGATCATGACTTTTTCATTGTCCGGTGGGTTTTGCAGTTTTACAAAGAGTGTCTTTTAAAAATAATAGTTTTGACGTGGCAAAGTTGAAGATGGGATTTCTTGAGTACTGTGGGTTTGACGAAGACAATATTTTAAAAACTTCCAGAGTGTTGTTTTCATGAAATTCTTCCAGCTTTAAAATCACAGTTTTGATAAAAATCCATCTCAAAACTGTTAATAAAATTTTTCAGAAGAGCGAACTGTGGACTGCATCTCAAGTCCCCAAAAAGACACATGCACCCTTCTCGCCCCAACCGCCAAAACACCAATTGATCTTTCAACCTACAAATGTCGTCGTGAACCAATGCCTCAATCATCATGGAATACTTTAGCTGTCAATTCGACTACAAGAATTGCGTGTCCATTAAAATGTCCACCAAACTTTGATTTATCAGTTCTTCAGAAAAAACCATATGTCAACAAAAATTGTCAAAAATATTATACTTATGGAAAATATCGAGATGAAAAAGAGAATGATTGGTATATTTGGATGACTGAACCATGTGTTGCTGCCATTTCAACACATTGTAGATTTAATGATGTTAAAACACACGATGGATCAGCTGGAAAACTTGAGCTCACAAGTCATACAAAACCAAGTGAACAAAGAAAAGTTGTTGTTGTTTCATAAATCAATAAATTATTTATTTTTATTTTTACCCGTCAATAAAACAAAAAATAAAAAAAAATCATTCTGCTACAGTATGATTTGTTGGTGGAACAACAGTTGTTTTTGGAGGTATCGAATCCTTCAAAAACCAAAATGTGTACAAAACAGGAATTAAAGCAACTTGTGCGCCAAATGATAATAATCGTAATAAATTATCTCCAATCTTTGTTTTTCTTTTGATAACTTGTGGAACTAATGCTGGACCAGGACTCAAATTATACAAGACAGTTAAAACTGTATCTTGAATATATGTTGACATCAAACTAAGTGGGATGAACATAAATATTGCATCCCATCCAGGTGTATATCGAAGACGAGGCCACCAGCAGAAAAGTGCGTGTGTATAACAATCAACAACCCATTGAATGTTTTTATTGGCAACAAAGTTCACACCAGCTTCCCAACTTCTTTCAACTGTAAAAAATTTAGATTTTGATGCTCAAAACTTTTCAAGGTGAAAAAACAAATTATTTCGAAACATTTGTTTTTCAACTTTTCTAAAATACTGTACCCACACTTCAAACAAAAAACCTACAATTCTCTCTGAAATCCTCTCCATATTCATGTTTAGTTTCATTTGATAATTTACTCCAAATCCCAGTTATTCGTTGTCTTTGTGCATCTTGATTCAACAACTCTGTTCTAAATGCTCCTGGTTCCAAAATATGCACAGATACTCCGAATTTTCTCAACTCCAGTCTCAAACAATCCATATATCCTTCAACAGCATATTTTGCTGTGCAATATGGTCCAACATATAATCCATGAAGTCTTCCAGCTGATGATGCCATTGTTACAATTCTTCCTTTTGATTTTTTGATAAGTGGAACAAATGCGTGACACATTCGAACTGGTCCCAAAGTATTCACATTTAATGACATCATATATTCATTTGTACTACACCAATCATCAGGACCAAAAATTGAGAAAAATCCAGCGTTGTTTACCAAAGCCCAAAGTTCAGCGTTCTGAAAAAACCAAGAGTGATATGGGTTCCAAATTTCAAAAATTTTTGAGAGTCTTACATTTTCACTCAAAATCCTGGTAACTTCTAATTTTGCCGAATTCACACTTTCCTCATTTGTCACATCTAATCGAATTGGAAAAAGTTTTCCTTTTGAGTTTGAACCAATTCGCCATTTTGAAATCAAACTGTCAATCCCCTGAAAAATGAGAGTGATAGCTGATAACTTTAATGTTTGTATATCAGGAAATAATAAAATTTAATTTTCAAATTTAAATTTGTCTTTGCCACGTGCCACGTGAAAGGAGTTGTACAAATGTTCAGAAACAATTTTCTAATAATTTTTTCTGAACCGAAATTGTGGATTACTGTAGATTTTTCATCTGATTTTTCACAAATTTCCTAATCCGCCACGTCATAGCTGTCTTCTAATTTTAGATGTTTTCAAAATTTCTAATTAAATTTTTTTCTAAAAATATTCCATAACTGTTTGAAGAACATTGAAGTTTGAATTCTAAACTGCCACAATATTTCCTTCATAGTTTTCTCTCCCCTTTTACCAACCTGTTGTGTATAACAACATGCAAAAACATTGACTCGTTTTTCAAGTAATCGAATGGCCAAAAGTCTTCCAAATCCACTATCACAACCAGTTACAATAACAAATTTGCCACTTTCTTCGATATAAAAATGTTCCAAAACAAATCGCTTCAACAGAAAATAAAATATCACAAAGTACAGAAAATATAAAATATACTCCAACATCTGAAAATAGCAATTGGATTTATTATACAAAAAGGTTTCTCAAGAATTCGATATTTATATGCATCTGAGAATTTCAACGACGACACAAAATGAAGGGTTTCCCCGCCCAAATCAGCCAAAAATCACACACAAATCATGAAATCTTCTAATGTTTACTCACACACTTTCTCTGACCGTGACTCATATTAAAATATCAGTTTTTTTTGGAAAAAAGGTGGGTATCAATTTCCTTTAGACAATGCATAGGAAATTGGATTTTTTCTCATGTCAATCAGCAAAAATTGTATGTAAAAGCGAAAAAAAAAAGTTTTCGAGATAAATTAACGACCTTCGTTCCTCAACTGGCAAAAAACACCTCAAAAACCTTGAGACAATCTATTTTTCAATCTCAATGTTCAACATATGAAAAAAGTGCATAATGAACTTTTTTATTAGCGAAAAATTGTGAACTATTTTTGTGGAATTATGTTCGTTTTTTGTTTATCTATTTAAACTATAAAATAGTCATATTACACTAGATGAAAACTACAAAAGTTGAATTTTTGCTCATTTTTATCGAACATTTCTGAACAGGAAAGTGCTTTTATTTTTAATTTCCGATGGAAATAATTTAACTATCAAATAAGTAAAAAATAAAATGGTTCAACTTTTACAGAAACATTTTAGGTGATTTTCTTCAAAGCCTCAAAGTGTATTGACAAAAAAATTGGAATCAAAGTTTCCAAATCTTTGAAAACTACAGTAATGTATTTTTTTTCGAATTAAGTTTTTCTCTCTAACTTTTCATCAAATTAATTAAAATGTTCTAATTTGAATCCCTGGATTCCGGGATTAATCCGGGCCCGTCCCTCTCCCTCAAATCTATCTACAGTAGTTACAAAAATTTTCACAAAGAATGAAAATGAAAAAATCTACTCAAATGTTAGACTCACGACAATTAAAAAATAAGACGAGGTGGAAAAATATATTGATATTGTTAGAATTTTGGTATAAGGAAAAAATGATGTCATAGTTCTTTAATGGAACTGTGAGGACAAATAAAGAGCAAAACGTGGATAATTGAGGTTTTTGAACTCGATTGCAGAATTAAAAAAAAAGTTCAAGTTCTGATATAACATCGTTAAAAGTCCAAGCCCAAAAATCAAACCACACAAAGTCAAAAAAAGAAGAAGATCTACAAGAAAATGAAAATGAAAATCCAAGTCAAGTCTGACCAAGCGCAAGACGACAACAATTAAAAATAATAAAAGGCGTGAAAAATCCGGCTGTTCATTTTCTTCTTCTCCGAATACAAGACTAATCAAAATAGTATGTTAGGATTTATAAACAACGACATTAATTGCATGAAGACTTGTCAGAGAAATAAAAAGAAAAAGAAGAAGAAGAATCGCAAAAATGGGTCAGTCAGGACATAATTGACTGAGTGATCAAGAAATATAGTATATTTATACCCTATAGGAAATATGACCTTTTAAAGGTGCACGTGTACTTCTACAATAGTAGTGAAACGAGAGTTCAGAAAGTAGTAAGTAAATATTTCCAAGTAATTTTAGGTGAGTATAATATTTCTTTTTGTGTGAGGCGACGGAACAATGCAACTTCTTTATTTTATTTGTTTGTAGATATTTGTTCACCAAATATGGTATGAACGAGGTTGTAAACAAGAATAAATGTTACTTTGATTGACTTGACTCACTCGGATACTGGTATATTCTGAAGAATTTCACATTTTTTTTGGGAACTGATTGTTTCATGATCCAAATTGTTGCATAATTGTCTTTTATAAAATTTAGTTTTTTCTATTTCAAAATAACAATTCATATTTCATGAACAAAGTTTATTCCTACAAAATATACATACAAAATTGTCAATTTAACATTTTTCAAGCAATCGGATTGAAATGTTGTTGTGCTTCTCCAGAAACCGAAGAATTCCTTTTTGAATCAACTTCAATCAAAAAAGTCTCCATTGGTTCTTTAACCCCTTTCACATTAATCTTTCCCCGACTTTGCACCCGATATCCACCATTTTGTAATATTCTTCCCATATCAGTTGTTATATGTATTTTTCGTGGTTCGCCATGTGTATCCATTCGACTTGCCAAATTTACAGTATTTCCCCAAATATCATACTGTGGTTTTTGTGCTCCAATAACTCCAGCAACTAATGGTCCAACACTCATTCCGATTCTCAATTCAAAATTTTGAAAAGAATCTCGATTGAGAGCATCAAGAATTTGTGACATTGCCAAAGCAAATTCAATCATCAAATGAGCATTTCGAAATGCCATATTAACTTGTCTCAAATTATTATTGCATTTTTTCTCCCATATAAATCTCTTCAAATTCGGCTTCGGATTCATTCAATCCAGCTGCTGCCATATAAGTACTTCCAACTGTTTTGATTTTCTCAACACTAGAAAATTTTGGTTTCGACAAGAGTTTATCGAATTCGCAAACGATTTCATTCAACAATCGAAGACATTCCAATTTTCGATTTGTATCCCATTCACTCCAAAAGTCTTTGAAATTCGGAATTGATGCGAACATCACACATACATTCTCGTGTTGTCGAGCATACAATTCCTGTATAATGAGGGTTTTTTTGGAATTTGGCAGAAAATTTGAAACTCACATTAACAGCTCTTCCAGATAAAAATTTCGCAGCAACACTGGATGGCAAAATATTCTCGATAAGGATTTTATTAATATCTTGCATGGTTTCAACATCTCGTTCTTCATTTTGAAATGATACGTGGCATGCAGATTCGCGTTTTCTCTCGTAATTTGTCTGAGAAATGGGTATTAAGAGAAAGGGTTCGAAATTCAAATTCCAAAGTTAATTTTTTTTCTCAATGAAATGTTACAGTATTTTCAAAACACTGTGAATTTGGAACTTTGCGTGAATTGATGTTAGAGAATTTTTCATACTATTCACGAATTCAACAGTAAGTAATTTCAAGTTTTTGTACCGTCAAAAATCCCCACTTCCCCCACGAAACTCACAATCCAATCAATAAAAAACAACAAAATCAATAATAAAGACAATGAAATCGAGACAATCGAAATATGATATCCAATATATTTGAACCATGGTTCAGCTCGATGAGACGGGAACATTGATAACAAAACTTGAAACATTATAAAATCCGCAAAAAACAAAAGACATCTGTGAGAATATGGAAGTCGATATAAAATAAAAACTGATGACATATGAGTTATACAACTTGGTAAGAATATCAGAGAAGCGAAGCCAATTTGTTGACCATCGTTGACTTCTTTTGGAAACATTATCTGGAAACAAACGACATTTTTTGAACTTGTAATTGAGAATCTTAAAAATCCAGAATCTTACATGTGGTCCAATTGGTATAAATGCGGATAAAATAAATGCAATTGATGTTATTAAAGGTCTTGCATATGAACAAACTCGATCCAGAAGTGTCAATAATAATAAACCAATTATAACAAAACATTGTTGAAGGGTGATTTCTAATATAACATCGCTAAAAAATCAAATATAAAAATTTCCGAAATAATTCAAAAACTTACTTGCAATACAATCGACACAGTATTATTATCCCGATCGATGATAAAATGCTAATTAAAAGAAGTAAATAACAATCTGATAATGCACAATTTACAGATTTGTGTCGAAATGGCCAAAGAAGTTTGGGAGATGATGGAATTTTCGGAATCTCACAGTTGAACATGGAATTGAGGCTTGATCGAAAAATATCGATTTTATTTTCATTGTTTCAATTTTCCATTGAAAAAACTCACTTATTAAACGAAAAGTTTGTCAAATTATTTTCAATCAAAGTCATCGATGGAATTGTATTGATATAAGTTGGCCTTCTTGCCATTTCGTCAACAATAAAATTCGGATCGTGACTAGTTGATGATTTTTTCTTATTGAAATTTGCAAATGGTGCCTCGGCTCCCCAAAATTCGACCATTTTTGATACTTTCGATTTCAAGCTGAGTCTAGATTGCATTGCTGGACTTGTTGATAATCGATCGAATGATTTTCTATAGATTGATGCAGTTCTTTCAATGGCAGTAGTTTTGTCAGGCAGAATATGATAGGTTTGTTGACCGTAGGATTTAACATTTGGATCATCAGTTCTGAATTAAAAAAAATGAAAGGAATTTTGGAAAAATAAATACTTATGTTAAAAAAAACCCACTGCGCCTCCACAATACAGTAATCTCCGAGAAGTCTATCTTTGGTTGATTTTGTTATATGAACAGCTCCCGGAACTCCAGCGGATTCCATATGATTTGCCAATGTTACGTCATCGCTCCATATATCAAATTGCCATTTTCGTAAACCCATAATTCCACATAGAACGCTTCCAGTATGAACACCGATTCGCATATTCACATCAACACCAGTTGCAAGTCGAATTTGTCTGGAAAAAAAGAAGTTCTCGAATTCAACAACACAAATATGTATTTTTGTCTCACTTGATAGTATTAATCATTTCTAATCCCATTACAACACACATATCAGCATGATTTGGTCGATTAACTGGCATTCCACTAACACAATAATAACAATCTCCAAGAAATTTGATCCTCATACATTGAAGTCGTTGAGCATCTCGATCAAATTTGCTATACAATTCATTCAATGTTCGAACAAGTTCTTTTGCTGATAATTGTGCAGCAAGAACTGTGAAATTAACAATATCAGCGAATAAAATACTGACATTGTCGTGAACTTGAACATGTAAATCGTGGAATAATTTGTGATTTTTCGAATTTTTCACGCGTTCTGTCGCAGTACTTGATGCTTGGATTATACTTTTACTGACCTGAAAAAAGGTGAGAAGGTTATTGAAGATCTAAAACCTAAAGAAAAACCTGACTACAGATTCTGAACTCTGACAAGTATTTCAAACAACTCTCACCTTATCCGCTAGATAAGCCGGTATCACCGACAGTAAAAGCTGTTCCTGTCGATCTTTCAACGTTTCCAGCTCCGTCCTCCGATAAACCGCTTCTGTCAATTTCTTCGCAATCTCTGCTCGATTTCCTGCTTCATGCGAATCCGCAACAACGCCGATAATCGCAATTATTATTTGATGGATCAGAAATGAGAAACACTTTAAAAATGTTTTTGAAGAATCGAAAAAAGCTGAAAACTTACCGAACAGGAAAATAAGGTGTTCTTCTCAAAAGCGGGAAAATTTATAAGAACCACCAGGAAGAAATTAGTAAAAATCCACAAAACCGAAATCATGAAAAATATCCGTCGATGTCTGGGAAGCATGAAAAACTGAATAATTGATGCGATACATAAACTTGAATATAATGCAGATTGGTCCAATTCATCTGTATGTAATCGTTCCTGAAATAGGCATTTTTGAAGGTTTTCAGAGCAGAGTTCCTCGTGATTTTAAAGTTTATCAGTGAGAAAAATCACACGTGAATTGAAAAAAGCGTGCGAACCTACATCATCCATTTTCTCACTAAACATCGTCAAATTCATACGACAAGTGAAATCATTTTTCAGGGTAACCTATTAATTTTTATTGGGGAATTTTTGGAATTTCAAAAAAGTTCTCACCTTGCTCACAAAAATTGCCACTGGCAAATGAACGACCCAAACAAAAGCGGGCAGTAGAAAACATGTTGACAAAGAAATTAATACCAAGTTGACACCTTCGCGCTGGAATTTTTAGAAATTTGAGGGATTGTTTTTTGAGGTTAAGGTAGGCTTACGGGTTGCTGAAATCTGATGATAAAGCATGATGCCATTAAATATATTACAAATACAAATGAAGCGTAAAAACACGTGTCTTTCCATAGAACAATTGAATCATGATTGTTGACAGATAATGTGATATTTGCATTGTGTTTGAATAAAATCTGAAAAAAAAAAACATTAATTTTTGGAATTTAATGAACACTGAAAATAATTATTCCAATCTAAAAAATTTGAAAAAAAAACAATAGAATTGAAACAATGAGTCTAAATTGAACATCGAAAACCACACAAAAAATATCTTTCAAATATTGAATACTGGATTCCGATTTCCCTTGGATCTTCTATTTAAAAAAAAAAACTAACCGGTGAAATATCACTAAAATAGTACTCAACAATAATTAATCCAACCGCATAAATTAAAAGCCAAAAATGTATAGTTTGTAGTCGTGCTTTATCAAGAGATCTCCAATGTCGAACTAAAACTGATCGAATTTCTGCTCGCGTTGTCGACATTTCCATCATTGTCGACATTTCTGAAAAAAAACACATACACAAATAAAAAATTTGCATTTTTCTACATTTTTTTTTAGAAAATCTTCGTTACTCGCAAAAAAAAAACAACAAGTCGAAAAAAGATTGAAGATTCAATTAATTTTTCAAGTGTCTTCAGATATTCAGATATGTTCGAAAAATGAAATGCGAAAAATGGGAAGAGTACTGTAGTTATATGAAAAATGAAATGTAGGATTAAATTTATGAAGCACATAAAATTGAGGAAAAATGTGAAACAAAGATATTTTTATACCAGGAAAGAGCAGCTGACAAGACAAAAAACCCACAAAAATTTTGATTTATTGAGGTTAGAATGACTGAAAATTCTAGATAGAAGGGTAAATTTCGAAGAAACTAATGAATTCAGAAATTCAAAACAAATGTTTTTTTTTTGAGATAAAAAATTAGGAAGGAATGTCCTACTACATAAATTGAAAATCTTTATAGCTTCAGAATGATTCATGAATCTAATTTTACTTTCAGATTGATTAAATTGTTCTGTTTGTTGGTTGGCTGGAAAAAAAGAAAAATGCAAATTTTGTTGATTGCACTTTCTAGTTTTTACCAATAGAAAAACCGAAAATGAAATTGGGATTTCTTCAATGAGACCCCAGGAATTGGAAGATGATGGTTCTATGAAAAATTGAAATCTGAATCACATTAAGATGATCATCAACTAGCCCAATCCGAAAACTCCTGACTGTGAATTTATTCTTCACTCTTGAAAATTAACGGCAAAGTGCAATCAACAAAATTTGCATTTTTTTCACCAAACCAACAAACAGAAAAACGTTTAATCACTTTGAAATTGGAATGAGGAGATTCATTTACGAATAAAGGCAAAAATAAATGAATGAATCACTAAATTTCGACATTTCGGGAAACTTCTTTTGTTCTTATGTTTTTTTCAAAAAAAATTGATGTCAGAAGAAAAAACAAGAAAATATGTATGAAAAAAATTTAGGTGCAATTCTCAAGGGTGTTAGAAGTTTTTGTCGGGGAACAAGAAGAAAGGTCAATTTTTCTCTTGTTTTTGAAACTTAAAAAAAAGCAACAAGCTTGGATGGTTAGATGATAATTTATTGCTGAAAGAGTCGCGTGTTCGCTTCCGCATGAAGGAAACAATATTTTCTCTTTTTCAGTCTGGAAAAATACTTGAAAAAGATGAGTTTTTCATTTATTTTATTGCATACCTAATGTCGCATTTTTCCAAGATTAAAAAGAACGAAAATAAACGTTTTTTATTTTATTTCCTGCCTGCTGTAAAAAATTCTAAAATTTTTTGGGAAAAACTATTTAATTCGGATGAACTGAACTAATTAAAAATGTTTGTGTGGGATGTTTTTTAATAATGAAAATGAAAATGAAAACGAGGAAAAATGAGCTACGCTTGACTTAATTTTTTTTGCACTCCGCATAAAAATTCCCAAAGACCACGCCAAGAATAAAAAAAAGATTTTCTCTAGAAATTCGAGAAACCTGAGACATTTGAAAGCACCCAAAAAAAGATGATGAGGCACAAAAAAATTCACTTCGCCCCAGAAAAAAATCCAAAAATAAATTGAATTGAAATGAAAACAGAGGTTATGCACTTTCAGATTTTTCAGAGAGAGAAGTAGAATAAAAAATAAATTTATTTCAGGAGGCAAGGAAAACAAGCAATTTTTCTTCATAACATAATATCCATATAATTTTGTGTCTACAAGAAAATTTCGAGCGTCAAAAAAGGAGCTAATTTTGGGTGGAGCGAGAAGAAGATGATGATAGTGGCCAATTTTTTTGGTGTCTTCTTTCTTGCCAACCCGCAAAAACAACAAAGAAATTCGAGGAAATAATTTTTTATACGGAAAAAATAGAAAAAAAAGATCGCATTTGTCTTCTTCGAGAGATGAAAAATGCAGCAAAAAATATTCATTATATTTTTTTTGCCGGGCAAACGGGTGGCTAATTTATTACGCCTTATGTTTGTTTTTGTTCAAAAAATTATAGAGTATGGTTTTTCAGAAAAACTACCTTTATAGATACTGTGGGAACCACAAGATTGAATTAACAAGAAATAATTCCGAGTTTAAAAAACTCCCCAAAACATAATTATTCCAAAAAAGAGAATCTTTATTTTCAGAGCTCACGACTTTCTCGAAAAGGTTTCATCCAAAACTTTTCCACCAAAAAATATTATTTTTAAAAAAATCATAGATAAATTATGTTAGGAGAATAATTGTGAGAATAATTTTTCAAGAAAAAATAAATTTGCTAACTTTCAGAAAAAAAGGTGAAAGGAATAAAACATATGTTTCAAAATGCCAAAAGTTCTGACTTTTCAATAGAACAGATTCGGGAAAAATTTAGCGATTTTCTATTCTATCAAATTTTTTTCGAGAATACTTTTTTTCTTAGTGGCCCATTAAAATAACTCATAAAAATATTTCATCATTTTTTTGCTAGCTAAAAATTGTCACGTGACAATTATAACAAAAAATCAACTCACCAATTTCTTCTCCTTTACTTCGAACCTGAGTTTCTTTTTTTGGTGCCACACTTCGCCAATTTCGAATTTTCAAAAATAGTTTTTTGCCCATGGTTTCAGATTTTTGCAGCTTGAAATTGATCTGAAATAATTTTATGATTAAGTTTGACTTTAAAGACACAAAATGATGTGAAAACCGGAAATCTATATTATGTGTTAGTTCATGAAATCACATTAAGAGCGCGTTCAAATCTATTTATATAGAAATTTTCAGAGAGAAGGCTGAAAAATAGAAAAGAAAACACTATCAAAAAACAATCCCACACTTTTGAACTAAAATTGACTCTTGAGGCTAGAATAAATATAAATAAACACATGAAAAATGATACCGAAAAATTGTGGAAAAAAATGCAAAAACTTCAATACATATTTACTGACTTATCAAAGGAAACTAATGAGTTGCAAATAGATTTGATGTGTTTTGGCAATTATTTAGTTCTTCTAATAGAAAATAATAAGCTTCAGTCTCAAAAAATTAAATTCTCAAAACTCACCAACAAATAAATTCAAACAGTTTGAAAAGAGAAAAGAAATGGTCAAACACAGCGTCTAATTTACTACCCGAAAATTTTCCCGCAATTTTTTAGACCTGAAATAATTTTAGGAGTGGGACTAAAATCGACGAAATTCAACACAAAAGTAAGAGATTTAGATAGAGAAAAAATTTTTGATCTACCAGAAAATTTTTTGAAAAATTTGAGGTCTAGCGGTTTGAGGTAGTGAATTACATACCGTGTCGAACACACATATCGTATACCTCGTGTCAAAAATCTTGCAATTCTTGCAATTTTTGCAAAATGAATTCTATTCATTTAAACCCAAAACTTCTATTAGGAATGCGTGGAAATCCACAATACTTCCTCCAACACCATTTGCCTCCATTCTACCGTTATCTCGCTTTCTTTTGTCCGCAAAACCCCGATGAAAAACGAACAAAAATACCAACCGTACTTCTCTTCTCTTCAAAGGAACACACACACACAAACTTTTTGTGTGTCTCGCCGCGACAACTACGGTATAAAAATGTTCGTTTGAATTGGCGGGCGGCGCGAGCGGGAAGGAAAAACACGCTGCAAGGATGGCGTCTTTCAGACGCTGACAATTCAGTGTTCGTTTTTTAGGCCTAACCGAAACGTCGGTTTTGTTTTTGGGGCTTGGGTTCGGGAAATCGCTGCGGGTTTGCACCAGAAGGACCAGCGTGGCCTATCTTAGGCGTCTGCTAACCCATCTGACCCGGATCACCCACAAAATACCATCTTTTCCCCATTTTTTATGTAAATTTATTATTTTTTGTTTCTTTTTTGCGCTTTTTAGAGAAGCACATAAAAATTATACTAATAATTCCCTTGTATTTCTCGTTTCTACTTGACTCGCTTCTTCCCTCTCTCTCACACTTTTCACCAAAACGATCCTCTAGAGGATCTGCTTGGAAATACACCGGAAAACGTGGAAATAGCCCGTTTTCTGGAAAATTCTCTGGTTGCGGCACACCGCGACTCTTAAGAGAATTGTCATGAAGTCGTGGAGGTATCCGCGGTTCGCGGCCATTGTGGGGAGATTCGGGCAACCGTTTCTCGTCAAAAAGTGGTTGTGAAGCGTGTTTATCTTCATGAGTTCACTCTCTGAAGCGTAGGCAACTGCGCTTCGAGGTTTGGTGGCGATAATCGAGATCTTTATCTCGTTTTCGCAACAAAGAGCCTTTGAAATGAGAATTAATTCTCGTTTCTGGAGAGAGACAACCTCTAGGATCCTTCCAAAGAGGGAAAAAGTCATTGGAAGCCTAAAAAGCTTTACTAACAATGCAACAACCCGCCGAAAGTTCCTCTTTGGGAACTTTTAGTGGAAAAGACCGAAACCTCTAAGGTTTCAACCCCTAAAATCGGTCTATCGGTTTCTATAAGCCGATAGCCGGTTTTAACACCTCGACGCACAAACTACAGTAATCCTATATAAAATATATTTGCATGAACCTTTTATATTTTTCATAAAATCACTTGGCCAAGAAATGAAAATTCCACATTTTTGGAAAATGATCATTTTTTGATTTTTTTAAAGAATCGGGTCTTCAAGATTCTATAAGCATCAACTAATAATTTATTCTGACATTACCCAAAAAAAAAGACATCATAAAAATTTAGAGAACTCGTAAAACTCGGGAAAAAATATATTAAAGCTCAGATTGTGTCCTTGCTGATGTTCGATGTCGGATTGAAGGCGAACGTGGCATAAAAGATTGAAATGAATCACGAAGTTCGTCAATTTCCGGCGATGTCAATCCTTCGAAATTGTTTAAATCTGAAGGACGAGACACTCCGATGTTCCGACCGGACAAAAGATCAGCCAAATCAGCGGCTAGTGTTTGAAAACTTTCATCATCGAGTGATGCCTCTTCTTCGATAATTCGAATGACTGCTTGTTCAGAGGCAGATTCAAAAAATCGATAAGTGTAGGATGTTAGATTTCCAGCAAGTTCATTGGCAGCCGGATTGAAATTTGAGGGTGGTTTTGCTCCGATCATATTCATTCTTGGGAAAACATAGCAGGTTACAAATTGAGGTTTTTCGCCACGACGATCTTCTAATTTATCTTCGCCGCTAGTTCTAAAAATTGCAATGTTTTTATGAGAAGAAAAAATGTGTTCTCTGTGAAAAAGGTTTGAAATATCGAAAGAAATTTAATTTTGCTTTGAATTATTTTCTCGCGTGATCTTTTTGCTTATTATTTTATTTTTTGGAAAATGTGTTATTTCTCAAATAATCTGGAGGAGAATCAACTCACCGAATGGGTTGGGCTCTTGAGAAGAATACATTATGTGCCTGATTTGTCTCCGTCAAATATTCAACACATTTGAAAATATTTTCCTTGAACCTATTATAATTTTCAAATTTCGTCAATTGAAAAACAAAAGCTGGACATATCCACATCGGTGGTCGAATTATAAAAACATCGGAAATATCATGAAGTGGCTCACATTTTCGATTTATAAGATCAGAATCATAAGGCCAATACATTGCATGAAGATGAAGATGATTAACAGAAGCTTGACCAAGTAAACTATTGAATAAGATATGAAATGTGTCATCTTCGATAAGAAGCATCAAATCAGTGGCAATTCGAACAGCTTGAAGGGTGAGAACTTGGGGAAAACATTTATTAACAGCTGGGATAATCAACGAATGATCTCTTTCCAATGGAGAAGCATTTACAGCTACCAAATGTCGATCTAATGGATCATTACTAATCGGATCGTCATCGCATTTCAAATAAAATAACATTTCACGATCATTGAGTTTTGTGAAATTGAATTTGTGATGATTGAATGGCTCTTTGATATTTTTGAAATGCATTGGTTTTCGTCGTAATTCTCCTCTTTCGATATTTAATTGCATTGAAAGATCGTATTGACCATCGAGACATTTGTACATACAATTCAGGGAATAATTGAAAGCATTGAATTGGCGAGCACCTTCCCAACGATCATGCAATAGTTCTTTGAGCTGAAAATGTGAAGGATGATGATGTGGAAAAGGCAAATAATAACAGGTTTTGTTCTATGGGTTTTTGATTGATACGTGTTTCATAGGAAAAAACAATTATTTTTGATTCCGAGGAATCGAGTACAGTAATCCGGACCTGTTTTTAAAATTTCTAAATTCTCGTATTCATATGAAAAAATCATATTAAAAATACTTAGAGCTGTTTCAGTCGATGAAAAGATCTTGAATTGTTTTTCTCGAAAATCAAAAATCAATTTTTTTTTCTGCAAATTGCAATCGGAAGCATTAGTAATCCCGTTCCAAACTCACATGTTTCCGTTTTCCTTCATTCTCGTCTCCCGAATTTCTCAAATCCACAATAAAATCATTTTTGTTGTAGTTGAAGTGTGGCGCATTTGAGACACTTGGACTGAATTCTGCGGGAAGCTGAAAAAGATTCAATTTTTTTGATGTTTTTGTATTCGAAAACAAAAACATGAGAATTGAATTATTTTTCTTTGATCCCCTTTTTTCTTTTTCTATCAAACCAGTCACGCAAACATCTTCATGAATATTTACTAGTATTTTTTGACTGACTGATGTGAAACTAATCTTCTGCTGGTGAACAATTTTTCGTGAAGGTCTCAAAAAACATTCCCCCGCCCGAAAAAATGGGAGAAAAATGATCATTTCGAAATGTTCCGACTGAAAATGAAGTTTTCGTGAAATTGACAAGTTTTGGACTGCTATAAAATTGAACATTTTATAGTTTTTTTTTGTTGCTCAGCGAAATGTCCAATTTTTATTCATTTGATTTAGCGTTTCAATTTATTTGCAAAGTTTTCAAAAAAAAAAAAGTGATAATGCCGAAAATTTTTGTCATAAAATTTGAGCCGCTTTATAGTATTCGGCCAGGTGAAATTCTGAAACTAGACTGTAGCTACCTTCAAATAAAAAAAGACGCAATGCGTCACGTCACAACTTTTCTAAATATCGAAAAAAAAAAGAAAAATGCAAATTCAGTGATTTTCTGAAATGTCACGTTTAAAAAAACTCAAAAAATGTCTTATTTCAAAAAATCAAGAAACGCATTTTTACATAAAATTTCAAATAAAAATCAAATTTCTAAAAATTTCTAAAGATATATTTTAAAAAAACAGTGAACTTTTTTCAGATGTTTTTTTTTAATTTTCAGAAAAAATACCGAATTTTTCATTCGATATTTCGAGTAACCTTCAAAATTAAAAAATTCCCCATAACTTACCTGTATAGATGATACAGATCGTTGAGTCCTTGCATTGGCTCCCAACATGACAACTTTTTTGTTGTGCAACGGCATTTTTTCGATGGGGCGGTCGAAAAAAAGCGAGAGATTAAGAGACGCAGACAGTTAGAGATGTGTAATAGTAAGAGAAGATTGAGAAAAACGAAGAGAAAAAGAGATATTATTGGAATAGCAAAAAATGTATTTTTTCTGGTTGGAAAAAGAAAAAACTTTTTTTGTGTTTCATAAAAGTGAGTGAGTTTAAGTAAAAAATAGAAAATGCTCTTTCCTTTTTTTCGTGATGTTCTTTTATAATTGTGCATGTGAGGGGGAGGAAAATATATTAGAAAATAATGGCTAAAAAATAAAAAAAATATCAACAAAAAATTCTGAAGAAAATGGATTTTCAAAAAAAAGAAGAAAAAACGAATAATCTGGTCCCAAATCTTGGACGCTGATTTTCTATTGTTGAAAAATGGGCGGAGTTTTGAATCGAAAAAATTCTGGGCACATGTTTTCAAAACTTTTTCATTTACATATTCAAATTGTCCGGTCGATATTTGAAAACACACGATTTTTTTAAACTCAAGCATGCTTAAGCACATTTTGAGTTATGTCATGACCCAGAAAACAAAAAATTATCTTCATAAAATTCTAGGCCATGCTGTGTTTCAGAAAAAATTCGCAAAATACGCTTCACTCGGATCTCGTAACCATCACGCGCGAATTATTCTTCGCGGTGAATATATGTAATTCAAACACGATTGTGTAGTAGAAAACCAAAACTATTTTCTAGGACAGTCTCCAGCTAAGTCTCGATTGAAAAACGTTTTTAATTTAAAAACAAACAAAGAACTTCAATTTACCAGTCTTGCTCGAGCTCGATCGAGTCCGCAAAATAAAATAATTATGGCCTAGAAACCCAAGAAATTGAAAATCCTAGGTCATGCTCTGCATGCAGCTAATACACACCCGCTCAAGCAACACAAAAATTAGCAAAACGCTGTAAAAACGGTGCGCCAAGTAGCTCAAAACTTAGATAAGGTTCATGAAAAACTAAATATAGCAGCGCCTCGAGTTCTACCTGACTTGCTAATTTTCTTATTTTTTGAGGTCCTGCGAAGAAAGTTAGCAATCGCGACAAGACCCAACGCATTAAATTTATCATGTTCCTTTAATACTGTAGTGCGAAATATAACGGCGAACAGAGAGAATTAGACAAAAGTGTTTGCACAGTTTTTTTCATTCGCAGATTTTCCGTTTTACAGTAGAAAACACTCATTGCGCGGCTTGAACGGGTGTGAATAGCTCTGTTTTTCCTTTCAGACAAGAATCCTTTTATTTACCTTTTTTCCACATTTTCAAAAGTCAGCTGGTCACTCTCTCGCTTCCCAGTTTTTCTCTAAATCTCTCACTCTCTCCATCTATTTTTGTCTATTTCTTCCTAACTAAATATGTTCATTGTTTTTTCTCTCCTAGTTTTCCTACCATCTCTTATTTTTTCGAATCTTTCAATGGCTTGGCGCAGTTCGGGACGAACCAACAAAGAATTGGTGGCGAATTTGAAAAGTGAGTGAAATTTGAGATCGTGGGAAACATGATTTTTAGTGTTTGTTTCAGAGAATGGTGTTTTTTCGTCGGAAAGAGTGAGAATTGCTATGGAATTGGTGGATCGAGCGGATTTTGCGAAAAATAATCCGTATGAGGATAGCCCGCAAAGAATTGGATTCAATGCCACAATTTCTGCACCACATATGGTGAGCTGTTTTTGAGAATCGGGAAAATTTTAAAATATTGTTTGAAAGTTCAAAATTTTGAAATCGCTGTGATAATTGATGTGTAAATTAGAATGACTATTTTTGAGAAAATCAAAATGAAAATGTTTTTCTAGAACTTGAAATTTAGCTAATGTAAGGAATACTGTAATCAGTTCTCTAGAGAATTTCAAAATCTTCATGATTTCGAAAATAGAATAATCTGTAGAGATTCGAGAATCTTCAGTTCATATGAATTACTGTAGCTGATTAAAAAAAAATAATTTTGTGAGATTTGAGAGAAAATTACAGGACCTTTACATTTTGAAATTAAATTTTGAAAATGATACTTTCTATTGAACATAAAAAATAATAAGTTCTTCTCGATTTCATGTATTTCTTGTTATTTTTTAGCATGCAGCTGCTCTTGAATATCTCAAAGATCATCTCGAACCTGGCTGTAGTGCTCTTGATGTTGGATCAGGTAGTGGATATTTAACAGCTTGTATGGGAATTATGGTTGGATCAAATGGAAGTGTTGTTGGAATTGAACATATTCCCGAATTAGTCAAACTCGGAATCAAAAATTTGGAGAAAAATCATGGAAATTTGTTGAAAACTGGGAATATTAAAATAATCGAAGGCGATGGTAGATTAGGATATCCATCAAATGCACCATATAATGCAATTCATGTTGGAGCAGCAGCTCAAGGAGTTCCACAAAGTGTAGGTTTTATTGGGAAAAAAGTTAGAAAAATAGGAAAGAAAGAAAGAAAAAAAATAATGTGGAGAGCAAAAAAGACAACAAAAAATGAGAAATAAATTGAATCGTGAATTTGAGATGAGAAGTAAGAAAAAGAGAGGCTCCTTAATCTTTGAGAAAATAGGGTAACAAAGCATCATATTTTATTTTGAATACGGAAAACATGAAAATAAACCACGAGGTTTGAATTTGAATAAATTACGATAAACTGATTGTACTCTCAGAACTTTGATTTTTTGTACGATTTCTGGTTTTTGTGCTTTTTAAAAAAGAGAGAGAAAAGGGGATTATGGAAACATTTTGGTCTTCAAAAAATTATCAAATCTGAAAAGTTATGGAAAATTATCATTTTTGAGTAATGGGGGAAATTTCAGGCGTGAATTCCGAGAAAATGATTTCTAAAAGTTATCGAACATGTTTTTCAGGTTTTAATAATTTTGAAAATTTTGTTTAAAAATGGGTTTTTGCGACATTTATCGAAAATTACCCAATTGAAATTTTCAGCTAATCGAACAACTTGCTGCAGGCGGTCGAATGATGATTCCAGTCGAAATGAAGACTGGAAATCAAGTTTTCATGCAAATTGACAAACAACAAAATGGTACAATTGTTGAAAAAGTTGTGGAACATGTTGTATATGTTCCTTTAACTGATCGAAATAAACAACTCGGAATTCTTCGAACCTAATTTGATTTTGTAGATAATTTGTAAATTTTAAATTTGTATAAAATTGTTTTCTATTAAAAAATTCCTCGTGACACTACCAAATTTTTTGCGTCAAAAATTCCCTGAAAATCCCTTTTCCCAGAGTTTCTTTATTATCGTTTTCCTGTGCAACAGTTTCCATGGGTACTGTAGTTTAGCCTTCTGAGATGGGTACTGTAGTAACTTTAATTGGTTGGATTACTGTAGTTTTTCTGATGATTCTGAAGAGTTTCTGAAAATTATGAAATCATAAAAATTAATCGTGTCCAAAAAACTTTTTTTTAACTTTTAGAAAAACTCGTATTCTCCTAATATTCAGTTTTTGAGGATTTTTTTCAAACTCAAGCTGATTAAAAATTGAGAATTCCACGTTGCATTTTGGCTTGAAACTACAACGTCGAGATTCTTTCCCGAAGTTTTTGAGAATTGTGTTTTCTCCTTTTTTTCGGAACACTCAAATTTTTAATTTCGAAAAAGAGGAACAATAAAAATTTTGGTCATATTTTGAGCCTCTTGAACAACGCGCTCACCATATTTTATTACTTTTTTCTTTACTTCATTTCAAGTTTTCCTCCTTTTTCCACCGCTCGAAATTAGTTTTAGGCGAAAAAAAAACGAGTGACCGGACTCCGAAAAATAATTGAATTTTCCTGTTCTCCGCCTTCTTCAATTTTTTACGTTTTTTAGCCTCCAGCCGGAAAAAAACTCGAACCTTATTTAGAATTCATAAGTATTATTTTTCATTTTTACTTTCTTTGTTTGGTCCACAGGTCGGTCAATTTTTCTTGAGAAAATAAAATTTGGGTTTGACGAAACTGGAGATCCGGAAGTTAATTCTTGAAGATTTTTACATAAATTATGATTTTTCGGATGAATAGAGATTGTCGATGTTCAGACATTAATGAGAAGCCGCCGGATGCACTTTTTGCAGAAAGATTTTTCAATAGTATTTTGTGGAATTCTAGAAATTGATTGGAAAATTTCTAGAATTCGTCACATCCGCTTCTCAAGTTACATACATTTCTGTTCTATTTTTCTCACGATATTTTTTTGTGGTTGGAAGAAATTGGATTGATCACGAGATTCAACATTTTTGAATATAAATTTTCTAGAGACGAATTGGCTGTCATTTTCAGAGGAAACAGCTAGAACCAAAAATGTGTCAATTTTCCGAAAAAGATTTATTTATATTTCGAAATGACTCTTTCCGCATTTCAAAATAGAAAAAATATTTTTGGAATTTCGAAATAAAAGTTCACTGTTAGTTTATCTAATTTCATCGAAAAAAATCAAAAAATAAATATTGATGTCACAATAAATTCCCTGATCCATCCAAATCCAGAAAAATAATCCGCCTTCTCATTTTTCTTTAGAAAAATTCACACAGAAATCAAAATTCCGGAGAACACTTTTTCCAAAAATCCATTTTTGTCGGAATTTTTTTTCACGCAAAAAAAAACTCATTATGAATTCTCTTCTTTTTTGCTTCTTCTTCTTCTTCTTCTTCCATTATTTTCACATCCATTCTGACTTTTTCTATTTTTTTAGTTAGTTATTATTAGTTTTTCTTTGAATTCTCGAATTATTATATATTCTACTATTTTCGCAAAAAACAAAACAAAAGCGAAAATGAAATGAGAGTTAGTTCCCGACCAATTTTTTCGCTGCTTCCTTCGTCGTTTTCTCCAAATTTCAAACAAAAATAAATTGCACCCATTTTTCTTCGCTTTTTCTTCGCCTAGTCCTCTCTTTTTTCCACCAAAAAATAAAGAAAAACCCATTTTTTGTGGACTCCAAACAGATTTATTTTGTCTTTTTGATGGGATAAATGTATGTTGTTTTTATTTTTCCTTTTGTCGTTTTTTTTGGGTTTTTTCAGTAGTCGAGAGGTAAAAAACAGCAAAAGTGACTAATTTATCCGGAGGGAGTTCGCTGGAAATTTGAGAAAACGCGCGGTTTCCATTTTCTGTATATTATTTTATGCAGTTTGCAGTATAAACGAGATGCAGAATCTAACCTCTTGAAAGATTATCTTACTTTCAGATTTAAGAAAGTTTCTTGACTTTTTGGTTTTTTTCTAAATTGTTTTTGGATCAAAGCGAGTATTTTTGTGTAGAAATATTTCGAAAAATGTTATTTTGAACTGAATTTCTGAGCAACTTTCTCTCTAGACCTCCGACTTCCGGTTTTCCGCAATTTTAGGTAATCTTTGATTTTTTGTGTCAGAAAAAAAAACAACGGGTTTTATATGACTTTTTGTTCCAATATTCAAGGAACTATAACGGAATTCTAGGGTTTATCATTTCTGAGAATTTAAATTCTTTCTAGAAACTCAAAAGATCTGTATAATGTATTTAGTTTGAATTAATGAGGTATCAGAAATCACAAGTTACCGGGAATTTTTTCAAAAACAAAAATGATTTCCAATGAACTATGACGTGGCTTTTTAGAATGAAAATGAAAAATGATAACAATTTGGTCAACGTGTCTCTCTGTCTCTATTTCACCATCCCCTCTCCAACAAAAAATTCCAAAATTTCTTGGAAACTCCCAATAATTTCTAACTCTACTCTCCCCAAACCTAATTCATTGTTTCAATCCTGTCAACCAAAAATTTGACAATTCCTTCCTAAAGCACCAAAATTCTCCTTTCCTCTTTCTTTTTCCAAACAAAACCCTTTTTTCCATCAATCTTCTATTCCCTTTGACCTTCTTTTTTCTTTTTTTTTTTTTACTTGAGTGAGTGCATTCCATTTTCAGAAAAGCTAGTGTCCAAAAAAGAATTTCCCATTTCATTTCCCCATTAATTTCCGATAGATAGATAGATTTTCAAGGCTGATAGTGCAAAAATGAAAATAATCCTCTTTTTTTTCTTTCTATTTATTTTATATTTTCTTGTTTTCCGGATGAATGAGTTCATCACATGAAATATATGTGAGAAAATAAATCTTATGGATAATCGTTTTGTTTGGACAAATTTTGGCACGAAAATTTGCTTATTTTCCGATTCGTTCTTACTTGGGCAAAGTTTGGGATGTTTTTTCGAGAGGTCCACGTGGATTTTTATCTTTAAATTTCAAGGCTTTCTAGGCCTTGACCACTTTGAACAAAATGCTTTTAAGGAGACGTACCTTATCGCAGTAGCTCCCGAGATGTAGCTCATCTGACTGATTCTCTAGCCGTGGGTACTAGTTCTTCTTGACAGTTATAGTACCTAGGCTCATTTATTTGACACGCAAGCCACAAAGGTTTCCACGAATCATTTTTTTTTTCGTTTCAGTTGAAACACGAAATTTTAGACAGAAAAATGTCAAAATTTTCTCGAAAACCTGTCAATAAATTTTTTGTGACAAGCTCTCATCTCATCACATTTTTCCTCCATTCTTTTTCATCCAAAAAACACGTCCTTTCAAAATATTGTCCTTTTTTTCTAACAAAAAAGAAGGCTTCTTCTTTCTTGCATAATATAATACTTACATAACCTAATTCAACATCACACCACACCAAAACCTCTTTTCTATTTTTTTCTTTTTTCTTTCTTCCATATTTTTTTCATTTTTTTGTTCACAGCTTTTTCTTTTTCTTGTCTTCACGAATTCCTTTGGGGTGGTTCCTAAATTCCGGAAAAAATGTTTGCTTTCTGTTTTCAGCGAGAAGAAGAAGAAACATGAAAGTGGTGATTTTTTGGTGGGTGGTGGGTGTGAGTTTGGCATTGGAGGATTTGATAATTGAACGACGACCACATCATCTTGATTGGGATGATTTATTTATGGAATATGATCGATTTTTTGCGCCAAATCATGAATCACAAAAGGTGTCGTAATTTTTAAGAATTTCCGAAAAAATGTTATGCCAAAAGTTATGCATATAGCCAGATTAAAAAATGATTCTGAAATTAGAAATAAATCCATAGATCATTTTTTATTTCGTTTAATTCTGAATCAGCTTGAGTTTTTTTCGGGAAAAAATCTGGACCTATTTTCGAAATAGAGAAATCCTAGATGAAATTAGTATCAAGTCCTCAAGTTTTAGAAACCAAAAAATTCTAATTTCCAAAAACTTCAACCTGCCTCTTCTCAGAAAATATTCTCCAATCAATTTTTTATCAACTAACAAAAAATGAATGACCAAACTACAAAATCTATCCACTAGAATCAAATTTATTTTTTATAGATAAATATAACCTTGGATTTCATCGTAATCAAACCAGGTACATTGATATTCGAAATGACACAAAAATGGAAAGATGAAAGACTTCGATTTGCTGGCGATTCTTCGTTTTCAGTTCCAAAACAATATTCGACATGGATGCCTGATACATATATCAGAAATGGAATGAACGAAATAATTTCGAAATCAAGTTTGAGATTAAAATATGATGGAACACTTCAATATCGTCAAAAATATCAAATCTCCAATGATTTGATGAGCGATGCTTTACAAATAGCCTCTTTTGATAATTACGGAGCTGAGAAGATTATTTATGTTCTGGAGAATTCTACAAGTTCCCAATCTGAATATCCTATTCAAATAACTTCTGATATTTTTGCCAGAGATCTTGATGGTCAGCAATTCCATGATCTCATAATTCACTTGAACAATACAATCGCCTAATGGATCAAATGTTTTCGTTACCAATTTTCACTGAACGTGTATATTTTTACCCGATCCATATCAGGGTTTTCCTCAATTTATTAAATATTATCCCTATATTTATATTTGTACTATACGTATTTCAATAAATTAAATAACAGATCATTTTGTTCAAAAATAATTCCTGACTAAAACAGTTGAATGCGTATTTGATTTGTATTCGAGTTCATCAATTGAGGGAGTTATAACAACTAGAAGATTTTTTGATTTTCGAATTTCGTGGAAAATGTTCAAAGCAATTATTGAGATGCAAATAAGTTGGGAAATTGTGACAATTGGTGGGGCTGCAAATTAATTGCAGATTTTTTGTAGTTGGAAAATTTGAGTCTAAGAATGTTTGTAGAATATTTGTTATATGTAGAACTTTTTAAACAGAAATTGAATTTTTAAAAATACTTGGGATACAATTTTTGAAACCCCAAACATTCTATTAAAAAAATATCAACTCACCAAAAGTATCACAATAAATATTTTCAGCATATTCTTCAATATCAATTTTCAAAATTGGATAACAAAATGTGATTATGAGAATTGATATAAACCTCAAAATTGTTGTCAGTCGGAAACCCTGAAAATCACTTTTGATTTAACAAAAAAAAACATCAGAAAATCAGTACCTCCATCATATTTTGCAGCAGGAATTTCGTTAAAGTTGTCAAAACAGCGACTGTAAAATATATAGTCGAATACGGAATATCTGAAAAATTATTTTCACCTTTTTTTCAGCTATGACGTGGCAACTCACATTTTCGATCTTTGTGAACATGTAGTGTAAATAATAAATAATAAGAAATGTGCAAAACTATTTCATTAAAGAAATATGATATACCTGAAAACTTTTCACACTTTTTAATGATAATACTGAAAAGTTGAAAAACTCACCAACAAAAATTGAAAAGACTGAGGGATTTTCCAAAACAAATATTTTTACAGTAACAAATGCAAGGATCAATAAAGGATGCATAATCAACAATAAACCGTATCGAATCGGAGTTTGAACACTTGAATATAATTGAGAAGCTCGGAATATTGAAGTTGACCATTGATTTGTTATTGAAGTATTGCGCTCCTGAAAAAAATTGAGTTCGAAACAAATTAAAAGTTCCCAAAGTTGCAAAAAAACTAACATAACAATAACTCGAATTTCCGATTCCAAAAACGTAAACACTCATATTATCACGATAAAATGGCGATTCTTTTATCGAATTCAGCTGTTTGAGATCGAATTCTGTTCCATTGTAATTATCAAATATCTGGAAACTAAAAAATATTACTGTATACTGCACAAAATACGGTATATTTGGGCCAAAAATTTCAAAAAAAAAGCGAAAAATTTTCGGGGAAAAATACCTGATAATTATTCCTTATAAAATCCGTCCTTTCCTTATTCCTATCAACTTCGGCAAAATGTGGATGTCCAGAAATATAAATCGCAATAATTGTAAAAACAAATGGAACACTTGCAAATAAATATAAAGCTCGACGAGCCGAAACAATCAAATGAGCCGATTCAATATCCATTTTTATCTCGATAGCAAAAAAAAAAACAACAAAAACAATCACAAAAAATATGAACCCGTGAATATTATCAAATTATAGAAATTAGAAAAAAATATAATGAACAATTACGCAAGCCTTTGATAGTTGAATAATCTGTAACACTAACAATTATATCATTTTTCTGAGAGAAGAAGGGGAAAATCGAGGCGGGATATGAGGGAACAGGTTTAGATTTAGCTACAAAGGTTACATTCTACAATTTTAGAACTATTGATATAAATTTTATTTGAAAAATTTAGAAAATCACCGTTTTTCATATCAATTTTTGAATTACACATATTTCAATTTCACAAATTCTTAGCCGTTTTTTCCACAAAATTGTCAACAAATTTGATAAAAACTTTCGATTTTTTGTTTCAAAATCGGATAAGATCATATGATCCAATTGATCTTCTGATCAATCATTTAACTGGAACTTCAAAAATTCAATGAAAACTTAAAATTGAACTTGAACTTTTTTCCTCATCTTTGATCCAGATCAATTTATCATATCATAACATATCAATTTCGAATTGTCGCCCAACAAAATAAGCTTTTTCTCTCGAGAAAAAAAAAAGATGAATCCAACGAATGATTCAGGTTTTATTCGTTTTCTTTGTGTGTATCAAATAAAATAAATTAACGAAGCTACAAAATGATTAAAGATTTTGGAAAGCGAGAGAAAGAAAAACGAAAACGAAATGAGGAAATGGTAATATTTTCGGAAATTTTAGAGTGCCCGAAATTTTTTAACCCTGTGTAAAATTCAGAAAACACAAATTTTTCAATTGAAACAAAGAATTATTACTCTAAAAATTGTAACTTATGAAAATTAGGTCTGATTTTGAATTTAAGAATGTCCGAATAAGACCGTTAAAAAGGATTGAACCAGCTGCAACGTTTTTGGGCTCCTCTGAAGAATCAGAGTTTCTGAAGAATAATAATTTTATCCTGATTTCAGGAACTGTTTCATTCTAGGCTTCAAAAACATCTGGAAATCCGCCAGACTGTGATTATGTTCAATTAAAGATCACTTTTTATCAATAAAACTTTTTTTGTCCAATAATCGCATCTCATAAAATTGTGTGATTATCGAATTGTCTACACATGCTACGTATGACATCATTTATTTATGTTTTCTGATCATTAGAAACATCAAGAACTGTCGAAAAACAGGATAAAAACTCACCTTATTTTCCTCTTCGTTTATCATTATATTTTTTATGAATATCTATAAAAATGGCTGCAAAAACAATAAGAAATCCGATAGCTGACCAAAACGATAAATCGTGATTATACATAAATGTTGAAAGCAAAATTGATAACATCTGAAAAATCATAACTTTAAATATCGTCATATTTTATTTGAAAAAAATGACCTGTCTAATAGTCATAATAACTGCAAAAACAATTGGTCCAAATTTCTCGATCGTCGAATAAATGAACATTTGTCCAACTGCACCAGAAAATGATAGCAAAAACACATCTCGTGTAAAATTATCATGTTCCGCGGCAAATTGAATCGAAGAAAATAGAGTTTTTTGTTCGATTAGGGAAACTGCACAAAGAATTGCCGAGAAAAAGTTGACTCCAAACATCATTTGATATTTTGAAACTTTTGGTTTTGTGTCGAAAAGTGATTTTTGCCAATTAAGGGTGAAAGCATCGAAAAGAAGATATCCAGCCATTAGAAGCATCCCGGAAAACTGAAAAAAATATCGTTTTTCGATCAGAACTAATTTTATTTTTTTGGCGAGAAAATGAGGATACAATCTTAAGATTTAAGTTTCGATAAATCGAGTGACGATACAAGCGTCCCGGAAAAATCTTAATTCAATTATGACGATAATTGTTTAAGAACATTACATTTTCACGATAAGAATGTTTTGAAGGTCTTAGATGATTTCAATGAAGAAACCTTTGAGAATCAGTGAGAACTGTAGTACAATAAATTGAAAAGATTTAGCCCAATTTTTCAAAATGTTTCTCATTACCCTTTCCACTAACTTCCAAAAAATCTCGCTTAAAAACTGACCGATGTATAAGTAATAGTTGAATGACTTTGCGACGATGACAACAAAAATAAACTGGCTCCAAATGCAATTGTTAATCCACACATATATTCAAAACATGAATATCTTTGACCACGAACAATTCGACCCATTAACATTGTCACAACAACTTTTGAAGCTTTGCAAATTGTTTGAGTTGGAAATGATACATATTTTAGTGCTTCATATTGACACCAAGATGAAATTGTATTTGAAAACGAAGTGTATGAATGAACATAAAGTGGTGGAACATGAGGAGGTTGTCTGACAAAATTATCATTTTTTGACTACATAAATATAAAATTATTTCAAAACAAAAACATACTGTCTCCAATCTCTTGCCAAAATCAATAAACTCAAAAACAATGCCACAATTCGATTGCAAAATATCAAAAATTGAACTTCTTCAAATTTTTCCACAGTATCTGTCAATTTTCCATCTCTTTTCACATATCCTTGAGTTATAATTCTCTCTTGTAAATAACCCATTGCAACAAGAGTTATTTGAATTCCACTGAAGAAAAATAATAGGAGTACTGTGGTTTGGATACATTGTGATCTTGTATGTGGAACAGAATCTATTGTGGAATTCGAAGATTTTGAAGAGGAAGAAGGGGAATTCGGGATAAGTTGATATTCTGGTGAACCAACTGCGAAGCTTTTGAGAAGTCTTTTGAATGAACGAGAATGACCTTCGAAATCTGAAAAAAACAGATTTATGAAATGGGTTCATTGATTTCAGATATTATGTTATTTTCAGAGAACATTTTCCATTCTAAGTTTTTCTGAAGTTGTCAGGACATATTTGATGTTTCAAAAACATTTCATATTTTCTCAGTCTCATTTAGTTTGTAGGCTACAAAACTACAATGATGTGGGTTTCATTAGAAGATATTGTATCCAAATTTTATTTAAATTTAAAAAATGACACTTTTTCTTGAAAAGTGAAATTCCCAAATACTATTATACTCTTACCATGCAAATTTCTCCTCACATAAAAAATCAAAAGAGCAGAAGGTATCACAACTGTAGAATATCCTAATAATATCACAAATAACCTCACTGGCCAATCCAATTCATCTGGTGATTTTTCTCGAGCCTGAAATTCAATCAAAAATATTATATAGTTTATTTTTTCAAAAATTGTGAACCTCTAAAAAATACTGAAATACTTGACTAGGAACAGATTGTAAACTAGAATCTAGAGTTTTTAAAGAGTCCATAATATTTAAAACATAAATTGGAATACGATGAATATAAAATGGAATGAAGTGGCGAGGATTAAATAGTTGTCAGATTATTTTGGTTTTGTCGAACACAGATTTGAATCTATCTAAATATCGATTCGAAATTTTCTCTCACCATTTCATCATTAAAAAACGTAATTTTCGCTGATTTTATCGTTTCCAAAACTGATCCTGTTCTTTGAAAATGTTAGAAAATTTAGATAAGTTCCAGAATGTTCCAAGTTTTTTTTTGAAAGGAAATAATGAAAGAATTTTCGATAAGAATCATGCAGTGAATTATTATGAATTCACGAACAAAAATTTCTAAAAACAGGCAAACATGCTTTTGAATGGTTAGATAATAGAAATAATAATTGTGAGAAATAAATTTTTTATTTGGAATTTGTGTGGAACAGAAAAGTTCACGTAACAAAAATCGGAACACAGTCGAAAATTGTGTTTTTTATAAGAGTTCACGTGTTTTTCCAAGTTCACGTGCTTTTCCGAGAAAAAATAAAAATAGTTTACGATCCCGTTTTATTATTTTTTGGACTGGAGAAAATGAATAAAGACTGGAGAACGTGACAAAAATCGCAAGGACTTTAAAATAGGGTGACTATAAAAATTGGAACTTTGGAGTCACTTCAAAAATCCCCTAGTTAAAAATGTACAAATTTCGCTCTATATTATGACTGTGGGAACAAAAAAAACTGAAAGTTTAGTTTCTGGATGTTTTTTGCCACGTTATAACTTTTTTTCAAAATGTTGAAGTTTCTTTTAATTCAATGTTTCGAACGTTTCAAAAAAATATAAATTAAAAAACCTACCGGTATATCAAAACTCTCACTTTGCATATTTTTTATCTGCCTGCAAATGCTCAAATAATTCTGGATTCAACAAAATACTGCACAAATATTGGTATATGTTAATCGGAAACAAATTTGATCGTCATCATCATAATTTTGCGGAAAAATCCTCCCGCAGCGAAAAAATAATAATTTATGATGAAAAAAATAACAACAAAAAACGAAGAAGAAGGGACAAATAAAAAATATACGTATAAAATAAGAAAGAAAAAAATGAAAAAGATGATGATAAAAATGAAAATGGAAATGAAAAATGGGATCTAATCTTGATCACTGTCCTCTGAAGATGACGAAGATGAAGATGGTGATGAAACACTGCTATCCGATTCCATATCGGTATCACTATCGCCTAAAAATTGAAAATTTGGGGGAGAAAATATGACATCCATAATTTTTATGGGAGACATTAATGTGATGGTTTTTTTTTGAAATTAAATTATTTGTTCAAAAACATACCTTCTCGAACTTTTTCTTTCTCTTCCTCCTCTTCATTTTCTTCGTTTTCTCGATCAACTCGATCCGACGTTTCAGCGGCAGCCTGGAAAAAAAAAATGAATTTTGGATTCCAGGTCCATAAGAAAACATATATGAGAAACCGGAAGTTAAAATAGTTCCAAGCTTCAGAATCAGAAATGTATCTAGTTTCATTTCAGAAAAAGACGGTAGTTTCAAATGCACAATGTTAAATATTTCCAACCTTTGCCATTTCCTCTCTTTGTTTTTTCCATCTCGCAGCTGCTTCCAACAATTTGAATGATCCTTTAGCAGCTTGATCTTGTGGGAAAATATAATCGAAATATTCTTCCCATCCAGCATCAACTCCATCTTCTGTTTGAATTTGTCGTCGTTTTTTCACTTTTTTCGGCATCATTTGTTCAACTCGTTTCAATTCTTCTTCATTTCCTGCTCGTTTTTCTGAATCTCTCCATGCTTCTAATAACATTAGTCGTTCTTCTTTATCAGCATTTTCAAGTGATCGATTTGCTCTTTCATAAACCTTTCGGGCTCCGTCAAAGTTTTCAATGCTCTGTTCAAATTCGGCCATCGAGATCCAAACCTGCAATTAAATTGATATTTTTTGACGTGAACTTTGATAAATATTTTGTTAATTTCATTACAAATTATTTTTTAAATTCGGAAAACGAATAAAAAAGAAGACTTGAAGCCAAAAAGTGTTCGAAAAATTGTAACATTGTCTCACCTTGATATGATTTGTTCTCTGCAATAATGTTTCATACAAATCTCTTGCTTTCTCATTTTCTTCAGCCGAAACTTCAAAATCAATATAAGCTTTCCACAATAATTCAGGCATATCCAAAGCAGGTTGTTGAATTGCAATATCAAAAACACCTCTTGCTCTTTCCATATCTCCCAAAAGTGTTTCGAGTTCAGCAAACTTGATCCACGTTGTACTACTTTCTGGTGAATTTTCAATGAATTTCTCATACAATTTCCGGCATCTATCAAACTCTCGAAGCTGCAATTCGAGATCGATATAAGCTCTGAAAAGCTTGTCCTTTGGACATTTTCCAATCGAAACTCCCAAAATTTTCCGAGCTTCCGCCAAGTTCAATTGTCTGATTTCAAATTGTGCAAACATTATCCAAATCTTGGCAAAAGTAAAGAATTTATGAGGAATAATATCGAGACAAGCTGTATAAACCGCTCGTGTTCTTTCAATATCTTTTGCAACAAGTTCTTCATATAACGCGTAATTTATCCAAAGATAAATGTATCTCCGCCAATATCGCTTTTCCTGAAAGGATAATATTTTATAAAGTTTCGGGAAAACTTTAACGAGAAAAAATTACATCATGTGGTGGAACATTGGCAATAGCTCGCTCGTATAAATCTTCAATTTCTTCTTTTGGAGCGTCTTCATTTTCCAACAATCTAAGATAATCAAACCAAGCATCATAATTATAACCATTCTCATCGACCATCTGAAAATCAAATTATTTTCAAATCTCAAAATAAATCGTTACCTTTTCATACTGTGTTTTTCTTTTACTAATAATAACATCTTCAATTCCAACTCTTTCTCCAAATTTTTTCTCATGTTGTGTATAATGTTTGAATATTTCTTCAGTTCTATTTGATGGTAAATTATCCAATCCATATTTGAAAATTGCTCGAGCTCTTTCATGCTCTTTTTGTCTTTCCTCAAATAGTGCAAAAGCAATAAGAATTGTCTCATTAATTGATTCTTCTCCAAAATATTCCATTCCTCGTTCATAAGCAGCTCGAGCATTTCCAATATATCCATTTCTTTCTTCAAATTTCGCATATTTTATCCAATTTTGAACATTCGATCCATGAACATGTAAATATCTTTGATAAATACTTCGAGCTCTATCGATTTCCTTATATCTGATCTCAAAATTGATATAAGTTTGCCATGCTTGCTCTGGCGGTTCCCATTCCATCCATCTTTCAAAGATTTGTCGAGCACCAGGCACATTTTCAATAACTTCTTCCATATACGAATATTTCAGCCAGAATTGTGTTGCTCTTGGCATAATTGTAATTGCTCGATCAAAAACATTTCTTGCGTGGTTAATTTGTTTCGATCGCATTTCCATTTCAGCATATTGCAACCAAATACTAATTGAGCGATGATCCACATCCAAAGCTCTTTCAAAAACAGATCGAGCTCGTTGAATTTCTCCAATCGACTCTTCCCATTTTCCATATTTAATCCAATTTGCAAGTTGTTGTCGATTTTTTCGAATTCCATCTTCAAACTCCTTCCGTTTCTTCCTCTGATATTCTTTAAGCTCTTCCGGATCAGTGATTTTAGTTTTTGGTGGTGGAGGAATCAATTCAAGTTCTCTTTCTTTAGCTTCTCGCAAAAGTTGTTCGGCTGTAATTTGCAAAGGCGCCGGTGCCTTATTCTTTACTTTTGCCGCTTTTTTTGGCAATCGAATCGCCCGATTGCCTGGCATCTCCGAATCATCGTCACTCATTTTTTCAGGCCTAAAAAATATGTTAAAATTTTAATCAATATGAAAGCAGGTGTAAGATACAATATTTTGCAGCTGTGACGAAAAATGTAGTTTCAATAAGCCGCACCTGGCACTCTTTCGAGAAGACGAAAATTATTTTTCTAATTCATCTCAAATTATTTCATAATTCTCGCAGCTCTTTAAACCTATAAAACCCTAATAATCCTACTTACGAAGCACTTTTAAAACGAGCAAAAACAAGAAATGAATTTTTTCGAAAAAATAAAGCGTGGCCTAGAAAAAAATCGTGCACGGTCGCAAAAAACTAGTCCCCCATTAAATCACACTTTTCTTTTTTTTGTTTGTTTGCCGTTCGTTTACAAGTTTCCCTGTTTTTTGACGTCTCTTTTCTATAATTCCCAATTATATTCATGAGGAATTGACACGGTCAAACGATCGATATTTCTATTTCGTCTTTCTTCGTCTTGAAAAGTGCAAAAACATTCGATTTTCACAATTGTCATCATTTTTCAGCTAACACAAATCGAATTAACCATCAAAATATGAGTGATTCGGAAGATGATTTGTCAAGTGGTAGTGTTTCGGATGCTGACGAGCTAGAAGATGAAGTTGAATTGGAAGATGTAACAGTAGATGATCCACCAGCTAGTGATGCAGAAGAGCAAGAAGATGAGATAACTGATAAGAAATGCGAGAAATATTTTCGCAAAGAAATTTGGCAATTGAAGAAATTACCGTATTCCGCAGAAATAGATGAAGAGGCTAACAAACATTTCATTCTTATCAAGGTTTGTTTTCTTATTTACTTTAAGAAAAAACAAATTATTCTATTTTTTCAGAAAGGTCTTGCTGATTCAATTCTTTTGAATGATGCTACATCCGGGTTTTGTCATTGGGTATTAGAATTAGACAAATATATCGATTTGTACGGTCGTCGTTTTTCAAAGGAAGAACATATTCAATTAATCCACCTTCTTCTTCCAATGATCACAAAAGGACATATTTTCCGAAATGTGAAAATTGCGATTCGAAGTGTTTATACTTTGTTATGCAAAAAGGATTATTTGACAAGAGATGATTTGACAATTGATTGGAGACCACTTTATGAATTGTACGTTGAAGTAACATTCAAAAATCTCGAAGAAGATGGATTATTCCTAATGCCAGAAGGTTTTCGAAATGATCTTCTCAGTTTGATATACTATGCAAGATGGTATTTCTCAAAAGAAAGTGTTCAAGAACTTCTCGATGAATGTCGTCCATATATGTGTATTTGGGATGAATCTTGTCAAATGTCATGGAAAGTGTTGGATTTATTCCTTTGTATGTCAATGCCAGCAGAAGATCAGAAAATATATGGAACAAATCTGTGGTTTGAAGAAGCATGGCATTGGTACAAAACAATTGACAACAATTCGCTTTTCGAAACACAGGCACATAAAATGTTTGCAAGAATCAATTACGAAAGTCCAGGAACTATTGATTGGACTGGAAAAATGGACTTGATTTTCACAAGAGTTAGTGAAACTCAGATTTGAGAAAACTAAAATGTTTTTTTCAGCTCGTCAGATCTCTTCGCCTTGGACATATCAATGGATTATGTCAATCATTCAGCCAAGAATCTGCTGCAGTTTTGATTGTTCATCTTTTGGGATCAACATGTCATGAAGAGTAAATTAGTTTTCATAGGGAATTTCGGGAGAAAATACAGCAAACTATTCATACAATTTCTAGTTTGATCATTTTCCGTCCTTTTTTTTTCGAAAATTTACCACTATCTTTAGTGGATTTTTGTACGAAAATTGATAAAAAAGATAGATCAAAAAATCAAAAGATAATCTAGTACTGGAAACAAAAAAATATAAAAACGTTCAAGACACAACAAAAACAGATTATTAACAATTACATTTTTTTCAGACTTATGATTCATTTGAAACAACTTTTCGAACAAGTTGAATCATTCCTTCATCCTTCAAATAATGGATCACATACTCAATATCTCATTACTTTGATATCTAAACTTTGCACACATTTGATTGTTCGTATGAAAAGAGAACGAAATGAAAAACCGAACAAAACAAGAACTATGGCTTTCGTAAGTTTAATACTATTCACAAAACATCTTGTATTCCTCAAAATTTTTTAGGTTCCTGAATATATGCGACTCAATCAACAGATTCTTGATGACTTTGTTAATATTTTGCTCCCATCTTTGAAACTTATGGCATTCACAAAAACCAGTAAAGATCTGGTCAATCCAATCTACCGTAATTGTTGTCTAATGTGCCCGAAGATAATTCTTCCAATTGTTTTGGATATGGTTTATCCGGCACTTGAAACTCTCGTTGAACCACACAGACTTCAACAAACATTGGGAACTCTTGTTGGTGTTCTTATTCCATTGGTTAAAGATGAACCAGATGCCGATGGAAAAACTTATCGAATTCACGCGATAACAATTTTGAACTCACTTTTACCTGGTTTGGATTGTAATGATATTCGAAAATGTATGGTGACTTATCAAATTATTGGAGTTTTAGTAAATATGATTCCATTGGTTGATTGTTCGGATGCAATACATACAAGATGCGATTTGACAGAAGATGAGAAAGAACTTTGTTCAGCGACAGCTAATTTCGATTCGATTATTTCAATGTTGATGGATAGAATGATTGAGATGTTAGTTGCTTGTGGACAATCAGCAAATCCAATTAATGCACAAGGTGCAATTAATGCAAAAGCAGGAAGTAGTAATATTGAAGATCAGATTTTGCATAGAGGAACTCTATCTGTTTTCAAAGGAATTTGTAGAAACAGCAGCAGTGAATTATTCAAAATTGCAATGAATAAATTGTACACTCTTGCATCGGAGAATGTATTCGACAGTCGAATTGTCAATGATGTTATTGGAGATATGATTCAAGTTGCTTGCAAATTCCACCCGGAATTGGCTTTCAATAAATTCTTCAATTTGGTATACTCAAGACTTCAAAATTGCATTACTCCTGAATTTTACACCGAAGAAAAGGTGGATTTCAGTATTCTTTGGTGGATTACAATTGCATCAAGAATAGTGAAAGTTCATCCTGATTATTTATTGGCGAATTGGCCACAAGTCACATCAATGTTGCAATTATTAATGCCATTAAAAAGATGTAATGTTGCAACTGAGAAATCATATTATCTCTATGATAATCTTTTGGAACAACTCACTTATATTCAATTGAATTCATTGGTTGCAAGAAGAAAATTATACGATCTTCCTTCTGATCAATTTTTGGCAATTCGACATTGGGCAGCTCCAGTTGACAAGAAAACATATAAACCAGATTGGTTTATTCCAACACAAGAAACAATTGATAAAGCTGTTGAAATATTGAGAAATTGGCTTGTTCCGAATTTGGCTGTTTTGAATAGTCCACAAGGAATTGACAAGAAAGAATTGTTGCATCGACTTCAAATTATTCGATCAACTATTTTGGGATCTTGTATGGCTGTGCCAGTATTGGCAGGAGAAAATATTCAATTAACTGATTCGCATGTTATTGATCAAAATAAGGAATTCGATTTGGTTATTAAGCCAAAAGGAACACCTGGTATGTTCTTGAATATCAACCAACAATTTTCCAATATTTCAAAATATAAAAATGAAGCGACAAGAATAATTTTCAATTTTAAAATTTCCACGTCATAGGTGACGTTCTAAATGAAATTCAAATATTGAAATTTTAAAAATTCTTCATTTTTTAAATGATTTTTTTGAAATAACCGAAAATTAGGAAAACAACAATAAAGATTGAAGTTTCTAATTTTCCACCAACTGTAAGTCATTTTTTTCCAGAAATTTTACTCGATGGCCAAAATATTCGTCAAATGATGCTGGATACAGTTCTGAATCTCATCGATTATCTTCTCGAAAATAGTCCAGATGATGTGAAATCAATTCAAGAAGCGGTAACAGTTCTTCGCGGATTACCATCAATTCGTGGATATACAAAAGATATGTATGTTAGTGGAATGACAAGTTATCGAGTCACAAAAATAATGCTTTGTGATAAATTGGCTGGAAATAAGAGTAATATTGAGATGATTGTTGAGGAATATATTCTACTTTTGCATAGAGTTTGTTTATTTTTTCATATATTTTTTGGACAAAAAAAAACATCAATTTAATTTTCAGAAACGTATGTCTGCGATCCAAGGGTGGCACTTCAATGAACAACATCAACGAATTTATGAGACACTTTTGAAAGTTGCAACAAGTACATATTCGGAAAATCGAGCAAAAGCGCAAAGTATTTTATTGGCTAAAATTAGACAACATCCATATTCATACAAAAGAATTTTGGATGGTATTTTGAGATTTTTGGATCCAGAAAATGAAGTAACACATGAACAATTGAAAGGTGCATTATATTTATTAATTGATGGAAAGAAACAAGCTATTATTATTCGAATGGAATTTGAACAACAAGCTAAAATTTGGCCAGCTCTTGTTCGAGTTCAACACAGTGAAAAACCGACGATTATTGCGTTGTTGGAAAATGCACAAAATTTGATTGTTGATAATTATGAAAGTTATCGATTGAAATATGAATGGGTAGATGGACAAAGAGAAACTGCCAAGAGATTATTGATGGCTGCTGATGAATGTTCTCCATTACATGATGCTAATATTTTGAAAATGCCAACAAAAGAGCAAATTGATAAATATGAGAATTTGTTGGAAGAGAAGTTTGAATATTCTTTGGCGTGAGTGAATGGGCTTCTTTCAGAAGTTTTTATTTTCAAATATTTTTCTTAAAAAAATGTTTTTTTTTGATTATCCTTGTCGAAAAAACAAACTGATTCAGTTTTTAGCTAAATTTTTTCATTGATTTCCGAAGAAAATTGAATTCATAATTTCAGTACTGTAGAGTTTTATTTTTTAGCTTTGAAATTAGATGATGATAATAAACACAAAAATAAATTTCACAAAATCTTTGACAACTCAAATTTTCAGATCGTATCATAACCTTATCAAACGAATTTATGAACTTGCTTGTGATCCAAATCTTCATTGGAGACCTCTTGATATGGCACATTCAATGCTTTCAATGCAAGTTCGCCGTGATTATCCACTTCCAGATGAAGTCATCAAAATGTTTGTCAAATTATTAATCAATGATACAGTAAAAACACGAAGAATTGCATCAGCTGTTGTTGCTTCTTGGTTGAAAATAATGAAACCAAAAGCAGTCAAACGTGAATTGATTATTCCAAATAAATCACCAAACAGTGGACCTGGCTCGAAATTCCCGATTTATTGCGGTTTGAGAGAAGATAATCGATGTATGATGTATGAAGAGGAGAAATTACCACAAACTGATGAAGAATGGGATGCTTTTCAATTTTGTGGAAAACAACATTGGGGTGTTTACACGTGGCCGGCGAAATTGACAACGTTAGTTTTTTTAAATTTTTTTAAAGAACTACTCGAAATTTTAAACCGGAAGTATAGATTCCGGTTACACACCAATAACATTTTCTAAAAATAATGTTTTTTTTTTCAGCTATGCTCCCCTTAAAGAGCAAAAATCGATTGATCGAAATTATGAGGATTTTTCGGAGACCGAAAAAGCGATTGTTGACACATTCCAAGATGAGAAATTTATGACAAGATTGAGAGAACTTTTCTCGGTTGAAATGAAAAAGGAGGATGAATTATTCAATGCTGTACATTTTACGCTTTTCCAGGTATATTGCTACATTTCTTTTCAAAAATCATTCCAATTTTGTAGGGTTTATTCCGTTGCTTTAATGATGTTCTTTGTCCGGCTTTCAAAACCCAACTCGAAATTTTGATGGCAAGTTCGAAAGAATACGATCAAAAATTGGCATCGGAAATCACTGCGGGTATCATAAATGGGTCGAAATTGTGGAAACATGAAAGACAAAGAAAAATGTGGAATTGGTTGGGACCAATGATTTCGAAAACATTTGAAGTAATGAAAGAAGATGGATTGAGAAATTGGGGTGTTGGAATTGCAACTGTTTGTGGATGTTCAGAAGCGAGAATGTTGAAACCATTGATTGATTTATTATTCAAATTAATTGAAAGACCAACTGATAATGCGTTTTCAGCTAGCTCGTGAGCGATTTTTTCTTTCTTTTTCTTGGAAATTCACATAATGTATTTTTTTCAGTCGATTATTTTTGATCCAATCTGCTTTGTGTCAATTTGAATGGCGTGGAGTTGAATTGTGGAACAAGTTCTTGAACATGTTGAAAACTTCATTAGTTCATCAATACGCCAATCTTAGAGATCGTGTTGCAATGTAAGATTTTTTCAAATTTCAAAAATATGCCACTTATGAATTCAGCCCCCGGTTTAAAAGTTTTTAAAAAACATTCTGGTAGATCAAACAAATTTTTCTAAATCTCATTTTTGCGTTGTCTCTGAATTTTCTTTCAAAATTGAAATTTCACAACCCGAAAGTTCAAACTGTATCTTTTGAAGCGCTTTTGAAAAAAATTCAGTTTCCGAAAATCGATATTTTTGCAGCTCTCTCGTATCTGCGACTTGGTATGATGTTCCTTCAATTCTTGTCGCTCCAAGCACTCCTGAAAATCTTCGGCCACCAAAAATCGAACAAGTCGCAGCTTGGTATCAAGAATTGTTAGCAACGTGTTGGGATGAAGTTAGGATATCAAAAACGGAAGAATGTCCAATAAATGGAACATCAAATGGAGAAATGCATCCATCTCCATCGACTGCTTCATTGGCTGAAACATCGGAAGTCAAAAAAGCGGCAAGATTGGCATTGAAATCCACAATTTCTTATGTTTTCAACACTTGTAATCAATCATATGAAGCTTTCCCCAAATCTTTCATCCCATTTTTGCCACTTTGGTGTCATTATGCAAATGATGTTGGGTTAGTTATTGTTTTGTTTGAAAGAATTAAAAAATGTTTTTTTTCAGAGACGAAGAACTTCAAAAAACATGCAATTCCTTCAATATCGGACATATGGAAGCAATTTATGTTTCGCAAGAAAATGCTCCAAGTGTGCTCAATCAATTCACCCAAATTCTCACTTCGCCATGTTGGTGGAAATCGAAAGTTGTTGCACTTCGAATGATTCGATCTATCGTATTTTCAAATCCATTTGTTTTTAGAAGACATCGAGATGAAATTGGTAAGTAATTGTAACTTTTCTAAAACATATTTAATCTGAATTTAATTTCAGGTCATCTTCTTGTTCATATGTTAAATGATTGTCAAATTGAAGTTCGTGAAAGAGCAGCTGAAGCGTTGAGCACATTGTTGCAATCGAAATTCTTTGAAACCACTCAAGAATTGGTGCAAAAGTTTGACACTGCAGCCACATCGGATAATGCAATTGAATCACATGGTGGAGTTTTGGGATTATCTGCGATTGTTTTGGCATCGCCTTATTCTGTTCCACGTTTTTTGCCGGATGTTTTGATGAGAATTTGTCGATTTGCTACGCATAGAAATGCCACAATTCGGGTTAGTTTTCAGCGATTTGAGAAAAATAGCAGTTCGCAAAACTTTGGCAAATATATATTTCAAACCCGAAGAAATACGCTGGTCTGGGTTTCGAATTTCTTGTGAGAAAATATTGTGTTTGAATTTTTTTCGGTGACGAGAACTAATTTATTCTAGAAATATGATTTTTGAACTTTTTTTTAATAGAAATATTTTAAAATACATTTTAAAATTTATTATTGTAATTTCCTTAAAAATCATAAGGCCACCTTGTCCTATTCGGAAATTTCAACCTCTCAATTTCAACCTTATTCCAAAGTTTTGTTCCATACAACAAAATTTGTTCACAAAATTTCAAAAACGTTTTGTTTTCAAATATTTTTTTTTCTAGGATGCTGTCAAACGCGCATTATCGGAATTCAAACGAACTCATCAAGATTCATGGCGTGAACACGAGCAACAATTCAACGAAGATCAATTGATTGTTCTTCGAAATTTGCTCATTTCTCCAAATTATTACGTCTAATTCATTCATTGTTTTTTTCTATTCACTTTTTTCTCTCGGCATGTGAATTGGCTTTATACGCATTTTTGAAACATGTAATATTTATTTATTTATTCAATTCGTTTTTTACCCGATCCCCCCGTTTTTCTTTATCATCCGGTTGCCTTTTTCCTCCGATTGTGAACTCCTCCTTTTTCCCGATGTTTTCATTTTTATTTTTTGTGTTTTCTTGCCTTCTTTTTTGATGTAGGATTGTAGTTTTTGAGGATTTTTTTGAAAATTGAATCGCGAGGCATCTTCGCACAATTTTAATTTTGTTTTTCTTTCTGGAAATGTTTTGATGATCATGAGTAAAATGGATTTTTCTTTCTATGTTTTTTGTTAAAAAACATTGATATCGTTTAAAGCGATTTTGATACTTCAGAACTTATCCAGAAAAAATTGTCTTTTTCTGATTAAATCTCGATTCATATATTTTTTGTTAATTATTCAGAATACAAATTTCATGCATTACTGTAGTAGAAAATTTAAATTGACTAAATAACATTTTGTGAAAAATGTAGTGTAAAAACCCGTGAGTTCTTAGAAAATACGAATCTTTGCACTCTCTTAATTTGTCCACTATTTCGCACTACATTTCCCTTTTCCCTTTCCATATCTATTCAAAACGCCAATTCCTCTTTGAATATACGATTTTATTTTTCTCGAGTCAAAACATCCAAATTTTAGATGAGCCCTAGATTCTCGCGCGCTTGGCTCACAATAGTGATAATTCAAGCGATGGGCACATTTTTCATGTGTTATGCCAAACAATCAAAAGGTGCACATTACATCGGATCGACTCCAACTTTGGCTCGAGCACATGCTCTTCCATTAGCTCTAGTTCTTGTAACTCGAATTGCTCTCATGTTTGATTTTCGAAATATGACTCTTCAAATTACGCATATTGTTTTGTCGGCAGTTGCAGTTTGTCATACAATCAGTGAGGTTTTCTATTTTCAAACTATGGTTTATGGAATTGTTTCGGTTACCGAGATTACTTTCAATAGTGAGTTTTTTTGGGGTGAGAATTCAGAAGGTTCATAAAAATTCACATAAAAAAATAAAGGACACGTGAAACAATTCCAAGAACTTCTAGGCTTCACCATCGTTATCCTGATTTCATATTTATTCTGTTTGGATGAAGATGAACCAGCACCAAGAGTCCGACAATTTAGTGCTAAACATTATATGGAAGGAACTACTCTTACTCCCGATGAAAATGATATCAATGTGCAAAATTATAAGAAACGAATGTAAAAAGTATATAACTAACAATTGACTGCTTTAATTTTGATCTCGCAAATCGAATCCCACAAAACAAAATAAATGATACTCATTTTCTTTTAATCCTTTATTTCTACAAAAATAATTCATTTCTCTTTCTCATTCTCCCAATCATACGGTGCATCCATTTTTCCTCCGCTATTAACACAAGCCTCTTCCAAAATCTTATAAATGTACGAATAATCAACATGATCTTGATATTTCAATTTGTCAATATAATCGACAATTTTAGACAATTCGGGAGTACATTTGATCTGATTGAAGAAAATATCTCTCTTATTTCTTGCCTCTTCTTTAATTCTCATCACAATATCCTTGTCACTGACTTTGCTCCAAGGCAAACCACCGGGAATTATCAAATCTAAGAGAAGGTAAAACCAACTCTCACAATCATCCTTCCATCCAAGTTCAAGTCCTTTGTGACATCCCAATGATGCGAATTTAACAGTTCCCTTGAATCTAACTGAAACACGGGGAGTTTTCAATTCATTTCGATCATTGATGATTTTTCGAGAAATTCCGAAATCGAGAATATAAATTGTGTGTTTCTTGGCACCATCTCCACATGCATAATTTGCTGGCTTCAAATCACGATGAATGAATCCATATTTATGCAAATCTTCGCATGCTTCGAGACATTGTTGAGAAACTGACAAACCAGTTGGTGCCGAGAATATTTTTCCATCTCGTTTTTTCTTCAAATCGGCCAAACTTGGTCCAGCCAAATCCATAACTAGGAAAAAGTATCCCTCTTTGTCTTTCTTTCCGCGATCTGCAATACTCGTGAAATGTGAATTGTTTCTTTCATTGGACACCAATTTCAGAATCAATATCTCCATTTTGAGTTTTGATTGTCTTTTCTCCTGCTTCTTCTCGATTTTCATCGCATAATATTTGCTGTTTTCCTTATTTTTGACTTTGTACACCGCCCCAAATCCACCTTCTCCGAGAAGTCTTTCAATAATATACGTATGTTTACTGCTAGATATTTCCGTGTTCTGAAATTCAATACAGATTATCCCAACTACTGTAGATCAATCAACTTACCGGTTTGAACACTAACTCCTCTTCCTCTTCGTCAGACATTTGGAAATATTCAAATCAAGGAAAATCGAAAAACTGAGTATCCCTCTTCGATCTGTCGTCTTATATACACCCCAAACATATAAGACACGCGAGAAAAACAGTACGTGAACTAGATCTTTTTGATAGATAAAAAACACATAGAAATCCACATTTCCTTTAATCGTTTTGTACGTGCAAAAAATCGAATTGTGCCGCTATATTTATTTCAAACCTACTCATTTTATCACCTGTTTTCGAATTTTTAGAATTTTCCAAAAACGGAAGTTCCTTTTTTTCTGAAAAGTTTCACCTGATTTCTTATTTGTTCTACACATATTTTGGAACATGTTTTGTAAACGGTTCTGTACATTTATTGAAACTGAACAATTCTACAGTTACACTCTTCATATTCTGACATGTTTCGAAATTCCAATAAATTTATTTGGTGCTTACTGTATCATTTTTAAAACTCCCAATCATATGTTATCAGTTCGATTTAGCATGATAATGGTTCATTTTACAAGCACAGTTCTTGATTTATATTTGAGTCTTTTAACATGTCCTTTTGTTTTTCTACCGTATCCAGCTGGTTATCCAATAGGTTTATTGAAATATTTAGGTGTTCCGACTTCAATCCAAGTTTACTTTGGAGTCAGTTTTATTGGAGGTAGGTATTTCTTCAATCAAGTGAACATTGATCCGAACAACTGAAAGTTTGGCAAATACGGAATGGGTTTCCAAAATGGGTCCGGACCCTTTCTGAAAGCGTTCCGAAAAAATGGGTCCGCGGAACATCACGAAAAAGGGTTCGCGAATTTCAAATGGGTCCGCGACTGATTTTCTATTTTACCAAAATGAGTCCGCGCTTACAAAATGGGTCCGTGCAATTTTTAAAAAAGGGTCCGTGATTTCAAAATGGGTCTCCAATGTTTTTTCAAAATGGGTCCGCGAAAATAAAGAAATATTGAAGGGATTTTGAGAACGTGATGAGACGGCCAAGTATTTTCAGCATGGAATTTTAGCATGAGATTTTTTTCCGGAAGAGTCATTTTTCGCAAGAAGTTTTAGTTTTTCTGGGCGTTCACTAAGCCTAAGCCTGGAACTTAGTCGTGTGAAAAAAATGACTCTTGCGAAATTAAAAATCAAGTAAAAACTGTAAAATTGCTCCTCATCGTTCGGACCCATTTTGAAAAAAACATCGGAGACTCATTTTGAAATCGCGAACCCTTTTTTAAAAATAGCACGGACCCATTTTGTAAGCGCGGACCCATTTTGATAAAATAGAAATTCAGTCGCGGACCCATTTGAAATTTTCGGACCCTTTTTCGTGATGTAGCGCGGACCCATTTCTTGGAGTCATTTCAGAAAGGGTCCGGACCCATTTTGGAAACCCATTCCGTATTTGCCGAAAGTTTTACCTTGTCTTTAAAAATTCAAAGTGCGTTCAACTCCTAAATATTTCAGTTGTTCTAACTTCGTTGGTTAATTTATTTGAAAGTCGCTACAATAAACTGTCAACTAACACCGAAGATTCATTTCGAAGAAAAATTTGTAGATATTCTATAGCAGCAGTTTTATATATCTGGGCATTCACATTTATTCTTCCTGCATATTTTAATATTCCTGATTCAAATTTAGCAATACAAGTTTTGCAAAAAGAACTGCATTGTGTTGAAGGTGAAAAATTCAATAATCCATATTTTTTCTGTTTGACTCTTTATCCAGAAATTGCAATTTTTGCAATTTTATTGACAATATTCCTACTTGTTCCTCAAATGCTTTTTCATCTTATTAGATCGTTTAAAGTTATTAATAAAAATAAACATACGAGTTCGAGAAGAACATATCTTCTTCGATTCAAATTTATGCTAGCACTTTGCATTCAAGTTTTTGTACCTATGATTTTCCTTGTTGTTCCAGCGAGCTTTGTGGTTTTCTCACTGTTTACTCGTTATTTTAATCAAGGAGTTACAAACCTATCCTTGATATTTTTTGCAACACATGGTGGAATTTCTTCAATTGTTACTCTAATCGTTCACAAACCATATCGCGAGTTTACAATCGAAACATTTTATCGTGTCAAATTATTCCGAATTGCTAGGGATAAATTTAAGTATTCACCTTGATCTTACATTAGAATAAAAATATTTACATGTTTTTTTTAAACAAAAATATTCGCGAAAACTTCAAATAACCTAGAATTATCTAAATGAGTAGTTCTATGTATTTGATTTTCTCTTAAAAAAAGAACATTTCCAGGTAAGACAAATACATTTTCTACACCTAGTTCATAGAAAATTCATTGTTTTATTCCAGTACATGATTTGTGAATACTTTAACACTTTTATCGAATCTGAAAATTTCTACATCTACACTCTTCATTTTCTGACATGTTTCGAAATTCCAATAAATTTATTTGGTGCTTACTGTATTATTTTCAAAACACCAAATCATATGTTATCAGTAAAGCCAAGTATGCTTATTTTGGATTTTACAAGCACAATTCTTGATTTATATTTGAGCCTTTTTGTATGTCCTTTTATATTTCTGCCGTATCCAGCTGGATATCCTTTAGGATTATTCAGATTTTTAAATATTCCCACATCAGTTCAAGTTTATCTTGGCATGAGCTTTATTGGAGGTGCGTGTTTACTTTTCATAAAAAATATCTCAAAGTACACCCTCTATTATATACTTAAGTATGATTAATTGAAAAAAATCACAAGTAGGATACAAAAAAAAATTATTTTGTTTTTCAGTTGTCGCAATATCTTTAATAAATTTATTGGAGAGTCGATATAATAAGTTATGTACAATAACAGAAGATTCGAAAAAACGAAAATATCGAAGATATTTTATAGCAATTATTCAATACATTTTTTCATTCACGTTTTTTGCTCCAGTCTATTTCAATATTCCTGATGAGAATTATGCGATTCAAGTTTTAACAAGCGAATTATATTGTGTTGACCCCGAAAAATTCCATAATCCATATTTTTTCTGTTTGACTCTTTATCCAGAAATTGCAATTTTTGCAATTTTATTGACAATATTCCTACTTGTTCCTCAAATGCTTTTTCATCTTATTAGATCGTTTAAAGTTATTAATAAAAATAAACATACGAGTTCGAGAAGAACATATCTTCTTCGATTCAAATTTATGCTAGCACTTTGCATTCAAGTTTTTGTACCTATGATTTTCCTTGTTGTTCCAGCGAGCTTTGTGGTTTTCTCACTGTTTACTCGTTATTTTAATCAAGGAGTTACAAACCTATCCTTGATATTTTTTGCAACACATGGTGGAATTTCTTCAATTGTTACTCTAATCGTTCACAAACCATATCGCGAGTTTACAATCGAAACATTTTATCGTGTCAAATTATTCCGAATTGCTAGGGATAAATTTAAGTATTCACCTTGATCTTACATTAGAATAAAAATATTTACATGTTTTTTTTAAACAAAAATATTCGCGAAAACTTCAAATAACCTAGAATTATCTAAATGAGTAGTTCTATGTATTTGATTTTCTCTTAAAAAAAGAACATTTCCAGGTAAGACAAATACATTTTCTACACCTAGTTCATAGAAAATTCATTGTTTTATTCCAGTACATGATTTGTGAATACTTTAACACTTTTATCGAATCTGAAAATTTCTACATCTACACTCTTCATTTTCTGACATGTTTCGAAATTCCAATAAATTTATTTGGTGCTTACTGTATTATTTTCAAAACACCAAATCATATGTTATCAGTAAAGCCAAGTATGCTTATTTTGGATTTTACAAGCACAATTCTTGATTTATATTTGAGCCTTTTTGTATGTCCTTTTATATTTCTGCCGTATCCAGCTGGATATCCTTTAGGATTATTCAGATTTTTAAATATTCCCACATCAGTTCAAGTTTATCTTGGCATGAGCTTTATTGGAGGTGCGTGTTTACTTTTCATAAAAAATATCTCAAAGTACACCCTCTATTATATACTTAAGTATGATTAATTGAAAAAAATCACAAGTAGGATACAAAAAAAAATTATTTTGTTTTTCAGTTGTCGCAATATCTTTAATAAATTTATTGGAGAGTCGATATAATAAGTTATGTACAATAACAGAAGATTCGAAAAAACGAAAATATCGAAGATATTTTATAGCAATTATTCAATACATTTTTTCATTCACGTTTTTTGCTCCAGTCTATTTCAATATTCCTGATGAGAATTATGCGATTCAAGTTTTAACAAGCGAATTATATTGTGTTGACCCCGAAAAATTCCATAATCCATATTTTTTCTGTTTGACACTTCAACCCGAGATTGCAATGTTTTCTATTTTATCTGCCATAATTTTAGTTGTTCCTCAAATGATATTTTATCCAATTGGATCTTTTCGATATCTCAACAAAAATAGAAACTCAACTTCAAGAACAACATATATTTTTCGAATGAAATTTATTCTGGCACTATGCTTCCAAGTATTCATTCCAGTTATTTTTCTGGTTGTTCCATCAACTTTTGTTGTTTTTTCACTTTATACGAAATATTTTAATCAAGGAATCACAAATTTATCCATGATATTTTTTGCAACACATGGCGGAATATCATCAATTGTTACTCTAATTGTTCACAAACCGTATCGTGATTTTACACTCCAAACACTTTATCAATTCAAAATATTTCGATTTATCATAAAAATTCCGAAAGTAAGAGATCATCGTGAAACTGCATTAGAGTTTTATAAAGAAGCTCGTCCAAAATCAACCGTTGTTGGAAGAAACCTACCTCAAAGGAACTTATATGTACAATAATAACTATTATTGATTATTGATTGTGTCACTTTGAGCCAAAAATATTTTGATGCCAAATAACATTGTCAAATTATAAAAACTTTAGTTGTACTACAGTATTGTTTAACTTATTGAAACTGAAGAACTATTTGTAGACCCTTTTCGACTTTTCACATAATTTTGTAATCAATATAAGCTACACACAGAAGCATGTAACATTTTTGCAAACAGCTTCAAACCAATATAATAATTCAAAACTTCGATGAAAAAAATTCATTTTATGATTGGACAGATTTGAAAAGATCATTGGAATGAATGGCATTTTGGGGTCGAATGTTTTGTCGTTGATTTATTTTCTTCCATAAGCATAATAATATGGAGAAGTATAATAATACATAATTGGTTGGGCTGAGTTCGAATTAGTGTTGGTGTTCGAAGATGGTTGATTTTGATTATTTGTTGCATCATATTGAACATTTTGGCCGGCTTGTTGTTGAGGATATTGTTGTTGTTGTTGCTGTTGTTGATTTTGATTTGTGTATTGTTGATTGGTTTGTTGTTGCTGTTGTGGATAATTTTGTTGTTGTTGTTGAGAATTATCGTTTTGAGTTTGTTGAGTAACTGATCCTGTGGCTACAGTTGGATAGTAATAATACAATGGAGTATAGTAACTGGTTGGATAGTAATAATATTGAGCTGAAGCTGAAGCACAGCACAAAAGAGCCAAAATAATGAATCTAAAAAATAAAATGATTTTCAAAAAACTCTTTGAGAAAACTTACGAGTTCATGTCGATCGTTGGATGAATAGATTGATGATTTTTCTCAAAAACCTTGTCGTTTTTATACCTTTCTATGCTCTGCCATCCCGCCCTTTTTCCACAAAAAAATTTTGCTGTCAAGAGTTCAAAGTAGGTAGGTAAACTTTGCCGGTCATTTCATTTTCGTTTCAGTGAGAGAAATAGTGAGTGTGAACGGGAGATTATTTATTTGCTAGTTGAAAGTTGACAGTGGCACAAAAGTAAATAGGACCTCGAGGGGAGTTCAGCTATTTTTGAGTTTTAGTCACTCATACTATTTTTTGAAACCAAACATTTTATATAAAATTGAGATGATGCGATTTCTAGTGCCACTATTTTTGATAGCAGCTACATTAGTTCAATGTTATTTCTATAATAGTCTTCAGCAAAAACAATATCCGCAAGATTTTGAAGAATCAAGAATTGTGGATTTGACAAATGAAGTGAAATTCGAAAATGTGATGGCAAGAAATCAAAAGCAACCAATGTTTCTCATTTTTTATGGCCGATAAATTTTTTTTGGAAAATTAATTTCATGATGATTTTTTCTAGACATTTTTGAAAATTTCCGAAAAAATTATCTTCGCGAGCAACAAAATCATTTTTTAAATGAATACTGTACTAGTCCCTCAGAGCTTCAATACATCATTATAAAATATTTAGAACATCATAGTTCTCATTTATTTATATCTTCATCTGTTCAAAAAACCACTTTATTTTCAACGTTCCCTTGAGTTTCACATCATCATTAAAATTTTCACAGAAATTGTTATCATCCGCTGATTCAACCAATCCGAAAAACCACTTTTTTTCTAAAATTAGAAAATAGTCTAATGAACATATTGAATTGTTTGACCGGGAGAAACAATTATACCACTTATTTTGTTCTTCTTTAATAAATCTGAAACTTTGAATATGGTATTAAAAATTTGGAGACAGCATCAAAATTCAGCTTACTTTTGAAACTTTTTCGATATTCTGTAACTACAGACATTAATATCATACTATCAATTGGAGGAAATAAACTGAATGTTGAAATAAGTACACCGCTTTCGAACGAAAATTTCAATTTGAACAACGGAGCAAAAAATATTGGGACCAATGGGAGATAAAACAGAATACACGGTCCACTGATCTACAAAAAAATTAAAACTGAATGAACAATTTTGAAGAAAAAATACCTGGAACACTAAAACTTTCAAAAATTGTTTTTGTAAATTTTTATAAGAGTTTGACATGTGATTCTGATTCTTCTCCAATTCTCGATTCATTCGAATACCGCAAAAAACCATAACAGAGAATTGAAAAACCACAACACCTAGTAAACTTCCACTTCCAGCCATACCACTCTATAAAAAACTTTTTGTGTCATTAAGAAATTCCAGAATTCTGTTTTGTTACATTTCCGACGAATACGAATCCATGCGTCTTTTCAATCAGTACATTATAAGTTTCAATGAAAGTTTCTCTAAGTTGTTCTTTTTCCTGACTTGAAGATGGACATAACATAAAAATTGCGCTTGTGTAAATGAGGCCAAATGAGAAAGCATAAGAAACCCAGAGAATCAATTTGCAACCTTGAAATTGCGATGCTCTCGGATTGCTAAAATATTGAAAGTTTTTTTTTTACCAAACTAGATAAACTCCAAAGCACAAGTTGTAAGCTATGATTATTTTTTGAAACTTACTTCGTCACGACAAAATATCGATATATAAACTGAACTGCGATAAAACTTATAAGCGAAGAGTGGAGAAACGCATACAGCAAAAGTGAAGCTAACATCCAAAAATCTCCAAAAACATCTTGAAATGTAAAATAGAAAAATACTTCATTATATGAATGAAAAAATGGATGAACCAAAATATCCAAAATCGAAAAACATAGTCCAAGTAAAGCGGCAATAACAATCAAATTTCGATAAATTCCAAGAATTTTTTGAATTTTGAACAAGGTTATATAAATTACAACGGGATTCAAAATAAGGGTCAAAAAGAGACCGATAACTGATAAAATAAATGAGAATTCATAGAGAATAGACATTCTTTGGCCGGCTAGTGGTAGAAATGAAAAAATGCTTTCTGGAGTGCACTTTTTCGACTGGCTCCTAGAGCTTATAATTAACACTTCTCATTATCATTTGGGATTTATCATGAGTTTGATTTTCTAGGAAATTCTTCGATTAAAAAGCATTTATGATAAGTATAATAGAAGATAATTTATCTCAAATTAAACTATTCAAAAAGGACATTGAAAACATTGCAAAACATAGAATAATGGTTTCTGATGTTTCTGCAATCAAATTTTGTTTTGTTGAAATTCTTCATTCAAAGTTTATTCTATTTGAAAAATTAGTAAATATTGAAACAGTAAACATATGTTTTTTGAACATTGACAGAATAAATAAATAGAGTTAAGGTTTTTAGACTTTTCAAAGTGAGTTAAAAATAGAGGGAGCACAGGAATTTCTGTAAGTATAAAAAATGTCAAAATACTGTGATTGGGGATTATCTTATCAGCATAAACCCTATAAAAATAATTCAGAATTTTCAAAAAAAATACAATTTGAAAAATGAAAAATTTTGATCTACCATTTCAAAACATTTTTTGACCACTTTCACTGCTTGGGATATGTTTTTCCAATAATCAACTTGTTTACGAGTTATAACCGACAATTAATTGTTGAAAAAAAATGTCAGCAAATTTCACAAAACGTGAAAATGGTTACGTGGACTATCTTTGTTTCATTCTCAATTTGCAGAAATGCTGAAAACGGTGAGTTCTAATTAATAGGTTTTTTTTGAAATTTTTTTTTCTTTCCAGAAAAAAGTTTGCAATTTGTTTCGAAATACGCCGCCTCCTTCGAAGAAATTTACAGAGGAATTTATGAAAACATCCTGGCTGAAACATTAACTACTGTAAGTTTTGTTGTTTATAATTCCTTCAAATAATTCATTTTTTCAAACCATTTCATTTATGAATATAGATCTCAAGAAATCTTGAAATTGTTCCGTGAATTTCATTAAAAATGTTTGAATATTTATTCCAGAAAATTAAAGTTTTTCACTAAAATGTTTACTTCTAAACTAGAGAGAAACTCTGTAAAACTTGAGCCTGAATCGAATTCCCTAGCGGAATCGAAAATGTCAAATATTTTATGAGAAATGTTTTATGTGACATTGGGTTAAAAATTTGTGAACTCAGTTTTTTTTCTAGAAAAATCATATCCCTTTCCGATTTTGTGTATCATTATTTTTATTATTCGTGTATATCACCTGTTGTCATTCATATTTCATATTCGAAAAAAAATGAAACATGATACTTATATTTTATCCGAATGTCCGAAAAATTCCTTCCTTTTTCCTTCTTATTTTCTCTCATTTTTGAATGAGTTGTAGTAAAAAGTATAAGATATACATTTCGAGAATTCTTCTATCTAATTAAATTGTTCTTGCATACTATTTCCTTCTCAAGTGTTCAATTTATTCCAAAAAAAAGAAAAACCTATTTTCTTCGGATAGAGACGCAGAAAAGCGAAAAATCTATTTATTTTTCATGCTCCGAATTTTTTTGCACCATTTGATGGGTCATTTTGTTTTTGGAGGATGTACCAGTTTGTGAAAGAACACATACTTGATTAAATATTTATCGGAATTTGGCTCTTATTTTTTTCTGGAAAACTGATGAAAAATGATAACTGGACTTTTCTTGAATGAAATAAATAGAAAAACAAATATTAGGCTCGTCATTTGATTAATACTTAGGTTCTAGTTAATTTCCACGTGGCTCTAATTTTTCTTTTTGTTTTCTTTTTTTCCCAAGGATTAAAATTTGCATGCATAAATATTTCGCACATTCAACTATCCAAAATCGATTTTTGTTTTTTTTTTCTTGAAGAAATAAATTCATGTAGATTTTTTCAGCTCTCAAATGAGAAACGGGGCACTTCGCAGAAGAGAAGCATTGTTGCGAAAATCGTCGAAAAATCGGAAATTTTGTGATGTAAGCTGCGCGAGATTTGATGAAAATGAGGAATATGAAAAACTTGCGGTTAGTTTATTTTTTGAGGGAATGGATGAGACTGAGTAGAAATTGAATTACGGGAAAATAAGGAATGAAAATTGGGTAGATTCTGAAAATTTGAGCTGAAAATGAGAATCCACCGACAAGGCTAATTGTACGCGTATATAAAAGAGCATAGGTTTTCACGTTTTGAGTCAAAAAAATTCGACGTGAACAACCTAAAAAAATTGTATTTTATATTATCGAATTAAAAATCTGCGTTTTAAATCAAAAAGTCGTGTAGAGTTATTTTGCAGACCACCGCGGTCTGCTTTTTAACTCAAAACACCATGCAAAGTTAATTTGCAGACCACCGCGGTCTGCTTTTTAACTCAAAACACCATGCAAAGTTAATTTGCAGACCACCGCGGTCTGCTTTTTAAATGAAAACACCATGCAAAGTTAATTTGCAGACCACCGCGGTCTGCTTTTTAACTCAAAACACCATGCAAAGTTAATTTGCAGACCACCGCGGTCTGCTTTTTAAATGAAAACACCATGCAAAGTTAATTTGCAGACCACCGCGGTCTGCTTTTTAACTCAAAACACCATGCAAAGTTAATTTGCAGACCACCGCGGTCTGCTTTTTAACTCAAAACACCATGCAAAGTTAATTTGCAGACCACGTGGTCTGCTTTTTAAATCAAAACACCTTGCAAAGTTAATTTGCAGACCACCGTGGTCTGCTTTTTAAATAAAGCAACCGTGTAGAGTTAATTTGCAGACCACCGCGGTCTGCTTTTTAAATAAAGCAACCGTGTAGAGTTAATTTGCAGACCACCGCGGTCTGCTTTTTAACTCAAAACACCATGCAAAGTTAATTTGCAGACCACGTGGTCTGCTTTTTAAATCAAAACACCTTGCAAAGTTAATTTGCAGACCACCGTGGTCTGCTTTTTAAATAAAGCAACCGTGTAGAGTTAATTTGCAGACCACCGTGGTCTGCTTTTTAAATAAAGCAACCGTGTAGAGTTAATTTGCAGACCACCGCGGTCTGCTTTTTAACTCAAAACACCATGCAAAGTTAATTTGCAGACCACCGCGGTCTGCTTTTTAACTCAAAACACCGTGCAAAGTTAATTTGCAGACCACGTGGTCTGCTTTTTTAAATCAAAACACCTTGCAAAGTTAATTTGCAGACCACGTGGTCTGCTTTTTAAATCAAAAAGTCGTGTAGAGTTAATTTGCAGACCACCGCGCATCCCACATATTTGCTTTTGTTATTTTTTAATTTTTTTCAAACTGAAAAACTATTTCTCAAAAACTTTCACTTTGTAAAATTTCAAAAAAAAACTATAATAAAAGTCTGATGACATTGTCTATCTCTATAAAATGGCCGGATATTTTAATCATTCGAAACAAAGAGAAAACTATAAATCTTTTTTGGTTTCGCGGTGGCCGAAGAATAGTTTCCCTGTTGAGATGTTGATTCGCATTTTTATCATAGTTTTTATATTTTTATCGTTGCCTTCTGTTAGAAATGTGTTTCTGTACAAGCAATATTATACATAACATACTAGATTTTTTTCTCAAAAATTATTTTCTTAAAAATACCCCAGGATAAATTTCTAAATTATTAGAATGGGAATTGATACATTTTGAAATCATTTCATTTTATTTTATTTCCATTTCAAACCAATACATTCAGTCTTTTTGTTGTTGTTGTTTTGTACACTTTTTGTATTTCATTTTAGTATTGTAATACATACACATTTATACATACTTTTTTATGCAAATTTTGTCGTATCACAAGATAATACTTTCTGTAAACAAGCACTTGAAGATTGTCACCTTTATTTTGGAAAAATGAATTTTGCGCGAGCTGGTTTTTTCTCACCACTTGAGGTGTTAATTTTCAACGATATAATATAGTTAGTACTTGAATTTTGAGAATGGAATTGCGGAGGAAAGTCTGACATTTTTTGGATAAAGTTTTCACCAAACGATAAAATTTTATTATTCAATTTGAAATTTTGACAGTTTCTAGGTACTCGCATTTTTTCAGAAATTCAAATTTTTGAAAAATACGGATAGTATTTTTTCTCTGGCTTTCAGGAAGGATAGAAAAATTAAATGACTTTTATGAGGTATGACTCGATTCTTAAAAAAATGTCAATAACGATGTTCAGTTCTCCTGAAAAACTATATTTTTTTTATAATTGGCGCCAAATGTTGTCTAAATGCTTGTTCCAAATATAATCATTTTTATGACTTGAATCACCTTATTCGAATCATTTTATTGTTATTCTTTTCCTTCATCTAATTCTTCTTCTTCCTTCGTCATTCTTCATTTTTGTTGTTCTTTTCATTTTTCTATTTTCCTCATATTTTTTCTTCTTCTTCGTTCATTTTTCCGAAAATCGTTCCGGTCGTTCAATTCTTCCGACTTGCGAAAAAAGTGCTTACGTTCTTCTAATGTAAAACGGCCGGAATGAATTTATTTGCACACACCGCCGCGCCCGGAACATTTTTCAATTTTTGCTTTTTGTTGTCCATCACAGTGACTTTTTATCGATTTTTTTGGTCGATTGATGTTTAAAAATTTGATATTCGATACCTTTTTGGTTATTTTTTTTGTTAAACAAAATAAAATCGAAAAAATAATATTTTTTTTTGTTTTTCTCGTTCTCTATAAAAAATAATAAATTGAAGTACACCATATGTATTCACTTTTTCTCTTTCGAAAAACATAGCGTTCACTTTTTGTATATTTTTTAGTGAATAAAAAATTCGTGAATTTAGAAAAAAGATATCTATGTTTGTATTTGAATAAGAATAATTATAATAATATGCGCACCTCTCTGATCGCCAATTATTTATTAGACAGTCGCAAAAATTTGCGTCTTTTTTCTTCAATGTTTACTGACTGACTGACCGATTGCAATGTGTCAGAATTTTCCGAATTTCTCATTTTGTTTTTGGATGATTTAGGATTTGAAGGATTTTTTAAATTCAGAATTCAGAATTCATACATTTCTTTTTGAAAAAATTTGAACTTTTTGCTCTATTTTTCGAACAATTTTATTTTGGAAAGAAAATTTCAAAATTATTAATTTTAGGTTAAAAATGAATTTTATGACCTATTTTTAGAACATTTTTTGAATTAAAAAAAATAAGGACCCGGATGATTTCAAAAGTAAGCCAAAAATTATTGTCCTCATACTGTCAAATAAGACGGATGAACTTTGGCACAATTTCTAAGATTATCTTGCTAATCCCAAATCTTCTTAGCAATTTTTTTCGAAATGCCTTTATTTTTATCTGTTTTTGCTTCAAATTAGCTCCAATGATTATAATCGTAAACTGTGCAAGCTTTTCCATTTTTCGGCGACCTCTTGAACCTTGATGTTAATCATGTCTATTCTTTTTCTCTCTATTTCTCTCATTCTCTCCCCCTCTCTCAATTATTTCAAAATCTCCGCCCAAAGTTTCACGAACTTTGACAGTCTCTTTTTCCCTCTTTTTCTCTCTTTCCTCTCGCTTTTTTCATTCAATATTGACTTTTTTTTGAAAAATTCTGAAAATGTTTGAATTGCGAAAAGCATTGCAAAAAACGTTTATCATGAGTAAAACAAACATTTTTTATGTGCATAAAAGGAAACACTGATAAAACGTATGTTTTATCAATTTTTTTTCGTTGCTATCAATAAATAAATATAAAATAAAATAATGTCATATTATTTTTTTTCTATTTTTTGTTGAAAAATTTAATTGATTTTTTGTTGTCTTGGAAACTGTTTTGCCGAATTTTTAATTTATCTTCGTTCCCAAATATTTATTTAAATTTCTCACGTCCTTTTTTCTTTTTCAATTTGCCGCCTTTTCTAAATTTGTTTAATAAATTCAGATGCGCATATAAGAAGAAGTAGAAGCTACCGTATTCCCGGTTGCCGAATAAATCTCATATCGAAAAACTTTTTGCCTTTATTTTATATTACGAAATGTTGTTGGAAAATTCTAATAATTATGTGAGTTTGTATTTTTTTCTCTTTTTGTATATGGTTAGTTAGAATAAGTAGTAGAATAATTCCGATTGACCTGTTTCGAGTGTTTTTTGTTGGTTAGTTGAATCAAGCAAAAAAAAATGAAAAGAGGATAATTTGATTCGCTCGCCGCAAAGAAATGTTAATTGGAAGAAAAACGGGATTTTTTGATTGATTTCGTGGGAAAAATTGAAATTTATCTCTCTTGTTTTTTTGGGGGAGGAAATTGGAAATTTTGAAATTGGATTACATAAAGAAACATCCAACGTTTTTGAATTTCTGGAAAAAATTAACAGTACCGAAAATTTTAGATAATTTTTCTGAAATGATATCTGAGCCTGAAAATCATTACCACATTTTTTATCTGGATGAGGGCCAGGACAATTTTCTTAACTGGCCAAGAAAATCTATATGATTATGAACTTGGTCTAAATTGTCCCCATTCAAATATTCTAAAAATCAAATGTGGTCTGTTTTCATAACCTTCCAATTTTTTGCCCAATTTTTTTCCATTCTTTTCACACTATCTCATTTACAATACTCGTTCGTTTGTTAGTAAATAGTTTATTTTATGAGTGATTGATGATGACCTTTTTTCTCTCGTCTTTATATACATACACACCTTTTTGTTAGGTGCCCTCTACCTTTTTGATGGCAGAAATTGATAAACATTAGACATATATGTGTGAAATTGACCGAAGACAAAAAGACAATGAACTGGGATAATAAATTTTGTCTTGGCTCTTTGCTCTTTTTTCGTTGCTCCAAAGTATGAATTAATGAGTTTGCCAACTGACACGACACTTTTTTTGTGTTTTTTCTTGTCAGATTTTGTTTGAAAATGAAATGGGAAAAATGGATTAATACATAGTAAATGGGTTCGTTTTCTTACGCCCAACAATTAGTATATGTCCTTCGTAAAATTGGTATTACATAACATTGAAAAAAACGAAATAATAACAGATTAAATAAAAAAAGGTAGCAAATTTGCATTTGGTAATAGTAGTAAAAAAGAATTAAAAAACTGGTTTGAATTCTCGATTGGGGAAATGAAAAAAAGAGAAAACATTGTAAAAGGGTTGAAATTTACGAATTTTCAGGCTCAACTAAAATCTATAGTTGGAAGAAGTGCCGTTTGTGTCAATGGAATCGCGCTACATCAACAAACTGATACACTTTTGCAAGTTGCTGGGTTAGTTTTAGGGAAAGATATTTGGAAAATTAGAAGTCGGGAAATTAGGAAAGAAATTAGAAACTCGACAAAAAATCTCGCCTCTATAGAGATATTTACCCCAATTCCAAGTTTTTTTTTAAAGAATTTGATTTTCCTGATTTTTTGAGAAAGGAATAATTGAAAAGAAAAATTGACAGTTATTTTGATTCCGATCTTCAATTTACATTTTTTTTTTCCAGAAGTTCTGTGATAGTGACCTCAACATCGAATCAAGATCATCTCGAAGGACATTTAATATCAGTTGCCAAACAACAATTCAGTTGTGTTTCCATCACTTCGTGTGGAAGATTTGCGGCAACTGGTGAAAATGGACATAATCCAAGTGTTCGATTATGGCAAATTCGAGATGATCGAGGAAATTTTGTGGGAAAATTGATAAGATCAATGAATGCGCATAGTGTTGGAATTAATATAGTAGTGAGTTCACTTTTTTGAAGATGAGAAAATAATAAAAATAATGATTTTTTTTTGCAGCGTTTTACCCCGGATGATTCGACTCTCATTTCAATTGGATGTCAACACGATGCTCAAATTATAACTTGGGATTGGAAAAATGGATTGGATTTAGGTGTTGGAAAACTGATGTCACCTGTAAATGCTCTAACAATTTCATATGATAGTAGTATGTGTGTTACTGTTGGTGCAAAAAGTGTCAAATATTGGTTTTTGCCAATGGCTTCGGATGGAGTTTCAAAAAGAGCTGGTTTAACGGTGAGAAACAAAATTAAGATGAAAAAACAGAGTTGAAACACTACAGTAGTTTTCAGCCCTAAATGTCTATACAGATTCAACGTGTTCCAATGATTTGTCATTTTTCAGAGTCGATCCGCTATTTTGGCCGATAAAAGAAATGTAAATTTTGTCGACGCAACATTTTGTGATTCAACAAATCGTTTAGTTGCTGTAACTGCTACTGGAGAAATTGTTGAATTCAATGGAAATAAAAAATATGTGAAATGTTATAATTGGAAAGATTCTGGAGATTTCAAAGCTGTCTGTATATCTCGAATTCCCGAAGGCCTTCTGGTAAGACATTTTTCTCAAAAACAATATCTGAACATATTTTTTTTCAGATTGGATGTTCGGATGGACTTGTTAGACTATTTTGTCTTCTTGGAGATGATCTCGATTTCTTAGCCGATCTTGCTCCACCGATGCATATTTTAATAGATCCATCGATTGTTGATTCGCCCCAAAAACTTCAAGATCATCCAGACGATGCAATGTTAGTTTAAAAAACAAATATGAAATGAATAAAATTCTCAAATTATTTTTTTCAGATTTCCTGAACCTCGATGTATTGTTTCCTCTCCATTTGGACCTCATTTTGTTGTTGGATATTCTGATCGTTCTCTAGTTGCATTTTCTAGAGATCATGGGAATTGGGGGTTCAAACGAGCAAGTCTTGGACATGTTGGATCTGTGAATTGTATTGAATCATTTCCGAGCACATCGCCTTGTTTACCACCTGGAACTGTTATAACTGGAGGAAGTGATGGAACAATCAGATTTTGGAATTTTGAAGCAAATGAAAATCGAGCTGAAGTTTCGAATATTTTATGTCCATCACTTTTGAAAGTTGTTTATTTGGATGATAATCAGGAATTGTTGACGGATCGAAGAATTTTGGATACTGTTGGACCGGCGAAAGAAGATGAAGAAAGTGTTGGAGGAGGAGTTCTTTGTACAAAAGTATCACATGATGGAAGAATGATGGTAGCTGGAACATCGAATGGAATGTTGTAGTGAGTTTTTTATAAACTTGTAATATATTACTGAAAAATAACATTCTAGCTTGATTGATTTATCCTTCTCCGATATGCCAATTCTTGACGTCATCAATGCTCATGATAATGAAATTTGTTCCCTCGATTTTTCTGACCATGCCTCAACTTCTTCAAATGATCAACCAGCTTTTCTTGTATCCGGCGGACGTGATCGATTTGTTCACATTTTCCGAAAAGTTCCATATAGCTCGGAATTTGTTCATTGTGCAGTTTTGGATTCACACAAAGCAGCTATCAAAAGTGTGAAATTTGCTGCGGTTAGTTCTTTTTTTTTTTGAAAATGAAAATTTAATTTAATTTCACGCCACGTGGCCAAACATTTTTGTGAAAAAAATCATTTCAAAATTTTAGAACAATGGAAAATTGCATTTGTATACTTGTGCTGTTGATCGAACAATGATAATTTGGAGATTTGATAACTTCAAAGAAAATCAGAATCTTTGCGAATTTTCAAGACTTCAACAAATTCAAACAAGTTCAAGTATAAGTGATATGAAATTCATAAGATACTGTGATTTAATTGTGATTGGAGGACATGATCGAATTTTGAAACATTATGATTTAGAAGGAAAACATTTAAGAGATGTGAAATCAATGGATGATTCAGAAATTGCTGGAAAAATTGTGAAGATTGCAATTGACAGTTCGGGTTCATATGTATGCACAATTTGTTCGGATAAATATATTTATTTATCGGATTTGAGAACTGGGAATTGTTTGGCAATTTTATGCGGTTTTGGTGCTCCACCAACTGATGTTGTATTTTCTGATGATTTTCGATGTGTTTTTGTCACAACTGCAAATGGTGCTATATTTATATGGAGAATTGCAAAGAATTTAACGGAGAGAATGATTTCGGCTCAAGTTCGATTGATGGAACAAGTTACTATGAGGTAAGTGACACGGGAAAAACAATTATTGTTAATTTCAAAATAACATTACAACTTTCAAAAATTTCAAAATCCTAATTTTCAGTTTGTCTCTGATTTTTCTCATTCACTGATCACCTTCTCGAATTTTCTTGTTTCTCCCAAAATACAATAATAAAAGCCATTTATAAAGCGAGAAAAGAAAATTGGGCGTCGGAAGGAAAGATTTGAACATTAGATTTCGAAGGGGATTTTTACTGATTTCGATCAATTTCATTATTTCAACAGCCGCCTTCCTTTTTGTTTTGCTTTGTTTCGCGCAAAAAATTAATTTTAGAGAACACTTTTGAACCGCAAGTTTCATATTTCATAAATTTTCAGAACTGCATCACCTGATAGCCTTTTGGGAAGTGGAAGTGAAACAATCAGTGAATCAACACATTCATTTTCAAAACCTCTTGGAGCACCAGAATTCTCGGGAAGCACAACTTCTTTAGGATCAAACGACGATTTTAGTGCCACTGGATCACAGATGAAAAACAACACGTGGCACCCGATTGGTGGATCGAGTTATGCAAGAATTGGTGACAGGTGGGTACTTTTTTCGGGGGGCCGCTCAACTTTACACTAGAGTTTTTTTGAATTGAAATTTCATTTGTTGTTTGCGCATCTGTTTGGGGGCATCGATTTCCGGAGAGGCAATTTTTTATTTTTCGTTTTAGTTTTAGAGTTTTGTTGGATTTTTTGGCTGGAATGATATTCGGGCCAAAATTAGGCACTATATTTTTCGGATATGCGAATGGAAAATTTCCTTTTTCTCTAGAAATACTTAAAGTTTTCTCTCAAATTTTGTATTGGAAGTTTAAATTCGAAAAAGTTTAAATTCGAAAAAAAGTTTGAATTCGAAAAAAAAAGTTTAAATTCGAAAAAAAAATATTTGGTGACGTTGGTATAATTTTTTAGGAAGCACTGAAAAATCAACAGTTTACATGCTTGACCAGACCAGCTTTTTCTTCTTTCTTCGTAATGTCAAAATTTTTATACAATAATAGTGAGTAATGCAAATTTTGTTGGATTGTCATCACTCTACCCTTTTATTCTTTTTCTTCTTCTTCTTCATCATTGTTGTTACCAGCCACAAAAATTTGTATTTTATTTTATTATTCATGACTATCTTTTGTTACTTTGTACGGTTTTCAAGGGGGATTGATTGGATTAAGTACAGGTTTTCGTTTCCCTCGATTTAGTGGAATTCCGAAAATAATTAGCACCTACTTCTTTTTTTTTGCTTGCTTGCTTGGTTTTGGGTTTTTCAAGCTGAATGATGATGATCTGTTTGTTTAAGCGATCGGAATAGAAGAAAAAGACGGACTTTTTGACCGGTCTCTATTTTTGTTTGTCTCCTCTCGTTTTCCTATTCTTTTTTATTTATGTTTATATTTATATTCATATTTCTTCCTTTTGTTTTGAGTTCAGTTCTTCTAAAGGTTCATTTTTCTCACCCACTATAGTATAGTTTTTGTATTCATTTGCAAAAAATGAGACGTTTGTTATCTTGACAATCGAGATTAGATTACTCGTGCGCCTCATTGGCTCAGTGGTAGAGCGTCTGTCTAGTAAACAGAAGGTCGCTGGTTCGATTCCAGCATGAGGCACCGAAACATTTTTATCGGAATTTTTGTTTTTTATTTTGAATATTTCTAATACTATTTGTGGTGGTCTTAGAATGTTCAATGAACCGTTGGATAATTTTTAGATGATCTGACTAATGGGTCGTGATTTAATAACTTTTATTACACATTCATCTTACTTTTACCCGCTCTCCCACACAATTTTACTGGAAAAATGTTCAAAAAAATTGTAGAACAGTTGTTGTGTTCTTCGTTATTAATTACCCGGATTCATTTTATCTAGAAGGTTCAGCCGATTTCTTCCAAGCTGGATTTCTTTCATTTTTTCGACGTCACACTTGGTCGGATATAAAACATATGCTTTTTTTGTGTATTCAGAATTTTATTGAACTAACATAAATCTTTGTTGAATCTATTTTAGTTATTCTGGTCTTCTTCAAAATATCGAACACAATGGAATATTCTAAAAATTTCATAAATTTTCCAATATTCAATTTTTTAGAGCACTCTTTCTAACTCGATTTGTATAGCTCTGTTCTCCCTAAAATACCTGTGTTCTTTCTGACTCATCCATCCAACAGCATTTTTCTATAAAAAATTTTGTCTGTGTTCTATATTTTTTGCAATTCGTCACACCTGGTCGGATTTGTATCTAATATGTTTTTCAATTTCATTTTGTATAGAATAATATGAGTTTTCTATGTTTTTTCAAAAACAAAAAAATCAAAAGTGTAATATGTTTTCATAAAAATCAGAAGAAGAAGATAGCTTTAGAGGATTTCGTAATTTTACTTGTTCGTTTTCTAAAAAAAGAGAAAATAAATATATTCAGGTCATTTTCGAATTTCGAATTATTTTGCGCATATTTTGGTATGATAATAATATTAATAATATAAATAAAAGACTATTAATGATAGGGAAAAAGTTATGCAAAACATGTCAAAATGTCCTTGAAATTTCGCGCGGAATGTAAACAAAAATGTTGTTTTCTCGATTTGATTTCATAAATATCTAAGTAATTTTATATCATTTTTATTTTCTTTTTCTTGATTTTCCCAAATTTCTTTTTTCTTGACCACTTCTTTTTTCCAAATTTTTTTGCCGTGTTGTAAATGTTTCTTTGAATGACCAGCTGTCGGTCTTCCAATTTATCACTTTATCACATTTTTTTCGTGATTATTTTGTTGGAAGAAAAATTATTACTTTTGGATTTTCTAAGATAGTGAGAAAAATGCTTATTGTTGCGCGGTAAATTGAGATTTATTATTATTTTTTCCTGCAGACAATTTGGAATTTTTCAGCTCATTCTCGCCAAGTGTTCAATCGGCGCCGGCGGTTGAAAGAAGAACGCACACCAATTTATTTTCACCAAGTGATCAGTACGGTAGGTTTTTGGTGAGGGAGGGGTGTTCAGATTATTAGAATTGTAGAGGATTTGAAAAGTGATGAGAATTCTGTGTTAGCCTGAAAATTACAGTTAGATAATTTAGGAATAATTTTTGAAATCGTAAATTTTCCATTGGAATATTAGTTTATTACGAAAATCTGAATTTATTACATTTAATTTTTTTCTCATAGAAAGTTTTCGCGCCTAATAAAAACTGATATAAAATTATTCTTGATCAAAGTTTTAAGTGTATTCTCAAAGGTATAATAAGTTGATATTTATCACTATTTTAATGAGCCAAGGTATTATTATTATTATTATTTTAATTTCATCTACATAAACACAAAATTCCAACATAACTAAAAAAATTTTTTTCAGAAACTGACGCTTCTGAAACACAATCTGATTTCATATCTGCCGGATCTCGTCGACGAAATAATCGCATATTTTCTGAAGAAGATCAACATAATAACTTCTTAGCTGCACCAATTGGCGAAGTTCGACGATCTGCTTCCCCGTTGTCACCATTTGGTGGCGCTGCGCATTTACAACAAGACGATTCGCTGAGAGGATATCAATCAAGTAAATCGATGATGAATTTACGGTGAGTTGTGTTTTTGGAACATTTTTTTTTCTTTTTTTCGAAAAAAAAAACGCAAAAGCTTTTTTTAAAATGAAATGTGATGTAAATTCAATTTGCCATCCCCGAAAAATCTCGAAAATATATTTTTTATTTTTCAGTGACGTTTCTGGACGTGTTCCAACTGCCAAAGAACTCATGTTATCTCATATTCGAAATTCAAATGGAGGTGGATCTTCTTCGAATCTTGGATCGACGACACCAACTTCAAGAATGCGATGGGGAGAAATGGCGCCAGTTCAACAGAATCGTGAGTTCTCAAAAAATTGATGTGCTAGAAAATTAGAACTTCTCAAAAATATTTTTTCGAAATAAGTTTCCACAATATTTTTTAACTCGTTAAAAATGTACGGTCCTCACATGAGATTCTCACGAGTTTCTTTTGTGCAAAATGCACTTGAAGATGGGAAAACATAGTTAGTTTTTTTGCTGTTGAAAGAAGAATAAATATAACCTCCTTGAAAATGTGCCATTATTAATTACCCTTATTTATTTTCCCATTCGCCCACCTTCTTCCTTTTTCCTCTTTTTACCCCATAAGAAAATGGTGTGACAGGCAGGTGCAAGAAAAAAGGAACATTATTGATTCATTTTTCGGTAACCTTGAAAGCTCACCTTTTTCTTTGTTTTGTTTTCGTTTTTTTCTAAATCGAAAAGTTTAGTTTATGTAAATTTTTGTGACTTTTTCTTCTCTCAATTTACATTAAAATATTTAATTGAAATTCAACCTCCTAGTCACTCGCAACAAAAAAAACGAAACAAAATATCACATTTCGTATTTTTTGTCATGCATTTTTTATTATTCTCCATTTTTTTTCAGCCTCGAACGATTGGCAACCTAGTTCAACAAGTGATATTCATCATATTTCACCGGTTATGGTTTCGCCAATGAACAGATCTGTTTATCAGAATGGACCACCGCCTGTTACACCAAGAACTACTTCGAGATTATTGACGACGCCACCATCACACCAAGCATTGCAACAGATTCAGGTTGGGAATTTTGGACTTAAAAAATGACTTTTTGGTTTGAATTTGACTTTTAGAAAATAAGTCAACCTAAATTTGTTTTTCAACGCACAAGATATTTTCGTAAACAGTATATTCTAAGTTCAGTTGCCCTTATTTATTTCAAAAATCTCATTTCTTGTTTTTTTTCAAAGTGTATTTTTGCGATATTCAAATTTTGTCTACGACAAGTTTTTGTTCAATTTTTTTTATTTTCAGAAGTCTTTCAAATCTTCTTTTTTTCCAGGCCAATTCTCCATTCCGTCGAAAATCAATGGATCGAAATAGTTTGTCGCGAAAATTCCTCGACAACGGTGGAACTCAACCAAAAACTGTATGGAGTCCTCAAAATATCACAACAACTGCTGCTCCGCGAAAAAGTTTCACCGACTTGTTTGCGGCAACAAATTCCGAAGCTACAGTTCCATCGCCAATCACACGAAGACGTGAGTATTTTTGTAAACGAGAAAAATTCTATGAAAAATCCCCGAAAATATTTACCCGTTTTGCTCCCAAATTCCTACCATTTTACCCGTTTAGAAACCCATAAACAACTTCGATTCTCGACGGCTCGAAATGAGTTCGATGATGAGAATTTTGTGAGTAGCACAACAAATTGTGATATTCCGAGACGATTTCGGAGACCACAAACAGTTACTGTTGATACGAGAGATATGAAAATGGCAATGAGTAGAAAAGAAGGTGTGAGATGATCACTTGTTGTTTTTTCTTTGCATGATAATTTCAACAAAAAAAATGATCGGCACTTCTAAACATTTACGAATTTTCTCAAGAACTTTTGAATTAAAATTCTAGAAAAACTTCTAGAAAACGTTTTTATCGCTCAATACTTTTATTTGGGGTATATTTGTGTCAGGGTTCACTTCTAATTGTCTTATTAATTTAATTTACACAACTTATCACTTTTTGAAAACATACTGTTTTTCAAAAAAAGCATATCATATAATTCACCTCCGATCTAACAATGGAATCTAAATTTTGGGATACACTTCCAGTTTTTGAAAAATAATTTTGACACTTTGTTTTGGCATAAGCTTCAGATAGGTTTTTTCTCGAAAATTGGAATTGTTTCACTTTGTCTTCTGGGATCTGTGTCCACTTCTTCCAACTTCTAAAAATCCCCATTAATTTCTCATTTTCAGTCGAAGAACCATCATTTTCATCAAGTCTCCGAAGTCGAAGTCAAAGTCCAAATAAATTGGCATTGAGTCAAATGCTTGGATCAAGAAATGAAGTATCATCAAGTGCCTCATCTACAGTTTCTGGAATGACAAAAACAAAACGACGAGATTCGGATATGTCATATGTTCGATCAGCGACTCGCGGAAGAGATGAATTGAGAAAATCGACTGATGCATTGAATAAATTGATGGCTGTTCGAAGTAAATTACATCAATCGAGTGAGAATTTGAGAAAATCTACAGAGAATTTATCGATTGTTGATGGATCGAGGACAAGAAGTATTACGAATCTAAGAGCACCTTCGAGAAATATGGAAACTTTTGGAACTTTTGATGCTGATTCGAAGAGTCAATATGGGTAAGCTTTTTGGAAATCTAAATAGTAGAGCGAATTATTTAGCTGAAAAAAATTAGCAGAAAAATATTGTCAGAAAGTATACGTGGCATTGTTAAATGTCTGAAGTAAAAATCACTTAACTATAGTTAGTTCTAATGATAAGAATATGAAAACTACTCGTTATCAAAACGAAATATTTACATTTTTTTCATTTTTATAAATTTTGTTTTTACAGTTCTACAAGTTCTTTGGCACATTCAAGAATGTTGGCGAGAAGTATGACAAATATGAATGAAAATATTGCAATGGAAGGATCAGCAGCAAATCGAGATTATGATTCGCCATCAAAACGACTGGCAAACACAATTCAAATGATGAGAAAAGCCAGTAATCCTGATTTGACAGCACCGGAACAATATACAAATCAAGAAGAAACATCTCCATTTGCAATGAAACCGAGAGGAGCTGTACAAAAGAAAATGGATAGATATCGATTAAAAAATAAAAGTATTGGAGGTGGAAGAAATCAAACATCGGAAGAAAGTGATAACAGTGATATACCATGTGGAAAACGAAATGTGATTGGAGGAACAACTTCGAGTGATTATTCGCCAGCTTCTTCGACAAGATCTTCGTCGCTGGCAAATACACAAATGTCGGTTTCATCGGCAAGACGATTTTATGATCAACAGGGGAGTCGACCAGCACCGCCAGCAACACCGAGAAGAGTTGGAGGAAATTATTTAGTTACTAAAATGACGTAAGGGATTTCTTGGTACTAATTTGAAAGTTTTAGAAATTGTTAAATTCTTATGACGTGAACTGTGACTTGATTTTCAGAAAATCATTTAAGCAACTTTTTAAAAAAATCTTTTCAAAACAAAGAAAACTTGAAAGATTTTATCGTACAACAAATAAGCTTCAGTCCTTCCGACAACAATAATTCCTCCCAATTTTTCCATATCAATAAAATTTATATTCATTTTTTCCAGCGAACAGCTCAATAATAAATCAATGGAAGGTCCAGATTTGGGAAGCGATGATTCGCCAAGAAGTTCGGTTAACTCACATGATTGGCAAAGTTTGATAGAAACTGGAAGAGATGGTAATAAACATCGTAAGTCATTTGTTACTCTGAAATGTTTTTTTTCGAATTTCCCGGTTATTTTGAGTTTATTTCTCACCCTTTGGTGTCTTATTATTTCAGCGCTAATTTGTCATGTGCAAGATTGTATGGAACAATTGAGAATTCATGTGGATAAATTATCGCAAGCTAAGAGAATGGTAAGAACTGCTTTTTGTCAACATTTTCCTTTTTTGTTTTGTGATATTTTGGAGGGGAAATTTTCGGGATGTTTTGGACAAAAAATTAAATTTCTAGGTGGAAGAGGACTCGAGTTTACCTATCGAACAGAAAAAGATAGTGACGTGTGAAATTGATCGATCGATTGAACGAGTTGTTGAAAAATTGGCGCCAAAAGAAGTGACTTTGGCAAATGATTATGCACCATCAAAGAATTCTAATATTTACGGTATTCTCAAAGAAAATTTGACATCTAGACAATAATCTGTGATATTTAAAAATACATATAAATATAGTATTTGATTTTTTTTCGAACGATTTTTTGCTGATTCTTGTATTAACTTATACTTATCCGGTTTTATTGCTCATTTTTACTGTATCCTTTTTTTGCTCCACAATTTACTTGTAATCGTTTTTGTCTATTATATATATATAATTTTATTGCACACTCATTTATGAAATGAAGTTTTGAAAAAAAACCAAATAAAGTTTGTATTTTGAAATTTTCAGATCGTTTGTGAGATCAGAACAAAACTTTTAAAATAATAAAGATGTTTTTCTAATTACTGTAATTGTTCGCAGGTTTCGATAATCACATTTCCGATTTCAATGCAATTTATAAATAAAACAATTTCCGGAAACGTCAATGAAGTTTTAATATTTTCTCAAAACTTTTTGGAATATCAACAAACTACAAAAGTAGCTTTGATTCTATTTTTTATAGTTTTCTTTTTTTTTTGTGTGAAAACGGCTCATGTTTTGATCATTTGGGAATTACGTAATAATTTGATCCCACCACAGATGGCGTAAACCCAAAATCGTATAGACAATAAAATGTTATTTCATGCATTTATCTTTCCTATCTATTATTCTATTTTACTTCCATTTCGGTCTCGTTTCCTTTCTAATCCTTCCACTCTCATTCAATTCCGAAAAAAAGGCCCGAGGCAGATTAATCAAAAAAAAGAAGAAAAGAAAAAATCTAGCAAATATTGCTAAAAGTGCTCTCACTTCACCCAAGTGGTCCTTTCACCAACTTTCTTCCTACCAATTTCATGGAAAAACCGCTTATCTTAAGAGATTCCATTTTTTTGTTGAGCAGCAATGCTCATTCATTCCATATGTTGTCCTTCGCTGATCTTTTGTCTTTTTTCAATTTCATTTAGTATTTTTCAAATGCTTTCTCTCTCTTTGTTGGTTTTTAAACACTTTTTTGAAAATTAATTTTAAATTGTCCCACAACTGAGAAATAATTCAATGTGGAAGATATGGAAGACTTCTAGATAGCTTTTTGTTTGTAAGACAGTACAGCGAACATCAGGGAAAATAATTACTTTGAAATGCAATTCAATACCCAGAAGGACTTTTTTGAAAACCTGATTGTTAAGGATCATAGGAAGCACCTTAGGAACGTTAAGTCCTATTTGAAATAATAGTTTTCACTCACAATCAGCTGACGGGCCATTCAAAATGAAGGTATGCTCCACAGAATCCCTTCTGTGTTCCTTTGACAGATGTACTGTAGAATTATTTTTCCAAATTTTCAAAAAAAAAAACGACTTATTTCTCATTTTTGAACCTTTAAACGAAATGTGATCCTGACCTGATCCAACAACAAACAACCAACTCATCCATCCATGATTATTAATATTTTGTTTCATCTTCTGTGTTTTTTTCTCTACTCAAATCTCACTTATTTTTTGCCCCGTGTAAAAACAGAAGATGACGACCAATATGACAGCTGCCAGTCAATTCTTCATTCCCATCGGCTCCACCTCCCGAGATTTTCTCTCTTTTATCCAAATGATTGTGGACTTTCCCTATGTTTCTGTCTGTCAGCTTTTTATGTGAAAAATTTCTAACACCCCTCCCTCACATCGTTTTTCCGTCAAAAAACCACAGCCAAAAAAAAAACAACTGGGCCATCTTGAATTGTTTATTATTTCTATCTCCAACATAGCGATTCATTCCCTTGGTGAAACTAAACACTTTTTTTCGCTCTTCACACAGAGCCACAAATATTTTTTTGTGCTCTACTTGACTATAAACAAAAAATTTGGAGGCATGGCCAAACGAAAAATGAGAAAACAAATTAAATTTGAATTTAAAATCGTTTCAATCTGCTAAAATACTTATGTTTAGATTCTGCCAGTCTTTTTATTTCCCAAATTATTTGATCAACGTTTTGCATGCGGTCCTGTGGTGTAGTGGTTATCACGTCTGCTTTACACGCAGAAGGCCGCCGGTTCGATCCCGGCCAGGACCTATCTCTTTTTTGTGAAATTTTTTTTAAAGTTTTTCCAATTAAAATCTTGAAGGTAATGGTGGAAGCTACACAAGTAGCTGCCAGGGAGCAGTGGTCATCATGGGCCGATTTTATTATGTCTTGTATTGGTTATGCGATCGGTTTGGGTAATGTGTGGCGATTTCCCTATTTGTGCTATCAAAATGGTGGCGGTAAGTACATACGTTTCGGAAAAAAAGTGTAAACGGCAATTTGTCAAATTCATCTGATTTGTGTAATTGGTTGTGTGTGTGTGTGTGAGGAAGAGGGCTTGAGTGAGAAGCGTATGTGTTGTTGTTTCTTTCATAAATCACATCAACGGGAGGTTAGAAAAAGAAAAAAAAAGTGTACTTTTCGCTTTTTTAATCGAAAAATTTATAAGATATATTTTATTTCCAGGTGCTTTCTTAATTCCATACTGTATATCATTGGTATTCTGTGGTGCTCCATTATTTATTCTCGAAACATCATGGGGTCAACTTTTGAGTGTTGGAGGTTTAGGAATGTTCAAAATTTGTCCGATCTTCAAAGGTGTTGGAATCGCAGCCGCTGTTATGGCATTCTGGTTGAATATTTATTATATTGTTGTCTTAAGTTGGGCTGCAACATATCTCTATAATTCATTTAGACTTGATGATAATGTTCCATGGCGAAACTGTGATCACGAGTAAGTTCTAGGAAAATATTGAACTATCACTAGACAATATGTTTTCTAGATGGAACACTCCAAAATGTCGCTCTGAATATATCAAGATTCCTTGTGATAGTAATCGAACAATCGCTCAATTTTTCAATGTCAAAGTTCTCACTCACGATCATTTATTGGAGTACAAAAAACAATTTTTCGTTGGAGACAAAGCTAATTGGACAGTTTGCACCCAAGCTGATCTTTCCGTTGTATCACCCGTGAAAGAATTCTGGGAGTAAGTTCATGAAAATTCAAAACATATTTCAATATATTTTTATTTAGCCATCGAGTTCTTGGAATCTCAGCCGGTTTGGATCATCCAGGTGGTTTGAGATGGGATCTTGCATTTTTCTTGCTCTTAGTCTGGATTATTTGTTATCTTTGTATCTTCAAAGGTGTCAAGTGGACTGGAAAAGTAACTAATTTATTTTTCAGAGGTTCAGCTAATTCAATATTTTAAGGTTGTTTACATTACCGCGTCTTTCCCTTATATTATGCTGTTCTGTCTTCTCGTTCGTGGTCTCACACTTCCTGGAGCCGGCTTGGGTTTAGAATTTTATCTAAAACCCGATTTCAGTAAATTATTGGAATCTAAAGTTTGGGTTGATGCTGTAACTCAAGTTTTCTTCTCATATGGTTTGGGACTTGGGGCACTGGTTGCTCTTGGAAGTTATAATAAATACGATAACAATGTTTATAAGTTAGTTAATCAAACAAAACTTTTTCATTAATCGCTCATTCAGACAAGCTCTAACTGTATGTTTTGTGAACTCTGGAACTTCTGTCTTTGCTGGATTTGTCATTTTTTCATTCATTGGATATATGGCTACAATGCAAGAAAAAACTGTTGCTGAAGTGGCACAAGCAGGTCCTGGATTATTATTCTTGGCATATCCTTCTGGTATTCTTCAATTACCTTACACTCAATTCTGGTCAATTCTCTTTTTCTTGATGGTTTTATTCTTGGGAGTTGATTCTCAATTTTGTACAATGGAAGGATTTTTCACCGCCATTATCGACGAATTTCCAAGTATTCGAGCAAAGAAATATGGAAGAGAAATATTTGTTGGAATAATTTGTGCAGTTTCATATTTGGCTGGTTTGAGTACTGTAACTGAGGGTGGTTTTTATGTTTTCCAATTATTCGATTTCTATGCTGCATCTGGTTGGGCTCTTTTATGGCTCTTATTCTTTGAATGTATTGCAATTTCCTGGAGTGTTGGAATTGATAGATGGTATGAACATATGAAAAGTATGATTGGATATTATCCAAGTGCATGGTGGAAGTTCTGCTGGGTATTTGCTACTCCAGCCGTTTGCTTTGGTGTTCTCTGTTTTGGTCTCATCAAATACCAACCTCTTCGAATTGACGCATATAATTATGATTATCCATTATGGGGACATATTTTTGGATGGTTCCTCTCACTATCTTCTATGTTATGTATTCCCGGTTATGCAATTTATATATGGATTATTACACCAGGAACATTTTCAGAGGTTTGTAATGCATCTATTCATTTGCGAAAAAGCACGAAAAAAATGTATTTTTTTACAATATTTTTCTATTCACCAAAATCACAAATTGTCGCGAAATACATGCAATCGTGACGAGACCCACACTCATTTCAAGGCAGAATGTGTGCTTTCGAAAATTTCATTTCTTGTTTTTTTTTCTCGCATGTTTTTCTCCTTGAAATGTGTGTGGGTCTCGTCACGATTGACATTTATTTCGTGCATTTTCATGAATAGAAAAAATTTGTAAAAAAATACATTTTTTTCGGTTTTTTTCGCAAATGAATAGATGCATAATAAACTCTATTTTTTGAAAATATTATTTTTTTCTAGAAAGCCAAATTGCTTTGTCGACCTGATATTGAGATCAAAGGCGCAATCGAAGATAATGGTGAAAACATTGAACTCGTTGAAGATGTCTAGGCATTTCTGATATAGTTACCAATTTTTCAAATGATGTACATTCCATATACGTATAGTTTTCTGTTTTTCATGTCTTCTTTCTTCCTTCCTAACACAGCAATTTACTAACCTAGCTTTACCAATATTTATATCTACATACATAATCTCATGTTGAGAGAAAATAAAATTCTGAAAATATTTATCGTTGTTCATCTCATTGTACTTTCTCGATCACTTGTTGCAGTTTGGGTAACATTCCATTTTCTGCCTAAAGGTAAATAATGAGAATGGTATATTCTGCCGAAAAAACATACGGAAAACCGCATTGCGAAAATCTTTAATGACCCAGATTGCAATCAATGGTTCAATAGAGGGATATATCGCTAAAAGTGCACCAGTTATATTTGCGAGTTTACCCCACTGAACTTCAAATAATGGAACAAGTAAAAGAGATCCAACTGGTCCATACATCAAAACACATGGAAGAATTGTTTGAATAACAAGTGTAATGAATAATTGTCTATTGAGTTGTACAGTTTTTGCACTAAACAATTCTTTTGATGAGTTCATTTTTGCATAAATTCCTTTAGCACAATAAACAATGGTTGCAAATGATGATGACTGAAATTATATTGGATCATTGTTGCTATGACGCACATATTGTACCTTGGATGTCTTTTCTTGATACAATTTTTTTAGCATTTTCCATTTCTTCTCATTCCGCCCACATAAAATCTCGTGACTAATATATTATTAAACTACTTTATTAATTTTATTCGAAAATAGTGATAAAATAAACACAATGACAAATCCGTTATTTTGAATTTTATATTAGGACACACTAGGTATTTTTTCGAAATGCTATACGAATTCTACCTCATTATTTTTCTATGTGTTATCGTCTATTTCGGTGAAAAAATTATGACTCGACACGCTAGAAGAGTTATGCGGGAAACACTCAGAGCTGATGAAAATACAGTTATTGTCTACGATCCTCTCGACAAATTTTTCTCATCCAGAAATTATTTTTGATAAATAACTATACCTCTAATTATACCTTTAATTTCTCTAGTTTGTTATTTTCCCCCTCAACAACGTACAATTATCATTGAACATCCAAATGAACCCATTAAATCAATAAAGCTATAAATACGATCGCCGTTTTCGTCTTTTTTGAAATATTTCGCAGCAATAAAAGATACGTGAGTAGAATTTTCCTCGTAAACTTCAAAAAGTTCTTCTTGAATATATTCTTGTTTTTCGATAGTGTCCGACATTCCAAAAAATACGAATAAGAACCAGAAAATAAACATCAAACATGATGGAATAAAGAGAAAACCTAGTTTTTTACCGTTGAGATATTTTAGAAAATTATCTCTGAAAAAAAAAACAATCAGATTCCTCTATAAAAATGATTATTACCTGCACATCATCATATATCTGAATGAAATTTGTGTTGCTAATAAGGCAATACACATTCCAAAAGAAGCACAGTATACACAAACAAGCCAAAATCCATAAGGTTTATAATATTTAAAAGGACTGTCTGCATAAACTATGAACATTGATCCAAAAACATACATTACTGGTTGAGTAGCAATTTCAATCCACGAATAAATCAAGTTATAAATTGTGAAAACTAACATCACATAACGATAAGCTCCAAATAGTTTTTTGGCGCGAGTTAAAAGTAGGTATAATAAAATTATATTTGAAAATTGTGCACCAAGGAAACCGAAAATTTGAACAAGTCGAAGATATAACATGTTTTGTGACGAGACTGATTGTGAATCTTTGAACATCTTGCTTTATAGGAAAAATATCGTGTTAAAAACATGGAATTGTCAAAAACTCATTAGATATTTATTCAAAAGAAAATTTATGTGGAATGATTTTGTGATTTCACTGAAAAGAAGATGATTTTGAACAGGAAGTATGTATTATAGACTAAATTATTTGAATCTCAAAATCAAATGTTCAATTTAGGAAATATTTTCCAACTAATAAATAATTTACAAACTAACAAATTTTTAATTCCAGTGATTTTTGAGCTAAACACGACTTTTTTCATTTGTAGATGTATTGACTGTAACATTTTTTCTACCTGTAAAACTCATATATTCCCAAAAGAAATTCTATGATTTGAAAAGAATACTCACATGAGACAGCTTTTCGGAAATCTTTGATCAAAACTATAGCAATAATTGGTTCAATAAATGGAAAAAGACAAGCCAAAGCACCAGCCGAATTTCCCATTTTACCCCAATTTATCCAAAACATTGGAAACATTATTAATGAAGCAACTGGAGCATACATCATAAAACATGGAATAAGAGTCTAAAAGTGTTGCTATTGTTCACAAATTATTTGAAAAAAAAACCTGGAACACAAGTGTCATGAATAATTGATGATTCAAAGATTTGGTTTTTTCACTAAACATTTCTCTGGATTCATTCATTTTTGAGTAGATTTTTGAAGCACAGATCGCAATTATGAGACCGCATACAAACTGTAAGAAATTCTATGGTAACCCAAAAAGAAAAAAAAGGTTTCTCACAATTATTAGGGAACAACCAAAAGCGGAAAAGACATCTAGAAGACACCATTCATAAGTTCCATCAACTTTCTCATTTCGATATTTGGCACCAATGAATGCAATGCCAGTGAGATTCACAGAATAAACACTATAAAGTTCTAACTTTATATATTCTTGCTTTTCGAAATCATCTGACATTCCAACAGCAACAAATAAAAACCAAGCAATCAACATCAGAATAGCTGGGATAAATAAAAGTACAAGTTTGATGCCTTTTAGTTTTTCAATGTGATGAGGTCTAAAATTAAGATTTCTGTTGACAACTACTGACAAAAAATAGTAACCTGCATAGAACAAGGTATCGATACACAAATTGTGCCGCCAAAAGAGAAATACAACATGCAAAAGCAGCACAATATAGCGAAGTTAGATAAAATCCAATAACTTTGTGATGTTTCAAAGGACTGTCCATAAAAACAATAAACATCGAACCAAATGTATGCATGATTGGTTGGGTAACAACTTCGATCCACGAGTAAATCACATCAAATAATGCGAATACCATCATCACATATTTGTACTGTCCAAAAAGTTTTTCAGCGCGATGAACAATTAGGTAGCACAATGTTAGATTCGTAATTTGTGCTCCGAAAAATCCGATATACTGTAGGATATGAAGCCACAACATTTTATGAGAAAATGAAAAATAAATCACAGCCTGATTTAAAAATTTTCAGTTGAATAGAGCTTTGATTTTTATTTTTTCTTTGAATATTTTTTGATTTGTTGGTTATCGGAAAACGAACATTTTTTGACTATGAGGATCTAAGCTTGAGTTATTTCAAGAAAATCATCCGTGGGTTTAGTCATTGTCATTATTTTGTGTTTGAACTTTTTGTACTTTGATTATTGATAATTTATTGAAGAAAAATGTTCAAATATGAAGAATTTCAATTTTTGATTCCGGAACAATGCTATTTGTTGTATTCTTCTTGATTCTAATTTCAGTTGATAAAGTGCCTTTCGAATTGACTTTTGAATATTTACCTGAAACTACAATGAGCCTGTGCAGATTTTTTGTCAACTTACAAAAAATGAATTTACGGAATCGTTCAATTATCAACATTGCAATCAAAGGGTCGAGAACAGTATAAATTGAGCAATACAATCCAAGTGTATTTGCAAATTTTCCTGCATTGACCCCAATAAACGGGCAAATATATAATAAACTACACGGAATATATTGAGTAAGGCAGGGTAGCAAAGTTTGTAATGCTAATGCGGTAAAAAGTTGCTTATTCAATTCCGCCGATGATTTACTACTCATTTTAGATAAACGGTTCAAATTTCGATATGTCATATAAGCGCAGACAAGGCAAACATTAATCGTGAATGACTAGAAGAAAAAACAATGACATTCGAACATTTTTTGATAACTCACTAGAATACAACATAGAATTAAAATTCCTCCAAGATCCTTGAATTGCCAAATTCGGTTGCCTTGTTTATCAACTAACTGAACATTTTTCGATTGAACTCAATTTCACATCTAAAAACTCACAAAGTAAATCGGAGCTACGAAAACAACTTCATCAACATTTTCTTCGTATGTTTCATTCATAATTTTACGAAAATAATTTTTTTTGAAATCATTTATCTCAAAAACATAGACATTAACTGCTCCCCAAATGTACATTAGAATGATTGGTGGAATATACCAGAGCCATAATTTCCATCCATCAAAAATTTGCAGAAGATGGAAACGGCATACATTTATGTATCGATAGATGAAATGAGTAGCAAATGTTGCAGTGCAAAATGCAAATGATCCACAATAAAGACCACATAGAAAATAACCATAGGTTTTGTTGAATTTGAAATATCCCCCTAGGATGAATATTATACTTGGACCTTCAATGTGTATAACTGGTTGAGCCAATACTACAATGAATGAATAAACCATGGTATAAAGGCAAAATGTTATCATAAAAATACGATATCTTCCAAAAGATGCACCGGCTTTAGTAACTAACAGATATAATAAAGAAGAATTCATGAGAACAGCTCCAACAAATGCGACATACTCACTTAATCTATAATAATATGGCAAAGACATTTCCGGTAAACTGAAATTATTTGGCATATATGGATGTTATATATAGTTGTTTTACTACAGTAGTTCAGATATTTGTATGTACAATTTGATTGTTGTTTTCATCAATGATCATTTTCCGGTTATTTGATAGATATTCAATAGCAGAAACATTTTTAATTTCCCTTTTTTTGGTCAACAGTCTGATCATTATGATTATTGAGAAATGAAAGTTAATTTTTTCAGCGTAACTTCCTCTACAAAACTTTCAATCTGATTGATCTGAACCCTAGAGAATACAAATTGATGTGATGCCATTGATAAATAATGTATAATTATACAAAAACAACATAGATCAAAGGAATCATATTGTGCACAGTTTGTTGTATCTAAAAATATACAATTTACTGATTATGGAACGCGATGTTTGTTCTGTTAATTCTGCAAATTTTCCAACAACAAATTGCTCTCTAATTTTGTTAAATTTGTGACATAAGATTGTTTCAAGTATTGTCATCAAATATAGATGAAAAAATTTATAAAGTTCAAACTACAAGTTTTGAAGCACTTTAATTTTTTCAACAAAAATTGATTAGTTGAATTGGCGTGTGAAACAAAAACTGATTTCGAAATGTGTCTGAGATTACGAAAAATGTTAAAAATAAATATTATATACACATGAATGAACTTGATTATCATAATTTGTTCTAGACAAATTTATGACCAACTTCTCATACGTTTCATTCTATGATAAAAAAGACATTTCAACATGAACCTCTTGGAATATCAGATCATATACGCACATTTCACATTCTTTTCATCTGTTATAACCAATGGTCTTTTATTATACATGTTATTTCTGAATCTGAATAAAAAACTTGGTAACTATCGATATTTGATGTTTTCATTCTCTATAGTTTCTATGACCTTTTCCCTCATTGATTTTCTAAACAGACCGGTAAAAACATGTTTTTGTACGATTATTAAAAAGTTTGAATTATAGTTGAGTCACGTATCCAATGGAGTTTACATAATTTTCACAATCAACAATTTCGGTTTTTCAAGGGCCTTTTCTTCGTGGTTAAATGGTAACTTTTTATTTCAAATTTGGTATCTAAGCTAACGTAAGCATTTTAGCATTGAATTGCTCATTTTTCGCAGCTACAATATCTCTTCTATCAGTTCATTTCATATATAGATATTTCGCCATTTGTCGGTAAGTCTTGAATACAATTCCGAATAAAGAAAATATTCCAGCCCAAAGTTGATAAGATTTTTCAAATGGCCTTATTCTCTCATCTGGTTTTTATACTGTTTCATGATAACTGTTAAATGGTTTCTCACAACCAACTATTTTGCTCCAAGAAGTAGAAAAATAAACTTGATAATCGAACAAAGTATTAAAGAGATATACAATATTTCAGTGAATGATATAATTTATCATGGTTCGAATTATTATGAAAGTTTCATTTTTTTCTCGCTCTAATCTTTAAAAAAGATGTATTATTTTTAGGAATCAGATGGTAGTTTCGATGTCGCAAATGTTTTATTTGTCATTCATTTGAATCTCATCACTTTATTCTGCTTCGTAGTTATTATAACTTGCGGAATGTTGACTTTTCGAAAAATGAAATCTTTGGGATACACATCGAAAAAAACCAATAATTTGCAAAGACAACTATTTCTAGCTCTGATTGTCCAGGTAAAAAACAACAAATTGTTTATTTACTTTCACAGAAGATTCATTTTTTGAGTTTATATTACAGACAATAATACCATTCGTTACCATATTTGTACCGGCAAGTACTATTATATGTGCACCATTTTTCCGATCAACTTTCGGTTCAAAAGAAGTTTTACTGATAACTTTTATCACAACTTATCCACTTTTAGACCCTTTAGTCATTTTATATTTTGTGAACGACTATCGGAAATCATTATTAGATATTATTGTGCGTTGTCGAAAAATACGTGTGCTTGCGCTGGCAACGTCTGTTACAAACGCAGAAAATAATGTTATTAAATAAGTTCAGTGAGACCAATCTCCAGAACAATGAACATATATTTTCTTCATTAAGTTTTATTGAAGGTCTTCTTAACTTTGATTATTAAAGAACTCCCATAATTCTAGTTAATTCTATCTTGGCTGTCATTGAGCAATGAACTTTTTCATATTATTCCTTATTTTTTATTTTTCAATAAAAATAATAGAATCACAAAAAACGACAATAAGAGTTGGATTGTTGTTCACAAAAGATGAATCTAGTTCGAAAAGATCTGTTGGTTATCGTACTTCAGCAGCTGCTGTTCTCGTGGCAAAAGAAAAAATTCAAAATGAGCATTTGCTAGATAATTATGATTTTAAGTAAGTTAACAGACTCCCGTAGTTCATCAATAAACACACACATTTTTCTCAGCTTTACCGTAAAATTTGATGAATGCAGTGAGAATCTAGCAGCTGGTATGGCTACAGATTTGATACTTGTGGATAATGTTGATCTAATTATTGGTCCTACTTGTAATCGAGCTGGAATTGCAGTGGCAACTATTGGTGCATATTATAAAATTCCTATTTTTGAGTGGGGATTAACAACTTCTGCCGAAATTACGCAATCGGGCCGTTTTCCAACAACTGTGACACTATCAATTGACACTTACAGTATCTCTTTAGCTGTGAAAAATGTGTTGGAGCGTTTTGAATGGAATCAATTCGCTTTTATTTATTCGAACTCTGGTGATTTAGAAAAATGTAGTTCGATGAAAAGTGATTTGGAAAGTATGTCTGCATATTCGGATACTATTACATTGTCTTACATTTATCAAATACAAAATGTAACCATGGATTCGTTAAAAGCCGGCGTAAAAGCAGTTGCAGCAAAAGCTAGGAGTGAGTATGAGCTTAGACGTAAATTATATAGAATAAAACTATTCCAGTTGTCGTTGTATGTTTCACTGGAGGTTTCGGATACAAAAAAGCCTTTGTGGCTTCAATTTCTGCTGCAGGAGTTGCAACAACAGAATTCGTTTATATTTTTGCTGAACCAAAATCTCGTGGTTTCTGTAAGTTGTTTTTTTAATGCCACGCAAAAACGATACTTGAAGATGTTGACGAGGCGAATGGTGGACAACATTATTCATGGGAAGATACTTCGAATGGGTTTGAATTGGGAATGACTGATGAAGAAATTCAAAAAGCCTTTGGTCGCGTATTATTTATTGTTGATGTAAGATATACGTTAAAATGTGATTCATAAAACAAAAGAGTGAACATTTTTTCAGAATATGGGACAGCCACAATCACAATCTGCGCAATTCTCCAACTTTTCGAATCAAGTGATCTTACGGATGAAAGAAGCGCCATTTTACTGTATTGATGATTGTAAGAATGTTTCTTACCAAAATGCAGCCCTTTATAGTGGACAACTATTTGATGCATTTTACGCATATGCTGTAGCAGTTAATCGAACTTTGTCTAAAAATGCATCAGCAAGTATCAGAGATACTTCCACAGTTTTTGATAATATCGCTATGAGTTACATAGGTGTTGGTGGAGGACAAGTTGATATCGATTCATCTGGATCACGTCTTGCAAAATTGACAATGTATGCTCTCAACAGTTCTTTCCTACCCTATACTGCAGCTTCGATTTTTGTGAATGGAACCAATGTTGTTTACACCGCATTTTATGACGATGAAAATGTACTCTGGAAGGGTGGATCAAAACCACTAGCCGTTCCAATTTGCGGATTCAGTGGAACTGAATGTCCTGTTGATTTTTTGAGAGATTATTTGATTTATGTAATACTTGTTGCAGTTATAATTATTTTTGCAATGATGGCAGCATGTGGAGGGATACTGTATACTATTCAGTTAGTTCATGCAGATTGAGAATTTCAAAAACTTGAAAATATTTCAGTATGAAACACATGGAAGCTAAACATCAAGATTTGCTATGGCAAGTATCATTTAGTGAACTACGCCAAGTAGAAGGAAGATCAAAAGCTGCTGAAAGTATGCATTCTTTTGCCAGTGGACCATCAACTTCAACAAAATTAACAATTGAAAGTAGATCAGAAACAACTCATTTTATATTTTATTATTATAATCAAGAAGTTGTTGCTGGTATGAAACATGAAATTCGACCATTTTTTGATGAAAAACAACGTTCTGAGATGCGCCAGCTTAGAAATTTGGACAATGATAATTTAAATAAATTTATTGGTTTTGTATTAGATGGTCCCCAACTTATTTCACTTTGGAGGCTTTGTTCGAGAGGTTCACTTGCAAATGTTATTGAAAAAAGTTCAATGCAAATGGATAACTTTTTTATGTTTTCTTTGATTCGTGACATTACAAACGTGAGTTTTTAAAATATTGAAATTAATTAATTAATTAATTAATTAGTGAAGCATTATAGGGTTTATCATTCATTCATAATTCATTTATTGGAATACATGGTCATCTTACTTCTCGATGTTGTTTAATTGATGATCGATGGCAAATTAAAGTATCAGATTTTGGTTTAAATAATATGAGAAGTAGAAAAATAGAAACTAAAAAAGATTTATTATGGACAGCTCCAGAGATTTTGAGAGATGAAAATATGGAAAAAACACAAGAATGTGATATTTATAGTTTTGCTATTATTTGTTCCGAAATTATTACAAAATCATCAGCTTATGATTTGGAAAATCGAAGAGAAAAAGCTGATGTTATAATATATCAAGTGAAAAAAGGAGGACATCAACCAATGAGACCATCACTTGAAATGAATGAAAATCTTGTTGAAGTTAATCCAGCTATGGTAAATATAATACTAAATATCTACAATGAAATGAATTATTTTCAGATTCATTTAATTCGAGATTGTTGGACTGAAAGACCATCTGAACGACCAAATATTTCACAAATAAAAAGTCATTTAAACAGTATGAATGATGGAAGAAAATCAAATTTAATGGATCATGTTTTTAATATGTTAGAAACTTATGCATCAACATTAGAAGATGAAGTTTCAGAAAGAACAAAAGAATTAGTAGAAGAAAAGAAAAATCAGATGTATTATTATATAGAATGTTACCAAGAACTGTTGCTGATAAATTAAAATTAGGACAAGCTGTTGAACCAGAAACATTTGAACAAGTTACTGTATTTTTCTCTGATGTTGTACAATTTACAAAACTTGCTTCAAAATGTACACCACTTCAAGTTGTAACATTATTAAATGAATTATATTCAATATTTGACAATATTATTGAACAACATGATGTTTATAAAGTAAGTGAAATATATTCTAAAAAATTGATATAATTTCAGTTCATAAATACTTTAATTTTAGGTAGAAACAATTGGTGATGGATATCTTTGTGTTTCTGGTCTTCCACATAGAAATGGAAATGAACATATTCGAAATATTGCTATAATGGCTCTTGGTTTCTTATCAAGTCTTGAATTCTTTCGAATTTCTCATTTACCATCTGAACGGATTAATCTTAGAATTGGAATTAATTGTGGAAGTGTTGTAGCTGGTGTTGTTGGTTTAACAATGCCAAGATATTGTTTATTTGGAGATGCTGTTAATACTGCAAGTCGAATGGAAAGTAATGGAAAACGTAAGTTCATTTGATTTTATTCGAATATTTCATTCAAATATTTTAGCTGGTCATATTCATTGTACAGCAGAAGCTAATCGAATGTTGACTGAAGTGATTGGTGGATTCAAAACTGAATCAAGAGGAGAAGTTATTATCAAAGGAAAAGGTGTTATGGAAACATTTTGGCTGATTGGTGAAATATTTGAAACTCAATTCAAACCTTCCATGAAACAAGTAAATTTTCATCATAACATCTGTCGAAAAATTCTAAAATTTTAGGAAAAACCTGCCCCCGAACCTCGAAGTATAAGTCCCTCAATAATGGAATCGGTGAATGGCGGACTTTATCAAGAATACAAAAAAGGGAATTAAAATTATTCCGAAATGTGATCTTACAGAAGTTGTTTTATGAAATACTTAATTTTTGATGTTCTCATGAATATATTGACATAGATCAGATTCCGTGAATCACTAGCTTAAGATACAAGTACAAGATCATTAAAACAACCAAAATCTTCATAAAACATAGAATAAGCTTGAAAAAAGCTTAATTAAAAATATAGGCTTCTTTTTGTGTCTTCCAGAATTATTTTCAAGAAAATCATTTTGTCCAGGATCTAGTAATGCTTCACATTTTCGTTATTGTTTTTCTAACTCTGAACATTTATTCCACACAAAAAACTACTATTCAAGTTGGTTTACTTTTTTCAAAAGATACTTCAAGTGTACAACGAGCTGTTGGATATCGAACATCTGCATCTGCTATTTTGATTGCAGAAGAAAAAATAAGAAATGAACATTTGTTGGATAACTATGACTTCAAGTGAGTGCATATCTTCCAATTTAGTGATTTCAAAATGTTCTTTTCAGTTATACCTACAAATTCGACGAATGTTCTGAATCTTTGGCAGCTGCAGCTGCTATTGATCTTTATTCCCGAAAATAATGTTGATGTTATCATTGGCCCAACTTGTAATCAAGCTGGTCTCGCAGTTGCAACACTTGCAACGTATTATAAGAAACCAGTATTTCAATGGGGACTAACTACTTCTGCTGAAATTTCAAACCAAATTCGTTTCCCAACAACTGTCACATTATCAATTGACACTTATAGCATTGCTTTAGCTGTGAGAAATGTATTAGAAAGGTTTGATTGGGATCAATTTGTTTTTGTCTATTCAAATGATGGAGATTCGGAAAAATGTAGTTCAATGAAAGATGATATGGAAACAATGTCCTCGGAATCCGAAGAATTAACTTTATCATATATTTATCAAATACAAACAGTATCAATGGCTTCTTTAGAAACTGCATTGACTGCTATCGCAAAGAAAGGAAGAAGTAGGTTCTAAGAAGCTAATTCTATTTTTTTAAACAAAACAATTGCAGTCGTGGTGGCATGTTTTGCCAATGGTCTTGGTTTTCGAAAAGCATTTGTAGCTGCAACAGTCGCTGCAGGCGTGGCAACAAATGAATTTGTTTATATTTTTCGCTGAACCAAAATCAAGAGGATTCTGTAGGTAAACCTTATGTGTTGATAATTATAACAAATTTTAAAGATGTCGATGAAGCTGATGGCGGAGAACATTTTACATGGGAAGATACATCCAATAAATTTTCTCTCGGTATGACTGATCAAGAAATACAAATTGCGTTTTCACGTGTTTTGTATATCACAGATGTAAGATAATTCTAGTCATATTGAAAAATTAACACTTTTCTCATGATATCACAGTATTATTCATTTTAGAACATGGGATTGCCACAAACAAAAACAGAACATTTCTCTAATTTTACAAGTCAAGTTATTTTACGAATGAAAGATTTCCCATTTAATTGCATAGATGACTGCAAAAATGCAACTTATCAAAATGCAGCTACTTATGCTGGACAACTATATGATGCATTTTATACTTATGCTGTTGCTTTGAATCGCTCCTTAACTAAAAATCCACATGCAAGTGTTAGTAATGCTTCAACAATTTTGGAAAGTATATCAATGAGTTATATAGGAGTTGGTGGCGGACAAGTTGATATTGATTCATCTGGATCACGTCTTGCGAAAGTAACTATGTTTGCCCTTAATACCTCATATTTACCCTATACTGCAGCTTCAATTTTTGTGAATGGTTCAAATGTAGTTTATACACCATTTTATGATAATGAAAACGATCTTTGGGCAGGTGGATCAAAACCATTAGCTGTTCCAATCTGTGGATTTAGTGGAACTAACTGTCCTGCCAATTTTCTGAGAGATTATTTGATTTATGTCATTATTGTAGTTGTGATAATATTCATTGCCATTTGTGCAGCATGTGGAGGAATATTATATACTATTCAGTAAGTTTGAAACAGAAGACATGAGTCAAAACCATTTTTACAGTATGAAACACATGGAAGCTAAACATCAAGATTTGCTATGGCAAGTATCTTATTCAGAATTACGTCAAGTAGAAGGAAGATCAAAAGCTGCTGAAAGTATGCATTCTTTTGCCAGTGGACCATCAACTTCAACAAAATTAACAATTGAAAGTAGATCAGAAACAACTCATTTTATATTTTATTATTATAATCAAGAAGTTGTTGCTGGTATGAAACATGAAATTCGACCATTTTTTGATGAAAAACAACGTTCTGAGATGCGCCAGCTTAGAAATTTGGACAATGATAATTTAAATAAATTTATTGGTTTTGTATTAGATGGTCCCCAACTTATTTCACTTTGGAGGTTTTGTTCGAGAGGTTCACTTGCAAATGTTATTGAAAAAAGTTCAATGCAAATGGATAACTTTTTTATGTTTTCTTTGATTCGTGATATTACAAACGTGAGTTTTTGAAATATTAAAATTAATTAATTAATTAATTACTGAAGCATTATAGGGTTTATCATTCATTCATAATTCATTTATTGGAATACACGGTCATCTAACTTCTCGATGTTGTTTAATTGATGATCGATGGCAAATTAAAGTATCGGATTTCGGATTAAATAATATGAGAAGTAAAAAAATAGAAACTAAAAAAGATTTATTATGGACAGCTCCAGAGATTTTGAGAGATGAAAATATGGAAAAAACACAAGAATGTGATATTTATAGTTTTGCTTGTTCAGAAATTATTATTATTTGTTCAGAAATTATTACAAAATCATCAGCTTATGATTTGGAAAATCGAAGAGAAAAAGCTGATGTTATAATATATCAAGTGAAAAAAGGAGGACATCAACCAATGAGACCATCACTTGAAATGAATGAAAATCTTGTTGAAGTTAATCCAGCTATGGTAAATATAATACTAAATATCTCCATTAAAAATGAATTATTTTCAGATTCATTTGATACGAGATTGTTGGACTGAAAGACCATCTGAACGACCAAATATTTCACAAATAAAAAGTCATTTAAATAGTATGAATGATGGAAGAAAATCAAATTTAATGGATCATGTTTTTAATATGTTAGAAACTTATGCATCAACATTAGAAGATGAAGTTTCAGAAAGAACAAAAGAATTAGTAGAAGAAAAGAAAAAATCAGATGTATTATTATATAGAATGTTACCAAGAACTGTTGCTGATAAATTAAAATTAGGACAAGCTGTTGAACCAGAAACATTTGAACAAGTTACTGTATTTTTCTCTGATGTTGTACAATTTACAAAACTTGCTTCAAAATGTACTCCACTTCAAGTTGTAACATTATTAAATGAATTATATTCAATATTTGACAATATTATTGAACAACATGATGTTTATAAAGTAAGTGAAATATATTCTGGAATTGTGATCCTACAAATCAGTTATTAAATATTTTGATTTTAGGTAGAAACAATTGGTGATGGATATCTTTGTGTTTCTGGTCTTCCACATAGAAATGGTAATGAACATATTCGAAATATTGCTAGAATGGCTCTTGGTTTCTTATCAAGTCTTGAATTCTTTCGAATTTCTCATTTACCATCTGAACGGATTAATCTTCGAATTGGAATAAATTGTGGAAGTGTTGTAGCTGGTGTTGTTGGTTTAACAATGCCAAGATATTGTTTATTTGGAGATGCTGTTAATACTGCAAGTCGAATGGAAAGTAATGGAAAACGTGAGTTCATTTGATTTTTATTCGAATATTTCATTCAAATATTTTAGCTGGTCATATTCATTGTACAGCAGAAGCTAATCGAATGTTGACTGAAGTTGTTGGTGGATTCAAAACTGAATCAAGAGGAGAAGTTATTATAAAAGGAAAAGGTGTTATGGAAACATTTTGGCTGATTGGTGAAAGTTCGGGTACGATGTTAAAAACAGCTATCAAACAAGTAGACCAGGTAAAAAGCATAACCAAACTGAATACAAATTTCGTCACAGGAATCACAAGCAAGAAGCATTACACCGCCAATGAAACCAAAAGATGAAGGATTATATGAAGAATTCAAGAATTCCTCTCAAAAAAACTGACAAAACCCTTACTATGCTGTCGTCAAGAAGCCTTTCTAAAAATGCCCAAGTTTTTCCTCAAGCTTTTCTATAAATATGGAATTAATTTCACATAAGCTCAAAAAATGATCTTTCTATTATTTTTCCTAATATCGTTTTGTAATTCTGCTGATAATATAATAAATGTTGGATTTTTACACTGTAGAGTGAGTATTTGTTTTTAAAAATTAAAGAAAAAATGCAAGTTTTCTATATTCAGAGTAGTGATCAAATTATTACCATTGATTATCGTGTAACTGCATCTGCTGCTAATATTGCAGTTGATCGTTTGCGTCGTGAAAGTAAACTGGTCGGATATACTTTGAAGTAAATTTTTAGAATACTTATTTTGAATAGTTTTCTTTGTTTCAGTTTTACAATACTTTTTGATGATTGTATCGAATCTGAAGCAGCTGGTAAAGGAATCGAATTGATCAACCAGCATAATGTTGATGTTATTATTGGTCCGACAACTAATCAACGTGAGAAGAGAAATCTCTGATTTCTCAAGATAACAAATACATATTTCAGCAACTCTTGCTGCATTCCTTGTTTCTAGTTATTATGAAATACCTGTAATTGCATGGGGATTAGTCAATGCAGCATCATTAGATGATGAGACAAGATTTCCAAATGTTGGAATAATGTCAGCAGGTCAGAAAAGTCTTGGAGTCGCAATTCGAGAAGTTATGAAACAATATGATTGGACACAATTTGTCTTTGCATATTTTACGGAAGGAGACAGTGAGAAATGTGTTACAATGCGGAATGATATACAGGTTCTATAGAATCTGTGATAGTTTTCAAAATCTAAATTATTTTCCAGCAAGTTGTTTCATACTTTGGCGATATTACATTATCTTACACTATTCAAGTAACAGATATCTCTAATTCGGGAATGGTGGCAGCTCTAAAGAAAATATCTGAAAAGGGAAGAAGTGAGTCATCAAAATGTTTTTTTTGGATATTAACTACACACCTCTTACAGTAATCGTAACATGTATGAAAGACGGGATTGGTCTGCGGAGAAAATGGCTTCTTGCCGCCGAAGAAGCCAAAATGATTGATGATGAATATGTTTATGTCTTTGCCGATATTAAATCAAAAGGCTTCGGTGAGAGATTATGTACCTCGTGAATCCTAATCTTCGATCTCATTTACAGTAATCCCTTCAGCTGGTGGAGAATTTCGCAATGCGTGGGTTGCAGCGAGTGGAGTCGATGAAAATGTGACAAGAGCATTAAGCGCTTTTCGAAAAACAATTTTCATATGCGATGTAGGAACTAGTTCCTGAAATAGAATTGAACAATATTATTTCAGATGATGGGACAAGGTGCAATCGCTGAAAACTACACAGTGTTTAGTGAAGAAGTTGTGACACGAATGAGTGAAGCTCCATTTTACTGTACAACAGAGTGTTCGGGATTTAATTTCAGTGTAGCTGGAACTTATGCCGGCCAACTTCATGATGCAGTTTATGCTTATGGTGTTGCACTTGATAAACTTTTAAAGGTTCAACCGACTCAATACAGAAATGCTACCGCACTAATGCAATACTTTTCACAAAACTTTTCAGGTTTAAAAAGATTAATTTTTCTGTTAAAATATGTAATATTAATTATATTCAGGAATGTCTGGTAATGTCATCATAAACAGTAAAGGCACTCGTAATCCAACACTCTATGTTCTTTCACTTAACGAGAATGACAATAGTACTATTCGTGCAACTGTTGTTGTTAATAACATGACTTCAACATTCATACCAACTTACACTGATGAGTCGGTAATGTGGATTTCTCGAGCTAATAAAGCCAGGCCAGCTGATGTTCCGAAATGTGGTTTTACAGGAACTTTGGTGATTTATCAAAACCGAAACATTTATAAAATATATGATTTCAGTGTCCGCCAAATTTTGTCGATGAATATCTTATTTGGGTTATTATTGGAATAATTGTCATTATAGCCGCTGTATTCTTTGTTATATTTGGAATTGTTTCATCAATAAATGCACGCCGTAGAGAAATCGAGAAACTTAATCTTCTCTGGCAAATTCCATTCAATCATCTCCAGCAAATTAAAGTAAATTGTAACTTTTGCTATAAGCTTCGAAAAACCTAATTTTCCAGCCCAAACAAAAAGGTGATCACAGTATGCGAAGTCTTCAAAGTGGTACAAGTTCAATGTCTTCTAGAACAGCCGTGTCTGTTAAAACAGAGACTCGAAATTTTCCAATTTTTCACTCTTCAACGAGGAAATGAATTAGAGCCAGTTGTTGCGAAAAAACATGCGTTTAGGCCAAGACTCGATGATTCGAAATGTCAATTTTTACGATCAGTAAGTTTTTCCTAATATGTGAAAATAATTCAATCGACATTTTAGTTGAGATCAATTGATCATGAAAATTTGAATCGCTTCATTGGTTTATGTCTAGATGGTCCACAAATGTTATCACTTTGGAGATATTGTTCTCGAGGTTCTATTGCTGATGTTATTCAAAAAGCTACAATACAAATGGATAACTTTTTTGTTTATTCGCTCATCAAAGATATTGTAAATGTAAGTAAACCGAACTTTATCTCAAAAATATATCTTTAAAATTTAAGGGTATTATCTTCATCCATCAATCTATAATTGAATGTCACGGAATGTTGACTTCAAAGTCTTGCCTAATCGATGATCGTTGGCAAGTTAAACTTTCAAATTATGGTATGAGAGATATTAGATCACGAGAAATGTTAATCAAAAAAGATTTGCTTTGGAGCGCTCCCGAACTTTTACGGAATGATGATATTATGGGAACAAAAGAAGGAGATATTTATAGTTTGGGAATAATCTGCTCTGAACTTATCACTAGAAAATCAGTATTTGACTTGGAAAATAGACATGAAGATGCTGAAGAAATTATATATTCATTGAAAAAAGGTGGATTAAAAGCGCCAAGACCTGATTTGGACACTGACAGTACTATTGAAATTAATCCTGCTCTCGTGAGTTAAAAAGATGAAAATTGTTTACATGAACATATTTTTCAGCTTCACTTAGTTAGAGATTGTTGGACTGAAAGACCTTCCGAGCGTCCGACTATTGAAACAGTGAGATCTCAATTGAAAGGAATGAATTCAAGTCGTAATGATAATTTGATGGATCATGTATTCAATATGCTTGAAAGTTATGCACAATCTTTAGAAGATGAAGTTTCGGAAAGAACAAAAGAATTAGTAGAAGAAAAGAAAAAATCAGATGTATTATTATATAGAATGTTACCAAGAACTGTTGCTGATAAATTAAAACTTGGACAGACAGTAGAACCCGAAACATTCGACAAAGTCACAATTTTCTTCTCCGATGTTGTATCTTTCACCACTCTTGCTTCAAAATGTTCACCTTTCCAAGTTGTCACATTGTTGAACGAGTTATACACAATTTTTGATAACATCATAGAGCAAAATGATGTTTACAAGGTAAGCGAAAGTACACAAACCAACAAACCGGTTTTGTAATATTGAAAAAAATTATTTTAATTGGAAAAAAAAGTTTAGTTGAGTCACAGACTTACTTTTGAGTATGAAAAAATTGAAGTTAGTTTCTAAAAGATGATTTTCCTAGGTTGAAACAATTGGTGATGGATATCTTTGTGTTTCTGGATTACCTCATAGAAACGGAAACGATCACATAAAGCACATTGCTAGAATGGCTCTTGGTTTCTTATCAAGTCTCAAATTTTTCCGAATTCCACATCTGCCAGCTGAACGGATAAATCTTAGAATTGGAATAAATTGTGGAAGTGTTGTAGCTGGTGTTGTTGGTTTAACAATGCCAAGATATTGTTTATTTGGAGATGCTGTTAATACTGCAAGTCGAATGGAAAGTAATGGAAAACGTATGATTTCAGCTAATTTGAGAGAAAAAGATAAATATTACATTTTTTCAGCAGGGAAAATCCACGTGACAGCAGAAGCAAATCATATGTTGACAGAAGTTGTTGGTGGTTTCGAAACTGAATCGCGAGGCGAAGTTATAATCAAAGGAAAAGGTGTTATGGAGACTTATTGGTTGCTCGGAGAATTAGATGGCTACAAAAAGGTTTGAACAACTCATACTTTAATTGAAAATGTGATCGAATATTTAGGAACCAACTTTGAAACGAAGCATAAGTCCGATAATTCGACAAGAAACAATGGAAGAAGGATTATACAAAGAATTCAGGAAAAATGAAGAAAATAATAATGAATCATAATAATTTTCATACTCCAACTCGTTTCATTTTTATATCGTAATATTCCAAAACTCAATATAAATATATATCAAACCACCCCAAAAAATAACTAACCTGTCAGTTTGTATGTGCTTCACACTCATGATATCACCAAAAATCAAAAAATCTCATATTTTCCTCTTGATCGGTTTGTTTGTTAACCACATTGAACCATCAGTCAGACCTTCTCCAGTTTTTGCGTTTGTTCGGGTAACAAATCACTGAAAAGTTGAGAGATTTCGAATTGTTATATCTAATTCAACAATATCCCTTCCATTTATAGTATTTTTTCCACAATGAGTAGGAAAAACTTGCCCTTTTGTGATAGAAAAAAAATAGAAATGAACTTACATCTTGTTCAAACTTTTTCGAATCCAGAGCATCAATAATGTCCTGTGAATTTTTTGGAATTTGACAAATCCATTTTGTTGGCCAAAATTAGAATTCTCTCAATTGTGGTTGAGCCAAAAGTTGGTTCAATCCTTGTTTGCCTTCATTGAATCTTTTCATATCGAACTATCAACTACGAAGATCCGAGATGATGTATTGTCATTTCCAAATAACATTTCCAAACATCACGAATATTTTGCTGGTCTCCAATGTCCCAAACTGTTATTGTCAGATTTTTGAATTGTATTGTTTCCACATTGAAACCTGAAAAAAATATTTTGAATTGAAATGAAAAACTTTTTTGGCTTGACAATAATAAAAATGAACTCACCCATAGTTGGAAGTGTATTGACAGTTTCATCTGACTTATACAAAACTGTCGCTTTTCCAGCTCCATCCAATCCAAGCATCAAACAACAACACACAATATTAGGATATAGGAATTATATCATTCTTGAATAGTGAACACCGATTATAATGATTTCCAGGAAGAAATGAAAACCGAATGTGCTGCTTGTGCTGTCATTCTGTAAACATCATCTTTGGCGAATATCGTAATATTTTTTTTCGATTTGTCAGCTGATAAGAGAAAAATGTCACGTACGTGGAAAAAACAAAAACAAACGAAAAAAACAGAAACAAAAAATAATGAGAAAATGTGCGAGTGCGATGGAGCGCGTTTTCATTTTCATTCAAATATACATTTTATTTTTTTGTGTGAAATTTATTTTTGTTTTTTCCGATGGTTTTTGGAACTTTTCAGTAATTCTAAAAGTAGTGGAATATCATAAAATAGTTCTAAATTTATTTGCTTTTCACTCCAGTTTCCAAACAAAAAAACGGAGTCCCAATTTGTACCGGGGTTAATTTCCAAAACACAACAATTTTATTTTCATTCATTCATTTCGTTTATATTTAATCATCTGAATTTTGTGTAGTCGATTCATAAGTTCCACAAATTGTATATAAATCGTTCAATGATTGCACTCTCACATCAGCCAATAACGATACAAATTGATCTAACGGACAAAACTGTTCACAACCGGGAATCGTTAAGGAATATGGGTTTGATGTGGAATTTCGATATAAAACCTGTACAGTGTTGTCATCATAAAGTTCAACAATGTAAGTAGCAACATATGGAACAAGTTGACTATCAGATACATTTAACGCATAACCAAGGGCAGAAAGTGTTCCATCGTGAGATGAATAAAGATAAGTATTGATGGTTGAGGAATTTGAATTATAATCAAGCATATTTTGAATGAATTGATTGACCAAAAAACCACCTCTGAATTTTGCTTTTTGTGCCGAGTTGAATTGTTGGGTTCGTGTAACTCGTTTCAATTCTCGGATATGATCCATTATTGTAGTTCCATTCCAAACCTGCATTACCCATTTTGGTTGCGGCATATTATGATCAATTTCTCTTTGAATATCATACAAATCATTTATATTATCATAATTTATTTCATCAATTCCAGTCACATTTTGAAGCCAAGTGAATAATGTGGCATATTGTTGATTGACCGTCGCAGCAACTGGCGCTTCTTCTTCAGCCGCAACTTTATCATAATTTGGACATTCGATTTTTGTTGGGCGAAGAAGTGGATCTGGTCCAGCACCAGTTGTATGCAACGGTGTAGGTTGCCAATATTTCAGGTAAGATGATTCCCAAACAAAATTTCCAGTTGGTGGATAAGCTCCAGCCAAAAATGCTTGCGCAGTATTTATTGCCCTTTCGGATTCACTGGATAAAGCATAAACTTGATCTTTGTCAAATTGTTGTAAAAATCCACTAGAATTGTAATATTGTCGGAAGAAAATACCAAGCTCGGTACCCTGCCAGATTCCTCTCTGTAAAATAATTTTTTTTGAAACAGTTCACACAATTTGTCAATTTAGAGCTCACATTTGTCAATTGATCCCAACCTCTCGGCCAAAACGTTTCATTATATCTATCATTTGGGTAGGGTAACTCTCCAGGTGCGCGATCACCATGTCGCCAAATCATTTGAACCATTTTCAAATTGGCGCATAATGCAAAATCCAGCAGGAAAAAGAAAAAACCAATGAGGGACAGAAAATATTCTTCATTTTTTTTAGAGAGAATGGAAAAAAAGAGGCCGGTTAAAAAGATTTGCAAATAAATAAACCCGACAATCAATAGAAGACCAAAAAATGATCGCTTTTTTTCATTGAAAATTTTTTGATGAACTTTTTTTCAACTTTCGAATATTTTAGGTCAGAATTATTGTTTTTCATGTATGTTATTTTTCAAAGACGAAAATATAAATAAATATTTCATTATTTTTTAAATAAACTCTTTCCGAATAAAATACAATTAAATAATACTTCGTTTTTTGTCTTAGCCATAACTTTTAATTTTAATATTTAGAACATCTGATAGCACCAGGCACATGTGATTGGAAAAAACACAGTGACAAAAAAAATAACAAAAATGCACAAAACTGAGATCAACAATGGCAACAATAAAATTTTTGGGGGAAAAACTAAATTAAATATCCATGTCTTCAAGGATTTTTGCCTCCTCGTAACTATCTTTTGATTGGAGGGCTTTGGTGAAGAAAATTATGGCGGCAAAAAACATCATGACTGCAGGAATAGCAAGATAAACTTGATCTTTGAAAATTGTCAGAATTAGAATCATCATAATTATGGAAATTGTGAGAACAATCGAGCCGAGTGTGAAGTTGAAAAACATTTGTTTACGATTCTGAAAAAAAATCGATGAATTTTGTTGCTAAAATTGTGTTGTAGAGATAACTTACATATGCTCCAATTGCAATCGAAGTATAACAAAATGGACAAGTCAAAAGTCCGTTCAAAGAATGGAACAAAAATTGTTCTTCACAATGAGGACAAATATATCTGGGACACGAAACCTCTCTTGGATAACGGATTTTTGACAGATTTGGGCCAGCTGGATATGGTGGAAGTGGTTCAAATGGAAAAGCTTGTCCAGGCGGCCATGAGAATGCTGATGTTGGTTTATCATCATATTCTTCAATGGTTGTTATATTAGATGTTGAGCTCATTGTGTCTTCTGGAAAAAATAAAAGAAATTGAAATTGTTTTTCTTTTAGGAGTAGGATTTTTTGTAGTTGGGAACGGATTGTATTCATGTTTACGAAAAAAAGGGCGGTGACTAATTTTGTGTCACATGAAAAGATTTTACAGAGTGAGCAAAAGAGAAGAGTTTCAGAGTGGGGAAAAGAGCTTTTGAAAGTTGTTTAATTATTAATAAATGTTTCAAATAGATTAGTTTTTTCTAAGTGAAGTGTCACAAAAAATGTGAAAAAATCAAATATCAAATAAAATGTTGATAAACCAAAAATAGGTTTTCTAAATAAAAAAACGATGAATTGAATTGTTTATCAATTTTTAAATAATTCTTATCGATTTCTAATTCAAAATTCTCAATTTCCCAGAACAAAAAAAATTAAAATATCCAAGAAAGCAAAACTAAAAAAACTGCCCTTCAAAAAGTCATCATTCCAATTAACTGAAAAAAATCCAGTACCTATTTCAAAAATAAATATTTTATTATCTATCATAATAAAATGTCTCCCAATTTCTCTCGAATTTTTTTTTTGTCCGAAATTAACACAATAAGGCGATTAGTGCTCACATGCGTGTGTGTGTGCGAGAAAAATTTTCAAACACAAAAATATTTGCGAAGAAGAGGCCTCTCAAAATTAAGAAAAAACTGGGGGATGTGGGGGTTTTCAATTAAAAATCGGGCAAAGGAAAGAAAGAATTTCAAGGTCTCATTTTTCGGGGTTGATAATGACGTCTCAAAACCGGGTGCAAGAATAAATAAATAAACAAACAAACTTTTGTTTTGGCTTGAAAAAGTCAATTGAAATGAAAAAAAAGTATATTTTTAACTAACTTGTTGTGAACTGAAGAATGTCTCTCCTAATAAATGAAACACTCCAAAAAAATCAACAAAAATATTTTTCACTTTCTTTCTCCTCTGTTTATTATCATTTCTTCTTCTTCTCTTTTTTTCCTAGTCAACATCAAAAAACATAAATTTTCGCCTCAAAACTATCTTATCATTTCATTTTCCTACATACATACCTTGTAGAGCCGATACGTCGATCATGATGATGGTTGTTGCGGCGTCGAAAAACCAAGTATCGAAAATGAAGAAATTCTGGAAAAAAACGAAAGTTAGTTTTCCTCGTTTCCACCTTTTTTTCCGCAGAAGAAAAAAATTAATTAGCATCGTTTAAATAAATAAATAAATATGAGAAACGAGGATGGAAAATTAGAGAAAAAGTAAAAAAAAAAATAAAGACGCCGAGATTTTTTTGTCACTACACTACAAAATTAATTGAATGCAATCATCATATTTTTTTTTCATAGAAAAAAATTATAGAAAAAGTCTAACAAGCTCTATTGAAAAGTTTACCAGGAAACGCAGAAATTCCCTAAAAAAAATTTAGAAGATGGGATTTTTTTGGGAAGAATTTCTAGGAAATGAAAATTATTGAAAAAAAATGGATTGGTTCAAAAATCAGAGTTATCTAGTTTTTGCAAAAAAAAACTATTGGAAAATTGATGGGGTGATAATCAAATTTTCAGCCTGACTCTAGAAGCCCCTATTGAACTCATATAACAAGGTGAGTCTTATTCCCTCCACTTCTCTACAGTGATCTGAGCCCACAAACGATTAATAGGTCCTTATCTAAAATGACGTGGGTCTATTCTCGGCCAAAAATTATTCGAGTTCGAACAAGTTTCAAGCCAATAATAATAATCGAAAAAAAAAATAAAACAAGTTGCTGGAAATTTTCGAGCAAATTATAGGGTTTGAATATCTCAAAATCTATTTGTGATTTTTTGCCTTCTTTGAGCTTTTTTTTCCAGGAATTTCGTTTCCTAATGTGAAAGAGAAGACAAGGTCATATATCAATCATTGGAAAAACAAACTATTTGTTTAGCGAATAGTTATTCTATCAGATGTTTTGTTTTGTGAAGAAAAAAAAACAAAACAAAATATGGAATTTTATTGGTGACAAGAGACAACAAAGACTTTGTTACAGCTTCCAAAGAAAAAAACAAGTATGAAAAAAAGTGAGACAAGAAGAAGAAGAAGCAGAAGAAGAACTACTACTGATTCACTGTACACAAAAACTGCTGCGATTCAAATATTTGTTTTCTATCTACACACATCGCGTCACTTTTTTTGCCTTCATGCTACTATCGTTTTTTTCTTGCGCACTCTCTGATATCTATCAGCAAAAATACACTGTCAACAACATCTTTTTGTATATAATATAATATTATTATTATTGTTGTTGTATGTCTGTGTGTGTACAGTAAGAGAAATACAAGATTTTATCACAAAGTGGCGCGAATTAATTGGATCGAGTTTTTTTGTGAGGCTGGGATTATGAGAAAAATCTGGGATGGGAAACTTTTTGGAAAATTTCTATTTGGTAGAAAATGTTTTAAACGTGATTTATGATAATTTCTGTTTTTTTTTTGATATTTCTGAAAAGGTGAAAAACATTTTTCTTGAATTTTCGAACAAAAATTTGGTGATAAATCATTTTCAAAAATCTCATAAATCTTTTTTTCTAAAAAAAATTCTGAAAAAAACTTTGAAATTTATTAGACGCCCATGGAAACTAGTTTTGTTAGAATCAGATACGGGTTTGTACCCCTTGAAATTTTGTTGAACAAGTTTCAGACAGAAAAATTGTGTTTTTTCAATAAAAAAAATCATTATAGTCTAAAAAATGAAAAATCAAATGGAAAATCCCAGGTGATTTGAAAATTCTAGAAGTTCTTTTTTTGAAAAACAAACACCGACTAGCAAAATAAAATATATATATAACTTATTTTGTATTCTTAATAACATTTTAATCGTATTCTAATTAATACAAAAAGTTTTTTTTTTCAAATTGAAAAAAAAAATGAAAAACATGGCAGAGGACAAAAAATTGATAACAAAAAAATGAAACTTTTTTTTTCGAAAAAATAAAAAAAAACAGAAAACAATCTACATCATCGCAATTATCTTTTTACGGTTCATGACTTTGAGTGGGTGTTTTAAATATGAAAAACTATGTTTTTTTTGCAGTTAACAGAAAACAAGTAACTCGTGAAAAAAAACTATTTTTGTTTTAAATAAATAAATAATCAAAAAGTATACGTTAACAGAAATATAAATCAAATTGCTGCTTGGAAATTAATTGAATTTGAGCCAGCAAAAGAAAAGGAAAACTGAAGTACTCTATCTGGTTCTAAAAATATTCGAAGATTCGCGGTTACCAAAAAAAAGTCAAGAGAAAATCGTAAAAACCTTCAAGGCCGTGTTTTATCACATTGATAGATCAAAAGATTTTAGATCAGATTAGGAATTCACTATACGATTTTTCTTATTTACTTATGATATTGTGCCAAAAAAAGTTCCTAATTTGGTCAAAACTATACGAAAATATGTAATTATTTAGAAAACGCTTTTTTCAGGTGCACAAAACTACTATTTTATTTTTAAGATATATTTTTTGAAAATAAGCAAAATAAATCAGGAATTGTTCCGGTTAAAATAAATCGTCTCATCTCATTTAACAATAGCATCAAAAACGATCGGGATAAAATGTCAAAAAATGTGTATATGTGTTCTGATGACCCAAATAAACAAGATATCGCGACGCGCGCGAGAAAAAAGATGGCTTTGACAATTTCTTGCTTTCATCTACATACATACATACATTAATGTAAGAATGGTCTTTTTCTCTGAAAAAGAAGACCAAGTGATGTAATATAAATCTGAATGGCTTATCCAGTTTTGGCATGATTGATTAGGTAGATTTTTAGATGGAAAAAAAGAAGGTGTTGTTGTGTAATAAAAGAATAACTTGAAATGGTAATGGACTTTGTTGATGGAGAATGAGGAAAATGTGAAATCAAAAATTGATATGGTACAATTATTTTAGGAATAATTTTTTGATTGAAAAATGATTATGGCATTTCAGAAAATTTTAATCATGTTTTTCATTTTTGAGGGATTTCGAAAATTCATTTTTTTGCTGAAATTAATTTTTTGAAAATATTAAAATTATGAACGTTTCTAGTATAAAGAAGTGGAAATATTTTTTCAAAAAAATTCTGCTCTAAAGCTCAAATACTTTTCATATAATTTCGAAATGAATTCTGTCCATGCATCCTCTCGAAGTTTCGCCAAATCAAACTTCCAAAACCAAAAACCCATAAAAAAACGCAAGGTTCAATTTTCAATTTGCGAGAATTATCGGGGATTAACTGAACATGAGTAGATATTGAAAGTTCACACATTTTTTTCGATCTACAAAAATGAGGAAATATTTGGTGTCTTTATTTTTTATATCCACAATTTCCGCGTTGGATTTGGCTAGTATAAGTGAGTTGGAAAAGACAAACATATCTGAATGAAGACAAGAGAAAAAGTTCCCAACCTTTTGAAAATTGAAAAAAAAATAAGTTCAAAATTTCAAGGTGAACTCTGAAGCAAAATTTAGCATTACATTTTTAATTTCATTTTCAGAAAAAATTAGAAAATCATGATTTTGGATTTTTTTTCGAAAACTTATTTTTTTCCAGAAAGAATGTATACTGTAGCAACCACTGAAGCTGCTGACATCCAATTCGATATCGTTGATCCTGGTGCACTTTTAATCGAATGTTCAGCAGCTTGTGACAGCGGCTGGAAATATTGGAACTCGTCTTGCTATCAAAAATTCAATGATGCCGGAACCTTTGCAAATGCTGTTACAAGTTGTGAAGCTCTTGGAGCACAACTTGTGAAAATTTCCTCGAGCGATGAAAACGAGGCACTAAGAAGTGAGTTTTAAGATTATTTTTTGTTTTTGATAGGTATTTTCAAAACAAAAAAAAACACTTTCAGAAGAATTCGACTCAAATGTAGTTGTTGGTGAAGCCAAGCAAACATGGATTGGATTACAGTACTCCTCTGGAAGTTGGCAATGGGTAGCTGATGGTTCAACTCCAAGTTTTACCAACTGGGCACCAACTGAGCCAAGCTCTTCTGCGAGTGGAATGTGTGCACAAATGATAACTGATACAATGCAAAAAGCCGCTTATTTATTCGAGAGAGGAGGGTGGAAAACTTATAGTTGTGACAATACAAGTTCGAGCTATATTTGTAAAAAAAATGCAAATTGAACTTGAATAATAGCAATGAATTATTTAACAATTTCATTAATCCTAACTTCTCGAAATAAAAAACTTTCACAATCAAATGTAGAAAATAATCAAACGACCTGAAAATGTTTTCTGTAAATGTCATTCTCAATATTCATTCAAACTCAAAAAACCTTTTTATTTTCATTATTTGTTGAAACATAATAACCTATAAAAAAGAATCACATGTTTTAAAACTAGAATGTAGTTGGGACATGCGTCAACTCAACAAATTTTCCCACAAACGTTTATAAATCACATTTTTAGTCAGTTTTTATCACAAGCTATTTGTTGTACCATCTTGACGTATCATTTCTTTTTCCTTGAAAACATCTTTGATTGCTCTGAAAAAATACTTTCAGTGAAAACTTATGTTGAAACTAACCTTCTAAATGGTATTATAAAATAGAATGATAAAATCGGATCAATCAATGTCGGAACAATCACAAAGAATGTGCTCAAATGCTCCAAAGCCAAATTTCTCACTCCAAAATACTGGGCGAGGAAAAATTGGGAGAGCAATGGAATGAAACAAATGCATGGTGTGATTGTTTGCCACGTTAAACCGCTTATCAAACTTTTTGCATTTCGAATTCTAGCAATATTATATTCGCCATAATCATTTAGAAGAACTCGAATTTTTCGTCGATAAATAAATGCGATTATTGGATTTAGGATCAACATAAAAGTGAACAAAAATGTTGAAAATCTAACAAATGGGGAATGCAACGAGGAAAATCCAAAAATTGCACTTTGTTCAATCGATCGTTTTTGGTGATTTTTCAAGGTTTCCTTAAGAATCATTGATCTATCAGATGGATTTGTGAATTGACAAATTGCACAGAAAATAGCTGGCGAATGCACCAAAATAAAATTTCGAATTTGTTGAAATTTGGTTATTTTCTGATGGGATAACACTTTGTATCGAAAATAAAATACATGAGTAATTGCGAAAAGTGTAGACGTCGAAGATGCCTGAAATGTTATTTGATATCTGCAATTAGAAAGAAAAGAGCAACTTACATCCTTCAGAAGATGTAGACCAAAACAAATCGATGATGTGTCAAAATGTGTGCACACACCTGAGCAGATGAACCCAACTGTGTTCTGATTTGGGATCATTCTGGGGAGAAAAAAATAATGAATCGGATTAAAAACGTCAGATTTTGATCTATGAACTTTTTGAAATTTGAGAATGCTTGAAGGTGACGCAGAACAATTTCATGACAAATTAGTAATTTGTTATTTTTATAGTCAATGACTAGACATTTTTTCGCCACTTTTCGGAACTCTGAAGCAAATTTTGACAAGTTGGGATCACACGCCCAAAAGCAGAAAAAGTTGTAGTTGTAAAAAATGTTCCAGATACTTTATGAATGTCGAGGCTTCAATTCCAAATATTTAAAAACCCACCTGCACTGTGTTAAAAATCCAGCCAAAGCAGTTATCATTTGTGCAACTGAAATATTCAACAAATAAATTCGCATATTCGTCATCAAAACTGATCGATTTTTGAAAATCAAAAATACCAGCAAAAATTGCACACATGAGACCAAAATAGTGAATATTGAATAGAGCAACATGTAACAAAACATACTGAAATTTTCGCTTGAGAATCAATTTATATTAACTTTATTAGGTTAGGCGGAAATTGTGAAAAAAAATCCCACGCCCAAAAAACTTTTTTTTTCTGTTTCATAAGTAAAATAGGATAGGGCAGGATCTCTAGAAAAAAAATGTAGTCTGAATTTTTTTTTTGAAAAAAAGAGAAGAGGAGAACAAAGAAGTCAGACATATTTGCATGAAAGATCAAATTTCAAAATGTACGAGTTTCAGATTTTGTCAAAAAATTTATACATTTTTTCTGAAAACAGCTGCCCTTCAATAATAATATTTAAATAACTTTAGCGATCAGTTAGCTCAGTTTTTATCCGATTTATGAAAGAAAATTTTCTGATTAAGCCAATTTCTAGGAAATTCTTCAAATAACATAAGTAATGCTATTCCCGAATGACACAAAAAATGAGTTTTGATCTTCCGAACTCGACAAAATAAAAATTCCAGAGGAAGTGAAAAGAGAAGTCAGCATTATTTATTAAATATATGGCCAAACATTTTTTTGATTGGATTTTTCTTTTGCTCTCACTGAGATTTGTTATTTGAATGAATAAAGGAAAGGAAAAACGTGGTCGGTCGAAAAATCTAAATTAAACGAGATAGAAAAATGTGAGATGAGTATTTGCAAGAAAAAGTTTCAAAGATTGCTGGATGTTTGTTTCAAGGGTCTATGATGATTTTTCACCTTTTCCTGGTTGGGGAATGTGAAAAGTTTCCAAAGCAACATAACACGAGGTCTACTTATTATTAATTCTTGTTGACAAATGTTCTGGGAAAATCAAAAATCATTTCAAAAACTAGGGGTCATTCGAATTTACTTTAGTTTGAGCTTGCAAAAGTTGATAATGATGTTTGTTAGTCAAAAATGGTTTGGGAAAAACGAGATAAAATAAATAAAAAATTCGAAGAAAACATAAACTAGTCAAAATATTTCAGGAAACGTGAGCTTTCTGTTCCATGTGGCAACTCATTGTCAGAAGCATCATTTTTTATTTATTATAGAAATGAAAAAGTACAAATTATTTAATTTTTGGAAAATTCTATTATACTCGGATGACTGAAAGAATTGGATTATTTATGACGTGGCAGTTTGCATGTTTCTTTAAAAATAAAATAATGTTTGTTTCCACTATTTTAAGAAATCAATGTTCAAAACGTGCAGAATTCCAGCTGCCCGGGAAATTAAATGGTTTTTCACCCATAAAAATATTTATTAATCTCAATTTCAAAAATACGGTTCTTCACAAGTTTTCGTTATTGTGACAGTTCTTCCTGTTTCACAAGTCCGATCTTCGTCAGTTTTATCTTTCTTATTTTTTGCAGTTTTCTTTTTGGCAGCAACAGAATCCGGAGCTTTAACACTTCCATCCTCATTAAAAACGTCTTCTAATGCGGCTTCCTGAATTGCGATCAAACTTTTGTCATAACCCGGTCGACGACGAGATGCATCTTTGGTTTTGTCCCGGGTTTTCTCTCTGCTTTTTTCCCGACTTTTTTCTCGACTTTTCTGTCTTTTAGAAGTTTGCTTTGTAGATGAAATTGATTTGGATTTGGATTTTTCAGCTTCATTTTCATCATTTTCTTGATCCACATTATTATTGCTGATAACATTGTTATTATTACTATCCGAACTCTCACTTGGCATTCCACTTCTTTCTTTCGATTTTGATTTCGACCTTGATTTCGGTTTACTTTTTTTGCCCTCCTCCTTACTCATACAAACTTCAACACTTTTCTTCGAATCTTCAGGACTCGATGAAGACTTTAATATCCGATCTTCACTTTTTGGCTTTTTGTGAGAGCACAAAAATAACATTGAATAAAAAATAAACGTATAAATAATAGTATATAGTTCAAACATTATTATAGAAATAAAATATGAATAGTTTTCAATTCTCTCTCATTTTATAGCAGATTTTTTTTCAGGTCACGTTCGTTTGGATCCAAATATTCGTTGTGTTTTCAAATTGCAATGAATAAATAATTCAGAAAAATAGGTTGGATGCTTCCGAATTCTAAATGAAGCAGAGCTTTCGATTCTCAAAAAAAAAACAACATCAAAAACCTTCATCATATTTTCTGAAACAAGATTTATTTATAATTAGTTTTTTAGGTTTCGCTAATTGCAATTTTCCGTATTATTCAGATTTAAAAATTGTTGTTTAGTTTGTGTGTTTCGACTAGAATTTTCCGTTCTGTCTACTGCAAAGACAATTTTTCGAACTCATATATTATTTTCGTCAAATGAATATTTCCTTTTTTTTATTTCATTAGTTTTTATTTCTTGTTTTGTTTTGAGAAAGGAACAAAAAATGACTTTTTTGTCCAAAAACAAAAGTGTTGTTCTTCCTCCTTTTATAAAAGTTTATCGTGAAAATGACAAGTCTGCAGATTGAAAATACTAATCTTTTTCGTGACAAGCAGCACAAAATACTTGGAAATCGCCTATTGTTTTATTTTCGCAATTTTATTTTCATTGAGCATTATTTTTCTCTTTCAATATTTTTCTTCAAACGAAACTCAGAATGAGTTAAGTGAAGTTGAGTTGAGTTGTTTTTTTTGTTGCTTTTTTTGTTAGGAACAATTTTACTATAGTAATTTTATTTTTCAGGAAAAAAGTATAAACATTTTTCTTTTTTATTGATTATCCAAAAATATATGACGTGGCGAGGAATTTTCTATACAAAATCAGAATTCAGATTCTATTTTTCTATCTACGTCACAATTTTTATTCCTTTTTTGAAATCATCATTTTACAAATCCAATTAACTCAATTAATTTCATACCTATCAAAACTTCTGAATAAGTTTTGTTTTCAAAATGAGTTTGTCTTAATCCTCATGAAACCGTAGGCGTTGAATTCTTTTCAACAAATCTCTCTCATCTTAAATTCTGATTATCATTCATGTTAGAAAAGAATTATTATTTTCTGGCTCTGTACAAAAAGTGCAATCATAATATCCTTATTTTGATTATGTCCTTTTACAACAACAGAAAACCAACAAAAGCTATTTTCAGTTATCTCTTCATTTTTTCTTTGCTTAACCAAACCAAAATGGGGTTCTGTATAATCCTTCCTACGTCTTTTTATCCGTAAATCCGTGTTTTTCTTTTGAGGGAATAATGTTCATTTATTCCAAGTATTTTTCAGAATGAATTCGTTTCTCTATTACGGAGATAGCACTTCTATCCCAAACTATAATTGCAGTCAATTTCAAAAAGTCGATGAACCAAGAATTATTCCGGGTATTATTGATATCGCTTTTGGTGTTTTTGTCATCGTAAGTGTTCAAAAAAAAAACAATATTTCAACAAAAAATAATTTTTAGTTTTTGTACATTCCCAGTTTGTATGTTTTCTACAAACAATCTCGAATTGTATGTTTCAAAATAATGTTTCTTCTTGGAATAACTGATTGTGGAGCAATTAGTGAGTCTGCTATTTTATGTTAAAGTGTTCTTTCAGTTACAACGAACAAATCCTTTCAGCCGTGAACTCTGTGATAACGGGTTATTTATTGATACGTGGAGCAAGTTTTTGTGATTCTCCAAATTTCATTTATATTTCTGGTGCAATTGGTCTTGGATTTTGGTGTAGCGCGTGTATGACTTGTTTGATTCTGGTTTTGAATCGAACTTTAGATATGGTCAGCCCATTGTTAGTCAAAGTATATTTCAGAGGGTAAGATAAACATGCTCCAGAAACTAAAAAAAATAAAAGTTTTATTTTAGATACAGCACATATTTCGTCCTAGCTTGTCCCATTATTTATGGTTTATTTTTTACATTTTGTACTCCCCCGATCCTATTTTCTGCACAACATCGAACTTGGTTCTTCGATCCATTAATTAAGAAAAATATGACTCTAGAATACACAAATATTCCACACACAATCAATAATTTTGGAATTGTAGTGCTGACGACAATGCTCTACGTATTTTTCTGTTTAAAAGTTCGTAAGCAATTCAGCAAATCTTCATTTCGAATTAAAAGAACTAATCGGCAAAGACAAGTAAGTTCAATTGTGGGAAAGTTTTTGTGACTTTTTTCGAATTACTCAGATATTTATTCAATCCACATTATTATGCATGTTTCATCTTTCGGCGTCGATAGTCTACGTCATTATGCAATTTGTCACTGTTCCGGAATGGCTAACTTATTTCTCTCAATATCTTTGGCAACTAGCTCACGGTGAGTCAACAATCATATGATATTGAAATTTGTGTGACTACAACACTAAAATTGAACTTTTAGGTTGCCCCGTCATTGTATATCTATTTTTCAATCATAAAGTTAGAGGAGCACTTTTACTTTTATTTTCAACAACTTCGTCTTATCAGGTAAATAATATGTGGAATCACATTTTCCTAATTAGAAAATCGAATCAAAAATCAAGACCTAAGAATAGATTTTTTTCTGTTTACATCTAATTTTTCTAGGAAAAATCGTCGCTTTTCATTCCGATGTCAATTCAAGCAAACCCACCAAAAAGCGATGAACTACAACCATTCAACATAAAAGATTAAAGACGAGACGGCGAAAAAGAGGCGTTACCTACATTTTTTGTTCTTTTATTTTATTTTCCGATTTTCTCACTCACTATTCCTTATTTGTGGTTGTTTTTGTTCAATAATGGTTCTTATGAATAACTTTAATAAATCATTTTATATCGAACAACCGGAAGTGTGGAATGTTTTCGAGAAGATTTTTATGGCAGAGATCGGATTGTTGGTTATCAAGTGAGTATTAGAATAATAGCTTTTTATTCGAGTTTTGAACTTTTTGGTTCCTGTGGGTTTCAACATAATTTCTCATCCGAACTCACTTCTATTTGAAATCGAAGACTTGTAACAAAAAGCATATAATAGCGTGATGTTTTGATCAAAAAATGATTTCGATAGAATTATTTTGATCTGGGAGCTTTCATGCTCAAAATACTTCCAAATCCGCACCATATACGTTTCAGCATTGCTCACACATTTATGGTTATTTGGTTAAATGTCACTGCAAAACAGTTCCACACTAATTGGACAAATATATTCAGTATGCTTTGTATTCAACACATCACTGCTTCTTTTGCATGGCTAATTCAACGAGTCATTTTGATCTCAGATATATACTATTCAATGTTTATCATTATAAAAATCTTGTCCTATGTTAGAAATATTTGTATTTTTGTATGTTTATTATCTTTACCAACTCTAGTTATCGAAAGATATTTTGCCACAATATATGTTTTGAATTACGAGAAAAAGCCAAGAGTTCATATTTCATACTTTCTCATCTGTGGAAATATTTGTGTCGCTTGTTGTACTTCTATCATGTATCACGAGTGTAAGTTGTGGAGGAAGAATAATAAACAGATTAAATTTTTTGAAAAACAATTGATGTACTTTGGAGTTCACTTTTTCTTGAAATATTATTTATTGGAAACATTTCCCGGGGTAAAACATCAGTTGTATTCCTCTTCACCAGTCCTCTAATACAAGGAAGTGTACTGCAATCAAAGCTGTATTTGTATTCGTACTAGACTATATTTTCAGACGACCTTTTGCTCACAACAATAACATTTTTCCTGGTGATCAATGGTATTGCTGTTCTTGGAAATATTGCGATTCTACACATTAATTACAAATTCTACAGAGAATTTCATAAGAGTAAAAGAGTGTGTGATCTAACAGAAAGATTTCAAATTTCGGAAAACATAAAAGTATGCAAACTTGTGATTATGATTGTTATTTCAATGGGTGGATTCAATGGATTAATTTGTTTGACCCTTCTAATTGATATTTTCGATATTTCGGATAACTCCAAAAATATGTGGTGTTTAGCATTTGATGTTTCTGCATTCTTATATAGTTTTTTGTTCCCATATATTTGTATGTATTATAGTAATCGATGGCAGATTGTGTTTTTCGGATTTCTCAAAATATTATTCGGATCATTAATTCGAAAGAACAAAATCAAACCAATCGAGAAAACAACAAAGGCTTGTAAACTGCACCGTGCAGTCTGCACGATAGTTTTGGAAAAATCATACCAGAAGCATCAGCTGATAAATACTTTGAAGATTTGAGAAGTAGCTGGCGTTGATTTACTGATTGAATAAACGAATAAATCATTTTTCCTACATCATGGTATTTTCCCCGAATTATAGGGAGAAAAATAATTGCATCTCACACTACAAATGTTTTTCCCTTCTTTTTTTTTTTGGTTTTTTCACCACTTTTCTGACATGCTAATGAATAACTTTAATCGATCTTATTTTGAAAATGATCCAAAAAATTGGTCATTTTTGGATAAGCTTTTCAAAATCGAGATAATTTTACTGGTTTTCAAGTAAGTTAAATTTGAGCGCGTTGCGTATCGGTTTTTTTCACAGTAACTGTTATGTCGCATTTTTTCTCTGGGTTAATATCACAGCAAAACAATTTCATCAAAACTGGACCAATATTATATCCGTTATTTATGGTCAACATCTGATTGCAACAAGTGCTTGGATTTTCAATAGATTTATTTTGTTATCAGATGATTATTTCAAATGTATCTTCGTTATCAAAATCTGTTCATATATTAGGCTTTTATGCCTTGGTTACGTATTTTTGAATCTACCAATGTTAGTCATAGAACGATATTTTGCCACGTTATTTGTCAAAAATTATGAAAGAAAGAAACGTCGATATATTTCGTATTTCCTTATATTTGGAAGTACTATCCTCTCAATTATTACAGATATCGTATATCACGAATCTGATCATGGTGAGTTAGATAATATGTTTCAAACATTGAGTATTTTCAAAAATTATTTATTGAAATGAAAAGTGAGCTGTGAGCTAAGTACACGTGAACGTACTGGGCTAACAAATTTTCATTTCTATTTTTAATTGGGAAATGAATAATTTCTTGAATAAGTTCCAAGAAACGTTAGACTTTCGCACATCCAATTTATCGTGAGAATTTGTGGTTTAGCCTTTGTTCCAGAATTATTCGTCATTGCGATATTTGCAACATTTATGATATTGAATGCCTTCGGACTGATCGGAAATAACATCATTTTTCGGAAAAATCTAAAATATTATAGAGAATTCTATAGTAATCAAAGAAGATGTGATCTGGCAGAAAGATTTCAAATCTCAGAAAATATAAAAATTGGAAGATTGGTGAATGTAATAGTTATGTCAATGGGTGGATTCAATTTAAGTATAGCTTTTTGTATGGTTATTGATTTTCTCGATATTTCGGATCCCTCAAAAAATCTATGCGCATTGTTTTTCGACCTATTTGCGTTCATCTACAGTTTTTTCTTTCCCATAATTTGTCTGAAACATAGCAAACGCTGGAAAATGGTGATATTCAGATTAGGAAGAAGGTTCGGAACAAATAAACGCTCAAGAATTCAACCCCTGCAAAATTCATTCGGAACTATTATGACGGATGCATCAACTGATGCATATTTTGAGAATTTGAGAAAAAGTTGGGCTTGATAAATATTTTCGAATAGATTCTAATAAAATTGTCTCCCTTTTTTTGAATTCATTTATAATTGTCATCTTTATCATCGTCTTTTCCTGCTTTCCATAACACCCAAAATTTTCCGTTGTCGTTTTTTTGATATAATTGAATTGACTACTGTTTCCGAATGACGTTTATAAATAATTTCAATAAAACTTACTTTCATAATGATTCCGAAACTCGGAGAATTTTCGAAATATTTTTCAAAGGTTGAGATCGTAATAATCATGTTCAAGTGAGAATAATAAAAAAAATGCATTATTTTCAAGAATTTTTTTCAGTATTTTTCATACATTGTTTTTCGTCTACATAAACATAAAAGCTAGACAATTCCATCAAAATTGGACAAATCTAATGAGTGTTTTATATATTCAACACATTATTGCTGATATTGGTTGGGTTTTCAATCGAATTATAATTATTTCAGATGATTTTTCAAACTTGGAAAACATCACGAAAATAATTTCCTATGTTCGTGGATTTTGTGTATTCGTAGGAATAATGGTACTGCCATTTTTAGTCATAGAGCGACTTTTTGCAACGATTTATATAAAAACTTATGAATCACAAAAATTTGGCTCAATCTCTTATTATATTATTACAGTTTTGATGATTATTAGCTTTCGTTTTTACAATAATGTTTCACGAATGTGAGTTTCAGTTTCTCAATTTCTCAATTTCTCAATTGTTATTTTTCTCTCACGTCAAGTTAATATCTTACTTCCAATATTCATTATTATCCTAGTCAGCAATGCTTTTGGAGTTATTGGAAATCTTATTTTACTTTGGAAAAACCTTACATTTTTTAGAGCATTTCAAATCTCTCAGAGATATTGTGATTTAGCAGAGAGATTTCAAATATCAGAAAATATTAAAACTTGTCGACTTGTAAATATGATTGTTATTATCATGGGTGGATTCAATTTGGTGATTTGTTTCAGTTTACTTGTCGATATTTTTGAAATAACTGATTATAACAAAAATATACTGACTCTGTTGTTTGATTTGGCACTCATGTTGTGAGTTTTTTTTCCAAAATGTTTGAAACCAAGGTTCAAGTCCAGATCTCCGTCATACCCAACATTTTCTGGGTGTGCGAAAAACTATGAGATCGTGAGAGCTTTGGAAGGAAAATGCAAAGCTAACCACGACGTGAGATTCTAATCTCATGCGCTAAAAATAACAAATTACTATGAAAACAATTAAGGCCAAAGTACAAAAACATGAGTTAACTGAACTCAGACACTTTCAGATACAGTTTCATATTTCCTTACATTTGTATGAAGTACAGTAATCGATGGAGTGCATTATTCTATCAATTTTTCCACAGAATTCTACAAATTCGTCATTCTATAGTTGTGACTCCAGAATTGAGAAAACTCAAACTTCGAAACACATTTGGTCAAATTATGTTATCTGAATCGAATCCGGATAGTTATTTCAATCAACTGAAACAAGTTTGGGGAAAATGAGAGATTTAGAAAAATATGAGCAATGAAACTACAGTATTAAATACGTTAATTTAGACGCTTATTTTATTGAACCATGTACAGACATTTTATAAAATATGACGTTTACCTTCTTGATCTCATAAAATTTATGCTTTTTTTATATTTTCACCGAATTCAAAAAAATAATTGCACCCTATCTAGGTTTTTTTTTTCAATTTTTTCATTCATCGATTTTTTTTTCAATTTTTGATAAAATGCTTATGAATGATTTTAATCGGTCTTATTTCGAAAATGATCCGCAGAACTGGGCATTTTTTGATAAATTTTTCAAGATAGAGATAGGGATACTGATTTTTAGGTGAGTTTTTTGCCGTGTTATAGTTTTTAACACGGCTTTCTTTTACAGTAACTGTTATGTCGCATTTTTTCTCTGGGTTAATATCACAGCAAAACAATTTCATCAAAATTGGACAAATATAGTATCAGTAATCAATGGTCAACATCTTGTTGCAACAAGTGCTTGGATTTTCCATAGACTTGTTTTATTATCAGATGATTATTGGAAGAATATACTTATTGTGGAAATCTGCTCGTATATCAGACTTTTCTGTCTTTGTTACGTTTTTCTCGGATTACCAATGCTAATTGTTGAAAGATATTTTGCCACACTTTTTGTCAAGAATTATGAAAAGAAAACACGTGGCTATATTTGTTATTTACTGATAAGTGGAAGTACTGTAATTTCAGTTGTTATCGATATAATTTATCACGGATCACAACGAGGTTGGGAACTCTGATTGAAAACAAAAATCCAACTGATATATGTTTTTACAGAAATAGTAGGCATTATAATATTTACAATTTTCATGGCATTAAATGCCTTCGGGATAATTGGAAATATTCTACTTTTTCGCAAAAATCAGAAATTCTTCGAAGAATTTTATAGCAACGAGCGAAGTTGCGATTTAACGGAAAGATTTCAAATTTCGGAGAATTTGAAAAGTGGAAGATTGGTAAATGTAATAGTTATGTCAATGGGTATATTCAATTTGAGTATTGCAATTTGTATGGTTATTGTATTTTTCAACCTTTCCGAATATGTCAAAAATCTCTGCGCTTTGTTTTTCGACTTTTTCGCTCTTATCTATAGCATATTATTCCCAATTATCTGCTTGAAACACAGTGAACGATGGAAAATGGTAATATTCGATTTAGGAAAGAAATTTGGAGCGCATAAAAAATCAAAAAATCCAACCACTTCAAAATTCATTTGGAACTGTTATGACAGATGCCTCCGGAGAAGCATATTTCGACAAATTGAACCAAACTTGGGCTTGATAAATAAATAGTGAAAAATTGCATAGCTTTTGTATTAATAATATTCTATGATATAATGTTTATTAATTTTTCCCAATATAGTTTGAACAAAATAATAATATAATAATAAATATGCATTAAATTATATATGACAGCAAATAACAATAAATTATTATAATAATATTAATTCGAATAATTATCACATTCCCAAGAAACTCTGAACCCTCTTCCATCATTTTCTGACAAATCATCCGATTTGAAAATTATTTTGAAATATCGATTCTCATCATCACCATTCATTTGAACTCTATTCGCCGAAATCGAACTCTTACTCTTAAATTTAAATGTTTTGGAACTTATTGTTATTAGATAACTTTTTATAACTTACATATGAACAATCTCTAACTCGAATGCTCTTTTTGTCGCTTTTATACATGACTTCAAGTTCAACATATTCATCTTGCGAATTACAATTATCCATATTTTCAACAACTCCCACATTAACCTCTTCCACGTTGAAAATGCAAGTATGGCTGGTTGGTGGACGAATCACAAATCTGTTATTTTACTAATAATTTTTTATTGAGAAAATAGAAAACTTACATTTGTCTAGTAGATTTGTTATAACCATTCGGCCAGCCGATATTAGTTACAACACCTTGAAGATCATAAGAATCCGAAAATTCAATCATATCATCTTTTTCTTGTGCAACTGTGAGATACGTGGCATCATAACCTTCTTTATTGATTATGTGATCCGTTTTGAAATAAGTCTGAAAGCCAGGTAATTGGCATTTTGAAAAAAAAAAACAAACTTGTGAAAAAAAAAAAAAAAATAAAAACTCTGTTAGAAGCATGCATTTCCATAAGAATTGTTGACTCAAGTTGAAATTAAGAACCTGCCCATTTTCCCAAATATAAAAATAACTGACCGCAACTCTTGCTCCTCCAGCTGTGAAAATCGATGGTGGAACTTTGTCTCCACAAATTCGACTCGATCCAACACTTTTACCTTCATCAATAATATCCAAATAATCAAATGAGCAATCACTGCTTCCAGGAACATTTGGATTTTGAGTTTCCAAGACGAACTTTGAAAATGCGATGAGTATTTTTCTTGATTGTGTAACATCATCTGAATTTTCCAAAACTGTAGTGCAAACTGAACTTCCATCATACACATTCGGATAATTTGGACTTGTAATACGACCAGATCGATAAGAATTGGTATCAATTGTTCGATTACAGCCTAAATAAAGCTGATATTTTTAAGTTAATTTGAAAATAAAGACTTACGATCAAGAATTTGATAATCGAATGCAACCAAACTTCTTACACCTGATCGTAATTGTGCATTTACGATAATTTGAACAACATTGGTATTCGAAATATGTGGAGATGGAATTCTTGTTCCACAAATTCGCGTAACTTTTCTTTGTGCTGATTGTTGTGCACAAGCTGCATGTTGACATTCATTGATTGAACCAACATCTCGAATTTCAACATAACTTTGTTCACAATTTTTATCCGATGATGGAATATTGAATTCTTTGAAATGAATAATAACAGGTTCCGTTTTATTTCCTTCAATCATATATTTGCATCTTTGATGAGTCTTCTCATGATTTCCATCTTCTTCAGAAGTATCAGTTTTAATTCGAATCGACTTTGATTCAACTTCTGCTTTCATCCAGCCACCACAATTTGCTTTTTCAATTGAATATGATACATTTATTCCTCTTCCACTTCCACCATGATCCGATACAAAATAAACATAAACATATCTTCCACTTGAAACAATTTGTGATGTTGGAATATTTCCACCACTACAAATATCACCTGACAATATTGGCGAGAAGTTTTGAAGTCCATCATAAATATTAAGCGAATCAGAAGTGCAGAACGGTTTTTGTGGAGTTCCAGGCAAACTTTGCAATTTCTCCGTATCAATATCATTGATTTTCAATCGAATTTGATGATCAACAGGAGCTTTGATGGTCCAACCACAATGTAAATGTCCAGGATAATTTCCATTCTCATCTTTTGGCTGGCTAAATGTTTGCCATTCTTCTGTTGCTATCAAATTTCCACCACATCCACTTTTTGCACCAAGAGATGAGGTTACTATCATTTTAAATCCACCAGAATGAATTGTATGATCAGTGTTCATGTGGATAAGGAGATTTGGACCAGTTGTTCGAATTATATTTGTAGGCATTCTACAAAAAAAATGAAGGAATTTATACGAGATGTTTCTATTTATAAACTAACGCTTTGATTCCTCCACAGAATTTTCCTAACGAATTCTTGGTTTCGGCAGAATTAAATAGTTCAATATAATCTGCAGAACAATCAGAAACCTCTTCCAAATCCATAATTTCGAATTTTACATTTATCTCTCGATCTGATGAAGTTGTAATATTCCAAACACAATCAAGATCTCTAACATAAGGCAGAGGGAATGCAGGACTTTCAATTTCAGCTGACAAATCAGTAGTGTTTGATAAAAGAATGTCTCCACCACAGACTGAAATATTAACTTATTAAATAAATGATTTGTTGAAATAAAAAACAACTCACAATTAATATTATATGCCAACTTGAATCCTCTGTCATTTTTTCTCGTTTTATCTGATCCAATAAATAATCTTGAAGAAACAAATTTGATCAAAACAGCTCCTCGAATAGTCAATGCTTCATCAGGAATCTGAGTCTCTCCGCAAAGTGTTAGAACAACTCTACGAGAAGGATACTCTAAAATTTGAATGTAATCCTCTTTACATGGTGTTCGATCGTAATGTGTTGTAAATTTGGAAACATCAAGATCTTCGAATTTCAAAGCAACAACATCTTTCGCATCTGCTTTGATAATATATTCACATTCAATATTTTCATTTGGATAACCATCTGGATAATTTGGTGCAGTGATAACTCCATGATTCGATTCAAATATCGCTCCACATTTCGCTTCCCATTCAACTCTCCAACCTCTTCCATTTACTTTTTCGTCGGTCGTAAAATTCAATCGAATTCTCGTTGTTTCAGTCTCTTTATATTCTGGTATATTTGTTCCACATAATGGTGGATCATCTCTCGCATCATTCAAAACAAACAAATAATTTCCAGCCGGAACTTTTGCTAGATAATTTGGGAGTTCTGACACAACTAATTGATCTTTCGTGCAATTTTGTGATTGTTCAACATCAAAATCTTTGAACTTCAAATTGATATGATAACCTAACGGAACTTGAACATCCCAAATACATTGAGATTTTGCAGGATAATCTGACACTCCATAATTAGGAGATTCCACAATTCCAGACATTCCCTTGACATGGAAACCACAAGCTAGAAATAAATATAATATTTTTAGACTTTGAAAACATTTGAATAAACAAAAACTTCAAAAAACCTACTGTCCGCCTCATTCACAAATTGATATTCCAAAACCCATCCAGCAGCTTCATTTATCTCATCAGTTACCCAATCAATTGTCATATATCTACTCTTCGAAGTGATTTGTTTAAATCTATCCTCAAATTTATCCACATCCATATATCCATTCTTTTTATCAACCATTGTATGACAATAAGTGTGTAGAATATTCAATCTTTCTTGTTTTCCTTCTCCAATCATCAATCGATCTTTTGGACAATCAAAATCGTAATGAATATCCATTGAGATGAACTTTATCTGAAAATAAAAAAAAATAATTAGTGAGAATTTTTAATTATATTTTTGTTTATTTTGTTGTTATGTTATGACGAAAAAAACAGGTTCATAAGTGGTTGAAAAGTTCAATTATTTTTAATTTGTTGTCTATTAGAAAAACTATAAATAATCAAATTTCATTTTTAATTTTTTATATTTGAAATTTTAAAAAACGATGAAATTCCTGTTAACCCTTATTTTGTTGCTCTCAATTTTTGTGATCCCAGCAGCCACACAATTCGTAAGTCCTAACATATATATTTTTTTAAAAATAAATTAGTGTTTTAGTATGGCCCAGGGGCGTATTATGGTGCAGTCGGTTACCCTTATGGTGCCTATGGTGGATATGGAGCAGCATATCACGGCTACGGTTATGGTTACGGTGGAGGAATGCCTTATGGTTATTATGGTAAAAAATAATCTTTTTGTATTACGAAAAATAAAATGTTCTTACTTACCTTTACAACTTGTCCTGGTGGTGCTTCAAGTATCCATTTACAACGAGATTCAGATAAATATTTCTTGCCATCTCCAAAATTTGGACTTGTAATATTTCCGTAATTTGTGTCTTTTATATATCCTCCACATTTTTGGAATTCAACATCAATTGAGAATTCCGGTTGAGGTGCATCTTCGAAATCATGTTGAACGAAAATATCAATTTTATTGTTGACAAATATCAAATCACTACGGTTATTTTGAGAAGATCTCTCACAGAAGTTCCGATCCATGAACACAGGTTCATCAGCTAAAAAAATTGAAAGTATACTTTTTGACAATAAAACAATATGAAATCTACTTACATCTCAAAATAATCGAAGCATCAAAATCATCACAGAACAACTCTCCAATTCCCTGCGACTGATATCCAAAATTATTGATTTTTATACTGACTGTTGAGAATTCATCTGGTTTTTCAACTGCGAAATGGCAAACATCTGAAAAACAAATTTATAGAAACTTGACCAGATTACTTTGAATTTAACTTACTCTTTATTTTTATATCCCCATTTTTGGTATCATTTGAGAATGAAAACGAGGTATTTTGATTAACCAAGAATGTGCAATCGTTTTTACGAGTTGCTGGCATCTGAAACATTTTGAGATAAAAAATAACACATTTTTCAAAATAAAAAGACAAACCATGACATAATCAATGACAAATGGAGAATACAATACATCGGACTCCTCTCTCGAAAGATTTCTTGATAACAATTCCTTAGTTGGTGAATCAGTATACACCAATTTAGCAACATCTGTTTCAGTCCAAAGTACAAGCGAATTATTACAGAATTTTCTTTCATTTCGCATGTGATCCAAGAATGTATCTTTTGAAACAGATTGAACAACTTGTAAGTCGGCATAACATTTTTCAGGTGCAAAATAAACCATTCCATCATAATTATGGTAATTTGGTGTGTCGGTGAAGTTCATTTTGAGCATGTAAACAAATCCTGGTTTTGCCTTCATCTTCCACGTGCATTTCATATTTGGTAACAATTTTCCTGGATATCCTGGAAGTGTGATTGATCCTTTGAGATCGCTTATGTCATGTCCACAACCTAGAAATACAAATATGAATATTTGTGAAATTGAACATCTTGATAAACTCACTTATTTCACTCAGTTTCACAGCGATATCGAAACCGCATTTTCTCTTGTTGCAGTATTGTCGACCAGCTCGCTGAAAATTCAATTTTTATAGGGACAGATTTGTTGCAAGACCGAAAAAGTTGGAAGAATGAAAAAAATAATATAAATTTTATTATGATAGAGTAAGGAAACGTGAGAGAGGGAAAAGAAAGAGAGAGAAAATTCAAAAATATTTTCACGCGGGAATTGTCAATAGAGCACACTTTCTTTCTCACTCTCTATTTATTTTTATTTTTGAGTTTTTTCTTGTTTCTTGTTTCTTTTTCTTTTTTCACGTTATTTTTTCACGTTATACTCTCTCTCGCCATTTTCTGCCGTAAAAAGTTTCTCACCTTGATAGTTGATGTTGAATTGAAAACAATTGTCAATTCATTCGTTGAACTTCTCACGAAGTCATCAGGCGCAAAGTTTTGATTACAAATTCGTGGCACTAAAGGAGTTGCTGTAACATTTCCGTCTCTAATAACAATGCTTTCTGTTGTGCAATTTATCGAATAGGACAGCCACATGTGTTCAAGTCTAAATTTTAATAGTCAAGCTTTAATTTTTTTTGGTTTATTCACCTTGCTAACAGCAAATGTGTATTTGGACTTCGAACTCTCCAAACACATTGAACTGGAATATCATAAGGATCCGGATAATTTGGAGATGTTATATGAACTGTTTGATTTTCTCGAACTATTATAGTTCCACCACATTTCGCAAGTTCGAACTTCGCGATAAATTTATCACCAGATGGGAAAGAATCAGTATGAATTCGCATGTAAAGATAATTTCCTTGTGAATAAATTGTTGATGGTGATCGAGTTCCTTTGAACATTCCGATTAGGTGAGAGTGTTGAGATGGTCCATCACGAACTTCGAGAAAATCGGATGTTCTGCAATAGCAACTATGTTTATTTTTAATTTCTGTAAGATAAACGTACGTATCATTGTATCCACCGTGTTCCTCGATATCAAAATTGTCTGGATCGAAAGTTAATGCAAGTCTATGTCCATTTGGCGCTGCCACAACATATTCACATTCAGTAGAGGCCGGAATTTTCTCAGGATATTCTGGTGAATATATGACATGCGTCGGATGTTCCTCATCAATTCTCATAATTCCAGATGGGCATTCCGTTACAATTTCAAAGATTCTCGCTTTGAAACCTCGTTTGCTGGAAGCTTCTGCTTTATATTTCAAAAGTAGTTGTCCATTGTGCGAAGTTGTGTTGATCTTTTCGCCATCTAGAGTTCCGCAATACTTTCTAACATCGTAGTTTCTCGATAAATATCCATCAGACTGAAAAAATATTGTTAGTTGCATGAACAAAACTTGTTGATCAACTTACAATTGATAATGCATTATTTTCTTCACATGGTGAATTTTCTACGATATCCAAATCCTCAAATTCAACACTCAACCGTCGATTTGAAATTGAAATAATTGTCCATTGACAAGACAAATCAGATTCTAATGTTTGTCCATATTTTGGACTTGACAGTGTTTCGTCGAAAACTGTTGTTGGATTGATAAAATCGACGGATTGGCAAGCTGTAATATCATTTGGTTTCAGATGAACTTGGTTTAAAAATGTGAAAAGATCTTACTCAGTCGATAGGATAACTTGAAACCTGTTCCGTGTCGACTTCTGTCTGACACAAAATGAACAAAGATTCGTTTTGGCATAGAGAATGTGAATGTTTGATTGAGACTAGATTTTGAGCAATGTTTTTGACGTTTATTGAATTTCTCATCAGTTATTTCCATCAATCCAGATTTTATAGCGACATAATCAAAGCGACATTCAGGATCATCTTCAAGATCAATAAAATCAAATTTCATCTCAACACCATGGAAAAGTGGTTTTATAATTCCCCATCTGCAATGAATATTCTCTTCATAACCATATGGTTGGCCTGGAGGAAGAGGATTCGAAATAGATTGCCATTCCCACGTCGGATTCAAATTTCCACCACAATCATAAATTTTTTCATCCGATTCTGAATTCTTAGTTCGATTCAAATAATCTTTCGGCACTGGTTCCCAAGTTATCGTAAATTGATCAGTCGGTTTCAGCTTAGAATAAATACTTGCTGTCGAAACCGGTAGGAATATTTCCTTGTCCGGATCTGTTCGACTTATCTCCTCATAACTAAAATCTTCAGAATCATCATTGTCAGAAGATTGAGTAACTCGCAAATAAGAACTTGGTGAAAGTGAAACATTGCTAGTTTTTATAAGCATAGCTTGCTAAAATATAAAAGATGATAATAGAAAAATTAAAGAAAATAAAAACCAACCGTGTTCTCTCCTCCTAAAATAGTCCAAATGTATGATCCTGTTTTCAGCAGAAATGGTGGTTGAATCAAGCGAGATTCAGTATCACCACCTCCAATTCTTTCATACATTCCGAAAAATACAATTTTCTGCGGGTCATAATCGATAGCTTCTTTATCTGGTCGATATCTCAAATAAACATAAACTGTTTGAGCGGAATATTCAGTGGTATCAATAACTTTTGAATCACATTGCCGTGACAAAATTCTTCCTGATTGGTTGAATTCTCGAATTTCCACATATGATTCTGTACAGTTTTCTGAAGATGGTAAATTGTGGAATGTAACGTGGAAATTGACTGTATTCCCAGGGCTATTTGAAATAGTCCAACCACAATCGAATTCTTCTCCGAGATCTCTCAACGGCGCTCTCAACATTCCTTTATCACGATGTACAAATCCACCACAAGCAATATCATCTGAACTATATTGAAGAAGAGCAAATTGTGGAGTATTTGATTCATGATGTATACTCAATTCAATATTGTTTTCTGCTTCAAAATATTCTGGGATTTCAACAGATATTGGTGTCTCTCCTCGGAAATTTCCATCGGTATAAACTTTGATATGATCAGAGATTTTTGAATGAGCTGAACTATTAGTGGTTTCATAAACATCGAGATTAAGATGAACTTCTGTATCCGCTGGGTCAACTTTTTTCACAGTAACATTACAAACTCCAACAACACTATGCTCCAAATAAATACGTTTGTCTTGTTTTTCCGCATACAAAACACCACCACAAACACTTTGAGCTTTTAGAATAAAACCTATTTTTTCTTTTTCATCTGCTCCACTTTTTCTTCCAACAATATTTGTTGCACCATTGAATATAACGAGTGATTGATTCGAAAATATTTCGATTGTTTTTCGATCATCGCTGCACAATTTCTCCACAATTTTATCGGTTCTAAAAACGCACAGTTTTTATGCTAAACATCTTTCTTATATATTTTAACGGCGTTCCGTCTGTCCCGTTTGACCTACTTCTGTTTCGCTCATTTCTGAATTTTTAGAAACGTTCAAATTGCCGCCCTTATATTCTCAACGTTTTTTTTTTTATGAAAAAGGGAGAGATGTAGCGAAAAATGTGAGTTTTTTTTTGGTTTGGAAACATGACTGCTTTCTAATGAAAAAACACCCACCAAATTTGAAATTTTCTCGATCTTCCTGTAATAGTATTATTATAAGTCTCGAGTTCTAGAACATTTTTGAACTTACTAAACAAGTTGAAATATAGGCGGCATAGAGAAAAAGCATGGCCGCCTTTGGTTTGGATAACAGAACATTTTATAGCAAAATTTCAAATTTGGTGGAAGACCGGCGTAGCCGGTCGTTTCATTTTTGTTATATTGAAATGAGCACTGTATTTTTTTCACGTCAACGCTTTGAAATGTTTTTTTTTTCGAAAATTTCGTTTTTCAAAATTATTATTCTTCTTTTGGTTTTCACAGCAAATTTTTTTCTACGTGACCTCAAATAAAAAAATCATTGCGGAAAATGTTTTGCACGCGGCACAAACATCTGGGCGGAGCCTGATAAAATCCTGTTTTTACACGTTTTTTGAGGATTTGAACCCGAATTTCAGGGAAAAGTTGATTTTTCACTATCAGAATTGAGCAAAGAAGGGTTGAGGGAGGTCCAGAAGACAGAAAATTGCTTATAAATCTTCTATCTCCGCTCAATATGACGTTTCTCCATATTTTTCTCGATTTTCCCAGGAAAAACAAGAAATTTTTGATTCAAAAAACTACTACTATTTGAAAAATTATCAACTACTTCTAAAAATTTAGTTTGAGCATGTTTCCTTCGCTTTCGGCTTCAAAAACAAAAAAGAAATTTTTTTTGCGAAAATACTGTAGCGACACGTGAAATTGTGCAATGAGAAAATGCGTAGTGAAAAATTTGCTGTGGTTTTTACTCGATTAAAAAACTCAATGAACTCACGTTAAATTTCCTTCGTAAATAGTCAATAATCCATCACTATACATCGATCCTTTTGAACAACTGAACTGTGTATTTTCGCGATATCCATATCTTGCAATAGAATGTCCATCAAGAAGATTTTCATTATTCGGGGAGTGATATTCAGCTAAATTTAGTTGAACATGATTTCCTGGATTGACAATAAACAACCATCGGCAAGATACACCAGATGGATATGGATTTGGATATCCGGGACTGGTTATTGTGTGCTGATGATCTTGTCTCACTAAAATAATAGAATATATTTCATTATTTCCGTTGCTTTTCAAACTCACAGTCTATAACACCTCCGCAAGTTTCGTTATCTTTTGCTTCAACAAACTCAACTACAGCGTTGAAGAAAAATTCTTCATTTCGAATGAAATCATTTCTATTCAATTTCATTAGCAAGAAGATTTGATCAGTGTGGGATTCAATAACTTTGTCCTTATAACTTGTGCAAATCGTTTCTTGTGCCACGCCAGAAGCATTTGAAGAACCCATAAATACAGCCAACCCTTTGAAAGATCCATCAGATTTGTAAGTGCAATCACCAGGTCCTTGTTGAACATTGAATGAGTTGATTGTGAGCCGAACTTTCTTTCCAAAGGGTGCAGTGATTTTATACTGACATTCGAAATTATCAAACTCTTCATCAATTGTATCTCGACGAATTCTGATATCTTGTGGAGAAGAAATGTCTCCAACACAACCAATTGTATGATAACTCAACCAAAATTGATTTTCTGGTTTATTCTTTGATTGATAAGTTAGACGAACTTCGTTGTGTTTTGAATTGATGACAAGTGGAACATTGACGTCACAATATTTGTTGATAGTTGTATTTGTAGTCAAAACTCCATCAGTTTGAACATCAGCAGATTTTAAATGAATATCATCAATCTGAAAAAAAAAACGATTTTGTATTGTATTTAACATTAGGAGTTCACCTTCAAGGCATTGTCACCGCAAGTTTTATATCCATATTTAGTCATTCGATCGACGACAAAATGATGAACATGGATAATAATTCGATTACCAAGAGGAACTCGAATAGTCCAACTACACGCTTGATTTGTATAAACATTATGTGGATATCCTGGTGATTGAATTGATCCAGTTATATCAGTCAATACAATTCCATCACAGATTGTTGTGAAATGTGCAAGGAATCCAAAAAGTTTGTGTGTATAATAAGCACCACTTTGAACATATCGAACAATTAATTCATTATCATCTGATTTTACTGGTTCCGCCGCAATTTCTTTTTGACAGAATCTTTTGAGAAGTTTAGCATCTTGTCTAGAAGTATCCATAATATCAAGACGATTTCCAGCAAACAATGGACAATTTCCGTTGTTATCACTTGATTTCAAATCATCGAGTTCAGCAACTGTGAATCGAACTCTATTTCCATCTGCTACTGCAATTGTCCATTCACAATTCATTGTTCGACGATCAGATAATGGATATTGTGGCGCAGAAATACTTCCACTCAATCCATCAATTCTTCCACCACAACCTCCTGATATCACTTCATAACTCATGTTGAAACCAACTGTTTGGGATGTGGTTGAAGTGAATACAATCGTTGCTCGATTTGAAGTAGTTCTTAGAACTGGCATTGAATGTGTATCACAAACTTCTGATTCCTGATAGAGAGATGCGAATGCCGGTGAAGTTTCTGTCGGACCATTTCGGATTTTTATTCTAGCTTTATCGCAGGGTAGAGTCATGTTATTCATTTTCAAAACGATTCTTTGACGATCAGCAACAGCGATATTGAAAATACATTTTTCGTGTACGTTATCTTGATTTTGTTGGTAAATTATAGTTCCTGAAGGGTCGGTGTACGATCTATCACAATGATCATCGCGTTCAACAAGTTCATATCTGAAAAATTATTATGAAAAATTGTTCCTAAATTATCAAACTGGTGAAACCAACTTTGCACTGAATCCTTGCGAAGATACAGATCTATCAGTGATAAATACCAATACCATTCTTCCCATATTACTGAACATCAACGGTGGAATCATTGCTCCGCAGAATTTACCGATAAGTTTACCGTGTCTCTTCTCATCGATATATCTTGTATAAACTTCAACACGATCATGTTCACATGTTTCAGTATTCGTAGATTCCAAATCAAAATTGTCGAATGTGAGCTTGACCGATTTTGACATTGGTCCAATTATTTCATAGACACAATGAAGATGATGTTGGTATTTTTCCGGATAGTTTGGAGATGTGATAGTTCCAGACAGCTCAGAAAAAATACCACCACAACCTAGAATATTCAAGAATAAAACATTTTCTATTTGAAAAAGTACCAACCAATATCAACTGTTGTGTATTCAAAAGAAATTCCTTTGAATTTCTCATTACCATCACTGCTCACTATTATTTTTACTGGTCTTGAGGCTGGAATCGACAAAGTACTGTCTTCAGTCAGCGGTTGTTTAGGACAGAAGAACCGTCGATTGATCAGTGTGTTATCTGCACGTCCTCCCTCGATTTCAATATAATTTTCAATTTCACTAGTATTCTTCAAAGACATGCATTGTCCCCACGTCAAAGTTTGAAGGAAAATTGTTTCGAATCTGAAACACATTTTTATTGGAAAACTTTTTAAGAAACACGAACACAATAGTGTGTTCGGGTGAAAGTGTATTCGTGTGCACACAAAATAGTGTATTCCGGAACCCGAACACCCTGTTTTTACTGCCCTAGAAAAAAGTTACTTGATTTGAACAATGTGGGTTCTTGGTGCTTTTATGATATATGTACATTTTCCAGCTGGTCCACCATTTGGAAAATTCCACGATTGAACAGTTCCGTTTCCCTCCAATGTTTTCTGACAAATAACTTCATAATTAATACTGAAACCTTTTCCTTGAGTTGCACTATTTGAATGGAATCCTATAACAGTTTTTGATTGTTCAATAAACATCTCATTTCGAGGGCGATGTCGATTACAAGCATCATAAATCATAGTTCCATCAATGTTGTAAATTCGAACATAATCATCTTTACACGCTACTTTGATGAACAGAACTGGTTCACGAAGGAATGGATGATGTCGGAATCGAGGATGACGCCTTAATAGAACACCTCCTTCTGGATCAGAATGATATTCTAAACCGGATGGAACATCAAATTCATCGAATGTTAGCTTGATAACAAGATCATCGCGAGTTATATTTTCAGATGATGAAGCGAAAATATTCCAAGTGCAATCCATATTTGGTGGATATAAACTTCCATAATTTGGTGATTGAATTGTTCCGGTGAATCCAATTGCATCTTTACTATTAATAATATCTCCACCACATGAATTATCCGAATCCAGAAATTTGTATGCAATTGTGAATCCTTTGATAGTGTTAGGTTTATCAACATTTGTGAAAATATTAGAAGAAAATGCGACAGTCAAATACGGTCCTGTTGATTTTATAACCATTGGTTCTTCAATATCAGAACATTCTTGAATTATACGATGTGCATCATAATTTGAATAACCATCAAAAACTGATAATTGATTTCTATTACATTTTGATTCGTTTCTCGAAGCCATAATCAAACTTGGAATTGTCAATTCCACAACTTTTCCAGCCGGTGCAGAAATATACCATTCACAAACCAAATCATCTTTATTATCAGGAACTTCCAAAATTCCCTTCAGGTTTTGAAGTTCGATATCCACAATCTGATCATGTTTTCATTATTTATGAATTCAGTTTCATTACTTACCTCTTTTGACAGTTTTCCAGCTAACCGAATAATCTCCAGTTTTTCCTTTGAAACGAAGAAGCGCAGTTGTTGAAGTCAGTGTTATTGGTGTGTTGATCAAAGGAGCCTGAATTAGTCATAATTGGGAAATTTTTCATTTTCTCACTCACATGAACAGTATTTGCGTCTCCACAAAATGTTGCCAGAAGTTGGAAATGTTCGCCAGGCCCGTCGTATAACTGAAAATCGGAATTCGTTTTTTTAGAACAGAAGTCTCAGCATCCATAACTTACACTCAATTTTCCAAGTGTAGTTTCACAGTCGGTTGGTCCGGGAATAGTTGTTCGAAAATTTTCAAAAGAATTGAAACTAATTTTCAATGCTGAATTGCTCTGTGGAATATTGAAATAGAGATTCCGAACATGGTTTGTAGAATTCTCTGGGATTTCTTGTTCAAAAGTACCATTTTCATTTGTGACATGAGTATCGAAAATACCCTCCTGATTTTCGCAATTTTCACCGAAAAAGTTGAGAGGACATTGACAAATATAATCATCCTCTTGAATTTTGCAAACTCCTCCATTTCGACAAGGGTTCGAGAAACAAGGTGATCCTTTTTCACAGAACTTCCCGATATAATCTCGCCCACATTCACATTTGGAATTTGAATCGTCTAATGGTTTACAAATTCCGCCATTCACACATTTATGATCATCGCAAACTGTTGTATTTGATTTCAAACATTCTTCTGGTCTTCCTTCTGAATTTATCGATCCTCCAGTAAAACCATGAGGGCATGTACAAATATATCCATTAACATTCATCGCTTCGTCATTTTCCTTACAAGTTGCCAAAGATGGACAAGGATTCGGTGAACAACGATCAGTTTTTGTGCATTTCTTCTTACTATCACCAGAATATCCCGGAGGACAAGGTGTGCATTCATAAGAACCAATAGTGTTGATACATTGAACATTTGGATCGCAAGAATTTTCTTTATCGCATTCATTAATATCACGACAATTATTACCTTCCACTGAAATTTTGATAAGAAGTACAAATAATTCTTTTTCAAACTCACTTTTATATCCTAGTGGACATCCATTGCATTGAAAACTTCCTGGTAAGTTCAAGCACTCAATTCCAGGATGACAGGGAACTGAAGTACACTCATCGATATCAACACATGTTGGATTTGTTTTAGGATCAGCTTGTTGATAACCGTGATCGCATTGACAACGATATTGTAAACCTGAAGTTGTTTCCACGCAATGTCCATGAGTTCCACATAATTCTTCAGAAGTTGATTTCGAACATATTGCACTTTCTAACTGACAATGGGTACCATAAAAATTGGCATAGCATTCACATCGATATCCACCGTGAGTATTAATACAAGTTCCATTGTGACATCCTAATTCAGTACCTCCGTAAACATCACACTCATCAATATCCGCTTCGCAGCGTTGACCACTGAAATGTGGCGGACAAAGGCAAAGAAATGAATCACCACCTTGCGATATACAAGTTCCACCATTTTCACATCGATGTGTATCGCAAGCCTTTTTCTCTTTCTCTGCTTCTAATACTCTGAAAAATATAATTTACATTCAAAGTTGCTCAAGTGGGGTATTTTTTTGACTTTCGAAAATTTTGGAAAGATAGTTCCCAAAAATCACAAACTGATCTACAGTATACATACTTTACTCTTTCATTGAGATTCCGAATCATAACTCGTTGTCTTGCATCTGTCACACCTTTGGCTCGTTTGTAATTCCGCAAACTTTTCAACTCACTCGACACATTTTTATACTGTAAAATAAAAGTTTATTGCATATTGTTAGAGATATCAAACTACTCACAGATAAATACAATCCACGAACTGCAATAGCGACTGCTCGTTGAGATTGCGTTAGTTTAACTGTTGTAGTTTTGGAGACTTTTTCACTTTGTTCAAGACTATTCAAACGATCGCCATAAGCTAAGAAAGAAACCTGGAAAAAACATTTATTGTTTTTGAACGGTTTTGGATATTTACATAAGGAGGCATTCGAGTCAGATCGGTTTGATTAATAAATATTCCACCTCCACCGCCATTTGTATGAAATGTGATGTTCTTTGCGTATCCAGCGTGAAATATGATATTTCCATCGACCATCAAAATTCGAGCTCTGGAATCAGAAAAAAGTTGAAGTTAACAACCAGATGGATGACAAAATTATTTCATGTTACAGAATTTTGTGAATATTTTCTTCAATATGTTTTGAATGCATTTTTCAATCCTAAAAACACGTAAACTTCAACGTGGCATTTAGAAATTGAATTTTTAAATTTTTAAAATTTACAATTAGTTTTTGTAATACATGTTTTGATTCAATTTCTTGTTTTAATATAACCTTCGGTTTAAAAAATTCTGGACTCTTTAGAAGTTGTTGAACTTGCATCATCCTGTTTATCCTATTATTTTTAAGATTTGTCAAATTGTTTTGCCCAGAGACTTACTTTATTTTCTATTCACTTTAAAAAAAACGCTCAAAAAGAATAACATTTTTGGAGAAAATTATCTGCGAAAACAATGAAACGTAATTTTCGGCGGTTTTCTCAATTTGTTTTTCTGATTGTTTTGAAAAAAATGCCATTCACAAGCTCATGAAAACTGCCCATGAAAACTGATTTATCTTTAATAAAATTTTTAACTTCGATTTTTAAAAAAGTTTAGGTTACTGTAGCTACAGTACCAGTGTTTGGACACATTCCGAGTCTGACTTTATACCTATATTTTTTAACTTATCACTCAAAAAACAATCCAGAAAAATACATCGAACGAGAAACAAACCTTGCATCAAAGTTATCATCCAATTGAATTTCATCGATATCTGGAGAAGCTTTTTCACCATCCAGTAAAGATATTCGCAAGAATATCAACAGAAAAAAAAGTTTGGACAACATTTTTAAGCATCAATCAGAATAAATAAATTATATTCAGAGAATGATTCGAAAAATAAAAAGTTGATTGAATGAAATGAGAATTGTTTATTATCATCCACCTTTCCCATTTTGTTTATGTTTCACCATCAAATAATTTGATATTCGTTTACTAATGACACCCGAGTCGAAATTGCACAATCGACAAAAATCGAAAGTATCAATTTTCAATTATTTTTTTGTTAATATTTATTTTTATAATAATGATAGTTATGATTAATGTTGAAAGTTTGATTTTTGATTTCTAAAATAAATTAAACAAGACTCTATTTTGTTTGAAAAATAGAGATATGAACAAATGCATGATGTTCTGAAAAATTTGAAGCAACAAGTGTGACACATCATCAATAAATTGGACATTCAAATTCTTCGATTCTCTGGAAAAAAATTATCAAAAAATGCCACGCCAATAATTCTCGAAAACATTTCGTCGAAAAAAAAGTTTTCCTGCCTCGCCCAGACCGTAAAGCTCATATTTCTCTCACGTCCTAAATTTTTAACACACCATAATTTCGATAAGGTTTCGTAGGAATTTTGCATTGTTAAACAAATTTTTAAGTGTCTAGCTACATTTTTTAGATAAAACACTAACAAGATCATTTCGCAAAAAAAAACACGGAAAGTTTTTTTTTGTCATTCTCTTTTTGACTTAAAAAAGTGCACTGATATGAGAACAATTTTTTTCAGATGATGTTATTAGGAAGTTTGGTTTGGCGCCAAGTTTGCATACCAATAAAATGAGAATAAAAATTTTTGGAGTAAAATTTTTCGAAAAAAATAGATAAGAAAATTTCTCCAACCTTATCGACTGGCACAAAGATTATCACGTACTTTCGCATTACACATTCTCTCTATTATTTTTCCAAAAAAAAGTTTTAACAAAATATGGAAAATGTAGGTTTTTCTCAATGTTTTTTTTTTTTGAAATTTTGAAACAAAATAATTTTTAGCGAGAAGAAGATGAACATTTTGTTCATATTTTAAAACGCGATGAAGAAATCGATCAAATTAGTCTAAATCATCAGAGTCGCCGAAGCACAGGAACTTCATCGGGCTCAAAACTAACAACGGCTGAGGTTTGAGATTTTATTTTTGAAGAAAAATATTTTGGTTTTTCCAGGTCGAAAATGCGCACTTTGTGGAACATACTGCAGAGGTACAGATCCTCTCACCCTAAAATATTTTTTCTTGAAACGATAATGTTTAAATTTAAAATTCCAGATCCATAGAGCTGAAAATTTTTTGGACTACAATCCAGAAAGATATTCTGAAGTTCATGAAGATTCTGATGATAGTTTTGAGAAGGTTATTTTTCGTGTAGTTCAAACATTAAATAGAAACTTCTGAATTTTCCAGAGAGAAAACTTTCACGCTGTTGAAAAAGTTGTGCATTATGATCCATACACCACAAAACCAGAAACTGAAGAGGAAATTGAAGAATATCAACATAGGAGTTCTACTGATGAATCGTCAATTGTTGAGGTTTGATTTCCAGTAATTTCTAATTGTAAGAAAAAAAGATCTAATATTTCAGAATCGGGTTACACCACATCCACAACCCTCAGAGCGTCATGAATCACCAATTCTTGAACAGGTTTGATAAATCATAGTTTATACGATTGGAAACTTGATAGTTTCCATAAACAATTTTCATCTAAACTTTTTTCCAGTCGATCCCCCACGAGGAACATGAATATGAAAAACCAAGATCTCGCCAACACTATTCTACAGTAACTGTTAAAGCAAGCGATCTTCCAAGATATGAAAACCCACCTGTTCCAGAAGTTCGAGGGGTAGATGTAGAAAATCATCAATATGTTCACAATATTCTTGTTGGACAATCGATGAGATCTAATAAAATTTGGGAAACCTGACAAAGAAGATGATGATTATCTTGATCTCAAGCAACAACAACATCAAAATCAGCAAATTACACAATCTCACGAGACTAATGATCAACAAAAAATTGTTCAAACTCCGGTGAAAAAAGAGAAAAATCCATACATGGCTTTTGATATCAACGCAGAAGCGGCCGATCCTCTTCTCGCACAAAAATATGATTTAGATGATCGAGATATTCATGACAGTGTTCAATATTTGAATGTACGTCATATTTAAAGAGAAAATAATTTCAGATCAAAACTTCAAATTTTACAGACTGGATTTTTCGAAGTCTTTGCCGAGCCAAGTCCCCAATATCACAGTATCGCATGCGTTTGGACTTTGTCTTTCAAAATATTCGAGATTGTCAGAGTTTATAGTTATAAAATTCTAACACTTATTTTTGGATTACTCATCGCAATTTTAGCTGGATTCTTTTTTGCCTTTGTTTGCATTTATCAATATTTGGATTGTTAGAGTAAGTTCAAGTTGTTGAAAGAAAATTATCAAAGTTGGTGTTTTATTTCAGAATTTTTAAATCAGAAATTATCGATTTATGAAATTCTTAATTTTTTGAATTTTCACACAAAACAACTTTTTTCAGCCATCTTTGTTCCTTGCTCGCTGTGCTCTTTCCCAAATTATCACAATCTGGCCGCTGACTTTAATCTACATTGTTCGCCCATTTTTCTATTCTGTCGGTGCAATTTTCTCAACTGCCAGATTACACACTTCAAATGGCGCAAATATACCGGAAGTGTGGGAAAAACATGTTCACATTGTTTAGCTTTGAATTATTTCTAATAAACTATTTTATATCACTACAAAAACTGTGTGGCTATTTGATTACAGAAACTAAAAAAATATATGAAAAATGTTTACAAAAAAATGATACACATTTTGGCCGGGGCGACGAATTTTTAATAATATTTGTACATTGGCCAGCCAGGGTCGGATTGAATATCCGATGAGAAAATAAACCAGCACCTCGCATTGCGACCTACTCTTTCACTTGCTTATACAAACAACGGGGGGTTAGCTTTATTGATTTTGACCTATTATTTTTTTTTTTGAAAAATTCGAATTAGTCATTCAGTATTTGTCATTGTTGGTGCAAATTGGTTTTCCTCAAACCTCATGTCAGAAAAATTATGAATCACTTTCTAAATGTCAGTTTTTGTTTGTTGCAGATACACATGTTCGCCAATATATTTATTTTTCTGATTTTTGAAGTTTTCGAAGTTGCAAATGGTGTGAAATGCTATAGTTGCGCATCAACGAATATGAAATCAGTAGGTTGATTTTCAGAGGCAAGAATTGAACAAAGTTGCGTTTTCAGAACTTTATAGAAAAACAGCGAGGTCCTCCGAACAGAATTTCTAATCCTCTTGTTTTTGATGATAACTGTAATGCTGACACGTGGATTATTAAAGTTAGTATTTTTCGGAATCTCTTGAATTCTTCAATCAAAAAAAATATTTCAGGACAGAAGTAGTGACGACTGTGGTCAAGGTGGATTTTGTTTCAAATGGCAGCAACAACTTAACAATTCTGGAACTTATTCCACAATGACATTTCGAGGATGTTTCAATAAATTATACAACTTGAATGATCCAAACACTTTTATTCCTCCAAATCATACATATTGTACTGAAGCTAGTGTTAGTTTTTCGAAATTAAACTCAATACCAAAAAATATAGAAAATTAAAAAAGTCAAAACTAGTGTCAAAAACAATAGAATTTTCCACATATGGCCACAAACAAATAATTAAGAAATATACTTTTCAGGCTCCACTAGCTTGCTTATCGGATGCTTATATCACTGAACATTCATGTTGGTGTCAAAACGATTATTGTAACACATCCAACAATCTACTTACTTTATATTTACCCTCTATTGTTATCTTTGTTATTTTTATCACAAATAAAACTTTGTAATTTTTCCTATTGCCTCGAAAAAACAACAAACGCGTCAAGCCTGCAACTATTGACGTATTTTGTGTTGGCCGTGTTTCTCGTTATTTTTTTATTAATTTTTTTGGTTTGCCAGTTTGGTGCGTTGTTCGCTATTTACATTGTGAATAGTTGGATTTTTCATATATATTATTATTGAATATTTGATGGATAATCGAATGCTTTATCGATGAGCACCCCCAAACGGTTAGTAATATTTTTGAGCTTTGAGAAATTGATTTTTATGAGAAATTATTTTTAGAAGAGAATCACGAGACAGCGAGTCATCAAGTATACAGGATCTCCTGCAAAATGTTGAAGCTAATGATTTGAATAGCGATGATATAAATGAAGAAGTTGCACTAACTCTCAGTGCTCCACCATCTCCAGATGGCGGACCAACTGAAACACCAAAAACACATCTTCGACATCGACTGAAAAAACTGAAATTGCAACCGGATGTAAATGAAAGCGAAAGCGAATTAGAAGATACAACAAGTAGTTTGATGCGAAAACCTTCAAGAATTTCATATGATGAACGATTAACAGTGATTTGTGACACAGAAACATCCACACCATTGAGTAAGTTTTTTTCCGAAAAAATATACTTTTGAGTAAAATACTTTTCAGACACGCCACCTCCCACAAAACTCGAAGAAGTTTTTCAGCCACGTGGATTTTTCTCATTTTTCTGGGAGGAACTAACACGTGGATATTCTCTAGATAACGATCAAGCGAGATATTCCGAAAAACGTCGGAAAATTTATGCGTTTCTCAGAATTCCGCTGGAATTAGAGCAATTTTTACTTTACGGGCTTTTGCAATGTATAGATGCATTTCTTTATTTATTCACATTCTTGCCACTTCGGTTATTTGTAAGTTTTTTAAAAATGATTTTTTTGTTTGAAAAACAATTCACAAAATTTCAGATGTCATGTGCTGGTAAATTATTTCGAGTAAAAAAATGGACTTCTGCTGAAACTTGTGATGTTCTAAAAGTTTTAATAATTATCTGCGCATCCATGTTGATTAGAGAAATTGGTGAGTTGTTTTTCAAATTGATTAGCACCATTAAAAATTTGTAGATTCTTCGGTATTATATCATCAAGTTCGAAGTCAAGGAGTGATAAAGCTTTATATATTTTATAACATGTTAGAAGTTGCGGATAGATTATTCAGTAGTTTAGGACAAGATATATTGGATGCTTTATTTTGGACAGCTAATAGTGATCGAATCACTCCTGGAAATACGCTGAGAATTTTTGGACATTTAGCAGTGGCAATTGGATATGCAACACTTCATTCGTTTTTAGTTATTTTACAAGTATGTTCTGGATTTTCAAAGTGCCATGTAATGTGTAAAATTTTTAGGCTACAACTTTGAACGTGGCTTTCAATTCACACAATCAAGCAGTTTTGGCAATTATGATGTCGAACAATTTTGTTGAATTGAAGGGATCTGTTTTCAAAAAATTTGCGAAGGCCAATCTTTTTCAAATGGCGTGCAGGTTGGAAAATTTGATATTTTTGATAAAAAACGTTCTCAGGGGTTATTAGGAAATCTCTCCTTTATTCCTGCTCAGAAATTCAGATAAAACATTCAAAGACATGTATTTTTAGTGATGTCCGTGAACGATTTCATATATTCGCTTTACTTTTTGTTGTTATGATTCGTAATATGACAGCAATGAATTGGAGCATCGAATCTTTTGGTGAAATGGTTCCTGATATAATTATGGTGATTGGTGCTGAATATTTTGTTGATTGGTTGAAACACGCTTTCATCACAAAATTCAATGAAATCAACTCGGCAGTCTATAAAGATTTCACAATTACAATTGCTTTTGATGTGATTCGAAGTCGAGATCAATCAGCATTCAGTGATTATTCAGATCAAGTTTCAAGAAGAATGGGTTTTATTCCGATTCCTTTATCAATTATGATTATTCGAGTTTTGAGTCAAACATTTTCTATCGAAAATCGTGGAAGTCTCTTGATTTGTTGTGAGTTTTTTTGTAAATGCCCGTTTCGATGATAAATTAATTGATTGTGTCAATTTTTCAGTCATCGGTTGGTTGGTTGTATTTATGCTGAAAATCTGTAATGGTGTTATTATGTTGGGAAAAGCATGTGAACATGTCAAAAAGTTCCGGGATATTCAGGCTCGAGCGGAGTCGAATGAGTTTAGGAAGAGAATGTTGGCAAAGAAAAGTCGAAGTGCACCAAATTCGCCGAGAGTTTCGCTCATCGATTTTACAGGTAGATAAAGCTCATCGATTTTACAGGTAGATAAAGCGAGAATAATTTCAGCATTTTGACTTTGAGAAAAAAAAACATTCCAAATCATAATTTTAGTCAAAAAATCTCGAAAGATTTAAATTTAGTATATTTTAACGAAAATAAGAGTTTCTTTTTTTTTAAAGTTTCAGAAATATCAAAATTATAATTTTTAGATGTTCTTCATCAACCAGCGGCTGGTAAAGGTTTCACAGTTTCGGATATTTCACAATGGGATGAAATTCAAACTCCAATGCTTATCGAATCTCGAATCAGTATCGATCGCGAAAATCAAACAGTTCATCGACGCGCCAAAAGTATGGCACATATTCCACGACGCGATTTATCCGAACCTCCACCATCAAATAACGACGACACTCCAAGCAATAACGATGGATCGATTGGTGGAAGTATTGTTGGTGTGGTGAAAGTTGGCGATGAGCCACCAATGCAAAATCAATCAGCTGATAATGGACAATTGTCACCGAAAAAGAAAACAGCGACAGAAGGAGATGATGAATTAGCTGATGTGACTGCCTATAAAATGCCTGAACAGGGAGTTCAGCGGATAGAGTAGCGAGAAATTTGAGAAATGGTTTTTGAAATTCGGGTATACATAAAATGTGATATTTATTTATTGACAAATTTTTCAATTTGAAAAAAAAGAGAGAAAAATCGAGCTTTTCGGAATATACATACATTCACTGGTGGTGGGAGGTTGACCAATTTTTGACCAAAAATGCACCAATTCGTTTTTTGGTCAAAAATTGACCAAATATTGGTCAATCGGTGATTTTGGTCAATTTTTGGCCAATTTCTGACCAATTTTTTGACCGAATTTTGGTCAATTTTTGGCCAAAACAGTAAATTGATCGAAAATTGGTCAAAAAATGGCCGAATTTTGACTAAATTTTTTTTGGTCAAAAATGCACCAATTTTTGGTCAGGCTCCCAGCACCTGTGATATTATTAGTAATTATGAATCACATCCGAAATCCTAAAAGTCTTTCAGATTCAGAGATCAAAGCTGCCGGGTCATAGTGTGTTTGTGTTTGTCCTAATTCCTGAATTGTTCCTCTTCGCGATGATAGCGTTGCAGCATCATCTAAATAATAATCACAAAGAGTTGAAATAGTCATGAAATTGTTGGTTTCTGGTGAAGATTGTTGAGCCAAATTTGCAATTCTTGTGGAAATCACATTGAAACATGGTCGATCGGAAGGACTATCAAGCCATGTTTCACGCATTAACTGATATAATTGAATACTACATCCATCAGGTTTTTGAAGGCGGAAGCCTTTTTCAACAAGTCCACGGATTCCAGCATCTGGAACGTTGTAATAAGGTCGACCTCCCATTGTGAATATCTCCCAAATTGTCACACCAAATGACCAAACATCGGATAATTGGGTTGAGGTCTCGCCACGAAGTAATTCGAGTGATGTCCATTTCTGTTGACCTTCGACTGGCGAGCTAGAAACATTTATGTACAAGAGCTAATTTTTTCAACAAAAAAAAACAATCTCACTTGTTTGGTGTTGTTGAAGTTGAGATGAATCCAAAATCACCAATTTTCACATTATGATCTTGGGTAATCAAAATATGTTTAGCACACAACGCATTGTGCACAATTAATTTTGATGACAAATAAACCATTCCCGAGCAAATTTGAGAAGCAATCCGATATAAATCATGAAATGAGATAACTTCATCGAAATCCACCTCAACAATACTTGTCAAACTTCCATTCAAATCAATTCCTCTTTCTTGTAATTCTGTCATATATCTACGTTTCAAAATGAGATATTCCAAAAGATTTCCATTTGCACAATATTCTTGAATATGTAAAATATTTCCATTTTTGAAAACTGTTCCAATTGATGATAAAAGTCGAGAATGTCTAGAAATAACTTTCGCACCTTCGATTTCATCAATAAAGAATCGTTTTTTCGATTTATCCAAATATCGATTAGTTTTAACTGCAACTCTTTGACATTCATCTAATACAACTGGACCATGCCAATCTGGTGAAAGTTGTCCCAAGAATACAGTTCCAAATCGACCTTTTCCAATAATTCGATCTTCAAAAATTGTGAGACTATCTTCATCGATAATAAAATCATCGCAATTATTTTCATATTCTTTACACCATCGACCAGTTAAACATTTGCAAGTTATAAAAAGAATAAGAACAATTAGAAGAAGAGCAAGAACAACTGCATATCCAAATAGAGTTTTCAGCAAAGATGTATCAGTGTTTGAAATTACAGCACTGCTTGTAGCAGACACTAAAAAAATTGAATTTTTATTCTGAAAAAATTAGAACTTCGGAGGATTTTATTCTTTCGATAATACTGATGAAATTTCATCACCAAACAATTAGCATTCAAATTTTTGAACTCTCTAACCAAATTTGCTATCTCCATTTTTCACGTTTTGAAGAACCATTGACATTATTCACATTTTCAAACATTCGAAATTTCGAAAAATTCCCACCTGATAACATATCTGCGACACTTTTTGACTTAGACGAAATAATCGGAGGCGATTCAAATCTTCTATCCAAAACTCCGCAAATCTGAACTCCATATCGAACATCACTTCGATATGGTCGAATTGTTAATGAAAATGAGCGAGTCTACAAATGAATGAACTTATTTTCCTTTTTTTGGAAAACACTTACATGTGAACAATTCAATCTGTTTGGTACACAAAATCTGGCAGCTTCTGATTTGTGTAAATCTAGAATACATTCTCCATTATTCGTCACATCTTCGATATCACAAATTCCAAAAAATGCAACGAAATATTTCAATTTTTCAAATCTCTGATCATTTTTGTTGATAGAAATTAAGACATCTAATTCTACAGTATCCAATTTCTTATTCTCAAAAACACTTGTATGATAAGATCGCATGAAACTGCAAACTGGATGATGATCTACTTTTATTGATCCACGACAATCTGAATCAACAATTCTTTCACAAGCAAATGTGACATTCATTGCTGCATAACTTGACATTTCAATCATTCTATCACATTGTCTATCATAAATTGAATTCACTCTAATTTCATAAGTTGATCGAAGTTTCATATTCAGAATATCGAAATTTAGTTCAATGATAATTGCAGTTGTCTCTTGTCCAACATCAACAAAATGAATATTTCGAAGATTTGGAGGACGACGAGATGTTTCGATAACATCGTGAGACATCGGAAGCCAATCTATCGCCAGACTTGTGTCATTCTGAAGTTTTCATTCGCTCATAAAAAATTATTTTTACAGATCCAATTTTTGACTGATAGGTTTTTCGGTAAATCGAAAAAAAACTACCTACAGTAAGCCAAAGTTCAATCTTTTCTACAATTATTTTTTGAAATTATGAATCACAAAATTCCAAAATTATGTCACACTTGAGAACACCATCCCCACCTTCAATAAATCGTATCTTCCCTCTTCAAATTCAATTCCTTCCACATAAACCACAGCTGTGACAAATAATTTAGACGAATTTCCTTCATGAACCTGTTTTATTGGACCTCTCAAAGCCATTGATGATTTGATCAAACAATCCGAATAACAATCACATTTTTCTGTTTTACCCAGAAATGGTAGGAATAAAAATAGTAACAAAATCTTCATTTAGAAACTTCAAATAAATAGACAAACGGCAAAAAAATTTGATGTAATTTTTTTGATCCGTTTGGTAAATAATGTGTGAGATTCAAAAATAGGGAAGAAGCAGAAAAAAATAAATCAAAAAATGGATTGGGATGGGGATGGAAAAATTCCATTTCCGTACTTTTGAAATAAGATATCCTTGGGAATACGGCGCGAAAATACCACTTTTTCGAGTGATTTCTTGAAGTGCGAAATTTGAAACCTTTTCCCCAGTTTCAGTAGTAAAGCCGAACAGTAAAAAATTATGAGGAACAGTATCTCATTTTGTAAGTCTAATGGTGGAGAATTGATTCCTGATGTTAACTTTCCATAAAAAACATGGAATTTGAATCATTTTGGGGAAATTTTAGAGCAACAAACTCCGCACTATCGAAAAACAAAACGCGTCAGTGTTGCTAACATGACGCACAAAAAAATATTTTTCTTTTTTCCTGTTGGTTTTTTGCTGCCTTCCTATTTTTCAAAGAAAAAATGTTCTCTTGGATCGGTTGATATCAATCAAATAATGATCTTTTATGATAGTTCAATGTTTTTCTTTTTCCAATTATTGATTTCTTGTATTTTTTAAAGTATAATACTATGGTTGCATTATTCTAATATTGCATCATTACAGTTCGTTTGCACATAATGTCACTATTATCACATCTGGGAAAAATATGCTGCTCAAAATGTTCTTCAATACCATCTTCTTCATCTAGATTATTTTGTTCAATTAGTCGGATACCCAAAGCAAAGTCAAGGATTTTTACGCGCCGCAAAAACACATGCAAAACAAACTTTTAGAAATGTTAGTATTGTTGAAACAAAACGCGAATCTTTCAAGTTGAAAAATGCGACATGGAAGGATATGAAAGAGATTTTCTCATTAGCTGGACCTTATAAAGGCAGAATTATGCGTAAGTATTTAGATTTCAAAAAAAAACGAGAATAAAAAATATTTTTCAGTTGGTATTTCATTTTTGGGAGTGAGTAGTTCGATTTTTCTGCTAACTCCACGAGTTTTGGGAAAATTGATTGATGAATGGGATGATACAAAGAAACAAGATCCAAATAATCCTGATAAAACTCTCGAACTCGCCAGATTCTTCAAAGCCAATCCAGCTGCATTGGTAGCGATTTTATTTCGTTGGAGCGGCTGCAATTGCAGCAAGAGTTTATTGTATGCATACAGCTGGACAATTAGTTATTAATGATTTAAGAAAATCAGTTTTTCGTTCGGTTCTTCGACAGGATATGGCATTTTTTGATAAGAATAAAGTTGGCGAGATTGTTTCCCGATTATCAACTGATGCTTTGATTGTTGGTTATTCAGTTTCTATGAATTTGTCAGATGGTGCAAGAGCTTTGATAACATGTTTAGGATCGGGTGGATTAATGGTAAGGAATTCAAATACAGTTTTTTTCAAAACCCGAATATAATTTCAAATGTTTACCAGGTATATACTTCATTGGCAATGTGTAAAGTGATGTTCGTAGTTATCCCAATAATTGTCGGAACTTTTGCGGTATTTGGTAAACTTCAACGAAAATACACTTTAATGATGCAAGAAGCAGTTGCTGGAGCAAATCAAGTTGCAACAGAACGTCTTTCAAGTGTTCGAACTGTTCGAATGTTAGTTGCCGAAAAGAAAGAACAACAAGCCTATGCAGATAAAATTAATGATATTTGGGGAATTTCGAAAAAAGAAGGGTTGGCCAAAGGTTGCATGTTTGGATCCGTATGTTTATTTTTGAATAAGTTTTTAATGGGCTCTCAAAATGATGTTTCAGTTCCAATTTACTGGCTACATCGCTTTATCAACCATTTTGTTCTACGGAAGTAATTTGATTAGTCAAGGATTGTTGACATATGGTGAATTATCCTCATTTTGTTTATATGCGGTTTTGAGTGCGGCGAGTTTATCCAACATTTCCGGGTTCTATTTGGAGTTGATGAAGGGACTTGGAGCGAGTTCGAGGCTTTTCGAATTGAGAAATCGAAAACCGATTATTCCGTTGGAAGGTGGAATTTTGAAGGGAAATGTTGTTGAGGCAATCAAGTGAGTTATTATTCAAAAAAAAACGGATATTTTTTTTCGAAAAAAAAACTACGAAAAAGCTTTAAGCGAAGGCTGCAAATGAAAAAAAAACTGCCGCGATTCAAAATTTTTCAGAAATGACACAAATGAGTAACCCCAAATAAAACGGAAACTCACGTTGTTTTCTGAAACGGCGCCTGATTGGAATATTGTTTTTATTAGAAATGCCAAATTTTATGTCTCTTCTCAAATTGAAAACAATTATAGCGTGAACCTAAATACGTGTTCATTAATTGAAACGAGCAAGCGTTTCGCATTTTTATAAATTTAAAAATTGCATCATGGGACAAGAATTCTAACAAGGCATGTTTCACAGTATATTTAAAAACACATCCATATAACTTTCGGTTATAAATAAAATAGTTTTTTTTCAGATTCGAACGTGTTGCTTTCGGTTATGCTGATCGTGATCCATTATTCCACAACATTACATTTGATGTTCCCGCTGGAAAAATCACAGCCGTCGTCGGTTCATCCGGTTCTGGAAAATCGACATTAGCCAGTCTTCTTCTTCGCCTTTACGATCCAACTGGTGGAAAGATTACTGTAGATGGTGTCGATTTGAAAACAATAGATCCATCATTTTGGAGAAGACATATTGGAACAGTCGGACAAGAACCTGTGCTTTTCTCGACAACTATTCGTGAAAATATTATTTACGGATCTGAACAACCGGAAAAAGTCACCGAAGCAGAAGTAGGTTTATTCTGTTGTTTTGTTTTTTGATCAACAGCTGAGAACTTGAAAATTAAACAAATGATTGATCTTTGAGTTCTTATCATATCAATTGAAACATTGATACAAATTTGTTTAGTATAGTAACAAATTAGAAGGAAAAAGGGGCTTTTTCAGATTTTGTCGGCTGCCGAACAATCAAATGCTGCTGATTTTATTGATGCTTTCCCCGAAAAATACGAGACTAAAGTTGGTGAACACGGTTCGACTTTGAGCGGAGGACAAAAACAACGGATTGCTATCGCTAGAGCACTTGTTAATGTGAGTTTTCGTATTTAGAAAGAAATGTTTCGAGAATAAAATTCCGAAATTTTTTAATATCCACAATATTATTTTTCAGAATCCAAATATTCTAATAATGGACGAAGCAACATCTGCTCTCGATGCAACATCCGAATATCAAGTCAGAGTCGCATTGAATAAATTGTTAGCAAATAGTAATCAAACAGTTTTGATTATTGCTCACAGGTTTGATTTTTGTTCTTTCTCTTCTTTTTTCTGCAAAAAACACTTTTTCTCAAATAATTGTTTTCCGTTTTCTAGACTTTCAACCATCAAACATGCCGATCAAATAGTTGTTGTCGACAAAGGAAGTGTTGCCGAACATGGAAGTTATGATGAACTTATGAAAATACCTGATGGTATTTTCGCAAAACTCGTCGAAAAACAAACTTTCGGCTTTAAAGAATCTTATTAGGTCAATTTTTCAAGAAAAAACACATATTATATAGGATTTATAATGCATCACTTATTCACGATTTTATTCAGTTCTGTGCCTTTTTTGTCTGTTTTTTGGTTGATCAAACGTTTTTCTTTTTCTTATATTTTCGTTGCTGTAAACATTTACTTTTTCTTACTTTTTGCTGAAAAAGAATAGAGTAGAATAGAAAATAGAAAAAAAGCTGATTTTTTGCGGCACCTCACTAAACATAATTGTTTGTGTGTGCCGAAAAAAATAAAAACAACAACAAAAAAGAGCTTGAAGATGAAAATATAGGCGACTAGTAAATAGTTAGTAATAGGAGAAGCTGCTGGAACAAAATAACAGCGATAGAAAAAGTAAGTAATTGTTATTGGATTTGGATTTTCTTCTTTTTTTGTTGAGAGACTGATTTGAACGGGGTACTGTAGTTTCGGATTTTTGGAATTCGGAAAAACCGGAAAAAAAAATCCACGTAGCAAATATAGAAGTTCACAAAATAAGTACTGTACTTTGTATTTTTTCAAAGACAATTTTGGATTTCTAAATGTTCTCTCGAAAAATTCATCGACATATCCTAATTCAAAAAATCATTTACTTGTTAACCCTATAATCCACATGAGGCTCCAATTTACTCTTCCAATTTTACTTTCAGGAGACCTCTAATTCTGCCATTTTTCAGATTTTTGTCTAAAAAAAATTTCTCGAAACCTTTAAGCCATGTTGAAAAATGTTGGGCTTTTCAGAGAAATTCTCGAAATGAAATATGAGGTTCCAAATAATCTACATTTTTCAAGATTCCTTCTCAAAATGTCTTGAAATTCCACGTCATAACTCTTCTTCACCTTTTCTCTTTCATCTGACTCATTTCATTTCGTCTTCTTCTCACCAGTGTCAAACCAAACAAAAAAAACTAAAGAATTTCGAGGGACCTCGTTTCGTCATCATTTTTTTGTTCGGCCGGAAAAATGTTTCCAATTTCTTCTTTTTTTGCTCTTCTGCTCCTCCAACAAAACGCAGTGAAAACACCGTGAAAAATGCGGGAGATTCAGAAGAGCTAGCCAGACAGAAAGCGAAAAAAAAACAAGAAAATGAAAAAGAGACACGGGCTCTCTCTCTCTCATTCCTCTTTTTTTCTTGCTTTCTCCTAGCTTCTTCTATTTTTCCCATCGATTTTTCTGGTTGGGTTTTGACACGATTTTTTTCTTCTGGTTTTTGAATTCTTCATTTTGTAAAGAAATAGTTTCCCCTTTCTTTTTTTTTTTTGAAAAATTGTCCGACATTCATTTTTCTTTCACTTAACGACTTTGGAATCTCCATGGCCACCAGCGAAAAAAATCACGCTGTATTTGAACTTCCAAATTTAGAACTCAAAAGAAACCGAGACACTGCCGAAAAATCGCTTCAAGACAAAAATTAGCTGAGCGCTAATCGTAAAGTGGCCTACTGTAGCATTATTTCAAATGTGTTCCTAGCTTTTTCGAGTTTTCTCAAGTTCTCGATTTGGAAGCCATTGCTCTTTGTTAAAATAGTGAGGTTTGCACGTTTTCAGTCCTTCCGAGATAAATTAGGTGCGCAAACATTTTGATATGATTTCTGAATGGGACCACGTCTGATACTGAAATATTGAGAAAAATTTTATAATACAATGTTCTGAATAGAACTCTCTACTTTAAAAGTGATGTGGTCTTAAACCCACCAAAATAAGAAGATTTCCAGCATTTCTGATTGAAGTTCGAGTGGTTTTTAAAAAAATTTGAGGTCCTATTTGTAAATCGAATTTTAGGTACTGTATTTCAATTTCTAGTACTCTGGGCCCCTACAACCCCCCTCCCCCTCCTCCCAAATAGGATTCTTTTTGTGCTCAAATTCAGTATGTCTGGAAATATTTTTCAGTGCAAAAAAAACTTCAATTTTTACGCCTCTCGCTTAGCTTTTTCTTTTTTCTCTGGATTATTTATGCGAGCAAATAATACACATACAAGTGGCTTTGGAACGACGACAAAAAAGGCAGCAAGCAGAAGAAAAAAGGATCCTGAATTCCTTTTTTTTGCTTGCTTCTCCTTATTCCTTTTTCTTTTTTTGTGCTCCGCGCGGCTCATTTTCACATACTTTTTTTTTACATACTTACTTAAGAGTTGAGTGGCTATGCACTTTTTTGTTGTGTTTTGTTGAATAGAAAAATGAGCAAAAAGTAAGTATACTTATTTTATGGGCGGAAATTTATGCAAATTTTGGAATTTGAAAAAGGCGGGAGATAATGGGCTTTCTTACTTCTTGAATTATAATTTTCAAAGTTTTTTTTTTCGCTGAAAACGATGTGACATAGATACTGTAGGTTGAAAATACTGACTAGAAAAAATTCACTCGGAGTATTTAGGGCTACTGTATTGCCTGTAAAATAATTTCAAAATTTTATCAGGATAAATTACATTTTTGATATACTTTTATTTTCCAAGTTTTACACTTCTTTTGGTGATCTGAAAATAGTAACGTCTGACTTGAAAATGTATCAGATAAAATTTTAGATTTTTTCAGAAAGTTTCTCGAATCATCCATACGATTTCTCATGTCTCATTCACAAATATCAGATGTTTTTTGTTTTTGGAAAAACTTCTCAATTCCTTTCTAGTGATCTGAATTTCTATTTTTTATTTATTTCATTTGCAAAATTCCACATTGTACACACATTTTCGAAAAAACCACCTGAAACCCAGAAAAATTGTCATTGATCAATTGTTTCTTTTTCCTTCTTCTTCTTCTTTCTTTTTTCTTCCACTAATTGGTAAACCGATATTCTTGAATTTCAGCAAACATACACACCACAAACTTTCTTTCTTCTCTTACTCACTATCTTTTTATGGAAAAAAAATGTAAAACATGAAAAATATCAGTCTCGAATGATTAATATTTCTGTTTTTGTTGGTTTTTCGTTCGCGGAATTATCCAATATTCATTCCTCATTTTTCCCACACTGAAAAAACGAGAAAAAAAAAAACTTGGAGAGCCAGGTGAAAATGTGTATGAAATCATTTTGTGTCTGATTTATTTTTTTATTGCTCTATTTGCTCCGCGATGTGAGATACATGAATATTTGAATGAAACGAAACGACAAAAGGGTAATAAAAATCCGCTGGACTGGACTCAATTTCGATTTTACCTCTCCTTTCCCCTTTCCTCTTTGTTTTGTTTTTTTTAAATAAAATAAAACCACCACGTCATCACAACATTTCTCTAAATCTCTTCCAATTTTTTCTACCACCAAACCAACCAACGAAAAAAAGGTGAAGAGCACTTCTCCTCTCAAGCTTCTTCTTCTATTTTTTCCCCATTTTTGCTGGGTGGAAGCATGGAGAAAAAAGCAAAAGAAAGAAGCCGTTAATTTCCTGTGTGTGAGTGTGTGCTCGTTTTAATTGATACCAAAACCTCACAATACTCTATTTTTCTTCTTTTTTTGTGCCTTTTCATTCTTTGTTCTGTGTATACGTGGATTTTCATTTTTTTTTCATGTCGTTGTTGGAAAAAGTAGATTCCTGATTTCAAAAAATTGAGTTCTCAACACTCCATAAGGTTTGAATCGATTCTCTAATTTTGAGAAAATTCTGAATGGGACCAATTTTTTTTCGCAAAAAAAAATGGTTCAACTTTCAAGCTCTCATTCAGAATTGACCTTAAAAAATCGGACTCATTCCTATTTCTACCGAAAATTGTAATCCTGGTCAGATCTTCCCCAATTTCTGTGGACCAATTCAAAAACTTTGTGAAACTATTTGTCTTCCCCATTTTTCTCATGCAAACTTGAAATCGAAAACTTTGTTTCATTCAAGATCAATAGATTAGTTTTTTTTGTCCCGCCTCTGAAAATCTCTCATCTCAACACCACTCTCATGATTAAAATCCGCAGTCCTTTCTCATTTTCCAATAAAGCATTTTTTATCCAGCAGTGGTGTCAGAATAACAAAAAGGACACGACAACATTATTGCCAAGCTCACATCAGCCACAAATATCAATATTGTCGTCGTGGCACAAAGCACATACTGAAGTGCTGATTGTTGAGCAGTGAAAACGCGGAGAGGCGAGACACGTTGTTGAGATACTGCATGTCCCGCCTCGTTTCCACCACCAGCCACGTTTCGTCCGCTAACGTCCGCACCGCCACAACCGCCACAGCCGTCAATAAAAACAATCACAGTTTTTTTGCTGCTCACATATTTCGAATAGTTTTATTGTTAGCCATGATTGAAGGAGTTTCCGGGATAGGATGTTTTGTATGTACTTCATTTGATGGCAATAATAAAGCATGTGAAGATCCGTTCCATTCATCATTTGAGCTTATCAAAAAAGTGAGTCTCTCTTTTATCTCATCGCTTTTTGTTTGGTGAAAAATGTCGCAATTATTTATACGGTGTTTTGTTCATGAGATTCGAGATCGAGGTCACGAAAAATTCATTGGAGTTTTCTGATTCTAGAAAATGTATTGAAGATCTAAGGGATCGATCTTGTAAAAATCCAAACAAATTTCGAATTGAATTAAACGATATTTCAATAATCTAGACTCGGGCCAATTTTTCGAATTTGTCAAATTTTTGGGTCTCTGTACCGGGCCAAATCTCTTTAAAATCTGGCCTTCAAGAATCCAGAATTTTCTGTCTTGTTCAATTCCATTAGCTTGTGATTCAAAAAATCCCTAAATTTAAAAATTCAATCGATTTTGAATTTCAGGAACGTGAGGATATGTCAAAGGTGGCAAACTATCGACACCCTTGTTGGGCGCATCGAAAAGGGCGGACGGGTCTTTTTCCAGCTGATCATTGCATTAAAATCATTGGAATCAAAGGTAAATTATCAAAAATGGGTTGAATTGATAATCAGTTTTGAATGAAAAGGCAGCCTAGATTTAGTATAGGATTTTTTACGGGAAAGTCATACATATACATACATATTTAAGTTCCAAATTTTTTGACCACGCGAATTGCTTTTCTCAAGTTATCTAGAAGATGTTATTTAATTCAAGACTAACTTTTTTATTCTCCCTCTATTTTCAATCTTGAACAATCTAAAGCAAAAAATGATTTGCAGCCGACAATGCATCAGAAACTGTGGTGATACGAACATGTGCGTTGGATTCAGGAACGTTGACTGCGGATACAGAAATAGTTCGAATTTCTCATTGTGGTAGTTTCAAATACGACGGACAACAATATAAAGGATGTGTTCAATCGTGTGATACAGATGGATGTAATTCGACACCATCGTCGAATTCACCATTTCTTTCTCTCATCATTCTCATTTTTGCCCTCATTTTCATTTCTCAATAATCTATATATCTATCTAATATCTATTTTCTTGCCATTTCCCTCTTTGTTTTCACAAAACCATATTATTTTTCCAACGAACCGGGTATCTAATTCATTTTTATTCTATTTTGAAAAAAAATTCTTACCCCCAAAAACCAACTTCATTCCTGTCAAATGAGTAAGTGTGCTAGATTTTTATTGTTTTCTTTTCAATAAAAAACTTTATAAACCATACATTTTAAAGCCATCGTTTTTCCAAAACACCGAAAAAATCACGAGGGGTTACGGTTGAATCCAAAGTTTTGTCAATAGAGGGCATTTTGTCGGCTTTTACAGTAATCTAAAAAAAAAGTTTGTCAGATTCATGTTTCAAATTTTATGAATTACCTTGTATCGATTCAAGAAGTTTGCTAAAAATAGAAATAGTTCCATTCGAGCCAAGCCTTCTCCGAGACATTGTCGTTTTCCAATGGAGAATGGTAAGACTTCATCAATTTTTTTGAACTTTCCATTTTCATCAATAAATCTATCTGGATTAAATCTTTCTGGATCAGGAAACACATTCTCATCCATCATAACACAGCTAACCTGAGCAACAACACCAGTTCCTGCTTTAACAGGATATCCGTAGATTGTAGTGTCTCTTGTAGTTTCATGGAATAAGTTGATTGGAAAAATATTAGCGCATCTTTGAGATTCTGTAATCACCGCATTCATATATGACAAATCATTTTTATCACTAGTTGTTATCAATCGATCATTTCCAATAACTCTGTCCATTTCTTCATGAATTTTTTCTTGAATTCCAGGAGTATTCAAAATATAGGCTAGACTCCACGTAATAGTAGTTGTAGTTGTTAGAAGTCCAGCGAACCATAAATCTAGACACGTATTAGCTAATTGTACATTTGAAAACGTCTCGAAATCTCCTTCAGCTTCTCGTTTTCGTTGTTCTTTGAGATATGCTTCACAATAATCATTATTTTCTTGTTCATCGTAGTCAATTTTATTTCGATGAATCTCGATGTTTTTGTTGAAAAATCCAAAGAATGTTGTTTTGAATTCATCGAACCTTTAAAAAGGATTAATGGTGAAGTACTTAGAAATTGAAATAAAACTCACATGTTTTCCATATTTGGTCCAGGTATAAGTTTGGCTATAAATGGAAGAAAAAGACGCAAAAATACTTTTGGATCTTTCATTGATTCATTTTGAAAATCAATAAGTTTCTTGAGCTTCAAAAATGTTTCATATTCTTCTCCCTCAAATCGAAATCCAAAAGTTGCTTGATTTATAACATTCGCGACACTTGTATAAAATTCAACAGGAATATCAACTTCACTTCCAGCAGTAGCATCAAATTTTTTGAAAAGATCTTCAACTTCAATCAAAATTCGATCTTGCATCAAATCTTTTCCCAATCCAAAATCTCTCAAATTAGTCAAAGCAAATCTTCGATGAGTTCTCCATAATTCTCCATTTGTTTCAACAATTCCATAACTTCCTCCACGAAAATCAGTCAGGAATTTCTGTTCCTTTTTTCCAACATAAGTATCACCATCTTTTACAAAAGTTTCCTTCAATTTCTCATAACTATTTATAGAAATATAAGGTGAATTTCCAAGCCAAAATGTATAAACATCTCCATATTTTTTTCTCCAATTATTCAAAGCAACATAACCAGGTGGCGGAAGTTGAAGTGATAAAATATTTCCGACTAATGGAAATGGAATAGGTCCAGGTGGAAAATTACGACGTTTCCAATATAAATGATAGCCAAGATAGATTGCCAAACTAGTTATACAAAGTATAATGATCATGATGTCCTCTTGAAAAAAAACAGAATGAAAATAAAATGAGAAAATACAAATGATTTAGGGCTGGGTAATAATGGGCGAAAACAAAAACCAGTATCAAATCGTGATTTCTGTTTCGACAGATAAAACTACGGAAAATTCGAAAATTTATTCTAGTTATCACGAAAAATTATATTTTTTCAGAAAGAATAAGGATTTTGAAAAAATATAAGTATTAGAATAAAAGTTTTGCGAGAATGTTTGTTTGACCTTGGTATAGTTTGGACATAAACCGTGATTTGTGTCGAATTAATTGTGTGTGTTGTTTGATCAAGATAAAAATGAAGAAACGTGCTGAATTGTGTCTGTAAAAAATTTTGAACAAGAATGAGGAAACTGAAAAAAAAACAATTTTTGGGCCACATTGGAAAATTTCTGAAAACAATTTTAATTAAACATTTCCGAAGTCTTTTCCTAATGTTAAAAATCTCGGAAAAAACTTCCGAAAAATTCTGAATTTGTGATATTTTTTCCAACTTTCATTTTTATGAAAAAAAAAACTTTAATTTTTAATTTGTTTCCAAATTACTTCAATTTTAACATATTATAAATTTTCAAAATTTAAAAATATTTCCCTAACTTATTTTGTTGTGACAACATTTCAAGATATTGAATACATAAGTAGTTCTCAAGAAAAATAGTTTCTTTTTTGAAAAAAAAAAATTATGTTATTTAGCTACCCCGCGAACAGTCCGTAGACCACATCTCAAATTTTTCCAGCATAAAAACCAATAAAAATATAAAACAATCGATGACTCATTTTTTCCCGAAAAAATAATTTCCTTCAAATTTAGTTTTTCCAGATTTTTTTCCAAAATGTCAACTTTCGAACATCAAATCGACGAACTCCAAGATCAAGAGCCACAATTTGAGGTAAACCAAATTTTTTGCCGCAAAATTTTCCTTCTCACATGTGACCATAGAGTTGTTTACCATTTTTTTCCAACAAATTTCTCAGCGTCTCTTCAAATCCCATACTCTCTCGCCGTTGTTTTCAGTTTTTTGTGTCGTTTCGTTTCTGTTTTTTTTTATTTTCATTCTGTTTCTTTTTTTCTCTCTCTGTTTCTTTTTTTGCAGCGGAAAAAAAGAAGTTGTTAATTTTAAAAATAAATAATAAAGTAGGTTTTTGATAAAGAAACATTCTTTCATTGTGTATTAGTTTTGAGATTGTGATGTTCGGCTTTTGGGAGGTGTTGAGTTTCTCTTTGTTTTTTTTAATATTAAAAAAAATATTTTTTAGGCTAACAACAAGAAATTCGACGATATGACGATGAATTTTGTGAAAATGGCAAATCGTTTGGATTCTTCAACAAACGAAAAATCGTTGAATTTCATTTTATTGGGGAAACCACACAAAGAAAAACAAATCAATCATCCAACATATTTGGAAATGATTCAAGTAAGTTAAAAAACCCCCGGTTTTCTAGAAAATAAAATGAAATCCTTCAGGGTGCAATTCGAGCAATTAACAATGGTAAAGGCTCAAGTCGCACTGAAATTTTGAAATACATAGCGCAAAACTATCATCTCTCGGAAAATCTTCCAAAAGTTAATTTAAACCTCAACACCGCTCTCAAAAAAGCGGTCAATTCTGGAGATTTGGAGCAATCGCCACGTGAAAGATCGGGAAGTTTCACGTTGTCTTCAGAGCATGAGAAGAATCTTCAATTGATGCCAATTAATCGATCGACACCCATCAAAATGTTGGAGGCTGTCAGAAAAAATGTTGAGGTATAGTTTGGGTATATTTCAAACATTAAATCATTGAATCAAATACCAAAAAAATTGTATTTCCAGAAACCGGCCAAAAAACAAGCAACCAAAAAACGTTCACAAAAAATTGCAAAAATCAAGAAGGTTCCAACTCCATCAACAACTTCGATGAAATTGCGAAACAGAAAATAAAAAAGAAAAACTGTAATTTTTTGATCTTTTCTGTACATTCTTCCCATCCGTAATAAATATCTTTTTCTTTGAAAAAAAATTATGAAGTTTCCGGAAAACCCATGATTTTTTGTATTTTTTCTCCCAAAAATCAGCCCATTCATCATAGTTTTCCGGTGGTTTCACTTGAATCAAGTTGATATAAAAAGAGAAAAGACCTCCCATATGTTACTATTATTATTATCAATAAAATGTTCCCCTGAGAATCTTTTTGAACTGAACTCAACTGAACTTTTTCGAGCCTAGCCACAAACTATTTTTATCCCCTAATTGGGATTTTTCTAATTATTGTTTTTGTTTTTGTCTAGATTTGAGAAAAAATCTATTTTTGATATTCTCTTTTTTGGAGAAAAAAAGAGTATAAAAGATGGAGAAATTTTGCAACCAATTTAGAAATTTTTGCTAGAAAATAGGAAAAATTAATTTGATAAAATAAAAAAGGGCAAGTTTCTGGAACCCAAATGTTTTATACGAAAATGAAATGTTTCACCTTTTTGTTATTTGTTTGTTTTTTTGTGGGTAAGTGGGTGGATGAAAGCATTAACAAAATTATTTTTCACTCCTCAATGAATTTTTGCCGACTCACCGAACAAATGATTTTTGTAACTTCGAAAACGAAACCTTTCTAGGATTTAAAATCCACCCAAATATAATTAGTTATGACGTGGCAACGTACAGTACTCCAAATTTCCGATATTCAGCCAGAATAGAAACTTTGCCACATCATAACTATATTCTTGGCATGTTCGTGAGATGTAATTTTTGTACTACCAAAATTACAAAAAAAATTGATTTTGTGAGCTCGCTTGTCAGTTAGAAAAAAATTTAAAAGCATTAATCTAAAAAAAGAGATTTTTGCTCATAATACGTAGATGATCGAATTAGAAAACTGTTGTGGCAGACTTTTTTTGTATGCAAAATTGAATGCGTTAATCCTGTTAAATAATATTACCAATAAATTAATGTTAAATTCCACATAGCTCCGTGGGCGGTTTTTTGAAAAAATTGTTCAAAAAATCATAGATTTTGAAAATCCAAAAAAAATTGTGAGCCATAAATTTTATACCCATAAATTTCCTAGTAAAAAATCCTTTTCCACAACATTTTCCAGCGAGACACAATTTATTGTAGTCTTTCTTTCTGGAATTTTATTTCATTTCTGATCCTCATTTTTATGACCATATTGTTTTGTCTGGTTTTCGAAAGTTTTTAGATGCTTTTTTTCTGACAATGAAGTCAACCTATAAGAATCAACTTAAATTGAACTTCTTCGAAAAAAAACAAATACAAAATATTTCGGAAGTAAAATTCAATTTTGTGTTTTCATTTCAAATAAATTTCATAGACAAAAAAAAGCCAACTCATAACTTCTTCTTATACTAAAAATAAACTTCCTGAAAAGTCACGTCGCCGTTGTTTTTTTTCTATTTTTATTCACCCCAGGTTTTTTTGTGTGTCTCAAAATGTTATCCTTGATTTTTCGTTCCACTTCACTTGCTGTACTTTTGTGCCTTTAGTTTGGTTCAAATAGCAATCTAGTAATTCGATTCTTGAAAAATAAAAATACCAAAAAATATTTCCTTTTTGCAAATTCGAAAAAAAACCAAAAAAGATATTCGATTTCTGTAATCACTTAATTGAACAAATAAATAATATAGTTTATTCATTTTCCCTGAAATTCATTTGATCTTTCTTCGAATTTATTTCTAATTTCCCAGTAAGTACATAAGTTAATTTGTTATCTGATGACCACCGATCCGATGTTTAATTGCTCGCTCGATGTGTGGCGGAAATCCGGGGGAGGCGCGTTTGAATAAGAAAATAAAGACGAGAAGTGTTTCTTCTCACTTGACTGCTGATTTTCAGATTTTCTGACATTGAATTCAAGAACTCGCCTCGCTTTCCTTTTTGCATTTTGTTGATGTTTGTTGGGTGAAAACATCACGTACCACTTTGAATGAAACTATTATAAAATTTGAAACCTGTGGGAATCACACCTGACTTTCAAATTTGGCGTTCAAAAATCTTTTGTGGTGGAACATTTTCTTAAACTGAAGTTGTATTCCTTTGAAATCTCCTAAAAACTTCTGAGAAAATAGTTTGAAGATACCTTCGTTGAAAAATTATGAAAACTTTAAGTTGGAACTCACGACTTCACGTGCAAATGCAGCACATCGCAGTTTCGAAAGTGTTCCTATTTTCAGCACCTAACATTCATAATTTCCGTTTTAGGAAAAACTTTCAAGTTTATTTTTGTTTTCGCAAATATTTTTGTTCAACATTTTCTACTTACTCGAATACAAAAATATTGTAGTCAAAGTCTCGGCAATTTTTTTATGAAATAACAATAACAACGTGTCATACTACTTTCAGAAATCTGCACTCTCTGCTTGAGTCGAGATGTTTGAAATGAAAATTTTTTGAGATCGAATGAAATCATTTGAATGTGTTAAATCCGATTTTCTGAGCAAAAGACTAAGTTTGAATGAATGAAATATAGAAATAAAAATAGATATTCATAGATTATCACGATTAGTTTTCCAGATGTTTTTTCCTGAATCATTTCTCATCAAACATGAACATTTTTATTTTTTCGACGTTTTATTTATTGCTTAAAGTTCAAACTTTTTTCCATTTTCCGGCTGAAATCAAGTCTCTTTCAGAATGGCAAACCACGTCATTCTATTTTTTTTTGAATTTTTGTCCTTTCGAACTTCAGAGCTTGTCTGAATAAATATTAAGCAAATCCCTTTGGTGTAGGTAGATCAAAGAATAAATTGAATTATAAGAGTTCTGATAAGTGTAAACTATAGTTTATGCATTTTCTTAGCATATGATTCTTCGAAAATTAAATTTGTTTGCGTTGTTTCCTAATTTAACTTTGATCGTGTATAAATTTCAAAGAAACCCTAGGAAAAATCTTTGAAACATTCAGTCACATTTTTCAAATGACTAATCCTTACTACGGTATTGTTTTTTCTCAAAAATTTTTGTAGCAGATTATAGAATTTTTTTCGAAATTTAATTCTCGCACGCTCACACTTCCCCATTCAACAAAACTAACGCCAAAAATCGGGTAAATAATTAGAAATTTCAAAAGTTCACAACAAAATATTTTTCATCGTCTTCAAAGATACTCGAACATATAAATAAAAAAAATAAGTCGAGAATTTTACTCGTTTTTTTTCAAAAAAACGATGGAGGCCCCACGCAAAAAATGTCTGACAAGTTTTTTTCTGCAAAGTCGACAAGAAGGTTTTTTGTCTTTTTAATCTTTCCTTGTTTTTTTTTCTGGCACGCGTCACATGAGGAAGAGAAATGCGAAACAATGAATATTCATTTAATTAAATATCTCTTGGTTCAATATCGTTCATTATTTTAATTTAGATTAAAGTTTTTCTGGCTCTTTTTTTCCAGCTTTTTTTTGGAAAAAAATTGAAAAAAGTGTATTTTTTCAAGCCAAGAGTTGTCCCGGATTATTTTGAAGACCTGTCACAATCTTGTGGGTGAAACTAAAATTGACAAAATTTATCTCCAACGAGATTCTCAAAAACTGTGGTAGTACATTACCCACCCTGTAATTTACAAAAAAACATAAGTTTTGGTAATTTGCAATCAAAACAAACATGATTCATATATTTTCTGTGTAAATCTTTTTTTGCCTAAAAAAATGACGCGAGCCTAGAGAAATTTCGCATTTCTCCCCAAAAACTCATGATTTTTTCTTCCACGTGGCAATTTTTTCGATAGTTTTTTAAACCCGCCCATTTTTTTAAAATTCAAATCTCTTCTCGAAATGTTATGCTCTTTCCAGAAGAAAATCATAAAATGTTTTTGTACTTCATTTTAATCCGCTCTTTCCGCATTTTCTCATAAATTTTTATTTCGAACCAAATTTTCAAACTAATGCTTTAAAAGTTTATTTTTGTTAGAGATTTTTGCAAAATGTTTTTCTGTGGACTTACCAATAATCCTTCCGGGTTGGGTTCAAAAATAATTTTCAAGAAAGAAAACTTTCCCAAAAACATCAACAGAATCAAATTATCTGTTTTTCTGGAGGAAGTTGATGTGTTGTCCCCCAAACCAAAACGTCACCCTAATGGTGTTGGTCACCAACAAAATATGTTTTTTGCTCTCCTTGTTGGTCAGTGATATTTTTATTCTTAGATTTGTTTCTACTCCTTCCTTTTTTCATTTTTTCATTGTTTCATTTCAAATTCATATATTTTCCAGGTAACAAATGGTTTCTTCAATCCAAATCTTTCTTCTCGTTGCATTCTTCTCTACAATAGTATTCTCATACTCTGTTTTGCCAGAAGGATTTGAAGATTATTTGGATGGAACTGATAGGGAAATGAGATTTATCGATGAAATCGGTCGAAATGAGAATGCAATTCGTTTGAAACGTGATTCTCTTTACTATGCGCCATTCAACAAACGCAACAGTTTGAAACGTTTGGTTATTTTGTCGGCACGTGGATTTGGAAAAAGATAAAACAACAACAGCTTCAACTTCCATTTTGCATTGATTGTTTCATAGATAACTTAACTTTACGTGTTCTTCATTCATTTTTCGTGCTAACTAACTATATTTATATTATACATCAATTTTATTTATGCTTTTCATTAGTCCGACTAGAAAAAATGGCTTATTCAACAAACAAACCAAAATCTATGTGTTGTATTTTTGATATGAAAAATGAATTATTGTGTTAATCTGATGTGAGATATTTTAATGGAATTGTGAGACAGGATAATTGAGAAATGCATTTTGAATGAGGAGCAAAGGTCAGACAACAAAATGTGCTCCACTTGAGAATTTTATTTATGTTGTTTATAGTTTGAATTTAAATGTAGTTTGGTTTCTAAAGTTAAGATTCAATTTTTCAACAGAATAGTTTATTTCTTTGAAGATGCAAAACAAACTTGACAAAAAATTTCGAGGAAGGAACTTTTTAAGCTTTCAAATTAACTTTATTTTATTACACATTCAATTAACAATCAGGAAAATAACTTAAAAATATGAATTGATCTAGTTCTAGTTCAATGTAGTGTCCTTATTGTTAGGACACAATTTTTTCAAACTGTTTCATCTAACATTTTTCGATTGTTTCTAGTCAATAGAACCAATGGAAGAAAGTGGTATAGCACCGGCTAGTTTTTTAATCCCGATTGTGAATTTATTTCGATAGTCAGAAATATTGTACATAACAATAATTGCATCAAGTGCAGGGTAAATTGTAATTGAACAATATAAGGCTGCAGTTGGGAGACTGAAGTTTATATTTAGAAGAGGTAGATACAAAATAAGACAAACTGGGATAAACATGACTATTGTTGGGGCAGTCACCTGAAAATCAATAATTTTTCCGAAAAAAATATGAAACATTAAAAATTACTTGTATAACTAAAGCTTTGAAACATTGTTGGTGAAGTTTTCTGTAAGATGGAGAAAAATGAAATATTTTTGTGTTCATTTCCTTGTGCAATCTAAAGCCGCAAAATACGATAATAAAGTATTGTACAGACTGAAAAAAATATTTTTGAAATTACTTTTTTTGAGAAAAAAACTCACTAAAACTGCTGTGCAAATGATAACATACGACATATTTCTCCATCGAATTCCTTCGGAATCATAAGCTACCATAATCAATGCAGCAATTTTTGAAATGTCTAATCCATAGCAATCATAAACTTCTGCTCGCATGTATTCTGTTGAGAATTCATCGATTTCTGTTGAAAAATAACAAGATGTTGCGACTATTGAGAAACATAAAAAAACGTATAGAAGCCAGAAAATATAATTGAAATTTGTTAGGTATTTCAGCTTTTCTATGCTGAAAATTGCATTTAAAAAATGTTCGTTTCTCTTGGAAACCTACTGAAAAACAGAAAAGTATCGATACAAAAACTGAATAGCAAGAAAACATACAGTAACCACAAAGAAACCAGCATAAACACAGATGAAGATTACTGAAAAATCTGATAAGCTGAAAATAATATAACCAGCATTGTAAGAATGAATTGTTGGCCAAACTATAATATCAAGACAGCTGTAGACAATTCCAGTCATTGAAAAACTCAACATGATATATTTATAGAATCCAAATTTTCGGTGAATCATGAATAAAGTAAAAATTATGAAGATGAGATTGGTAGAAACTGTGGCGATGAATCCGATTTTTGCTGTGATTTGAGAAATTGTTAACCATTCGGAAAATCGAGCCATTATTTTGATAGACTGAAAACATTCTAATATCAAAATTTGAATTATTCTTTGTTCTGTATTCCTTAGAGAGTTGTAACTGCAAAATTAATAGTGATCTTACAAAAATAGATATATTTTAAGACGAACTAATGCCCCCGAAGACACTTGAATTCCAAGAAAAATGTTAATTTAAAATGAACAACTTTTTTTGGAAAGAAAAAAAAATGAAATATGGTTTCTCAAAATGCACATAGGAAATTATATTGAGTTTTTTATCAGCTGCGCAAAGTTTAAAATATTCTGGGAATATTCTGAAAAACAATCACTGGAAGTTTTTATTTTGAATTTTTGTTAAAACAGCAGAAAATCGTATCGTCCAGCTGAATTTTCTTCAAAAAAAGAATACAAAAACAAAAACAACTCGAAAAAAGTTTATTTTTTTTTCAAAAACATCAATTATCTGAATCATCGAAATCTTCAGCTTCTTCGTGTGCCAATGTTAATGCACGAACATCGATGTATCTGAAAACATCTATTATTTTTTGTTTTGCAAAGTTCAACTCACTGCCCTAAAAGACCGTTTTCCCAGAATTTTGGATGGAAATAAAGTGGGCGAGTTTCTGGATCTCTTGAAGGTGGAACTGGTTGAGCACTTGTGCTTCGCAATTTTCTGGCAGTTTTGCGCACAAAATTTACGAGAGATTGTCGGCGAGATGGCTCGATTTTCAGAGCAGATCGGCATTTTTCAATCAGCGAAGCTGGAAATAAGTTGTTTGTCTACAACTTCAAATCAATAGCCAACCTCTTCGATTTTCCGGAACATTTTCTTCGCGTTGTCTGTGATAAGTTGGAATACAAATCATTGATTTAGATCGTCGAATCATTTTCTCTGTCTTGTTTTGGTTATTTTTTAACTGAAAATGAAAATGATTTTTGTCAAAATAGCCTCTGAAAAATCCCAGAAGAGAACCGCCTCTTCTCGTGATAACTGCACTCTAATAATTATTTTAATTATTTATATTTCCTTCAAATAACAACAAAAAATATATTTCCGACAGAAAAACATAGAAAAAAATAGAATACATGGGGAAGCTAGAAATTAAACTTGGAGCACATGGATTTTCGGAATTTCGGACACAGTTTTTCGGTATCTCCATTTCCTGTTCCTTTGAAAATCATACTGTAGACCTATAAAATTTTTGAAAAATCATTATTAATTCTAGAAAAAAAGGTTACCTTAGCTTTATCTCGAATCATTTCGATAAACGATCTTCGTCTCAAACAAAAATCATCCAATGGTATTTTTTCAGAGTCATTTGTAGAGTCAAAAAGACAATTCATTGATTTCGATTTCAATTTACTTCTCATTTCCAAGTTGGAATTTGAGTTGATGAGATAAAAAATGAGATGAAATTAGATTACGTTATGGTTGGTTGAAAAACGCGTGAAATTTGGCTAACGAGGGAAGTGTGTGACCAGTCCCCGGAGATTTTCAATGAGACCTATGTTTTTTAGGTCAGTTTTTCACGCTGATAAAGCTCCTGTTTTCAGTTTTTGCTGAACGACTCTCTGAAGAGCCCAAAAGTGAGCCAAAAGTTGAGAATTTCCTGAAAATCGGGTTTTTAGGAGCCCATAACTCATGTTAGAAATTATTTTTATGGAAAACTGAATGCATCACGTTGTTCACGAGGGTCGATTTACCAAAGTCACAAATTTTTGATTAGTAAGTCCATACTTTTTCAGAAAAAAATTTTGTGGCTCAGAAAATAGGCTCAGGTCATGGATTGCACATTTGAAAATTTTTGGAAAATTTTGTCAAAACTTGTGACTTTGGTAAATCGACCCTCCTGAACAACGTGATGCATTCAGTTTTCCATAAAAATAATTTCTAACATGAGTTATGGGCTCTCAAAAACGCGATTTTCAGGAAATTCTCAACTTTTGGCTCATTTTTGGGCTCTTCAGAGAGTCGTTCAGCAAAAACTGAGAACAGGATCTTTATCAGCGTGAAAAACTGACTTAAAAAACATAGGTCTCATTGAAAATCTCCGGGGACTCAAAACACACTTCCCTCGTAAGGTAGTCATGGAGATTGTCTAATATTGTTTTTTCTTTCAAAAAAATAAAACAAGTAACTTGGGTTATGATTGGGAACAATATAGATTTTTCGAAAATTAAAATATAAGAGAAAAGTTATTCGGAAAAATTGGGGCTTGAAAATGTTTCGTTTTTCTGAAATTTTGTGACTGCTTGTTTACCAAAATTTTAAAAATCACTTTATTTCAAAAAAAATTTTCTACAACACATGCTTAATTAATTTTATCAAATTCCTCCATTCCGGGTCCCATTGGCATTTTGCTGATGTGAACTTCGAGAATTCGATTGAAAAGTTTTGGATCCATTCCAGTCTTGTTTTCCAGATTTGCCGGACCGCTGCTCTCGTCAATATATCTCGATTTTCGAGTCAAACTGAAGCTTCGTGTATTCTGAAAAAAAAAGATTTTTATATCACCATTATTAACAAAAAAACGTACCCCGATCTTCGATTTTTTCTGTGTAGCCGATGAAGAAGGCGGCGGATTTTTGAGAGAATTCGCTCTCTCAATTTGATCCGATGGTTTTTTGGACACGTTTATTGAGGAAAGATTAGTGACCGACTTTGAGAAATGGTTATTCATTTTTTTTTCAGAAAAAGTAACTGAAAACTTTTGCCGATTATTTGATGAATGAATGAACTTCTCCGCTTGAAAAGTTTCAGATTTGACTTTTTTTCAAATTTGAAACGAGGAAATATATGAAATAGTTTGAAAAAGGGATCTCTGAAGTTATATTACAACAAAAACAATTTTCAACAAAAAATATCCAATTATTTCACAATTAACTCAGAAAATTTTGTGTTTTTTCTAGTTTCAAATTGCTTCTAATTGTAAGTCACGCGGTATGGTGTATACAAACACTATGCTGTTCAAGGTTTCTGCAAACTTTCATCCTAAAAAACCATATTATCTAAGGCAGAATAATCAAACATCATGTTCCTCCAATTGTTCTAATTAAATTACAATTAACCAACAAATATTACTAATTTGTTATGGATGTTCTAATCTCAGCTTCTTCTTCTTCATAAAACCACTTTATTATGTCAGGCTTAGTTTTCTTGCACTTTCCCTTACAGTGTTGGTTGTAAGAGGAAAATATGTTAAAATGCAAGAAAATTATCGCTCAATCAGCCGGAAAATATTTATTTTCACTTAATTCGACTGAAGCTAATTGGCAAGTTTTTACCTATCTCATCTTTTTTTTTTTGGAGAGATTGGATGTCTTTGCAATTTTCGAGATATGTTTTACTGTTCGGGTTTCGCGGCTGTTGGAAATTCTCTTGATTTTTTATTTTTTTTTTGATAATTTTTTTAATCAAAGAAGGTAAGACTTCAGAATTTCGAAGTACTGTAGTTTTAAAATTTCCTGAATATTTTTTTAAAAATAACAGTATCCTGATGACTTTGAGTCGAGAAAAAACTGAAAAATTGAGTATTTTGTATCTACTTTTTGGCACAATGTGGCTACAGTATCTCAGTTTTTTTTCTGAACAAAGAAATGTTAAACTCCACACTCTAGCTACAAAATAAAATAATTTTTTCGAACTTAAAGTTTTCTCGGAGAACTACAGTAATCCAAATGGCTATTTCGAAACAATTTAACTGAAAAATTCATCGAGACATCGGATTTCCACGCCAAGATTTCCACGTGGCAAAATTTTCAAACTTGACGAAAAATAATCTACAGTAGCCTGCAAAAAAATTGGCAGGAAGTTTGAAAACTCCAATTTTTAAATTTCGCACCTAAAATATCTTTATACAGTAACTAACAAAATTACAAGCTTGATAACATCAGAACATGATTAAGAGTACAATTGAAAAATCCTTTGAATTCATAGTTCACCTCTACATTTAATTCTTATATCTCATATCAGCTATTTTCTCAATAGATCAAAACCACCTGGCTTCATCAGATGAAGTTTCCATTTCTAAAATTTCCAGTTTTCCCGAAACCGAAACATTCTGTTTTTTCTCATTTTCAAACCTTTTACGTGATGATAACAATAAATTATAATTTTCTTTATATTTTCTAGCCCCCCCCCGTAAAAGTCCGCCTTTTTCTACTGCAAAATCCAATCCAATCCAATTATGCAATTCTTACACTATTTTTTTCACATACATACTCATTCAAATCACATCAATCGCAATAGCATAATAAATTTCGTTAGCCAGGCAAAGCCAGGCGATTCAACAAAAAAGAAACCTATAACTTTCTCTATCATTTTCCCGAATCTTTTTTTCTGTTTCATTGTTTTTTGCTGTTGTTGCGAGAAAAAAGTTTCATGTCATGTCGAATTATCCTTTTCCGTGTTTTTATTTTTGTTGTTGATCTGATCTCATATATTAGCCTAGCTAACTGGAATATTGATAGCTTCTATCTATATCATATCAAACTCAATCAACCGTGTTTTATTCATTTAATTGGTTTTGATCTGCCTGGCAATGCTGAAATAATTAATTCAGTCTGAATTGTTCTTGATAAGAAAGAATAAAGATCTAATATTTCTGAATATATTGTTTTCTCTCTTATTCGTGTATTTTTTTAAATTTAAATGTAAACCTTTCCAATTTCAGATGGTCAATTTTTTTCCCTTATTTATTTTCTTCAATCTTCCCCTGATATCTCTCGCTTGGTTCTTCTCATTATTTGGTGGATGTCCTATGAATTGTCCTCCTCCAGCCCCTCCTCCACCACCTCCACACGTTTTCCGAAATGCATATCCAGTTGCTCCTCAACCACAATATCCAATTGCACAATATCCAGTTGCTCCACCAATGTCAATTCCACCGAATGCCTACGCCCTTCCACCAGCTTACCCTCTTCCACCAAGAGGGGGATATGCTGTTCCACCACCGGTTTATGTGACCCCACCCACATATCCGACACCTCCACCAACATATCCTACCCCACCACCAACTTATCCAACACCACCTCCTCCGAGATGTTTTCAAAATGGGCATGGTAAGATATTTCGGGAAAAGGGATTTTAAAATTGGCACATTTTTAATTAAAATTTTCAGAATTTTTCTAGTCACGTGAGGTTCGGGAATTAGATTATTGCAGTTCTACCTTGAGAAATTGAAACTTAGATTCGTGTATATCATTTTGAGTGCTACTATTTTTTGAGTTGGGAAACTAAAGACAATCTGAAAAACTGAAACGTTTAAATTTACTAGTGGTCCCTGGAATTAAACATTTTTAAATCTTGCGCACTAGGCTAAAGATTACTGTAGTTTTTCAATAAGCCATAAGAAGTTTTTTAAAACATAATTTCAGGGTCTGAATTAATGGTTTTTTTTGAAATCAAGAAAAATGGTTCACAATCAGTTTTAAAATAGTCGCTTCCATTTTTGTATAATCTTTCAAAAACTAATAAAAGTTAATCTATCTTTTGAAAAACACACTTTCCTAGACAAAACTAATTTGTATAAAAGTGAAACTTTTCCAATGTTCGAAAATCAAATGTTCACCTTGAAAAAATGCAAAACGCATAACAATGTGGGAAAATGGCAAATTTTGAAACGGTCTGAAGTGATTCAATTTTCTAATTTTTTTCAGCAAACAAGTTAATTTTCCATGTTTGCAGGCTATAAATGTTGCAACAAAGAATTGAATATGTTTTTGGATGAAATGGTCGTCCAAATGCAACATCCAAAATGGCACGGTTGCAATTTACAGCGATTTGCAACACAAATTCAACATCAAGCACAATCTCGTTTTCAATCATTCAATGGAATCAATTGTTGCTTCTGGAGATATGGAAAATCTATCACATTATCGAGGAGATCTTTATTGTAAAAAGAAAGCGATGGATGGAAAAATTGTGCTTCTCTATGGTACTGTAGTTCCTTATGCTTTGGAAGATGGTGAAACTCGACCAATGACACCTGAAGAAATAACAAGGAGAATGTATCCATCAATTTATAATGATGTTGGAATGCATAATGGTCATGAAAATAATATACAATTTTAAATAGGATTTTTAATTTTATTTTGTGTTAAATTGAATTAAAAACAACTTTGGGTCATATTTTCGTTGTCTTTGCGAAGCCTAATAATAATTTAAACAAAAGTACAATAAAAATATTTTTTTTTTCAAAAAATAAATATTTGGGAGGAGTTGCTATGGCAACGTATTTTGCTTTTCACTGAGTTTCATTCTTTTTGTGCACGCACATATTTATGTTTACCCTAACAATAAAATGAATATCTGGGAATTATCGAAGAAAAAATTGGCGGAAAACAAAGTGAAAGCCGCTGAACTTGATGCTAAATTGGAAAATGAAAATGCCGCTGAAAATTATTGTGAGTTAGTTGTCTATTTTTATCTCAAAAAGTTTGTTTTTGAAGTATACGAAGTTCGTCGACGTCACAATGGTCATGTTATAATTGCCGGGAATCGAAAATCTGGGAAATCTTCGTTTCAGGCTAATTTTCTGGAAAAACGTGAGGAACTGAAAGAATCTGTGGGATTGGAATTCTCTTTTGGAAGAAGAACGAGAGGAAATGTGAGATTTACTAAGGGAATACATGGTTGAAAGATATTTCTAATTGCACGATGGATTTTAAATTTTTCAGGTGAAAGATATTGCAAATTTATGGGAACTTGGAGGAGGGCATTCAGTTGTTCAATTACTTTCCGTACCAATTAGTTCAGCAAATGTTGAGTAAGTCCTGATCAAAATACCTATTTCTCAAAGTCAACTTCAAAATTTTCTAGAGTTTGTTCAATGTTCATTTTACTCGATATGACAAAACTTGAAGAAATGTGGACAACACTTGAGACAGTTGTAGAAGCTGCTCGAAAAATTGTTGAAAATCTTGCAAAATTTGATGCGGGGCTTGAAACTCGACTAGGCGAGAAAATCAAGATACGTTTGGAAAAAGTTGAAGAAGGCGATCGGAAAATATGTCAACCTTGTCCGATTCCATTAACAATTGTGGCTTCAAAATATGACGAGTTTCAGAATTTTGAATCGGAAAAACGGCGGAATTTGTCGAGCTATTTGAGATTTTTAGCGCATTATTATGGTGCACATTTGATGGTGAGTGGAAGAACTTTGAAATTGGAATACTACTTTCAATACATTTAATATTTCAAAATATCCCCTCAGTTGGACTTTTTTCAACCGATTAAAAATTACCACAAAAAACATCACCACAGATTGAAAAAGAGTATATTTGTTTCAATGATTTTTCAACAGATGTACTCGTCAAAAATGGAACAATTCGCAAAACTGGTCAAAAATATGACATCACACTTCGCGTTTGGCACGATATTTCCGCAGGGTACAGTGAAAGACCATAATGCGCCCATATTTTTTCGATGTGGAAATGATAGTTTTGAGGTTGGAGTTGGAATTTGGGATGGATTTTTAGATTTGAGAAGGGGTGTGAGGAAGTAGATAATTTTTCTTCGAACAAATTATGACATGGCTGAAGCACAAATTCGCTTATACTTTAGAATACTGTAGCTTTCGAAAGAAGTTATTTTAATAAATATCTTATTGAAGAAGAAAATAAGAAAATAAGAAATTCAGATATTCACTCAGTTCCTGATTAGATTAGGTTCAACGGAAATCGATTCTAGACTCCAATCTCCCAATCAACAGTTCTGAAAAACCACCATTTTCAGATGTATCCTATCTCTTCTTCTTTCAGGATATTGGTCTTCCTCCAGCCGCCGACAATTTTATGAGACATTCTTCGCCGTTTGAAATGTGGAAAGATTCATTCAACTCTCTCTACCCTCAAAAAATCTGACAAAACCCTGGATTCAGAAGAAACATCGAAACCCGATCCTATGACTGACCCGCTGTTCAGAGAAGCTGCAATTGATAATATGGTTGAAATCAAGAGAAAAGTAAGAAGATCATATTACAACATTGTGTCTATCTCGAAGAAGATGAGACGAAAAATAAAAGAGCGTGTGGAACAGAAAAGAAACCGGTTGGATGATATGAGAGAAAATGCTGAAAAAAATAAGAAGCTTGAAAAAAATGAGGAATTTGTTGGTCACGAGAAAGAGGAATTTTAAGATTGATTGAGTTTCTTCAAAAGTTTTTGTGACTAATGTTTTTTTTTTCAAATCTAGAGAAACGCCACAGAATTTATGTTTCCAAGTCACCAAAAATTCCAAATTGTTGGCAGTCGGAAGCTGGGCAAATATTTTTGTCTAACAAAAAAATTGCTCTCTGCACTTTTTCCCCAAAATCTATTCTCTCATTAATTCTGGCACAAAAATGCAATTAATAAAGTTCCTTTCCTTCTTCTTTTCTTCCAACACATGCTCATCTTTTTTTCAATCATTTTTTTTTATTTGCAGGAACTCGAGAATCACATACGTCAAAAACGCGATCGTGAAGCGGCTGAAGCTCGAGCTGCTGACAGAATTGCAAAAATCAACTTGAAATCATAACTTCTATATTTTTCCACAGTTCCAAGTTCTAAAAAAACCTATTGTTCACTGGTAGTTTTTTTCGTTTTTTTCTCACTATTACAAAAGGTTAGGTTTTTATTATTACAAAAATCATTTCTGTTCTTCATTATCAAAATATATTAGCGAGAAAATTAATAAGATCGTAATCGTAAAATAAATATTTAATAAAAATGTCAGATAGGTTTTTCTCGCATTTTTTTCGAAAAAAAAAATATTTTGCGGTATCTCTGCGTCTCTTGCCTAGTTCAAATAAACCAGTAATTTTTCCGGTGGAACTTTTGTTAGGGCCATAGAATAAAAAATATGATGTTGAGAAATAATAACATTTTTTTTCGGATGGCGTGTTCCATTTTTTGTTGTTGTTTATTTTTTCGTGGAATATTTAGAGAGACGTTTTTGCAGAATTTCCCATTTCTCATTTCAATGTTCTTGCGGTTCGGAATATGTTTGATATTGTTCATATTCTTGAATCAACATGTGACAGCCTCCTACAAATCGTATGACGGGTAAGTTATAATTTCACTTCTTCAAATTTTCAGCGAATGTATTTTTCAGCTATAAAATCCTCGAAGTCCCATTCAAACATAAAATCGCAAAACGATATGTTCAAAATATTGACAAACATTTTGGGTTCATGGTGAGTTGCTACAAAATAAGGTTGAACCAAACACAATTTTTTGCAGCCCGATTTTTTGGGGGAAAATTGGAAGAAGGAGGAGGCTCATTTTTTCATAGAAAAAGATCAAGTTGCGAAAGTTGGTGATGCGTTGAAATTTTCGAATATTTCGTTCAATTTACGAGGTTTGTAAAAGGAAATTTTTCATCTTATTTTCTAATGTCTAGATAGATGTCTTTTGAGAAAGAATATTGTGCCAAATTTCTGTTAGAGATCGAATTTCAAAATTCAAAAAAAAAAAACCTTTTTGTTGTTAACTGTACTTTGTAGGCTTTTCGCGTTTCCTAATCTCAAAAACAAACTTTACAGATGTCGACTCAAAAATGTTCACATTTTCTCGAAAACGCCGAGATCTTGCAAATTCGCCTATCTCCATCACTGATATCAATACCAGATATTTGAGTTATGATGAACAAATACAATTTCTTAATAATTTGGCATCACAATTCCCAAACTTGGTGAAACTTCAAAATCTTGGAAATTCATATGAAGGAAGGCCAATCACCGCAGTTCGTCTAGGAGATGATGGAACAAATAAACCGATTGTTTGGATTGATGCTGGAATTCATGCGAGAGAATGGATTTCTTATAATGCTGCATTGTATTTTATTTGGACTATTTTGAATGATCCAAATTATCGCCAACTTTTGCAAAATGTTCAAGTCAATGTTGTTCCAAATACAAATCCAGATGGATATGAATATAGTAGAACAACAGAAAGAATGTGGAGAAAAACTAGATCTCGATTTACTTCGAGTAAATGTGCAGGAACTGATGGAAATCGCAATTATCCATTCTTCTGGGGAAATGAGGGAGTTAGTCATTCGACATGTAGCGAAATTTATTGTGGAACTCGAGCTGCTTCAGAACCCGAAGTTCTCGCATTAACTAACGCAATTATGAGAGAGGAAAGAAGAATCAAGGCTTATGTATCACTTCATTCTTATGGTCAAGAAATTTTGTATCCATGGGGGCACACAAAAAATAGTCATCCATCAGATGTTCAAGATCTCATTCGAGTTGGAAAAATGATGGCGACTGCTATTCAAAATTTGCACGGAACTCAATATAATGTTATGAATAGTGGAGATGGATTATGTGAGTTTTAAGAAGAGAAGGGATAATTCGGAGAAAAATGTCGATTTCAATAAAAATAGCCGAAATACTGGGCCAAGCCATTTTCAATCAAATTATCTTTTCAGATCCGGCTGCTGGAGCATCTGATGATTGGGCTAAATCCCGTGGAATCAAATACTCATTCACAATGGAATTATCACCATCTGATGACTACACTGGATTCATTCTACCGGAAGATCGAATTTTCCAAGTGAATCGAGAAACTTTCCAAGCTCTAACAACATTAGTTAGAGTTGTATCACAAGAATTTGCAAATAGAACAACAACTTCTACTACTCGAATTTCGGCGAAATTTCAGCGAACTCGTGGTTTTGGAAGTGGAAAATGATTAGAGAAAAATATAGGGATTGAAAATGTCACATGTTTTACGGGTTGTAAATTTTCGTGTAAATAAAGATTTTTCCGAAACAAACAAATTTCATCGCGTTAATAATTTTGAAAAGCTTTTCTGAACTATTAGAAATCAAAGTTTTCAAAATTTGGAAATAATTCATTTCAATTCCGAAACTCAACAATTTCATGACCTTTTAAAGGGTTGGTGCTCCGCCAGGGAATCTTGTTTGGTTCAGATAGGAATAAGGTGCTCCTGGAAGGTTCCAGTTTTAGAAAAAATTCTAGTATCAATTCAGCCCGTGTTTTTCCTCAAAAACACAAGCGAGTTAAAACCTACGAAATAAAGCATGTAAATGCGCTCTAGCGCACAACTTGTTTTTGAATTTTCGTGTGTGTGTTTGCACACAAGTTTGAACACAACACTGTGACGCCTTTTTGCAGACGATTTTTTCACCAGGAAAGCACCAACCCTTTAAAAAAAGAAATAAAAAATACAATTCGAATTAAAAACGTGAAACTCACGTTTTCAAGAATAATTGTTTCCATTTCATTTCATTTTATATCATTTACGAAAACATATAAATAATGTAATATATCAATGGTAAGTGGAACCATCCTGAAAATTCAAACTTTTCCAAGTTAAAAAAAAACTTTAAAATCTTTATTCACAAATCGTTATCTATAACTTTTCTTCAACTTTTCTTATTGAAATAATGTAGCAAATTCCGGCTAGTTCTTCGTTTTTGTTCGGTCGGTGTTCTCGTTGATGTTCTCGGCGAATCATCATTTTTGCTAGCCGAAATCGGATTTTTCGAAATAATCACAAGCTTTTTGGGTGACAATAATGCGTTTCTCTCTTCTTCCGATATTACTTTTGCGCATGCCGATTCACCGAATTCGCTAACACTTGGCAATCGAATTCTTCCCGGTGTTATTGAAGCCTTGTTTTCTGATGTTGCACTTGATGTCCACCAATCATCTATTCGTTTTTTCGAAGTTTTACTCAATGATTTCGAAGAACAAGAGGGTTTATTGTCTCCTCCAATTAGACTTTTGACAAATTGATCATATACAAAGTTGGGCAAATTTTCAGTGGGATACCTAAAAAAAACCTTTTATTTTTTTGAAAATTTAGCTTATAAAATTACCTATAAAAATATGGAGCTGTTTTCTTTTTCTTATGTTTTGGTGTTTTTTCCTCATTCAAATAATTGAGCGGCTTGAATGGTGAACTTGAGACTTTACAAATCTTGGCTTGTGGTGATAATTTGAAAGGGCTTGTGTTGAGTGGTCTTTTTGAGACACGTGGTTTTTGAGGTGATTGATAAATTGTGGAATTTGCTCGAGGTCTTGGCGCTAGACACATGCTATCAATTTTTGAAATTGCGTCATCAGAACACGTCATTTTGTAAGGTTGTGCTGATTCATGATGAATTCCTCGATTTTCTTCGACCATTTGTGTATCTTCAGAAATGTCCTGCAATGAGAAAAAATAGAAAATAATCAAAAAAAACATTTTTTCTTACATCATCACAACATTTGCATTTTTCTGCCTCATTCCATATTCGAAGACCACGATCATCAAGGGACATAAAATATTTTGCATTTGCACTCCAACCAACACATGATACTCGACCCTCGTGTCCTTCTAATGACCATTTTGGTAACAATGCTCGTCGTTTTTCCGCTTCGTTGACATCTCCAAAAATATCATTTCGATAAACATATTGATCTTGAACATCCCAAATCACAGCTCGTTTATCATCACTTCCACAAGCAATTGTATCAGAGATAGGAGAACATGCGATTTGTGTGTAATAATCTCGAATAATTGCACCACTGTAAGCTCGAAGTGGTGAGCAACTTGTTGTTTGTGTACAATATTCATAGACAATTGAGTTGGTGCAAGATGCAAAAAGACTGCTTCGAAAACGATCGATCGCGAGACTTGTAACACCAAAACCAGCTTTTCTAGATGAGGTTACAGGAATTTTTAATATTTGACATGGATGAGAATCGCCTGGTTTTCGAATATCCCATATTCGAATACCTGTTTCGGCATTACTTGAAGCTGAGGCAATTGTAAAATCATTCAAAAATAATACACTTGTTACTGATACTCCTGCAGATGGTTTTTGTTTTGATTGTTTACTTTTTGGAGTAGCCGCTTTTTCATGAGGAGCTTGTTGAGAAGGATGAGCGGATTTATAAGTAATTGTTGAATTTCGACTGAGTTTATCATTTTTTCGAACCGCGGATACTCGCATATCCCAGATTTTGACTTGACCATCTCGCGCTCCACTTACAAATATATTTGAATCATCTGGTGCAAAATTGAGAGACCGTACAGATCCTTCGTGACCTTGAAAAAGATCTGAAGATCTGTTATCGTTGTGTTGGTTCAAATCCCAACATCTGATTGTGCAATCACCAGAAATCGATACTATACTAGAAGATTTATTTGGAACTCCAACTATATCCATTATTGCGCCATCGTGAGCAGGGAAAACTGAAAATATTGCGGTTTTTCCAAAAAATTTAACAAATTTGTTCGAGTTTGCGCAAACTCACAATGAAGTTGCTTTTCTTCAATCGGGACAGCGTTATCGTACAACTTTTCAACATTGTAAATTCCAATATTTCCTGGATCGTCACCCAAAAATAAAATATGCTCTTCTTCTAGTGAAAATCGTGCAGTTACCCAACCATCCTAAAAGAACAATATTAGAAATAAAAATAATGGTGAAAACTTACATGATGTTCAGTTTGTGTTGGTGGATTCGAGTAGAATTTAGATTCTAGATTTTCAAAAAGTTCTTTTGGGTAACGCAAATATCTTCGTCGATCGTCTAGAATTGAGAAAAAGCTCATATTTTGCCACGCATCGGTTCGAATTCAAATTTGGCGGAGTACAAACGACGCCACATTTACGCTTGCCTGTTGTTTATCGTAAAGCTACAACGGGATTGGTGGTGTCACGTTGTTTTATTTTCATTTTTTCTAGTTGGTTTTGTTGTTTACTCTGGTTTTTTGCTCACTAGATGATACAAAAATCACTCCATAATTCATAATTCATATGAAATGTTATTTTTCAACTAAATGTAACACACCCATTTGCCCCCTCTCTCTATCTAAAAATAATTCTAGATTTATGTACTTATTCGTCATATACAATACAATTATATTCTTACAGTACAAAAAAATGTCTGATGATCTAATCATGCGTAAAAGTCCAGAATCAATCGAATTAGAATTCCACGACAGCGGCGAATCGACACTTATAAAAGGAAGAATAATTTCCGATCTGCAAAATAGCCCATGGGAGGCGTCTGTTAGAAATGAAGTCAAGAAATTTTTGAGTGTTAGTTTTTTTTCCAAAAATAAATGAATGACTGTGACTAATTAATTGCAGAAAGCAGGCGATGATGTGACGACAAAAGAAGTATTTGACGCAGTAAAAGATATGGCCCGAAGGGATGTTCCACAGGATATAAAGAAAAAATTGTATGAGCAAATTTTGGAGTTTGTCCGAACAGCGAATAACAAAAAATAATTAACTGGTATTCATATTCGATCTCATAAAATTTTCAATTCCATTCAATGTTTTTTGCTGAATGAAGAAAACAACTAGCTAAGAACATTTGCTCGTGTGAATAAGTTACGCCCCTTTTCTCATTCATTTTTTCACTCCAAGTGTTCCATACTCCAATAAAAATGCTCAACATTTTGAGTATTGCACAGCTAGTTTATGGTGTTCCATCTGTTTTTCTAATGTTTATCTTCATATTTATATTGGGATGCAATCCAAAATCGTTCAGCTGCTCATTTTATCGATTAGTACAAATTGATCTTTTGGTGGTAAGTTTAAACTTTTACATTTTACATGTTTTCTAAAAAAATATAGAAGCAGGTGAATTATAACGAATTTCTTTTTTGAAAAGTTCAATGTAGAAGGAACCGAATAAGTAGATAATAAATAAAAGTAATTGTTTTTCTCATATTTGTTTTTTTTATGTGAAAGAAAAAACAAGGAATTAATCCAAATCCAATTAATTTGGGTACAAAAGAAATTTTAAAGTAATAAAATAAAGTATGTCTCATTAGTCACTTTCTTTCTTAAAACGTGCTAATCAGAAATCTATGAAATTGAATTAATCACAGGTTGATGAAGTTGGAAACTCCACCTAACGGGTTTGAGAACTATAATTATCTAAAATTTTACTACTAGTAAAACTCATAAATGTCAAAAACGAGAAATAGTTGATCGTTTGAAAGCTGTTCAGATCCAGATAAAATGCCAAAATTCAAAAATAAAAAATAGTTTCCAAAAAACCAAAACTTCTAGAAAATAAGGCATTAAACTACTGTGAAGTGTGATGTCCAAAATCATCTGACTTTCAAACAAACAAATAAAATGTGCAGTAAAGTGTGAATTACCTATTATTTACTTGTGACTATTTTGTTGAAACTTCATAATTAGAAATCTTGTTTGAAAGTAATAAAGAGCCTTATAATTATCTGTAAAACTAGATCAACAACACTTTCTGATCTGATCAAAAATCTAGATGGTTATTTTCAAATTGAGCTTTTTTGTGGTTTCTCAAGAATAGCGCGGGTTACTGGTTAGTGTAAAATTTACATCAAGTACACGAAAAAAATTTTTTATTTCAAAACAGAATATTATTTGCCATTTAAACTCATGGATCGGAATTCGTTTACACCAAGATGACTTAGGAATTTATTATCTTTACCTTATCGAATCTAGAATACCAGGAGCTCTCGCAACTTCTAGATTCTTTTGCACATTCTTTTTCCATTTACAAAACATCACTGGATTTTCATTATATCTCCATCGATTATTAACAGCAATGTATTCAAAGTCTGAAACATATTGGAAAAAATATTATTGCTTTGTTCCAATCGGAGGATGTTTATATTCTTTAGTTGTATTATCTCCTTGGTATATTTTTTCAAATTTTTATCTTCGAATGGAAACTGAAAACGGGGTTCTTCGCAAAATTTATAATACAAAATTAGCAACAATATCTTATTCGATTAACCCGATTTTTGCAATGTTCTATTTTCTAATGGTACTTCTTACCGGAATTTGGACATCGAAAATTGTTGCAACAAATAATAATTCGAAAATTAATGAATTTATGGCTAGAAAAATGACAATTGTTGCAACTGTAAACGGGATTTTGATGTCTGGAAATTTAATATTCACAGTAGTTCTGACTATTATTATTTTGTCTCCAATTAAAAGCTATGGACACACTTACAGTAATACTGTTGTTACATTCACTTCAGATATGGTTGGTTTGAAAATAATCCAATAATTTGGAGAACAAAGTTCAATATTTTTACAGTACACATTAGCAATGCCTTATATTTTATTATTTTTCGATGGAAATGTTCAAAGATTAATGAGACTTGCTGATCCCGAAAAACCAATACGGAGTACACGTGTTTATATGGTTCGCAATTGATCACTTTTTTGTTGTTTTCTTTGCCTAATAAACTTTCAAATTTTGAATATTTCTTTTTCATAGGTCACAAAACTTGCTAAAAACAAAGAACAGCTGAAATTTTAGAACAGAACAATGTTCATGACATTTGTAACGACAAGAATGCGTGAAACTAATAATTTATATTTTATTTAAAACTTTTGAGAGCGAAGTTAACAGATCACAATCGCATTTCATTCTGTCATCTAGTGACAATGATGTCACCCGCCAACGAAGAAAATTATGAAAACTATTTTCAACTAAAATTATTTCCATGATTCGGTCAATTGTTTGAAATAAAAATTAGTTTCATCAGATATCGCAATTGTGTTTGAACGACTTCTCGAAGTTTTATTGATTTTTCGAAGAAATCCTGGATGTTTTGCGTAGAATAATGTGATATAACAATAAATTGGGAACAAGGCTCCGCATCTATCAAAAAATATTATTTAATTCTCTGAATGTTTTTTTGAAACTCACAAAGTTATTAATGGATCGAAAAAATAGAAAATTGAGCACATTGAGCCGAATCGAAATGGAAAAATAGTTTCCCATGGAATGATAAACATACAAAATAAAAAAATTATACCAAGAGAGTATAAAATACCCATAAATCGTAAAAACTAAAGAAAAAATTTTTGATTTTCAAAAATTTCTCTAAACCCGTTTAACTCACCCACATGACTCGTAAATTTTCTTCAAGTTGGTATTTTTTGCTCAATGTGTATAACATTGATTCCCTTCGAATTTTTTGAAGTTTTCGATAGTTTGAGATATACAAAACATTGAGAAAAATAGATGAGAATACGACGACTGTTGTTGTGAAACCAAGGGGAACAATAAGAGGAGTATTTAAAAAAGTGATGGGAACTGCTAATATTTGGCCGACTATGAAAATTGCAGGAAGAAATATACAGTTCAGCCACAGCCGCTGATTTTTCTCGTAGTCGTAGAAGAAAAATGTGGCAATTGTTCTAGAAATTACGGTTTTGGTGTAGAAATATTCAAACATTCAAAAATCCAAAAACTTATCTTACCTTTCAACACCTACAATTGGAATACAAGCGATTGAGTTCCCGTAAAATTGGAAAATAAGGAAACTAGAAATAAGTAGAGCGAAATTAGAATCACCCACAAACAAAATTTTCAATTGTAATAAGAGTATATAAATTCTGGGTATCAATGAAAACATCAACCAAAAAATCACAAAATATAAAATAATTGAAACATTTTTGTGAAAAAGTGATAAACTCGATAAAAAATAAAAACAATGGGATAGAAAAAAAGTTACCGGAATTATAAAGATCAGATCAAGATAGTATATAACTTTTATCCAATAAGAATAGTCGGAATCCAATTCTTGAGAAAGTGCAGTTTTGAAAATAATCGACCTCCAGTTTGCAGAAACACAAGGAACTTCAGACCATAAAACATTCATTTTTCTGTGATTTTTTTTGGCTTTTTTTCAATCACAATTTAGATATTTTTGTTTTTCCTGGTTCTTCTAACATAATTCCATGTTTAGTCATTCATTTATAAAAAATTTCAGTGATCATTGTTCTCTTGTTTTCAATTTGGACAAATATAAAATGAAAAAAAAAACATTTATCGACACTCGCCAAATGATATCAGTCTAACCTACTTGAATCACTTTGAAAACTCGTTCTTCTTCCTGTCGAAATGATTTTGATATTTTCTGCGATATTGATTTTTGTGAAATTTTGCCATGCTGGAATTCCTGGAACTAGTGGAGATTTGAATGAACCTGTGATTCAGAAACAATTGATGGATGATGCCAAAGTATATTTGTATAAATATGGATATATCACTGGAATTAGCAAAACTTCAAATGGAAAAGAAAAAGAGCCAACTGATGCGCAAGTTCAAGATGCATTAAAGTTAGTGAAAATTGAGGATTTGAATGATGATTAATTTTTTAGACGTTTCCAATCAGCATTTTTGTATTATTCTTCTGGAAAGGTAGATGTTCCAACTCAAGCAAAAATGGATGAATGGAGATGTGCTTTAAGTGATATGGCAAATGGTCAACCTATTCCAGGTAACAATTTTGTTCAAAAAACATTTTTGTCAGAAAAAAATGATTTTTGAGAAAAGTGGTTTTTAATAATCTATAATTTTCTGATGATCCATGACCTTTTATGAATAAAAAAAACGATTTATGATTTCGTTTTTTTATTGGGTACATTTTTTGAAACAAAAATCAGTTTTTCGGGTTTCCTAATATTTCTGACAACAATCGAAAACTACTGTATTCTTGAACTTATTTCTATAAATAAGTTTGGATATCAAATTCCAACTAAAATTTCATCACCCTTTTCCAAACAACTCCATTTTTCAGCCATCAAACCAACAGAAATCCTCAAGAAAAAATTGCTTACCTGGAAACTCACCGAAGTCCCAACAAAATTGAAATCATCAACATCCACACTTAAAACTGTTATCCAACAAGCATTCAATAAATGGGGCGATTTAGCTAATCTCAAGTTCAAGGAAACTTCAGGAACTTCAGATATCACTGTTCTATTTTCACAAGCCCCAAAAACAAGTTTCAAGAGTAATTGTTTTTTTTTAGATAATCAACGATTGTTTTTTGTAAATTCAATATTGAAAATTCCAGTCGCCGCGGCAAGTTCAACCGATTCAAAAGGTAGTATTATATTTCTCGATGCTGATCAAGAATGGTCTTTAAATTCACAATCACCGGTAATTTTGGGTCATCGGGTTTGATAGTCCAATTTATATAATTTTCTCACTCGACCCTTCAAATTTCATCCTCAAAATATTTTGTTTCAGTACGATTTATCTCTTCATCACACAATTCTTCATGAAATTGGTCACATCCTCGGACTTTCTCATAATTTCTATCGTGGATCAATAATGCATCCAATCTTCAAACCAATCGTCATTTCATCTTCAACAATCGACGCGATTCCGATCGTTGATCGTCTTGCAATCCGAAAATTACTTGGTAAGTAAGTGGTTTGGCCTTCTATTTCTCCTTCTTGATGTTCATGACTCACTAATTTTTTCTGACCGGTGAATGACTAGATTTGCTCTGAAAATCTTCATTCTTTTTTTACCTAATCAATCATTTTTGTTGTTTCCGGCACAGGTGTCGTTTTGCTCTTTTTTCAAAAAATTCCATTTTTTTTCGTCAGTCAACTCATGTTCGTCTTGAAATTCCTTCTCTTATTTTCAATTATTAGTTTGCAAATAATTCTAGTTTTTACTTTTGAAACAGACAACAATACAATTGAAGAAGACGAATCAGGTTTGGTTTGCAATGTTGATTTTCGAGTTTTTCAGCAAAGTTTGCACATTCTTCTGGGGTTTGCTAATTGAAATATTTTGAAAAAGGTTACTTATTTCGAATATCTGTTTTTCAGGTTTTGGATCAGGAGAAGCTCCCCAACCAACTCTTGACACTTTCCAATCAAAATGCCCTAAATTGTTGGATTCAGTTTTTGCGAGTGAGTTGGATGTGGAAAACAATTATTGAAAATAACTCTGGGGATTTTGGGGACAATTAGTGCATCTTTAAATTCTTCGAAAACCCTTCTTTATTTTCTGATTATAAAATAAGCTCTAGGGCTTTCAAATAATTGTTTTTTGGAATCACATAGTTTTCATGAATAGAACTATGATTAGAAAAAACAACAGTTGAAAGATCTAGCTGTAGCCAAAATACTGTAGTTGGAAAAGTGGAGATTAGAAAAGTACAGTACTTGAAAATAAAAAAAAAGTTATTTAAAACGTGGTTTATGATCCCATAATTCTGACAAGTTCAGAGAAAAACGGAAATTAAAAAAAGTTCAGCCCTTTCTAGAAAAAAGGTAGTAAAGAGAAATGCCTAAACTTTGATCCAAACGACTGCAAAAGAATTATAATTTTTCCTAGTCTGCTATTTTTTCATGTACAGAATTTGTTTTTTGGTGAGACTTGAATTCTTTTCTCAATAAAAATAATTAGCGATGTGAATTGTCAAGGGTTCGAGAAAACAGTTTTTTGAAATTGCAGTATTTTTCTAGGCATTTTCTAGGGTAGAAATAAAATAAGATGATTAGAAAAGTGATGCTTTTTTGTGAATCACAGTATCCCAATAAGTTAAGTACCGAAATCTGAAAAAAGTACAATTTTCCAGTCAATGATCAAGAATGGTTCCTGTTCCGTGAAAACAAAGTCTATCGTCTCAATAATCGAAGATTTGCTGATGAAGGAAACCTGATCAGCTCGGTTTTCCCACGTGGACCACAGTTTGTGAATGCAACAGTCACTTCAGGAAATCTAATTTTGCTCTTTGTTGACCGAACAATTTATGGTTATGAATATGATGGTGTTCAATTCCAGTTAGTTTAAAAATTGGTTTTTCTACTTCTTTGAAAAAAAAATAATATTTCACTTTTCAGAGAAGCTCGAGGTTATCCAAAGGAATTACACGATCGAGTGCTCTTCTACCCACAAGGCGCGTTCCCAATGAATAATGGAAGTGTTGTTCTTCTCTCAGTCAGTTTCCACTCATAATCAGAAAAATCAGCGAAATCAATTCAAAATAATTTCAGGGAAATGTTTTTGCCACCTACAATGTTGCTCAAAATGCTCCATCTTTTTTGAATGATAAAAACCGTTATTTCCCTAACCTTCCTGAAGATTTCCGCGCAGGAATTGAGAAAACTCAAGAATTCACTGATGCATATTTTATGTTTGATGAGGCAACAGTCACTGATTATGATATGAATGCAAAACAGGTTTTGCAAATCACAAATATTCCGGGATTCTTAAAATGTTTATAGTTTTTAAATACAGAAAATGAAATATTTCAAACTCTATTTGATGATCTATTTGATGTTGTATCTTCTGATCCTACTTTGTTGAGATTCCTTGAGATTTTTGATAATCTTGAAGATTTCTTCTTTTGAACTTCTTCTGATACAGTATACACTTTCATGTCTCTTGGCTGTAAAAAAACAGATTACTCTAATCAGAATTATGTTTTCTGCAGGCCATTACCGTAGTCGTATTCTGCATATCTAATGATAAATTGCTATTGATTGAACTGCACTCGCTAATTGTATTCAATTCATTGTCTGCCGGAAACATTAATTCAACAGCAGCATTTTGAAATGTATAATTAGTTTCTCTTGAAGTTATACTTAATCGTTTCTCCATACTTCGAGATTTGTTTGAAACAGAAAATAAATTGAAATGTGTCACATTAATCCGACGATAAAACATGAAGAAAAATACAAGAAAAATGTTCAAAACTATTTGAGAAATATAAAATAGGAAATCGTATTGAAAAATGTAAAAATATGAACAACGCAAAATGTTATTACCAATAATTTTAATAATTATTGACACCAAAAGGAGAACTTTAAAATATCCAGTATAAAAATCAGATTTGAAAAGAGAAATCGTTTTCTCAACAAATAAATACATAGATATACCATGTTCTATCAAAGGAACTAAACAAAGAGAAGTTTTATCCCAATCACTTTGCATTGTGAAAAATATTCCAATAATTGCTGACATAATTGTTAAAGCCAACGAGATACCAAAAAATGCGGGATCCAATTTATAATCAGAGAAGAAAACTTGAATGTAAATAATATTTGTGAACATCAAATAAACACAATCAGCCATAATTCGACATTTGAAACTATCTCCATCACCTGGAAACTTGACGATTCCTTCGAAAATAAACCAATCAATCAGAATTTTCAGCGTGAAAAATGCGATTATTCTGGAGCATGATTTGTAAAATTTCCGGAAGAATATGATGAGAAAAGTTGATAGAATCCAACTGATAATTGCTAGAATCTCATACCAATATTCCATTTCTGAAAATTGTTCAGTTATAAATTGGAGACAACGAGATATATGTAATTAGATGAAAATAATGTGCTCGAACAAAAAACAAGAGAGGAAAAGAAGGAGAGACTGAAAATGGGCGGCTGAAAATCTTTCGTTTTTTTTTTGGGAAAACAGTTTGAACATTGATGTTTGAAGTTTCTGAAATGTTAATGAATGTTCATTAGGATTCAAAATCAGAACCATTCAAACAAATGTTAGCAGAAGCAGGAAGTTGTTAAACAATTATATGTATCTAGAAGAGTTGTCGGAAATATATCAATTTAGAACAAACAAATAGTAGAACCCTTGACGTCAGAGATTTGATTTGCTACGAAATTCCAAAAAAAAAACACTCAAATTCGAAAATCATAAAGTTCTGCGCCAAAATCTTCGCAGCCGAAATTCACTCGTTTTGACAACCTGGAAATTTGAAATCCTCGTGATTCTTAATTTCCGTGGCATTTTCTAAAACTCATATTTTTTGTTAGTTTTACGTCTAAATTTCAATTAATTTTCAAAATAATAAAACCAAAAAATAATTAGCATTTCTCTATAAAACCAACATTTTTTCTATGTAATTATTAGTCTCAAAAATGTTTTTTCCTCTCAAAAAACATAGAAGGAAAGGTTCACAAAATCAATCAGACTTGTTATTTGAAACAAAAAAACAACAAAGAAAATGAAGTTAACATAAAAAACTTCTGGCGCAAAGCAGGTGCTAATTTTTTATGCGTCATTGAATTGTTTTTAGCAAATATCACATATTCAATTGCATTTTTATTCAATACACTAAAAGAACTACTGTACCCGTAAAAAAATAAATAAAGTTATGTTGGTTATTTTTAAAGCTCTTTCTGTTTTGATCGAAGATGACGTTTCAGAATTCGTCGAGAATGTTGAAATTCCGGATTCCGACGAACATACGTTATCATCTGAAATTTAACAAAAAAGTTTGAAAAACTTCAGGTAAAATACCTCTTTGAGAATTCTAGTAAATTCCGGTATATCGAAATTGTAGTTGGCAAATTTTTTGTGTTTTTCTCCATTTCCAGGATGACGTCCTTCAGAATCTGCACTTATTAGATGGACCTAAAATGCAAAATTTTGAAACTAAAAAATTTCGTGGATAAGTGCTGAAAAACAAACTTTTTCCGGATTCCATGTGAAATACTTGACACCTTTGAGTCGCGCCAAATCTGAATAACATGCAACGTCATCACAATTGTACCTACAAAATTCCTTATTTTCTTTACAAAATATTAATTGATAGAAAACAAACAATTCGAAAACTGCAGCCCACGGTGGAAGAAAAAGCAAATGTGTTAAACCGGCGCCATGCATTCCGATGAAAATATCAGCTTTTGAGGTGGTATTCAACTGATTGATGAATGAAATTTTACTGGAAAAACACTTCTTTATTTAGATATTTCCGAAAATCTTTTTGAAATCTTACTGATTATAATCGACCACTTTGACACTGACATTTTTCAATTGTCCAGCTGCACGGAGTAGCTGCAAAATGTTTTTTCAAATTTTTTTTTTTTATTTCGAAAAAAATTAATGAAATAATTTTCCCATCCCATTTTCAAAAAAAAATCCCTTCTGTTTTTCCGTAGAGATCGATTGATTGATATATTACACATGTTGTGGATGAGAAGAAGCTCATTCAAAAAACATTTTGAATCATAATAAAAATAATGTCTGCTCCGGTGCCTTTTCGATTGGATCAAACCAAGGTTTGCTTATTTCTTATTTTTAATTTCAATTAATTCAATTCAAAAATTTTTTCAATAAAAAAATCTTCTTCTAAAATATTTGTAAAAAATCTAATAAATTTTTTATTAGACAGAGATATAAAATTTTTGGAACACATGAGATATTTTGAATTGAGCAACAGGTGACTTCTCATTTTTCAAATCGACATAAAAATCGATTTTTCTACGTTTTATACTTTTTTTTCAAATAGAATATGCCAAACTTTCCGCCACAAGTTTATTATCGGGATACTTATGGATTTGATGATCGGAAAAGTGAATCAGATAATGATAGTGTTACAACAAAATCAACAGGTTTGTTATTTTATTTTTTCAAATAAAAACTATTTTAAAAATTGAGTACAAAATTTCCAACCAAGATTCTAATTGTAAGGCTCTTCAAGCAAAAGACATTGGGATTCGCTTAAGAAAAATTCAAAAAGACCCCTTTGTAGATGTTCAGATGTGCTGGTTTGGATAGTGTTTCACAAAAATTCAGAAAAATATATTTAAAAAAAACTAAAATTTTAGCTAACTCTATTTTCAACAAACTTAATATGCTAGTGAAATATTGATTTAAAAAAGTTACTGATTTTTCTGATAATCTGGAAAACTTCCAACTTGAAACCCTCCAACATTTTATTTCCCATCCTACTCCAAAAATTTGTAGTGACAGTCAGAACAACCTACAATATCAATCCGAATGCAACAAGTAGCGGTGGAATTGCAATTAATCCAACTTATCAACATATTCATCGTAATATGGAAACAAGTAAAATGACAAATTTTTCAAATTCTTATCATGTTGAACAATTGGTGACTTCAAAAATTCTAACACCAAATCCAAGAACACTTTTGATTTGCACTTTGATAGCTTTTGCTAGTGCAGTGCAGTTGGTGAGTTGGAATTTTTTTGATTTTTAAAATCCGAAAAGGCAATTTCAGCTGATGTTCTCAATGATCGCAATGTTTTACGATGGTCCACTTCCTTGGACAGTCATCATTTCATTTTTATTAATTTTAAACACTTTGATAGTTCTGGTATTCACTAGATGTCGACCAACAAGAGCTTGGCTGGTGAGAAACATCATTTCGAAAAATAAAAACAAAAGAAAAGTTTCAGTTTGCCAGTCTGATAGCTGTTGCTTTTTCATTCATCGAATGTGCTGGTTTATTTTTCTGGACAGCTTTGCTAATTAGTGACGAGGAGAAAGTGAGTTTTGTTTTCGATTCAAAAAATTCAAATCTTCTTTTCAGTACCTCGAGAAAGTTGGTGCTAATGACAATCGGATAGTGACAAGCACTCGAATTGCTATGTATTCTTGTCAACTAATTTTTGCGCCAATACACAGTATGTTTCAAAATTATTTTTTTTGCTAAGCTCCAGTTTCAAAACCTTTCAAATTTTCAGTGATCGCCACCGGCCTCTTATTTTTCATCTTACGAAAACAAATCTCATCCACTGATCAGATCGTAAATGGATATTTTTTGAGTGAACCTCAATTGGGACATCAGAAAATCTTGGTTCCTATTGAACTTCGACAAATCCGTGATTTATCCGATGATGATGCTGATAATGCATCAGTTGGTGTACAAACCGGAGGTTCCAGACATAACTAACTTATTTCTTTGTTTTTATTTTCGCGTCTTTCTTGATTTTGGCTTCACTTATTTTTTAAATAAAATTTTTGAAAAACTAACCTCTCTGATATTTAAAATTCTTCTATAACTCGTTGATCTTGACAAAATAACAATTCTAACTTTTTCGAGCTCTGCTTGATGTTTTGGAATTAGAAGTCGATCCAAAATAAAATCCGAGAAATTCGAGAAAAGTTCAGATTTTGAACATTCGGGAACAATTGGTGAATTGTAGAATAAACCATCTCTTTGGCGAGCCAAAAGTGGGAGCATCACATTTTTGAAACATACTTTTTTCTGGTCTAAGGACTTGAGTTCAATAGGTGTGTTATTGCTGAATGCTTTCCAAGTTATGCCAAACATTTGATCCAAATATCCTTCGGGGTGCTGAAAAAAAATGTTTGATTATTTTTGGTTTGTTTGGAAAGCGATTTTTCAAAACCACCTACCGTATCCCACCAAATAACGTTACCATCTTGCGAAAAACTTTGATTTATGTGAAGCGACGCATAGAGATTAATGAAATCACAAAAATGATGATACATATTATTTGCTGCATCAAGTTTCATTAAAATTGTTGGCTTTTCAAAAATCACATCACAATTTTCCATTGCATTTTCCACGCTCACAAAATGTTTCAACTCATCAGACCTAAAAAAAAATTTTTTTTAGAAAAAAAACCTTGTTTATCAAACTCACCAGCTTGTCAAATATCCCGGATAATTCAAATTTCCATCCAATAAGTTTTTGTCAAAACTTTCATTACAAAATCCTCCAACATTTCCTGGGCCAATCACATCATCTCGATATCTTGCAGATTTTTGTGAGATTTTCAGGTTTGAAAAATCGAAAAATATATTTTTTCCGGTGCAAAAAGTGAGCTCATCTGAACATACGAGTTCAGAGTTTCCTTGGCAAATTTTATGAATTGGAAGTCGTGGGGCCAAATATCCAAAATCTGCCTGGTCATTGAATATTTCTCTACAAAAACCAACATTTTCAATTTATAAAATTTTAGGAAAAATAAGAACTAACCCAGATTCCAATGAACAACTATAATTCGTTCCAATAGAATTCACATTGAAAATAGGAAATAAGAGAAGTACGGCAAATATGCAGCACATTCTCGACAATAAATGGGCAACAACAAAAAAATTAGATAAAAGGAAAGTGAGAGAGTGCGTGAAATTGAGAGACGACATACTATGTAACTATGTGTGGTCAAGGTTCCTCTCACCATTTATGTGATTATTGTGTCACAAATTTTAGAATAAAATGATATTCTTGTGGAAACTGAACAAAATATATAGTAACAATAGTAACCATGATAAATCCGAGAGAAAACTACAGTAACCTATTTTCTAAAGATTCTGAAATTTTTTCTGAAATTCACAAATGAAAATACCCTGAATTCTTCATCTTCAATGTTTTGTTCAAAATCAAATTATGATCCAGTAGCAGTGACAAGTTCTGGTGCATGGTATGCCAATTCAGCCATACTTCCCTGAAAAATATACTTTATGAAATAATTCACCGTTTTTTTTTCAACTCACATTATAAACTTTTGCCACAACTCCACTTCTTCGTAATGCTGTATGAACAACAGATGCTTGAATTCCAGTGTTGCAGGAAACCACCAAAAGTTTGGATTTATCCAACTTCAAATTGTTAAAAAGTTGATCAACTTCGGCCTGAGATTTAAAACCAGCTGAGCTTATCAAATTACCCATTGGGAAGCTGATTGCGCCAGGAACATGAGATCCAGTAGCTTCTGGAACAAAAAATGTGTTGTTAATTTCTGTTAGTATTATTGTTTTTATATTTTCAAACTAACTTGTGCCTGGGAACATTTTTGATAGCGATTCTTCCCCGGTGAATTGTGCAGTTGTTCGAACATCCAAATAATTGATTGAGCTCAAATTATTGAATGGAATCTCTTCGAAATTGATCAGAATCGATTTATCGAATGGTTTCGCATCAAAATCTCCAAGTGAAAAAGTTTCCGGATCTGTGGATGTTTTTCCACCCGCTGATTTCCAAGCGTCAATTCCACCATCCAAAACACTCACATTTTCAAATCCATAAACCTATAAATGAATAATTTTTTGAATTTTCACGCTAAAATTTTTTATTGGACTTCCCTGTTTTTTTTTTCATTTTCAAATTTTCTTACCTTCAATGTCCAAAATGCTCTTGATGAATACATATTTCCAGCCGCTGGTCCACGACTATAAATCACAATTTGATCGCTGTTTTTCACTCCCAAAAGTCGAATATATTTTTGGAAGTTTTCTGGATCATACAAGTCAAATTTGATGTATTGAGAACCAAAGAATCCTTTATCAAATGTGAAAGTTGCAGAGCCCGGAATATGCTCAATCTGGAAAAATGATTTTGTTCAAAATTTCTAAATATAAGTATATCTAACCGGTGAATCGCTCGGCGAAAATTCCGAATCAATAAATTTCAATGTCGCAGCATTTGTCACCGCATATTGTGCAGTTATAATTGGAACTGTTGTTGAAGACACCATCGAGAATCGGAAAATTAGAAAAATCAATGAGAAAAAATGGCAAAGACTCATCAGCATTTTTCTTTATCAATAACGAAATTTGCATTATCATTTCGTCAGTTCAAGAAATTTTTATATTGAAAAAAATTCAAAGAAAAAATGGGTGTTCAAAAACTTAATAAGAATAAAATAAAAATAGAGAGAAAAAGGCAGAGAGAGTTAAACTGGTGAGAGAATCAGAAAACAAACAAAAACATGAACACAATAAATGGACAGAGAAAAGTAAGTATTTATGTAGTTTGATCTACGTTTTTTCCAAAATAACATTTTGAAACTCTTTTTTTTTTTGGGAAAACGGTGACAACCGCAAAGAAAATTTGTGTGAATAAAAAAATTATATTTTTAGGTAAAATTTAGGAATATAAATTCATAATAAAAAAGAAACGGTATGTTTCAGCTACAGTATCTCGATATATTTGAAATATATCATTAATACATAGAAATGTTAAAAATAATAGTTGATATTCCAGACAGCCATAATAATAATATGGGTTTTACAAGCATCTAATGAGACACTGTGAATTGAAAAATCTTCAATGACTAACATAAGTTTCTTCAGATTTTCCCCATCACAATTCAAACGACAAAAAATTATTGACACATTGTGTGTGGTCAAAATCCAAATTTTCCAAACCAGTTATCAACTTTCTTCATATATTTTTGAAAAAAATAAAACTGGATACCCCCGGTCTTCCTTCGGAAAATGTTTCTTGACCCACAAAAAATCGCACTCGAATCCTGTTTTTCCATCCATACATCGTTTTTTTTCTTTGATCAAATTTCCTTCTATGTTTTGTTGTTTTGTTGTTGTTATTATTATTTTGTTTCTTATTCTTAAAGTGATTATTATTTTCTTATTTTTCGTGACAGCAAAAATCGTAAAAGATTGAGAGACGCAGAGAGACTAATGTGTATAAAAATTTGTTATATTTTTACACAACAATATTCTTTTATTTTCGTTGTGTTTTTTTCCTAGGCTGGTCATTTTTTCAGATTATCTTTTATCATGGTGTTGAATAGATATGTGGTGATTTTCTTTGTGGTATTTCTGGGCTTTGCATTTTCAATGCCACCACCGCCAGATCATCCAATCGTAAGTTTATTGCCAGGGTGTTTTTAGAATGAAAATTTTCGAATTTTTGTTTTCAGAAAGACATTTGTGCTGCTTACAAACAAAAATGTGTGGTAAAATTGAACCGTGATGATTGTGATGAGCGAAATTTGGAATGTGAAAAATATGCAAAACAGGGTGTTCGAACCACATGGAACTTCTGTAAGCCTATCTTTCTCTCCTGAGTTTTAGATGAATCAACAAAATCTACAAAATATCCGATTCGGTATTTCGAATTTTCAGGCATGTTCTCAAACAATTACGACCTATCAATTTGCCGTGCTCGAAATGATATTGATTTTCAAATTATCAAAGATTGGATTTCAAAAGATCAATTCGAGTATATTCCCGAGTAAATTGATTGGAATTTTTTCCGAAATAAAATCGTTATAAACTTTATCTTTTTTTTTGTTTTCATCGAATTTCAGCCATTGAAAACAAAAACAGCTGTTCGAGTTTTTTCGTTGTTGTAATAGAGACATTTTTGTTGATTATACGAAGGAACACTGGTGATCGTATGATTGAAGTTTCGAAATCAGTGACGTTGCGAAAATTGGAAAATTGAATAAAGTATCACGTGTGAATAATTATGTTTCATTTTTGGAAAAAAGTTGAAATGAAAAAGTTTGGAGCCTCGATAATTCAATTTTTTCTTTTCATGCAAAACTTTTGACGTCACAGAAAATAATAATTGGATTATAAGCAATTCGAATTAGACGAATTTGTACGTTTCATGAAATGGTATATTTTGAAAAAAATCGAATAAGTTGAACCAATTAAAAAATTTCGAGAGCTTATCCATTTTTTTCGGATATGATTCAGAACAAAACATGAAACTCGAAAAGTTTTGAAAGTTCAGAGAAACACAAATCTATTCTCGGAATTCTCAAAAACGTCCATCATCCAAACTATTCAATTCATGTAAAAATCTTCTCATTTCTTGTTGAAAGTAATGCCAGCCCACAAGTATTTCAGTTTAGAGTGACAAGACTTAATCATCTACCAACAAATGTTTTTCTCACTCATGCTATCCAAAAAATCAAAAATCTCAAAACCAATTGACCTCTTTCCAAAAAAATTTTTGAAACAATTTACTCATCGATCATTTGCTACTTGAATCCTCCCTGTTGTGATCGGTCTCCACTCCCAAACCATCTGCAAAACCAAAACCAAAACTCCTTGTCACCTTGAAAAAAACTTTTCTACAAAAAGTATAAGGTTTTTCGTGTTGTTATCTTCTTCTTTTCGTTTTTTTGTGTTGTTATATCGCATGTGCTGCCGTTTTTTGATTAATGAGCTCGGAAAGAGTATAAAGCGACTTCAAAAACATCAGTCGCTGTTTTTTGTTGCTCTTCTTTTTTATTTAACCATAGTGAAAAATTCAAGCCAAAACAAACATTTCAGAACAAAAATGAAAGTAATTTTGGCATTCCTTTTGATTGGTTTTGCTCTTGCTAATGATACCAAATGTACCTACGATGGAAAAGAATTGAGTAATGATGAAGTTATCGTAAGTTTTATAAACAAATTTGTAATCATAAGAAAAGTTTTAGACCGTTCAAAATGCTTTCCAAATCAAATGTCTTACTGAAGATAACGGATCATGGAAGACAGAAATTGTTGGTTGCGTAACTCCAGGTGGTGAAAAAGTCAATGTTGGCGAAAAAAGTGATGATGGTCAAAAAGTTCACGAATGTATCAAAAACGAAAATGGACAAGTTGTTCTCAAAGAATCGCGCGGAACCAAAGCCGATTGTCAAGGAGGACACAAATCCGGAGAAACTTGGACCGAAAAATCATTCAAATTCACATGTGCTGAAGGAGGTGTCACTAAATTCACCCATTGTGTTACAGCTGATGGTGTTGAGATTGAGAGTGGAAAAACTGGAAAGGTTGGAGCTATTGAGATGAAATGTGAACAACATGCTAATGGAACTGTTTCGATGAGCGCTGCTAATGAACCAAGTTCTTATGAATGTGAAGCTAAAGATGGAACCAAGAAAAAGAATGGTGAGTTGGAAAACTAGTTAGGTTTGAAAATTAAAATGACCTTCTGAATTTTTCGCTTCAAATTTTAACAATTTATAAATTTCCCGGTTGATTTTTGGAACTTACAAGTCTCAAAGGAACCCTAGAAATAACCTCGACAGAATTCAATAAAATCTTTCCCAAAAAATCCAAAAAAGAAACTCACTTCCTCACTAAACCTCCAAATAGAAACATCAAAATGAAATGCATTTTTACTCGAAAAAATGGGAGGATTTTTATACAGTCATCATTTTTGTTTGCCCGCATTTTTCTTTCGCAAAAGTCACGTTGTTTGAGAACAACTTTATTGCCAACAATTTGTTTTTGCAGGAGAAGAATACAAAGAGGGTAACTTTGTTCGTAAATGTGGAGATTATGGAATTGCCAAGATTGTGGGTTGCTCTGTATGTTACCCTAACTCCCTCTCTTTTTTTCGAACAATCAGATTATTTAGGCCGAAGGTGTTACTGAAACAATCCCAATCAATCAAAATGTGACTGTTGGTGATTTTGTTCACAGTTGTGTCAAGGATGGCGATAAATACAGTTTCAAGACATTCGGAAAACAAAAGGCAGCCTAAGAATTCTCCCCGTGTTTATTTTTATCTCAAACAACTAATTCTGCTTTAATTACTTACTGTACGCTGTGCGAATAAAGCTTTTCTCAGAATTTGTTACTCAACAAAAATTGCATGTTTGAAGTGTTCTGTTTTTTTTATTGATCCTTAATTATTATTTTCAGAAATCTAACGTAGTTCCACTTTGCGGACACGAAGGAAAAACTTATAAACATGGAGAAACTTTTGTTAGTTAATAATTTTGAGTGTCATTCAGTAGAAAGTAGATTTTAGATCAAGCAAGATGCATTCCGCGTAAAATGTGTCACATATCCAAATCTCACAACAGAACATCAAGTTTTATCCTGTATAACTCCTGCTGGAATTGAAATCCCAATTGGAAGAAGTGTTGAGGAAGGCGAACTCATTTATGAATGCACAAATGGAGATGTCTCATTGAAAACAACCCCAGGCAAAACTGCAAAATGTAGAAAAATTTATAATGTCGGAGAAATTTGGATTGAGGGTCTTTTCAAAGTTCGTTGCGAACCGTATGGCAAATCTTCTCTTGTCAGCTGTCTCTCAAAAGACGGTGTTGAGATTCCATTGGGACAACAAAGACGAATCGCAGCTGGTTATGTTATGGAATGTGTGATTGTTGGGGACAATGTTATTATGAGACCAGCGAAAGAAGCAAAATGTCAAACATCTTCGGGAGAAACGAAAAACATCAGTGGGTTGTTGTTCTTGTTCCAGTGAACAAATGTTTTTTTTTTCAAATACTTGAAAAGTAATGTCATTCTTCTATGGAGCATGTTTGCTGTCATAATTTTTTTTTCGAAAATAATTTCAGATGACACTTGGAATGAAGGAAACTTTGTTCGACGCTGCGAATCTTATGGAATCGGAAACATAATCGGATGCCATATTGAAAATGTTGGACCAATTGGTATAAATACAAATTATACGCGAGGGGATTATGTTCATATGTGCTTGAAACAAGGTGATCAATTCTATTTCAAAACTGTTCCAAAATAATAAAAAATAAATATATTGACTTTTGAAAAATGTTTTTATTTTCATTTTCAAATTTGATTTGTTCAAAGATGTCCACAATTATGAAGTATCAGATTTTTCGTGGGTTTTCCATGATTTGTTCCATATTGATCTACAATTTCATCCAGAATATCAATTCCTTGAATAACTTCACCAACTACACAACCATCAACACTACTTTCGCCTCCAGATTTTTCGAGCAAAATGTAGAATATTGATGTGAAGATATTTGGATCATAATCAGCAGATAGGAAAACTACTTTTCCTCGCCTAAAAAACAATTTACCATAAATATATCAAATATTCTACTCACGTTTCATCAACATTTGATGTGATCTCTGATTCTTGCCAAATTCCACTTTTAACTGGGGCTGATCCCAAACTTCCATTTTCATACAAACAATCACCGCCCATCACTAAATTTTTCGATTTTGAAACACAATGCAATGAAGTTTTCTCATATTTCAATAGTTTTCCATATCCCGGATGATAGAAATCACCTCTTGCTAACCGAATAAAAACCTCTGTTACTGATTTGCTATATTTCTCATTGACTTTTATAACAATACGACCAATTGGAACACCAGTTTCATAGCCAATATCAAAGTAGACATATTGATTCATATTACAATAGTTAATCCATGAATGTTTCTCTTTATTATAATGGGAACGCGCTTCGGCAATAATTCCTAGTAACAAACCCATCGTGATCAAAAATTAAAATGGAGGAATTTTCAGAAAAGAGGGACGATGATTTGGAAATTGAATTTGGGTCACGTTAGAAAATTATTTTTATTCAGATAATTAATTTCAAAAAAAAATATTTTGTATTCATTTATTTGAGTTACAATAACTCTAAATTATGATCTACAACATTTTTGGAACATTTATAGCTTCGATTAATTTCCGGTTTACGGCGTATAGATTTTATGAGTACATGAACTCGAAAAATTGTTGATCTACAAAATGTTTTACTCAAACTCACGGAATATTTGGAAAATAATATGACATTTTCCGGAAATAAAAATTTTGATTACTGTAGATTTTCATCGTGTTTGCAACATTTTTTTGATTTTTTTTAATTTTGAAAGAAAGAAATTTCTGTGACCACATTTTACAGCTTTAACTCGAAAAACTTTTGATTTACAAAATTTTGAAATAAATGCGCCTAATATTTCATGTTAGTCTAATTATTTTCAGAAAAATCTAAAACTTTATTCATTACTTTTCTTTTTCTTATTTTTCTTTCCCTTCTTTTTCTTCTTTTTATCTTCTTCCTTACTATCTTTCACATCAGGCTTTCCTTCTTTTATATGTCCTTCTCCTTGTGTAAACTCTTGTTCTTTCATACCAACTTCTGGTGCTTGAATCACTGAAAAAAAACTTTACACTGAATCAAAAAAATTCAGAAACTTACTTGGAAGAGGTTGATATGCTGGTCCTTTATAATCCGACATACAATCCCAATCTGGTGGTTCGGCTTGATTTGTTTTAGTGATCTCAAAAATGGCTCGCAAACCTTCAGCGATTTTATCATATTCAACAAAATCTGCGATATCCGGAGTTGCTCGAATCATTCGCAAAAATTCGAAAAATATTGAGATTGCTTGTGGCGCAATTTTCCAGATTGGTTTGACAGCGGCTTCAGACATGCTGTTCTTCAAATTAACCACATCTTTTTCTGATTGTTTTGATAACATTCCCCATGGAAGATTACCAAGGAAGAATTCAAGTACCATATACCACCAAGATTCCATATCATCACGATATCCGAGTTCTTTATTTGTATGTGCATTTAGACTTGCATATCGTACAACTCCACGATAAAGAATCGCATTTTTACGGATTTGTTCTTCAGCTTCAGCTTCACCTTTTTTATACCTTGGACGTTTACACAATCCAAAATCAATCAAATATAAGTGATGAAGAGTATCATTGTCTTCTAATCCAATGCAAAAATGAGTTGGTTTAATATCTCGATGAATAAAACCATTCTGAAAATATTGGTCATCAAATACATTTTCTTTATATTTTTTCTACTTACTCTGTGTAAATCTCTGATCGCTGAAAGTGCTTGTTCTGCCAAATGCAATCCAGAAGAAATACTAAATTTTTTAGTTGCACAACTAGTTAACATAAGTTCGCTTAGATTATCACCATATAAAGGCATAACAACGAATAAGAATCGCATTGGTACAGTACCCCTCTCTTCCATTGTCACAAAATGTGGTGAAGGATAATGAAGTGATGCTAATACCATTGATGCTTGTCGTAATAACGAGTTTTTCATTTTCAATGATTCACATTTTATAACAAAATATTTTCCATCAGATTCTCTCCTGGCTTTATAAATTGAGCCGAATGTTCCAGTTGCAATCGCTTTTGTAACCTCATAGGTACCATTTTGAGCTTTGATAAGTTCTTTCTGGTTATTAGCCATTTCTATTCAAAAAATAATGGCGTTTTCATTTTTTCAAGCATTTTAAATCGATCAGAGAGTTCACGTAAATATTATAGATACGCACATTTTCAAATTTCCTCATTTTTTGGGGACGTGGCCTAGAAAACGGTGGAAAACTAGTCCGCGTTTATTTTTCTTTTCTTTTTTTTTTGTTTGGTTTTTTGCAAGTTCCCCCAAAATTTACATATTTTCGTAGAATGGACGAGTCTGAGAAAAATCTAGTTATTTGTGAGAATGACACTGAAGATGGTGAGATAACAGATGATGAAGATGAAGCGCCAGAAGAGATGACAGCACATCCAGATCCTAATACATGTAAGTTTATTTTTGACTAAAATATACAATTTTACACATACGATTTTAGTAACTATTGATTATCCATCATCCGATGACGAACCCACTGAAGAACTTATCAATAATTATGTGAAAAAAGTGGAGGAAGATCGAAAAAACGAGCCAGAAATTGATCCAAAGTTGTGTAAAGTTTGTAAAAAGGTTGAGCACAAATATAGATGCCCAAGATGCGATATAAGAACTTGCTCATTGGATTGTTCGAAAAAGCATAAACTTGAACTTGATGTGAGTATTTCTTCTTTCTAGATGCAGTAAAAATTATTGTTTTAGTGTGATGGCGTTCGGCAAGCATTCACTAAAGTTGAAAAATTATCGCAATATGATGATAACAAATCTATCGATGATCAAAAGTTCATGCATAATTTGAAAGAAAAAATTGGACTTGGTGCTGAAACCGCTACAACAACTGCAAATGAAGTTGTGCCTGAAGCAGAGAGCGATTTGAGATATAACACAAATTCTGGAACAGAGCGTTATCTTTTGAATGCTGCTCGATTCCGCCATGTCTGGTTAGGCTTTTCACATGAAACTCCTGAAACTTCAAATGAAAGTAGACATGAACAATTCTCTGACACTATTTTCTGGACATTAAAATTGGTTTTCAAGCGACAATTAGAAGATGGATCAACTGATGAATTTGTCAAAGTTATCAATAATATTCCAGAAACTATTAGGATATCTACTGTAAGTTTTGATTTATTTTACAGTTTTTTTTTTCAATTAATGCCTTGGGATGGAGTGTTTCTCGGTCATCACGTTTTCGTGAATTTTTCCAGGAAAAAAAAGCCATTTCCTTTTATTTTTAGGAATGATCATAGCCCAAAAGACATGCCATAACTTTCAGATTCTCAAGCAATTCTTCAAACCTCGTAAATTCGGTTGCATCGTTTCGGAGACCGATTTGGATTTAGAAAAACTTTCTAAATTCATCGAGCGAGGTCAAGATGATGTCAACGTATTTATGGAAGTTCATGGAAATCCAGAAAAATACTATGGATGTTTGGCAGATAGCACAATCTTGGAGAATACCAGAAATCGAGTTATCGCAGATCATCCAAAATTTATTATTACTTTGAATGATGAGTTTAAGGATATGGATTTGTTGACGAATGAAGAAATGGAACAAATTTCGTCGAAATATGGAGGATTGGCAAAAAATGATAGATATTCGAATAGAGCTGGAGGAAATGGAGGAAATGGAAGAGGAGGAATGAATAGTGGAAGAGTATTTGGAAGGGGTTCTGGAAGAGGAATGAATCGAGGAGTAAGTTGAAATTAAAAGTCTAGATATTTGGGATCTCGTTGGGTTCGATAAAGAGTGACAGATTTTTAGAAAAGTTTCGAAAAAAAAAAATAAAAATTGTAAGATGCTTCTACCGATTCAAATTTTGCCTACTGAGAATTCGTATTCAAAATTTTTTTTTTCAAATCGTCACATCTAAAATTAATTTTTCAGAAACGCCCACACCATGGCGGCGGCAGCGGCGGTGGCAGTTATGACAATTCCAACAACTGGAAACGTGGAAGAGGGGGTGGTGGCAGCGGAGGACCTCGACGTGGGGGATATCATAATCGTGGACCACAAATTGATACATTTGATCCATTTGAGCCATTTGCCGGACCAACTCGTTTACCAATCGAATATGGCCAGAAATAGAAGTGCCACTCCATTTTTATCGTTTTAAGAGCTTTTTTATTTGTTAATTTGATTTGTTGTTATTTTGTACACCTTGTTTTTTCTTCATTTGTTACTCATTATCTCATCAAAAATTGTTTTTTTTGTTTCGATTTTCCCTGATATTTCTGCAAAGAAAAGCGTTTTGAATTAATTCGAATCGCTGAAATATTTTCATTGAGTTTACTGGATTTTTCGTTCCAAAACAATTTTTCAGATGGATCTACCGTCAACTTCTGCAGATTATATTGATGAAGATGAAGATCAGGATGATATGAATGGAATTATTGAAGGTGTTGATGCGAATCGACATCTTCAAGAATTGAAATCAGTGAAACCCGATCAAGAAGATGATGAAATATTGAAAGCGATGAATAAATTTATGAGAAATGAGATGGGTTATGATGAATTTATGAGATTGACAGGAGGAAAAACTCTGGAAGAAGAACTACATGAGAAAAATAGCAGTAAGTTTTACTCATTTATTTTTTTACTTGGCTTATTTTTTGAAATAATCATTGATTGCAGGGAAACATGCTGAAGAAGATGATGAGGAAGAAGTGGAAGAGATTGACATACAAGAAGAATCCGCTGACGAATCGCCTGCCTTGGATGTTCCCGAACGTTCAACTGTTGAGAATAATATAAGAGTGACTGAAAGAATGCAAGCATTACCACCGGAAGCTCGTGTTATTATGGATCAAATTATGACTGGTATTGATTTTTCCAACATCTCCTGATGATGGACAACTTGGAAATGGAATGATGATGAGTTTGTCAGAAGCATTGCAACAACAATTCATGAATTCACAACAAAATTCACCGGAAGAACCTGCTCAAAAACGGTCTTGTTATGATGGAGAAGATAATGGAGATGGACAAAATGAAGCATCAGCAAGGTTAGTCTAATTGGGAGTTTTCTGAATTGCATCATATTTTTATGAGAAACAATTGAATATGTCATCTTGAAATCTCCAAAAAACCAGTTGAAAACCTAAATATAAAAAATTTCTCGAGATTTTTAAAATTGCTAATTTTATAGCAACAAACCAATCTACGATCGTGGAAAAACGAAACGTATGGATGGATTATTGGGTCAGGCAAATGTTCTATTTGCTCGCGGAAAAATCGATGATGCACTTGTTGTACTTATGGAAGTTATCAAATTGGATCCAAAAAATGCGATGGCATATCAACAAGTTTCGCTTATTTATGAACAAAAAGGAGATCAAGCTAAAGCACTACAGTAAGTGATCATTTTTCAATGTGTATTTATTGAAAACTTTTTGATTTTCAGATTTGGTCTGTTATCATCTTATCTTGACCCAAGAACTCCAATTTCTGATTGGGTACATTGGGGAGAAGAATCAAAAAGGCTTTTGATGTATGAAGAAGCGGCGATGTGTTTTGATAGAGCTATTCGATTAGAACCATCAAATTGGCATCATTATGAGCAAAGAGTTGAAATGTTAGATTATCTTGGATTGAGACCATTAGCAATGCGAACTCGTCTTGCTGCAGCGCAAAGTGTTGATTTTCAATGCGCTGGTTTGGATTTTGTGTGGTTTCAGGATTTGATAAAAACTGTTGCGCAATATTTTATCACTATTAATGATGAAGAAAAAGCAATTTCTGCACTCGAAGCTTTTGTTTTGCGAAGTCGTCAATTTGGACAGGATTCAATGGCTCAACATGAAACATTGGTTGCAATGTGGATGGCAAAAGGAAAATATATACCAGCTGGACAATCGATTCTTGCTCTTTGCTCTGGAATTTTATTGAAAAATCGGACAACTGGAGCTCCAGCTTGCAAAGTGACCTATAGACATGGAACTTATTCGGTTTACCCGTTTCCTCCAGAATGTGATATTGATTTTGAAATTGATCAAGATGAATTTCCACTTGCTATGCATTGTCATTTAATTATCTGCCTTTTTATGTTGGATCGAATAAATGCGGCACTTGATTTAGAAGAACAATTGCATAAAAGACCACTTTATAATGGAATTGATGAACCATTTATGCTTGATATTGCGAGAACTTTTAAAGAGAAAGGAAAAATCAAATTGGCAATGAAGTTTTTGGATGATCTTGCTATGAATCAAGCATATAATACTGATGAATCAGCTGAATATTATTTTTTGAAAGGAACAATTGAGTCACTTCTAAAACAAGAAAGCGAAGCAATGTCATCATTTGAAAAAGTATTACTGATAAAACCAGATCATGTTGATAGTCGAATACATTTATCAAGTCTACAACAAAAATATGGAATGTTTGATAAAGCATTGGAAACTCTTCAAGATTATGATTTCGAAATGTGCACACAACTTCCGGATGAACGATTGCTTGCGCGACAATCTGATATTTTGTTTGAGGCGAGAAAGTTTGAGCAATTCATCAGAGTGACAAGAATGTTGTTAGCTCCACATTTTTTTATTGTTCATGAGGATGAAAATGTGCCAAAGAAGAAGAGAGCTATAGGAAGTGAGTTCGATTTTTTTTAAACTCATTTCAAACAGTTAATCTAAATTATTTATTTTCTTGATCAGTTTGAAATATTAAAAAACAACTTAAAACAAAGCAAAGTTATTTGAATTCGTGAAAAAAAAACAAAAATCAGATTAAAAATTTCTTCGAAAAAAAATTCGTACGTGTTACGTGAACTTTTTTCATTTCAAAATTCATTATTTTAAGTAATTTTGATATTTTTCAGCTGTTGCTTCAAGTAATACACTCCGATCTTGCGCGATGAATGTTATCAAACACTCGGCTTGGGAAAGACTTGTCAAAAGATTAGGAAATACTGCAGAAGTTCAGAGGAGAAATATGGACATGCTTTCTGCAGATGCTGTTAGTTTCCTTTTATTTTTCCCAAATCAATATTCTGTAATTTTCAGATGCATGATTATTGCTTGAAACTTATCGAATCTCTCCATAATCTTGGAAAACATTCGGACTCTTTATATGTTTGTTGTTATGCGTTTCTTCACCCAAAACTCTACAAAACTGAAAAGTTAGTTATTTAAAACAAAATTCTCCTGATAGTACAATCAAAAAAATTTACAGGGTTGTCACATTTCAAAATTTGATGTATTTTTGTGCAATCAATGCTCATAGTTTTACACTGGCATTTGAATATATTCGATTTTATTATACACATGTTTGTGTAAGTTACTACACTACCTAACGATATCATTTTTTAAACCTAAAAATTTTTGCAGACATCAAAAGATTTCATCGACATCGATAATGTTTATCGAGATCAATTACATAAACGAATTTTCAACGCAATGAATTTTGTATTCGTAAATTCACAAAATGTCTCTTATCATCGATTTATTATGCGAGCATTGGCTAAACAAAAAGACAATCATGCACTTCAAACAATTTCGGGAAATAATTCATTGATCACTGGAACTTATCGACACGCTTTGGGAGAATATTTGAGAGTTTGGGTTAGAAATCAGAAAAATCCACTGATTTGTTTGTTATTGGCATTGACTTTTACACATATGTCGTGTAAAAAGGATTTATCGAGTAGACATTTGATTAGCATAAGGGTGAGTTATTTCCTCGTGGCATTTCACGCAAAACCTTTTATTTATACATTTTAGGGTCTGTCATTTATGAAAAAATATTCACGAGTTCGAACTTGTTCTCAAGAAGTCAATTATAATATTGGACGAATGTTTCATCAATTGGGAATTTTACCACTTGCTAAAACATTTTATGAAAAAGTTTTGCACGAAGATCCACCAAATATTTATACTCATGACGACGAGGGAAATGAGATCACAATACCAGCAATGAAATATGATTTGAGAAGAATGGCTGCACACAATTTGGCATTGATTTATCGAGCATCCGGAAATATTTATGCGGCCAGAGAAATTTATGAAAATTATCTTGTTGTTTGATTTTTTAAGTTTCATTTGAAGATCTCCATTTTTTCATTTTTATCTGTTAAATTTTGTTTATTTTTTTATTTTTTGAAATCTGTTAGATATGAATTTTTATTTTTTCCTTATTTCGAAAAAAATATTTTTTAAAAAGGTTGATTTACCTTGACTTATTTTAAATTATTTAAAAATCTCGATAATTTTTGAAATATATTTTTTTTTTGAAGAAAATGTACGTGATTTCGCTACTACGCGATACGGTAGCAATAAAGCCACACGAGCTTGGAAAAGATCAGTTAGCTGTTGTCAGAAGGAGGTTGAATCAGAGATTGGCTAATAAGGTAAGGGTTACTGTAGTAGCTAGAGATTAGTTAGAGGATTTTTTCCGGAAAACGAGACAAATGCCGCGTCGTTTTTTGGGATTGGGCGCAGTATAAAATAACTGAAATTGGAAAATTTTTATCTCGAAGATGTAAAATTAATTTCTGGATTTGTAGCCATACACCCAATGTTTTTCAGGTAGTCCCAGATCTTGGTTTATGTATTTGTGTATATGATATAACAGAAATTGGAGATTCATATATTTTACCAGGAGAAGGAGATTGTCGAGCAAGTGTATCTGTAAGTTATTTCCTCTTATTCAATAATATCTCCGCCTCATATTTTTCTCCAGTTTCGTATGATAGTTTTCCGTCCATTCACCGAAGAAGTCATCGAAGCCAAAGTTATCGCATCTTCACGTCAAGGCCTCACACTTTCTCTCGAATTTTTTGAAGATATTTTTGTGCCAGCTCAAAAATTACCCGAACCCCATGTTTTTGAGGATGATGGACAAGTTTGGTATTGGGAATATGAACAGGAAGATGGAGAACCGCCAGCGAAATTGTATATGGATCCAGGAAAGATTGTTAGGTTCAAAGTTATTGATGTGGTTTTCAAGTGAGTTATTTTTGAGCTCAGTGCTTTGAAATTTAATAGATTCTTTTTTTTTTTCAAAATATCTCGACTATCCCATAAATTTTAAATCGAATCCTGTTTTTTTACAGAGATCTGAAACCCGACTTAACTCTTGAAGAAATGAAAAACGAAAAATCAATGGAAATAACTGGTACAATGGCTGGAACTGGATTGGGATGTGTTGGTTGGTGGACAACTGAAGATGATGAAGAAGAGGAAGAAGAAGTTGAAGAACAACATCATGTACAAGTCAAAGAAGAACTTATTGATATGGGAGAAGAATGAATTGATCTCAATTTTTTGTTGTTGTTACTTTCTTCGATTGTTGTTTTTTGTTATTGTCATGAATTTTCATCTCTCAAGATTATTTAATTATTCTCCTATATTCGGAATTTGTGAAACATTAATCAAGATTTGTACCTTTTTTTTTAAATTCAAATATTCCAAACTAACATGTTTCCAGATGAGCAGCAGCGAAAAAACGCGAAATTTGATGCTGAAAAATGCGTCATCTTCATCGTCATCATTTTCATCGCAAGCGCCATCGAATCTTGTAAATATTAATGTATTTAAGGGAACTAGTATGAGAACAGCTCTCGAATCGCAAAATCATCCTACTAATTTTGTAGCTACGAGTTCGGATTTTGATAATTCGATTATTGTGACGTGTCCCGGAGTTCCGGAAGATAGACATGAGGTATTTGACATCAAACATATTGATTTAGCCCAACTCTCCATTTTTCTTTTCTAGAAATCCCAATCTTCTATAAAACCGCCGGAAAATATCAGATCTCGAAAAGTCACGCCGTCAAACATCGCTGGAAATAACACAACTGTATTTATACCTAATGTAGATAATATTGCAAATAACCCTTTTATTGTGACTTGTCCTTCTATTTATTGATTTATTTATGCTTTTTAAAGGGTTGGTGTTTTCCTGGTGAAAAAATCGTTTGCAAAAAGGCGTCACCGTGTTATTTTCAAAGTTGTGTGCAAACACACGCACGAAAATTCAAAAACGAGTTGTGCGCTAGAGCGCATTTACTTGTTTTATTTCGTAGGTTTTAACTTGTTTGTGTTTTTGAGGAAAAATATGGGCTGAATTGATGCTAGAATTTTTTCTAAAACTGGAACCTTCCAGGAGCACCTTATTCCTATCTAAACCAAGCAAGATTCCCTGGCGGAGCACCAACCCTTTAAGACTAATAAAGCTTACTGCTTCGAATTCATTTCGTTTTATTTCTTCCCTTCCTCACAAAAAAAATGTTGAACAAATAAAATATTTTCGCATTAGAGCAACTTTGCAACACGCGTCAATGTCACCCAACACTGACGCAATCGCGGATATTTTTTTTACTTTTATTTTTTTTTGTTTCTCGCATTCTCCCAAAAAATCACGCGCTTGTTTGTTTCTAGAAATTTCTCGTAATACTATTTCAAAACATTTGTCAAATTTCAGGTCACTCCTTTTATGCGTATAAGGCTTACAAGACATACAGAAATAGTATACTTGCCGACTTAAAACAAAAAGAAAACCGTTGATTTATCGAACATGTCTGTTGCCAGCAAACGCCGTTTCATCACCAATAAGGTACTTTTTTTCACTGACGAAAATCAAAATTAAAGTTCTGATTTAGGTTGAATCCGAGATGTATGTTCCTGTCGAAGGAGATATCATTGCACAGGTTAAAGGATCGCGAGGAAATAATTTACACGAAGTTCTCGATCAGAATAATGATAGTTATGTTGTTTCGATGCCTTCAAAGTTCAGAAAAGCGGTCTGGATTCGTAGAGGCCAATTCGTTGTTGTTAGAGCAATTGATGAAGGAGACAAAGTGAAAGGAGAAATCGAGCATGTTTTAGACGAGGAGAATATTCTATACATTCGCGAGTGTGAAAAATGGCCAAAACTGTTTGAAGCAGAAGCTGAACAAATGACAAGAGAAGCGAAAAGAGGAGGAAAAGCGAATGATCAAATGATCGATGATGATATGCTTCCACCAAGGTAAGCAGTTATTATTTTAGAAACATGGAAAATGTTTTGTTCTATTGAGGTTGGGTTGTAGAACGTGTTATTATTGAATTAAAAATACGTGAGAAATAAAAAACTAGGTCAAGTGACGTGGATTTAAAAACAGTATAGGTAGCCATGTCGTCAGTTGCGATGCGTGTGAGCGACACGTTTTTAGAAATGAAAATTTGGCAAATTCAATGGAAAATATCGAGGTCAACACGCAACGCAGAACCGCATCGCGACTGACGACATGGCTACCTATACTGTTTTTAAATCCACATCACTTGACCTAGTTTTTTATTTCTCACGTGTTTTTAATTCAATAATATGTTTATAATTCACGTATTCAACAGTTTAACATTTTAAAGAATTTAAATTTATGTGTGACTGACCGAAATTGATGTTTGATTTGAAAAAAATCATAACGCTATGAATTATTCATGCAAAATGAATATCAAAAATGGCCGATTATTGTTTGAGAGTTCTTTATCAATTGTTGTTTTCTCTTCTCTGAAAATTGTACATATTGACCTTTTTTGCAAAATCTATGATTCCTAAACCTCATAAGATCAGAAATCAAATCATTTCAAAAACCGGTTTCCTCTATTGTTAATTTACAAAAATGACGAATTTTCCAGTGATAGCGAAGAAGACGAAGAGGAATATGAAGATGAAGAAGAAGAAGCAGAAGAAAATAGTGATGAAGAGGAGGACGAATTCGATACATATAACCCAAATCGAATGCAAGCACCACCCAAAATAATTTTTGTTTTTTAGTCTATTAAATGTTTCCCGTTCGTTGTTTTTTAATTTGTTTTTGTTATCAATTATCAAAAAAAAAATCATGAGTGTTTCATTTTTCTTTTCTTTCATTTAGATATTATCGTTTTATCGATTTTTTGATACCGTTCAACCTTTCATTTTCTTGTAAGGTCAAAATATTCCTTCTGATTTTAGAGAAAATGGGGAACAGCAGCACTTTGATGTTGAGAGATGAAGAAATTGAGGAAATTATGAGTGAAACAGAATGTGAGTTTGAATATTTTTATCTTTTCAAAACAAAAAATTGAATGAATATTATTTTTCAGTCAACAGGAACCAAATTGTCCGGCTTTACAGCAGATTTTTATCACTGGATAAGAAAGGTAAGAATTTTTATATTCCACCGTTCAGAAATATTAAGAAAATCAAGAGTTTCTGGAATGTGAAAAATTTTGATTTAAAACATGCCTAACCAAAACATATTTTTCCACGTGAACTTTTTAAATTAAATTTTTGACGGAAAAATTTGTCATTTCAAAACTTCATTCTCAAAACCATCTCCTTCCAAAATGCTCTAATTTTTGTGAGTCGAAAAAAGCAGGGAAAATTGTGAATTCATTCAAATTTGCATCTATGTGTACTCACTTGTTCCAAATGAATAAGTGTAGAAGGGAAATGATGCGAAATAAAATGGATCTCGAAGCATTTTAATGCAAAACACTGTGTTTTTTCCTAATAGAAAAATGCAATCTCGAGGAGACGCAGACACTCGCTGGTCTCGACACGCACTGTGTCTGCCACACACTATTTCTCCCCCTTTTTCGGCGAGAGATTTGTCTGCACACGTTAAAGTCTGCGTCTCCCTCGAATTGCAAAAAAATATACAGTGAAAATCATAATTTGTTTTGCTAGCCAAAAGATTCAACACAAAATAGGTATCTTGTTAATATTTTTTTTCAGGCCAAGGATATTTGGCTCGTGATGATTTTCTGAATGTTCCGGAATTGGCTGTAAATCCATTGGGAGATCGAATTGTTGATGCGTTTTTCACATTGGCCAATGATAATGAAGAACAACAATTGAATTTCCGACAATTTGTCAAGATTTTGGCTCATTTTCAACCGATTTCGAGATCCAAGCGAAATGTATTGAATTCGAGAAAAGACAAATTGTTGTGTAAGTGCTTTTTGGGAGGCAGTTTTGCAAATTTTAAGACTTGGAGAAATATTGGGCGAGTTGTGAATTTGTTAAATTATTATCCCTTGGGATTTACTTTTAAGTGCCAAAATAAATATCAATTTTATTTGGCCACTTATGCTTTCCCTTGTAAGGGAAATTTTTTTCCCAAAAGTTCCAGACTTGTTGAGAAAAAAGTCCCCAAAGTTTATTTCACAATTAGAAATATTTCAAAGATCTTTTTTTCCGATGATGTTCATTTGAAAATTGAAGGTCTTCTGTATTTCTAGGTCATTTCTAGAGTCAGAATCGTTTACCCATCAGAAACTTACTCAATATCAAGATTTTTCATTTTGAGGTTTGAGGGTCTAGACCAGATCTAATCTCAAATTCTGTTTACATTCTCAAAGAAGCGGTGTTTTTTTCAAGGTAATGCAAAAAGTACATGTTTAGTTGATCGAACATGATGAGGAAAAACTGCAATCGTTTTTACATGAATCAGAAACTAAAAATGTATAACAAAAAGTGGGATATGGCAATTCAAAATTTAAACAAATACAAAATTAACGGTTAATTATAATAATAATACCGGATTTTTCAAAAAAAAAGTCCAATATTGGTTATTCCGATAATTTTTCAAAACAATTTTTGGTTTGTTTTCCTCAAATATTTTATGGTTTTCAAATTTTGTTCATTTCTTATTTTATTTTCAATTCGAAAATCTAATTTCCAGTCGCTTTCAAAATGTACGATCTCAACAAGAATGATTATATCACCAGAGAAGAATTCAAAGTTATCTTGAACAGTATGGTTGGAGCAAATATCACATCAGACCAACTCGACAAAATTGCTGATCGTACAATCGAAGAAGCAGATGCTGACAGAGATGGTAAAATATCATTTGATGAATTTTGCAGAGCCATGGAAAAAACAGATATTGAGGAAAAAATGTCGATTCGCTTCCTCAATTGAAAATCTAAATATTCTCATCCTATTTCATGTTTTCATATTTATCCCAAATGCCATAAGTATCAATGTAAATAGCCGGAAAAAAGAATTTTATAAGTACTTAAATCAGGTTTATTACTTTATTCAAATTTTTATATAAAACTATATATTGAAAAAATGTTATTTGAATTTACAATGGAGCACATTGTCCTTTGCAAACTGCTCCTTGACGATCTTTTTGAACTGGAAGCAAATCATCGCCAACTTTGTAGGTGACACGACCGATTCCATCCAAAGTGACCTTGATTGTATGAGCAGCTTTGCCGGTTTCATCGAATGTTGAGATTTCCCAGTCCTAAAAAATTGAACTCATTATTGATTTCCGATAAACCTGTCTAACGCTTATTATTTTAATCACATGCGACGTGTCTTAATTACATACTAATCGAGTTAACATAATTCATATTAATCATGTATGTTCCAATTTACACCTGTTTATTGCACAAATCAAACTGCAAAGGTTTTTCAAGTTATTTTTAAAATTGCATGTTTTCGAACTATTTCGTTTCAATTCAGCTGTCTCCGCAGGTTAGAAAATAGGGTGATTATGAGTTCATCACAATTGAAATAAACTAACCTTCAATCCGCATTCGTCAGCTTTTTGTTGGAAAGTGTTCTTTTGAAGTTTCTTGATATAGCTCCATCTATCAGATTTCTTTCCATTGCTGGCTTGAATTTGTCCACTGAACTTCTTATCAGTATCCGATTTCAAATGTACGATAATATCGCATGCCAAAGCGACTCCCAAAAAGCACAACAAAATAGCAACGGATTTCATGATTTTTTTCAGTGACAAAAAATAATGTTTTGGTATTTAATAGAACAAGTGGCCTTGAGTGTTGTTACACAACAATGATTTTTTTCATTCGATATAGCAGTTGGTGTTTTGATTTCGAGAAAAATCAATTGAACAAAGTTTTGAAAACGATTCATTTTGTTTGAATTCATAAACGGTATATTATTATTACAATTAAAAAAAAATCATATTTTGATTTCGATGACACTTTTACGAAACATTGTGGACCTTGAAGTTTCCTCTGGTTTACCCGTGAATATGAAAAGTATATAACCTCGATAGGCTTTTGTTTGAATCATCATTGCGATTGTTGAAGGAATGCTTGCCCCAACAAATATACTCATACTTATCGCATTAAAAGCTGAAAATTTTTGGTTGTTTTTCGAATGATAATTTCACGCATCAAAGAGATGCGAGTTATTCAGTGCAATGAATCACAACTAGAATTTTATTTTTTGCACGTTTTCTTATTGAGATGATCACAAGTCAGGGTTTTGGATTATAAAGAGCAAACTTCAAGAACTTTTTTTTAGAATAAATGATTCTGAAAATGTAACCAACTTCTTGTGTCTTTTGATGCATCCAACATAAAACAGTACAATAATGCCAATGGAGCTAGAATGATGGAAATTCCTTTGATAATTGTTTGAATCAACATATCTCGAACAGAATCACGATGGAAAACTTGCGCTTTGCTACTCATTATAGTACTCTGGTTTTTTATTTCACATGTTATTAGAATGTATAATGCGAGAAACAGCTGAAAAAAGAAATAAATTAGCGAATAAAAATCGAGAAAAGTGGCATACAATCATACATGTTTTTCTCCCTGGATCGACCCCTACAGTTAGCGAGACCTCAAATAAAAATTTTCAAAGTTAGTAAGACCGTTAGTGTGGGGGCAAAAGCCTCCCACACTAAAAAAAATTTTTATTTTTTTCGAAAAAAATTGAAAAATTTTGCAACACGTTTCCAGTATGTGAACTCGAACCCTATGGTAGCTACCATTGGGTCCCTAACTCAGCGCTCTACCACTGCGCTATGTGTGCCCACATAACCCGCATGCTGTTTTTCTCATTTGAATAGGATGCGTTTGAGAGATAGAAAAAACACAAACAGTAAATTACATTGTTGTATTTTACATTCAATTATTCAAAAAAATATAGAAGAAAATCATGGATTGAATTGTAAATTGAAATACGAATTCTTTAGACCTTATACAACAATATAAAAACTCATCTTCAATGAATAAATACGATAAAATACTTTTTTCCATTCGAAAATGTTGAAAATTGGTTATTACCAGAAAACTCAAAACCTAGAAAAGTATGTCAAAATTAATATTTTCGCTTGAAAATTTGCACAGTGTGTCTAGAGGTCCTATTGAGGTATATTGAACTATGAAATTGATAAATAATGCTGCATGGGGAAAATAGTTGAGACCACTGGATTTTATCCAGGGTTACCCTGGATTTTATCCAGAATTTTATATAAGTGCCCGGCGGTCTCAGTAGACCTTTCAGAAAGGGCATTTATTCTGGATAATAATTAAGAATAGACCTTGTGGCATAACCTAGAACGATTTTCAGATGCTGAAATCAATTTTGGTTTAACACTTTATGATGATAAAAGTGGTGTATTGATGAAAAAAGAAGATTTTCGATAGTTTTTGGGCCGGCGGTCTCAGTAGACTTCTTAGAAAGTGTAGTTATTTTGCATAATACCTTTGAGTAGACTTTATGACATAACCTGGAACGATTTTCAGATGAAAAAATCAATTTTCGTTAACAGTTTATTATGTTAAGAGTGGTGTATTGTTGAAAAAAGTAGATTTTTGAGAGTTTTTGGTTCGGCGGTCTCACTAGATCTTTCAGAAAAAGCATTTATTTTGGATAATGAGTAAGAGTGGACCTTGTGACATAATCTAGAGCAATTTTGAAATCGAAAAATTATTTCATGTTCAAAACTTTATGATGATAACTAATTTAAAAAATTTTCAAAAAAATCGATTTTCAAAAAAGTTAGTAGGACCTCAAATTTTTTTCGGAGTTAGTAAGACCGCAACCCTGGATAAATCCAGGGGTAAAACATGTATGCATACAATTGATCCTGATCCTAGACTTATTTTTGCTACCAAAATCATTGAATCGATATCGCTTGTTCCAGTCAAAAGAATTGCGTGAGGATTTTCAAGAATTTCGAGGCAATTTGGGTAAAGTTGAGGAAGTCTTCGACGACTTTCGAATTCATTTGGCCATGCAAAATAGAGAATCAGGAACGCACCAGTTACAACATAAATAAGAATTAAAGACGCAATGAATATGTAACCACGAGTTTTGAACTGAAATTTTGGAGCCTTGAAACATTATGCTCAATGATTTATAAGAATCTCAGTCTCTTTTTTCACTTCAAGTTGAAACCAGGATTCTTGAGTTTTTTTCTAAAAATGTTTGCTCGTTCTGAATCAGAATTTCTGATAACGTTTCTGTTTTTAATAGTTTTTCCATCTGAAAATTTCCGTCTGAACTTGCCACGTCATTGTTTTTGCAATAACGGACAGATAGGCTGTTATTAGCAGATGAAAAACAAGTTCAGAAACTTTGTAAGATCTTCTCCTATGACGTGGCTAATTTTAACCTTGTTCTAAATGCTAATTATCAGCTATTTCTCGGGATAAATTTCAGTTTGAAGTGTTCTATTTCTACCACATGATAGCAAAATGAAAATTTGATCGAAAGTTCTAAAGTACATTTAACTTACATAAATAATACTATTTGGATGAACAATAATTTTCAATCTGGCAAGAAGGCAGTGAAAAGTTGTTACAACTGAAAGTGAGAATGGAAGCATCCAAATAACAGCCAAAACTTTGAATTCTAATAAATTCTTTGCTAATCCGCCAACGACAAACGCAGGAAATGGAAAAAGTGATACTAAATTAAAAGTTGTTCCCCAATGAAGTTGTGCAATATATAAAAACAAATTATTTGCCAATAATGTGTAGCGATATAATGGTAAACTCAATTTCGATCTTGTCAAAATTAAGAAAAATCCAAGAAAATTAATGGGTGTTGAGATGAAATTTATTATATTTGTTAGATATATTTGGAAACTATAATCCAATTTCTCAGCCATCTTAAAATGTCGTGTATCCATTTGGATTATAATAATCAAAGTTAATTAATGAAGATTTGGATATAAGCGATAGAATTTCAAGAAAGTGAAAACGTTTTTTTTTGTTTGAAAATAAGAAATAAGTCGAGTCTGAAAAATCTAATTATTCTGATAAAATGTTTGCCTGATCACGAAAAATTTAATTATGTAGTTTATTTTGATTCTGAGAAAACAGAAACTCACATTTTTTGATGGAATGTTATTTTCGAAACAAAAAGTTCAAAGAATCAATAACTTTAATTATCACTTGGTTCGAATTTTAACTCTGATTTTTAGACAATGAGACATTTCGGCTGAAAAATGTTTTCGCATTGCTCTTTTTCTTATACATATGTATGCTAACAATTCGAAGCAGGTGTTTAGTTGATTATTGAGTTTTTGTAATTATTTTTAATGAATATTTGATTTTGTGACAATTTAGGAGATTTAGAAACTAGAAACCACGCGTTCAACATTTGAAATTGAAAATCTGTCAAATACTACTACTTTTTGAAGACAATTCTCATAGAAAAACACTTTTTTCAACAAATCGGATTTGGTCAGATTCCTTTTTCGATGACCCGATATATATTCTATGTATATTTCTACACAATATCGGGTTCCATTTCAAAAAGATGAGTTCAAACAATCAAATTGCCGTTGACTTTCGCATCAAAGAAACACAACCACAAACTTGCTAACTCAATTATCTCATGCAATCTCTAAGAGAATCTACCGTGCTTCCCTTGAAATGTGTTTTCAGTACTGTCATTCTGCAAAAAAAAGAAAAACCCAAAGAATTCCAAAAATATTATTCACGTTTGAAAAGAGAGAAAAAAACAAGAAATAGAGGAATTGTTGAAAAATCGGAACCCGATGGAAAATATCAAAAAATTGGGGGAGAAAAATCACAAATTTTGAATGAATATGTTAATTAGAAATCTAAAAAAATATCTAAATATAATAACGAAGGAGATCACAAAAATATAGGTCTAGAAGAATCTTTTTGTTTTAATTAGGGTAAAGAAAGAAAGAAAATTTAAATAATTGACAAATAAAAAATATTTAAAGCCAACCCCAAGTGGAGTTTCGAATCAGATGAAAATCAATAAATTAATTATGGGTGGTTACCCGTTTCGGTATAGGGGTTTTTGTTTTTTTTTTGGTGTGTTAGGAGTCGTTGTCGACGAGCATTTGTTTTTCAAGTTCACGAACTGTGTTGAGGAATCTGCGGAAAAGTGGATGTGAACGATCAGCAGTTGGTGCAATCATAAATGTTTGCGAAAATAACTCCGGTTCCGGTTTGGTATTTGTTGGATCTTCAACTTGTACTTCATTCGAAACTGTGCACGATGTTTCAAACATATTTGGTGTCAATTTTGGGGCCGACATTTCGATCGAAGCCGCATGGATTGGTGAGTTTGTTGTGACACCAATGTTGAGCTCGCTGAGTTGTGCACCAACTGGACAAATCAATGCGGCATCCGATATTTTACGATCCACTTGAAGAGTATCCATGATTGATGTTGTTGAAATGTTGAAATTATTGGTTGAATATGTGGTTGGAGACGAATAATGAACTGATGTTTGAGGAAATTGTAAACCTGAGAAGAGCGAAGTATTGTCATAGAGTGTCGATGGCATTGTTGTGGAAATGTCACTTGTTGTTGGAATCATACCGTTGGTTAGAAGATCAGGATTTATTCCTTGTTGGCCTAAAAATAACAGTATTTTTCGACTTCAAATGTAATTCTACAAGTTTCCAAGAATCTATGTAGCTCACGTTAAATAAATCTTAAAATGGAAAACTTACGAAGAAGCATTTCAATAATCGATAACGACATTGGAAGTGATGTATTTGGAAGTTCCAAAGTTGTTGGTGATTGTTCAATTGATGATCCATCTTTTGGTGATCCAGATTGTCGATGAACTTCCAATTCCTCAGAGAAACTACGTTTTACCGGAAATGGTGGTTGTTGTTGATTCAAAGAAGTTGGCACGGCTGTTGATGGTGGTGTTTGTGGTTGTGTCATAGCTTGTAACGCCATAGCTTGTTCCAAATTCAATTGCTCTAATGATATTCCAGCATGTTGTCTTTGTGCTTGTTGTTGTTGATTCATTGGAATTGGTAAAGCATCCGATTCGTCAACATATTTTGGGAAAACTCGAAGACGTGTGTTGCCATTTTTGAAATGAACTGGTTTTAATACCAATCCACCTTCAAGAGTTCGTGTTCGATATCGTCGAATTATTGCGTTTGCACGCATCGACATCACATTTGAGCACGTTTTACATTGGCAATTGTTAAATGGACAACGACTTGCGTGGCCTTTCAAAACAACCTGCTGTCCGTGTCCCTCACATTTCCGACAAAACAAAGTTCTGTTCGAAGACGTGCGACTCACTCCACCTCCACAAGTCAGACCACCTTGATGATGCACTTCCTGGCGAACTTCTTCAATAGTATGATCAACGTCAGAAGTGAGCAATTGAGCTTCCACGACGACTTGTGTGCCGAGTGGCAATGTTGCCACAATTTCACTGAAATCAGAGAAAAATTTAATTGAATAAAAATGAGGTGGCGGAGGAATGATTGTTTGAACAAGAAAAACAGATGGATAAACATCAGAAAATGTTGTCGTCGGGCGACTGACCGAAATATGAATGAGAGAGGGCCATATCTGTGATCATCAAAACACATTGTTTTCTTTTAATGATGTTTTTCCAATTTTCTTATACTAAAGTTCCGATATTGAAAGTTGGAGAAAACCACTTGATTGCTGGTAAGATTGGACAAGTTACAGTTTTAAAACTAAAATATTTTGAAATGCACGTACCATTTTTGTCAACAACATCATGAGTACGAACTTTTTTAATCCTTTTTAACTCACCTCATTTTTTGACTGTCTGACTCGAGGATCGTAATGATTGATTGCGGAGGAGGCTTTTACACCCTGAACAGCAGCCCAAAAGGGGCGAAAGGCGACCCTGTAACAAAAAATAATGAAAAATATGTTATTTTATTATTTTATCATCAAGAGAACAAGAAACAAACATGTGATTGATAAGCGATTTTTAAAGATGCGTTAAAGTACAGGAATTGGTTTGGTTGGTATTTTTTACAGTATCTTATCTAGATTTAATAATTATTTATTGAAAGTTTAGCGAAATCAAAGATTTTTATTGATGATCGTAAAGTCCCCCGACCATTGAGAAATGATGTCACACAATATTTCGATAAGAACAAAAAAATATCGATTAGAGCGAATGGGACGACGCGAAAAGAGATGAACAAAACGAAACGTTATGAACTTTTATTGATTTCGAAATATATTTATTGCAAATAGTAAAACTGGTTTTTTCGAAATTTTTTATAAATCGAAATCGAAAGATAGATATTTTGGTTTAGAGATTGTACCCATAGGAAATTACCGTATTGTTCTAATCAAATTTTAAAAATAAATGTGTACCAAGCTTGGGGAAATAACAAAATCTACAGTAACCAAAGAGAAAAACGTGTATACATAAAAGGAATAAAATGAAAATTGCGAGCGAAATGATAAGACTAGAGGCAGACGCCTAAAGATGAATCGTGGGATGGGTAGAGATGCAGAGGTAGCGCGGGAGGCGGGTACAATTATTTGATCGACAGTCAGAAGATATTTTGTAATTCAAAGAACAAGGGAAAGTTTGGTGTATAATTAGGTAGGGAAGAAAATTTACTTCCAGTCTGAACGAAGTCAGAAACATATTTGTGCTTTTTTGCACCTGATGTGTACTTGACAATCAACCAAATGTCTGTACAAACATACGTTTTTTTTCATCGAGCTATTTATGTTGGAATGAAATGCAGTATAGTCTTTTGAAAATATAATGTTTCTTTTTCGAAAAAGTATCCCGGAAGATTTTTGCAAAAAGCACATTTGTTGCTAAAAATAAGTTTGAAGCAAAACAGAAAAAAATGAGGCAACTTTTGTTCGGATCTCTCTTTTCTTTTTGCAACTCAACTCCTACACTTTTCGGACTTGCGAAGAAAAAAAGTACAAAGACGCATTTTTTGGTCTAGTCCCTATTGTTGCCTAGCGGTAATTTGAGGAATGCGGAATTCTTTTTTTGGTAATTTGAGAATTTTGAGGGAAGTGGTTTAAAGGCAAGTCTGCGTCATTCTTTTAAAGATCGCCGTAGTTACTATGCGCAAAAACTGAATATCAGAATATTGAGTTCTTCTCAAAAAATATTTCATGATAAAGACTGACACAGTGGGTAAACACTTACTATGTCAATTTTTTTGATGTCAAGAGTATCAGTTTTTGTCTTCTCTATCCATCCACGAAGAAAGCGAGAACGAAAAGAATAGGAAACCTTCAAAAACTGCACGGCAGACACAAAAAGCAACACCCTCTTTTCCGTTTCCGACTAAAAAAGAGCAAAGAAAAGAAAAAAGTGGGGCGTGGCTTATGGGTGTGCTTTGAACGCAAAACTACACAATTTTTATGAGTCGCCGACCGCGTGGTTTTTGCAAGGTCCGTTTTGCAAAAGAAGATTTTTGAAGAATTATTTCTTGGTCATACGACGAGCAAAAAAAGAAGAGAAGGAAAGAAAGAAAGAGATAGAGGACAGTGGTCGATCTTTGAAAAATCTGCGGTTTTTATGAGGAGAAAAGAGCTATGGGAATATGGAATGGTACGTTGACACGGAAAAAACAACAAAACTGTACATTCATACATAAATATACATTTTTTAGTATTTGGGGTTGGGGGGGACCCCGGGCAGCCAATGACAATTTCAACGCCGCTGCGACGACAACGACAACACACGAAAAAAGAGAAAAAGAGTAGAAGAGACAAGAAGAAAAAGGCGGGACAAAAAGATATTGCCGATTGGGTGCATTGTGAGTGCGCAATGTACCCAGAAAAAGGCAGGCCGATCTATTGATTTCATTTTTTGAAGAAGAAACGATTGATTGAGAAAATGTATTGAGGACGACATGAAAAGAAAAAGATTGTCATCATTGATAAGCAACAATATTTTATAATCATTATCATTTTTATTATACACACAAGAATATTTTTGAAGATCTCTCTAAAATTAGGGATTGAGAAACATTTATAGAAAACTTCAATGAGGAAATTGAAAAAAAAATCGCATAACAACACAATTTTAAATTAAGAGTGTACTTTGAGTTTTGAATTAGTTCTGACTAGCTCGCCTTTTTAGACTAAAGAATAGTGAAAAGCCGAAAATAGATTTGTTTTTCTGATGTGAATATGTTTAAAAATAATTATATATTAGTGAGGGTATCGAAATCAACCGGGATAATTATAACTAGAAAATCTAAAAGTATGATTCATCGAGTTCCATCATCGCTCGAATTTTTAGTTTTATTTTCAAAAATATACATTTAATAGGAAGTCAAAAAGTTGAAGCTTATGCTTTTCAAAAATCCACGTGTCATTCGAAGTATTTTTCAAAATTAAATTCACCTGGCACCAGATCGGTTCACGAAAATGAGCTTTAATTACACGTGATATTTTTTCAAATAATATAAAAAATATTTACATGGATTTTTGTAAGAAAAACTTTCACGATCCCCAATAAAGATTTTACGTGGTTCTTAAGATTCCTAACTTTTCCCGGATCTAATGAAATCGTTTTTTTATTAAAAGTCTAGACCGTTTTGATGATCTTTGAAATAACGGGAAAAAAAACTAAAATATACGAAATGCGTAAACCTCGAAAGTTGTCCGAATTCTTATGTTAATTCCAAATCGAAATAAATGCACTGCCCTTTTATTTCACTGAACCCTATCAATGACTCGCTCATTTCATTTTTCACACACATAATATTAATCCACCAAAAAAGCACCGAATATGTACTTGATTTTCGGGCTCAACGTGCACATTTGAAAAATATATAATACATGTTATTATTAAAATTATTCATATAAACAGAAAATGCACATGTGTATCTATGCTATGTTTAAAAAAAGAGCGAGAAAATCTACTTCCACATGTCTGCCTTTTTCAGAAATGTGTACTCCCACTTTAATATTTATTCTGATCTTTGTTCTAGAAAATGAGGAAGCAAAATTGAACAAAAAAGAAAACATAGATTGAATGAGACATGAAAACAATAAGGAGCAATAGAGCGAACTTGTTTTTTTCGTGATGAATGTTCAAAGAAATTTTAATTATTGAAAGTATACTAAATTGTTTCGTTGAACCATCTTGCATACATTTCGGTGTTATCAATCTACGACAAAAAATGTGATAGAGAAAAAAAGAGATGAAAAGAATCATAGTTCGCTCGCTGCTTGCACTCAAACCATTCATTTTTCATTCTCCGTTTTCGTTCCCAACATCGATCGTAGTCAGTCAGTCAGTCAGTCAGTTCGGTACAGGTGGAACCGACAATGTACTCATTTTCGGGGGCCTAGAAAATCACCAACAAAACGTGCTTGAGAACGATCAAAAATCGTTTGTTATCTATCTTTTGTTATATTTTTTGGAAGGCGAACTTTGTCTCTTGAAGATCATCTGAATCATTATATCGACGTGCAAAACATGAGAATATGGTCAGTCATGGGAAGATGGTTGAGAATACAAAAAAGAAGAAAGGTTCTTCTCCATTTCTCCTGATGTTTTGCGTATTGATGCTTCATAATTGAGGCCTAATATCCAAGTTAAAAATAATATCAAAGATCATAGGAAAATGCCGCATTTTAATTAACGTTTGACTTGAAAAGATCGTTGTCTCCGTTAAAAATCTTGGTTTCAATTTGAATTACATCAAATAGCTTCTTTAAAACATTTACATTTCAAATACACAAACCCTTATGCAAAGAAGTGATGTTTTTAGACCGTTCTCTGCTTACGTGGTAAACAAGTTACATTCCGTTTTTTTGTGTTTTGAGCTTATTTTTTCAAAAACCTGGGTAAATACGAAAAATCGCAACAGAGTGCTTCTAAAGAAAAAGGAAAACTTTTTAAAGAAAATCGCAACATTGATATCGCGTTATCTTTTCTGCGTTCAACGTGTTCAACCATTGAATATTAAATTGCAACCGCGAAAAAAAGATGCATAGATCAGTGACAAAAAATGGACAACAAGCACATATTTGCACAAATGTGTGTTTTGCTAGACTATTTTGTTGTCCTCAATCATCATTACATATTGTTCCTCTTTTTTCTTTTTGTAAATTGCTTCTTTTTCGTCTATCCTCCCACCCTTTTTGAGAAACATTAAAGTACACAGATGAATAAACAGAAATGATTGTTGGCCGTACAGTTCAAAAATTCATTTTTCTTCTTCTTCGTCTCCTCGTTTACACCCAAATTTCTTTGATCATCCTGCGTCTCTCGCTCTTTTTAATCTCTGACTTGTCGACGAAACACAATATCGGACGATTTATATACATGTATTTATGAGAAAAAGAAAACGGTTGAGGAGAGAAGAGGGAAAAAATTATTTTTCGACGGCTTTTATATATGAAACTTGTTCTTTTCACAATTTTCGGGAATAATTTAGACTAAAATTATCTAGATTAATCAAAACACACAATTCGAAAACTAGACTGTATTTGAGAGAGTGAAGAGGGGTGTAAACTAGGGGTAAGAAAATGATATTTCGGAATTTTTCGACGTTACGATAACAATAAGGGTTTAAAAATATTTTAGTGAGTTGTGCGTTTTTACTAAAACAAGCTGGGTGTCTGGCATACACCAAATGAATAAGACTATTTTTTTTCCGAAAAAAGCCTAGCCTTGAATGTAATTAGTTGAATTGTTTGCTTCGCCAATTTAAATAATTCAATATTCTTTTGAAAATTTCAATGAAGCATGTTGGCCTAATTTAATTTCAAAAATTATCTCTCAAATAAAGTCTAGTTTGAGGTTTTGTGTTTTGGCCTATTTTTCAAATCGTGCGATACATCTACTCTGGTCTAAATTAAATGTTTTTGTTTTTACGATAAGATGAAATGTTTCAGCCTAAATTGTCATCTTTATACTACGAATTATTCGTTTTCACGCTAATCACACTCTAAAGATCTTTTAAATACGAGAACCATTCCGTGGAATTCTTTCTTAGACAGCCACAGATCTAACGAAACTTTGAACAAGATAAAAATCAACAAGGAAAAACGGACACGATTCTAAAAGTTGTTTTCGAATAATGCAAAAAGGGAATAAAATGTATTCACGAAATATTCACATGATATATTTTGGCCAAGTTTTTCATGTTCTTCAGTTTTTGAGTGGTGAGGGATTCTGAGTATTGGAGAACATCACAATTAAAGGAAATGCGGTTTCTAGGGAAATAGAAATTATTTTTTCTAAACATAGTCAGAAATTTTAAATGGAACATAGATTTAGAGCTTTGGCTTCATAATTTAAATAAGTGAATTGTGTAATTAATATTATTTTAACCTGATTAATATTTGGGGGAAGTTGTTAAATCTGTCGCTATTTTAAGGATGTCTGAATCGAAGTAGAGGGACACTTTTTCAAAAAGAATCGAACTACTAAAAAGAACAGGTCCGATTTTATTAGAAATTTTCTGAATTGAAGACCAAATTTAGACCGCGTTTAAGACTATACTATTCAAGAACCCAAACGAAAATCTGGTGCAATTCAGACAATTTCAGAATCGGGCCTAATTCCTCAGATCCATTTCAAAAGCTTATAAAAGTTTGGTCTATAAGAAATTTATTCAATATTCCTACACTTTGGAAAATTTCACCTCAAAAATAAAAATCTAGTCTCCAAACTTTAGTCTTTTCATTCCAAATACCGACGATCAAATCTGCAAAAGTCTATTCGCCGAAAAACTACCGTAATCTAGCAGACAAATCTTTTTTTTTTCTTCTTAATAAAATTAATTAGGAAAATCGATAAAAATCAAGCAAAACACACGATTGAAAATTGTTTCGGGGAATTACCCTTCGACCTTGTTCAATTTTCATTTCATCTCAATCTTTTCTCATCATACCGTAGTCCATTTTCGTCGCACCCAAAATGAACCGAATGTACCCAAAAATTCCAGTTTTTTATATGTGTATATGTGATAATATTTCTTTTTATTTTTTCGTCTTCTTCTTCCTTCGTCTGCTGATTTGTTGTTTATTATCGATGGTCGATTTTTTCTACATTTTCAACAAAAAAAACAATCGTTTCTGGTGTATTGGGGACAGATTTTGGTCGGCAAAAAATTGTGGGTCATATTTGTGAAAAAGAAATATTGGTCTCTGAATGGACAGTCAAGAATTGAAAAACCAAAAAGAGATAGGAACTTTTCAGACTTACAGGCGTCACAAATAATTCTGGAGAAACATTTTTTTGAGTTTATGAATGGTTTTCTAGAAGCTCCGTCTTGAGAACAACGTCTTGGACAGTAGGAACTGTGATAATCGGATTCTATAGATGCTCTTTTCAGATAAAATGGCTTTGTTGCCAACATGATCTAGAAACTCTAAAGGCTTTGTAATCAAAAATCCTCTGATCATTTTTTAGCACAATTATCACTTTTGCACATCACGATCACAGCCAAGATGTGTTTTTTTTTGTTTTTTAAAAGAAAAAAATCTGGAACACAAAATATCACATCAACTATAACTAGAAATAATTTTGGCAAGGCTTCAAAATGTGTCATAATAAACATCAAAATAACAAAAATAGTAAAATTTTTCGAAACATGAAGCCATTTTAATTTTTTGAGAAAGCCTAGTAATTTGACGTCAGTCAAAATTCTCACGCCTTGAGGAGAAAAAATGAACTCTAGATCTATGTAGATTTCATTTCTGCAAAAATATTGAGGGATTTCTTCAGACACGACATTTCATCTATTTATTATTTTTTCTGAAAAAACAACGCGTTTGGAAATCAAACTAGAATTCGGTGTTTTTGAAAAATCATGTTTTTTTGGTGATGACGTGAAGTTACCGAAAATTAATACACCGATGTTTTTCATCAACATCAAAACAACAAAAAAAAATATAAAAAACAACATTTTTTTGGTTGTTTCGTTCGTCGGTCAATCTTTGATCGGGAAGTGATAGAATATTATTACAAAAAAAATGGGAAAATAAAAAGTTCAGGATTTGAAGCGGGGCTTCGTCGGATTTTTTTTTCGTAATCTGAATATTTTCGGATTTGGAGGCTCTTGTTATTGCGCAAGTCGAATATTGTCTGCAATTTTATCTGGAATTTGGGGATAATCTTATTGGATTTAGCATCTTTGCTGTATTAGGTGGGTAAACGAGTAAGGATTTATGGAATTGAAAAAAAATATTGCAAAATAAAAACAAATTTGTTTCGGGGATGCAAAACAAGTTGGAGTTCGAACTTGGACGAAAACAAAACAGAATTGTGTTTTTTAATGTTTAATTTATAATTAAATTAGTCTTCAAAATCGAATAAAAAACCGGTAACTTATCATTTTTTGTTCTTTTTCTTCAATTGTTGTGTTGCTTTACAAAAACTTTTGATTCATTGATTTTCTGACCAAACAATGAAACTTCAACTGATTTTTTCAATTTTCTTATTCCAATATGCAAATTCTATCGACTCTAAATGTTCAGCAGATGATATTTTGAAAGTTGGACAATGTTTAGAGGTATTTTTTCAAGAAACAAAATCGGTTTTCAATTTTTTTCGTTTTATAGAAAATGACAGACGCTGTGGAGAAGATCAATTCGTGGGTCGATAAAAATTTTACCTACACTGATTCCGAAAAAGATGAGTTCAACAAAAAATGTGAGGACACCAAGACGTGTTTCGAGGAGATTCAGAAGAATTGCGATGATTTTCCTGGTTCGGTTATCGATGGAATGACTGTGATGTGTGATAGATTCGAATTTATGACTTCTGATTTTTCTACATGTGTTCCAAAGGTTTTTTGAGATCGGGAATACGTGGAAATTGAGACAAGTCCTCAATTACCAGGATTACTGTAGGACTATTTTTTGTGAATAGAATGATTTTTTTAACTTTCAAGTGGTTAAATGCAACTATCCTAAAAATTGAGACTTCAAAACTCTCTTCTTCAAATTATAATTTTTCAGCTCAATAGCCTGACTGAAAAAGAGTGCGTCAAACAATTTTTCGGTGAAGAATACGCTGAAATGACAATTAAAGATCGATGTGAAGCTCTGAATGAGAATTCGAAATGTGTAACTGAAGAAGTTGCAAAAGATTGTGGTGATGAAATGGCTGGATTACTTGGAAATCATTTGAAAACCGAATTAAAAAAGTACAAATGTTCGAAAGACTGAATAAAACTTTGTTTCTTTTGTGTCTATTGTGAAAGTTTTCAAACTTCGGTAGTTCAAAGTTGTTTCGTTGAAGTATCACGAATAAGTTAATCGGATTATTTTACAAAACATGCGGACACAAAAACAAAATATTTTCGGTACACATTTTTCGAAAAAGGGACCTTTAAAGGGGTTTATTGTTTCACGTGATTTACAATAAGTTCGACAGCTTCAACAAATGATTTCACAACATTTCGATTATCAATTGGTATTTTTATTTCATCTCCCTCTCGATATTTTCCAGTTTTCACTAAAATCGCATTCAAACCATTTTCAATGGCACCAATTACATCGTCATTTACATCATCCCCAATCATTACTGTATTTTCAAATGAATTATTTTCAGATTTTAGGGAAGATAGGGCCATTTCGAAAAACATTCGATTTGGTTTTCCAACAACTTTTGCTTGGATTCCAGTTGAATATTCTAAACCAGTCACATATGCTCCAGGTCCAAGATGTAATCCATCATTCTTCTGATAATATCTGCCTTTGTGAATTGCGATGAGTTGAGCATTTTGATCTTTTATCAATCGAAATGCCTTGTTCATTGTTTCGTTGTTGAACTTTTTGGGAGCCAGACCAATTACGACCGCATTTGGATTTGAGGTTTCAATTCCTGAAATTAATTTTTATTTGAAAAAATTGTGATCATGTTTGAAAATTTTATTATTTTTTCCTATAAAACTTCATGAAGTGATTTATTAAGTTGAAAATATTTTTTCTGGAAAATAGAAATTCTGAAAATTATCAACATTTCAAAACGTTAAAAATTTTCAACTTCACGTTTCTCTCCTCAAAAAAATGTTCTCTCCTCAAAAAATTCCAATATTTCAATTTTGCTACAAATGTGCTCAAGTAACAATTTAAAACGATCATATGATAAGAGAAAATCAATAAATTTTTCTGAAAAAAAACTAGAATCTTGGCTTTTTGTTTTGAAAATAATTTTCTGTTTTATTTTGTCAACCTCAATTTTTCCACTTTTTTTTTAATTTCTCACCTTCAAAATCTTCCATCGCATCATCATCCAAAATCAAAAACGGTCTCAATTTTTCTGATTCGATCAATTTTCTCGCCGAACTCAAACTTGTAAAAATCTCATCTTTTTCAATTTTGAAACCACACTTCAATAATCTTCCATGTAATTTATTTATCGATTCTTTTGTGGTATTTGTGACAAATCTGACATTGGTATATTTTCTCAATTTTTCCAATGCTTCGACGGCTCCGAAAATTGGAGAATCTTCGATGTGAAGTGTTCCACTCAAATCAATCAACGTTGTTTTTATCGAGGCCTTGAACATCTGATAAATTCTACTTTTTTTTTTCAAAAACCCGTTTGAAATATATTCACAAGCATTTATACTTTTTGTTCGACCAAAAAAAATTTCAAAATTGATATTAAACAACAGATTTTATTGATGAGATGGAGAAAGTGGAGTTGGGAGAGAATTGGCGAATTCAGGTTCTTGAGATGGGAAAAGTCCGCGATTTTGAAGCCAATAATTGCCTTCGGAGCAAATGAGATCATGCATTCGATTGCGAATTTCAATAAACATTCTTTTGAATTGAATTCCATCACCACGAGATCTTCGGAAATCTATCATTACTTTTGTTCCGCCATGTGCACTATTCACCATTTCGTAGGCACAAACCATCATTGAAATTTCGCGGTAAGTAATTAGCAAATTGAACATGTGAGATTGTTGACGAACTGAATATCCAGCATATTCTGCTTCTGTTGATACACGTTGGATTGCTGCGTTCATACCAACTTTGACACAGAAACGTGTCATACGACAAACCATTCGTTGCATAAGATTCTGAAAACAGAAACTAGACTTAAAAACTTTGTATATCAAATATTTAATTGAACAAATAAAATAACTGCAGATGATTCTTAAAGGCTCAAAATTTACACAAGTTTTCAGCTAAAAATGAACCATTTTTCTTTTTGTAAAAAAATGATCACGTGACCAGTTCACGTTACTTATCTGATCTTTTTTTTATTCAAAGTAAAGATTTTACGGTATTTTTTGATTCCTGACAAGTCAGAAGTGTTAAAAATGAAAGTAAAATTATGAATAAGTTGAAAATTCAAATTTCTAATAATTTTTTGAGCATGAAATATTTTGGACCCGTCCAAACTCACTCCACTTCCTTGTGACATATCAATTTGTTGTGTAAGGAACATATCATCGATATTAGCCGGTTGTGAGAAAGATGATACTTTTCGCTCAACTTGTCGATGTCGCGATTTCAAATCTTCCAAATTTTTCGATTCCGCTGGTATTTGAGTACAAGGAATATTCTCAATTTCATCATTGGCGAGTCTTTGGCGTTTGATTGGAAGACCGTCATCAACAACACATCCATAATTATGAGTAAACCACGGATGATTTTTGATTTTTTCAATTGTTGCACGATTTGCGATTTTGTCAGTGACGATGACTCGAAGAAATGCTACAATGGGTAAAAATATATTTGAAGCCTAGAAAACCAATATTTTTCTCTTACATAGTCCACGAACATCAACTTTGTTCCAAGGTGCTTCATCCAGATTTACATTTGAAAGCCAATTCAAATAAGCAGATGATGAGCTAAAAACATTTGATTGGAATACAACATATGAAAATCAAACATACTCGTTAGCCTTCTCCCACGGAATTTCTCCGGTCAACATTGTGATTAATACAATTCCTGATGACCAAATATCAACTGGTTGTGCTCTGAAAATGTTTTTTTTCGCTCCACAAATTATTACAATTTAGAAATCATACTTATATTTTCCGCCTGCGATGATTTCTGGGGCTGCATAGGGAAGAGTTCCGCAGCTCATATCTAATAAACGCTCTTGACCATTATGACGGAATATTGTGGCCATACCGAAATCAGAAATTTTGAGAACATCTAGAAAAATTAATGAATATATAATTGCACTCTTTGGAAAACGTTACGTCTTGAAGTCAATAGAAGATTTTCAGGTTTGATATCACGATGAACAACTCCGTTTCCATGTATATATTCTAAACCGCTGATAAGTTGACGAAAGTAGAATTGTGCGCGATATGATGGCATTCCGACATCTGGCTCGATTTTATCAAATAACTCTCCACCATCTGCATATTCGAGAAATATATAATACCATTGTGAATCATTTTTCATGCCAATCAATCGAATTATATGATCATTTCCAACTTTGGATAACATTTTTTGAACTAGTGCTTCTTTTCTGATTTGCTTTATTTTTTCTGCATCACCATCAGCAATGCTCATTTTCTTCATAGCGACTGCACAACTTGGATTATCCCGATCCACTATAAGTAATACTTCTCCGAATGCTCCTAAAACTCTTTTTTAAGTTTTTGAATCTAAAAAAAATTGATTACCTTCTCCCAATGTTTGAACAATTTGATACGAGCATAGTTGTTGCTGGGGAACTTCGCCAAAACTCGAACTGGCCCCTAGATTCTGAACAGAATTCATCGAGAAACCGAGAATTATAATTTTCAAGTTTCGCGGGAAGCAACGACACTCCGTTTGTGCAATTTGTCGTCCCCGTGTTTGCACAAAGCATTTTAATTTACGCGCGTCTATTTTCATTTCCCGCCCTACTCAGGCAAACTAGCCGACTAATCGGTGACTAACTTTACGTGGAGCGACTAATCGTTGACCAACTTCTCCTGGGGCGACTAATCGCCGACTAACTTTTTGTGGGCCGACTAATCGACGACCAACTTTTTTTGTCGGCCGACCAACTTTTCTGCTCATTTATATGTAGGCCGATTAATCGCCGACTAATGTGCGACCAACTACTAGTTGACAGGCGATTTATCGCCAGTTGGTCGCCGATTAGTCGGCCCGTTTGCCTGAGTAAAATGTTTCTTTTTCTTGTTTTGTTGAGCGTCTACTTGTTTTTTCGAACCGATATCGATTTTAATATTTATAAATTTAATTATTTCAGATGGCTGACAAGGCGAAGAAATTGGTCAAAAAGGCTTCACAGCAGATGAATCCTGTTGAGAAGTTCCAATGCCTCACAGACGATAGAACATCAAGTGATGGTGAAGAAATTACATTCAAATACGCATGGGCCACTCATCTCACCGATGAGGAATTCGACTGGGTTTTTAGCTTGTTTAAACAAAACATGTTTACCATGTGAGTTAGAATTCAGACCTTCATACAGTAAATTCACCGAATAAATTAAGGTATCAAATGTCTCAATGGGGTTGGGATGCGGATTCAAAGAAGAATGAGTTGCGCGCCACAACAGCACGATATATCATTGCGCTCAACTCGAAAGGGGAAAAAATAGGGTATACTCATTACCGATTTGTTCTCGATCACGGAATCCCAGCTTTGTATTGGTTGGTAAAAATATTTCTTCCTGTTTGTCAAAGACAAGATTTTTTACAGCTACGAGATTCAAGTTATCGAAGATTATCAAAAGAAAGGAGTTGGTAGTATGTTGATGAGAACTCTCGAATCATTGGCCGAAAAAACATTCATGGAAAAAGTTTTGGCTACAGTTTTTGCGTACAATGAGAAATCGCTCGCTTTTTTCCACAAAAACGATTATACAAGTGATGTTACATGTCCTGATGAGGATCAAGGACTCGATTATCTGATTCTTTCGAAAGGAGTTCAAATTTAAGAAACAATAATTAATGGTGATAGAGCTCGGGTTCATTTTTTTATGATTTTCTAATTTTTTTTTCTATTTTTTATTATGGACATATTTACGATCTCATTTACATCCCTTTTGTTGATTATTTGAAACTACCCTCACTCACCAAAATAAATTGCTCATTCCCGAAATTGTATTTCCCATAAAAATCAATAAAAACCTCCCGTTTTCGTCGAGACTCGTTATTTTTATTTCTGAGAAAATTTATAGGTATTCAGAAAATTCAGATGACACATTGGATTAAAAAAACGAGCAATGTGGAAAATGAAGAACGCTCCGAAGATGGCGATTCGTCTACTGGAGCACCTGGAACATCAACACAGAATATTCAAGAAACGGGAATTGTCACAATGAATGGACAACTTGCACCGAAAATTGATAATCCAATTGATTTTAAAAATATCGATCTCTCGCAGAATTATCGAGCAGAGCTAAGTGAATTCGATAATTTTGAGGATATCAATGAAGTGGGTGATCTTTTCGATGAAGTTGAAGATTACTATTCACAAAAAATGATGGTAGTTCCAGAAGAGTTCCAACCATGGGAGTAAGTTCTAGTTGAATTTTTGAATGATTTGTTTTCTAATTTTTAGCAATAATATCGAAACAAGTGAATTGGATGAACGATTGAAGACAAATCTTGTGAAAGGAATGAAGTTTGGCAAATTGAACGCGTTGCAAATTCATAGTATCCCAATGATTCTTTCCGGCAAACCGTTAATCGTTCAAGCGCCAACAGGAATCGGAAAAACTGCAGCATTTCTGATACCTGCGATTCAAAAAGTCATCGATATCAAAACGTAATTTTATTATGAATATTTAACGAACCTGATTCGATTTTTCAGTTCAAACCGGGCGAAATATTCAGTTCCAACTCCATATGTTTTAATTCTCAATAACACTAAACATTTGGCTGATCAAACATACGATAGATCACTTTTGATGGTTGGAATGATGCCAAATGATCAATGTCGAAATATTGATGAAGTCTATATTGATTCGTATACTGCGGGAAGAAAAAATCAAATGAAACTGAATTGTGATATTGCAGTGGCCACGATGGGTGCTCTACAAGATAAATTGAGCAATAAGCAGGTGAATACAAAGATTTATGAGATTTGAAATGAGACAATTTTAGCGTGACCCACACTTGGCGAGAGAGTGTCCCAAAATTTTTGTGCAGCGTGAAAATTTTTTCAAAAATTAAAATTGTGCAGCGTGAAATTTTGAATATTTTCATCGAAATCCGCTGAAAATCAATGAACACTTCCTTTTTTTGTGAAAAAATGGGCAGTGAAATGAAAAAAAATTTGAAAATTTTTATTAGCTTCCCGCCCGAATCGAAATTTTGGTTTGGGCGGGAATTTTTATTTGAAAATTTTTGTACAGTATCCTTTTTAGACACGTCTCGTTAGGCGTGGCGTGACCTCAGTAATCGAAATTTGAATTTCATTCTGAAATATGAAATATGAAATATTATTTCGGATTTTTTGGGACTCTGTCTCACGAAAGAATGAATCAAAAATACAGACACTTAGCCATGCACCTTTAAAATGTATCAAATGTTTCAAAATACAAATAATTTTCAAGATTTCTCTGTCACGTCTAAAATTGCTGATAATCGATGAAGCTGACAAAATGACATCAAGAGATGCATTTGGATGTGAAGTAGAGACGATTTATGATAATTTGGATGACGAAGTTAAAGAGGATTTGCAAGTTTGTTTTTTCTCAGCTACTTATGCCGATGATGAATTGGGAAAGGATGATGATTTGATTTTAAAACTTATAAGGTGAATTTTCCTTTTTATTATTTTCCATCAATTATTCATCAAAACTATTCAGAAATTATGAAGAAACAAGTAAGATTTGGATTCCAGCAATGCCTGGACATATTACACAAAAAGTGATTACAATCAATACTGGTTATGATTCGTTTGATTATATTCAAAAATTGAATCAGGTCATGAAAGCAATTGATTTGGATTTGAAAAGAACTGGATGTTCGAAAGAAGGACCTTATGAAGAAACGATTGGAGTATTTGTAGAAACTTGTGGAAAAGTAAATATGGTTGCTTATGCTCTTCAAGCTGCTGGCTATAATTTTTGGCCAGTTAGCAGTAAAATTGACAAAGCACAACAGAGAATCAATGTGAACAAGTTGAAGACTAAGAAGATTCAGGGAATTGTCACCACAAATATTTTGGCCAGAGGAACTGATATTTCATCCATTAGACATGTTAGTTTTTTAAAATACCCTAAACATTGAATTGAGTTTTGACCCACGTTTTTTTAAACTATTGAAATTTTGAAATGTATCTTTTTATGCCATAAGAGTTCAGAACATTTTGATTTTTAGTCAGAACTCCACGTGGAAAAGTTTTTTCTGGAAATTTCTCCTAGTTTTTTTTTGTGAAAAATGAGTTTTTTCTCAAAATTTTCGAATTTCTCACTTTCAAAACTCAAATAATAGATTATTTATAATACATAAAAACCTCTCGATTTTTCAGATTATTGTGATGGAAATGTCAACTGATTTCCATACTTATCGTCATCGAATCGGTCGAACTGGTCGAGCTGGACACGGAGGAAATGCTACTGTTCTTCTCAACCCAAATCATTATCGTCGTCAAGATCAACTGGTTGTGATCAATTTGGTGGAGGTAACTAAAAATCACAATTTTTCGAAAAGTAGCTACAGGGTGCGCCATAAATACCCGGACAGCTATAATACAATATATTTTTCCAAAATAGAAAAGTTTTTTGTGTATGGTTTTAAAAATACTTAATTAGGTCCCTAACGAGTAAATTAAAATCAAACTCTCTTAACTTGGTCAATTCTACGAGTCGGGAGAACATGTAGAACTTCAGGGAAAATTTCATCACGGCACGCAGAACAATGAAAAAGTGGTCTCGCTATTTTTGGATGAAATTATTTTTATTGCGAAGGCTTTATTTGAGTTGTAAAATGTTTGAGGGGTTGTCAGAGAGTCCCAAGAAGCCAAGAACAAATATAACATTGTCCACCATGTCTCACACCAAGTTTGGGTGGAGATTTCAGGAACAGTCTGCTTCATTGGGAGAAATCATTGATCTCCATTGATTTTGGGGTCAAAATTGGGAGCAAAGTTGAAATAAATGTATTTCTGGACTAACATATGTACCTAAGAATGAAAATCAACCTCGATAACAAACATCAAGTGCTCCAGCCAATCACAGTACACAATAAAAGATAAAATCTCCCAAAATCGCTGTTGAGAAACAATTTTTTCGATTTGAGCAACGTTTTTTAAATTGATGTTACTTTTGTCAGAAACGAACCCATTGCATAATTCCTTTCAAATTAGTTATCGGAAAGGTTCTAGGTAAACCTCCAATCATGTATTTAGACTATACAGAACCTAGTTTTCAAGTATTGGGACAATATGTCCGACAAATGGCAGCGTGCCAAGATGAAATTTTCCCCAAAGTTCTACAAGATTTCCCAACTCGTAGAATCGACCAAATTAAGAGAGAATGATTTTAATTTACTCGTTAGGGGCCTAATTAAGTATTTTTAAAACCATACACAAAAAACTGTTCTATTTTGGAAAAATATATTGAATAAATAGCTGTCCGGGTATTTATGGCGCACCCTGTATTTTCTTTCAGTTTTTGCATGAAAATGAACAAAACATTCCCGAGTGGATGGCAATATTCTTCAACAGTTGGCAGGAGCAGATGAAAAATGCGTGTTAAATAATTATTGCTTTTTTTGTACTTATTTCATATAAATTTTATTATAAAATAATCTGGGGAAAAAATAAATTAAAAATGCGCAAAAAACAAGTAAAATATAGGCATTGGTGGTGGTATTTTGGGGGAACAAAAACAAGTTTAGGATAAGAAAAAAGAGCATTCCAAATCCTCCCTAAATTAAACAATAATAAAACCCGATAATAGAAGAGACTTGGAATAATATCATCATCAATTCATTATTTTACAATTCATCGTGTTCCTTATCCTCGTCTTCTTCAGCTTCTTCAGTTTCTTCTGGCTTTTCAGCCTCCTTCTTCTTTGCCTCTTCTTCAGCCAATTTACGGGCGGCTTCATCAGCGGCTTCCTTCTTTTCCTTTTCAGCAACCTTCAATTTGTCAAAGGTTTCAGCGGCATGAGCTTGAGCTTCTTCCAATGAATCAGTGACGATGATGTTGTCGAAGATGGTTCCAGATTTAACCTGAAATAATTGAAGAATTAGAAAATTGTTCTAATTATAAAAAAAAAAAAAATTATTTACCTGCCACAAATCGAAACCGATGGCTCCGAAATCTTCATAAAGGTAGAGTTCATCATCTGGAGTGTATTCTGGGTTGTCAATTTCTGGATGAATCCATTTTCCTTTGTATTCTGGGTTCTTGATTTGTTTTGGTTTCCATTCTCCCTTGTATTCTGGATTATCAATCATTGGTGGTTCCCATTCTCCATCCATCTCATCATCCCAATCTTCTGGTTGTTTAGCATCTGGATCTGGAATATGTTCTGGCTTATCCCAATCTTCTGGCTTGCTATCTTCAGCATCATCAACATATTCTCTCTCATCCCAGTCTTCTGGCTTCTTTGCGTCTGGATCCTTGATCTTCTTGGCTGGCAACAAATCCCAGTCTTCTTCCAAACTTCCGGTTTGAGCACTCTCTCCGTCGATTTGAACTTCGTAGGTGTTGTCAGAGTTGAGGATAAGGGTGTACAAATGGGTGAGTTCATCGGATTTGCAAGTGATTTCTTTCTTGATCAAATGGTTCTTTCCTTTGTATGAGAGAATAACGTGGACACGACGAGTTGGACCGCAAATATCTGGACCGAACATGATGTTGTATGGGGTTTCACCGTGGAATCCGACAAGATCGGCGTCAGAGCGCATAACTTTGACGTATCCACCTCCACAATCGATTCCTTGTTCGTGTTTGACGGTGTATTGAATAACAACACTCTTTCCCTTGTTCGAGAAAGTTTTGTCGAATTTGGCGGCACGTGAGTAGAATTTGGCATCTTGGCTAGTTTGGATTCCTTGATCGCGAGATTCAACATCGAAATATTTTCCAGCTGACAACTTGAAGGCTCCGAAATCATCCTTGTGGTTAGATTGGACCCATCTTTGTTCCCAAGTGTTATCTGCAAAAAAAACCGTTTAGTTATTTTCAGAAAAAATAGAAGAAAACTAACCATTGAATTCTTCTTTGAAGTAAACTTCGGCCGAAACGAGGGCCACAACGGCTAAAAGACACACAGATCGCATGTTCTTTGAGATTGAACCAACACCAAGTCTGAAATAAAAAAAAAAATATAGATAAAGTTGATGTTGCAAGCGAAATCAAGACTGAAACTGAAAGGAGAATGATGAACAAATTTAAACAAGCCAGTATACGAGAATATAAAATCATAATAGTGGTTGGCTCGCGAGGTGCCACTCGCCGATTGGGCCACGTCAGCAGCCAACCAATCAGAGAACGCCACTCGATGTGGAAAATGGGCGGCGTTTTGCAGTATGTTGTTAGAACCACGTCGGATGAATAGGGAAAAGAAGCGAGCGTCGCTTTGGTTAATGGTTAGAGACGGAGAGCGGGTTTCGAGAAAGAGTTGGTAAATAGAAAGTGTGGAGAATGAGGAGAGATTAGAGAAAGGGCAGTTAGGATGGGATAGCTAACTGCGGGGCCGAGAAAAAGAATGAGTTCAAGGTGAATTTTTCGCGATGTTCATCGGCAAGGCGCAACTTCCCCCGGCTGAACAAATAGAAGAAAAAACAACGCGAAATGCTTTTCAAAATTTGACGGGGTTATTTTCAAAAGTTCGCGAGGTAAAACAATTCTCGTTTTGCTGAAGTATTCAAAATTCTTAATAATTTTCTTTATTAACTTGGTTGTGGGTTACCCAGCAGATACCATGTTTGAAAACTGAATTCAATTTTTTTTTCGGAAAAAAATCACAAAAGTAAAAATTTAAATTCTCGCGGCCCCGCGCACACAAATCGTCACGAGACCATTCCCTGAATTTTGAAAATGTTTCTTCTCCTCGTTATTTTCCTGTTTTCGTTTTATTTACAGAATTTTTCAAAAGCGATTTTTATTGAAAAAAACGCAATAAATTTTATATTATACATTTTCCTATTATTGTTGTACTTTGCATAGAAACGTGGATTCATAGCCATGACGACGCACAAAGTTTCAGGAGGAGGGGAAGAGCACTTTTTATCTATCTTTTTGATATAAAACAAAAGAAAAAAGACGAAAGGGGGAGATAAGAGAAAAGAAAATTTGATATATTTATGCACAGAAAAATAAATAATTTAGTGATACATTAGTTAGTTAGTTGACCCAGATACATTGGCAAATAACAAAAAGGGTTGTGGTTGTGAGTAAATAATCGGAAAATAATAGATTAATGTTAGGACTTTGTGAGCACAATAATTGGTTCGCATTCGCAACGAACTCGAGCGCGAGAAATCTAAAAAGATGGGTTAATTGGATTTTCAAAGATGAAGTGAGTAGTATATAAAAGAAAAGAAGAGTGGAGTGGACAAGGGTTCAGAATTTGTGACCTTTTTCTTTTTTTTTCATTTTTATTCGTTGCAGAACAACTGTTGAAATTGCGAAAAAAAGATAAGATAAATAGTTAGTTGACCTATGTTTCGAGGGACTTGGTTATCATGATTGAAACTTTTAAAAATTAGACATACATCAGTTCCCCAAGAAACGGCTTTTCTTACAAAAAGTCTGACTCGATCGCAAGATGATGTTAGATATTTGATACTGTATTTGACTCCAAATTTTCCATCAAAATTCATTGGCTCTTTGGAAATTTTGGGAGAAAATTCGCTTGTATGAATTCCCGAATATTTCTCGAGTTTTTGAATATTGTGGTCCATTTTTGATAGATTTTCGGGGATGTTTGCATAGTTCCATGTTGTGAAAATTTCGATTTCACCACCAGCACAAGTTCCATTGCGAATACTGTAAATTTTTAAATTTTTTAATGAAATTTCACAATGTACGATTCTTCAGAAAAAAGAACCTACATATTGTTTCTGACCACTGGAGGACCTGCAGGGTGAAATAATTCATTGATACCATTTTTGAAAAATGAAAATAAATCGACTGGAGCATGACATGTAAAAACCTGAAAAAAGGTTTTTCTATTCGGAAATTTCAAGTAATCTTACCAATTTTGAATTCATCAAAGTCAAAATCAGAAGACAGTTCATTTTCAATTGAAAAAATTTAAAAATCTATATATTTATTCTAGAAAAAACTCGTTTCATACAAATATTTAATCACAAAATGGTTTTGTCGTTCATCTGAAGTCGCCATGAACAAAAATGTGTTTCTCGTAAAAACTGTTGACTTTCGGGAAGCGTTGGAAGACTAGCAATCATTTCTCCTGAATTTTTTAAAAATTAAAAATCTGTAAGATCCGAAAATTAGACTAGCCTTGCTTGAATTTCGAGCGAATAAAATTGATGGCTTGGAAAAATGCGGTGGCTGCGTGAGAAGATCGGCAAACTGACGTCGGAGAATATGGATCAATGATTTGAAGTTTTACATCACCAAAAGTTTGTTTTCTCTTCAAAGCCAATCCTTTTTCGATATAAATTGCTTCTTTCGATGGATTGAAATGACTATAATAATCAACAAATCGAATAATCAGTTCAGAAATTGTCATTTTGTTGTGAGATTGAAAATCTGAAAATTATAAAAAATATTTTTTCCATTATCTTCATAAAATAAAAATATCTTACCAATGATTGGTGGATCTTGTTTTATAAAATCTGCGACTTGTGAAATAGACAAATCTGCCGATACTAGATTTTGATGATTTTTTGAGAGCACCGGGAGAACTGGCCAAGGCGATAAAGCTTGCTCGCTTTGCAAAAAATGCACAACTAATAACAATAGATGATAAGATGATAAAAGTCCGTATTTACTGTTTCGAATTTCTAATCGATCACAAATTGTTCGCAGCCAAAGAAACAATAATGTAAATCTTTCATCACATTGTTTATAACATCGAATAAGTTGAGTATTTCGAATCGCATGATAATTCTCTTCAGGAAATTGAATATCCATACTCAAACCAGATTCAAATTGAATAATTAACAATGGAACTCGTAATCTTGGCAATTCTACAATCTTTTCAACCGGTTCTCCGAGTTTTCGACTTTCTCTCTCTAGAAGTTTTGCAAAAACGTTCATAAAATTTTGTTTGAAACTTGGATTTTGATGGAAGTCTCGTAAAAACTTTCGGCGTTGCTCATCGTTTTTTGGAAAAAACACAAAATCGAAATCTGATTGTTTGTTGACAAATTTGGTAACCATTGATCCGACACATATTAATTCAGCCATCGAATTTTTCAACACACGATTATTTAAATCCTTGAAAAAATGACGAAATCCTGTGTTCTTTTTGATTTCTATCCGCTGCTCATTCAATTCATCAACTTGTCGATCTAATTTCACCAACTTTTCCGGATATTTCACTTTTATATATTCACAAAACGACAATGTTGGCAGAATTTTTTCTTAATTTTAATAATTTTGTCTTTGATGAGAACAGACAAGCAAAAAAATTACTCACTTTCGATCGATGAAGATGGTCCAGCATCACATATTGTCGTGAACCTTCTCAAGAATATACTTGATATATTTCTCATCTAGAACGTAGAACATCAATTCGTGAAATGAAAAAAATAAAATAAATGCGCGTAAAATAATGTGCATCTCGTAAATCGACACATCTGCAAACACTGGAAAAGGGCACGGTCATTTTTTATTTATTTATTCAAAGTTGTGAATACTTTTTTCACTTCGTTTCAGGGCGAACAAATAGAGACAGAGAGAGCGTGTAGAGTGCGAAAGAAAAAACCGCGAAACTGAAAATACCGCGAAATTTTATAAGGCTGGCAATCAGCCAACTGTTTGGGTCTTGAAGCGATGGTCCATGAATTCTCATTTTTAAAAATTTTTCGGGGTTTTTTGTGTCTGCGTCGCGTTTTCTCTATTTGTTCGTCCCAACACAGGGTTGAAACGAAGTGTTTTTTGCAAAACAGTGGGAAAATTCCTTGTACATGTACAATGATGGCGCCTGTAAAATAACACACATGCATATCTAACAAACAATGTGAAAACAAATGAACATGTTATCCTGTTAGATTTTAGAAACTGGATGTTTAATCAAAGTTATTAGTTATTACAGGACAAATGGTCTACAGTAATTATGGCACAGACATGTTCTATGAAACTTACTTCACTCGAAATTAAACCATTTGTCCGAATGAATAAAATTTGAAATAGTTTTTTGTTGGATTTTTTACGTGGCGTAATTAATCAAATGCTCCATTTCTAATTTTTGGGCAGTTGGTCTGGGTGGCTTGAAGCACCAAGGAAAAATTGGAAGTTTGAAAACAATTGGTGCATTCATATAGATATTTTTTCACAATGAAATTTCCAAATTTCTCAAAAATCAAGCTGAAACCTGATTTTTAAATTCATAAATCCTAGACCCGCAAATGTGAATAGTGTAGGATGTAGATCACGCGGGATTTCAACAATTTTTCGTTGTTTATATATCGATTATTTAGCAGTCCACACGAACATTTCAAGAAAAACATTTTTTGAAATGATTTTTTTTATTTTGTCGAAAAAAGTGTTCACGTTATTATTTTAAGAATAAATTTTCGAAAAAACTCACTCACGCTAGATCTCTTTTTTTCAGCTTGGACGCTCATTTCTTGACATATTTTATTTTGTATTTGGCCTGTCTTCAATTTGTGCTTTCAAATAAAGGTAAGAAGGCGTTTATTTTTCTTTCTATGACCCAGATAAATTGCAGATTGCTTGAGAATTCGGAATTGAGTGAGCCGATGCTGGTTGTCCACTCCAATTAAAATGATGAAAACAAAATGAATTTGAGCATTTGGTTTGAGGAAACAACTGCAACTCATGTCAGGTTAGTTTAATGGGTTTTGGGTTTGGTTTTGGGTAAAAGAACACAGTGATTTGTGTAAAGTTAAATTATATCAGGTAAGTTTGGGGTATAATGTATAATTTGAAACGAGTTATGCACTCTCAGTTGCTCACAAGCCAGGACTTGTGGAAAAAGAGGAAAATCCCTTAAAATGTTATTTTTTTATTTTTTTTATTTTTTCTATTATTTTTATAGTTTTTTTTTAATATTCCACATTCCGGGAAATAGATCTCTCCCGCGAAAAGTAAATACGTGACATTTTGAATTTCATTTTCGAAATCTAAGAATTTCTCCAACAAAAGTCTTCAGTTGTTCATTCCAAAAAAATCAAATCATTTTCTTACAAGGGAACCTTTTTTACTCAACACTTCAAATCATGATGAAATTTGGTCCATGGACAGCTTTTGGGACCATAAGAACACCCTAAAAATTTTAGTCTCCCAATGGACCTCTGAGCCAAGTTCTGGGCTCTCAAAAGTTCAAAAAAGGCCTAAAAATGGTCATAAAAGTCATCATAGCTCCATTTCAAAATTTTTTTTGGGAGAAATAAAGTTTCAGATATTGATCCGCATAGTCGATTACCTAAAAGTACATCAATAAAAACCTTTATTTCGAAAAATTTTGAACTTTTTTATTTTTGAGCTGAAAATTCATGAAAATTCATATGTGCCCCTGCTCATTCTTTTTTTTTAAATCGAAAATTTTTCTGAAAATTTGATTTATTTATGTTTTTTGGGTAAATCGACCACGCTGATCATCATCTGCTACTCAGTTTTTCATAAAATTGATCGAGAATTGAGTTATGACGTGTTTTATGAGCCAATTTTGGCAATTTTTGAACTTTTGAGAGCCCAGAACTTGGCTCAGAGGTCCATAGGGAGACTAAAATTTTTAGGGTGTTCTTCTGACCCCAAAAGCTATCTATGGACAAAATTTCATCATGATTTGAAGTGTTGAGTAAAAAAGGTTTCCTTGTTAATATCATCAACAAATTCATACATTTCATCAATTTCTTTCCTAAAATATTCGTCCAATTTATTTCGTTTATTTTTCAAAGTCGGTATCGCCAATCCATCCATTGACAAGTTAAAAAGGTTCCGGTGTCAAATAGACATTTTTAATTCCCTCATATCTTGCTCGCTCATGAACTACAGTACTTTTGTAGACGGCTTCGTGGATTTGTCGATTTTTGTAGAGTTCTTCCAATGTTTCATTAATTAGGCCAAGTTCGTTTTTTAGCAAATTTTCTATAAAACAGAATAAAGACATTTTTGATTTTGAAACTTCAGCATGTATGGAATTTTAATTGATTAATTGATGTCCTCCCAATTTTTCTTATTCACAACAATGTTCTTCTACTTCTCTTCCAATTTTATTGCATTTGTTGACAAACTTTATTTATTCAGTTACCATAACAAGAAGTACAACAATACCCTTTTTCTTCTTTGACTTTTCACACCAAAAAGGGCAAACAAACAACCCTCGTTTTACAGTATTTATAATCTTAAAATTGACCATCTCCACCTTTTTCTCTCCCTCAAAATTATTTTTCAAAAAAAAACAGAAAGAAAACCTGTTTTTTTCATTCAACGATTTTCAGCCTTTTTTTTGTCATAATATATTTGTTGAGAACTAGTTCTGTTGATATTCTTTTTTTCTTGGGTGAATCTGGTTTTGTTGCGATATCAGTTTGTTGCAATTTTAAACGATTTTTTGATTGAAATTAATTGAATCGCACTTTTTTTGTCAAAAAAAGTTTTATCAAATTTATCAAAAGTATAATTATGATGTTATTGTGACCTTTTTATAGAAAGAAAAAAATCGTGGCAGTAAAAAAAATCGTGGTATCTTTTTTTATAACTTTTTTTTTTGAACCACACCCCATAAATTCTCAAAGTTCTAGATAGTGTAGTTTTATTTCTCAAACAGTATTGTGTTGTGTTGTCAACAAGAAAAAAAAATGAAATTCCAGTTCCCTTTTTTTTTCTCTTTCTTGTCAATGTTACCCTTGTTCATTTTGTTTTTTTTTTCGATGTCACATTTTTCCAATTTACCTGTTTTTTTTCAGTAAATTAAAATTTAAAAAATGCACGACGAAATGATAAATCCCAAATCGTTTTCTCCGGAAATTCTCGAAAAATCGGAAATGTTGAGAGAAATGATTCCATTGGTGCCCGATGTTTTGAATTCGCCATTTTTCTTTGCCCGATTTTTGCAAGCTAATGATGGGGACATCGAGAAGACTCGTGAGAAAATATTGCAACTTTTAGAGCATCGAAGACTGCTAAAATATGATGTGGCAAGCGATTTGGAAATTTTCACAAAAGTTGCAATTGGGAAAGATTGTTTTGAAGTGAGTGAAGTTTTCAGTGTGACCTTGATGTTTACCACGGCTTTGTAAACATTTTCTAATGTTTTCAGCGTTTCAATATTTCATTGATTGATTATGACATCACTTCAAAAAATCTTCACATTTTCGTTCAAAAAATGGAGGGAACTGATCTTAAAGAAATAATGAAAGTTATGCCACTCTCATATGTTGTTCATTCATATTACATGCTCCAAGAAAACTTTTCACGAGCAATGGCTCATACAGAAAGAATCAGAGGAAAACCATCATCCGTTGTTTGCATTTTGGATTTGAAGGGTCTTAATCTCACTGATTTTTTGAATCCTATTTCTGGACCTGCACAATTAGCAAGACTTGTTGTCAAAGTTTGGGCTGATTATTTCAGCGAACATTTGTGCAAGCTTCTAATTATCAATTCTCCTGGTATTTTTTCTGTTATGTGGCAAATTACAAAACGTTTGATGGACACAAATACACAGGAAAAATTGGCATTTTTGGGAAGTGTTGAGGAATTGAAAAAATATTTGGAAGTTGATGCGATTCCAGAGGAATACGGTGGAACTTATCGAGATGATTCTGGATACGCTGATCCACCAGAAGGATGTTGTAGACCACCTTTGGTAATCGAAAAAACTGATCATAAACCTGTTGAACATATTTGGATTGAGAATGGTATTTTGAAAGCGCCGAAATCAAAAACCTACACTGCAAAATCTCATCAATCAGTTGAAGTTGTATGGTCAGTAAAGAAACGTTTTTCTATCGCTAACATTCCTTTTCCACCTCATCTCACCTCATTTTCAATGTTTTTAGCAAATCATCAACAACCGGTAAACTGGTTTGGAGTTATACATCGAGTGGCGACGTCGATTTTGAGATTGTAAAACGAGATTCGGGCAAAGAATTGGCTGTCTGGCCAAAAATAACAATCACAAGTTTGAAATTGCCTGAATTCGGCAGTGTTCCCGTGACACCTGGAGAATATGTTTTGCGATTCGTGAATCCAAGTCACACGTGGTTCCCCGTCAAAATCAATTGCTCAGCTGATATAATAAATGTAAATAATTAATTGTACTTTATTAATTTTCTTGGAAAATGAGAAAAAATGAAAATAAATATTATTAATATTTTCTGCGATAAAAGAAGTAGAAAAGTATAATTAATTGGAGAACAATTAGTAAAGATATTGAGGCTGTCAGAATATTGAAATGGGCCGCATTCAAACAATATCCTTCATTTTTGAAGATCGAATCAGATTTGGAAGATACTAAAAGTTCAGCATGAATCAAATCATCTGCTGGATCTTCAGCAGTTGTTAACGATCTACGACTTCTAGCAGTACATTTTGACTAAAAAAGATCGAAAGATTTTTGAAAAATATAAATTTCTAACCTTTTTACACTTCTTACAATACTTCACTTCACATTCGATTCTCACTGATTCTCCTTGTCTGAATCGGAAAGCTCTGAAGGGTAGAATGAAACCTTCAGAAGATTCTTGAATTTCGCCACGGAGCACATATTCTTTGGCATTTTGTGTGGCACATCTTCAAAAAATACAGTAGTTCAATTTTTTTTTGTAAATTTTAGTTGCGTACGTGAAAAGTTTTCAACGAACATTGTGAAACTTTTTTTTATTTTCTGTTTTTTTTTCTATAAGTTTTGCTCCAAGTTCTTCCCAAAAAATGCTTCCCTTTCCATTTTTCTCCTCTCACACATATCTCTCACACAAAAATGTCAACACATTTTTTCTCTGTCTCTATGACATTGGTGTGTGGCCGAGTGGTAAATGTTTGGTTTGTCAAACAAAAGGTCGCGAGTTCAATTCCACCTGTCGCCTATGATGGTTATTCATGCGTGTCAGCTGATTACTTTGATTAGAACCACCCTTGAGGTTAGACTTGCTGAGGTTACTTTTGCTCTTTTTAATTGTTGTACTCACCCATTATTGATCAAAACAATTTTCTCATCATTTTCCGAGTCAACAGCAATACATCGACGGATATAAACTTGTCCTTTTTCCATTTTTGGTGCTTTAAAAATTAAATCCAAACTTTGTCCAAGTTGTACTTGTTTTGCTGACAATGTTTCTCTTTTATTTCGTAATTCCATACTCATTGGTTTCATTTTCACTGGTCCATTTAATTGCAGATTTGAATAGTTTGGCGAGCGAAGATTCATAGATTTTGCAACAACAATCGATTTTTTCTGATTCGAATAATCACAACGAACTTTGAAAAGTTGATCATCTACAGTAATCAAAGTGTTATTTCCATTTTTCAAATTTTTCGACACAACAACTACAGCTTCTAAAATATCTCCATTTTTCGAAACCGGACAAAAAGTTGAGTTATGAGGAATGTGCAAAGTAGCATGGCCTTCCGAATTTATTGATGCTGAACAATTTTGATGTCCATTTCTAACATAAACTTGTCCCTTATCCAAAACCGAATTCGTTGTTATTTTTACTGTCATTTCTCCATAATTACAATGTGTTGCAATTCGAATATCTTCCATGTGACTTTTTCCAGCAGAATGAAGTTTTGGTCGATTTGTTTTCTTTGATGATTGTTTCTTTTTCGATTCTCCCGCTTTCTTTTCATCTTCCTTTTTCTCTTTTTCAATTGCAAAAGTGATAACATTTAATGAGAAAATCTTGCAACCTGTAGATTCATCATCACTAACAACTTCAGCTGATAAATCATTGCTCAAATAACACGATTTATCCAAAGTATAACTTATCGCTTCACAACTTTTTGTTGGATGTGTCACACAAAGTTGCATACATTGATGAAGTTCAACATTTTTTGAGATTAGTTGACCTGTTGGATTCTTCGAACATGTTCCGAATTCATCAAAGAGTAATGCACTTCCATCATCTAAATCATCAACATCCGCACATAATCTTTGAGCAACTAAAGGCAATGACATTTTTCGTCTTGTGACAACGCAGTTTGTGCCATTTGCAGATTGATAAACAAATTGGCAAGTTGAATCAAGTGTGCATCTAGAAAATGTTTGATTTCAAGATGTCTTATATTTTTTTTTAGAATTCTTACTCTTCTAAACATTTCGATTTGATTACATTATCATATGATACATATAAAGAGTTACAATGTTTGTTGTAACTTGAACAAGCATTAGTTATAACCTGATATTCATCATTGATAAAATCCAGAATCTGTCCCGAAGGATCAAAGGAAACAACAAAGCACTCGGAAAATATCTCATTATAAACTACAAAATCACAATCTTCACAACGATCCACACATTTTTCCAATCCTCCTTTTCCATCATATAATTTTGTTTCACCGCGAACTTCAATTTCATCATAACCAATCATACGATACGCATTCAAACAATGTTCGACCGATTCTAAAATATATAAATACTATTTGTTTAGTGAGAAAAAATAAAGGCATTATATAAAATCATTGATGCGTTTACCTTTAACACCTTGTAGTTCCATATAGAAGACAGGATAACCGCTTGTATCCATTTTCAAGTTGGCGGAAGTGCTGGATGCCGAATTTAGCAAACAATCTTGGCTTTCTGGATAGAACATGAGAGAAACACATGGGAAAGACTAAAGAAACATATTTGGTGATAGTTTCACAATTAAAGGATTACTGTACCTTCTCCTTCGCGCATTCCTCAACACATTTGAATTTGTTTTCTGATTTTACGATTTTTTGAGTGTGATCTATCAGAATCCGATCAGTCCATTCGAAAGCAATTAATTTGTTTGGAATTTCTGAAATGTTAGTAGTTCTGGATTCTGTTGGTAGGAAGCTGTTAACGTAGCTATAGGGAAATATCTCTAGACATTGAAAAAATCTTTTAACCATATTTTTTTGGAAGATCAAAACCCTTTCCTTTTTCATTCCAAAACTCACTTTTAACACAAGTTTTCTCAATATAATCCGTCTCATTGATACTTCCGAAAAAATTATTTTTGTCAATCGTAATACATCTTTCACCACCATCTTGAAATACAACACCTGTACAATTTCCAGTAGCGCAACTCGTAAAACATGCCGATGCCGAGTTAGGTAATTTTGTGCCACCGGGAACCACATAAACTGCAGTCAAACCTTTATCCGTACACCCAAAGGTATACTGTAGGAGGAAAGGTAATATTAGGAAAATCATTGATATGAATATGAATATGAATAATTTTTATTCTTTTTTGTTTGTTCAAAAATACAGGAGAAGAAAAATGAGTGAGGTGCCGCCTAGTTTTGACCTACATTACATTGGTATACAAAATGGTTGTGATTTGAAATGTTCCGCTAGACTGATCTTTATTATTGTTATTATGCTTCTTCGGCTTTTTCTAAGCGTATCTTCTCTTTCAAAGATTGCAACATTCTTTCTTTTGCTTCAAAACTTCCCAATTGATGGTTTTCGTCGATTTTTTCAAAAATCTCTTGTGGAATAAATGGAACTTCTGGGATATTTGATGGCGAAGATTGTGGAATTTCTTCTTTTTTAACACGTTTTCTAGTGACCTTCTCCTTTTCGGTCTTCTCTTGAACGTCAACTTCATTTTTTGGTGGTTCTTCTTTTCTTGGCGGTGGAATCCCTCCTCCCCGCTTTTCCGAATCTCTGACAGCCGATGCGAGAACATTCCGCTCTTCCGAAACAGTTATATGTTCCGGAACGGGTGACTTTTGTTGCGCGAAAACATCATTCAAAGATTGTAGCATCGCCCCGCGACAAACGCCTGAACAAAAGATTTTTGTCATGGATCAATGATTTTTGAAACAACATACCAACATCCGAAGTGACCCGTGTTGCTAGCGGAATTCTTCCCAGAAGTTGATCGAGTGATGGAAGATTTTCGAGAGGTAATTGAAGTGCTGAACTACAACGATCTTCTTCGAACATTGTTGCATCAGCATCATCCTGTGGACCAGATGTCATGAAATCAAAATCAAGAAATTCTTCAGCATCTAATTCGGAGCTTGTTTCTTCTTTTAGACTGGCTGTCGAACTGAAATAATTTTTAGATTTCAAACTAAAACATTATAGATGTGTTTGACTGATCTTCATTTAAATAGAAATAGTTTTTTCAGTCCAATCAGAATATTTAACTTTTTTTTTTCCAAAGTCTGAATTTTCCGGGTATGAACCAATCAAAATGTATACTACTATTTTCAACTCACATTCTCTTGAAACATGGACTAATCAAAGCAACATCAGTTCCTCCTGGACTTCTTTCTCGATTCATATTCACCATATTCCGATGTCCTCCATCTTTTCTCCGAATTTTCCCATGTTTCAAAGATTTTACAACTTCCATAGGTCCAGCCATTTCCTCTTTTTTCTTTGCTTCCTGATTAATTCGTCTATTTTCCTCTTCTTTTTCAATCGCCTGAATTCTACTCTCACTATTCGGTTCAATTCCAGTGATTTCCAGACAAATACTTTCCATTGGTGCTGGATCTGGTGGATGACATCTTTTCGGATCAATCATCTGATTCATACTCAAAATACACAAAACATATGGAGCGAGTTGTTTGGCGGCTGTTAAAACTTGTCTAGCCGTTTCGCGGAGAGATAGGACTTCTCCAACTTTTTCGCGATAAATTATTTGTTGTCGACGAACACGATCGAGTTGCTCCTGCCAGATTTCTTGCATCTCACTTTGCATTCCATCAAGCGCAGCAGAATGCATTCCAAGTTCAGCTTCCAATCTTTTGGAACTAAAAAAAACTGATAGTTCATTTTTTTGTTCCAGAAGTTCCCAACTTACATTCCGATCAATTTATCCACCGAATCTTTTTCGATTAAACATCGTCTAGTTGTCAAATCCCGTTGAGTTTCCAAAACTTGTTGACCAGTTTCAGCTAACTCGCCAATCAATTTTCGAAGAGGATCTGCAATTATTTTCTCTCACATTCTTCATATTCAATAAAAATGTTTCTTACGTTCAACTCTTCCGAAAAGTTGTCCAAAGGCTCCAGCAAGATCAATAGTTGTTTGGAATTTCGATAACATTGGCATTGATCCACGTTTATAACTATTCGAATTTTCGCGAGATGCACTTATTGGACACCAAGCAGCACTTAAACCAAGATATGGTTCGAGAGCTTTTGCCAACTCACTTCGAGCTTCTAAATTGTCTGGAGCTGTTGTTGATGGAAGTTTGTCAATTGTTTTATCCAGAATAACCTAAGTTACAAAATAAAATCATTATTATCTCACAAAAACAAGATAATTTCACTAACATGTATCCTTTTTTGAAGTTGTCCACACAGTTGTAAAACATCCAATTTGCTCGCCGTCGTACACATAATCTGCGACGAAAATAAACATAGCCTAACTGGACTTAAAATTGCCTCGATATCCTTGATTTGTTTTGCACATTGTTCACCAGACACATTTTTCTGTTTTTCGAGTTCTCTTATTAATTTTTCTCTAGTTGTCATAACTGTATCAGTGATTTGTTGGCAAATTTGAAAGATTGATTTTTTGGAATCTTCGAAATTAGCCTCATTTTGCTCTAAAATTCGCTGACGGACACCGAGCTCTTCCAACCTTTCTGTCTAAAATTGATACGTATTTTTTAAGAATAAAATTTTCAATAGAATTTTCAAACCTGATAGAATCTGAGTTTAGCTGCCGATTGTTCGATTTTTTCCAAACACATTCGATGTCCTTGATCAATTGATATAAAACTGTGTCGTTCTTCCAATGGTCGACCATTGAAACATTGAATACATACAAGTTTCCGAACATCCGAACAATATAAAATATATGGTTCACCGTGTTCTTTACACAAAGAACTTCCATAAACTTTGCTTCTCTCATCCGAATTTATGATTTTATGCGATGAAAACATTCTTGCTTGATGTGTTGCTTGTCTACAATTCAAACACAAACTTTGTTGACAAGTTTCACAATAAAACATCGGAAGAGATAATTTCTCACAATTTGCACATTCTTCAATTTCTTCTTTCGAAGCATCGAGTAAAAATGCGGCAATTTTATCAGGTTGCGGTGTTACAGTTCGGGAAGTAGATGGTGTTGATTGTCGAGATGATTGACATCGAGAACAAGATGTTGAATTTGATGGACGACATCGACGACATACTGTATGATGACAGGAGAGTAATAGAGGTTCTGATAATTCCTAAAAAAGCAAGAAAGAATAAACACGGTTATAATCGGAAAAATCATACATCACGTCCCTTATCTGATATTTTTTTAATCATTTAAAGAAGAAAAAACCAGTTATTTCTAGATGCTAATTCCTTTTGAGAATGGTGAGTAAGATTACTGTAGATTAGTGTGCCTAAGTTTTAGAAATTCTGAAATACTGAATAATTGATTGTATCGACCAAAAGAGATAAAATTGTGAATTTCGGATTCTGGAAACTTTGTAAATCTTTGGCAACTTTCGGAAGCGAATAGCTTCTTGAATTCAACATTTTGAATGATTTAGGATATTTTGAAACACATAAGGAATTTTTTTCTAAAATTATTCCATAAAATTTTAGATGCTTCAAAACGAGTTTTTCTAGAAGTTTTAGACCATTCGAGACAAAATCCTTTTATAATTTCATAGATGAATTAAATTTTGAAACGAAAATTGTACCCATCGATAAGTACGATAATAACAAAATATAAAAAAAATGGCTGACGTCTGAAACTCGAAAATCCACCTTCAATGAAGATTTTGTTCGAAAAGTTCCAAGTCTCCCATTTTTTAAGAATTTTCCAAAAACAAAATGAGGTTCTAGACAAAACTTACATTTTTACAAATAATACACCCGAGTGGATTTTCTTCCATTTTCAGTACAATTAACTTTTTTTTTGAAATTCAATTCATAGGTTTAAATAATAAAATAAGAAACTTCATGAAAAAAATGGAGAGACACAGAGATAAATAGAAAAACTATTGGTTGCTCACTATTTATTGATTGATTTTTCTCTCTTATTTCTTCTTTACACAAAGAACAGAGAAAAAAAGAAAAAACATCTTTATAATATTATTTAAATACTTTTATGATTTTCTCGAATAAATAATTTTCTAACCGAAAGAGTTATACATACACATTTCATTCTCATATTACATAAAGAGGAAAGTTGTTACTGAAAAATACCCTTTTGTTTCAATAAAAAAATATGGAGAAACAAACAATAAATAACAATCAAAGACAAAACATGCTAGTTGAATTTTAATCGATCAATTTTTTGGATTTGAAATAATTTCGGAGGAAGAGGACTTGCCAGATTGCCAAACCCAAAAGGCACAACATTGAGAAAATTGAGAGGTAGAGAACGCGGCTATTTGTTGATTCTGCAAAGAAAAATCAGGATTTTGGAATTAAACTTCAAAATAAATATGAATTTGAAAATGAACTCACCATTGGTATTTCTCATTTCTTCTTCGCGTTGTCTCATGAAAGCGAAATCTTTGGTAATCGAATCAGCCAAATCTTCAAGTCTTCTCAATTCAACCTCCAATGGTTTCAACTTTTCAGCCTTTGCAATGTCATCGTAGTTTTTAGCTTCAACACCATGTTTCAAAATCAAAGAAACTTCACGTTTCTCTCCAGGGTATCCTAAAGAAATTTGAGCATTTTTTCAAAAATTATATGAATTATTTTGAAAATAAAAAAAGCATACCTGCTGGTGGATGACTTTCAACACAAATCTCGAAAATATCATATTCGTCAGCGGTGAAAGCGAATTTACCCTTCAAATCAGCGAAATTTTCGCGTTTGTACAGGGTATGGCCTCGGGTATCGGTGACCTGCAAATTTCAACCATTTTTTGTTTAATTTTATTCTCAAAATAAAAAAAAACAGAAATACTTACATGAATACTTCCGGTATATTGAATTCCTTCACTATATTCATATTCTCCTGTGACAACAACATTTTTATGAATTTCTTCCTTCAAACATTTTTTCTCTTTTGGTCCAACATGAAATCTAAGCGCTTGGGAAACTGCCAAAATTGATAACAATGCCAATAAATACTTCATTCCTTGATTAGGATGATTACCTGAAACTTGACACTTTCCTTTTTTATTTTCAACCAAAAAAACTCGAGAAAAAGAAATGAAAAAACCTCGAAAAACCAACGCGGCGTATGTGATTGTTCGTCAAATGTGGTGTGTGTGCACACATTGGCCGTGACCGTATACCTTTATGCAACGTAAAATACTTTTATTATTGCAAAAATTTGTTTTGCTTCTAATGTTTTGCATGATGGAAAATGAAAAGGAAAAGAAATCAGAATGAATGACATCATTCTAGAGTTTGGCGAAGCATAGAAGGATGCAAAAAGTGTTCGAGCAAAAACTAATTGGGTTCCTTGAGTTTGCAAGCAAATCGAATTCCTTTTTCGGGTTCATTTTTTTGTTGATGAAATTCGAAATATAAGCGGATAACAAGATTAATATTTGAAAGTTTTGATGTTGGGAAATGATTCATTGTTTCATTTTTCAAGGTTTTTTTGAAAATGTGTTTTTGTTTGAAAGTTTTCGACATTTTTTTCTCGGAAAATTCTCAAATGTTTTCAAATTACGATGACTCATGCATCATGATGAAAAAAAATGTTTCCCTCCAAAGTTTTGAATTGAAAATTTTTTCATTTTAATTTTGATTGAATTTTCAATTTGCACATGTTTCCTTCGAAATGAAATATCCGAAATATCGAAACATTTCGAGAAATATTGGCTGAACCTTTTTTCTTCAATTTTTCCGATCATTTCCACCCTTTTGAACGATGGATTTGGACATAGATTCTTTCTAGCTCTCCTGATTTTGTTTCCCAAAAATCACAAACATGTTCCTCCCAACAAATCCGATTTTTCTATCATCCTTTCCTCCCAAAAATTGACAGTAAAGTAGATAATTACGTCCACCCTTTTCTCTTCCTAAATTGGTGGGTTCAAAATAAAAGCCACGATCACTAATGGAATATCCTCTATTAGTCCCTCCTTTCCTCTATTTTGCACCAATGTTTTCCACCAAAAAGTTACTACATAGTAAACTAATTGAAGCATACTACTTATGCATATATGCATACTAGTAGTTGTAGTACAACTCATAAGGAAGGTAAACATTTTTCAAGCTTCACTAATTTTTTGGGCACCCCCCCTCTCGATTTTTTCCGTCAGCTTTCAAATAATAAAAAAAATATATAGGCAGGTGTCTAAATATTCCTCTTCCACCCTGATGTTTCCATTTTCGAGTGGTCATCATTTGAGAAATCTGACACTTTTTTCATTTTTTGTTGGAGATCTAATTACATAAAGATGTATTTGTACATAATTCGTCAAAAAACACACATTTTTGCCGGATGAACTCCTTTTTTTGGTTGAGCTTCTGGGATATCAAGTTTCATCGTACTACAAAAAAGTAGCTGGGTCCAGGTGATTGTGTTACAGCAAAAACACATACTTGAAGGTCGAAACCGGAAGAGTTCAAGAGTTCCGATGGGTAGAGATCTGAGGGGATTTGACTGATGTGAGGAAAAAAAGCGGATATGTGAGAAAATGACAATGATTGAGAAGGTTCCGGACGATTAGTCAGAATTTTCTTATAAGCTGAAAATGTTGAGAAAGTTCCAGAAGAGTGTTTATTTTTCAACACGGCTCGATCGTTTAATTAAATTGTATTTGTTTCGAATTGTTATTTTGAAACAACATCTAAAAATGTTCTAAGTGTCAATTAGACACCAGAAACCAGACACCAGTATTATTTTCAAATACAGTACCCAAGTATCATCTATCTACTTAACCTTTTCATAACAGCTTCACTCCTTTCCCCATTAATTTACCCAAGTTTTTCATTGTTGTTTTTTGTTAGATAGCACGCGTCCCAGTGGTCGGTTATTCAAACAAAGTCAAAAAGCCAAGTTGTTTTTGGTGAGTGCCTCCTGATGGCATAGGAAGCACACAGATGTGCGCGGCTGAACAAACATCCAACCAAAAAAGGCAATACGATACTTTGTTGAACACATTTTCCATCCTCCAACTATTCGATTTTTGAATCTGATCGAGAAGAATCTTATTGGTTTTAGTTTAAAAGTGGGAAAAGGACTTTACAGTTTAAAACGTTATGAATACCGATGGTTTCGATTTGAAAAAAATAAGGCAATCTGAGAGCAACATAGGTTCAGACAAAATGTATGATCGTCCTTGTCCAAGCTTGAGAATCAGATCTAATTAATTTTAAAAAATGAAATTGCAATTTTTCATTTCAACATCTTGAAATTTTGCAACGTCACATCCCAATCCCTTCTTCCTGTTATATTTTAATTTTCCAAATATTTTTCTCAAATCCTCCATTTGGAGCTCGAGCTAAAAATAACAAAAATATGTTCATACATTCGTATATCTAATGTAAGAAGTACACAAGATGATCCTTCTTTTTCATCTAATCCCTTCTTTGCTATTCCTACCAATCAACTAATTAGTTGTGTCTTTTCTACATGTTCAAAAAACGCACCCCGACCTTTTTATGTTTATTTGTTCACGTTTTGCTCTGAATGATGACTAATTCAGGACAGGTCAACGGCTTATGAGTAATTACAATTTTTCTTATTTGTATCTATGCAATGAAAAATATGGAATTATACTATAATAAAACATATTTATGAGCCGAGCTTATCTTTTTTTCCATTTCTTTCATATTAGTATTCCCAAAGCCATTTCACAGCATTTCCGTTTCATTTCAATTTTCCATCAAAAATTGCCAATTTCACCATTGTTGTCAAAAAGGAAAAAGGGCGGGGGGATTACCGCATAATATTTGATGCTCATCTCAAGTTTCAATTAAAAATTCATGGCTCCCCTCATCTTCCTTCTGGCTTCTGCAGAAAGAAACACAAATTTAATTGAATGTGTTTATAGGAGGGGTGAATTTATAACAGTTGGAGAGAAGGGGGAGCGAGTGTTTTTTCTTGGGATGGGTATGTAATTATGACATCTGCCTTCTACAACAATTAGGAATATCACGATACATTCGTTAGTCACTATTGTTTTTCTTTCATTTTTCTGCTCCTGTTTATAACTGATTTATGTTCATATATTTTGCAATAGGACACATAAATAAATTCAAAAAAATATGCACTTTCCAAATTCGAACATTTTCAAAACTCTCACTTTCACAATCACCTGTCAATTCGAATCTCAATCAACTTTTTAATTCAACACTTGCCAATCCATAATTAGCCAAAATGGTGTGTATACAGTAGCCATTTTCTTTCTCATATATCTTGCATACTCATCTCAATTGTATTGCTTTTTTCGACATATACAACCATGTGTCACTTTTTTTGGCTGGTTGGAGATCGAGTTTAGTCAGACATGCTATTTTTTTGGTTGGCTTCTGAAGTTTTTAATATTTTGAAAACAACTTCCTAGGAGATCAATCATTAGAATCGGCCGGCTAACACATGAAGAGTTTCACATCACATTTTTCTTATTGTGAGATTAGATTCTGAATTAAGTTCTGAATGTACCAACTATTTCGTACTTCCAAAAAAATTAGCTGCGGTTTTTTTTTTCCAAATTTTTATTATTTTTTTCTGGCTGGAAACATATAACCAATCATTTTTCATTGACTCGTGTCACCATATCAAATTATACGAAACTAAGTTTATAATCTGATTATCACTTTTCCTTCTGGGTCAATGTGAAAACTTGCTCATTTGCAAACCCCTCACACTTTCTTGCGTCACCTTTTCTCCCAACAACAACATACACAAAAAAAGGGAAGTGTGTCAAATGTACCTGATTGGTGCTTGACCAACACATCTGCAATTGACACCTGCTAACATATAAAGCTTCTCCTTTTCTATCTCCATCTCCATCTTCATCTTTTTTTGGTTTCGCCGACGACCGACCGGAAGAAGGACTCCGCCTTCTGCCTTCTTCATTTGATTGCGTGTTGTGTTTGCAATAAAACCGCACTTCAAAATGTCCTTTTTTCCTTCTCCTTCTTCTTTCTTAAATAAGGAGATGGTCCCTTTTGTGTTATTCATTCTTATGTTAAGTGTTTGTTTTGTTTTTGTTGCTCTTGCTGTTGTTGAATGGTATGGGAAAATGTTGGGAACCCCTCTGAAATTACACTGCACTTTTTTGTTTACTTTTATTTTCCATCGAGAGAAAACTATTATGCAACCAGCTAAAATCAAGCAAAAACTTCTAGTACACTTTGCCATCATTATCGCCCTCTTTTCTCCCAAAACAAACAAAAGTTGGGAAAGAGGACATTGCGCAATTTTGGTCCCCAACACCAAAATGAATTTCTTTTCTCTCTATTGTTTTATTTTCCATTTTTTCACCTCCTGTGATGCCAGCCAGCCTTCCCATAAAAATGTATAGATGTTGTAAAAGAATTTGCATGGCGGGCGGTGTCACCAAAAAGGTGTATGGTGAGTATGGTAATAATGGATTGGGTGAGGTCAAATATTGTGTGGTGCGCCAAAAATTGGTGAAGAAGGATCAAATCGTATAATTGCCTTCATTCAGAAAAAGTTTCATCATCATACATAGTGCATATATATTTTATTCATAATTTTTCTCTCGCATCTCATCGATCCACATTTTTTTCGAAGAGCTTATTGAGCTAGACGCGCAAATTTTGTTGTGCAAGAAAAGCGAACACAAATTTTCCACACCTTTTTTCGAAACCGGAAATTATGTATGTTTTTCCTGCGAATCTCGCACCTTTGTTGTTCTCGGAACACTTTCTGGAGCACAATTTTTCTTATTTCAAAAATTTTGTTTTGTGCCTACTAGTTTTGGAAACTTATTTATTTACAAAAAATCTAACGCCAAAAGTTTTTTTAAATGTTCCAAAGGTCACGCAAATTATCTTGAATTCACATCTTTACATAAATCCCTTTCTTCCTTCCGGAAGGATTTCTCCATTTTTTCTCCATCTTCAAAAAAAGTGTCGGCTATCCGTAGAAAGTCCAAACTTATGCAAACAGTCCAAATATCTCCCCTCTCAAAAAGGCGATTGACCTGACCTACCGTTTTTTTTTGCGTCTTCGTCTTCTAAATCAAACAATCCAAAAGCGGCTAACCTCAAAAAGGTGCACTTGAGCAAACTTTTTTTGTGGTGGAAGAGGAGCAGAAGAAGCAAAAGCGAAAGCGATACCCTTTTCCTTTTATTCGTGCGCATTTTTAATTGAAATCCTGACATGAGTCACATTTTTTTAGCTGAGCTGTTTGTTTTTCTTGGAAACTTCTATTTTATTTTTTTCATAGGACAAATCTTATGATATGAAAAATTGTTATCAATCAGATGCCTCATTTTTCATATTACACTTTCAGAGCGTTCTGAAACATAAATTGCCCTTGGGAATGCTACCAAACGTTGTTTCATTTCTGAAAAAAATGAACTTTGTATATTTAGCTGCCCCAATCCAATCCAATCAAAATCAATCAAAAAACTTGACAGTTGTGGCTCTATTTACACAAGAAACAAAAAAGCGAACCATTAGACCACGCCCATTTCTGTATATGCCTATCAGATTAGTTTTGTCATCATCATCATTCTGACCTAGTGTTCCAAAAAGACCAGAACAAACTTCTTATTCATTCTGCACTTATTTTTTTAGTTTAGTTGAACGCACATAAAAAACGAAAGCGAAAAAAATTTGCTGGCTTTTCTGGCAGTTAAGCTCTCTTTCTCGAGCGGCGCGCCGAATAAATCCCATTCAAAAACTAAATTTCTCCTCTGTCTTTCTTTTTTTCTTCTTCTTCGGATTTATGAATGAATGAAGATGGAAGTTTCGAATAAGATGAAATTTTTTGTTGAAAAGAGTGGACGAAAACCTTGAGAATATAAAAAACCAAAGTTAGTTTTGTCTGTTTCGAGTGGTTTTTGAGTAGGTATGTATGCATATTTTTCTGGGTTACTTGGGGGGCTCTTAAAAGTTTTTTTTTTGGAAAATCTGAAACCCCTTTTCATCATCGGAAAAAATGAGAAAAAACAACGAAAAGCCTCATTTTTCTTGTGTCCAAACCAAAATCGAATTTCATTCCTTTTCTCATTTTTCATCGTTCATCAGAGAAGAAGAAAACGAAAAAAAAACGAAGAAAAATTTCAAGTGTTCCCCTGTTCTTCTCGATTTGGCATTCAGCCAGATGTCCTCCTTTTTCGTCCCTCTCCTTCTCTTCTTACCTCCGGACTCCGCCCATTTTGTGCACTTTTTGCGTTGTGCCACATTTAGAAGCCCAAGATCTTCTCCGTCTTTTTCCTTTTTTCCCACTAACATAAAACTAGATACTAATGTAAGTTTTTTGTTGGTTTTTTCTTTTGCTTGATTGGTTCGGATCGGATTTTTCAAATTTTTTGTGCCCGCGCAACATTTTTTTCAAACTCTAAAAAAAAGTTCCATCACGTTTTCCCATCAGAATGAATAACACATGAGTCTTCTTCTATTCCATGCATGCGTACTACATATATCTTTCAATGTATAGAAAATATAGATGTGTATAATTAAATTTCTGTTGTCCTCACAGCTCTTTTTTCGTTTTCTTATTCTTTTCGTTTTTTTTCGTGGCTCCCCGAGAAAAATCTAATTTTTCTTGTGTCTTCCATATTCTCGTTTTTTTGCAGACTAACCAACCGAAAAACAATACTTTTCGCACCAACCAAAATGACTCAAGTTCTTCTCACAGTTTTTGCCATCGTTGCCCTCTTCGGAGCTGTTCACTCGTGAGTTTCCTAATTTTTTGTGGTAGTTTTGAAATTGTTTTTTTTTGAATTTTAGACAAGTCGAAAACGATGAATGGGATCCAACTACACGTGATCGTACACAACAATGTGATGAATTCAAAGAATGGACAAAAGTTGAATATTTCTGTAAAGCATTCAATAACTGTTGTGAGAAAGCCTTTGATCCACTAAACGGTGACAAATGTCAAACCAAAACCCAAGTTTGTGAAAAAACCGGAGATGACAGTTTCCACACTGTTTGCCAATACCAAAATTGCACGGAAATGATCACCACAACAACAACCACAACAACACCACTTCCAAGAGAAGAATATGCCAATTCTGGAATCAATGGTAAGTGGAAAACAGAAAAACAAAATAATAATTAAGAAAATGTTACATAAAGCACAACATACCTGCTCATAAATAAGAGTCACATTAATCATACCACATGCATTTTATATGTGCCTAAGCGGTTTTAGGAGCAACGAAAAAAAGCCAGGTGCACATTTCACAAGCAATATGTAGTAGTAGATTTTTGGCCTCGGGGCAAGAAAAGGGTCCCTAGAGAGAAGTGCACATCATTAGAAGCTGCTTGAAACATTGCGAACGGAAATTGCATGACAATTGAGTAGAGTGTTCAAGTAGAAGGATAAGAACGTTGCTTATATGGAGAGGAAGTGGAAAATAAATTGAATTTTTGACGAGAAGAAGGGCATCGCAACTTTTTTATCCCCCCTTTTCTTAGTTTTTTTGCGTTCTGTTCTGTTCCATCGATTCCCGCACGCGTGATTACCTCCTAATTGGCAAGATAGAGGGGCAGGTGTGTGTGCAACCTTAGGGATTAGGGATTACCTGGGCCATGCCAGGTGAAATTGTGATTCAAAAAACGTATACCCTAAATTACAGTATTCACCGCAACATCGATTGTCGTCTCGTTCCTCTACCAAATTATCGTTGTGTAATCCGGCCACCAATAAAAGAAAGCACAGAAAAAAACAGACTACTTCAGGGACCTAAAATTCTTTCCAAGAATTCGATTTTTTTTCTCTTCCATTTTTTGTTTGTCACAATACAATCGTTTGGCTTTAATAACCTATTTATAGTTGATAATTTCTTTTTTGCATTCTTCTTTCTTCGTACGGTGAGACTCTTTTGTGAGTTGTGACTCAAATTGATTCTTTTAATTCTATATAATTTAATATACATACTCAATTTAACAAGCTTTTTTCAAATTTTTTGTAAATCATGGTTTTTATGAAATAAAAATTTTTACACCAATTTATTGACGATCAATAGCGTTGATTTTTGCGGTTCGGCTTGAAAGATACTTTTTTAGATTTGGTCTAGCAGACATGTTAGCGTGAAGTTGTTTCAAGTTTTCGAATTTGTCCAATGATCCAGGCGCAGTTGTGTTTGCCACATCAAGTTCTTCAAAAAGAATATAATCGGCAAAGCTGATCTTATCTCCAGAGACAAACTGCGAAGAATTATTCAAAAGTTTTGACAAATTTGCCAATGTCTCTGGTAGAGTAACTGTGTCATAATTTTCTTTGGTCTCATCGCTATAATAAATGTATCGCACATATTTGGCACGCAAATCTCGAACACACTCAAAAACCATGTCGATGAAGGCAGCTTCAGTTGAACTTGATCCATAGAGATCTACAATTTCGAAACTAGAGTTTTTTTTGAGGATAACAACAACTTACCATATTTTCTAGCTAGGTATCTCATAATTGCACCGGTTTGAACGAATTCCTCATTTCCATCTTTCAAACATGGAACTTGTCCGAAAACCATGGTTTTCTTCAACTTTTCCCATTCTTCACTGTGTCTTTCAAAACGATGATCTTCAAATGTGACACCTTGATCAATCAACAGAAGTCTAATATATTCACCAAATCCTTAAAAAATTAATGTTTTTTCACTATTAAAAAAAAATGAAAAAACAAACCTCGAATATCAAAATAATATAGAGAGATGGTCATTTTTGTTCGTATCAGTATTTTTCAAAACGCTGTTTATATACTTAATGATTATCACGATTCATTGAAATTTGTACGTTTTGATGTTTGGTTGACAATGTTTCGTTGTGGATCAATTCATTTGAAAAAATGAATTTCGCGACATTTTTTGTCGCGAAATTGCAATTCGTGAAACGACACAAAATAAACACAAAAATAAAGGAGAAATATTAAAGGGACACGTGATCGCTGCGAGACCCAACACACGAAAAAAGAATTTCCTCTTTTATTTTATTAATTTCGTGTCGTTTCGCGAATTGCAATTTCGCGACAAAAAATGTCGCGAAATTCATTTTTTCTTCAGATGAATTGATCCATTGGTAAAAAATTAAAAATTACAAGAAAAATGAATCAAGATAAAATCCGTTTATCACCTTCATTTTTTTTCAAATAATTTCCAAGCCTGGCTCGACATTTTATTGGATATTTATCAATATTCTAAACAAATACATTTAGATTCAATTATTATTAAAAAAATTATTCACACCAATTTATTGGCGATCAATGCCGTTGATTCTTGTAGTTCGAGTTAAAACATATTGTTTCAAATTTGGTCTAGCAGACATGTTAGCATGAAGTTGTTTCAAGTTCTCGAATTTGTTCAATGATCCTGGCGCAGTTGTGTTTGCTACATCAAGTTCTTCGAAAAGAACATAATCTGCAAAGCTGATCTTATCTCCAGAGACAAATTGAGAACAATGTTTCAAAAGTTTCGACAAATTTGCCAATGTCTCAGGCAAAGTAACACTGTCATAATTTTCTTTGGTCTCATCGCTATAATAAATGTATCTTTCATATTTGGCACGCAAATCTCGAACACATTCAAAAACCATGTCGATGAATGCAGCATCAGCTGGGTTTGATCCATAAAGATCTAAAATTTTGAACGTGCACTTTTTACTAGAAAAAAAATTACCGTATTTTCTAGCCAAATATCTCATAATTGCACCGGTTTGAACGAATTCCTCATTTCCATCTTTCAAACATGGAGCCTGTCCAAAAATCATTGTTTTCTTCAATTTTTCCCATTCTTCACTGAATCTTTCATATTGATAATCCTCAAATGAGACACCTTGATCAATCAACAGAAGTCTAATATATTCACCAAATCCTAAAAAAATGTCACTATTCAGAAAAAAAATATAGAAAAACAAACCTCGAATATTAAAATAATATAAAGAAATAGTCATTATTGTTCTTGCGTATCAGTATTTCTCACAATGCTGTTTATATACTCGATAATTGTCACGATTCATTGAAATTTTCACATTTTGATGACAATTTTTGTTGGTATTGAACTCAAAATTACAGAAGAATGACAAATGACGACACATCGTAGTTTTATCAAAAAAAAAAGTTTATCGGTAAGATCAATTCTTTGGGAAAATTGGTTAAAATTTTATCTGAATATAATATAATTCATAACGGGGAAGATCTCAAACAAAACCATTTGAAATTCATTTTTGTAAAAAAAACAATAAATACCAAAAATTATTGCCGATCAACGCCGTTGATTCTTGCACTTCGAGTTGAAAGATATTTCTTAATATTTGGTCTTGCAGACATGTTTGCATGAAGTTGTTTCAAGTTCTCGAATTTGTTCAATGATCCAGGCGCAGTTGTGTTCGCTACATCAAGTTCTTCAAAAAGAACATAATCTGCAATGCTGATCTTATCACCGACGACGAACTTTGTTTTCAAAAGCTTTGACAAGTTTTCCAAAATTCCTGGCAAAGTAACATTGTCATAGTTTTCCTTGGTCTCTTCACTATAATAAATGTATCTTGCATACTTCATACGTAAATCTCGAACACATTCAAAAACCATGTCAATATATGCTGCTTCTGATATATTTGACCCATAAAGATCTGAAATATTCAATATAAAATTCTTTCAGGTGTTTTCTGCTAATTATTACCATATTTTCTTCCCAAATATCTCATAATTGCTCCAGTTTGCACATATTCTTCATTTCCATCCGTTAAACATGGAACTTGTCCAAAAGCCATTGTTTTCTTCAATTTTTCCCATTCCTCTCCGAAAACTTCGAAACGATGATCAGTGAAAGGGATACCTTGATCAATTAACAAAAGTCGAATATATTCTCCTAATCCTGAATTTCAAAATTCTTTGCAATTTAAAAAATCCATTTTGATTAAAACACAAACCTCGCACATCAAAATAATGAAGAGTGATGGTCATTTTTTTTGTATCAAGTAGACAAAAGAGAGTTTATATACTACTGATAAGAACCACGTTTCATTGAAATGTTTACTTTCTGATGTTTGGTTGAATTTAGAAAATAATGTGATTATCAAATTACATTTTAGTTTTCTTGATTAAATTTTCATCAAACACGCGTAGGTCTTGCAAAAAAAAAATAACCCAATGAATTTCGAACATCTATCAGATCGATCTCAAAATTTTGGCATTTACATTTGTCTCATTAAAATTGAAAATTGGAAATTAGAATTAAAACTATTCATACGCGACCCAATATTTTTGAAAATATTCAATTCCCACATTCATCATTTTCTCATGCATTTCTGAATTTTGTTTCAATGGAAAAATAATTTATTATTATACACGATTTGTGACGGATTGCACTATGCCTGATTATATTGCACAGAAAAAGACAGGTTAATGGCTGGTATTTACAATTGACGGTATGTATAACATGAAATGTCTCCTTTTGATTCTTGACAATAGAGCTCGGTATTAGTGACGTAGCTGTAAAATTTTTTATTGCGGTCAGAGTACTGTGAGGAGGAAAAACATAGTTTTTTTTCTCATTTTTGAAAAACTAGTCTTTTAAGATTTAAGATTTAGTTACCTGAAATCTCCATTAGCGCAAATAACATCAAATCGTCCACCAAATTGTGCTTCAGCTGCCAACTGAATCATTCTTTTTGAGCTGTTCAATTGCTCATCAATATTTTCAACAACCAATTTTCTCAAGTCTTCTGAGTTACACAATGGATCATCGGTCAATTGAAGTTCACTGATATCAACTTCTTTAGCATCGGATTCTGGAACAAATTCTTCTCCACTTGGGAATTCTCCTGGTGCAGCTGTGGTTGTTGTTGATTTCACAGTCTTTTGATGAGCAGTCTTTCCAGTGTCCTTAGTTTTTGGTCGTTCTTCAACAACTTCGGCAAGTTTTGAAGCAGCGGCAGCGGCTTTCTGGAATAGATTGTTGACAACTGTATTTTAGCAGGGAAAAGTGCTTTGTGCAAGTGCAAACCTCATTGTGTAATTCAGCAACAGCCTGTTCGGCCGCCTCAACAACACTTTGGTCGAGGTTCGAATTGGTGCCCTGCAAAGTGTATTTAGATTTCGTTATGGTCAAGATCTATGGATCGAGTTTCAATAGTTTTTTGTGCGAGTGTTCATGCAGAGTGTGGATGCGTTTAGTATTTCATGCATGCGTAGATAGGCTAAACTCAAAAAGCAGAGAGCTGATAGAAATAAAAAGCATTTTGTTTTCTCATTGATTTTAATGGGGGACCCATAAATCTATGTGAAGGTAAATTTTGAGGCTCGTTAGGTTCAATGCGCAGGCAAAAATAAGTAAGTATGTGAGTAAGATGCGAGCCTATGCGGAACTAAATGTTATAAAAACTAATAAGCAAAGCGATACCTGATAGTTTGGCTCTTCTCTGGCAAGTGCAGCAACAGCAACTTCTTCTTCAGCAGCTCCATAAGCAGCATTCTCAGTTGGTGCAGCTACAGCAACCGCAGCTGGTCCTTGTTGATATCCTTGTGGAGCGGAAACTTGAACTGGTGCTGTTTGAACTGGTTGTGGAGCAAAAGGAACAGGTTGTGGAGCGACTGGCGCAATTGGAGCTTGTTGGTATCCTCCTTGGTATGGTGCTGGGGCGATTGGGAGTGGTTGTTGTGGTGGAGATGCGTATCCTCCTTGGTATGCGGCTGGTCCGACATATCCTGATACAACTGGTCCGCCTCCGCCACATGGGGATGGTACTGGAGGTGCGCATGCTGGAGCTGGTTGACATCCACATCCACCGCCGCCACCGCCAAAGAAAAACGCGGAGGCAAAGGGTGCGGAAGATAGAAGAACTATCAATAGTGTTGTTGAAGTGGTCGACATTTGAAGCTGAAGATATAAACAATAATGTTTTGAGGGGGAAACAAGCGGGATGAACAATAAATTGATAAGGGAGAGAAGAATAAAGGACTGGTTATATTTATATTGATGGCGATAATGATCCGGTATGACTTAAGAAGCTACAAATCTTTTGATTATGTAATCCTCTTTTAACTTGAGATTTATTAAGAAACATCGAGAAAAACCCGTCCAATTAATTTTAATATGATTGGGTTGAAATATATCATAAAATATTTTCGCAGAAAAAAATCCACCAATGAATAAAGAAGGAAAAAAACGACAAGAGGAAACTCGATAAAAATCTCCGAAGACAGGTATGAAACGTATTTATATATGGACACAAGAAGAAAGAAAAAAGATAGCCGAGAAATCTCGCTTATCAATACGCAACCGGGCTTCTCGACGCCCCAAAATATGGCTAAATCTCATCGCATCGCTTTTTTCAATCAACCTGTCTGTAAGCCGGTTTTTTCTTGTTGTAGTGTGTGTGAATGTATCGAAATTGACAATAATTATGAATTTTCTTCCTCCCGTAAAATTTCAAGTGTCGGATTTTTGTGTGTCACAGCAAGCTAAGTCAGCCAGGAACTATGGATGTGGGTAATTATTGGACCAAAGTACGTCATGACCTTTTTCAAACATACTGAATGATGAATTTTTATAATTCATTTCTTTTTAATTTATCCGAAGAATTCGTCTGCCAAAGAAGAAAAAAAGAAGTGTTTTTAATGATGTGTCGGGAGAATTCATGGAAAAAAATTCTGCAGAAATCCACGTTCCTGAGATTTTTTTTGCATTCATTCTGAGTTTTTAAAAAATGCGGAAGTTTTCTTTGGAAACTAGTAATAGGTTTTCAGACCAAAGCACGAACAATTATCTTTGAAGGATAAAAAGTAAATAATTACAAAGTTCAGTTTTCCACAATTGAATTGGAGATGAAGCTATGTGGAATAAGAAACATTAACTTCTCGGTATTTTTTTAATAGCTGAACTCAGAATCTGTGGTTTAGTTTTTTTCAGGCTTCCATAACTTTTAAATAATCGGTTAATTTTTGATTATCCAACTTAACCCTGAAAGTAATGTTCTAAAAATAATAAAATAAAATTATAGGTTTCCAATCTGATATCTTGTTTGCTACATTAATTGTCACTTTGAATTTATTTTCAGAAAAAGTTAGTCAATTTTTTTTTGGTAAAATCTTTGATCTAACAGATTTTCCAGAAAATCTATTCACAAGCACCAATTTCAACCAGCACATCCCTTTCAATTTTATTTCCATTTGAAATTTTTCAATATTATATTTTTGAAAAACTCAGATTCTTAGAAATAAATCATCATTAAAGTTGGTTGTCTTTAAAAAACTAATAGCTTGCACGTACAATTTTTGAACACATTTTCAAACTTTGGACAAGAAACAAGAAACACACAAACTAGTGCCATTACTCTTGGGAAATTTACCTGAACCTCAACTCAAAGTGAATTGACCTGAATCAAATCTAACTTTTTTTCCCCAATTTTTTCGCCTCCTCCCTCGCATTTCTCTATTCGCCCACATGATGTCTGAAACTTTTAGTCCGGATATCCGAGAAACAAACAGAACAAAAAAGGTCCAAAGGTTGCAAACAAATTTGTTTTATAGCCTCAGTTGTCGTAAAAAATATTTCACGTCAGCCAATTTTGCACCAAACTCCGTTTCTTTTTTTTCTTTGCACAAAATTTTTCTGTCATTAACATTTTTTATAGCTTTTGGCGTGTTGGTTGTATATAATTATTCCTGAAACGCCTCCAGTATTTATTTGTGGTTTGTTTGAACAACATCCACTTTTTAGTTAGCTACTTCATCCCGCGATCCCTCGAAAGTTTCAGTGAGCATTATAATTAGTTTTCGCTGAAAATAAATGATGAGATTTTCTTTCATCGGTCAAATTAAATTAGGATTAAGGATTTAGACGATCTTCGAATCAGGAAGATGAATTTGATAAATGTCCGGAACTACTGGAAATTCGTAATCTGATATAGAAATTCTGCCAAGGTCAATTTCAGATAATTTAAAAATAGTTGGAACAGGTTTTCTAATATTAGTTTAAGGAATTTTAGTTTAGAAAAATATATAAAAAGTTCATGAAAATATATTTTATATAGAATTACTGTAGTTGGCATGCCCTACAATTTTCAGATGTTTCAATTTACTGGTATACTTTTCTTCAAAAATAAACGTTATCGCAGAGTAATGCTCGGTATGAATTCTAACTCTTCGATCTTCCAAAAAGATTCCATTTGAAAGCTTCATTTAATCTTTGAGAAAAATGTTATTCCTGAAAATGATAACACTTTTTTTTTCATTTAACAGGATTAGCTAAATTGTTTACTTTTTATCCGTTTGAACGAACTTCCTCATATTTTTATTCCGTACACAATTTTTCATCAAAAACAAATTTTAACCAATCAGGAAGTCTCAAATAACCAAAGATTCTAACTCAAAATTTCAAACTCTTTTTTTCAAAAAAAAAAAAAAATCATGCTCGGTTTTTGTTTTTGTGCTCTCCGCGCTTAATAGTTTTTGGCCTGACTTCCTTCCACGCTTAATTAAAAATGGGTGGATATTTTCATAGATATGTAATTAAAAAAATAAAATGCCCCACCTTTTTTCTCGGCGATGTCCAAAATAAGTTGATGTTTTTGTTGATAGTACATTTCAATGAGCCGCTTATGTTTTGCCGGTTGAAAAATTCTCACTAATGTATGCAAAAATTTTCAAGAGGTTTTTGAGGTTTTGAGGAAGGGAATCTAGATGATTTTTTCTGAATTCTGAAATTAAGGAAATGAGATGAATTGATTTTTGACTCATGAAAAGTGCTAATTTTTATCATCTCTTCGATAAATTCAGATCTTGACTCCTGATTTCACAATTAGAAATAAAAATTAGGAAACTTTTGGAACTGAAGTAGTTTTTGAGAATGAATGTCTGAATCGAACCAGTTCCCTCTTCCTCTTCTGTACGATCATTGATTTCTGCAATCCTATTCAAAAATTTTACCAAAATATTTTTAGTGCAATTTGACTTTCACAAAAATTTCCAAAAAAAACATATTTTTTCAGCCTGCAAAATAGAGCAACAATAGTGTAATCTTATTTGATTTTAGGAAGATGAGTGCAATCTGCTAACGTGTCAATTTTTGTTTTTCCCATACTAGAAAAACAAAACAAAACAGCTTTCTATGATTATATATGTGAATCACGAAATTTGACTCTTTATTTATTTCTCTTTTGGTACCACAAAATCTTCATCTTTTTTTTCCTCAAAAATAGAAAACTTTCATGCCTTATTCGGTCAAACCCGGTCAATTTTTTGCATGACTTATTAATATTTTATGTGCCGGATACCCATGATTTTCCCACCCTCTGAATTCAGAAACTCTTTTTTCATATTCATATCGCGTCATCGCCAAAAAAGTTCTCCTTTGTTTTTTTCAAACAAAAAAAAGTGAAAAAGTAGAGCTATGCTGAACAAATCTCATCAAGACTCACTTTTTTGTGACAAGTTAGTCTTTGGATTTTCTTACTTTTTCAAAAAAAAAAACCAAAGTAAAACAATTTTCTCTTTCATGCAAATATGTTTGTATTTACAAAAAATATGTATAGTACGGTGTGCTGTAAATTAGTCTCAATTTTCAAATTCTCCGTGTTTTTTTTGGAAAAATGATGAGATGCAAATATTGTTTATGAAGATTTTCGCGGGAAATCACATTTTCTATGTGTTTTTTTTTCGAAAAAATGAAATTGGAGAAGAAAAAGAACTTGTCATTCATATTTTTTGAGATGAAAAATTTTTCCGAGAAAAATGACATCCTCAGATATGGTCTCTTTTATTTATATTTTTTTATTTTTCTAGACTCAAAAAGAAAAACTAAAATGTTCGAAAAACAATTTTTTATGACCATGGCTTCTTCTGTTTTATTTTATTATGATTATGATTATTATGTTTTCCTCAGGCTTCAAGAAAAAAGTCATAAAACATACAGGGTGACCCAAAAAAAATGAAACAAAGTTTTTTTGAATTCTCTCTTAGAGCAGGATTGAAAGATATAATATGACTTACTCATGGGTTATCTAAGACCTCCTAAAAGCTAAATCCAAGATGATTTTGTTATATATTATTTTTGACGTGAGCAGGACGTGAAAATCTAGGATTAAAAAAACGGCGAAAAAGACGCATGTCATAAATGCAAAGTCGGGTCCAGTTCAGACTTATTTTTGAAAATTGTTCATTGAATGCCATTGGGGGATTCAGTACAACCCTAGTACTCAATTTTATACAAAACATATCTTCCATTGAACTTAAACGAAGTTCACAACTTTTGATTTAAAAGACCACTGAAAATTGGAAAATCAATTTCCAAAAAGCACATTTTCAGTTTTTTCGAAATTTTTCCCGCTGAAAAGTTTTGGCATCTCATAGCTCTACATTAAAACAATGGTAGGGCTCTAATAAATCAAAGATGGAAGATGAATAGTCGAAGTTTTGATTTTGGTGCCAGTCAGAGATCAAACTTTCATGAAAACGGAAAAATTCGACCGGTTTCACAAAACCACTCGTAAAATATGTAATTCGAAACGAAAGTTAAGACAAGTACATATAGTGAAAAATGTTCCTCTAGAGTTGCTCTATTTCATTCATGAAACATATAAGAGATCTGAAAGCTCCGAAGAAAGTTAGAGACACTGAAACTCAAAGTTTGCAATTTCTGAAGAGTTGCGTCCAAACAACGTTTTCAATTTTACTCTTCTCCCTAGTGCGGATCACGTGAAACACGTGAATTTCAAAAACAAATTTAACAGTTATTTAGCTAATGGTATTGGAATCTATAATTCATGATCAGAATGTTCAGTTTAAAAATTGCGGAATAGGTTCTATTGAGCCAAGTTTGTTTCAGTTTTTTTGGGTCACCCTGTATAATTTTTTTTTGTTTTTCCTCATTCATTTTGTGAAGTTTGGACACATGATGCGAGAATTTTCGACAGGAAAGAGACTTTTGTCTTTTTCAAGAAGAATTCTTCTCATAAAAAATGTCAGCTATGTCTGGATTTCTTTTTCTTTAGGTTTAAGTCAGTCTGAATTTTTTATTTTGGTTTTTTGAGGTCTAGTATAGTCTCTAATCTCATTGAAATTGATTTATCACTAGTAGTTTATCCTGAATGTTTGGAATTTTTTTATAGTATTCAGATTTAAGAATTGGATTTTCTGAAAATCAGATCTCTCTTTCTCTCAATCAATGGATCGGCCCTGCAAATGGCCTAAAATTCTTGGTCTCAAAAATTTCCTAATACAGCCAGAACATTCTCAATAACCCGTTATTTTTGAAGACCAAAAAACTTTTTTTTTGCTCAAAACACCAATGCAATAACTCGGGCAGAAAACGGCGAGGTCGCTACCAATCGGGGCGGAGTCGCTACACGTTTCGGGCGACTGGCCCGAGGCTCTTTGGGCGAGCTTGGGGCGACTCGCCCGATCGTGAAGCAACTTGCCCCGTTCTCGCCACGATCCACTCTCTCGAAGGGTGTCCAGAAGCATTTTTCAAAAACTTTATCTATGGAGGAAAAGTAGATCTACTTATAGTTTTATTACCCTACATTTATATGGGCCATTTAATCAATGAATCACTGTGAAATCCCGAAAAAAAATCATAAAAACCATGATTTAAAAAACGGGCAAAAATTTTAGCAAGTTGCCCAGCACTCGCCACTTTTGAGGCGCGTTTGGGGCAACTCGCTACAAAACGAGTCTCGAAAATTGTGTAGCGAGTCGCCCCGAGCTATGTCGTTTTTTGGCCGAGAACACCCATTTTTGCTGGAAAATAAATGAGATTTTCCAGCAAAAAACGTTTTCCATTCAAATTTATCATCTGAATTATTCAAGAACTATACTTTCCCACAAACACCTAAATTTTCTCACGCTATAACAAAAAATATTTATGTTTCATAAACAGATCAAACCACATTTGATCATAAAAACCCATAATTTTTGTTTTTCATTCTGAAAACAGTCTAATCCTTTTCCACATTTCCAAAGAAACCACCTGAAAATGCCAATCAACAAAAAATCAGATTTGCCTAATTTCCCAATTGTTTTCATTTTTGTTGTTTTTACAAAGTCTCTCTAGTATTTAAAATGTATGTATATACACTCATTCATCTTTGCTCTCTCAAAAAAAAAAGACAAAAAATACCAAAAAATAGAATAAAAATAAAATGCGGACGCCAATCAAACCGCCAATATTTTCAGTTGTGCAATTAGTGTTGTTGTTTTTTCCATGTCTACTCCATTTTCCTTTCTCATTTTTGGAATTGTGAATGAACCTGATTTATTTCTGCCTCTTTTGTTTGACAAACCTTATATTAATCTTTTTCTCAGAATTTGAGAAAATATCTAATTTTTTGCTCTCAAGAAAATTAAGTAGGTGTAGTTCGCTTCGGTAAATCAGAAAAATCGAAATATTTGGTTTTTCATTTTTTTTTTCAATAAAATGGCTTCAAAATGTTTCAACAAAACATATTTTTGAGTTTTGTGAATCTCCGACACGTGGTATTCGTAGTTTAGTTCTGAAATGAAGAGGGTTACAACTAGACTGAACCTTCATTCCCAACATTCAAATTTCACACCTAGGTTTTTTTCCATTTCAATGGGTGAGATCGCAAAAACAAAATTTGCTAAAAGTGAAATGAAAATTGATATTTTTTGAGTCATATTTCCTTTTCCAAGATGTCTGATTCAATATTTTCTAGGCAAATTTATTTTTCCGACGTATGATATCAGAATGTCATGACTTTCTCAACCGACCCTTTCCCAAAACATTTCAAGAACACCTGCGCGACAATCTCTACTCACTAAAAAATTCAGCTTTTTTTCCTCGATCGAAAAACTTATTTACTTTTATTTTATTTTTCCACCAACTCTCGGACTCGCAAATCTTGAATAATTCAAAATAGTCCTTATATATATCATTTTTTGTTTCATCCTCCATCGACGGCAAAAGAATTCCACTTGGCTCCGCCCATTTTCGAGTTCCATTAGTTCTACTCATTCTTTTTTTCTTTTCCTTTTTCTAATGCTTCATTTTGTTATGTTTTATTTAATTCTTTAAATTAAATTAATTTAATTCAGAGCAATGGATAATCAATCAGATACGGTTTATTATTCACCTATTCCAATGAACAGCTCTCAATTTGTTCAAAAAGTTCTACCGTTCAGTTTGCTTTTTATGGTCGGAGCTTTAGGAAATACTGGAGTTTTATGCTATGTGTTTTTTATAACAAGGTTTGTCGAGAAAAAATCAGAAGAAGCCTAGAAAAAAATCAGATAGCATTTTTTTCAATTAGGTCACTTTTCTATTAGTGTGTATATTTTTAGCCACCGGATGTGCACTTCTTGAAAGCTATTTACTTGTATTATTATGTGTTCCCGGAAAAATTGCAAAATAAGAAGACTACCGTTTTCAGAATAATAATTGAATTTTTGATGATTTTATGGAATTTGTTAGTTATTTGGTTAAAAATAGTACATCATGTAAATGACATGGGGTTTATTTTAGTTCCGATGTGACTAGGATAAACATTTTTTATTGAATCATGCACTCTAATGAAAGGAATTGTAAAAGTTTTACGATGAATTAAAGTTAATTGCCAGTTGATTTTCAACCTCAAACTCTCAAGTATCGAGCTCCAGAAAAAGTGCTTAATTTTCAGATCTCTAAAATCATCTGTCACTGCTTTGGGCAACACTTTCATCTACATTGTTGCTCTTTGTGCAGTTGATCTTTTGGTAACATGTTCCATCCCTTTGTCATTATCTCATACAATATTGAACAATTGGATATTTGGAGATTTTGGATGTAAACTTCATTGGGCGCTCGAACTCTCGAATAAGGTACTGAACTCTGATCATTTCACATTTTTTTTGTTGTTGGAAAGAAATCAGAAAAGAATAACCCTACATCATTAGTCTTTTCTTTTCCATCGTCCAATGATTATTGGAGTTTTTCCGTTTCGCCTATGAAAATGTATGAAAAAATACATTTAATTATACATTTTTGCATTCTGAGAACGAAACGCGTCTAACACGGAAGCACCATTTCCGATCCACCATGTTTTTTGAGAAAAATTCAATTTGCTACTTTTTTCACAAAATTCAATTTGCACTTTCAAAGAGAAATGAATTACAAAAGAAACAAGTTGGACTTGGTTGAGTTAAGTGGATTTGTGTTTCATTTCAGATGTGCTCGACGTTCATCTTGACCGCATTGGCGTTTGATCGATATATGGCAATTTGTCATCCGGAGAACAAAAGAGTGGGGAAAATTGGTTTGAACTTTTTTTTGAACAAATACGTGTGTTTTTAGATTCATGGAATGCGACAAACAATATTGATCACCACAGTTTCTGCAGTTTTGTCATGTTGTTTGATTTGCCCAGTTGTGGTTTGTGCAAAAACCCGTACAATTCCAATGAATAGTGGATATTTGGATAAGAATGGGGTAACTTAATTATTATTTCGAGTCATTTTGAATCCAGATATTTAGAAATGAATACAAAAAGTAATTTTTGCCTTAATAATTCCAGAAGGAAAATATTAGGGTGCAAAATGGCTATTTTTGAATTTGTTGCGTGACCTTGTTTTTTTCTATTTAATTTCTAACTCTCATTTTTTTGCAATGATTTCTTAGCCTATGAGCACCCAGAGTTATTATTATCTATTTTTAGTACACCCTTTCTTTCCACTCTGCGAAACATATTATATACACATAACTCGAAAAAAGGCGTAAACAAGTAGATATTTGCTATGCATAAAGGTCATTATTCCAGGAATATCACCCGATTGCACGAACAATATGTTATGATGGACTTGGTAAAGAATCAAGAGTTTTCATAATGATTATCTTGTTTATTTTTGCGTTTCTTTTGCCGTGCACATTGCTTACCTATTTCTACGCCAAAATTGTGTTTCGATTAAGAAGACAAAAACGAACAATGTTGCAATCAAGGATTCCATTGAGAAGAATTACTATTTACACAATGGCGGCCACATTTTTCTATTTGGCTTGTCAAATTCCTTACTGGTTGCCTCAAGTTTACGGTGTATATTTTTCAATCTTCGGAAACAGTATCAAAGTCACCGCTTTGGATTTTCTCTATTATACCCATATTTTCCCATTTGTCTCGACTTCATTCAACTGGATATTTTATGCGAGATTGAATAGTCAATTCAAGAAAGGATTGATCTTGGTTACTGAAAGAATGATCAGAAAAAGAACAAGGTTTGAATTTGAATTCATGTTTTCTCAATAAAAATATTCTTCAATGTCTAGATCCCTTCAACAGCAACGCGATGGTTTTAGTGACGCTGCTCTTGAATTAACAAGTAGATATGATGATGTTCCACTTATGTGTCCGAATTGCGAAGCACAACTTTCTATTCGATCAAACAGCAATGGCAAAAAGTGTTAATCGTTTTCTTTTGATCTTTAAGATTTACGGGATTCTTACATAATCAATCATAAAGTTTTTTTTCGTGACCTTTTTTGAATAACAATTAGGCGTCGAGACTGTGACATCAATTTATTCACATAATTAACTTTTCTTCGCTGTGTTCTTCCAATAATCGAAAGATAAACGAAATCTGTTTTGATTTTTTTGAACGAAGATCAGTTAGAATACTACTAATTAGAATCTGAATAAGAAAAACGTGTTGTTTTGATTCTAACTTTCATAATTCCTATAATCACAACAAAAAAAAAGGGTTTTTTGTTTTCAATCAACTTCCTTATTAATTATATTTTGGCTACCAAAAAAACCAATATTATTTTCATTGGTATTGAAAAATGACAACAAAAAATGTGAACTGTTCCAATTCACTAATATCTTTTTTGGAATTCACCTAAATATTTGACAATTTCCTCTCATCTTATATCTACGATATCTATGCCAATATCAGTTTATGCGCTGTATTGCGTCATTTTTGTAACGCCAATAACTATGAAAAATGCTAGAAGACATTTGATAAACCTACATTTTTGGTGAGTTCTGAACAAATCAACTTATTAAAAACTCTATTTACATGTTTTTCATAGGACAATGTTTTTTGATTTGGTGTATAATCTGTTAATCATCCCAATGTTGTTTCTTCCTACTTCGGCTATTGTAGTAATGGGCTACGGTTATAATTTCGGAATAGCACCCAGGTTTTGTATGTACTTTATTCAAGCCATTGTTTCTGGTAAGAATTCTTATATTTTTACATCAAAAATATTGTTGTTACAGTAATAACTGCTGCAATTATTGGGTTGTTTGAAAATCGTTTCTCATCGATTACAACGAATCAATTCAGACTGGAAAATAATTATTTTAGAACATTTCTATACATTTTCAATTACTGTGTTGCTTGTCTTACAGTCATTCCACCTTACCTCAAATCAATCGATACCAATTCAATCCGATTAGAGTTTCTCCAAATATTCCCATGTCCACCTGATGTTTTTTTCACGGACCGTTTAACTGTTGTCACTGATGATCCAACATATGCCACAATTTTTATGTCAGTTCAAACCATAATTTTAGTACCGCAGTCCGTAGTTTTTACACTATATACAACTTATTTATTATTTTTTCGACCTAATCAATCAGTTTCTGAAGCAACACGAAAAATGCAAATCAATTTTCTAATTGCTGTTTGTTCTCAATGTTTCATACCTTTGGGTTTGTTGATGTTTCCTGTATTTTACGTTTGGTTCTCAACATGGACAAATTATTATAACGCAGGTAATTTTTTTTCGAAATCACCTGTTTTATTTTAAAAATCAAAATATCAGTATTCAATAATCAAATATCAGTAATGGTTAGTCTTCATGGACTTTTATCAACGTTGTGCCTTCTACTGATTCATAAACCGTATCGTCAACATTTTCTTTCCTTATTCAGGAGTACACTTCAATTACGAACTCGAACAAGTAACATGCCAACTAGAATGTTTAGACAAAAGTTATGAAAAATATTATCAGATTCGAAACTCGATCTATTGTCGGGTGTGTGATATGAAAATGTACTAGCCAAATGTCAAGCATCATCCCAACCCAAAATGACGCAGTGTAGAGAAAAGCTCAACCTGCTTCTGATATATGTTTTAATGTATTCTTGAAACATCAGGAATACGGTAACGCCAGATGTCAGAAGGAGGCAGCTGGAAAATCGAAATAATTTCAAGTTCATTTCCTGTTTATGTTGACTAGAAATGCAAATTGTACCGATTCCGAGTCATTTTTTGCTTCTTCCCAATATCCAATAATTTTTACTCATATTATCACTGTAATTTCTGTACCTGTCTCAATTTATGCATTTTATTGTGTGATTTATGTTACACCAATTAGTATGCAAAATGCTAAAAAACATTTATTGAACATTCATTTTTGGTAAAACCTTTTCATATTTGAACATCTTTCTGAATTGGTTTCAGGACCACATCACTTGATATTATTTTTAATGTCCTGATAATACCGGTGGTATTTCTACCAGCAATATCCATCTCCAGTTTGGGTTACGGTTATGATATTGGAATATCTGCTAGATATCAGATATATTTGATTCAATCATTTGTTTGTGGTAAGAAATCAACTGCCTGAGGTTAAGATGAATTTGGATTTTATTGTAGTAATATGTTCAACCATGATCGGATTGTTTGAAAATCGATTCTCATCTATTTCTACAAATCCATTCAGAATTCGAAAAAAATGGATTCGTGTTTTATTATATATTTTTGACTATTGTGTCGCTTTTATAACAGTAATCCCACCATACCTAAAATCAATAGATTATGATTTAATTCGACTCGATTTTCTAGAAAAGTTTCCATGTCCACCCAACGAATTCTTCAGTGATCGTTTTGGAGTTGTCAGTGACGATGCAGCCTATGTGACCATTTTCATGTCTATTCAATTTTGGCTTTTAGCACCACAATTATCATTTTTCACACTTTACACAGTTTATCTTCTGATTATTCGACCAAATGTATCGGTTTCAGAATCAACAAGAAAAATGCAGATCACATTTTTGATATCAGTTTATTTACAGTGCATTATTCCAGTTACTTTTCTGGCATATCCAGTTTTCTATATTTGGTTTTCCGTATGGACAAAATATTATAGTGCAGGTAAATCATTATTTGAAACATCATAGTCATTTTGAAATTCTGCTTCCGGTTTTTGAAAACAGATGGCAATTTTTGAAGTAGATGTTCAATTAAAATCAGAAACGCAAGTTTTTTGATGCTAATGATGGAAAATCGAATATAATACTTGATATTGCTCACTTTTTTAGCTAACAACAATCACATAGTTGCAATGGTCAGCCTTCACGGATTTCTATCAACATTATGTCTTTTACTAGTTCACAAACCTTACCGCACACATTTAATCTCAATATTCAAGATCAGATCACACCCAACAATTTTTGTTAGTGGAGTTATGCCATTCAGGTGATTATATAAATTATAGCTATGAAAGCTTCAATAGTTTTGTTTCTTCTGATTATTTTTGAAATAAATGTTTTCTTTGTTATACATTTGTAAATCATTAAGAACAAGACATTATAAAACAAGAGATTCTTATATAAAATCACCTGTTTATGAGCATCAGCTTTCAATAATCATCAATCTTTAGTCACAACAAAATTACTGTCCGTATTTCTTATTGTGTGATTGTTTTAAATCTACAATGCAATATATTTTTCTAACCTACATAACATCACAGATGTTTTGATTGTTCAGAAACCAAACTCAAACTTGACAGCTGATTTTGAGTTGAAATTTTCCACAAATCATAGTCGAATTTATTGATGTTGACAAGAAATGCAATTTTATGTCATATCTGTATATTCCTAGTGTTTTATACAAACCACTCGCCCTTTTAATGTTGTCGGTTTGTTATATTTGGTTTTTCGGGCACATTATTATAATGCGGGTTTTTTGGAGAATGTGACTTCGAAAAACAAGGCTACGTATCAAAAATCAGCATCTTACTTTACATTTCCAAATTTTTAATATTAAAACAATGCATCATATAACAATCACATAGTTGCAATGGTCAGCCTTCACGGATTTCTATCAACATAATGCCTTTTAGAAGTTCACAAGCCATATCACATTCACGCCATCTCAATATTCAAAACAAGATGACAATCGCCCATCAGTGGAGTTATTCCATCAAAATCTCATAATTGATCGTTTTCTTTTAAATTCAATACTTTTTGATTTGTACTCTGTGCTTTGATGTTTTACGTGACTAATAGTGTTTGAAAAACAGAGATGAATGATACTCTACTAATGTGTCAAAAAGTGTGGTTTACGCTCAAATTAGCATAGCTAACACAATCAGAGCAAATTTTGAACTTGTTTTTTGCGTTAGTTCCTAGTATCACAGCTGCATTATAAAGAAAATAAACCAATTTGCTCTTTTTTACGCTCTTCATTAATCTCTTGATGTCCGAAAATGGAAGTTGTTCCAATATATCAAGAAGTTTTTTGGATTCTCCTCAATACCCTATTTCTTCGAGTCATCTCATCACCGCGATTTCTATGCCTGTTTCAATCTACGCGTTTTATTGTATCATTTTTGTGACTCCAAAGAAAATGAAAAACGTTAAAAGACATTTGTTAAATTTGCATTTTTGGTGAGTATTGAACCTAAAATGAAAAATTGTTTTCAAATTTAGGACAATGGTTTTCGATTTGGTTTATAATATGTTAATCATTCCGATTCTTTTTCTTCCAACTACTGCAGTTGTTATAATGGGCTATGGTTATGATTTTGGAATCCCACCTAAGTTTTGTATATATTTTATACAAGCAATAGTTTCTGTCATTGCTGCTGCAATTATTGGGCTGTTTGAAAACCGTTTTTCAACAATTACCACAAATAAGTTTAGACTGAAGAATAACTATGTCAAAGCATTTCTATACATTTTCAATTACTGTGTTGCTTGTCTTACAGTCATTCCACCTTACCTCAAATCAATCGATACCAATTCAATTCGATTTGAGTTTCTCCAAATATCCCCATGTCCACCTCAGGAATTTTTCACAAACCGTCTGACTGTTATTACTGATGATCCAAGTTATGTTACAATTTTCATGTCGATTCAATCAATAATTTTAATACCACAATGTGCTGTTTTCACACTATATACAACTTATTTGCTAGTGTTCAAGCCTAGTCAAACAGTTTCTGAAGCAACTCGAAAAATTCAAATCACTTTCCTTATTGCCGTTTATTCCCAGTGCTTCATACCTTTTGGTTTGCTAATGCTTCCAGTTATTTATGTATGGTTTTCTGCATGGACAAAGTATTATAATGCCGGTGAATGTTTTTCAATCAAATGACTGAAATAACAAAAAATAATTCAGCTTTCAACAATCATATATCAGTGATGGTTAGTCTTCATGGACTTTTATCAACTTTGTGCCTTCTACTGATTCATAAAACATTTCGTCAACATTTTCTTTCCTTATTTTGGGGTACGAAAATATTTCCAATTTCTCAATCAAGCTCAACACAACCTAGAAACTGTTAATAAATATTTTCTCTCATAGTTACACTGATCTTCTTTTACTCGGAGAAAATGTAGCAAGTCTGGCGACAAAAAATAGACTTTTAGCCAGCTTGCGACCATTTTTAGCAAGCTTACTACATTTTTTCCCATTATAAAGTGTATACACTATCACAAATATGCATATTAGATACAAATATCAACAACCAATACTCGCCAGATCCTATTAACCTTATCTCTTCATGAATCTAACAACTAACAAATAAAAGTAGAAGAATCTCACGCAGAGAGTGAAGAAGTACGTCTATCCTTCTCGGATTTATCAAAGTAAACCCGCGAAAAAAGTATTATTATCAAAATTAGTTTTATATAATTTTTTTGAAAACCCCATAAAAACTCACTGAAATCTTGTCGCCACTGTCCTAGTGATGTGTCGCATGTTTATGACATCAGACTCCTACAAAAATAGCATTTTCATCAAAAAATCGAAAATCATCATGATAAAACCGAGAAAAGGCCCCTTACGGGTTTTTTCGCGAGAAATGAAAAAAAAACATCATTTTGTGCATTTGTGCGTCATCGTGTCATTGTCCGCACTTGTGCGTCGCCGTGTTTTGTACAAAATTATTTTTGAATTTTTCATTTTCTGTTTTTTTCTGTTTGTTTTCCTCGCGGTTTCAAAGGGTTTTCCAGTTTTAGAATGTCAGCTTTTGGGTGAGTTCACTAGTCCAATTTCTTTATCATCATATTCTTCGAAATAAAAATTCAGAAAAAAGTTTCATTCTTCATTAAATTAAAAATACACATGCAAAACAAACAAAGAACCCGTGTTTTTCAGTACCAGTTAGCTTTTTTTTTCATTTTACTCTTTCGTTTTCCTCATCAACTTTCTCATCGTAATCCGGAAATTTTTATTGAGGCACATGTATATAAGGGGATTGAAACACGAATGAGCATATCCTGAAAACATTTGTACTTTTTTTTTGAAAAAAAGAAACTTTTGTGAATTACCCAGCCATGAAGTCCAGACGAAGAGTGAGAGATGAAAATTGATGTTGTATGAAAGTTGAAAACCCATCAAAACACCACGAATAATTGAGATGCAGAAATATGGAATCCAGCAAATTAAGAAAGCGACTGAAAATAGTTAGTTTTAATATTATTATTTCTAAAAGAAAAATGCACTCACTTAGAATAGCGGCAACTACTCTAGTAGCTCTTGATTCTCTTCGAATTGCCATTGATTCTCTACGTTTTCGTCTTATTGCACGTGTTACTTGTGTTGCAATTCTTCGCAATTTCCCTCGGCTTATAGTTGACATCTTCTTCGACGGTGATCCATTTGTTCTATCAACAGTTATATCAACACTTGCTTTTCCTCCTCTAATTTGTGCTCTATCAAAAACAGCTGCTCGAATTGTTGACCAAGCCGATGATCTTCGAGAATCACCTTCAAAAGTGGATTCCGTGCCATCAGTCAAACTACTTCCGTAACTATTCATTGAAATTCTTCGATAAGTATCGCTACTTCCACTTGCAGATGTGTATGATGAATGACTGCTATTTGAAGGAACACTGCATGGTGACGGACAGTCAAATAATCTTGGAACTTGTAATAAAGAAGCGCCAACAATTGGTGTGATCTCTTTTGATTGCGGTGTCAATGGTGGAGTGTTTACTGACATCATTGCTGGAACCATCAAAAAAGTTGGAGCTGGAATTGATGGTTGGTATCTTTGTGTTTGATGGTGCGATTTCTTGGTGTATCTATGAACTGGAACATCAAGAAGGGGTTTTTGACTAGCTTCTGTTGATACAGATTCATCATGTGAATCAGTTTTCGTTAGCGGAGTAGATGATTTTGGAAGAAGTGCAATAACGGTTTCTGCAATACTTGAACCACTAGAAAGTTTATGGATCATAGCAGTTGATTCTCTAGAATCCTCTTCAGGTTCACTCGGTTCATTTACAGTTGTCAGTGATGGAAAATGGAATGCTGAAAAAAAAACAATGAGATTTGTTTTTCTTCTTGAAAAAATCCCTTACTATTATCATGAGTCGACCTTCTTCTCCCCGCACGCACTTCCTGATATGCTCTTTGGAAAGCCGCCATAATTGGCACTCCATTTGGATTCTCACTGGTGCTTGATCTTCTCCGCTCATTAATAACACGTTTCCGATCGTCGCTCAATTTTCGAACTTGTTCTTCTGACATTTTCCGACGAACCACTTCCGAATTCTCATTTCCAAGCAATTCCTCTTCTCGTAATCTGTAATCACACATCATGTTTGATCTCTTCCCACAATTTCCTGTTTTTCTATTTTCGAAGTTTTTTTCTTTTTTTTTATTTTCCTAGTCGCCTTAATATATTCATGGAATGAATATTTGATTACTTGAACTTTTGATTGCAACGTATGTTTACAGTACCTATTATTCATATGTTCATCTTTCATTTGATCCATTGATGCCATATTCACTGAAACATCCATCGATGGAGGATCGGGAACAATTGACACGCGTTTTTTCGCTGCCAACAAACGATCATGTGCCAAAGTTTCCGCACAAATTGTGGGCGATCGCCATCTGAAATGAGATATTTAGTTGGTCTTTGTCGTTTTCGCGCGAGAGCAGAGCAATAAGAAAAAATGCAATTTGTCAAATACATCACATCCGAAAATTTAATTAATCCCTAAAACTCCCCGGAGAATAAAACGAAAGACTAAAAAGATACCTTTGTTGCGGTTTCGAAACAATGTGAATATCCGGTTGACTAGGTGATCTTTCTTTGCTTCCACCGCTTTGTCTTCGAGTCGGACTTCCTGATTGGGATCCACTTTGTGATAATCGAGAACCTCGTCGAGATCTGACTTCTTCAATAATAACACGTGGTAGAGAATGTCGTCGCTCGCCACTTCGATGAGTCAATTGACCAAACATGTAAAGTTGATGATTTCGCAATTTTCGGAAAATTTTCATGTACAAATACACCACAATTGCTCCAGGCAAGAAAAATGATAAAAACGAGCTGAGCACAATATATTGTGGATTATTGATCCAACAATTTCCATCAAACAACGCGCCACGTTCCATAAATAAAGTTGAGCTAACTGCTAACGCCATCAACCAAATCATAACAATATATGGAACAGTTGAGGTAGACACAGAATGTCTTTGATATTCTGTGGGGAACATTATTGCAAAATATCTGTCTAGAGAAATTGCGACAAGATGAACGATGCTAGCCGTTGTCGAAAACACGCCTGAGACAAGATGGAATTGACACCACATATAACCAAGAGTCCAGTGGTCACTATGCATCTGCAAAATATTTGAAACATTTTATATTCTTCAAAAGCATAGTAAATCTAGAGGCATTTTAAGATCTAAAGCACGTTTAGGATAAGATAATCATAAAGATTTTAAAATCTGAACGCTTAGAATTTAGATTTTAAGGTGAAATTATTGATGATTCTCTCTTTTGTTTTCCCTCGTCCCATTTAATGCGTTCAGAAAAATCATCAAAATTTGATCTTGCAAAATTAGATTAAATAGTGATTAATCCCCAATCTTTGAGGATTATCTAGAGTGAGCTGTTCCTGACGCCAAAAACAACAAACCACGTGCTCATCACTCACCTTATAATATAGTGAAAGTGGCATGACGACAAGTCCGACTAATAAATCCGAAACGGCTAACGATGCGATGAATTTATTAGTTGTGACAGATCTCAATTTTCTGTCTACAGTCACTGCAAATATCACCATCGAATTTCCAACAACGACAAGAAGAATTAATAATATTAGGAATATGTGAAACGCGTTCCATTCCATCGGATATTCAAGCTAAAAATATATTCTTTTGATTTCTTTGAATTTTCAAATCAGAAAATGATTTTTTCAAGTACCTGAAGTGGTGCATCTGTCGTTGTTGTCGAACTATTATTGGTCATTTTTCCAATTTAATAAGGTTTCAAGAGCATTTCGAAAGGATTTTCTGAACAACAAGAAAACATGAACTTGAAGGATCAAAATACGAAGAAAACAGGAAAAAGAAATGAATTTGGGCGGAGCAAGACAAAAAATTTTCAATTAAATCCTCTAAATATTTAGTGCGTACGTAGATGACTGGGGACAGAAAAAAAACATCATACATAGCAACAAGTTTTTTTCTTCAATTTCATATAAAAAATAATGGGGCACAATGCGCGGAGCAATTTCATTTTGAACTGAAGTAGAGGAGAGTTTGGACAAAAAAAGAAATTACTTTTTTTTTTGCTCACATTTCTTCAATCACCAAAATTGTATTGACTTGAGAGTGAAAATGAGAAAAAATGGAATTTTTTTTTCTGAAATTGATGTACTTCGCCAAAAATATTTACTACTGTATTCAGATATAAATATTATTTAGACTTTTCTCCGGCCGCCGACTGAATAATACATTAGATGAAAAAAGTTTGAAAATGTCCGAATTAATTTAATTTATATCTCTTCAATTTCATCTCTCCAACTTTTTTCCAAGAAAAGAATTTTCAAGATGAAAAAGTCCAGAAATATTTATGTAGCTCAAGCAGAAAAAAAGTGTGAGCAGCAAAAATGGAGAAAAAATATACTTAATTTGGAGTGCTATTTATAGGCGTTGAAAAATATCAAATTTCTTCGCGTCTTTCAACCTACGCTTCATGAGATATCTACTTAGATAATACATACTTGGCACAAAAACTATGTGGTTTTTGAAAAAAAAACTGAATGTAAGAGAACAACTTCTTTTTATGGGGTTGAAAAAGGAATTTCCGTGTTTGGATGGGTTGTCTCTGGAGACAGACAGAACTCGCAACATTTATGGGATGGAAAGACAAGAAAAAATGGATAGATGGGTGAAGTAATGGGTTCAAAGTGGAACAAAGATGAAAGTTTGGAAGGACGGGGAAAGTGAACTGGTATTCAAATAAACATTTTTAGCTGAACTGTACTGAAATTACAGAAGGATACGAACAACAAGTTTGATGACAACACTTTCTGCAACTCGAAACGGATTTTTTTGAGAGTCGAGTTAACCATCAGAACATTTGGTCCGATCTCAAATCCTAGCCTCAAAATAAATCTTCATACTCTATTGTTTCTTGGAAATGTGATTCAAAATATAATCCTTTAAAAAATTTGAAAATAAAAAAAAACCCATAAGTCATTTTTCAAATCCGCCGCAAATTAATTTAATCTTCAATTTCGTTTCCAAAATCCCAAATCTCTAGGTATTTACAAAAACGCACTTTCACTTCAAAATGAATGCACTTTGCTTCCAAATCGCCACGTCATGGTTCACGTTAAAAATATGAATAAACATGGTCGTAAAAATGATTGGTTTTTTCAATGGAAAAATTGGTTCTTGAGAAATATGTACATAATCTCTGAATAAGATTTTTTTCGAAGAAATGCAAAAATGTTGAAATGAAATATGTATTTTGGGAGGGAATAGGATGAAATACGTGCATTTTTAAAGAGGATCTCTGTTTTTCATTACCACCCAATCCAAACTCATAAATCTTCAAAATTAAAAATCTTTTCTTTATTTAAATGTGAGGTCTAAGTTTAATTAAATCAATGGGAGAAAAGTTGTGCACTTCAAAATTAAACCAATGAAACACAAGAAAATGCACTTGTTTTGATTTCAAGAAAAATCTTGATCAACAACTATTTTATGAAGTGACACTAATTATCCAAAAAATAACCATCACGGGTATTTTTTATTCGATGCAAAAATCAAAACAAACTTTTTTTTTCTATTTCTTATCACTCAAACGTATATTTGTGTATTCATCTCAATTTTCTGAAGAAAAACAATCGAATTTCTTTATCGAAAAAAATCTTTTATCCAAGACCAATGATGATGGAATTCTTAAATTGAATGAATCGGCAAAAAAAAGTTTCGAGCTCTGTTTTCTTGCTCTCTTTGTAAAAAGTGAAATATATGAAAAATACTAGTAGTATCACGGCAAAATTTAAAAGAAAAAAAACTAAAAAACGTTGGGCTTTCGAATCTATTATTCATGATTTTTATTATTTTCCACCAATTCTTCGCGTTTTTTTCCCAAATGACGCTAGAATGTTTCATGGAAAATATGAGAGCAAAAAAAATCTGGCGAATTATTTTCTGGCTGGGGAAAAATTATGAGAAATGAGAAGCTTGCACCTATGAAATGGAAGTTCAAGATTATGTGGAAGAAATCAAAAATCATGTGGCTTCGTGATAAAAATATGACGATGATGATGAAAATATAGATGTTAGTATAGAAAAATATGTGGGAAAAAATTTTCTTGTTTTATAAGTTTGCAGATGGAAAATTTGAATACAGGTTTCAAAGTTCAAAATCCACCTGTCACTCTGTATGAAAACTTTACGACGTAGCAAAATTTTGAATCTGAAAAATCTGAACAAGTAGCCTATTTTTCGAAAAAAAAACCTTTCCCAACTAAAATTATGGGAAAATCTGCAAAAAACTTTTTGAGCTAGACTAACTTGCTCAAAAGCTATTTTGTCTCATTTTCAGAAAAAAAAAACAATTCTCCAAAGTTTTTCAATTTTCAAAGATCTCTCAGTCTGGAGAAAAAGTTCACCTCTCTGGAGATTCTTGCACTATTTGGGGAACTAAATTTCAAGAAGAAGAAAAATCAAGGAAAATAGACCTAACTACAGATGTTATATATTTCTGCATCCACAAATAATTTCCGTTTGCCTATTAACATAAAAGCATCATATGTCTTTTACGGGTGGGATGGATGGAAGGAACAAAAAAATGTAAAAAAAAAAACGAGAAATGAGATTTCAGTCTGCCTGACACTAATATTCTTCTTCTTTTTTGCTTTTTCGTTTTCTTAATCTCAAAAAATGAGAAAATTTTTAATTAACTATACAAAAATATGTGATTTTCGACTTACTTCAAACTTGGATCAAAAACTCATTTGTCAAGAAAGAAAATTGGGTTTTGTTATTATTTATTTGCAAAAAAAAGAAAAAGAAATAATGAGCTACCAAAATATAATGTATTTTCTCATGAGTTCACGTCATTTTTTCAGAAATTCGTCGAGAAACATTTTTTTTTTGACAAAAAAAATGGATGTTAATTCAAAAATTAACACACTTCACTGAGTTTGATCCTCGCGTTTTCTGTTTTTTTCCGCGAAAAAAAACTAGAAAAAAAGCAATTTTCTCAAATTTCAATCTTACATAGTTTTTATAACTATGACGAAAACTTTCTAGATGATGAAAATGAAGTTGGATGTCAAAATCAGAGAAGAATTCCTCTTTTCTCGAAAAAAATAATTAGTTGAAAGCACGCAACACACGAATTGAATTAGATCAGTCCGATCCAATTAGTATCATTTCGAGAGTAGAAGGGTTATTATGAAGATCTTGAAGATCTTAGAAAAAAAAAGGAAGAAGAAGAAGAAGAAGAAGAAGAATCACTGGGTTTATGTGGGTTGAATTCGAAGACAGAAAAAAGTTGCATCCAATCAAATTCTGAGCAACTTAATGGAGCGAAAATAGAACTCTTGGGAATTGAAAGGGAAATTGAAAATTGGGAGGAGAAATTGTGTGGACAGTAGATCAGTTTTTTTCATTGTAAAATCAGAATCAAGATTATTTCAAGATAACAAGAGGGTTACTGTTCAGATTTTTTGAAATACGACCCTTGGAAAAAATTTCAGAATTTAGTTTCAATAGAAAAGGTTTGAGAAACTGTGAATAGGTTCATTTTTATGTTTTATATCTTTGAAAAATATTAATGAAAACTAAACTCTAGAAATTTAGAATAAGTACTTCTCGTAACGAATTCAAAAATATGTTCTAAAATAATTGTTCAGGAAAATCCTAACTCAGCATCAGAAAACCGCCCACCAACACTCATTTTTTTTGTATTCACCGATAAATACAATAAATTTCAGCACATCTCTCTTTATAACTTCCCCCTCCTTTTTCTCCATAAAAGCAATTGCGAAAAACAAAACAATATATAAAAAATGCATTGAACTGCTGGAAAAATGCTCTTGTTGTGTTGTGCAAATTTTTGCTGTGTTCGCCCCGCCCCACACTTTGAAATTTGATTGTTTTCTTGGTGTACTTTTCAGAGATGAGCAGGGAGAAAGAAGGTGACGTATCATCAAAAAATTAAATTTTTCGCAAAATGTGGGTCTTGCTAACGAATAATTGCACACACACACATGGGGAAAAATAATGAGACTTGAACCTGAAATAATGAAAGTTTTATATTTTTTTGCAGACATCAGGAATTTTTAATTTGGAAAAATTGTGTTAGGCTCAGAGAGAGAAAGAAATAGAAAACTACTATTTTATTATGTTTTGTTACGGATGAGTATTTCAGTTTGAATAAATCAGGAATGCTGCAGATCAAATTGTAAAAAAATAAAGTCAAATCGAAACCCTTTCTGAGTTTATCATATTCAAAAACCCACTAACTTTAATTTCAAACTGTCGAGTTTGTTTTCACACAAAAAAAAAACAATAGGTGGGAGTGATAGAAATGCATTAACTCTGTGTTTTTGAATAAGTATGTTTCCAATTAATTGAAGGTTCCTTGTTTAGGTTCGGTGTTTCGGTTTTTTTTTGCAAATCAATAAAAATAGCCAACGCTCTTCGATCATCACTAGATTTTTTTCTGAGACAAGATTCGCCAGAATAACAAGATTCTCATTTCCTTTTGTGCAATTCTGACAAAATCACAACATAAAAAACATTGGTTACAAATGTTCAATTTTTCTGAAACCTTCAGTGTTATTTTTATCGAGTGTCCATTTATTAAACATCGATTTGGAAATGTGAACTATAATATTCCAATTTTTATTCCATTGAATGAACCCATGATACTTTTAAATTATATTTTATTTTGTTTCGAGTTTATTATTATTATACCATCAATTATATTATTTACATGGATTATTCGAGTAATTGGATCAATTTCTTTATTTCATCGAAATATTTCGATACTTTTATATTATCATAACATATTCATTGTTTTTGGGCAGATTTCGAGAGTATTTCTTTTGATGGTTCAATTAGAACTTATCGAAAATTCTGAGATTATTTTGTATATTTGCAGTTTATTACGTTATGAGTGTTATGAAAGTTTTATATTTTTCATCCCGGTTTTCACAGTAGAAAGGTAAATGTTTTCTTGAATTTCACGTGATTGCTGATTTTTTGTTTCGATTTAATTTAACACAATTATTATTTCAGAATTCTTTCCACTTATTTTGTCAATGATTACGAGAAGAATCATCGCGCTGGAATTTTATGTATCATAATAACTACCGTATTTTTTACCACTCAACTTTTTGTCTATATTTTTGCATTTCGTCGTCCATCAATGATTATCACAATAATCTACGTGGTTCTGAGTTTTGCTGGATCAATCCTTATTTTTAATATTTTGTACGTGTCAAATCTGCAGAAGTTGAGAAAACTCCGAGAAAATCCAAGTTGCCAATACACTTTGAGTAAAAAATATCAATTGGAAGAAAATATGAGAATTATGACGGTAAGGTGAATGTGAGAAGTTTTGAAAAAGAAAAACCACATATATTTTGAGTATATGCGATCAATGACTTATGCGTTTTTTCTCGTTTTTCTCGTTTTAATTACGTTTATTTTTCTACCTTGGATCACAATTTTTGGCATCAAAATACCAATTAGTGTAATTTACAGTTTTTTGGATCCAGCAATTGCTATGTAAGTTATTTTTATGTCAATGCGAGACTAAATCCCTCTAACTTCCATTTGGATAAACCAAGTGTGTGCAGTTTCAACAACAAAAAAAAAAACAGCATTTTTGCGGCATCGAGTCGAGTTCTATAAGAACTTTCCATTTTTTTTTTGATACATATGTAGCACTCTCCTCCTTTCGTAAATGTTCGACAATTTACTTTAAAATTTCAGCCTGTTGCTAATATTTCCTTTACTGACATGTTTTGTTTTATATCGTCATAAAAATCAAGGGTTTTTGCGAAAAATCAAATGCCTCACAAAAAAATGGAAAATTCAAGAGACTAAAAGAATTGTACCAACAACTCATAACGAAACAAATATATACTTCGAACAATTGCAATCATCTTGGAAATAATTTTTTTTGAAAAAAGCTAGAATTAGAAAGAAAATATTTTTCTTGTTGTTTTCGACTTTGGTTTTTTCTTTAGTCATAATATAAATTAGTATTTTCTTGTCTTATTTTTTTGTAATCATGTACAAAGTTTTTGACGAATCGCTCAAAATCATATTATCCGATATACCTTTTGTTCCACATGAATATCAAGGAATTTCTTATAATATTCCGATTTTTCTCGACTTGGATACGAATTTAAATTTATTTAATCGACTGTTGTTTTGGATTGAATTATTTGCAATTCTGCCATCGATGATTTTTGTGTCTTGGATTATTTGGATGCTTTCATCGATTTCCTTGTTTCATAAAAATATCACAGTAATTTGGTGTTATGTTAATGTTTTTCTGATGGCTGGAGCAGCGAGTAGAATTTATTTGGTGATGATTCAATTGAACTTGGTACCAAAATTGGAAATTGTTCTTTATTTAACTAGTTTCATACGAATTGAATGCTATGAAGGGTTTTTATTGATCATTCCCGTTGTTACTATTGAAAGGTAAGCGTGTTTTGAGTAATGAGAAAAATGTATTTCGAGAATCAAGATTTTTAGATACTTAATTAATTATCTGAAAAAAATATCTGTACATTTCCAATAATATAGACATTTTTAATCATCAAAAATCAAAAAACGTAACAAATTGTTCATGGTGAATATTAAATAAAACATCAATTGAAATCTAATTTTTGAATGAAGAATCTTTTATGGGAAACTATTTATTTCCGATTGAAAAACTATTTTCGAAACAAATTGATAGCTATTCAATAAAAAATTCGGTTTTAGAATTTTCGCGACAATTTATGTGAATGATTATGAAAAAAATCCACGTACTTGGATAATTTTCATTGTGCTTTTCATTCATTTTTTAATCACTCAATTATTTTCTTTCCTACTTTCTTTTCACAAAACTACAATGTTAATGCACTTGATTTCAATCTTATTAAATGTTGCTGGTTCAATCACAATTTTCAATTTTTTATACCTTTTCAATTGTCGTAAATTTCCAAAAATTGAAAGAAAATCCAAGTCTTCATTATACTTTGAGCAAAAAATATCAATTGGAAGAGAATTTAAGAATATCAAGATATTTTCGATCTATGGGATCGGTTGCACTTTTTCTATTTTTTTTATTAATTTTTGGTGCAATTTTTCCATGGACCGCATTATTTGATATACATTTACAATTTGGAGTTGTTTATAGTTTACTCGATCCAGCAATTGCAATGTGAGTTGTTTTTTTTTTAATTTTTTCAAGTTTGATGTTCACAGACTTTGTATAATTCTACCATTTTCACTGTGTTTGTTATTATATCATCAAAAACATGCTGCATTTTTACGTAAAACTTATTTAATCACATCGAAGTTGAAATCAAGAAATACAAGAAAAGTTGTGTATTTTTCGGGAACAAGAAACGAGGCGAATATTTATTTTGATCAATTGGATGCATTATGGAAATAAAATTCTAGCAGAGCTTGGTTTTTATATTTTCGAATTTTTGAACGTTGAAAAAAAATTAATAAAGTAATTTTTATTGAAATATGTTTATTTTTTATGTCAAGAGAAGGTCTGAATTTTTTTCTTTTTCTCGCGTTAAAGTTCAGATATAGCAATTTTTTGTAAAACAAACCTAGCTCAAAACTTTTCAAGTTTCTTGAAAAAACTAATTTCTTTAAAAGTGTAACATTGCCACATCTTTTTTGTGCCGACTTAATTATTCTGGCGCCCATTTTCTTCATTTTTCTTCTTCCCCGCATCCTCTTCTCATTTCATTTCACATCAACCAGTCATTCGTTAAAAATTTGATGTCGAAAAAGAAGAATGAGAGAATTCGGATTTATTTTTTGTCGGTTTGAAAAATTGCCGTGGATTTTTTCATGAAAATCTAGAAAAACACACACATATGGAATCTCCAGATGGGTTTGGAGTCGTTTAAAGTGGAATGAAAAACCTCAAATTTTTCAAAGAACAAATTTGGATCCAATGTTATGCAAATCTTTTATTAAATCCTCAAAAATCTGAATTGAATACGTTTCCTCCAACTTCACTCGTTTTTTTCAGAAATCTGAAGGAAAATTGAAAGCAGATTCTTTTCAAAGTGTTTGAAAAATTTTCAAAGCACTATTCGATTATACAAAACGCCTATTTATCCGAGTTTCATATTTTTTTCCATAAAAAATATTAATCAGTTTCCAGTATCCACGTGAACTTTAAATAAAACTTGAAAAATTATTTCAATTTTTAAGTAATTCCAATTTCATCGTCAAAAATCGAAATGTTTTCGACTACTTTTAGACATAGCTCATTAATCCGACTTCCATTTCCATTTCCTTTTTCTTTTTTTCACATTTCAGTTAGTCATTCGAACCAAAAAGTCGAGAGCAAAAAAAAGAGAGAGTATGAAGAAATATTGATTGCCGGTTGCCAGCAGCTTTTTCTTCTTTCTCTTTCTCAATTTCTCCGTCGCCTTTCTATGTGTTTTTTCCCGATTCACTTTAAACTCTCCTTTTTTCCTTTTTTTCTCTATATATTTTCTCATGTTTCTTTTCCTCACTGCGTTTATTATTGTTTACACACTATTTCGTCGGTTATCAAATTGTATTATTTTATTCTGTTTCTCTTCACACACATTCTCTTCCAGCATTTTTCTTTTTTTATATATATAATGAAATTAATTTTTTTTTGCAATTTGATTCTTATGGGAGACCACGTGCTATCTAGAATTGTTTTCAAAGAATTTCAGAATATTTTTTTGCAGCTGCTCCTGGATTTAATAACCATAGTAACCTTGGATTAAAAAATCGCTAACACTTTTTACATTCTCTTTTCCAACTTTACAATTTTTCATTGTTATTTTACAGGTAGCTGAACCATCAGATTTCAAATCAAAAGCAACAACAAATAAATTAGCAAAAATGGGAGCCGATGCATCACTTCCAATGGAAATGTGTAGCAATTGTAAGTCCATCGAAAAACGTCAAAAATCAATTCAAAACCCTTTTTAGTCGATGCTTATGAATTGCGTCGTTTGACACGTCGTTTCAAAAAACTTGATGTTGACGGAAGTGGAAGTTTGTCAGTCGAAGAATTCATGTCACTTCCCGAACTTCAGCAAAATCCACTCGTTCAACGAGTTATCGATATATTTGACGAGGATGATAATGGCGAAGTAGATTTTCGAGAATTCATTCAAGGAATCTCACAGTTTAGTGTCAAGGGTGACAAAAACACCAAACTTAAGTGTAAGTTTTTCGTTTTTTTCTTTCCTCAGAATAATTCAAATTTTTCAGTCGCTTTTCGAATTTATGATATGGATAGAGATGGATTTATTTCAAATGGTGAACTTTTCCAGGTGAGTATTGAAACTTTATTTGTACAGAAAGTTGAACTACAAAAAAGAAAGAGACAGTTTTTAACGGCGGGATCCATCCTCGAAGAAAACTCCTCCGTCGATGGCGCAGTATTTTGGACAGATTCCCTTTTCTCCGACACCTCCTGGAGTTCCAGCTTCTCCTGGGCTTCCTGGGTTTCCGTCTTGTCCTGGAGATCCTGGATTTCCATTTGGTCCCTTTGGTCCAGGTTGTCCTGGTTGGCCGTCTTGTCCTGGGTTTCCTGGTTGTCCGGCTGGTCCTTGTGGCCCAGCTGGCCCTGGTGGTCCTGGTGGTCCTGGAACGATTGGCTCGGATTGAGCGTCTGGTCCTGGAGATCCTGGTTGTCCTGGTTGTCCTGGGTTTCCGTTTGGTCCAGCTGGTCCCTTGTTTCCTGGTTGTCCTGGGGCTCCGTCTTGTCCTGGTGATCCTGGGTTTCCGTTGGCTCCAACATCTCCGGCTGGTCCTGGTGGTCCTGGTGGTCCTGGTGGTCCTTGAGGGCAAGGTTGGCAAGGTGGTGGGGTAACTGGATTGCATGGTTGCTGAGGTGGGCGTCCTGGGTTTCCTGGGAGTCCAGGTGCTCCTGGCTTTCCTGGTCTTCCTGGCTTTCCTGGTTGTCCAGCTGGTCCCGCAGCTCCTGGCAAGCAGCAATCATCACAACTTCCTCCAGCGGTAGCAGATCCTCCAGTGACTCCTGAGTCGTATCCAGCTTGACGGGCGGTTCTGTTTCCAGCAGTTCTCAATGTGTTAACCTCAGACCAGATGTTCTTAGCAGATCCCTAAATAATTATACGTAAATATGTTCGAATTGAATTCTAAAGTACTTTACCTTGCAGAATTGAACTTCTTGGTGCATTGTTCTCTTGATATGGTGAACATAGTTATAAACCATTGGAAGGGTAACGCATACTGACAAAACAGCGACTACCGAGAAGGTAACAGCTGAATATGCCACAAATCTGTAGGCTTTGACACGATGTTCTAATTCCATATCGAACCGATATTTCTGCCTTCATCTGAACTGTTTAAATAGCAGCGATTCGAGGTGTAATATTTACAGCAATAGAAAATAAATCCAGAAAGAGATACAACAAAAAAATCATAAAAGAAAAAAATGGTTATCAAGTTTTCTGCTTGCAGGTTCTCAAAATGATGGTGGGCAACAATTTGAAAGATTCACAACTTCAACAAATCGTCGATAAAACTATTTTGTTCCACGACAAAGACGGAGATGGAAAGATCTCATTCCAAGAGTTTTGTGATGTAAGTTTAAAGTTACCTAAACATTTCGATGAGTGTGAGTGTGATTTTGATTAACAACATTTTTCAGGTTGTCGAACATACCGAAGTGCACAAAAAGATGGTTTTAGAAAACATTTAACATATTTTTTATCATTTCGTTTTTTTTTTCATATTTTAAATTCATTCTGCCCACTTTCCAAAGCTGAAACATCCCATTCTTTCTAGTCAATAGTTTTTTTGTGCAAAAAAATCCGAATTGTATATAATACAAAACTACGTTTGATTGAATTTGAATTGAATTGACTTTTAATAAGTAACTAATAAACTATTCTTGCTGTGCCTGGTTTTTATTCTTTTTTGTAAAATCAATTTGAATATAAAAATTTGCAGGTTGTTGGAAATCTGGATATTCACGAGAAAATGGTTGTCAAGGTTTGAATTGAATATGTTTTGTTTATGTTTTTCTTGCCTTTTGTTTGTTTGTATAAAAAATTGGAGAAAAAATGATTTATGAATGTTTGCTGCTGAAACAGCGGAAATATTTATTTTATATTTATTATTTGGGAAAAACTGGGAAAATGCAAAGCGTGTGACAAAAATTATGAATGGAAACTTGAAGCAGTTTGTTATTTACACAGAATATAATATGGTATTTGATAAAAACAAATCAAAATTCAAAACTATATTTCCTGTCATCCGGGAAAAATATAGATTGTGTAAGCATTCCTTGATGAAAAAACAGAAAGAAATCACTCATTTCTGCTCGATCTCTTTGAACTGAATCTAAATCATCGATATCTCCTTCAAAAACATGAAAAGTCAAATATTTTATATATCGGAGCGCTTCTAGACTTTTCAGTTTGTAAATAATTATTGCATTTTTCTTCTCATCAAATTCATGTCCAATTGTATGAGATTTGCTGAATACAGACACGAATTTTTTTAAATTTTTTAAATTTAAAATTGTATAATTTCCACTTACTAATATTCGTTAACTCTTTTGATTTCTAGAAGATCAAAAACTTTTTCAATATCGAAGTCTTCGTAGTCACCTATTCTCCATTGAAAATTTTGGACAGCATCTAATTTTCCGTGATGCCAATTCTTGAAGAACTCAAAAATATGCTCTGGTTTCCATTTTCCAATTGGAATTGATATATTTTTTGCAGCTACGGTTGTTATTTTTCGATAATCTGATAAATTGAAATCGAGATATAGAATATCTTGAGTGTCATATATTCGAGATAATTTGGATATTTTTTTTGTTGCGCGGAATTTTTCGAGCCTCAATCCCTTCAATTTTCTATGATCTCCAATTTTTGAAAAAATCTCCCGAAGTTTTGTAAAACTCATAAAGTTTTTATATCCATCACAATGCAAATATTCAAGATATTCCAAATTCTCTATTTTTTCAGTGAAAATGGGAGATCGAGGAAAAGAGTCGCCAAGAATAACAAGTTTTTTAATGGCCCCTTGATACTTTCTAAACTTTTTGATAAATACCTCTTGAGCGTATTTATGTATACTAATTTCATCTTCATCCTTGAATTTCTTTCCAAAAGATTTGATTGGTTCTTTTGGATTTGGTGAAAAAGTTTTGCTAAACAGAAATTGGAAATTCGGTGTATTTCAATTTTTTCATTAAAAACTTACAACTTGATGCACTTTTCTGACAAATGATTCAACACAATCTTTAGAGTATCAAAAATATTACAATCATAATAGAATCGAAGAACAATAGTTGGAAGTTTATCGAGTGAAAAGGTTCGGCTGTTCCACTCCAAACCATAACAATAGTTTTTCGAAATCTTCACTTCTTTAGAACACAATTTAGAGCATTTTCTGAATTGTAATCTATCTTTGGGGTTCATTTTATCAATAATCATTAATCGAATTTTTGGTGGAAGTTTCGGAAAATATTCAAAACTCATTTTCAGATAGGAAAAATAAGAGAGAATGATTGCAAAACGTTTACAGAATTTTCTGGAAAAACGATCCTTATCAAAAATAAACATTGGAATTTGTTGATAGAAAACTTAAATAATTTTTTTGCCAATCTACGCACCTGTTTCTTGCAATGTTTTCAATCATTCATTTAGCCTAACTCGCGGCATTTTTTGTGATGTCAAAAAATATCTTTCGGGTTTTTTTTCATTAAATGAGATGTCAATAGAGAGAAAGACGTGTACATGTCACGCCAAAAATTAATTGTTTTCAATTTGCTTTTTTTTTGATGTGAGGAAAATAACAAATAACGATTTCTTATCATTGGTTTTGTTTTGAAAAATATCTGCGAAAAATTGGAAATTTTTCAGACGCAAGATTTTTTTTTAATTTTTTGTCTTTTTGAATAAGTTATCATTTTGGTATCATTTTTAAAGAGAATTCTCTTAAGTTGATCATAAGAGATGTCTGTAGTGTGATTTTGAAACATCTGGCCTCGAGAAATAATATCTCAAAGATGTTCTTATGTTTCCGGAACCTAAGGAAAAATTGTTTTGCTCTAGGTGTCATGTTTTTCTAAAATAAAAAATAATGCCTAGTTATTCTTATTTGAATTCGTATCTGCTAAAAGGTTGAAAATTCCAGTTGAATAAACTTTTTCAAATTTCTGATATGCGAATATATAAATACATACGTCATTAAAAATTCAATCAATCGTATTTTTTATCCAACTGGGAGTTGAGAAAACTTAGAGGCTTTCAAAAGTCTACATGAAAAATTTTAATTGTCAAATCTTAGAATAAATAAAATCACACTTCCGGATCACAATCTGATAAAAAATTAAACATATGAGATGTGTGTAGTGTGATTCCAAAACATCTGGTTTTCAAAGTATAATAAATATTTCTAGATGTTTTTATTCGGATGATAAAAACCAATTTTTTCGAATTAAAAAAAAACGAAGAATCTTTTCACAGAAATCCTCTATTTTTCTTTTCGAAAAATCCTGAAAAAAAAACAAAACACCAGAAATTGGAGCTATAATTTGGCTGTCGCTCAATTCAATAACCAATTCCTCCATTTTCCGCGCCATTATTATTCTCATTTTTATTTTTTTATTATGTGTTCCATCCATTCACTTACTAACTTTTTCATGAGTTTTATTGTTTTGTTTAAAAAAAGAAAAGAATCAGACTTTCTCAAAAATTCTGCACTATTCGAAAGGATCTTTATAGTTTTTGCTCTCAAAGAGAACAATTTCCCATTCACTTTTGACAGAGTCAAAATTTACATATTCATCAGATTTTTCGGTTTTTTTGGAGTCCCCGATTTGAAAAAAAAAATTTTGATGGAGAGAAAAATTTTCCGAAAAAGTGAGCTGTCAAAAAAAATGCCTTTTTCTTTCCCAAAATAAATATGTTTTTAAATAAGTAGGGGTGACGTCATTTTTCAAAAAGAAACATCCAGCCAATTTTTTGAGAATCAAAATTTCGGTGTTTTAAAGATAAATTGTGTTCCCGAGCACGCGAGAAAATAGTCAAGTTTTCGTCACACCGGATGTTCTCACTTTATTATTTTTTGTCTTCTTTTTTTTTTGAAAAAAATCTTGGTGTGTACATAAAATACAACACTTCATTTTTGCTCGCCTTTTTGTTGTTATGCATGTTTTTTGTTTTTTTTTTCGAGTCATTTTTCTCTGCTTTTTCTATTTATTTGTACCTTAAAAAAGAATGAATGGATGGGTGGATAAATCAAATTTCGGCTCGCTTTTTCTTTCTCGAGAAAATAGTTTTTTTTCTGTTTTGTTGTTGAATTTTTCCGTAGGGCAGACAGATGTTCCACATGACCTTCCTTGTTTGAAATAGAAAAAAACGTATTTATTTTTTCCACGAAAAAAGTTTTGTAATTTGAGTATCATGAAAAATGTGAGAAATGAATTTATAACATACATATGTGTGTTCATAAAATTTATATCCGACAAAAAATTGTAAAACACAATTTTTATATCAAGACAACAAATGTGTCTCATGTTTTCTAATTATTTATTTTACCACTCCGTAGATCACCAACTGTTACTCCAAGTTCTCGTTCGCTTTCAAAAAAATCTTGAACCCACTCATTTATCATCACCCAATTTTAGAATAAAATAAGAATACATACATGTTTTCTGCTCTTTTTCCCCAAGAGAAAACGTCAAACATTTCCTTCGATGAATTCATTCATTTTGTCGCACATCCCGCTTTTTTCTGGACGTTGAAGAAATTAAATTTGGTTTGGCTTTTGCGATTCGCTATTTCATTTTCCTCCTATTTTTCGCACTTTTAGATGCCTTTTGGTCAAAAACATGCGCGTTTTGGTGATGCGAAATCACGAATGGAAGATCGAAGTCGAGTTTTGACTATGAAGTATGGAAAACAGCAAATGGCTTTGATCAGGAAAAGAATGCAGGTTGGTTTCATTTGGAAATCAGAGAAAATTGAAATTTTGTTTTGCAAAATCAATCTTCTGGAATTTCAGAAATTGAAATTCTTCAGAACTATATTATTGAAAAAAAACCAAAAAATAGTATGAAGAAATTTTGAAAAAAATGCTTATCAGAAAATTTTTAGGCATTCAAAATCGACGTTTTCAATAAATAGGTGCATTTCTGATTTTTGAAAAAAAACCAAAATGTTTTCACAAAATGCCACATCACAGTTCACGTTTTCTTTATTTTAAAATTTCCTGTTTCAAAAAATCTACTTATTTTTCTAGGTCGAGAATTGGATCGAAACCGAAGTCACAAAACTCTTCAGTGGAAATGAGAACAATGTATGTTTACAGTGCGTTTCATAATGATAGGTTCACCCCCAAAATTTCTGAAATCAGCCGAGGTGTGAGTTGTAATAACAATCCGAGTTAAAAATAAAAAAGAGCACACAAAATTAGCTAAGAAAACTCAATTTTATCTGAAACTACCAAATAATAAAAAAATAAATGACCGGAGTTCAAAAATTTCAAAAATTTAGCGTTTCAAAACGATAGGTTCACCCGCAGTAGTACTGTAGTTATGTTTCGTGGTAGGAGTTTTATCGAATATTCTGGAAAATACGAGTGATATTTGATTATTTTAACGTGTTTCTGTTTTTGTTCTCGTTTTTTCACGTCATTCATCAATGTCGCGGGAAGTCATCTTACAAAAGAGGAACAAGCTCAAATTAGAGCATTCAAAATCGCCGGATGGTCCAATAGAATGATTTCGTCAAAATTGAAACGATCTCTCAACTGTATTAATCAATTTGTCAACAATCCGGATCACTATGAGCGAATGAAAAACACTGGAGCTCCCAAAAAACTCACGGAGAGAGATAAACGAGGGATTGTTAGGTTGGCTTCGAACACAATGAAATCGTGTAATGACATCAAACACGAGCTGGGTTTGAATATCAGTAAGACTACAGTTTGGAGAGCCATAGACCAATCCCCAGAAATCGTTCGAGCCAAATTGGTGCCAGCTCCGCGTCTCACACTTCGCCACAAAGACAACCGTCTTACTTTCGCAAAAGCCAACATGGCCACAGATTGGGATAAGGTAAGTAATTTTTCTAAAAACATCAAATATTGATGTTTTCTTGTTCAGATAATTTTTTCTGACGAAAAAAAGTTTAATCTTGATGGTCCGGATGGTTACAACTCATACTGGCATGATATCAGAAAGGATCAACTTCGCTTCCCAAAGAGAAATTTTGGAGGAGGACGGGTTATGTGTTGGGGCGCATTTTCTGCAGCTGGAACGTTAAAAATAGCTTTTGTTTCATTCAAGATGGATTCGTTAGATTACCAAAAAACCCTCCATGACTATCTTTTGCCATATTTGAGGCGGTTCCGGACCAGAAAGTTCACTTTTCAACAGGATAATGCTGCCATCCACGTCAGCCAATCATCAAAAGATTGGTTCAAAAGCCACAAAATCAAAGTTTTGGATTGGCCAGCGTGTTCTCCTGATCTTAATCCGATGGAAAACGTATGGGGGAGCTCGTTCGCCGAGTTTATGCTCAAGGAAAAAATATGATACTGTGGACCAACTCAAAGATGCCATCGAGACGGAATGGAATAAAATCGATAAGAACTACCTCAAGAGACTTGTTGACTCGATGCCAAATCGTCTCTATGATGTCATTTCTAAACATGGAGGTCCAACTAAGTATTGATTTTCGATTATATGTCTCCAATGGGAATTCTAGATTAGGTGAACCTATCGTTTTGAAACGCTAAATTTTTGAAATTTTTGAACTCCGGTCATTTATTTTTTTATTATTTGGTAGTTTCAGATAAAATTGAGTTTTCTTAGCTAATTTTGTGTGCTCTTTTTTATTTTTAACTCGGATTGTTATTACAACTCACACCTCGGCTGATTTCAGAAATTTTGGGGGTGAACCTATCATTATGAAACGCACTGTATGTTTTTTTCTACAAAATCCCTATCGAAAATCTGATTTTGAATTCAGAACGTTGATATTGATTTGGATGTAATTCAAGATATTGATGACGTGGCAGGCAAGAGAAAATATGCATTTGTGAGTTTGTTTTTCTATTCTCATCCCAATGTTTCAATAAATTGAATATTTATAGGAGCAACTTCAAAAAGGGCACTGTCCAAGTTCGATGGATAAAATAATTGTGTTTTTAGATGAGCTGATCGAGCAATTAAATACACTTTAAACTTTCTCACGTTTTTTGTTCAATTTCATTTTTTCTTGTAAATAAAACTATTTGCCTTTTTTGTCTTCGTGTGAAACAAAAAAGGAAATTCCTATCTTTGTCTTGAGAGATATGAAATTCGAGAAGTTAACTTTTTTTGTTTCGTAAACATGACCCCCGCCCAGGGCAAACGACCTTCCCCCAAAGATAGCATCAATTTTTTTTCTGTCTTCTACTACGGCAGAAAAAAACACATACGCGGAAGCCATGGGGTGAGAGAAAGAACATCAACTGGAATTTCTCAAGGTTACATATTTTGAAAAAAAAGGAGATGCGTACAAATCTTGTTGATGAACGGTTTTTTGTGTTGAGAGAAATAAGTCGGCAGCTAGTTGATCATTGACAAGGAACCAAATTAAGTGGATTGATGTTTTGAGATCAAGGTTTTCAATAGTTTTTGAAAAATAGTAAAGTATTGGGATTCATTTACAGAGAAGGAGACAATAAGAAAAATGAAATGTAGGTATCAGATATCCAAGAAGATAGGATTGTTCAATAATGAACTTGAAGTCCACTAAAAATTGCTAGATATTCAAATTCTCACGTGAGATCAGGTGACTACGTGAATCTTATGGGATTCACTGTAGCTATCACACACACAATTGCAAACTTACTGGAAATCAGACAACCTGAATCACATGTCGAGAATTTGAATAACCGCCGGTTCTGTACCGAAAACACTGGTTTTTCGGCGCGACTGATCGTTTTACAAAAGCCTGTGCTCTTGCATGAAACCAATTTCTACTCTCATCACGGAAGGATCGAACTTCTGGCTTATAAAATTTCAACAAAATGAATTTAATTATGTAATTTAAAAAGTTCACTAGGAAAACGACTCACAGGTTTTCTTCTCAAATAATCTGCATTTTTTAATGCTTTCATCAATTTCAAATATGAATACTCATAAATGTTTAGTGAATTTTTGTTTTCATATAATTGTGTTCATGTGAATCTGAGTTACAGTTTTTCCTATTCCAATAATGCCAACTGATTGATCCCGAAATTCCAAATATTCAAAACAATAAAAAAAACAACACAAAAATATGAATCGTCACTTTCGCCTTTCCACCAACAAGTTTTGCCTGCCGCTTTTCCTTTGTAACTTGACTTATAATTAACGTTGTAACCTTCTCATCTCATCTCTCTTTTTTTCATAGCGCAAGCCGAATAAATGAAAAAATCGCTTTGCGTAATGCAATTTGCATCTTCTCTCATCTCTATTTCTTTTTCTCTCCTCGAAACAACAACAAAATACAATAGTACCTGAAGATGGCATGTTTAGATGGGCGGAGATTTACACATTACGCTTTCCTATATAAGGCTTACCGTGTTTAGAGAAAAATCAGTTCTCTAACAATGGAGTTTGAGCAACGTATCAAAGCCTACAGATTTGTGGCATATTCAGCTGTTACCTTCTCGGTAGTCGCTGTTTTGTCAGTATGCGTTACCCTTCCAATGGTGCACAACTATGTTCACCATGTCAAGAGAACCATGCACCAAGAAGTTCAATTCTGCCGTGTAAGTTATACTTTATTTATATTCTTATAGCATGTTTATATTAATTTTTTATAGGGATCAGCTAAGGATATCTGGTCTGAGGTCAACACCTTGAAATCAGTTGGAAACAGAACCGCCCGTCAAGCTGGATACGATGCTGGAGTTACCGGAGGATCAGCCTCAGCTGGAGGATGTGACGCTTGTTGCTTGCCAGGAGCCGCTGGACCAGCTGGACAACCAGGAAAGCCAGGAAGACCAGGAAAGCCAGGAGCACCAGGACTCCCAGGAAACCCAGGACGCCCACCACAACAACCATGCGACCCAGTCACCCCACCACCATGCCAACCATGCCCACAAGGACCAGCTGGACCACCAGGACCACCAGGACCAGCCGGAGATGCCGGAGCCAACGGAAACCCAGGAACTCCAGGACAAGACGGAGCCCCAGGAGCCCCAGGAAACAAGGGACCATCAGGACCAAACGGAAACCCAGGAGCTCCAGGAGCCCCAGGACAACCAGGACAAGATGCTCCATCCGAGCCAATTGTTCCAGGAGCACCAGGACCACAAGGACCAGCTGGACCACAAGGACCAGCCGGACAACCAGGACAACCAGGACAAGACGGACAACCAGGAGCCCCAGGACCAAAGGGACCAAATGGAAATCCAGGAGCCCCAGGACAAGACGGAAATCCAGGAGCCCCAGGACAAGCTGGAACTCCAGGAGGTGCCGGAGAAAAGGGAATCTGTCCAAAATACTGCGCCATCGACGGAGGAGTTTTCTTCGAAGACGGATCCCGCCGTTAAACGTTTTTCCAACCGTTTCAATAAATACATTGCATTTCAATACTTGTTTTTAATTGTTTCATTTTTGATCAGGAACAAAGGGAAAATTCACAGGAAAAATGGAAACTGTCAAAGGTGATTCAAAAGTTTTCATCTTTTGATTTATAGTCAGCATTACAACATGACTATACAATAAGGCTTCTTAAATAATGACTAAATTTTTGCAATACTATGTATAATGAATGAAATCGAAGTGCTTTAAAAATTCCGAAGTCAAGAAGTGTTCATAAAAACATGTTTTTTTTCGTATGAACGAATTCCTTTCGTTTGAAAAAGTGTTTCATGTTTCCAAAAAACTTGAAGTCTTCAATATTGTAATTTAGAGAGAGAAAGATAGTGAGATATTTAATATTAAAGGGATTGTCTTCTAAATTTCGAATATCTAATCATTTTTTTCGGTTAAGCCTGTTTGTCATAGAAGGCGACCCCGATTGCAGTTTTGTTTAAAGGCGCATTGCATCATTTCCTTTTTCTTGAACATGTGTATATTTTTTGAAAAAAATAGAAAACGAAAAAAAAAATTACATTAGAGCATGCCTACTGCAGTGGCCAAACTTTCATTAAACCTGGCCACGCGAAACATATTCCACATATATTTTTTCGTTCGTTTTTTTCCACATATTTTGGGCCTAGGGTTTGATGAGTTAGCCTAACTTTTTTCAATTTTTAAAGATTTTTTTTTATAATTTTCATATATTTTTCAAATTTTACAGAATTTTTTATCGATTTTTTTCAATTTTTCCGAAATCCCTCCCCAAAAAACTCACCAATCGCTTCTATTTCTCAAATCACACAAAAATCCTTGAAAATTCGAAAATCCTAATCAAAATCCGAAATCCGAAATCCTCCACGTTTTCCATGTTATTGACATTGAAATCCAATTGTCCATCAATATTTCAAGCTGAAAATCAGAAAATTTGAATTTTTCATGTTTCATTGAGTTCTGCTAACTCCATTTCTGTTTCTATATATTTCTAAGGGCTTTCTGTGTCTCACAACAATTTTCCAGCTATTTTTCAGATTTTAACAACAAAATCTTACCCAAACCCATTTTCCATCGATTTTTGAGAAAAAATCCAGCACTACCCTAACAGTTTTCATCATATCCGATTTTTTCCATAAAAAAGTCGCTTAAAATTCAACCAATAATTGTTCTCCTCATATTTGAAACCATTTCTGACTCTGAAAACTCAAAAATTCCAATCGAAACAGTGTTCCCCAGAAAAATCCCACCTTTCTTCGATAATCCTCGGATTTTCCGTTCAAAGTGATAATTCCAGCCTTGTAGAACATCTGAAAATTCAAAAAATAAAAGTGTCGTGCAAAAAAATAAAAGAAAAACAACGATACTCCTCCGTGCGCGTTGTTTAGCGTGTTTATTTTGTTTTTTTGCAGGGTAGATGAGAGAGTGTGGGAAATGGAGAGAGGGTTAGAGAGAAGGAGATATATATGTTTTCTATTTGAATATTATTGATTGAACGTTTTTTTTCGAGCTGAATCTTTTTTTTTGTTTTTTCAGCGCAGAAAATGTTATTAATAATTTTCTTTTTTTTAGAGACAACAGTCACAGAATGCAGCGATCCCATCAAATCAACAATTGTCATTTTCTAATGTAAGTTTAAGAATAGGCGAAGATTTTGAGAAAAAGAATATAGAATTTGCAGGCTTTCGAACAAGCAGATTTTTGGTTTGGACAGGACATTCGAAGATATAAGATTGGTAAGATTTGAAAAGTACGCAGTTTTAGACGAAAAATCGGAAAATCGAAAAAAACATTAGATTCAAATTTAAAAATCAATGAAAATATTTATTTGGTAAATCTTGTTGTTTTCTGATGAAAAACAAACAAATTTTCTGATGTATCTCATTAAAAATAAAATCCTTATAATTATTGTATGAATCTAACGATTTAATCCCGAACCAAATCGTTATTTTTTTTAACAAAGACAAAATTTTGAAGAAAAAAACGTGACCTCAAAATAATGAAAATATAACGATTCGATCCTGGCTCAAAACGTTAGATTCGGAAAATCCGACAAAAAATCGTTTTCATTTGTTTTGCAATTCATTGCATGATAAGTTTTCAGAAAAAAAAACTTTTTGTTTGCTCTCTATTCTCAGAAAATCATCAGAAACCATTTTAACACATCTCGTCTCAGAATAGACAACGACATGAGTCAGCTAAAAAGGAAGAAATGACGAAAACCAACCAGAAAACGTGTGACACGTATTATCTTTTTACGTATTTTTGTTGGATTTCGTCATTTCTCTTTTTGAAATATATTTATCTCGCCGTTTTTTTGTTGGAGAAAATGTCTCAAAATTACTTCAGTGTGGTTTTGGGCGATAAATAAAACGCGTTTTGAAAACTTATCATGTGTTTATTGCATGCTAAATACATGTACAGAAAATTTTCGGTTGGATTTTCGAAATCTAACGATTTGAGCCGGAATCAATTTGTCAGATTTTCAAAATAGGTCACGTTTTTTGAAAATTAAAATAATTTTTCTTTTTTTTTTCAAAAACATCGTTTTGTGCCGGGATCAAATCATTAGGTTTGAATTAAAATCAATGGGAATAATGAAAAAATAACAATTTTATAAGCGCTATGTTCGATCGTAAATTATATCATAAAAGTGGCACTTTTCTGACATTTTTTTCCGAAACATATGATTTTTTATAAAACATCGGAAACAAAAAATGGGTGCATGTTTTTTTCGATTTTCCGATTTTTCGTCTAAAACTGCGTACTTTTCAAATCTTACCAATCTTATATCAACAACTTCTCACGGAAGCGGGCCAGTCAAGTTAGTTTATTTTGAGGTTTGGGGTGGGGAGGAACAAAACTAACAGGTGAGATTAGAGCTTCATTGAAAATTATTGGGTAAAGTTTTTAATTCATAATTACTATTGATGTTAAAGGAGAGTTGTTTATAAATTACTAATGTAAGTTTAAATCATTAGATGAAGCTTTGAATAACACTTGATGGTATAGGATCAGCTTCAAGATTTCATTGAAAAACCAACTATGAAATATTTCATAGGTAGATTAATTTTTTCATAGTTTTATTTTTTCAGTTTGTTTTGAATTTATTTTTTTTTCTTTTATTTATTTTTCTTTTATAATCTATGTCTCATTAAACTTCACAATTTTTATTCCCAAGCGTAACTTTTTTGAAAGAAATCTTTTTTCTCACGTCAGCTTAGCTGCGAAAAATAGGGTTTTTTTCAAAATTTAGAAGTTTTGAGGATTTTCTGACTGTTTCGCCTAGGGGCACAGCCCCTAGGCTCCATTAAAAAAAAATAAAAATGCGATCTCCTATTTTTTCGGCGTGTTTTTCTCAACTAAAAAAAACCTGTACAGGACAGGACAGGTAGCCAGGTTTTCACTTGGACCTGTCATGCCTTTTGTTCTTACCACCAAAGCCAACATGAGGTCAACGTGATGCCAGGTTTATCCCACTCCTGGGTTAATAGATGCGAAATACCAACATTTGAAAATCGTTTCTTGGCGGAAATTAAAAAAACTTGAAAAAAAGTTAGAATATTTCTGCTAACTAGGTGACTGCTCTATTCGAACAAACTTTTTCATTAATTTTAATAATTGTTTTTATTTTGTTTTATTCAAGAAACTAATTATGTTGTCTACCTTGAAAAGTGTTTCTTTTTCACATTCATCTATAACAAAGATTACGATCGAAAAATTATACACGATTCGTGTATTTTTCCGGTTTTTGATATATTCTTTCATCCGCCAAGAAGAAGCAGAAAAAAAACGTATCGTTGTATTTGTTTAATCGTTCGAATGATTTTGAAACTTGATTGTGAATGGAATGAAAAACATATGATTGTATTGTTATGTTTTTTTGTATAATCCAATACGATTCTTATGATAGGTAAAAAAAAATGGAATGCAATACGTTTATTGATAAAAAAGAAAATAAAACTCTTAACGGCGGGATCCGTCTTCGAAGAAAACTCCTCCGTCGATGGCGCAGTATTTTGGACAGATTCCCTTTTCTCCGGCACCTCCTGGAGTTCCAGCTTGTCCTGGGGCTCCTGGATTTCCGTCTTGTCCTGGGGCTCCTGGATTTCCATTTGGTCCCTTTGGTCCTGGGGCTCCTGGTTGTCCGTCTTGTCCTGGTTGTCCTGGTTGTCCGGCTGGTCCTTGTGGTCCAGCTGGTCCTTGTGGTCCTGGTGCTCCTGGAACAATTGGCTCGGATGGAGCATCTTGTCCTGGTTGTCCTGGGGCTCCTGGAGCTCCTGGGTTTCCGTTTGGTCCTGATGGTCCCTTGTTTCCTGGGGCTCCTGGGGCTCCGTCTTGTCCTGGAGTTCCTGGGTTTCCGTTGGCTCCGGCATCTCCGGCTGGTCCTGGTGGTCCTGGTGGTCCAGCTGGTCCTTGTGGGCATGGTTGGCATGGTGGTGGGGTGACTGGGTCGCATGGTTGTTGTGGTGGGCGTCCTGGGTTTCCTGGGAGTCCTGGTGCTCCTGGCTTTCCTGGTCTTCCTGGCTTTCCTGGTTGTCCAGCTGGTCCAGCGGCTCCTGGCAAGCAACAAGCGTCACATCCTCCAGCTGAGGCTGATCCTCCGGTAACTCCAGCATCGTATCCAGCTTGACGGGCGGTTCTGTTTCCAACTGATTTCAAGGTGTTGACCTCAGACCAGATATCCTTAGCTGATCCCTATAAAAAATTAAAATAAACATGCCATAAGAATATAAATAAAGTATAACTTACACGGCAGAATTGAACTTCTTGGTGCATGGTTCTCTTGACATGGTGAACATAGTTGTGCACCATTGGAAGGGTAACGCATACTGACAAAACAGCGACTACCGAGAAGGTAACAGCTGAATATGCCACAAATCTGTAGGCTTTGATACGTTGCTCAAACTCCATTGTCAGAGAACTGATGTTGTATTCTACCTATCGTTCACTTTTATACACCGCTAATAATGGGCGGAGTCAGCTTTACACAAGCAACCCATTATCGTTTATTACAATTAACGTAACAATACAGATAGAGATAGATACATAGAAAAGAAGAAACTGAAAAGAGGGAAAAAGGAAGTTCTAATGAACCGTATTGTTTATTCTTATGAGAAAATTCAAATATCATGAATAATTTGACAAACTGTAATTTTTGAAATGTTAACGAAAAATCTCGAAAACTGCCACACACCTACTAATTTACAATTCGAAAATTTTTATCAACATCATATAATCAAAGTTATTAGTTTACTGTGTTGTTTGTATCTGTGAAAAGATTGATAATCTTTGTCGGTTGTATTTGAGTCGAAACAATTTTCAGATGCTTCAACTTTATACATCTCTTGAAGAAGCCTAAAAATCCGTTTGCTAATCTCAAACTACACAAAACACATACCTTTACAAAATGTATTATATTCTGCAACACAGTATATCAATATCACACTATCCATTAATGGAAATAAACTCAGAAAAGCAATCAAAACTCCACTTTCAAAACTAATTTCTATGTTGAAAAACGGAATTATAAAAATTGGAAAAACTGGAAAATCAATTGTGATTGATGGTGATATTATTTGAATTAAAAGTGCTTTAAAAATTTGTCGCTGAATCAATTGATGACGTGGCGAGAATAGTAAAGTATTATGGCAAAGGTTGGAATGTATTTGAAATCCGCAATAAATCATAATAATGTATTGTGAAACAATTATTGAAAGAGATGAGAAGCAATAAATTATATGAGTTTTCCAAAGTGGGTTGTTGTTTTCATAGACCATGAAGATTAGTGAAGGTAATTCCGTTATATTAAAATTATAGTTTTGATTCATTATATCTTCAACATAGTTTGAGGATACATCATTTTTAATAATCAGACCAAGTATTGCCCACCACAATACTCCAAACGAAAAACTTGCAACAACCCAAAAACAAAGATTCCAACTTTGAAAGTATTTTAAGTATTTTTTTCCAGAAAGTAACCAATATCGATAAATGAACTGAAAAGCCAGAAATGAAAGAACAGTACAATACATACTGCTATAAATACGGAGAAGAATTGTTTTTGCTGGTGAACTCAATCCAAAAATTGGTTCAGTTGTAAAATACACGAAACATTTGTTGAATGAATGAACAAATGGATGAGTTAACAATTCAGTCGCGGAAAATAGGATTTCCATTATTGAAAAAATTATTATCATATTTCGATATGTTTTTGATATTAGTTTGACAACATAGATTGTCATATAAATCAAGAAAAGATTGACACAAATCGATAGATTTGAACATACAGTAGCCACTGTGCTTGTTATTTTCAAAACAGATAGAGAAATCATAACAATTGCACAGGTTTTTTGTTTTCGGCTTCTGTTTAAATACAATTTTTGAAGGAAGGAAGAGCAATTATCTGAAAGGGTAACACCCGTACAAAGATGTCAGAAAACCAAAAATAAACTTTTATTTTTTCTTCAAAAAATTTCAAATATAACGGAATTGGAATTTAACTGTGCTCTGAACAGCAACTCTTGTATGAAGGTTTATAATGAGCGGATTGTTTGTTGTGCTATAGAGTCTTGACCACAAATCGTTATCAAAGCAACAAATGCTAAAAAAAAGGAAAGAAATTTATCATTTTCTAGTTCAATAATGTTCTAAGAATACTCACATTGGATTTGTAATTCTCCGATCGGTCATATATTTCACTTCAACGCCATTCATGTTACAACCATTCATACAATAGAAATTTGACAATGATGTGAATCTAAATTGGATAGTTTTTCCAGATGGCGCATAAATTGCAATTGATGGTTGATAGAATGATGTAATTGTTTGATTCAATCCAAAATTGATACTTTTTGTCACATAAGTGTTAGATGCAGTGAATGTGACTTGATTTGCAGCATTTTCAGTGCACAATGCTCCACCAAAACCATCAGTGCAAAGACATTGCGAACAATCGTTTGGGTTTGGATAACCGCCATTTTGACAACCTGGATCACTTGGACATGAACAATCATAATCAGTATTCAGTATTTTCATATCCAAAAATGATCCTTTTCTCAATCCCATAGTTCTCGAATAATCACTATTTTTTGCAGACATACTTCCAGTTCCAAAAGAATTCACTGAATACAACATTGTGCTACCATATTCAAAACTATAGGGATTGTAACTTTCTTGACTTGAAATCTTTTTGAAGTTTGATTGCGAGCTGGCAGGAACATTTGCAAGATTAATTGTAATGTAGTCATCTCGATCATATCTCGAATGCTCGTGATAGACACCCAAAGCATGCATGATTTCATGAATTCCAATTCCAGTTAACATACAAGTGTCTTCGAAATATATTGGTTGAGTTCCCCCAATCATTCCAATATAAGAAGCGCAACCATCACCACTATAATATTTTTTAAATCAAGTTGCTATTTTTTGGGAAAGCAAGATAACCTACTTTGTGAATTTGACACGATTTGTTTGCGAAGATCCATCAGCAAATCTGATGCAAGTGTTATTCATAATCCTTTGCATCGCTGTTGTCAACAAAGCTTTTTTCTCATCAGAAATATTTGAATCAAAAATATAGTAAAGAGTTTTGTCGGTCCATTTTGGATAAACTGTTGATACTTGACGCTTTGATCTTGAGACACTATCCAATGATATGAATTCCGATCTTCTTTTGTTCGAAAAGTTCTTCAGATCATTGACAAGAATATCGCTTTCGACAATTTTTGAAAACGTAGTTTGAATTGTTAGAAATACCAAAATCAGCATTCTCATTTTGCTTACTAATGATATTTCAGATTCTCTGTTTTATACATTTCAAAGTTCCCAGAATTTCTGATTAGTTTATTTTTTATAATTTTTTCACATCATTAAATATACTACAGTATCATCGTATTCGAAACTTTTTTCAACAATGATACATTTTTGGTGTTTTTTCAATGAATGACTAATATTTCGGAATCATTTGATATTATTATATTATACAACATTGCGTTTTGTTTTTGTTTTTTCTTCGACTAGCCAGACAGACAGGCATTTTTGTACGTTTTTTTGGTCACTAACGATATTTTTCTTGTGATATGATATGAAAAGCTTTGACAGTGCTTGGCACCTTATCTCTGATCTTCTGATTTTCAGAGAAAAAAAAGAAAAAAGCTTATGAGAAAATGTTTGAAACTATACGAAAATCAAAATAGGTGGTTAAAAATTACATAACACATTTATTATGTTTGCCTAAAAATAATAATAATCATATTAAAATATTGCGTATTTTCATCGAACTGATAACACAACATAAAAGGGGCTAATTTGATGAGTTTGCAACATTTTATCATTTTTGATATGACATTTTTACAATTTTTGTTGCTCCCATTTTTGTCCACCTTTTATTGCACTGTGTTTATTTTATTCACACATACACACAAGTTTAATGCGTTTTACGACGTGTGAAAACTTTTCGAAATAAAAATTATTTGTATGTACAAAAGTGGTAGAAGATAGGTATAAGTTTCTTTGAGTTTATCAAATCCGAATCAAGATAGATAAATAATACACTTGAAAATGAACAAAAGGAATAAAGAAAGAAGAAGACACATCAAATAATGTATCGCCTTGTAATTATTGTCATGCGGCGTGAGCAGGCTTTCGCTCAATGCTCATTTTGATAAACAAATATGTATATTCTAATAAGATGATTGAACATGTTGACCGCCTTTTTGTCTTTTTACGATTTTTTTCTTTGAAAAATTGAGACATTATAATGATGATCATTTATTTTCGAGGAAAAAACCGTTGACCTTTGATATTGACTTTTTTACTTTGTTGTTTTAAACTGATTGCACCGAGAGGAAAGTAGGGAAACAAACTTTTTTACTGACAACTTTTTTGCAGTTTGGTTTTGTTGAATGATTTTCTTGTTGGGTGGTCTTATTTTTGAAAAGTCTACGTTTCAAGGTTCACTTCATTTTGGACATTTTTGTACAGTGTTGAAGATACTGGACGGATCCGCTTAAGCTGATAAAATGTTTTCCTTATTCATACATATTAACTATGTTGTATTTGAAAATTTCAGATTTTGATCTTGAGATTTTTTTTAAAAATCACACACGTACCAAAAAAATATTTTCGTGTGGTCATAACTCACATTTTTTGTTGCATTTTTCTACGCTCCGGGTTTTTATTATCTCAAAGTCTCTTGTCAGCAACATTTCATTGATAAACTTTCAACCTACGATAACATTTTCAACGTTCGAAAATTAATATGGCACTTTCCAAAAAATTAACCCTGATCTAATATTTTACCCATTTTTTTCTCAACCAAAAATATTAAAATGTTGCCACCCAGTGTGAAATTTTTATTAGATTTTTATGGAAATTTTTTTCTGATAAAAAATCGTAAACCCGTAAATGTTATAACCTTTCATGCACTTTTTCGCACCTTCTCATTGTTTCGAACATCATCGAATCCCTATTCTCTCTCTCGGGTTTTCTTGTTATCAACTTGCAAATGAATCGAAAAACATGAAAGATAAAAGGTGCTTAATGCGGCGGTCGGCAGAAGCACAGGCAAATAATGAAAATACGACAGACAATTTCATCTTCTTTTTGAAGATCACGCTTGCTTCGTGTTCTTCTATATGCAAATTTGCACAAAATAAACAACAACTTTTTTGCGCTCCTCTTTTTGTCTTTTGTTCCCAAGGTTGTTGGATTTGTGTTATTTATTATGCTAATCATAATTACCAACCATAAAAAAATCATCATATATATTTTATATATCATTTTTTCCTTCTTCTGCCCTCTCTTTTTTCTCACCCCATAGATTTTTCACAGTTGTAATAGGCGGAACCGTCGGCGCCACTTTTTTTGATCCAAAAAGTGTACACTTTTTTTCATTTTCATTCGTTATAAATCTTGGCTGCTAGCGAGCAAAACAGTAAAAGCAACTATATTTTTCAGAAATGCGAAAAATATTCTTATTATTATTACTGGTATTAATTGTTCATCTCGGCTCAACTTCACCAACCCACAAACGTATTTTGGAACAAGATGATGGAGTTGAATTGGAGGTTAGTTGAAAAGCTTCTTGTTTGATTTTTCGATTTCCGAAAAAAAAGAAACAAGTCACGCGAAATACTTTTCAAAATAATGTATTTTTCGCGTGACCCAATTTGTTTTCTTCAAAAACCATTTCCATTTTTTTAGGCCACCATCGAAGAAATTGCTCAAATTGAAATTGACAGCGACGCCGTTCCAGCCATCCCAAAACTCAACAGCCAGCAAAAATGGAGTCTGATTCGAGAAAGCGGTCAAGATCCAACCACCCGCCGTAGAAAATCGAAAATCGGACGAGGACGACGGGATTTGATTCTTGCGCCATGGCGAATTCGACACGTTGCGCCAAAACTCACCACTCTCCCACCAAAACCAAAAAAGGCTTTTGCTCTCCCAGTCGATGTTTGTCCAAAGAAATTCGACGCAATCACAAAAGGTTACAACGGTCGGACTTATGTCTTTGCGCGTGATCGAGTTTATCAAATCTGGTTTGAAGACGGTCTCCCACAAAAAGCATCATTCCTTATCAACGAATTTTTTGCGGGTGGTCCACGAACTGTCAGCGCTGCTCTCACGAATTCGCGATCTGGTGTCACAATACTCTTCGATGGTCGTCAAGCCTATCGCTTCCGCTGGAATCGCAAACACAAGCGTTTCCAACTCGCTAAAAATACACCACAAGAGTTGCCGCGTAATGTCACAGTTACTCCGCAATCCGCGTTTGAATGGGCTGATGGAAATCAAGTTGTCATGCAGGTAGAGTTCAATATGAGTTGAAAAGATCTCAATATGTTACTGTTTCAGGGTGAACATTTTATAATTTACGACGCTTATTGGAATCTTGCCACTTTTACAGGTCACACCCGCAGGTAATTATTTTTTTATTTGTATTGTATCGGGAAATACATTTAACCATTTTCAGATACTTTCCGAATTTACCACGCGATTTGTTGGGAATTGTCTACAACGGTTCTGGAAACACAATTTTGATGTACACCAAAACGAACAAACTTAAAGTTTATGACACGAAAAAATTCAAAGTCGTTCAAGAATATCCGTTAAAACTCAACGAATTTGTCGGATGTCTTTCGTCATAACCTCTACCGTATTTTTTTAGATGTCAGCAAGTTTTTTTTTCAAAATTTCCATGAATCCGGTTTTCTCTTTACTAACGTTTTTTTCTTTCTACCGACTAACTTTTTTCCAATGTTTTTTTTGTTATATTTTTCCCGTTCCCGTTTATCTGTTCTCTTTTAACTTATTTAATTATACGTGTATTTCTGATGAATCTTCAAAACGTTTTATGAACTTTTCTTAGTCTTCACAGATTCCTCAAATTGTCGGATCCGGTTTCGGATTTTTGAATCTTTTGCAAATTTGGATGGATCCAAAGGAGTATGATCAATTGGAACTGGAAATTTCAATTTTTTTCAGAAAACTTCAGGCATAAATGTAATTTTCGAAATTTTTCACAACATTTTTTCCCAAACCTACCTGAACGGAAATTGATTACAACCAATACAATTGCAGGAATCACGAACATCACCAAGAATACAAAAAGTCCATATAAATCTTCTACTTTGAAATCCGGCGACCAGTTTGGTATATCGATATAATTTGGTTCATTTTTTCGATTATACGTTCTTCTAGCTTCCCAATCTCTCCTATTTTTTGTTCGATGTGCGTATAAAGCACAATTATATCTCGACATGAGATCTGATCTATTGCAAGGTTTTTTATGGTTTTCGTCATAGTAACACTCAAAAGATTCGGGATAGACGGTGAAATCGAATTGAAGGTGTGTCTAAAAATATAAAAAAATTCTGAATTTTCAATAAGATGATGAAACACTCACTAGAATTCCTGGAAACGGAAATATATATGAATCCGTTTTTATGTTGTTTCGATCTTGTAACGGATGATGCAAATACATAAAAATTGACCCTTTTTCAAGTAACTCGAAACGAGGAAATCGAATAGAACTGTTACTATTGATTAACCGTGTTGATGGTAAGTTGTTCTGTTTTTCGTGTTCGCAACTATCAAAATAATTTAGTTTTACACGACATGGAGCATTTCTGTCGGTGTAATGATTGTCAGTTTCGAAACATTTGTAGGTGCGAAAAGTGTGAATCACAGACTTCATCGAGTTGATAACTGTCTTTTGGATACTGTTTTCAAAATCTCTATCAACGAAGTTAGATTGATCAAGTTGATCAATTCGAAAATCAGGATTTTCCCATTCGTGGATGGCATTCTGAAAAAATTAAACAGCTTTATAATTTTTTTGATTTTTCCAAAAATCCTACCAAAACAAAAAATGGACTACAATATTTTTCTCCTTTCTGCGAACTACAGAAACATGAAATTGAAACTGTATCTTTATTCGCATAGCACATAGTTTTTCCATTTTCAATTCCAAATTCCCTATAATCATTTGAAATTGTCCAGTTTTTGATAACTTGGAAGTTTTCTTCAAACATCAAGCGAACCATAATTGTTGGTGTTGTTGGTGTATTGATATTATCAAAATATTCAAAACAGGAAATAAGGTTGAATAGAAATAGATAGAAAATAAATTGAACCATTTTGTTGAGAAACATTTTTAAAAACTACTCTGATTTTTCAATTCGTTTCAAAAAAAATAAAAACCTGAAAATTGGGGTCACGTTTGAAATAAAAATAAAAGTATTAATTATTCATTTGTGTCAAATGATCCATGCAAAAAATTAAACACATTTTTCAGAACTCCATCTGTCATATTTCCAATTTTTAAGAATAATCCATCAGGATAAGTTTTTCGGATTTTGTTCTGAACTCGGCTCAAAATTGCGGATAAATTTATAGTTTTTGGGAAAATCAGCGAAGGTTTTTCTTCGACACTTCCTTCGATGTGCGATGTTTGAACTCCTCCAGATGGAAGAATCCTTTTGATTTCCTTAAAAAGTACAATTTGCAAAAAAAAAACATTTGACAAAAATGAACATTAACATACCGTGTAAGTTATACCATCTTCTTCGAAAACTCGTCGCTGTACTGTACCTGCTGGTCGAATTACTGTAACTGGCACAATTTTTGGAGCCGCATCTTTGTTGATTGGAACAAAGTCTTGCGCATCTATCAAAACAGCAACCAGAAAAACAAAAATTACGAACATTTTCGATAATCTTTTCAATTTGTTGCCGTTTACTCACATTGATAAGAAATTTAACCTAGAGAAAAAGAAAAAAAACTGGTTGGCAATCGAAATTTTCAAGGTCCATAGTAAGATTATTTTTGGAATTTTTTCCATATCCTGGTAATAAATTATGAAAGTAAAGAAAGTAGTGAAAGTGGTATATCAGTATCAATTGAAAAAAGTAGGTTAGGTCAAAGCTTTTTCTCGAAGCTAGTAAATCAGTCATTCTTTGATTTTTTAGACAATGATTCTCTCGATTGTTTTCTACCTATCTGTGCTATTTCAATTTTCCGAATCTACACCAGTCAGAACAATTTTATGTTGTTGTGGATGTACTGAACATCCATGTCCAATGGTTGGACCTAATTGTCCACCACCAACTACAATTTGTACAAATAGTTCAAGTGATATTCAATGTTCGGAAGTTCAACATCTTTTCGATATCTCACATAACTATGATGATTTAGAAGATAGTACAGAAGATATTTCTGCGCGTCTCTTACCTAGTCTAGATTCAGTAGATCTTGTACTTCACAATAATCTTGATGTTACTCCTATGCAGAAAATTGAAGGAATGATGGGAACACTGGAATCTACAATTCATCAATTAAGATCCGAAATATCAAAACTTGAAACTACTTCCTCAAACTCAACTCAAAAAGCCAAAAAGGGTAGGTCCACGCCGGGTTCGAACCGGCGACCTTCTGCGTGTGAAGCAGACGTGATAACCACTACACCAGTGGACCAGTTGGCTAGACAGACAAAAAAGACCTTCACATTATTTCTCCACTCTTTTTGTTTGCAGATCGATGCATCGCTGCAGCCAGTGAGAAGAACGACGAGAGAGAAGAGACTGGCAGACATGTCAGAGAATTGCAATGATGACAAGTTGAAGAAGATTATTATGGAGGTTGGAAAGGGGTTTGGTTCGAAAATTAAGATTGTGACCCAGTGAAAAAAATTCTGAACCACAGAAGAATATACCAATTTGGGATACATTTTATTTTTCTCGAAATTTTGAAAAAAATGTTATCAAAAAATCGTGAGAATTTTGACGCTATCAGTGTTTTTTCTCATTTATTACAAAACAAATTTCATTTCCAGAACATCAAAAAAGATGCAAAATCATCCAAACGCGAAATCCAAAAAGCTGCCAACAAACAATTCGGAGGACATTTCAATGTGATTTGCTCACCTTGCGAGTTTTCATTCGTCGTCGCCTCTCAAAAATATTGTGATGGATTCAAAGACAATGTTGCCTGTTTTGCATTCCTTCAACCACCAACAAAACTCAAAATTGAAGAATAACTCGCATCACTAATAAGAAAAGTACAGTAATAATTTTAATAAAATATTTCATTTTATTTCGAGCACATAGCACATTTTGTCACAAAAAGCAAATATCGTAAAATAGACCAGACCAAGCAGGTTACCCGTAATTGGTGCGGTTAAGGAAAACTATTATTGTCGATTTTCAGAATTATTGTTTTTAAACTTCAAAAAATTGATCTTCTGGATGATCATAACTGTATTGAGCCATTCGGCCGACTAAAATAAGACCAGCGGTAACAATGATAACAGCAGTGACAAAAAGAATGAGAAGGAATCTGGAAAATAAAAACTGTCATTATTTCAAAGTTTATCATTTTTTTGTACCTGTCAAGAACTGTGGCCAAAAATTCCCATTCCAACGAGCATTCTCTTTTCCGTCTCATTTCATCGACTTCTTTATTAAAGACATTCGAAGTTCTTCTTAAGTTATTTGTATTTCCAGCCAAGACAGACATTGTTCCTTCCCACAAACAGGGTGATTTTGCTGGTCCGGCAGATGGTGTCATTGATGGTGCGCGAGATCTTACAGTAAGATTTGGTGAGTTTGGTGAGGTGATATCGATCATTTGGAAAGATTGTCCTTTTTCAACACTGGCTGCAGATTGTGGAACACGAAGAGTTGACATAGGAGAAGTTGGTTTAGTTGTAGATCCATTGAGAGGATCAGCGCGCATGAGGAATGTAGCTTCAGATTTCTTTCGGCGTCGAATATTCAACGGATCATCCTAAATTAAAACCCCTTTTTGTTCAAACTAGACACTATTTTTCTTCTGCTCCATTCATTAACTCAAAAAGAGTCCGGAAAAACTAATTTCCTTCCACCACGCAAACAACAATGAAGTAGCTAACAAAAACTAAAAAAAAACTCACATCAAGTTCTCCCCAAAGAGTTTGCAACGGGGGCGGAACATTTAAGAACAGCACATGAGGAAGTATGACAAAGAACAAGTAGCGGATAAATTGTGGCGGATTTTTGCCGTATTGTCTACGACCTTGAACTGATAGAACAACACTGGTTAAGAAGGTTCCGATGGATACGATAATAATGATCGAGAGATAGAACCAGGCAATCAATGGCACAAATTCACTTGTTGTTGGCATTTGATCAGACACCATAAGCATCAAAATAGACATTGCCAACAATGTTGTAATTCCCAAGTTGATTTTTTCCGTTCGATCATCATCTGTAGATGCAGGTGTGAAGAAACCAGTAATAGCAACAATTGTAATAATCGATGTTGGGATGATCAAATTCACCAAATAATAAAGCGGTTTTCTTTGGATCACTAAAGAAGCTTGTAGAATTACCCAGGGTTCAGGACAGCAAGCATACTTGTTCTGAAAAACATCGAGAACTTATAAATAAGTACAGGTGTCAGCATTGTTACCTCATGCCTATGAATTTTGAATGATTTGACCTGCCACTCTTCATTAGGAATGAATGAATTTAAATTCACTTCCGGATCTGCGTAGTAATCTAATGCACTTTTTGAGTTTGTCCAACTACTGATAGTTAAAGTACAATTCTGCCGATCGTACGGGAAAAATCTGATATTCAATCGACAAGTCACTGTGTAAATTGCTGGGTAGAGAAATGATAAATTTGCACCGATTCCACCTTCACCTCGAAGTGATGTTGCCTAGAATACAGTAATGCTGATTAGGTACAAACGTGTTTTTATTTGCAAACCTGTATATTCATATATCTTTCAGTTTCATCTCGACTCATTTTCACACTATTATACAAATATGTGTCAGGTATCCATAAGTAATTATACGGAATGATGGTTGAATTGATACCTTCAAACTCATCAGGATCCCAATCTAAATATTCATCTTTCCATTTTTGAATCATCCAAACATTCAATTTGATATTTTGCGATGGTTCATCCACTTCAATAATTTGGTATAATGAAATACTGATAAACACTTTCAACGATTTTTTGTGATCTATTATTGGCCTCACTCGAACATCATACCTGAAACAATTATTATTTTTCTTTATGATTTCATGAGTAGATGTTTTGTTACCTATCCTTATCTAATAAATGTCGAGTTAATCTGATCAATGATACATTACCAATTGCATCTCTTCGTTCTTCAGTCGTATTAAAAGTTCGAGGACTAGCAAAATGTGTAAATGTTGCAGTTATTGATTCAGAAGTCGTTAATGTTAAAGATGTTATGAATATTATAAATTTTAACATCTGAAAAAATCAAATTAAGCACAATAAATATTTTTAAACTTATTAAAAGATATCACAGTGTTCTGATACACCAAAAAGTTTAGAAAACAAAATAATGTTAAATATTAAGATTTAATAATTTATACGTGATGAAAAGCTCTCTAGGTTTTTGTTTGAATGAAAATATACAGACAGGCGCTGGTAAAAAACGAATGATGATATAAGATTTTCAACTAATTTAAAATGATAAAGCGAATTTCAAAAAAAACAAAAATGTATGAACCGTGTCTTGTTTGATCAATGAAGTGTTGTTCAAAAGATTAGCGATAATCAAATTCGGCTTGACGCCAATGAACGTATCCAATAAAATTGATACCAAATGTGATGATGAAAAATGCGATAACAAATATAGAGAAGCAAGTTCTTTCAACGACTGTGGCAAACCATTCAAATTCAGCGACTGCAAGCTGACGATTTGCTTTGATTGATGCTGAAAATATTGGAGTTTCTTCACTGTTTCTCAAAAAAAATAATTATAGTCATTTAAACAGAATCAAATTATTCTTGAGATTTTCCACTCAACGAAAACTAAGCGATAGTATGAATCATCTGAAAAGGAAAGAAACTCAAAAATAGCGTATAGATTGTTAAAGTCAATGTCACACATGAATCAGCATGAAAAACTATACCTGGCGTCTTTGATACTCGTTCTGCACAAAAAAAATTACACAAAAATTTGTAAACCCCTCCCAAAAATACAATTTTTTGAAAACATACTTTGCATTTGAGCGAAGGTATTTTTCTCGATTGGTTTGGGGCGAATTCTTCCTGACAATAATTTGGTAGACATTTCGGATGCCAATGAAACAACATCGTCTGCAGGGGTTGGAGGTGGAAGTGGGGAAGGAGCTGGTACTGGAGTGCCAGAAGGCTCTTCGTTTGGTGAAAGATGAATGAGAGGATCAGAACTTTTATCGGAAACAAGTGCAAGGCCACCAGCTTGAGATCGTTGGGTAGCACGTTTTGCACCAGATATCCATTTGTTTCGAACAGATTCACGAACACTGAGTTGAAGTGGACGAATTTCGATGGTAGGTGTTGGTGCGTCAAAGGCTTCCATCATATGTTCTTTCTCAACATGTGGTGGTAAAGAAGTACAAGTAAACCAAGCCAGCATTTTTGCAAATCTAAAATTCATTATATTATGAGCAACATCAAAAAATAATTACCTCAAGGCACTCTTCGACATTCGTTCTCCTAAACTTCCTCTTTTCTGAATGGCAATAATCACTGATGAAACTACAGTACCTAGCGAGATAACAATAATCATAGCCAAGATAAACCATCCAATAAGTGGAATAAAAGTAGAAGTTGTTGGCATTTGATCCGAAACCATTAACATCAAAATGGACATCGAGAGAAGTGTAGTAATACCAAGTGATACTTTCTCTTCTCTCATACCAGAAGCAGAAGAAGTTCTGGAAAATGTTCATAAATTTTCACATCAGATGTTTGATTTTGAACTCACGTGAAAAATCCGACAATAGCAATCAAAGTGATAATTGAGGTTGGAATGATGAGATTTACAACATAGAAAAGAGGTTTTCTCCTGTGAAAAAAAATGAAATGAATTTTTTGTGCGAAACTTGTGAAATACCTCAAGAATAAAGTGAGTTCTAGAAGTGTGTATTTATTTGGACAACATGAATATTTGACTTCATTCCGATGAACTTTGGTTTTCAAAATATACCATCCTTCATTTTCCAAATAGTTGCTAGTTCCAATTTTCTCGTTATATGGAAAATAGTCAATTCCTTTCTGGTCATATGTCCACGAAGAAAATGTCATTGTGCAAACCTAATAGAATTCAATAGACTTATTATTGTTTACGCGTTTCTCTACCTGCACATCAAATGGAAAATATTTGAGATCCAACAAGCATGAGAATTTGTAAATAGTTGGATAAAGTAGTTCTACAAGTGCTGCATTCTTTCCTTCATCCGTTGTTAGTTTTGCATTCAGTAAACGACGGGTATCGTCATCTTTCATCACCAACCTTTGCAAGAAAAATTAGTTACTTGGTTTTTGAGAGCACAAAAGATAATTAACAAAAGACAAAGATGAACTTACGAGTTGTAAAGAGTTGTGTCAGGAAGCCAAATCGAATCATAAGGTAAACGAAGTTCCGTGATATTTTCATAATCAACCGGGTTCCAATACAAGAATTCATCATACCAACGCTGCAAAAATAAGAAAGTTTATTAATAGCCTCATCGAACACACAACACTCAATCAAATTCTTTCCGTTCTTTTGGTTGGTTGGTTATTTTGTTACCTCAATAATCCAAGCGTTCAATAAAATGTATTGTTGCGGTTCATTGAGTTCCAGAATTTGATACAAGTCCATTGAAAATGAAACATTGATTGCTTGCGAGTTATCCCAAATTGGCTTTGCTTTTTTGTCATAATGATCCAGGAGATCGTGAACAAGTCTAATCTGCGTTGGAAGTGACGCAACTTTCACTAAAAAAGAAATATTTTTAGGTCGTTTTTGTTCCATTTTTATTTTTCTCTAGTTGTTTCATTTATAACTTCCGGAGGACCTTTTGTTCAAGTGCTCAGACTACTTAATTGTTTTGTGTTCCATGTTTTTTGCCAGTATTTTTGTAAAGAATCATCATTATGAAACCAAGACGTCAAAAAATAAAAGAATAAAAACTGGCTAACAAGATGAAATATAACAAAAGACTTTGGCTCACCTGTCAACATAAAAAATAACAAATAATGGTAGTAATAATAGCTATTTTGTGTTGAGTAGTACATTTTTTTTTGAAATTCTGGAAAAAAACGTTCTTTATTTTCTTTTATATTTTTGGTGGTAGAAAAAGAGAGCTAAGACTTTGAGCTTATTTGACGTGGAAGGGAAATGCAACATTTTGTTACACCAAAGTTCAAAAAAATTTCAGAGAGCAAAAAAAATAATAATAAAAAACGAGATTTTCAAAAAATAATACCTGGCTAAACTGACCGATTGGTTTGTTTTGCTCCTCCTTCTTCTCTTTTTTTGTTATTTTTTTCAAAGAGTGGAATCCCCTTCTCCTTCTTTTCCGACTTTTTGGCGGTGTTCGTTGAACCGAACACAAATTCTCATATATAGAATTTGAAGTGAGTTTGAGTTTGATGCACGAATTTCGCAGATAGAAGAATTGCAAATTTAAATCGGTACGCCTGGAAAAATATTGACCTTTTTGAATGGAAAATGCATCAATTTTGCAGGTTCCCACAAAAATTGAAAAATATAGATAGATAAAAACTGGGAAAAATTGTTATGACATGAAATTTTCAGAAGAAAAGATCGAACATCGCTTGTCACTAAGTTTTTTTCAGAAAAAAAGAGAAAATCTTCAACTTTTCTCTCTATAAATTGAAAGTTCAGTAAAGCAACCACATAATTCATTATTTTCTCCAAAAAAACAGAAGCTAAAAATAAATGAATGTAATTTTCTTTTAAAAACATATAAAAGAAAGAGCAAAAATATGATACTCAAACAGCCAGACAAAAAAACGAGGCTTTGATCATTCGAATCACATTTTTCGCAGTGACAGATATTTATCAATTGTGTGACAAATTTTTGTCTCAAATTTGAAAGAAACATCTTGTTTTTAGTGTTTTTGTCATGAGTTTTTTTCTTCAGAGGTGAATGAAAACTTTCGGAATCAAAGCTTTTGAATTATCTATTTCTCAAGTGAAATATCTGAAATTATTTTCCCAAACTTCTTTTTAAAATGCCTTCAATAAATATTTTTTGGAAATATGTACATTATTTGATAATCAAGTTTGGACCACAAAATCTTTAATATATTTGGATTGAAAAGTTTGTAAAGAGTTATAATAAAATAAAGGGATATCATAAAATGAACTCAAATTTTCCCAAAAGAAAAAATTTAAGAGAAATCACTTTACAAAAAGAAGAAATGATCAAATGTTAACCTATAGGTAGAACATGAATCAAGGAATTTTTTTTGCATGGTTCAAAAGAAAAAATGGCAGCTGACCACTTTGAGTTTTGTTCGGTGGGCCAGCGAAAAATGAAACGAGAAACGAGAAAACGAAAAGAAGAAGTCGTAATGAGGAAGTTGTTGGAAACATTATTTGCAATTAAAAAAAGGACCCCTTTGTACTACTCTATTCTTTCGAACCTCCAAAAAAATACAAATGTGTGTGTATGTGTCGCAACCTGGTTTCAAATGGAGTAAGTCACAAAAACGAATGGGCGTGGTTTGTTTGACCTTTCACACACAAACATACAAAAAATATCAATCAAAAACCCGAACCTTCCGTCCTACTGTATCTCGAATTTAAAATGCATTTTTTAATAGAAATCTGTCACGGGTGCGAGGTGAACTCAAAAATTTACGGATTTTTTTGATTGAGCGACCAAGAAAGCTGGCTAGCAAAAAGAAAATGTTCAACCAAAAATCCTTTTTTCTTTTCTCGCAACATGGATAAGTGGTGCAAAAAAATGAAAAAAGTAATATGTTTTCTGATCGAAAAGGGCATTGAGAAAATTTTTTTCAATATTTTTTTTGGAGATCAAAAAACTTATGAAGAAAAAACAAAACAAGAAAAATGTTTGTTTTTTCTCATTTTGTTAAGAAGTTTTCCTCAAAATAGGCTTAAGAATAACTAGAGAAAAAAAACATATGTGTGGAGCAGACGAGGGCTCAAAAAATTAGCAACATTGAAAAAAAACGTCGTAAAATTCCAGCCAGGTACTATTTTAGCTTGATTAGTTTTAGTTTCTATAGGCTCAAAGATCTACAAAAAGTTCAATGCAAAAAATGGATGTTTTTGAATAAAACATGATGCACAAAGTGGTTTTGTTAGTGCAAAAAAAAGATAGACAGCAAAAAAGTTTGGAATAAAGTAGGTGTTCGTTCATTTTTTATCTGATTCTATGATGCTTTCTAGTTAGGAAAAAAAAATGAAAATCATTGGAAAATTTCAGAAAAAAATTACGGAATTTTTGAGAAAAATTGTGACCCTGTGACACTATGCTGAAGAAAGGAGTGGCCAGGTTGGACTAATTACAGATAACCTGAAGAGTCATAATTTGGCCCCATTTTTTTCGACATTTCTAATTATTAATCCAAAAAAATTAATTTTCCCTCGACGAAAAAAGCCCCAAAACGCACCTCTTGTTGATGAAAAATGCACGCGAAAAAATTGTAGTAATACTAATAACAAGAAAAAAGATGAAAAATTGAATGTTTCACATTTGTCGTTTTTTCCGTTTATATTCAATTTTTTGTTCCAGCCAACAACATGTTAGTGGTCCATAATTCAGTATTGTGTTTTGAATGCTTTCTTATTTTTCTTTTTTTTTTGACACCAAATACGCTAGCCGAATACAAATTTTAAGAAGAAGACTAAGAAAAAACCGGATTTCGTATTCATGACATTTTCTCAACATATATTTTTCATTTTTTTCTTGTTTTACAGAAAAAACATGTTCCAAGTTCACCAATATTTATACATTTATGAGTGCAACTAGTTTTTTGCAGCTTTTTGATAGTAGAAGTGCAAAGATGAAAGCAAAAATATTATTTTTAGACTCAACTGTTTAGATCTGCAAAAACAATCGGAGTTTCGCAACTTCCACCAGTTGAATATCGAATTGGCATCAAAGGATCAACTCGGCGAAGACGGTGATGTGCAAACATTGCCTTGTTACTGAAAAATAATCATGGATTGTAAAGTATTTGTGTAAATTTTTTTGAGAAATTCAATATTCTCTCTCAAAGAATTTCAGGGCATAAAAATAATTGAAGATGAAAGTGAGTTGGTGTTGCAACAAATATTTCAATAGTGTTGTAAAACTCCAAGTATATGGATCTGATTAATTTTGAGCCCTGATTAGTTTATCAATTTTTGCCACGTTATAATATTTGTTCAAAATCCCAAAACTCACCAATAACAAACAGCTCGCAAAACTTGCTCATTGGGTGAAAGTGGAACGCCGAAAAAGTGTCCTCCTGCAACAACAAAAAAGTTTTCTTTTCGATTTCTGAACCTTGTTTTTCACCGGATGTTTACTTGATTTCCTTTTCTTTTTTTTTCTTTTTTTATTAGCTGGTAGTCGGTACTAAAAACATAGCAAATATTGAGAATAGAAATAAATTTTAGCTACTTTTGAAAATAAAACTGTTTTTTTTCTTTGTTATTGTTGGAAAAATAAAAAACAATTTTGAAAAAAGTGTGAAAATGAGGAAAAATAACAACAACAAACAAAATCAGGATTTTTCAAAAAAATCTCTCAAATTTCAGACCTGCAATATGTGTCATCATTTTTTCAAATTCCTCCATTTCCCAAGTTGCTTTATATCTTCGATATTTTAACATGCAGAATTCAAAAAGGTCGATAAAACAGCAACAAAATGCAAATAATCCAATGACCACGAACCATCCAATTTCCATTCAGCTTTTTTGAATTTCTATTTTGAGAAATGAAAATGAAAATGAAATGACCACTTTGTTCTGATTAAAAAACACGCGAACATTATTTTCTGATTTTTTTAATCCAATTTTTTTTTCGATAGGGGAGAAAGGGGAAGGAATAAGGCAATCAGACTTTGTTAATGACGTTCTTAAAAAAAGAAAGTTCGAAAACAAATGGGAATTCTTTCTCACCAAAACATCATTATGAAAAAGTATGATGTCTGAAAAAATCCAAAAATTCTCATTTTTCTTCTCACTTTCAATAAATTGTTATTTATTGATTTTATTGGTTTTTCGCTCGCCTCCAAATATTGGGTCATATAAATATTTATTGATTTTATTTTGTATGAACTGTATTATGTTTTCAACAGTGATGTCATTAATAAATCCGGTGAAATTTTCGTAATTTAAATTTAAATTTTCAAAACGAATTTTAGGTGTGCTTTTCTACCAAGTTTTCCTATATGGTTTTCTCAATAAATGATGAAAGTGTAATTTCAAACAATACTCGGGTTCATATAATTTATTCGTTCAGTTGTCTCTGTTGTTCTTCAATGATTATCATTACTTTTCAATTTATTTATCGATATTTTGCAATTTGCAAAGTTCAAAATATAAAATATTTTGAAGGAAAATGCTCATTTATTTGGATTTTCATTGGTTCAATTTTCATTATCAACATATTTTTGATAGCGAAATTGGCTGGAAGATCAGATGGACTTCTTGAAAAAGCATTTTTCAATGAGTTCAATATTTCAATATCGAATGTTTCTTATTTTGTGATCTCATACTATAATGAAAACGGCGCTGTAAATTTTAATGGAATTCTATCAGTTTGCAATATGTTCTTGATAATGACAATGTTTTCTGGAATCTCACTAATTTGCGCTATAAAAACATACAAATCTCTAAACAGAACACGAGAAACAGTCGAGGTTCTATCTGATGTTCTGAATACCCAATTATTTTTTGCACTGATTGCTCAAACTTGTGTTCCAATAATTTTCATCTACACCCCAATTTCAATTATTCTTGTAGCCCCAACTTTGAATGCAAATGGACAATTTTTACAAGCCGTAACTGGATTCATAGCTATTTATCCTATTTTAGATCCTATTTTAATTTTATTGATTGTTAGTCATTTTCGACAACAAACTCGTGATTTACTAAAGTTGTCTACGTGGAAAAACATTTTTTTCAAATCATCGGCTGTTGAGTCGTTCAATGGAGTTATCTGAGAAGTTTTTAAAGTAAATTTCAATTTTTTTAATTGAAAAATTGTTCAAATATATTTCTAAATGATGTTTTTATAATGAAAGGTTTATATAAAATGACGTTACTATTCAAAAAACTGTTCCTGAACTTTGATACTATGGCAGCCCGATTAAATGAATGTGTTTGTCCGATTGTAGTGGCAACCATGGTTTCGCCAGAAAAGAAACATTCATAGCTTTTCATTATTTATAAAAACCACAATGATTTTTGCACTTCTTTTAAAATTTATTCTGATTGAAACAGTGAGTTCTGAATATTATTAATTGGAAAAAAGTTTTTTTTTCTCAGATAATATGTTATCAAATTGTTCTAATTTATGGAACTCTGAAAGTTTCTGGTGTTTTGAGCACAACAAGTTTGGATAACTATGATTCATGTGCATCTTCGTGTTTATCAAATATAAATTGTGTCTCTTTAATTTTTACACCATCTTCGGGTTCTTGTTCAATTTATTCAATGTATCAAGTTTTATCCTATCAGAAAAATGATACTTTGGAAACTATTGTTGGAATTAAGGTGGAGTTTTTTGTGACTTTTTTTCCGAAGCACATTTTTGAATTATTTTTTCAGACAAACTCAACTAGTTTAATATGTTCGTCTTCATTTTCTGATGTTGATTTATCTGGTGATGTAAATGGAATTGCATATCAATTTTCAGAATCGGACTCAACATTTAGTTATGAAACTTGCCCTGATGGATATAAACAATTTACACGAACTCGTGGGTTATGGTGTATGAAATTATACAATTTCCAAACTGCTAAAATTGCATATAATAACTCATATTGTTCACAATACTCAGCATATCCATCAGGTTTTGATAATGCAAATGAAGTGTCTTATATAACCTCACAAATGATAGCAAATTCAATGTATGCAGTTGATGTTGCTGTTGATGGATATCGAAGTTCATCTTGCTTCAATTCAACAACTGTTTGGTGTGATGATTATGAATACTTTAATAATTATACATCCACTCCAGCTTATATCAATTGGACATCTACAAGTCCATCGAGATGGACATTCACTTATCAGGAAAACAGATTGGCAATTCGCATGGCAAATTCCAGTATTAGGATTAAGATTTTTAATGATATTGCTTCTGTTGCATGGATGTATGGTTTTGTTTGTGGTGTTCCATTAGGAAATTGGGATTTTGAATAAATTTTAAGTGGTTTATCGTGAATAAAGTTATTGAATACATGATCAGCTTACAATTAGTCTAAGAAAAACACTAAAATTGCTTCGAAGATATCAACACAAGTTCATTAAAATTTTATGCTGAATTGTTAATTATTTCTCGAAGCAATCACGTGAAAAAAGTATAGTCAAATTTTTGCTTATTTTCTCTCCTTTTTCTAAAACCAAAAAAAATGATCAACTCGTCATGTTATACCGAAGCTTTACAGCCATTCTCGCAAATTTTGGCCATGGTTTGGGGATTTAGCTTTGTGCTAAAAATTTTGGAAATTATCACAATATTTTATTGGAGAAATCGATTGGGACTCGGTTTTGTGACGATTTTAGTCCTGCATATTCTAGTGTTGGTTTTGCTAGGAATGAAATTTTTTCCAATCAATACGTTTTCAGAAATATGTGCAATGAATTTTTCATGGTATTTTTGTATAGACCAATTTCAAAAATGCCAATTCTGATCCTGATTTCAACTGGTTTTCTTCAAATTTTCCCAAAAATCAGTGGTGTTTCCTACTTTTCAGTTATGATTTTTTTCAAATCATTTGATTTTTTCACAATTATACTAATTCTACAAAATCGATATGAACATTTGATTCATAAAACTTCGAATACGCTCTCAGAAAATAAGTTTCGACAACTGATATTCTTATTTCTTTTGTTTTATGTATTTCTTTGTGCTAATGCTCATATTATATATCCAGATTTACTCGAAATTCAGGAAACTTTGAAAAAAGATTTTTTCAAAAAATATCATGATCCAATAATTTTATGCCATTCAACTGCTGCTAATTTGAATACAGAATTCCCATTTGGAAATATTGCTATTTATGGAACTACTGTGGTTATATTTTTGACATTTTCCTATTTCATCGGAATGTTTTACCAATTCTTTATCCACGACACATTCAAATTAACTCTTATTAAATACATTGGCTACCGTATTATTCTTCATTTATTTTTTACAGCTTATCCAATTACAGTAGCGTTTATAGGCATCATGGTTAATAACGACATTTCCAATTTTTTGGCGTTGAATTTGATTGGGATTTATATTTTTAACGCAACTTCGGCACAAATTTTTACGTTCCTTTCGTTTTTGGCTTTTTTCAGAAAAGCTGGAAGTGTTGAAACTAATTTAAATGAATAAACTTGTTTTCATGTGTGAAATGATTTTTCATGTTGAAAACCGTATAAATTTTCTGATTCGTTGAAAACTATGTGACTGAAAAAAAAAGTATGAAAAGTTTATTTACAAAATCAAGCTAATTAATCAATCAGATTTCTTTTTTCTTATCATCCTCATCACTCTTCTTTTTCTCCTTTTTCTTATCTTCATCTTCGTTGTCTTTTTTCTTATTTTTATCCTTCTTATCCTTCTCCTCTTCTTCTTTTTCATCGTCATTTTTCTTCTTATCATCCTTCTTTTTCTTATCTTTTTCCTCCTCATCATCCTCATTCTTCTTTTTATTTTTATCTTTCTTCTTCTCTTCCTCTTCCTCGTCCTTTTTCTTGTTGTTATCCTTCTTTTTCTTATCCTCCTCTTCTTTTTCCTCACTATCTTTCTTTTTGTTGTCCTTCTTCTTTTTATCCTTGTTATCCTCTTCCTCCTCATCCTTCTTGTTTTTATTTTTCTTTTTCTCTTTCTCTTCATCTTCCTCATCCTTATTCTTATTTTTGTTGTTTTTCTTCTTTTCCTCCTCTTCTTTTTCTTTTTCTTCATCATCCTTCTTGTTGTGATGATTATGTTTCTTATTTTTCTTTTTGTCCTCATCATCACCATGTCTATGATTGTGTCTATGATGTGGTCGATTCTTTCGTTTCTTCTTCTTCTTTTCTTCGCTTGAATCCGAACTGTCACTTGAACTACGTTTGTTGCGAATCTGCAAAATTGTTTATAATTGTTTAGACTTTTAGAAAGTTCCAAATTAGAATGATTTCAAATCAAAACTGATCGAAACTGATCGAAATCGAAACTGACCAGAGAGAAATCGGACCATTTTCAATTATTGTTTGGGAAATTTCAAATTTTTGTTGAATCTGAATTGGCCCGATTTCAATTTGGTATTTCAGTTTTGACTAGAAAAAATTTCAACTCACCAATGCCATTCGTTGAACACTTTCCACCAAACCATCTCCAGATTTCATTGCAACTTTTCCCGAAACAGAAATATCTGTTTCATCTTGGCTCACAGCTGTTGGAAACGAATAGACTAGAACCACTCCAAAAATCAGCAAAACAATTGAGATGAACTGCATTGTGATTGTTTATTTTTTCTCGATATCATGCCCTGTTTTATATACCCATTTTCTGACCTCTGCTGCGTTGCGCTGGGCGTTGATAATAATTGTTTCTCTACTTTTCCAACAAAAAAACAGTAACGGATGCAATTTCTGACCTTCCGAACTCTTTAACAACTAAAAAAAACGCGGTCGATTCTCTTTTTTCTTATTGTCAAAACAATATTTAATGAATGGAAAGAAGAAAAAGAAGAAGACGAAAAAACGAAAAGTCTCAAATTTCACCATTTTTTCGCAAAAAAAAAAACCGCCACACTTTTATTATTGGCAGATTTTTGTATGTATGTCCAATTGAAGTACTACACTACTACACAGAACAAAAAACCAACTGACTGACTGACAACAAGTGTGTAAATAATCGAAATCGCGCCCGGATTTTTCTGTTGGCCCCCCTCGTGTTATATACTTTTCTGTTTGATTTTTGATACTTCAACTTTGACGGATTTTCACAGGGTTTTTTGTTACCGAGTATGTGTTTCATGAAGAGTTTTTTCCTCTTTTTCATTGAAATGTGAGTGTGTTTTGTGCTGTATATGATGTATGAATAGAAAGAGTTTTTTATCTTCATATTCTGCAAATCAGTTTATATTCAAATGTCTCATCTGGTCTTCGAAAAAACTTTTTTTTGTCCGAAAAATCGAATTTTTTGTACTTTCTCATGTCTAGAATTGCAGAGTTGCAATATTTTGAGTTTTGATATTTTTCACTTTTCTGGTGCAGAAAAGTTTCAAATTTCTTTTTTTCTATGAGTTTTTTCTCGGAAATTTTGCAAAATGTTAATCATAATATTTTTTTGTTTTTTTTTTTTGTTAAAAATAGGGCGAAGAATTCTGAAGAATCAATTCCAAAGTTCGTTCTGTTTAAATTTAAAAATAGAAAACTGTTTAGTTATTCTCAAAAACTCTATGCATTTTCAAAATCATCGAATACGAAAAAAGGACTTTTTTGAAAGCCGGAAATTAATTTTTCGAAAATTTATCTGATCTCTTAATTTTAGAAACTTGGTTTTTTATCGCTTCTAATTTTACAATTGTTCATTTCTAAAAACTTGTAATTTCTTCACGTGAAAACTGTCAAAAATCTGTCAAATTATTGCTTGTTGACTTGTGACATGTGTTCGAAAGGACATTTTCTTCTCCGGAATTCAACACAAACTCTGAATTTTCTTTATGAAAAAATCTGTCATCCACATCGACAAACAGCCAAACCAACAACAAAAAGGGCATAAACAAGACATTCTTCTAGAGAAAAAAGAGTTTTGCTTTCGACTTTTTTCTCGTTTCTAGCAAAAAAAACTCGCAATTAGTACAACTAGAGAAGTTCTCTCACGCGGATTTTGTTACTAATGAATGTTATAAAGTGTTTGTCATGTTCGATGTCAAGTGCTCTTTTATTTTTGAATTTTTTTTGTGTCCCCATCGGTTTGTCAAATAGACACATACATATTCGCGCCTCAAATAATGATCAAATATTTGCGCCTTCTTTCATCTATTTTTTTTTCAGATAGACGAAAAAAATTAAGTGGCTCAATTGGTCTATGTGTTTTTGTGTCTTTGGTTTTTCCATTCCTATTCCTCTTGTAAATCTCAACAAGAAAAAAATTCCCAAGATTATTCCCGAAAAAATTTTAATAATCGCACTTCCAAACATTGAGTTCAAATAGCCTCTAGCATTCAATTTCATCGGATTTTTAATCGAGTATTTGTGTCATTTGCAGATCCATTTTTCCTTCTTTTGCCATTTTCTTTATGAAATCCGATTACATCGGAATATTATTATTATTTATAAATATTATTGTGGCACAAATGAAATATAATAGCAATCTGTTGTGAATTATTAAAGAAAAAAGGTGCGAATAGATTATTTTTGTGTGTGTTCCTTGTTGGCCCGCTAGACCAAATAACAATTCTTGCTCTCAAGTTTTTTTTTCATTTTATAATCTTTGCTAATCAATCTTCGTTCATCATCGCTTTTTTTGTGCTTTGTTTTACCTCGAAAAATTTCGAAGATTTGTGAGTTTTATCAAAAAGTTCTCCAATGTGCCCTACTCTCCAAAATCTGAATCAGAACACTAAGAAAGAAATCATGAAATCGTTATTTTCCAAAAAAAACAATTTAAATTAAGGCACCTAGAATTACTAAGGAAACTTTTTTACTCAACACTTCAAACCTTGATGAAATTCTTCCACAGACAGTTGTTTGGGGTCATAAGAACACCCTAAAATTTTTAGTCTCCCAATGGACCTCTGAGCCAAGTTCTGGGCTCTCAAAAGTTGCCAAAATTGGCTCATAAAAGTCATCACATATGAATTTTCATGAATTTTCATCCGAAAAACAAAAAAATTCAAAATTTTTCGTAAAAAAGTTTTCATTGATGTACTTTTTGAACTTTTGAGAGCCCAAAACTTGGCTCAGAGGTCCATTGGGTAACTAAAATTTTAGGGAGTTCTTGTGACCCCAAGAGCTGTATATGGACATAATTTCATCAAGATTTGAGGTTTTGAGTAAAAAAGGTTTCCTTGTTAATTCTAGGGATATCATTTGAGATTCTAACACAATTTTCCTGACTCGATCAATAATTTTCTTTTTACAAATTATACTATTTTAAATATACGTCTCCTTCCTCTCTCTAATTTGCTCTATTCATTTTCCAAACTCTCTCATCTACTCTACTTCTCTAACATTGCGTCCCCCTCTACTCTTCATGTTTTCATTAATTTTATTTTGAAAGTACATACCTTAATATTTCTTTATCATTTTCTTCCTATTTTCATCCTTTTTTTCGCGCGTAGGTTAGGTTTAGATTTTATACATAAGGTCCAGCAAAAAGATAGATTTTTGTGCCTAGATTTTGATGAGTTAGCTTAACTTTTTTCAATTTTTAAAGATTTTTTTCATAATTTTCATATACATATGTTTCAAATTTTACAGAATTTTTTATCGATTTTGTTTCTTTTTTTCCGAAATCCCTCCCCAAAAAACTCACCAATCGCTTCTATTTCTCGAATCACACAAAAATCCTTGAAATTTCGAAAATCCTAATCAAAACTCGAAATCCTCCACGTTTTCCATGTTATTGACATTGAATAAATCCAATTGTCCATCAATATTTCAAGCTGAAAATCAGAAAATTATTTAATTTTTAATGTTTAATTGAGTTCTGCTAACTCCATTTCTGTTTCTATAGATTTCTGAAGGCTTTCTGGGTCTCACAACAATTTTCCAGCTATTTTTCAGAGGTTCACCATAAAATCTTACCCGAACCCATTTTCCATCGATTTTTGAGTAAAACATCCAGTAATACCCCAACAGTTTTAATGTAATCCGATGTTTTCCATGAAAAAGTCGCTTCAAATTTAACCAATAATAGTTCTAATCACATTTAAAACCATTTTTGACCCTGAAAATTCAAAAATTCCAATCGAAACAGTGTTTCTCTAGAAAAAACCCACCTCTTTTCGATAATCCTTGGATTTTCCGTTGGAAGCGATAGTTCCAGCCTTGTAGAACATCTAAAAATTCAATTTTTGAATGAAATCCACCGATTTTCCCCGGAAACCTGAAAACCCAGCGAAAAAAAAAAGAAAAATGAAAATATTCTCGTGTTGCGCTAAACAGCGGGCAAGCGGAGTGTCGTTGTAAAAGGCAAACAATAAATTCATTTCCAAGTGTTATACTTTTTATGTCCACTTCGTTTCAGGGCGAACAAATAGAGACAGAGAGAGTGTGTAGAGTGCGAAAGAAAAAACCGCGAAACTGACAATACCGCGAAATTTAATAAGGCTGGCACCCAGCCAACTGTTGGGTCCCGAAGCGATGGTCCATGAATTCTCATTTTCAAAAAATTTTCGGGGTTTTTTGTGTCTGCGTCGCGTTTTCTCTATTTGTTCGTCCCAACACAGGACTGAAACGAAGTGTGTCATCCTTTCTCTTGGATTTTTTAAAAAAAACGAAGCGGTTTTGCACGCCAAATTTTCACTGATTTCGTTTTTATAAGGGAGAGATTATATTTTTCTTTCTTTTCTTATTAGATAATTTAAGATGATGCGCTTTTAACTCAGAATCAGAAAATAGCTGTCTGATTAAACATTTCATTTGAACTTTTGATACATACGGCACTAACATAAATTGGGTGCAATTTATGAGGCGTTTAGTGAATCAGAAACCAAAATGTGATATTTGTAATTCTTTTCGAGGAAACCCTGGGTGGTTATTTCTGAACCTGGAGTTATTTTCTCGTCATTATTCTGTATAACATTTTGATCTCTCGTTAGATCTTAAGATTATTTTTTGGATTTCATATGATTAGTTATATTACGTGAAGATTTCACGAATCACGGTAGCAAATCATATTTATCTCAAAATCAGGAAGAAATTTTTTCATTTATCAATATTTCCCGAATCTTATGAACTTTTATTTTTAGTTCACCTAATCCAGGAAGAAGATCTCCCATCAAATTCGAATTTACTCCAGGATCTGAAGATTATTTTAATCTAGATTTATTTAGGGAATCACATTTTTTCTCATAAAATATTTCTGTCTCATTTTCTTTAAAATAGAATAAAATTCCAAGAATCATGTGAAATACGAGCTCAATAATTGGATGTTTTTCTAGACTCATGACTCAAAAAGTTCTTTGATATTTCATTTTTTCTTTTGCTGTTTTTTTTTTCAAGTTCATTGTTCACAGACAAAAATGTTGACAAAATGAAAAATTGATGTATATTTTTTTGTGTTGAGCTTTTCTCCTCTTTGATGTCGCTCGCCCTTCACAGCAAATTTTTTTCTACGTGACCTCAAATAAAAAAATCATTGCAGAATGTGTTTTTCACGCGGCACACACATCTGGGCGGAGCCTAATAAAATCCTGTTTTTACTCGTTTTTTGAGGATTTGAACCCGAATTTCAGGGAAAAGTTGATTTTTCACTATCAGAATTGAGCAAAGAAGGGTTGAGG